TTGTCGGTAACAGCGATCACCCAGTCGGGTGGGAAACCGCTATTTTGGTACCAAGACGAGAGGTGATTTTTGCCTGCAACAATGACAAATGGCGGCACTGTCCAGCCCTGTGAATTAACGCCCTGGATTACTGTGACCCATTCACGATTACCAGGTTGTAGCTTTTTTGCCTTTACACGTCCGTCTGAGCTTGTGACAACTGTTGCGGTAGAGATAACGCCCATCATAAACCCCGTCTCGTCAAAGTTGTATATATCTGACTCCGCAATACCATACTTCGCGATTATATTGCGCACAAGCTCAAACCAGCCACTAATGATCACTGGATCTTCGCATTTGGCCCTCTGGTAGTCATATTTCCGCTGGAAGCGCGTTCGCAGCTCTGGGCGGCGATTAATGAAGCTAGAAGCCCAGCGCGTCCCGACGCGTGGCGCGTCGCGTGTCGCGAGAAGTCGATTTGCCATATCTCCCACAATAGACACCCGGGGAGGAAACCCTTTGGCAGCTAAGTCGAGAATAAATTGAACAAGGACCGATTCTTCCAAATTGGTCAGTTTCCGTGAATTGGCCAGAATATCGCGTCGTGGTTGTATGCCGCGCTTGCGACGACTAAGCTTCACGTGGTCCACAGAATAGATTCTCCCTGCGGCTCGAGCGCTTAGCTTTGGATCTTTTTTCATAGCTTGGAGGGCTAATATGATCTGACTTTCGTCGCTTTTCTGAGGCATCTTTTCTTGGAAAGAAATGTTGTGTTTGGTGCAGGAGATGTGTAAGCGCGGTAGAGTGTGACTTTCGCTATGTTGTGACTTTCGCTATGTAAGTACGTTAGCGATTCTTACATGTATTGATCCTGTGCCCAATCTCCCTGCATCCACTACACCTTGGCGGAGCCCTTTTAGCTGGCTGATCTGCCTGAATAGGCAATTCGCCCTGCACATGCGATTCTACCGCAGGTGCTTCTGCTGGCAAATCTATCTGCGCAATTAGCTGTAGGCCCTCCTCGACGGTTAAACCCTCTTCGCAGGGTATCTGCCTAGTCGATCGATTATGCTTCTTCTTGATCCTCTCGTTCGCAGCGCGTAAATTCGTATTATCCTGCGCTAGTAATGCGGTGTTGTGTAGCGATATGCAGTGGCCCTTGATAATCTGATCTAGTATGGTTTTTGATGGGCTTGGAGGGCTATTTGACCGCTGCTTTAGCAGATACTTAAGCATAGAAGCTTGCTTTAGTAGCTGAACGACGGTTCTAGGCGTCTTTGGCGTGAACTGGCTAGATCTACTGCTTGGCCGGCTGCTTAGTGGTGATGGTGTTCGTAGAGAGATATTAAGCTTATTAAGCACTCTCTCTGCATTAACTGGCACTAGGCCACTAGCTGCGAAGCTATTTTGGATAGTAGCTAGTTGAAAGGCTTCTAGCCGCGCGCGTTGGTAGTCAATCAAGAAATCAATCTTCTCGATATGGTTGTAACCCCTACGCGCAAGATCGCTTACAAAGCGACCGTACGCACGCTTAAGCGGTGCAAAGCATCCTACATCAAGCGGCTGTAGTAGATGCGATGAGTGCGAAGGCATACAAAGAGGGATAATATCGTTATCTGCGCAGATTCAGTCGAAATGAGGCGTAAGGTGGCTACCATGGCCGTCAAGAATCAGTAACCGAAATCGCCCGCGTACGCGCGAATTGGTAAAGGGGATAAAGATTCTTTCTAGCCAGCGTAGGCCTATCTCATCGGTAGTCCAGCCATTATTCGATACCTCTAATCGCCAATCTTTTGGTAGGTCGTCAAACCACCCTGCGATAGCAACTTTGCCTTTGAAGATAATACAGGGCGGTAGCGAATAGCCATCTGCGCAGATTGCTTCGATAGCAGTAACCCATTCGCGATTTCCTGGCTATAGAAGATGACGCCGACCGTAGTAATCTGATCGCGTAACTACCTTCTGCGCAGATATAAGACCCATTGCAAATCCTGTCTCATCAAAGTTGTAGATATCCTCCGATTGTATACCGTTCTCATCGATAACCCGCTGCACGGTCGCAAACCACGCACGTAGGGATTTAGGGTCTTCGTTTAGGGCGCGCTGGTAGTCGTAACGCTTCGAGAAGCGCGAGCGAAGCTCTTCGCGACGTTTGATAAAGGTTGATGGCCAATTTTTGCCAACTATAGGTGGAGGGTGGCTACCGCGCGTAGCTAGCAGGATATTGGCCATATCTCGCACAGTAGATGGCCTAGGCGCTGCTCCACGCGAATCCATAGAGATAATCCACTCAGTAAGCGAATCCTCTTCGTATTGGGTCAATTTATGGGTAGGTACGCGTTGATCGACGCGTGAAAGGCGCCCCTGGGCGCGGTGGTGTAGTGTAGCAGGCGGTATTTCGTATAGCTTCGCTGCTGCGCGGATAGATTTGATACGGCCATGTTTAATATCGTCAAGGGCTAATAAGATCTTGCCCTCCCGATTGGCCAACTTCTGCTGAGATTCAGAGCGAATTGGTGGCATGGTAGTTAGTGGAAGAAGGTAGCTGGGTAGGAAGACGCGATTTTAGATGGGGTGTCTCGTATGGCCGGGTGTCTCGCTTGGCCGGGAACTACGTTAACGTAATTCACAAGCGAGCCGCCCACACAAGCGAGCCGCCCACCCATCCATCTACTTCTTACTTTTCATCTATTTTTTTCAACGAAAACGCCTCTATATTAATTATTCTACCTAACTAGGCATTGGTTTGCCCTATGCCCAACCTGATTACATAAAGAACACGTAAACTGACGCCGTCGCGCTGGTGCTACCGCTTGCTGAATAGGCTGCTCGGGTGCTGCTGGAGACGGTGCTGTAGGCTGTAAACTAGCCTCATGGGCTTGTAAATGCCCCTGAGCTTCTAGCACTGACATACCAGTATCAGAGGCTATATACCTACTAATCCGGGCACGCTTTTGCTTCAGCACCGCGTTGGCCGCCCGTAATTCCTTGTTTTCTTGCTCAAGTAATATACCGTTTTGCATAGCGATCTGACAGCCTTTGATAAGCTGATTTAACGCGGTTTGTGAGGGCGATGGGGGGCTATTTGAGCGTTGTTTTAGGAAAGCCTGGATTGATGCTCCTTGTTTAAGCAAATCGGCGATGGTCGCTGGTGTTTTAGGGGTAAAAACGCTTGATCGGCTGCTTGGGCGGCTTCCTGAGGGTGTAGGCGTCCGAAGCTGGATATTAAGCTTTGAAAGCACTCGTTCTGGATCGAATGGCATTAAACCCGCTGCTGCGAAGCTATTTTTGATTGTAAGCGCTTGGAAAGCGCTATCGCGAGCATTTGGGTAGGCCATAAGGAAATCAAGCTTGTCAATATGATTTATGCCAAGCCGCATTTTTTGATCAACTAAGCCTCCATATGGGCGCTTTAAAACAGCAAAACAACCAACATCAAGCGGCTGTAAAAGATGCGAGCTATGCGCTGGCATACAAATAGGAATTATCTCATTTTCCGAGCAAATTTGGTCGAAATAGGGCGTGAGATGGCTACCGTGCCCATCAAGGACTAATAAACGATATCGGCCTTGCGTACGGCTATTCGTTGACGGAATAAATAGCTTTTGAAGCCATCGAAGGCCTATCTCGTCTGTTGTCCATCCATTTTGACTAACTTCAAAGCGCCAGCTATGTGGAAGGCTATCAGCCCAAGCTAGATTGTGTAGTTTGCCCTTAAAGATAATCGTGGGCGGAAGCGCCCACCCAGAAGCGCTAATTGACTCGATTGTAGTCACCCACTCGCGATTTCCAGGCTGTAAAACTGATCGCCGACCGTATTATTCTGCTCGGGTAATAACCTTTGCGGTCGCTGTAAGGCCCATCGCGAAGCCAGTCTCGTCAAAATTGTAGATATCCTCCGATAGGATACCATATTGCTGAATTGTAGTTTGTACGCGATTAAACCACTCTTGAATGACCTTTGGATCCTCTTGTTTTGCTCGCTGATAGTTGTATTGACGTGAAAAACGAGTCTTTAGCTCTGGCTGTCTTTTGACATAGTTTGCTTACCACAGAGTTTCGCCGACCGTCTGGATGGGGGTTGAACCGCGCTTTGCAAGCAAAAGATTCGCCATTTCTCGCACCATAGCTGGCCTAGGGGCTGCTCCGCGGGAATCCATAGATAATATCCACTTCTTAAGCGATTCCTCTTCAGTTTGGGTTAATTTATGGCTATTAGCGCGTGTTTGAGGGCGAAATTGGTGGCCGGTAATGCGGTCGCGGAGGGTAGTACGAGGCACATTAAAACGACGTGCTACCTCACGGATAGAGGTGATTTCTTCGTTTTTTATAGCTTGTATAGCCAATTCGAGGCGGCCCTCTTGCTCGATAGAATTTCGGCCTGATCGAGCGCGTTTTGGAGGCATGGTGGTTGGTAAAAAATCAAAGGACGCGTGTGGACGCGAGAAAACTAGTTGGGTGGGCGGCTCGCTTGTGTGGGCGGCTCGCTTGTGAATTACGTTAACGTAATCGGTAAGCGAGCCGGCCATGTAAGCGAGCCGGCCACCTCAAAACACCATAGAAAATGCGATAAATTACAACTTTATATCTCAGCAACCGTAGCTTCTTACAATGTCTTATTATAAACCTGTATTCTTCATACTGAATCTGACGTATATCGAAGGTCTTGAAAGTTTTCAAGATATCGTGAGTTGATAATCTATAATTAAAACTCAAAGAGCTAAATTACAGTGTATTTTTGGTAAAGATTGTCAAATCAGAATTAAATTGACGCAAGCTCTTAAAATCGGCTTCTTATGCTCTAAGTATGTAGGATACAAAAGATAAAGCCAAACGACCTTATGATTGTTGAGATATTCTATTCTTAAATTATCGCATTTACTATGGTTGATTGATTGATTCCTCAGGCTTTTCACGACCTTAGGTCGTATGCAGCCCCCTAGCTAGTGTGCACTGCACCTTTGGGTATGTCCACTAAATTGATTCACCACCGCACGACTTTGCCCAGTAGGCATTACACATCAGCACCCTCCGTACGCCAGCCTTTTCGTCTCAACTGCAAATGCGACAACTGCTTTGACGACCTTGATATCAGGTTTCCACGGTCTCCCGTTCTGCTCACCCGTAACCTCCACACTATCCGGTTTACCACCTAGCATATATGACAGACTACCGTAGTTGGAGCCAGCCGCGTCGATGAGGGCGCGACGTTGTTCGTTCCATTGCGTGCACAGGAGCAGGAAGTGCTGCACTGTCTCACGTTCAACACCGCATGCGCATAAGTCGCTTTCGCTCTGACCAATTCGATGAAGATATCCGTTAAGCCTAGCGTGCCCTGTGCGAAGTTGGGCTAGAACAGATGCTTTCTCCTGGTCGAAGCAATCATAAATTATCTTCGTATGCGGGCCCGGGAGGGCTGAATCCAGCTGGCGAGTGTACTGGCTAACTACGGACTGTCGGAAAACGCTCTTTCGGTGTTCTACTGCGCTCGAGCGTGCCCAACGTAGCGCTGACGCTCGAAGCTGGATCTTCGCCCATGGTGGAGGATCAGGTGCCCTACTCTCGGTTGTGGCATCGCGCGCAAGGTTGTGCGATTTCTTCGCGCCTTCTCCCGGCTCCTCCCGTGCCGGTCGTAAATAAATCCTCGGACCCATCTCAGACAGCTGAGTAATTGCGCCGGTGACTTGGGTGATAAGAGTCTGGCCACCTTGGAGGTGCGGTTTCGCAAGTGATTGCAAAACAGTAGGGTTGCTCACAACAAATATCGTCTGTATTTTCCACGGTGACATCTGGATACGGTGAAGCATCTGTCGGACATACAAGCATGCTTCTAATATGGCCCCAAGCTGGGCGTAGTGGGCGTTAAGCACGTCGTCGCTGCCCACCGTCCGGCTTGATGTGGCAATGTCGGCTTGATTAACACGGACGACCAAGCCCGTTCCGACTAAACCGTTACGGACGCTGACACTGGTATATAGCCAAAGGCGGGCACAGCTGGCCTCGTGTAGATCATCTAGAGCAGATCCACGCGATGTAATCAACTCACAGAGTGACTGTTGCCACGGGTCTAGTGGAAAAGGCCGAATGACCTCCATGTCTGATAAGCACTGTGGACCATGCACCGCTAGAATCTTGAAAGGCGACGGGTACATGCTATCTTGTGTAACCGCCGCTGCTCGGCACTGCCAGAAGGGGTGGTCCTTCGGCAGTGTGTGGCAGTTAATCCAGTGCTTTATGATCCGGGCACGTAGCCGTATGTAGGTCGATTCGATCCCAGCCTCGGCCTCGGCAATCGCGAGGGCTGTGGTTCGTATTACGCCAATTATTGCTTGGGCTGCGATCCGCTGAATAGATTCAAACAGCCGTCCGATTCCAGGGGGAATAACAGTATCCTTTCGGGCAGGGCACCACACGGACGCTGCATAGTCAATCTTGGACGCAACTGTAGCGATAAACAACTGCCGGGCAACCGACGGCGGCAAGCCGCGGAGGCGCCTTAGTGCTAGAATGGCCTTCATTCCCTTGCTAGCTGCTTTTCCAATATGAGACTTGAATCGAAGTTCCTGGTCGAGTAACACGCCGAGGATCTTCACCTCAGGCGCCGGCGTGACTGCCGCACCGTCCACGTATAACGGAGTAGCAGGGAGTTGCCGTAGCCGTAGGTTCCTCGTGAAGTGGATGAAGGATGTCTTTTCGGCCTCAAAGGCTGCGCCGGATCGTGCCGCCCACTCTAACGCCCGCGGGATAACCTTCTTCTGAAGCGTTATCGTGTTCGCTTCTGCAGATAGGCCCACTGTCCAACGTGTGTAATCGTCGACGAATGCGATGGCACCTTTCCTCCTCGTGATAGGAACATCCACTAGGTTCGCATTAAAGAAAAGAAAGAGGATAGGCGAGAGCGGCGAGCCTTGTGGAAGCCCTGCGTGTCGGATATCCACTTCTTCGGACTGGTACCTATTTACTACGATCGAAGCGCGCCGCGCGAAGCAGAAGCTGTCGATCCACCGAACGAGGATGAGTGGAATCCGCCGCTCACGTAGTCTCCGCAATAGCACCCGCCCATCCACTCCATTGTATGCGCCTTTCACGTCGAAGCTCACCAAGCTTAGAACCTTGCCCTCACGCCACGCATCGTGTATCTTTTCCACAAGGACGTTAAGTGCTTGTTCGCATGACCGCCTCCGTCGAGCACCGAAGTGATTCGCGGGCAGTAATTGGTGCTTTTCGACTAGTGTTGAGATCCTATTGGCGACTACTGCTTCTAGCACTTTTCCAAGTGTAGCCAACAGCGAGATAGGACGGTATGACTTCGGTAATGATGGGTCCCGTCCTCCCTTTAGTAGTACCACAATCTTAGCCACTCTCCACGCTTTCGGGAAGTATGCAAATCGGAGGGATGCTTGAAGGATCTCGGTGACCCAGTGTTTCACGGTTGACCAGATTTGTTGCCATACTACGGCCGGGAGTCCGTCGGGCCCTGGGGCTTTCCATGGAGCCATTTTCATCAGGGCGGCTTCGACTTCGTGCGGCGCGATCGTTTCCATCGGAAGAGGGTCGGGCTGCTGCCTTTCCTCCTGTGGCTCATCTAGGATATTCGGTAACGGAGGGAAAAAGGCTTGTAGGAGCGCATAGGCCTTTTCCTGATCGTTGTCAAACGTCTGATTATTCGAGCGTAGTGTAGGGATAGCCCCTATAGATCGTTCTCCGGGCTCTAGATATCTGGCCGCTTTCCAGATGTTGTCACTGTTGTTCAGGAACTCCCGCCAGTGATGTCTCTTTGCGTCTCGGATGGCCCTGTGGTACTGCCTCCTTAGGTCAGATACGGTATCCTCTAACTCGGCCACCGTCACTCCATATCGCTGAGATTGAGTGCACCGATTCCGGGCCCTCGTATACGTATCTCGTAGCACGGTTAACTCGGGCGTCCACCATCTCTTGCTGTACGGAGACGGACGAGCGATTGGAACCAGTAGCCGAACGGCTTGACTGACTCTATTAGTCAGGTGGTCCACCGTGGAGTTTAGTTCTGCCCGGGTGGTGATATCCGGCACCTCTGTCTCTAGGTCCTTCAATTCCCTGTTGATATCGGCCCACGGTGCCTCGCGAAATAAGGGACGGCCCGGTCCGGAGACTGTTGGTTTCTGCGCATCGCTCAAGAAGGTCGTGATAATTGCGCGGTGGTCTGACCCATGTTCAACCGGGTGGATGCCACACTCTGTCATCCGTCTACCTAGACCCCTAGACGCGAGGACAAGATCAATGGTTGACCGCCAGGGCCCTTCCTCGAAGGTGATGGTCCCACGTGGGAGTAAGCTTGTCAGGTCCCAGTCCGCCATCAGGAGTAGAATTGGCTCTGCCTCTCCTTGACGGATGTGCGTGGCCACTTGGTCTCCCCCCCAGAGCTGGTCATGGCGGTTAAAGTCCCCCGCAATTAGAATGTCGACATTGTCCGTGTGGTCGCATCGGACCCGTTGATATGTATAGCGGATTATCTCGAGGACTTGCGTTAATGACCGTACGCCATTTGGGCCTCCCTCTGGGGGAACGTATACGGATACTATGAGTATTGGAGACGGGGTAAATATAAGCACGGCTGTAATATCGGGAGATGAGACATCGATTTGTCTGTGTGGGAATGTCATTTTGTTCACCCATATCATACTGCGGTACGGTCTCATTCTCCCGGATGACTGATGCCGCTGTGAGGGCCAAAGTGGTGTCCAATGAGTGTGCGCATGGGAGCATATAGCGCCGTTCATCAAGAAAACATATGGTTCTGAAATCAACAGTAAATCGCACGATCGTAGTGATTGATCGTTCAGCAAGCTAAGTTGCGTTTCCGGTCCCCTCCTTAGGTTAGCCTGAGCGACACGTAATGTCCTACTGGCTACCATGCGGAGGGAGACCTGTTCGTCTGGCTGCTATTTCTTGTTCCCGGCGACGAATCAATTTCCACGCTTCGTCCCATTTCGGGCAGTGGCGATCGTTAGCGGCGTGGTTCCCTTGACAGGCTGCGCACTTGAGGACATCGGATGTGCAGTCGTCCATACGGTGGTTGCCCGCGCACTTACCGCAGGCTACTGAGTTCGGGCACCGGTCTTCTTTGTGGTTATATTGTTGACATTTGCGGCATCGAAGTGGACGCGGTCGCTCATAAAACGTATCCGAAAAAACCGCTTCCCCATACACGTGGGCAATACGGCGGCTGAGCAGTGCTTCTGCGTCCGCTTGTTTGGAGAGGTAGACGGCCATGGATCCTTGTCGTTTCTTTCCGCTCAGCCAAATGAGTTTCTTGATCTCCGTGACACCGTTCTCATCTTGGAAGTTTCTTGCAAAACCCTCACGTTGTATCCCCGACACTCCAAAGACACTTTCTTTTTTGACGTCGTTCAGTTTGATGGGGAACCATTGTTCACCCTGGAGCTTAGCACCTGGTAAGGCGTTCAGCCAGTGCGTCGCCTGGTGGAGCTTCTCGACACTTTCCTCTGAGTCGACAAATATCTTGATACTAGTGCGAGAAGTCGGTTTAACCCCCCTGATATCTACGCTTGCGGTCGCCGTGTCGCATTGGAGTGCAGTACGGATCTTCTCCCTTGTCTGTGTCGGGTCATTAACTAGCGCCTTGGTCTCCTCTTGCGCAGCACGTAGATCCAGTATCACAGCAGGGAGGCCGAGCCCAGGACGCGTTGCACGGGTGTTAGACGAGGCCGAAGACGATTGTGAAACGATCGATGCCCAACTTGTCCCTGGACTACTGGTCTGCGTGTTAAGCGACGTGGTGGGTGCCACCAGCGGTAAAGACTGAACGAGTTCTTTAAGGCTAGCGATCTCCTTATGAAGCTCATTAACCTCTTTTCGCGATTCTTCCAGTTCCTTGCGATATAGCGCCGCTTCAGCCGCAATGGCCTCGACGTTCTTGTATGCTTCTGACATGCGCTTGCATTCTTCCCCAAGTTCGGTGTTGGCCACCCTAAGCTCAGTGTTTGCTCGTAGGATCGGTTGAAGATATTCAAGAATTTGGCGCGCCAGGTCCTGGGTTGTCCCTGGAAGCGATCCAATTCCACTTTCTCCTTCTGCAGCAATTTCTTGCCCGCCTGTGGTCCCTGGCATCTGGCGAACCAAGCCAGATCTCGTCGTGGGTGCAATAAGTTCCGCGTCGGGAGCGGGAGGATCAGACGCGCCCCTGGACGCGTTCCCTCCGCGCTCGCTGCGCTTCACCGGCATTATGCCCACGCAAAGAGATCTACGTGGGGTTGATTAGTAAATTTGGGTATACTTACTGCCTTTGTCTTTTGTATATAGTGGATTTGCCGTCGCATTTTGCATTTCGCATTTACTCGCATTTACTATGGTGTTTTGAGGTGGCCCACTCGCTTACATGGCCCACTCGCTTACCGATTACGTTATCGCGAATCGGGTGGGAAAAACAAAGCTGAATAACGTGAATACGAAGTAATAGTCCCGTGACATATCCACACCGCTCCGGGCGTTGATCGCCTAGCGTAAATTTGAAAGGTATTCAGCTTTATTCCTCCACCCACCACTATGGATGATCGGTATTCAAGGAGTATACAGGATCCAGTGGTGGAACTGGTACTCCCACCTGGCGGGTTCAAGATCAGGAACCTCCACCCGCGTCTCTGAGGGTAAGGCCCCAACCTCACCGACCCTGATCCTGACCCTGACCCGAGGGTCCGTCAGACCCTCAAATGCCACGCCTGGTAAGTACCTATTTAGGCCAGACTATACTGTATTGATGCGATTCTGACCGTATCTGGTCTCACTTGACAATGGCGAGCAGTCTTGCGTTGTACAGTAGAGCTTTTTCTAACTCCTTTGCAAAGACAGCTACCAAAAGAAGCTAGGCGCCAAAACATTATCCGCCTTCATGTCCTTTGATACGTCTTCGTAATTGACTCACTCGGCACTCTATGCGGTAGGGTCTATGCGGTAGGGGATGCACGTCGGTGGTTCTCGTCTTTCCTTTCCCATCTTCCAAATCACACAAATTTGAGAGTGTGTGGGGCGGGCTCACTCATAGGCTCAATGCTTTTCTCAACTAGGTTAAACGGTGTAGTTAAACGATGTAGTTAAACGGTGTGGTTAAACGATGTGGTTGAATGATGTGGTTAAACGATGTGGTTAAACGATGTGGTTAAACGATGTGGTTAAACGATGTGGTTAAACGGTGTGGTTAAAAGGTGCGGTTAAACGATGTGATTAAACGATGTGATTAAACGGTGTGGTGATGAAGAAGGGGCGATTAACGGAATCGGCCAGTAAAGAGTAGAAAGCTTAGGTAGAAAACGGTCAGCCAAAAAAAAAAAAAAAAGGGTCAGCAAAATAAAGGGCCAGCAACGAATGATTAGCAACGAATGATTAGCATGAATTATTAGCACTGAATGTTGATTGACGACAAATGATTAACGACAAACGGTTAAGACTGGGGGTTAACAGACGCGATCAAGGACTTATGAGCGGCAGATGCCCCAACACCGGTGACAGATTATGGTTCACGCTGACCTTGAATCTTTGATCTTGGGTGAGTTGCACTTTGCCCCATCATTCTCGGCTTATTATGCGTTTATGAGTCATTTATAGATCAAGGGTGTGAGACAATACGTCCCTTTGCAGGGAGAACGTCTTGACGGGTTTTTTCATTTCACCCTTTCCCTGAAGATTTTCCCGTTCACATTGAATACACTTTCGGAAATGATCAAGTACACTTTCAGAAATGATCAAGAGATCTGGTGTAGTCTGAGATATTTGAAAAAATTGACGTATAAACACCGTCCGCTGGTCTATGGCAGGCCCCGTATTCGGAAAGAGAGGAAAAAGCAATAAAGAGTAATTGAATTGAAAAGCTTTGGAAGATAGAATTAAATCTTTCAACCATTTTTGATCGTTTACTAGCCTTTCCACGTGAACGGACACGTTTTTGCAAGGACCCGGGCACAAAGAAGCTACAAGGTAGATGTTAGAAATCAATCTCAGTCTAGCCTCAAATTTGTAATTTTATATCAACGAGCTTTTGTTGAGAACTGTTCTTTGGCAACTTACTGCGGGTCATTTGGCTTTTGTGATCCATGACATGTGTCTGTTTCATTCAGCTTTTTATGGATATGCAGGTCTAGACTAGAACAAAAACGTCTTTGCTTGATCACCATGTACTTACAAGCTATGCGTTACGTTACATGACAATTCCCAAACCTTTCATTACTTACGCAGCATACAGTTGGACGTCATATACTGTGGCGGTGCAAGCTGTATTGTACTGTAAGATTTGCGTAAGGGTAAGTACGAAGTCGAACGACGTTCTGGCCTGCAGGCTAAGCATGTTTCCAGAGCGTCACGAAACAAATATCGGTATTAAATCCCGATATCTCTGTCGTATCCTAATTGCGGATTGATCATAATCAGTCCGCAAATTTATTTGTAAGCCTACTTGGAGAATTCGAAGTTATGGACAATTGATTGAAGTAAACGCGACATATTCGAGGCTAGTCGCTACGGTACCTACGGAGGTCATGAACATCCAGGTACGAATAACAATCCAAACGGACTGGCGAATAGAACATCTCCGCAGAAAAACCCTCTTACACATGCATAGTTGTGAACCTCTGTCCCAGTACACTCGACAAAAAAGGCCTGCACAATCGCTGACGAAAAAGCCATTCCTACACTACAAATATTTCTTCATCGGTCAGCCAAGAGCTTCGTTGGTAACATAAAACACCAAGTCTGATGATGCAGCTGTATTCTATTCGGATTAAGCATAAGCAAAAGTAGTACTAATTAAATTTGTTCAGGGAAAGTAGGAGTTTTCTGCGCAAAAGAATTCCAGCGCATAGCCAGCTCCATGTCCGCGACCAATCAAAACAATCTATAAGCCAGCTTTGATACGCTGTGCTTCGGTGAAGTAACGTATTGAGTGAACCTTCTCTGCATGGTTTTTGAAGGCTCGATGTCCACGAAAAGCAAGTCCGCAAAATTTATCGGGGCATGAGATAAACTCGTCTCTCTTGAAGTGACGGAGATGCTTCTCGAAGTGCTCTCTGGCTTTACGTGTTGTTGCGAAATAACATTGGTAGTTTGGCTCAAAGACGCAGAAGAGACAGTGCCGATTTGTGAGAGAAATTGGTCGGTCTCGTGGCTCTGGAGAGGGAGAAAGACCTTGTTCTGATCGAGGGGGGTCATCTGGTGAGGACTTCTGGCTTTCGCTGGTGATTGTAACCTGTGCCGATTCTTTTGAAACCAGGTTTTCGGATGGTACTCTTTCGACACGACCAAGATCAATAAGGGCATTTATTAAAACAACTCGTCGTAGGATGTCATCTTCTTGCGGAGGCTCCTGGCATGGGGCTTGCATTAATTCTGCCACTCGGCGACGCTCTTTGAGGCAGTGGACAACTTGTTCCGGCTCGTAAGTATCCTGTTTCATGTCCAATAGTGATGGATCAAGTTGCTTGTTGATTTCCACAGTATCGATAGTGGCAAAAAACTCATTGCGAGCACCAGTGAACGTTGATTCTTTCAACTTCTTTTTGGCTACTCTCAATGCAGCATCTGCTTTTGCTTTGAGCTCTCCAATCTTTGTGTCTGTTGCATTCTTCATAGACCCATATAGCTCCCTAGCTTCCACTGCGAGGGTATCACGCATTTGCTGCAGGCGTATTATCTCAGGGTGGTTTGTTAGGGAAGCCCTATTTTTCTCAGGCAAATCGTCGTATTTAGACGGGGCTCGAGGATCAATGAAGCGACTTTGGTGGCTAAGGATGTTCATTAATGCATCTTCCGAAGGTAACCCGAGAAACGCGGCTTGAACATGTGTCTGAACTCGCTGGTTCATATATTTCTGAAATGTGCTGGCATAGACGTGGCCCATCACCTGCTGGAGCAATGGTAGTGATGCAGTTTCTAAACAAAGCTCCTGCGTTAGCTCTAAGTAATCACCATTCAAGGACAGTGACTTACTGTCGACCGCCTCACCAGTACCGCGCCGGAGATCGTAAGGTTTCATAGCCCGAATCATACCTACAGCTAAGCTTAATCGCTGGAGAAAATATAAATAGGTGTGGTACTTCAGAGGTTTGATGTGGTCAGTAGTCATTCCAGAAGAAGTGGAAACTGGCTGGCGACAGATGGGCACGTTGAGTTTGTCTTTTTTGAAATCCAACCTCAAGGATCGACGCGGTAAAGATACACGAGTCTTGAAAATATCCTCGACCGAACGAATATTTGCTAAAAAGGCGTCGTCAAGAATCGCCATTGCAAGCAAAAGAACTATGACGTCGAAGACAGGCTGCTTCACTTCAGACATCAAGAATATTTTCCTTTCAGACATGGTCAGTTCAATTAAGCAAATGCAATGTCTTGGAGGATATATCACTTTTTCGGTCTGCCTTGATGGCCCTTGGTATGCTTCAAGTCAATTTCCATGACAAGGTGGTCACGCTTGCCTCCAGGGTTTGGTAGCAGAATCAAGCTGATCTGTCCGTAACAAAGAGTTTTGAGATCCTCATGCCTGAGGTCCCAATCATCTTCATGTTCCTCCTCTTGATCGTCCGCATTGCTGAAAAAGTGCTGAACATTAGTACGCTCGTTCTTTTCAACATACACCAGTGCTCCTGGTCGACTCGCAGTATAAGCCGATACCAAAAGAAGGAAGGCGAGCTGGATTATTTGTCGGCCATCAGGGTAGGGTGTTGTGTCTTTTGTCCAATGATGGTGGAGGACAAGATACAAATCGTCAACGTTCATGACGGGTTTTTCTCCAACAGACATATCAAGATTGTAACGCGTGACCAGATTCTCTTTCATGTACTGCCGCTACTTGGTTAGAGAGTGAAAATAATAGGAAGACATTAAGTACCCACATCATTGATGTCCTGGCAGCACTTTGCATGAAGACTACGTCCAACAGCTTTGCGATAGAGCTGGCACCATTGCCTCCAGAGTTCGTGTAGGCTGCTAAACTTCTTAATATTGGAGTTGTCAAGTATCCATTCCAGAAAGATCATGATATCCTCTTTCCGTGCCGCAACGAGGAACTGAAGAGGGTCTTCCCCTAAGTATTCGCAGTGTCTGAATCTATCAGCCTCACCCTAATGTTGTGTTTGAAAAGAGTATTACCTGCGCCACCGTCTTTTGATATAATCAATATTGTTTTTGGTTGAGACAGCATGTCGTCTTTGAACGATACCTTTCTCAAGTTGTTGACGACGTCGCCGATAATACTCGGGGTTAGGCGCTTGCTTCTTCTTGATCGCAGACAAGTCAAGAATGGACATGGCTTTCTTAGAAACAGCCTCAATCAAAAGGAGAAGAAGAAGAAGAAGAAGAAGAAGAAGAAAAGGATTGAGGCCACGGTTAAGGAAGAGAATAGGGAAGAAAGCGGTAATGGCTGAGATCCAGGGGAAAGCTGGTGTTTAAGTAGATATGATAGCAATTGGAATCCTTAGGACGACTTTCATTGAAAATGAACTGAGAGTTGACATTGACGGGGGAAAGTCTCTTTAAATATTAGGAAAGAAGGCTTGAGGTGGTTCAGCACCTAACAAAAGAGCCTTTCTATTTTTGTAATGACCGGCTACATACGGATGAAAGATAGGGCAGGCCATGACGACATGCCTGATTGTCTGCCCTGAGCACCCTGAGTGAAGGGTGAGCTGATCCCTGAGCAATCATGAGTGCTCATGGGAGCGCTCCCTGAGTGCTCACTGAGTGCTCAGGGAGCACACTATAAAAGTGGGTCGAAATAAACCACGTGATGTTTCGATGACTAATATTTTGGTAAATAGGACCCTTAAAATGGCGTCAAATGTAGCCGTTTTCGGCGCCCAATTTACCGTCACTTAGCGTTGGGGTGTATTAAAGGTCGCACTAGTCAGCGGCCAATCGGTCTTTATCGGAATATTAATATATAGATACATTGCCACTCCACAGGGGAGCGCGAACGGGCCTTATCTGACGCGACGGTCTAATGAGCTTACGTGTATAACCCGCAGCGACAGGTGACAGGTCATCGTTACGGCCAACCTTTACACACCCTGTCCCTTTAAACTGTGAGGTCACCAATAAAGTACAATTATGACAGTCATTGAGATTATTGTTAAGGCACTAAGATCACTTTCCGATTTCGTTGTTGATTAATTAAACTATGAGGCGGCCAAATTTAAAGATAAGGAGTACTATTCTCGAGTAATTTGAAGTCTAGAGAAAAGAAGAGGACAGTTATGAGATGTTGACATCCCATATGTGTCCAATGGAGGCCCGAGGTACCTCATTCATAGAAAGGTGTCTCTCCACTTTTTCTATTTACAGCATTTATACGATCCTCACATCAATTCCTTCACCAGGACCACGAACATTACTCTGGTATGTCTGACCCGGTGATCCCCAGAAAAACCTCGCATTTTTGGCTTGGTTGTTATCCTTCCCACGTCGGAGCTCCTTCTCCCGCGCACGAACCAAGCGACTGTGTTCTTTTCTCCTCCGCTTATTTGCTTTTTTTTCTGCTGCTTCCGCAGCATCTTTGCCCGTGAACAACCTCGTCAGCCAAGACATGGTGGCGTAAGTATATCTTTTCTAGATACAGCTCGATTGGAAGACCGGAAATGAAGCAGATATCAGGTTGTTGGACTGAAGCCTTTATTAACCTAGCAATACGCGAGAATTCTTCGACTCCCCGACTGAGTCGGTAATGTGACATCAGCCTCTAGCTCCCCTAGCTAAGTAGCTTCGGTATCACGTACTAGGTTGAACCGGCTACCAGATGACCGGCGAGGAGATACCAAGCGGGCGAGGAAATGGAAGATTAATTTTTGGCCTCGCTGCTCTCCCGAAGTGGGTGTGGTTGGAGGATTACTCTCCGCGGAGTCTTTGAGCAGGAATGAAATCTTTGGTCACCAAGGACTCGCGTTGGGCGGAGACAGTGTTCGTTAAATAACCGACTGGCCCCCAACTTAAATGCCCGAGGCTAGGAGACCCACATCAAGTGTCTCGCGAGTTATCGTGGTTACAGTGAACTAACCGTGCCAAATGGACCTACACCGCTATCCCGCATTTGGCCCGGTTTGTCTATTTCTTTTGCCTGTTCCCACAGTCCGGTATAGTTTTCCCTTGGTGTAACGAAAATAGTGTCACAACGACCATTTATTACTATTCTTTCATATCCCCACCCAAACAAGATCACTAGATCAATTGATTACCGTTGACTTGCGCTTAATATCATGCCAGCCATCTTTTGGCTTAACTAATTTCCGAATCGCCCCTCGTGGCTGACATAAAGGTCATTTTACCCAATACTTCTGGTTATCAGGATGCGCCCTAAAGCTGCTTCCTAGCCCTTTTGGCATGAAGTGAGAGGAATATTTCTATGCTCCTACTACTAATCATCTTTCGGAAGTCTGCAATAGCGATAGGTTGAGTGTCTCGGATATCTTGCCAGTGAGAGTCTCACGTACAGTAGTTTTCGAAATCAGCTATACCGCCATACTCTTACTACTTACCTACGCGTGCGATTTAATCCTGTAGATCTTGTTTTACTGCGTTGCCGCATCGTAATCCTTATGATTCCACATCGAGTCGAATAATTTTGGGATGAGATGGCCCGTCCGTCTTAAAGCCTCGGAAATGACTAACTGATCCTCTTCTCTATTCCGGCTCCAAGAATTTGCCCGTGTACAATATCAGACATGAGCTATAAAATCGAAAGAGACCGTTCTAACTAGCAAGAAATCGTCACTGCAGAATACTCGATACTCCTCTTCTTTGTTGTCAATCGGCCCACTCATGGTGAGCACAAACTTGAGATATTATCAGCTTCGTTTAAGGCGTTAAATACATCACTATAGTGGATACAGCAGAGGAATCAGACATTATGACAACTTTATCGAACAAGTATGGAGCACCCCAGGAAACTGACGCTAATCAAGACCATCGAAAATAGGTCACAAATAAGCAGCGTAAGGGCCGAGAGCTCCTTTGGGTATAAACTAAGGTGGACTAAGTGAACAATGGATGCCTTAGATGAAATTCTGAGTAATCAGGGCAAATTCAGATGATCATCATGTGATAGATATTGACCGGCTCTGTGATCCTGAGCCTGGACTGAAATCTATCCGGCGAGTCTAAGTAGGAGCGCCCTCATAAAAGCATCCGGGACATAGAGCTGCGTAGGTATGGGTATGATGCAGTGAGATCAGGAAAGCTGTGCCAATTGCACCGACAGGTTAGCCTTGTCGTACTTGATGTACTTGCCGCGACCCTTGTCAATCTCGACATATCGATCGTAAAATCGCGCATACAGCGGCTCGAGAACGGCCTGTAGTTCCCGGCCCAGCACAGACCGTACCTCCCGTTCCATATGGAGAGTTTTGTGGCGGGAAACCATCTCGTCGAAGCTTGCATTGAAAGACTTGAACTTGTCCTTGATAGCGTCCCGATCCTTCGACGACAGACTCTTGACAATCGCACTGGAGTCCACCGCACCTCCCGAATTGGGCCGTGCTCCGGAACGAGATGTATATTGCACATCCAGCAAGTATTGGGATGTTTCTTTCCATGCATCAAGATAGGTCGACGTCGCGCGCTTCCGGAAAGTGTCGATCCGTGCGATGCTATCCGGCGCACCTAGGTAACGTGCCAACTCAGGATTTTGCCGGATTGATCGGTCAACGATGCAGAAGACGTTCGACAGGAACACACCAAGAGCGGCCTTTGAACGGTGGAAAGTCCGACCACGAGACTCTAGTCCAGTCATAACAGCCTCGATCATATCCAAAATGAAGTGAGAGAAGAGTGTTCCGCTGTCAGGACCGACATCCAAGGGGGCAGTGCCGGCGGTGTTCGACTTGGAGCGCCAGTTACCATCTCCCAACGATGTCAAGATAGACGCCAAGGGACCCGAATAGCCGGTCAACGTAGTTAGAGAGCTCATAACCTCGTCAACCAATGGTACAGATCCACCATCTGGGGGCAGTGCCACGTTAGCAGCCTTGCGTTTGGTCTCGTCGAGCAGTTCCGAGAGAGAGTACTTGGCGGTCTCGCGAATAGGCCGCAAAGCTTCGATGAGGAGACTCTTCAGCTCCGCAGTCTTTGAGTCAATGCGGTAGGACATTGCAGTCACAATCTCAATGATTTCAAATGCCAGGAAGCAATCGGTCATCAAGTTTGCCTTGATGTACTGATTCAATTCTCGGAGTGTCTTCGAGTAGTCGGCCATGGCCGAAAGGAAAGTCGCCTGTAAAGCGAGTCCTTGCTGGTCGCCAGTGAAAACTTGCGTGATGATTTCATGTTCTGTATTGATGAAACTTTCCAACGCGTTGGAGTATATTCCAATCCCATTGGTTCCTTGTTTATATGGCCCATCAGTGGGTCTTCGCTTCACGGTGTTGAGAGATGCAATGGACAGGTTCTGCAAGCTAGCGGCAATGTATGGCCCCCGCGTCTCGGCGTATATCTTCAGGGCAGGGTTATCTCCCATTCCGCGCTGCGGGCCATGGACAGATGCAGAGCCAATTGCTGCGCAAAGTGGCGCCAAGTGTGAAACCGTATCTTCGGGGATTGATGGGAAAGGGAGGTCTGCAAGAGCCAATGATCAGTCACGTCTGCTACGGGCCAAACGTCGAATGACAACCTTACCTTTTGTTAGGTAGTGCAACGGTTCAATTGGAATGCTGCTCTGTTCCAAGTCTGCGCGAAACATCTCTTGTATTTTGGTGCCTCCCGTGCTCAAAAGAGAGTTGAAATCCGCGATCGCAGTCTGATTGGATCGAAGGTTCGTCGCGTTGAGGTCGACCAGCGCCTTTTCAACGCGTTTCATTGCTGAGAGGTAGTGCGAAAGGCCTGAGCTCTGGGGTCTGTAGAGTAATCAGTTAGTCAACATAGCAATGAGCGCCCTGTTTAATGCGGCGAGTCTTACCCTGCGCGAATGATGCCTTCCTCGCGGCCCTTCGCATCGAGAGGCTGGCGCAGGCGGTCGATAGCATCGTTGACCTTGTCGATATTGGTATTTGTGATCTGAAGAGACTGTGTATTGCTGTAGATGGGGCCAATGGCCTCCTTAACTACCTGTCCACTAGTCTCCAAGCGCACCAGAGAGCCCTGGATCTTCCTCGTGAGCCCGTTGAGTTTGTCGAGGTTAGCATACAACACCTCCACCTCGGCACTCTCCTCGGCGTAGGCGGTGTTCCTGGGAGCCACCATGGTGCTTATCAGACACGCGAATCCAGACAGGCCGAGTCGCCAGGAGCCGTCATGTCTCCAAATGTGGGGTCGGGGGATGTTTGTCCGCCTGTGATAAGCTCCGAACCGGCCGGATTCACGCTAGTCCGAATCAGGAAACATCGGCCCGTCTATGACCCTGAGTCACATGATATTTCGTCATTCACCGCGGGTTTCTTATAGACGGGGCCAATGGCTGCAGGCCTTTTGCTTCCGTAGAGGGAAGCTCCCTGCATGCAAGCCGCAGCATCCTCGTCTCGCCCCGTCACAATGGGTGCCGCAAGGGTTGCCAATTTACGCTGGACGGTCCCTCCTGCAGCTCTGGCGGCCTATACTGTGGGGGACTGGGCCCAACCCAATCGACGCAAAGCGAGATCCGAGCAGGAGGCCTCTTTCACGACGGGTCTGGCCCGATATGACTCCAATCCAGAATCTCGGAGCCATTCCTCCGGTAGCAATGCTGGCCATAATTCTGAGGACCAGAGTGTCTGGTTGAAGATCTCCCAGAAGCTCGATGAGGTCAAGCATACAGTGGGGTCAACCGATCTAGGAGGCAACATCTCGAACTACATCCCCGGTTGGGCGCGTTTGCTGCCAGCAACGGCTCAGAAGCTACAACGGGAGCTTTCCCTAGCTCCCGGCTCACTGGCAGATGAAATCTGGAGAGATGCTCATGACCCAGAGCTCAATCCCGAGATTACAAGGGACGCCAGGGTCCGCGTAAGCGGTGACCTGTGCGCCGAGGAACAGGCATTTCGAAAGAAACGCCAGCAACATGCCGTGCAGGCATTATCATCATATCTCGATATTCCCGTGGAAGATATTCATCCCGACGATGTGCCGGTCATCGCCATGTGCGGATCTGGAGGTGGCCTGCGCGCCCTGGTTGCTGGTACCGGATCTTATCTCGCCGCCCAAGAAGCAGGGCTGTGGGATTGTGTTACCTACACTGCAGGTGTCAGTGGCAGCTGCTGGCTGCAGACCCTCTACCATTCCTCCATCACAGGCAGAAGCTTCCACAAGCTTGTCGACCACCTGAAGAACCGATTGGGTGTGCACATTGCCTTCCCACCTGCGGCCCTGAACCTACTCACCACTGCGCCAACCAACAAATACCTTCTCAGTGGCTTTGTAGAAAAGTTGAAAGGGGACCCTGGCGCGGACTTTGGATTGGTGGACATCTATGGACTGCTGCTTGCAGCGCGTCTGATGGTGCCTCGTGGAGAGCTGGGAGTTTCTGACAGCGATCTAAAGCTGTCAACTCAAGCTGTCAACCTTTCCGATGGAGCGCATCCCCTTCCTATCTACACTGCGGTGCGACATGAAATTCCCCTCCTCGAAGAAGAAGAAAACAATGACGGGGCCCAGAGCGATAAAAAAACGACTGAACAGTTGATGCACGATGCCAAAGCAGAAGCTTGGTTCCAGTGGTTTGAGTTCACCCCATATGAATTTTTCTGCGAGGAACTCAATGCTGGCATTCCCACTTGGGCTCTGGGACGTCACTTCGACGGAGGCCACAGTGTGCTTTCCCCTGAGAACCCCCCAATCCCTGAGCTTCGAGTCCCGGGATTGATGGGAATATGGGGTAGCGCTTTCTGCGCAACTCTGTCTCATTACTATAAAGAGATTCGACCGCTGGTTAAAGGCCTCGCCGGGTTTGCGGGAATTGATTCCCTCATCCAGGGTAAAAACCAAGACCTGGTCCGTGTGCATCCCATTGACCCTGGTGCTATTCCCAACTTCGTGGCTGGAATGAAAGATCAACTTCCTGCCTCCTGCCCAGAGTCCATTTTTCAGAGCAGTCATTTGAATCTGATGGACGCTGGTATGAGCAACAACCTCCCTATTTATCCTTTGATCCGACCAGGACGAGATATCGACGTCATTGTCGCATTTGATGCCTCTGCCGACATTAAGCAGGAGAACTGGCTTTCCGTCGTGGATGGTTACGCTCGGCAACGAGGAATCAAGGGCTGGCCAGTCGGCGCGGGATGGCCCAGGGAAGTCGAGAGCCTGGAAGACGCAAAAAAAGCACTTCGCGAACCGCAAAACATGACGCACGAGAAGGCGAACAAAAAGATCGCCGACGCTCAAAGTCACCAAGATCAATCCTCGGAGAACGACACAGATCTGGGCTATTGCAACGTCTGGGTTGGCACGTTGGAGGAGCGCATCTCCGAAAAGGAACCCCCACCTTCCAAGCGCCTCTTCTACCCCGAACACATCGAGGACCAATCCGAGTCGGAATTCCACCTCATGCGGCCAGACGCCGGAATCGCCGTGATCTACTTCCCTCTGATCCCCAACCCCGAGGCCCCAGACCTCCCTCCCGCCCCGGAGGTTCGCCCCCGCGCGGCCGTCCACTCTATGAATAGAGATTATTCGCAAACCAAGGACCCCGAACAACCTCTCGCTCCGCACGCGAACTCCATCGATCCTGAGAAGGACGACTTCCTGTCCACTTGGAACTTCATCTACACCCCCGAACAGATCGATTCCGTCGTGGGCCTGGCCAAGGCGAACTTTAACAAGGGCCATAAACAGACTCGTCGCGTTGTGCGTGCTGTTTATGAGCGGAAGAAGTCTGATCGTCTGCGCCGGGAAGATGAAGAGTCTCGCAAGCGTATGGAGGGATTTGTGCCTCTGTAGATTTCACCCCGGGTACATAAACGGAGTTTCCCACCCTTAGACTGGCGTTGAATTGTGCTTTTGTATTTTTCAGCCTTGATGTGTTCAATATGGTGGATTTATCGAGAGATGTCATAGTTCTAGACTCTACACCGGTGCCTCGAGCCTTGTCCTATTGTGTTATGATTTTATATCCGAGTCCCTTGTGTATAGTACATATATGTCCAGGTGTTACCCCTGGAATATAGCAGCAATGAGAGATTCGCAATTAATACAAGTGTATATATACTCCAATGTTATGTTGACCCTTTGCTTCCATCCTAACCAGGGCTACTTGCCTTATTTCCAGTCCCGTCGTTCACGAAGTGGGATTTCACCCCCTCCAAATCACCATTTCCCTCCTTTGGCGCCTTTCCCTCATCGTCGGTCGTCGATTGAATAGAGCGTGCGTCATCCTCGCTCCCTGCCAAGCTCACATCTTTGCTTTCATCAGTCTGCTTTCGCAGTCCCAATGACTTCTCAACCTCGTGTAATGAGCCTGCGCCAACAGCCAATAACTTGCTTCCTGACGATGTGTGTTTGATTGCATGCTTGTCCTTGGCTGGTTTGTTCTCTTTCTCTTTCTCTGGCTCGCTATTTTGCGCGTCTCGATCCTCCTTCTTTGCATCTTCCGGTCCGCGCCAGTCCGCAGGGGCACTTTCAGGAATGGGCTCGCCCGGTTTGGGTTCACTGATTGGTTTGCCGGCTGTGGTTTCGTCTCCCTTCTGGTTCTGCTGAGAATCAGATGGCGACGATGGGTACCGCCACACGACCTTGAGCCGCTCGAATGCGCGTATACCCTTCCTCGCACTGCCTTTGATTCCGTCCATTCCATCCCATTCGATCGCGAAGATGCCAGAGTCATAATCTTGGCCCCCTTCGAAGTAGGCGTTGAACCAAACGTGAGCGACGGAGGTCACCATTGCTAACCCCGTGTATGAGCCTTTGCTGCGTCGTTCAAAGTCGATGTTCACATCTGATCCCGGCACGATGATGGGTTTGCTGGGGCGGAATATCACGGCGGACAGGGTGTTGCGGGTTGAGGAGATAGTTGCTGGATGCGTGAGATCGGATGTTGATGCGGCCGGGGTTGTCGAGTCTTCCGATTGTGCGGGCGACCAGGTTGCGGAGGATTGCACAGGTTGTTTATCCAGCTTCTCTTTGCTGCTGCTGCCCTCTTTTCTAGAGGATGGATTCTCTTCCGCAACGACAGTTCGCTCGCTGCGATGAAACAGATGGATCCCCTTGATCTTCTTTCCCTCATTTGCAAACCCTTCCACTGCAACCTTGACTCCGTCCTTCAGTCCCCAAATATGCACCTCGAGGATTTCAACCGGTCGCTCCACATATTCCTTGCCCATTTCGTTCGTCCATCGATCGATATACCCGACGTACCGCATCTGACTGGGAATGCTTACACCATTTCCAAAGCCCACGCGCATCCGACGCTCCGTAAATCTTTGCAATGCCTCTTCCTTTTTCCATCCCTCTTGACTAATCAGGTATCCCGTCGCCACCGTCCCACTGCGGCCTTTGCCAGCTTTGCAGTGCACGACAGCGACCCGCTTGCCGGGCTCATCTCCTTCTTTTTGTTCCAGCCGCTGTAACCAGTTCCGCATGCTCCCCATTATATTGGGGATCAGTGCAAATGGCGGCGGGTGGTGGTCCGGCCAAGGGAAATGGTGGATTCGGTCATAGACCTCCGAGTCTGGGTATCCAGTACCTTCGGCGCGAAATTCCCAGATGCACCAGTTTGAGCCATGCTTGGAGTCGAGGAACTGGACGAGTGAGTCGAGCGGGTTGCGATATGCGCGCTGGGGATAGGTTCCAGAGGGGCCTGATGTTGCGATGACTGCACGGTGGTCAGATTGCGGGTCTACAAAGGGTTGGAAAGGGGAATGTATACTGTTGTCGGTCACGTAGCAGAGGTCAAGTCCCGCTTCGGGATGCTGCAGTCTGGGGCCAGCGACGATCTGGCGGAGAATTGAAGACTGCGGAGCAAGGGTCCAAGGGTCAGCGGGGGACCAGCCACGGGGGCTGGGGAAGGAGGTACCATTCTGTCGCGAGGGGTTGTAGCTCGTGGGATAAGGAGTTCAGGACATGGATGCTCAAGTATAGGGTTGGTTGGAATCTTGTAGCTCCATGATGCGTTGGGCCTGGGAATGTAGCCGACCAGTTTTAACTTGTTTATCGCAACCGCGATTGAGGCGCAGCCGATGATGTCATCATCACACCTTAAGTCAACAGCGCAAGGTACGAGGAAGTTAAAAGTATAGAAAGTCAAAAAGTATAGAGAATCTGACGATTTCAGTGATATTGTACAGACAATGTATTCCTATGTGCAAGAATTATCGTGGATGCCCCAATGGCCTCAAAGGAGTGAAAGAGGGGTGACCAAATAATCCCCCAAACGCCGGTCATTAAAGGAGGGACATGCGGGCTCTCGTCGCAGGGTCATCAGGGAATTAAAAACGCCAGTACCAAGAGAAGTCATCCAGTACTCCAAAGACATTATGTTACAAGAAAAGAAGAATGAAACAAAAAGTCCCGAGGCGGGGCGCTTAGGCAACACCGTATAGGGAGGCGGGCACGATCGTGAAGGACTCGGCCGTCTCGGTGACATTGGCGCTACCCGACTGCCAGTACTCCTGGAGACTGTTATACTCGGGCTCAGGGATAGACCAGCGGTGCTGGACAGTGACAGTCCAGTTGGGGGTGCCCGCGGGCTGGACCATTGCAGTGATGTTCTTCAGGTCGCAAACGGTGGCATTGGGTGTGGTTCCTTCGCAGTGGGTGCTGAATGCCGGTGTGTTCTCGGTCTGCGCTCCGGTGATGTTGAATCGGTAGATACAGCCGCCAGGCGAGCAGTCAATGCCCCAGGCGGTTGCCTTCCAGTTGGCAGGCTTCTCCAGGGGAGCCCCGTTGACGAGGCCCAGGGCGGAGAGGGCGAGAGGAAGGAAAGTGGTGAGTTGCATTGTGGTTGGAATGAAATTGTGGAATTGTTGTATGACTGTGCAATCAATGGCAAGGTGGTGGGAGAAGAAAGAGAGCCGACGGTTATATAGTCGGGAGGGGGTCAAGGCAGGGCGGCGTAGGGCGCAGGGCTCAACGGATGACGACTTGGCGCGCGAATCCAGCGGAACCCGCTCCACTTTGCCCATCTTTTGTCCCCTCGCCGATCCACCTTTTTCAGGGGTTTTCTGGTTACGCTAATATCCAGGCTATGCGAATCGACCGTTGTGAGTACAATTTTGACCAAAGCACTGGCGGTTTAACGCTCCTATCAAGTCACACTGTCTGAGCGGTCGAATCGACTTGTTCCCTAGTCGCGTTTCAGAGTCACCGATCTTTTCTTGGTTGGTGGGGAATCGATCACATCACCGTGGTTCCGAGTGGATGAATTAAACCCGTGGGTGAGGAAAACCGGGACAAGCTGAACAAGCAGGACAACCGCGAGAATCAGGAGAACCACGATGGAGATCACCTGAATCGGCCAAAAATTTTGTACATTGAGATTATGATACTGTACACTATGGTATACTCAAATACGCGTCGCGACCATTCGTTGAGCACAAAGCAGGAACCCGGTTATCGTCCACGGATACCCGATGGTGATACTGCGCGGCCCTGCAGGCTCTCTGCATGTGAAACACGCCGATGGGGCTCCCAGGGGTTTATTCGCCCGACTTGGTCGGGTCTGTGAAGTCATCCTCCCAAGTCCCCTCCGTTTCCTGCTGTTGGAGACTTTCTTCGTAACGTTCCAAAGCCGCTCGTCCTCTCTTTCTTCGCCGTCGCTCCCTGTTGTATGCCACTCGCGCTTTGTACACGAGCTTGGTACGCCCAAAGCCGCGAGGCTCCTTCTCAGCCTCAGTCGTAGCGTCCCCACCGGGCTTTCCGTCCGTGGTGGCGACTTGTTCTTCCAGGATCTTGGGATGGTATTGCAATCGCATCGCGTACTCATCCACCGACTGGGCACACAGTTTTCGAATCTGTTTCTGTGTTCCGGGGGTGACGGATCCCTCCCGCTTGATCAGGTCTTGGAAGTACATGTTCGCGGAGAGGTAGTTGCCCGCATCCAGGCACATCAGGACAATGCTCTCGAAAGTGTTGGCATTGGGAATGACGTTGAGCGAGGCCATTTCCTTCACCAGGAACATCCCTGCGGTTCGGTTCCCTGCCGATCGGCACATCCAGATCAAGGTGTTGTACACCTCGACATCTGCCCCGTCGGGACACAACGTATAGAGCTCTTTGTAGAACCCAATGGCGTCCTCCACAACGGAGGGATCATTACGGGCATAATGCCGGCATAGTTTGGCAATAATATGGACACTTGCCAGGGGAATGTCGCGCTTGGCATTCTTCAGACGCTTGAGCATCTGCCAGGCTTCGCGGTGGTCCGTTTTATGTCGGATCATATAGGCCAAAATCGGCTCCGTTTCAGTCTCTTCGGGGATCATTCCCTCCTGGTACATCGAGCAGAGTACGTCGAACGCAGTGGCCAAATCGCCCGCACCCAGGTTAGCCTTAGCAAGCGAAGCATAATTCTCGTGACGGGGAGAAAGCTTTTCGCTGCTAGCGATGTACCGGAACACGGATTTCGCTTGCTCGGCATCCCCGGCGAGCGCAGCCAGCTCTAGCACACGACTGCAAACCTTTGATTGAGGATGCAGATAGCCGAGGTCCACCGTACGCTGCCACACGTAGCGAGTCAGCGCATAGTGATCAGCCATGCTTGCTTGGTTCAACACGTGCCTCCAAAGTGTAGGCGTGATGTCATGGCCCTGCTCAATCCGAGATCGCATCAGGCGATATACCTCGTCAAACTCTCGGACCTCGCAGAGGTGGTAGATTAACGAGCTGTGCAGCCAATTCTCAATCGGGATTTCTTTCCGCTCCATCAATGCAACCTGATCAAGCGCCATCTCGAACTGGTGCTCACGAAGGAGACCCACCACCACAAAGTGCCATCCAGCAGGGCTCAGAGTTAGCCACCGGTCTCGAAGCTTTTGAAGGACTTCCTGGCGGATTAAATAGTCCGGGTGCACAGCAAGGGCCTGTGTGGTGAAAAGTCGGTCGTTAGCAAAGTTATGCCACGAAATAGTTGCCATTCACCACCAACAACGTACCTGCAAAGCGGCGTGGAGGGTGCCCGAGTCCGCAGCAATATTATTGTCCTCCATCTCCTGCAAAAGTCTGCGTACAGCAGACGGTTTCCCACACGAGGCATCGGCATTGGCTAGTATCAGTGCCTTGTAATGGCGAGCTCTGGGTTCGACGTGACGATTCCGAATCAACTCTCGCAACACCCGTGCCGTTGTGAAGAAACCGGCTGATTTGTCGCTCTGCAAGAGAGTCTCCAGCTCGGATTCTGATTTGCTCTCCAAACCCATATACGCTTTCGGTACCGGCAGGTGGGATGTCGTCGTGCTGGTATTCCACCGATTGCTGGGGTATTCGTTGGATGGTGATCGAGGGTCCGAGTCCGGAGGAGGAGCCTGCTGTAAATTTTCTGATACCGGAGTGTCCACAAAGATGTCAAGGTGCTCAACTGGTCTTCTTGCATCACTGCTGTAGTCTCGTCGCGACGTCGGCGTCGCAAAGCGAACGGTTGGCCGCGAACATTGCTTGGAACATGTCCTCGGCTTTAATAAAGGTGCTTGGCGATTGAGCGCCAGTTGTGTGAATGACGGACATAATGAATACCACAGTCCATCAAGGACCAATGCCCGCCGTGACATAGCGTGTTGTTTGACTTCTTGACGGAGCTCTACGCCCCAGAAATTCCGTCGACTCGCGCCATCACGTGACCAATATCACGGTTTCTCCGGTCTTTGATCAGGAATTGATGTCTACAAGAAAAGAATATTCCGGGATTTGAATGTGTAGTATTCGTAGATCGCCGTTCGACCCAGTGACCCAGTTCCCACTGAAAAATACAGAGCCAGATACGCCACGGCCATGCTCGACCAAATCGTCCAACTGGACCCCCCGAGCGACCTCACCCACGACGTCTCTTCCAGGGTATCTCGTTTATCACACCTTTCCAGTCATGCAATGCGTGTCTGTCATTCATACACCGCCACCACCGCCGCCGCCGCCAGGACCACCCCGGCCCCGGCCCCGGCCCCGACCACGTCCACCACGACCACCGCCGCGGCCTCGGTCACGCCCGCCGTCTCTGTGGCCACCGCGTCGGCCTTGTGGTTGGTTTGCTTGCTGCTCCTTAACGATTTCAATGATCTCTTCGGGGACTCGGAGGTATTTGATCTAGTGGGGTGGTTAGCACGTTGAACGTAGTCTTGCGCGAGCGCATCTAGGGTTCGTACGTTGTTGCCGCGAATGTAGACTTCGGGCAGGCGGAAGAACTTATCGCCCTCGGGGCTTGTCTGCACAACCTCGCGCAGAATCAGGTTCATCCAGTTGTCGCAGGTCACAAGGTGACCGTTCAGGGTCTCGCCGTTCTTGAGCTCCACCAGCATCGGGTGACCCTGCGCGGCCGTAAGAAGGCCGAGGGGCAACTGGAAGGCAGGTTAGCGCTTGGTCTTGGTGATTTTGAAGGTGATTGTGGCGCTTACCATGGTGCGGTGCGGTTGATAAGAGGTAGGTGTCGCGGAAGTGGGAGTGTGCGAGGGATAATCCGTGCGGGCAGAACCCAATCCCTCAATTTGCGAAGGAGGCGATGAAGGGTTGAGTGGAATACAAGGCCAACGTGAGGGCCGTGGGGTTATTTGAAGGGCGTTGGGGGTAACAATGGGTGCGATTGAGCTCCGCATCCGCTGTGACGGAGCCTGAAGCCGGAAAAAATGATGTGCCGAGATGCGGCAAAGCTCTGGACTCGTTGACAGCTCCCCACGTACATACTCCTCATTTTCCGAGCGAAAGCTAGTAATTTACTGATATTTAACTTCTTGGATGAGACGAAATATTATTTTCTGATATAACTTGCCCGGATTCAATTGAGGGGTGAGACCGAACCCTTGCAATAGATTACTTAGTAGAGCAGCAAGCACATGCGCAGAAATCAAGCGCACGCCTAGACCTTCGGGCGCTTGGCTGCCTCAGCTCCATTTTCTTCCTCATCCTCATCGTCCTCGATGGTAAGCTTGCGCTTTTCGCGACGACTCGAAGTCGAGGGAGCCTCATCCTCCGGCTCGGGCAGACGGCCCTCAAGCGCCCCCAGTGTAATCTCGTAGCCCTCTTCCACGTTCTGAACAGTATCATCCAGTTTCTCCACCCGATCCATTAGTTCCAGTTCATTCAGTAATTCCTTGTGCTTCTTATACAGTCGTTGCTTGGTGAGCATGCGCCACCAGTAGTATCGTCGGTCATTCTCGTCCTCTGCTTTATACTTCTTGATCAATAGCCGTGCGAGGTTTGTACCTCCCGCCTGACGGTGGCTCTTGGGAATGGTGCCCAGGAGGTACATCTCCAAGATGTGGGCGAACTGCGTGGCCTCGATCTTGAAAGAGGTGCGAATGTCGAAAAGAAGCTTGGTGGGAATCAAAGCACCAGTAGGAACGGAACGGGGCCGCCTTTTCTGAGAATAGGCTCCAAGGGGGTCGGGATTGAGGCCCACGTTGTGTTTGAGGAACTCGGGGCGCAGGAGACAGTAATCGGCTGTGTCTCGAAGAGCATCGAAGCTCTCATTAGGGTCTTCGACCGTCAGCTCCACAATGGTCGGGTCGGCGATGCATGAGGCATGGATTGTTGTATAGAGGTGAGTGCCGTGGCCCGAGCGGTGATGTGAGGGAAGGATAAGGAACTGTGCGATGCGAAGGCGTGACGGGAGCTCAGAAACCTTGACCTCGGGAGGCGGGAACGCATCGTCTTTAACGGCAGGCGTCTCGGTGCGATCCCTCTGGTACATCCAGTACCGGTAGGCTGTGGCGTATCCAACGATTGAATAGGACGATGCAGTCGGGGTCGGAGGTTCCACCTTCTCGTATCTGTGAATTATCAGCACTGAAATAAGCCAGATGGGATTTCGGCCAGGGCTTACACGAAGAAGACGGTCCACCGCTCAAGAGACCATTCAGGATCATCTGTCGCTATGGGAGTTCCAGCTTCGATGAAGAGGGAAACAAGGACCTGCATACGGTCCAGCAGAAGGCGCACTTTCGGATCCGCAAGCGATCCAGCCCAGATCTCATATTTTCTTCCTTCGACTTCGTAGTCAAAAACCAGCTTGCCCGGTGGCATAAATTCCTTGGCACTGGGGTCGTCCTGGACAGCTTTTTCGTAATCGGCAAGGTTGACGAATGCCTCTATAAAGTCCAGCAATTAGCTCGTATCCTGCGCTGCGCTGAATGGCAAATACACACCTTGTGGAACGAAATCCTTCAGGGCACCGAGAAGATCCACCGCAGCAGTGTCATCGACCGCCTTGAATCGATCCTCGTAAGAAATGTGGACATGGGGGCGGAGATCGTGGGCGGCGAAGCGCAATCGGATGATCAGGTCCTTGTATCCAAATATTTGCTCATCATCACCAAAGATGGGATAAGTGAATTGAGGGTGGAAGGTTGACAGCGTTTTCGGTTTCGCATCGCCCGGCTGCACGACCGTGATGTGGAGCGCATCGTTGGCGTCGCACGACCCTGGGAAGTAATTAGTAATGATCTCGTCAAACGGGGCAGTAGAATTGCCTCACAGCCGTCTTCACTCGCCATGCTGGGTGTGTCTGGGCAGGTCTGGAGTGAGTGCAAGGAAGAGCAAGGATGGACAAGAACCGGCGCGCGTCTGACCGCGTCGGAGCTCAGTATTACTTAATCGGGATTAGCGGCCCTTTCCACTGTATGAGGATAGCTTATCTGCAGGTCGTGGGATCCGATTGTAAAGCAATTGTTCCTTGCTTTGTTCTTCATTGTGCTATTTACTATCTATATTAGCTTTTCAATATTTGCCGCAGCTTTGCTTCTCGAGCCTGCTTCAATCTCGGTATCAACTCCAGCGCTCGCCGGATCCCCATCGTGCTTCCGATCTTCTGGAATCTTTGAACCACCCATTCGTATACTTCATCTGGAGCTCCGGCCGCACCTCCCGCAACCGCCAACGGGAACATCAACATGAATATCCCATTCAAAGGGGGCACCCGCGTCGGGTTTCCAGCCGGTAATCCGCAACCAAAGGCACCCATCTGGCTGGCAGCGCCGGCGCAGATATTAGTCGCCATCTGAGATATTGTATCCAATGCCAACTGTCGCTGCTTAAGGTCTCTGGTGGTCGTGGTTTTAAACATTGATATGTGAGACAGAATCATCTCGTTAACCATCAACCTTGTCCAAAAGTAATGGTTGAGGTCTCTTGACGGCCACACATCATCATAGACCATGTACTTTCCATTAAATGTGTTTTGGGTATCACTCGACTCATTCAACTCAAATTTCCACTTCTCTGGGAGACTTTTCACCCACTGATCTAGCTCTGTCTCGAAAGCCAGCGCTGAACGCACCGTGGTTTCTGGGTCCGGATCTGGGTCTGCTCGGATGGACGAGTGTAGCTTCATAAAACGGATCATTATGTCGACCAGACGGATGGCTGGCTGCATATCAGGGGCAAAGGTCGATTTGATATCAGGAGACCAATCAAGGAAATCCGGCAGGGTGTTTCCTTCGGCAATGAAATATTTCAAGATGGAGACATAATAATATTGCAATTGCCGACGAGGTCGGGAGGCAGTCAGGGTCCGGTTGAAGGTGGTTTGTTTGAGCAGGGCTGTAGCACCATCAAGATGCACCATCCAAGAATCAACTTGTTTGGATGCGCAACTAACCATCTAACGGGAGCCGGTTAGTTCGAACGTAGAGTGGGGGGACGGATAGATGCAGCTCGGACGCACCTCGTATAAACTTAGCATCAGGATTAGCCTAAAAGTCTGCTCCGGATTGGCCAGTTCGGGTTTCTCCACCGCCATGCGGACGATGTTAATGGCCGACACATACTTCTCCCGTGCCACCAGATGCATCGATCGGTCCCGCGTGACGTTGGACTTTGCAGCTAGGCCAACCGCGATGGCGGCATCTCGGACGGGTGGATGCAGTAGGATCATATTAAAAAAGGTAGACTTCTCCAGTTGCGGTGACGGACGCTCTAGCATCGAAATGGCCGTGACAAATCGATGACAAAAAAAGGATAATCCTTGCTCCTCCACACTGGATGACACGGGAGCTGGGATTGTTGGCATGAAAACCACAAAAGTCTTTCTTTCCGACACTACAAGACTTGATTGAGAAGAATCAGAGGACTCCGGGCTAGAAGGAGGCTTTTCGGGATGCAACAGCCTGCGCCGGGCCTCCGATCTAGATTTCGCGGCTGCAGACCGTCGGGCCGTTTTGTCATTCTCGTCACGGAACATGAGAGACGGGACATCGCGATAGCCACCGCATGGTTTCCCCGCTCTCTTGCATTGCGAGCAGACCGGCTCACTGCGGTCACACTAACAACCAGTGTTAGAGACGATCTCCGGGGATTTAGCCCAGCTTACTTGCCTTGATCCGCCTCTCGCGGCAACTCTGGCAGTTTTTACTTGGTCGACCGTAAAAGGGCATAATTGCTTTGACGCAATGCACTCGTGTCGCTTGACATTAACGAGAGACAAAAGGGGTAAAAGAATCGTGGCGGCGTCAGTAAGAAGTAGACGAGGCTCGTGGCGCGACGCCAATCCGTGTCGAGGTCTACCGTGGACCAACGCTTCATCCGATTGGCACCACCCCACCCCGCGGTCGCGTGTCTCCGCATTTCCTAATCGGGTCTTCGTTTCGTGTATTTTAGAGGATGGTATCTGCGGGTCGATAAGCTCAGTCTCGTCAACTCGTGTCGAATTTCGTGATTGTGGCTTAGCATTTTGGAAAGATCCCGGGCCTACGCTTTATAGTTAGGTGCCTACGGGGAAAAAACTACTCAGCGGCATAAATCGCTTAGCGGATTCGTGATTTCATGGTCGACAACGAATTCTTACTCCTTTTAAGGGAGTCCTTGGCTTTAAGAAATGACGACTCCGCCCCCCCGGAGCACGTAAGTCAGTTTATCAGTCGCCGATCATCAGCTATATAGTCACGACCGAACCCGAAGTCCGAAGAGGGGATCCACGGGTCTCTTTGACTTGACACATCTGATCTGTGTTGCAAAACTGAGTGACGATGGCAATGGAGACTAGAGCCACGAGAAAATCCCTCTACCGCTACGATCCCTCGATAGCAGTGGCCATTGTCGCTGCTGTTCTTTACGGCATCGCTTTTATTTTAACTTTCATCCGATGGATCCGATACAAGTCGTGGGTGTGGGTGGTTATGGTCGTGGCTTCTGCAAGTATGTATACAATACCCTTAACGATAAGGTACTCCGCCTTCTTCCCTTCATGCTAACACAGCATCCAGTGGAGGCAGTTGGCTACATCGGCCGATGCGTTTCCATTCAGGATCTGACAGATAGGCCCGTCTACATCCTCCAGTTCTCTCTCGTCATCCTGGCCCCAGTCCTTATGGCAGCCTGCTGCTATATTGTATTCAGCCGCATCCTATTTCTGATTGTTCCCCGCGAGGAACGCACTTTTCGACTCTGCTGGGTGCCTCCGCGATGGATTACTCCGCTGTTTGTTGGATTTGACGTTATTGCACTCTTTCTCCAACTGGTTGGAGCTGTGATTATCTCTTCCGTCAATATCGATGATGCGGATGCGGAGAGTAAGCTCAATCGGGGCAAACACATTGCCCAGGCGGGTGTCGTTATTCAACTGTCGGCGTTTGGTCTTTTCTCGGTGGCTGCCGTTCGCTTCAACTTTACCTCCAAGCGGTTCTCAAAAAACATTCATGAGCGCTATGAAAGCTTTGGAGAGAAAGATTATGTGATTGATGGGGTTTTGAAGAACAAGCATTGGCCGGCCTTGTTGCGGGTTGTGAATCTCACCACCATCTTGATTTTGGTGAGTGACCTCCCATCTGATCTGATCTATCCTTGGTAGGCTAACGGAGTAACAGATCCGATCAATCTATCGTCTTGTCGAGTTCACTGAGGGTGTGACAGGATACGTTAATACTCACGAGTGGACGCTGTACGTCTTTGATGCTTTGGTGATTTACCCCTGCGTCGCCCTTTTCATCTATTGGCACCCAGGGAGGTATTTGCCTTATTTGGGATTCCGGCTTCCTAAGCACGCGCGCTAGAGTATTATAACTATGTATCAGGGAATGATTGTTGCAAGAAGCGATCCCAGTTCCTATATTTCATAAAATAGTTCATGACTTAATAGATTCTCATCGGGTACATTCCACGCAAGCTCACGCAAATAATCAATCACGCCCGACTATACCCATATTTTCCCCAGTCACGGATCACCTTCTTTTGTACATCAACCGGATATGAGCCTTGGAAAGAGCCTGCCTTCCACGGAAGATGCTCATCCACAAATTCACAGGGGAGCATACAACATCTAACAACCTTCTTGTGGTGGCGCTCTGGCTTGGTACCGTAGCCCACATAGGGAATCAAAGTCATGTTCCCATACTCATCGAAGAGAAATTCGTTTGTGCCTGGCTGGCAGCGTGTAGCTTCGGCCCAGATGACATCTCGAAGATTTGTAGGATCAATATCATCTCCAACGAGGTATAACTTCGGAATATACCATCCAGGTTTCGAGCCAAACACCACATGGCCCAATTTTGTGCTGAAGTCTGCAATGTTTGTTTCTAATGCTCGCATCTTCTGGCGATCCGCCTGAACAACCCACCACAGTCCGTGAGACTCAAATGGGCACCAAGCCATCTTGATGGGAAGCTCGGCCGCTTGACAAATGTTGAGAACCTCGGCGGCTACCATCACTCCCCAGAGTGTGTGGTTCTCTTCCGTAGCCCGTCCTGCAACACAGATCGGCAAGATAGGATTCTCACGGTGAGTAATGGCATTCACTTTAAAAAGCGGACACTGCCTCGACTGTCCAGGAAAAACAAGGCCATGGTATTCAGACATTGGCCCCTCCGGTGCGGTTTCAGAGGTAGACACCACGCCCTCTAGCACGATTTCCGCATTCGCCGGGACCCGGAGCTCATTCGTATCGCATTTCACCACTTCAACGGGACTTCCAGTTAGGGAACCAATAAAGGCAGATTCGTCAGTCCATTGTGGAATCGGCATGCCTCCCACCATGATTGCGGCGGGGGGCACACCAAAACATAATGCCCATGGCATGTCCTCGCCTCTCTCTTTCCACATCTGCCATATAACCCCGATGTCCTGCTTGGGGATGATGGGCCCGACGAGTGTCCTTTTATCATGCACCATGGCTCGAGTAATCGACCAGTTCGTCCATCGTCCATCTGGCGTCTGGACTATATGCATGCCAAAGGTTTCGAGATATTTTCCTCCATCATCTTCATGCAGCAGAGGCACCGGAAGCGCAGTCAAGTCAATCTCGTCTCCAAAGATTCTGTGTTCCTTGATCGGGCCTGAGAGGACCTCTTTAGGAGGAATCGGCGGGCTTTTCTTGGCCGCGTTGATCCTCTCTATGATGTCCCAGCCTGTTGCTGTTGACGGCAACCCAAGAGATTTTGCGATACGGCCAAGTCTCTGTCCGGGAACTGGACTCAACCCGACTGGCGCTCCTAGTACACGGAATAGGCCATTTTCCTTTCGACCATTGATGTTCTCGAACAAAGGTGCCTTTTCTTCGGACTCATAGACCCTGCGAACGATTGCAGCGAGTTCCAGGTGAGGGTCGACCTCTTCGGTGATCGTCAGAAGATCGTCCTCGTCTTGAAGCTCTTTGATGTACTGCCGAAAGTCTGCGGCAGCCGCGCGGTGATCTCGGGAGGTAGCCATGGAAATGATTTGGAGGAAGATAACAGGAAACGAGGTTCAAACACCACTATTGAGTGCAAACCCAGCTGAATACGGAAGCAGATACGCATAATTCTGATCTAATTTATAGAGAACTGTCCGCATATACTCTTGTTCCCCAATTTGGGGCCCCAAACCCACATCATGTGCTGTCCTTCCCGAGGGGTACTGTGGGGCGAAATGGACTAATAAACAATGCTCGTTTGAGTACAATGTAATGTCTTGCATATTTCTTCTCAAATTTAGTCCCGGGGTCGTGCATCCGACACATGTGTAGACTGAAGAAGATCGAATGCTCCAAATTGGAGCCGAAGGGTATTTGTCTTTTGGGGATTCACGTAGTCGCGTCGCTCCAGCTTTGGTACTGCCTCTACATCCTTTCTTAGAGTGGCATCTTTCTGCTTGTTTTTCAGTGCAATTTTGATCCTATCAGACTCTTCAGATCCTTTCTTATCATGGAAATTTTTACATCCCGGCCTGATCCCTCCTCAACCGCCGAGAAGAACGGCATCCAAACACGACGCCGTAAATTGGTAGTCGCCATGACAGGAGCGACAGGCTCTATCCTCGGAATTAAAATGCTCATCGCCCTCCGCCGACTCAATGTGGAGACTCACCTCATCATCAGCAAATGGGCCGAAGCAACGGTCAAATACGAAACAGACTATACAATTTCCAACATACGTGCTTTGGCAGACCACGTCTACAACATCCACGACATGGCAGCGCCTATATCAAGCGGATCATTCCGCATAGACGGCATGATCGTCGTCCCCTGCAGTGTGAAAACAATGGCTTCGATCAACTCTGGTATCTGTGACGACTTGATTTCCCGTGCCGCGGACGTCATGCTCAAGGAGCGTCGCAGGCTAGTGCTTGCTGTCAGGGAGACGCCGTTGAGTAATATTCATCTCCAGAATATGCTTTCTGTGTCTCAAGCGGGTGCTATTATATTTCCACCCGTGCCGGCGTTTTATATTAAGCCTTCGTCAGTGGATGATTTGGTGGATCACAGTGTGGGCAGGATGCTGGATTTGTTTGATTTGGACACCGCTGAGTTTGAGAGGTGGGAAGGGTGGAAGAAGCAGTAGTTAGTTGGTAGATAGATCTACAATGATACTATAACATGGATTCCTTTGTGAAACCGCCCATAACAATTTTTGGGCCACGAGCATGTGGTTTTGCAGGGAATGTCAAGTCTAGCCGCAAGGATAGGCTCGTCCTGTAAGGCCAGGTCGCCCCGTCCGCCTTGTGGATCATTGAACCTAGATAGGGTTGGACAACAGATTCTAGAACCACCCAAAACTCTTGTATGACTGAGATGGTGAGCCCTCGTCCGGTCGATAGAAAATGTCATTCTAAGTGGAGGCATGTTTTGATCCAAAATTAGGGCGGTACCTGAGGACGCGTGGGTCCCGAACCTCGACGTTGCGCCACCTCTGCCCTCCTCTTCCCCGAGACCCAAACCCTCCCCTTCCCTCATCCCTCAACCCTGACATCAGCACTCCTTCGGGGGATTCCGCTCCAAGCTTCCCTCAATTTCTCTGGGTTTGCGCCATGATCGACATCCTGTAAAACCCGGCACACGTGCGAAACTCTTGCGACAAGAGGCCACCATGGAGGGACTCTTCACTTTGCTCGCCCTGTGCATTGTGATGGCCATTACGTGAGATCCTGCCCTGAAGTTAAATGATACGACAGCATGAAGAACTGACGCTCTGTGCTCTACAGATCCTTCGTCGTTGGCTCATTACCGCTCGCTTTTACCCTCTCCCCTTCCCAGCTCCGGTTAATATCCTCGATTGGCATGGGAGTTCTGGTGGGCACATCTCTAATCGTTATTATACCCGAGGGAATTGAGACCCTCTACAGCGCGAATGCTGTCAGCAAGAAAAGTTTCAATACCCGCACGGCTGCTGTGAACTGGCAGCCCCAAGGGCTCCATGTTGGAGCCACGCCGATACTCAACGATGACAGCGATGACTTGGTATCCCCATCTGCCATTCCCGTTCCATCTCTCTCCCTCGACGGTGAAATCAATCAACCCATTGCGGCCGGAGACCGCCGATCGGACGAAACGCAATTGCTTCATGCACGGAAGGAGGAATCCTCGAGTGACAAATCGGGCGAGAAAGAAGAGGAAGAGGAGAGCTCGCCGCATGCATGGGTTGGCGTTGCCCTGATAAGCGGGTTCATCTTGATGTACCTCATCGATAAAGTCCCCGAGTTCGCCTCGCCCGCTAAGAGCGAACGAGTGCCCTATCACATTTCTCTCGATAACCTTGGATCGGGGCTCCGGCGGGGCTCTTCTCCAATCCGTGACGGAGGGATTTTGGACGCAGGGCATTCCAGCTCTCGACGTGTCCACAGCTTTGCAACCACAACGGGCCTGGTGATCCATGCCGCGGCCGACGGTATTGCATTGGGGGCTTCCACCTCGGACACCGGCTTGAGCTTTATCATTTTCCTGGCTATTATGGTGCACAAGGCACCGGCATCCTTCGGTCTTACATCGATACTGCTCAAGCAGGGGCTGTCGAGTCGTACTGCGAGGGCGCACCTTCTTATCTTCAGTCTGGCGGCCCCCGTTGGGGCGCTGGCCACTTTTCTCTTTGTTCAGATGATGGGATCTTCCGGCGCTGACGAGGCTGGCTCTCAGTGGCGGACTGGAATGCTCCTGCTCTTCTCAGGTGGTACTTTCCTGTAAGTCGTTCCTTCTTAGATTAACAGTGAAAAGTTGGCTAATTAACTACGCAGATACGTGGCGATGCATACGATGCAGGAGAATGGTCCTGGATCGGCACGGGAACTGCCCGTCGGCGGATACGGCGATTCCCGCGACTCCCAAAACGGATCGGACAAGTCGATGAGAGACTTGATCGCATCCGTCCTGGGCATGGTCCTGCCGCTGTTCCTGCAGATCGGACATGCCCACTGAGCTTGAATTTGAATTGTCTTTTTCTTCTTGGCTAGCACTAAGTACCTACCCGATATGGGCATGTCTGCTATTGCCATCTTCAGCATCTCACTTTGCAAGGGAATGGATATGGGAAGCATATACCCTTTGTTTGGCATCTGTTGTAAGCTACACTTTTTTGACGGGGCTGCTGGCTATTACGTTGAGCACCGGGTGGATAGGAGGAAAACAAATGTGTTACTAGATTTCTATTATTTCTCTTCTCGTCTGTATAACGGTGTTGGTCATCATTGCATGTTTTCCGCCTTTCTCACGATCACGTCGACGTAGCGTGACCCGGCCTCACAAGTATATAATCGGGGGAATTCGCTCGATCGCTCGCAGGCGGATTCTCGCTCATATTTCAATCACCCCAGGTGTCATGCACGTGTCGGGTGATGAAAGTTTTCGTCAGTCTCGTCAGTCTGAATCATCCTCGCCCGACGGCTCGTTCCATGGTCGACGCCTGCGTGCCGACTGCCTATCCAAGGACTCGGGCCAACTATACAGTATTAGGATATACTAGTATAAACATCCGTGCAGTTGTACACAACTAGATCAGTGCCAGGCCTCTAGTCACCTGAGATCTCGGCGTTGATATACTGTGACATTGCCTTGCAGAATTGCCTCCTGTGTCTTGGTGGCTCCGATTGCCTTTCCGCTGTCTCCGTAGCCTTTGCCGCTGTCCGTTGCCTCGTTGCCTCCAGAGTGGCCATCGGGCATCGCGAGAGACAGGAGCGAAGTGGAGACGAAATGAGGCATCGAGTGATTCCGAAGTGGAGAACGGGGGGGGAGCTTGGCGGCTTTGTCAGAGTTGAACTCGGATCACCACATCGACTCCGCCTGGAATGTCCCTTTCCCTTTCCATTCTTGATCTTTTTTTTTGGTGGCTTTCTGGGGATTCTTTGACTCGACTTGACTCTTGGGGGGAAAAAGCAAAGATATACAGAAAGAATAAGTCACAACTGTCATTCAACACCGCCAACGCAGTCCGGTCCTTTCCCTCCCTTTCCCTCGGTCATCCGTCGCCAGCCCCCGATCCAATACTAAGACAATACTACACCACCAGCCTCGACCCTCGATATCCTCTCTATGCCTGTCGGCGACGCTCGGTGACATCGGGATCTCGCATACACCCCAGCACCGGTGAACGCGCCTATATACCCTGGCAAACGTAGGACGGGTTCCTCAGCGGCGCCAGAATGGAATCCGACCCAGCATTCAGTGACCTGGCGGACGGGCCGATGAGTTCGCAGACGATATCGGACCAACTGGATACTCACTCGCAGGCCTCAAATCGTGACTCGGTCTCCAGTTTCAACAGCACCCCCGCCCGATCCCTAAGCGCCAGCAAAAAGAATGTCACTCCGATCCCCGCGAACCTGCTACCCTCAGCTCCCGCCTCACCACCCACGCCCGCACCTAGTCCGACACCTCACCAGCGACCCCCGAACTGGGCCTCGTCGGACGAAGAAGAGAATACATTTTTGCTCAATCTCCGCATCCACTTCAGCACTCTGTCCAACGCCCGAAAACAGAAACTCCTGGAGGGCATCTTGGATGTATGCGACAGCCAACAACTCAGTTTTGTCTCGAGCTATGTTGGCCCGCGATTAAGAAAGGACCCCTTTCAAGTCTTTCCGAATGAACTTTGCTTGAGAGTAAGTCCTACGATTCGATCTCTGTTATGCGGGGGTCCGGACAGGTCGCTAACGAAATTCTCGCCAGGTTCTATCTTTCATCGACGATCCGAAAACACTCGCACGAGCTTCGCAGGTCTCAATACGCTGGCGCGAACTCCTCAACGACGACATCACTTGGAAGAACCTATGCGAGAAACACGCTTACTCCATGCGCCGGCATTCGCAGGACGATGGTCTCGAACCGTTCACCGCCAAATCCGGAGAGTCGAAATCCGAGTCCAGCTCGTCCAGCAACCTTCAACGGCGTTTGACGGTGTCTAACGGGCAGTCGGTCGAGACCACCCCCGAGCTTCCCCGCGCTTTGTCGGATGACTGGCTCCCACCCACCAACTTCCCCTCTCGCAGACTCCGAACCCGACCTGTCTCCTATCGATCACACTTCAAGCAGAAATACATGGTTGAGTCGGCTTGGAATAAAGGTGGCCGATGCACTCAGCGGCATATCACCCCCGACCAAGGGGTGGTCACGAGTTTGCATCTCACCTCGAAATACATTGTCGTCGCCCTGGATAATGCCAAGATTCATGTATACGACACCAACGGTGATAATCAGAAAACGCTCCAGGGGCACGTCATGGGGGTATGGGCCATGGTTCCCTGGGATGATATCTTGGTTAGCGGAGGGTGCGACCGCGAGGTGCGAGTGTGGAATATGGCTACTGGGTAAGTCTGGACTTTTATAATTCTTTTCGTCCAAGGCGACGAGAAACTGACTTCTGTTAGGGCTGGAATCCATCTGCTTCGTGGTCACACATCAACGGTCCGATGCTTGAAAATGTCCGACCGGAATACTGCCATCTCCGGGTCCAGAGACACCACACTCCGCATCTGGGACTTGTCAACGGGGACGTGCCGCAACGTCCTGGTTGGGCACCAGGCCAGTGTCCGGTGTCTGGCGATCCACGGCGATCTGGTCGTGTCAGGCAGCTATGATACGACTGCTCGGATATGGAGTATATCTCAAGGCCGCTGTCTCCGTACGCTCTCGGGCCATTTCAGTCAAATCTACGCGATTGCATTTGACGGGCGACGGATTGCCACGGGTAGTTTAGATACTAGCGTCCGAATCTGGGACCCACACTCTGGGCAGTGTCATGCCATTCTTCAAGGCCATACCTCGCTGGTTGGGCAACTGCAGATGCGCGGAGATACTCTTGTGACGGGAGGCTCCGATGGCTCTGTGCGTGTGTGGTCCCTGACAAAGATGGCGCCGATCCACCGACTGGCGGCCCATGACAACAGTGTCACCAGTCTTCAGTTCGATAACACTCGAATTGTCAGTGGTGGCAGTGATGGTCGCGTGAAAGTATGGAACCTGCAGACTGGTCAGCTGCTGCGGGAACTCTCGAGCCCGGCGGACGCTGTTTGGAGAGTTGCCTTTGAGGAAGAAAAGGCTGTCATCATGGCGAGCCGATCCGGCCGCACAGTAATGGAGGTATGTTTTGAACCTGTCCGTTACCTCTTTCGACTGCTAACAATTTGCAGGTCTGGTCATTCGCCCCGCCTCCAGAGGAGGATGACGACGTTGTTATCGAAAGTACCTCTAGCACGCCCGGCATCAGTTCCACCGACGACAGCGACTTGGCCCTCGACCCTCGCCGCCGCACTCTCTTCTCAGACCCGCCCCCGACCATCTCGGGTAGTGATGCGGACCAGCCGATGCCAGATGCGCCCTCCTGAGCCACGACTCGTTTTCACATATAGCCTGCGATCTAACGACTACGGATATCCTTTATTTTGTCTTCCAGCGCCGAGGGCTCCAAGCCCTCTCCAGCATTTGTTGATTTTATTGTTCCAGAATGAGCTACTGGCACTTTTCCCGGTCCCACATATTCTTTCTAGAGCACCAAGCGGTTGCATAGTTGGAGTTGCCCTTTCATTTCTTGTCCCGAAGAAACTGCCATCATTGTGGAGTTACAGTCGGTGAGGTGGGAGATCCTGATTCAATTGTTCTATTTATCAGCTTTGGGCTGGATCATTTCGGAGTAATTTGATGGTCCCAGATGATACCTCTTGTTCTACTCGAGACTCGATACTTAGTTGAATATTGAGCCCGCTTCACATGAATTCCCTGCAGTTTGCTGGGGGGCTGACTAAGCTCCTTTCCTGTAACTTAATAGCCGCCGTCCCAAGTGGACATCTGTCTTACTTCTGTAACTCTGTAATTCAGATAGTTCCAAGCGGTCCTGAAAGAAAAGACAGTCTCTTTGATGATGCGCATGGCGTCCGCTCGGGCCAAGCATCCGAGTTGATTTAGTTCACCCGCACCCCGTCTTGTGGAACCCCCCGGATCGTGCGAGCGGAGCCTTCACTCACCATCAGAGCCTTGTCGGAACCTCATCGGAACCCTGGAGTTTCTGGCCAGATCGAGTCTAGCAGGAGGGGGCTGAACAATGGTGTATGGAGGCAAGCCGAGTACCGGATGTTACCTTTGTCGCAAGCGGAAGATCAAGGTATGAGCCCCTTAGGCTAACCTCCCTAATAGTGGGGGTTTGTATTGTTTACATCTTCCTGCCTCATGAAACTGAACTATGGAGTACTAATCAACATCTACAGTGCGATGAAGAACGTCCTGGTTGTCGGAACTGTGCCACATACGGACGCCCATGTCCAGGCTACCGGCCCGATGCGATCTTTCGCAACGAGACCAGGAAAGTCGAGCGACTAGCAAAAAAAGACACAAATTGTTCATCCAGCTCCAGTAAAAACAACACGCCTTCATCCCAAGCTCTCATGGTCGCTGACCGGAGCCTTGATCGGTCGGCCTCTGTCCTAAACCTCCATCGCATCGCTGATTCCACATGGGAAGAGCGTGCAATCTGTTACTTCTTTGACCAGTACACCGTCCCTGGAGACAATGAAGAGGGCACGGGTCATCTCGAGTACCTGCCTCCTCTGTATGCGCGTGCCGCCGAAGTTCAAAGCACCGTCAAAGGGTCTCCCGCCGCCTGTCTGCGATGGGCAGTCGACGCCACGGCTCTCATGACGCTTGCAAATTTTTCGAATGCCCCGCCGCTTATGATTAAAGCGCGCCAGGGCTACGGCAGGGCACTACGTGGATTGCGAGATGCGCTGGCGTCGCCGGATACTGCGATCATGGATGAGACGTTTGCCTCCGTGCTGCTTCTCTCGCTCTATGAAGATATCAGCGGCGAGCGCAATGGACTGTTCAGCTCACATACGGCGGGCTTTGAGTTTCTTATGAAGTTGCGAGGCGAGGGCCAGCTGGATCACCAGCGCGGTCGTGACATGTTTAACTTTGCCTATGCACATACCGTACGTCATATCTTCCCCGTCCTTTCTTTCGGACTTGATGCTAATGATTATTGAAGTACGTTGAAATTCTCGCACTGGGAGATAAGCCGCGGCACGACATTGACTGGGTTTTAGGTTTATTGGACAGCAACGACCCAGTTGAGCGGCTGATGCTCGCAGCATCAAAGATCCGCCAACTCTTCCTGTCAATGCAAACTGCACCCAGCCCTCCAGACCTGGCCACAGTCGAAAAATGGATCGAAGCCGGTCGCAAGTCCGATCTTGAGCTGTCGCAATGGCCCCTACATCTCCCTGACCGCTGGCTGCCACTGGTCGTCTACTCGGCAAAGGGCGAAACCCTGATGGTGTACAAGACCATCGGAAACGCCGTCATCTGGAACTACTACCGTGCAGCGCGCGTCATGCTCCAGCAATGCCTCTTCAACTTGAATCGAACCTACCTCAGCATCAAAAATAAAACCCGGAAGCCTGATGATCCATCCCAGGCAATTCCCGCTCTCGACGAAGCTAGTCTGCGGGAAGTTGTCCAAGAAATGACCACGGATATCTGCCGCAGCATTCCATTCTCGCTGTCGGATGTCGATGAACTGGGTCGGCTGGCCGGCCCGATCGACGGCAAGCCCGTCCGCGCGGCCCAGGCATACGGTCTGATCTGGCCGTTGTGGTACGTCCTATCCTGCGGTATGCCGACTGAAGCGCAGTTTAACCAGATCCGCGAGGTGTTATGGAGTATCGGATCCACGCTCGGCATCAAATTGGCGTTGATACTGGCACGCGAGGCGGAACGTATGCGCAACGAGTCGTTGGCATCGGCTCCTGCCGCCGGCCCCTCGGGCCGCTAGGAGTATGTTACTTGGGGCTCTCTGAATGTTTATTTTTAATGGCCTAGACCCGGCGTCTCACCTTAAGTAAGTGGCTGGGGTCTGTAGATATCTGGTTTTTATACATACCAACCGCGGTGGAGCCGGCTTAGCCGGATATAATGACGTCATTACCTCCGGGCGTCGAGTGACCCGGGTTCACTGTTCATCGGTTCATCTGTTCATCTGTTCATAGTTCTGATATATAGGAATATAATATGGTTGGCTGGAAAGAACCATGTACCTAGATAGTACCGTGTGATTCAACTAGAAGCGTTACCATGTTGAGACCATCAATGATTGACGATCGCGGAGCTGGCTGATAAGCCCCATCGTGCCGGCCTTGCCGTTCTCGTTCATAGGTGCATAAAGCTGTGCATTGCTCTGACGCCATACTGCCTTGTTCTGTCTTCTCTTCTCGTCTCTTTTGTCTTTCTCCTACAATCTCCTCTCTCCGCGATCATGGCTCAACAAGAACGCAAGCTTCCCTTTGGGAAGATCGAGCCCAACACGGCCAAGTACTTTTATAGCTGCGGACTTGGCGGCATCATCGGTATGACCCCTCAGTCGCACAATTGACCCATGACGTGCTAACCCGCTCTTCACCTGCAGCTTGTGGTATGTAAATTCGCGCTCGGTGGACTCTCCAACAACCCAATTGACAGCTCTCAGGGCCAACTCACACCGCTGTAACACCGCTCGACCTGGTCAAGTGCCGCCGACAAGTCGACCCTAAGATCTACTCCTCTAACATCTCCGCATGGCGCTCCATTTTCGCCAAAGAGGGCTTTCGCGGCGTCATCTTCGGCTGGTCGCCCACCTTCGTGGGGTACTCGTTCCAGGGCGCCGGCAAGTACGGTCTGTATGAGTACTTCAAGTACCTGTACGGCGATCAGATGTTCCCGGAGTCCAACCGCACCCTCGTCTTCCTGGGCGCCAGTGCTTCGGCCGAGTTCTTCGCCGACATGGCCCTGTGCCCCTTGGAGGCCATCAAGGTCCGCATGCAGACCACCCTTCCGCCTTTCGCGAATAACTTACGTGAGGGTTGGAGTCGCATTGTCGCGAAGGAGGGCCTCAGTGGCCTCTACAAGGGATTGTATCCCCTGTGGGCGCGCCAGATTCCCTACACCATGACCAAATTCGCGACCTTTGAGGAGACAGTTAAGGTTATCTACAAAACCATGGGTAAGCCCAAGGAGGAGTATGGCCAGTTGGCTCAGACTGGAGTGAGTTTCCTGGGTGGTTATATCGCCGGTATCTTCTGCGCGATCGTCAGTCATCCCGCAGATGTCATGGTTAGCAAGTTGAACGCCGATCGGAAGGGTAAGTGACCCCATGGGGAAGACGGGTTGACCAGAGCTAACCTATCACTCGTAATAGCTGGTGAGGGTGCCATGACAGCTATATCCAGAATTTATGGTAACATTGGATTCTCTGGGCTTTGGAACGGTCTGCCTGTCCGTATCGTGATGCTGGGTACTTTGACCGGTTTCCAGTGGTTAATGTAAGTTGCACCCGACAACCTTGGGAAGTCAATTCGAACCGTGCTGACAAGATAATCTTCAGTTATGACTCGTTCAAGGTCTTCCTGGGCCTGCCGACAACCGGTGGACATTAGATAGAAAGGAACATAGTTACACGCATGAGATGAATCTAGGATCTTTACCGCCTTTGATATCGCCGGCAGAAACAAATCGCGTAGAAGCGTGTGACTCCTCTCCTTGCACCCCAGGTTCGGCACCTGGATACTTGTGAATCTCCACGCACTATATAATCTCGGCATTGATTTGTCAATCTACATTGTGCCTCCCTGTCGCCACCTTTGCTCTTTGCGAACCCGTCACGCCTTTAAACCCGAACACCAATCCCAACCCGCCCGAATCCACACACCTCCATTGTCTCCTCAATTCAAAGAAAGACCAGCTCGACAACCTCATCCCGAGCTCAAACACCATCCACATACCCAAAAACTTCCAATAGTGAACTCCCTCCGACCGCCACAATGGAAGCCCGCCCTTCAACCACCTCCGCAAACCCACCCAGCGTGGAAATCGCCTACAAGCGCAAATGCATCGCACTGAAGAAGCGCCTCGCTGAGGTCGAAGCCGAGAACGAGATCATGCGCACCCGCAACCGCCGCGGCTGGCAATACATCCAGAAAATGCGCCTCGAGTCCTGCATGCTTCTCGAGCGCCTTGCGAAGGTCACCGGCATGGCCGACGAAGCTCAGTCCGGCTCCGCAGACCCGGAACTTCGCGCGAGGGCCGCGGCCATGTTGTCTAATGCTTCGCTGAACGGCGTTAGCGCGCCGGGCAACGGCACATATCTGGAGGATGATACCGAGGGGAGCTCGGATGAGCAACCTCCCACTGTACGCATCCCGGCCATTCTCGTCGAGTCCGGCGTCGATATCGGAGACCCATGAATCATTCGCTAACACGGTTATCCAACAGCCCGAAGAGCGCCCTCTCCGCGTCAAGCGCTCCCGCAAATCAAACATCAACCTCGAAGGCGGCGAAGACGAGTCCGCAGCCCAAGAGAACGCCCCCGACCACGCGGACCGTGAATCCGGCTCGCTGCCCCGGCTCGCTCCCGCTCCCAGCCAGCAGGATCTGACTTCCTCGTTCCGCGTGCAGACTGGTAGCAATGGCTCTCCGCATGAGGGCGACAATACCCCTAGCCAGGATAACCGCGATGGACAACCGGAGCAGAGTCAGACGGAGGGGAATGAAGGGACGACGCCTATGGATATGGATACGAAGGAGCCGAAGGTCGAGGCGTCAGGTTGAGTTACGGAGCTGAATATGGTTGTTTGCTGTTTTTCTTGATGTGTTTCATGGGGCTTTTTGTTCATTATACAGCGTTGGATATGGATTTTCTTTTTCTTCTTGTTTTATGACCTGCTGTCGATCTGCCTTAGTTCTTATTATGCCGACGGGTCGTTCCGTTGGATGGATTTTACTCAATGGGACAATTTCGAAATACACCTTTAGGGCTTAGGTTCTTTACTCTGTAGTTAGTGATTTGGGAGGACTGTGCTCGGAGGATTGGATCTGACCCATATAGAGCCAGGTCCACTAAATTTGAGATGGTGCTGTTGTTGGAGCAAAGTATGGATTGATATTCAAAGATGTATAGACAAGAATGGGCTGTACAGTGCAAGCCGATCGCCGTAACACCGTTCCCTTATTTCGAAATGAAACCCTTACTAACGCCGATCCCAGTAGACAGCAGATTATTGGATTGATGGACCTCGCTTTGATGTACAGCGGATCGAGTGGTATGTGATAGACGGTTGACGGTAAGCTGTTGGTGAAAGGATGATGTGTCAAGCAGACTTCGGAGTAAGAGTGAGAGGGATAGTTGTGGTGTGCCACCGTTGTCTTCTCCGAGACAGGGAGGATTTTTAAGACCCCGCCAGAAACGGTGGGTCTGGTGCTTATCTCACAGTGACACGTTTGTTCCGTGCAAGGCTGTATCGAGGACTCTTGGAGCGGAGGAAATGGCTGTTCCTTGCGGGTGTTCCGCTCGATTCCGTTGAGCTCTATTGAGACGTCTAATCAACGCCGGCGTAAAGATCGACAACAATATTGATGGCGGCAACAAGAATCTCCGCTGCGATCAGGACAATGACTTAAGGTTGAGTTAGTTGGCAGGTCTCTGCACGTATATCTGCGTTACTTACCGATCCATTCAAGATATTCTCCGTGGCGGTGTGTCAATTGGTCCTTTAACACGGCAAGGAGATCTGCAATGACATCCAGTCGCTCAGTGAGCAGACCGGCTCGTTGATCCATTTCCAAGTAGCTTCGCACGGCTTGATAGACAGGCTCAAGCTGCGGCTCCGCCCAGAAAAGTTCTGGACTATCAAGAACAGACCCCTGCAAATGGATATTGATCCGTAGAATGAACAGCTCCCCGATCTGCATGTTGATTTGTCGTCGCGTGAGGTTGACACTACCCGTCTGCGCAATCTGCGCAGGCAATGGCGCAGTATCTGAGATGGTTTCAGATACGAGGTCTTCAAAAAGGGAGGTCTTGACTGATTGAGCCAGGGCATGAGAGATTGCAAGCTTGATCATGTGGTTGCGAGGGTCGCGAAGCGAGATGAAATCGTTGTATATACGAGCCTGGTATTCGCGCGCGTAGTAAAAGTTGAAATTCTCGATTTGCGTGTCGTCCGGACTCAATATCGAAGACGCAAATTTCGATATGTCGGACAAAAAGCGCGATTCTTGCGCAGGCGTCATACCCCATATGACAACGGTACCATAATCGAAAAGGAAGACCTCGGGAATATGGATGGTGGTGTCGATGTCGAAGTGTTCGTCTGATTGTGTTGCGGATACTGCATGTTCTGAAGTGACGTCGGCAGCATGCCCGGCTTCGTCTCGGAAGTCAATCAAGTCCTCCCTGCGGGACTTGGTGTTGTCTTCCACCTCCACTGCGCTGTCTGAGTATCTCCGCTCACTGGGTCGTCGCTCAATGGGCCCATTTCCTCCGGCATTCGGGAACATCCGAGCGCCTTGTTGCTTCTCTTCGTACTGGTAGTCAAACGGAGAGTAGACACATTCATCGTACAGCTTGGGATTCGCTCCGCGAGTTTTGGACCGGGACTTAAGGAACTTGATCACCCCCTCAAGTCGGTATGAATCGGAAGTGCAGTACGCTGTAACTCGAGGAATGCGATCGCGGTCTGCTTTGCCCAGTCTTGCCGCATGACTTCGTGCTGCAGGCTCCTTGATGCGGGTGATTTGTGAATAGACGTCTCGAGGGAAGTCTCCATCGTTTTCTTCCTCTTCTGCCGTGACAGGATCGGGCAGCAGCTTCAGTTTCTGAGCCTTTTTGGTGGTCCGCTGCGGTCCAATCTTGGGAGCAGTGGGCGACGCACTCGGTGGAGTGTTGAAGGGAGCGCCATGGCTGTTTCGACGACGCAGCTTGCTGTTCAAGGCCGACAGCATGGGCTGGCCATGGCGAGGATGGACACCCTGTGCATTGATATTCTGGACTGGAGGAGAGCCGGTCTGCAATGGACGAAAGGTGGGATCGGTAGCCGCCGTTCCGCCGTAGGTGCTGATTGTGGTCAACGGGTTAAACGTCACCGAACGAGGCGGGCGACCCGACCGCGGTGACGAGTTGGGTAATAAAGGAGAGTCTTCGGTGGAAACCATGAGGAACAGGCGACTCCACGGGGAGTTTGGTGGAATCGGAAGCGTTGAAGCTGCGAAAAGTCGAAGCTTCCAAGGTCGGAGCTTCGCACGTGCGCTCCACTTTAGTAATCGAACCGTGATGCCGTCATCCAACGGTGACCTTTAATTCTTTTGCGTTGTTCTGTTCTACTTCATTCCTTGTTTACGGTCTACAACTTGGAGGAATTCAATTAATCGATGTATTTTTGTTCGTCGATTGGACACATGACAGATGCTGGAGGTATATGTACAGTAGCGTAGTGCAGGGCTTAGATCATCAGCCCGTTGAAAAGAAAGGAAACAAAGAATAAGGTAATGGGCCGGATTATAAACGTGGCCAATTTACCGGCGCTTGAACCCGGAAGTACCGCCCGCTGTCCTCCGCATTCCGTTCACCTTTGCGGTACTCCGCTCTCTCTGGAGCCAATTCTGCTTCACGTTCCGACCGGACTTGGAGGCCTTAGGTGCCAATGCGGGCTTGGAATTCTGCTTCGTAGACGGCGCATCCAGTACTCGAATGGTGACGTCTCCAACCTGAACATCCTTCGGGGCCTTCTCGGTCTTCTCCAAGAATCTCAACTTGGTCGACTTCTTCGGCGCGACAAAATCCTCGGCCGGTGGTGTCGGAGGGCGAAGGACAGGCTCGGCATTCAAGATGTCATCGGGGAGCAACGCCGGGAGTGCGGCGCGTCGTTCGTCCTGTGTGATCGAGCCTTGAAGGGTGGCCGTACTTTCGGAGAGAAGGTCGTCATTCAGCGCAATTTCCTTGGGCTTCGACTTGGCTTGCAACTTTCGGCGCTCGTCCAGTTTCCTCCGCCTTTCCCTCTTCAATTGTTCCTCTCTGCGCAATAGATTAGAAAGAGTGAGTGGTGATTGAAAAAGGCAACACATACTGTTGTTTCAATTTCTCTTGTTTCTTCGCCTGTTCCTTGATCTTCAAGAGTTGCGCGGAGTTATCGACCGTCTCAGGCGCATCATCGTCGCTGTCCTCGTCCTCATCGTCGTCCTGGGGCGCCGCCGGGATTTCTACATGCTGTGTCGCCTCCGGCACGGCAGGTTCCTCGCTGTCAAATCGGAAGTGTGCTTTCGGTGCTCCAACTGATGACTTCTGCATTTTGTGACCCTTCAAAGCTGCCGAATCATCGTCGCTGCTTGCATCCGCAGCCTCCAAACTGTCTCTCTTCCTCCGTTTGCTCTGCTTATCGTCGGCCTTCTCTGTGGTGGTGGACTGAGTCTTGCGTTTTCCAGCCTTCGTGACACCATTGGTCTTGGGCTTCTCTGCCTCGGGGGCAATAACCCCTCGTCTGGTGGCGGAGACCATGTTGGAAGTGGTCGTAGCGATGTCGCCAGCAGGATCTGCGGTTGCGTCTTGAGGCTCCTCTCGCGTAAATAGACCCTTAGCAGCAGTGACCAGGTGAGAGAACATAGAGAGGAAAAAAAAAGGAAAAGAAATTCAAGGTCCAGTGCAGGAGAATTGTTGCACCCAGCTGGCGGGTGATGTACGCCAAAAAAAATCGCTCGGCCTAAGGATTTCCCGACTGCGGGCAAAGTCTTGGCACCGTCACGATCTATGAGATCTACGGAAAAAAGAAACAGTCTAACAACTGCAGAGCCAAACGAATTGGGCCCTAGGTAACCAGGAATACTGTTAATTAAATTATGGTAGGATATACCTTTATTTTTGGAGATGATAACCCAAGAAAGTAAACAGATTTACTGATCGCAAGTGCAAAAGCCCGCGGGTGGTGAGTAAATATGCATATCTGGGGCGTTATATAAATGTTAAGGTTGGGAAAACCTTGGAATCCTCAAAATACACAAGATGCAAGAATAGATGCCAAGTACATTTGAGCATCACCCTTGAATGCATTATTCTGCTACTCTTTTCTGCTATACCATGCCACTTAAGCCCCAATATATCTAAGTAAACCGCGAACAGAATCCGCCAGGCGATATTGCATAGTTTGTTACTTCCTCACATTGATTTTTCTCTGGGAATTCTAAGTCTTGCGAATAAACTGTCCTTCAGATTGATCCTCGCCCTTGTGACGACCCATGGCTCAATAGGCAGCATATGTATCTGTAAGATGGCATTGTTAGAGGCAAGTGCAAAGGGGCCATAAATCCTTTAGCTCGGCTACTGGCTGATCGTGTAACTTCTCTACAATTTGAAAGCCAGCCATATTTTACCCCACAGCCTTTATTTGCTGCAATACCCAACGAATAACCGTCAATTCTCCAATTTCGTTTGGAGAGAGAATGCGATTCTCTTGCTCGTGACGACCGTGAACGTCATGGATTTCCTATGAGTCAAGGACCAAACGAACGACATCCATGTTACCATTTTCTGCTGCCGTGAGAATAGGATGAAACTCGCGTGCATAGAGATCACCCGTGTGCTCCTGGGGAAATATCAAATCCTGTGGAATATCTTTGTCCTTTCTAACAAAAATCATAATTTGTAGACTGTGCAATTGGTATCTCAATGATGGCCCACGCCGAACACCGTAAAACCCGATGAGTTCCGCCTGCACAAAACACCATAGCAGACCAAGACATAACGCCGAAAATCGGAATGCAAACAGAGAAGCCGTAGGCAAAGAGCGCAGCTGTACAGATCAGACCCTCACATCTTGTACGGTCTCGGCCATGCGCTCACGCTCCGTGGCCTCCTCCTTGGCATTGATAAAGTCATCCTCCCCAATGTCGCTCACTTCATCCCAAAGCTTTGCGAACTCATCGGCATCGTCCCCACTGACAGTCCACATGCTTTCCCGCAGGCGTTTGTTGCGTTCGCGGTCTTCCTCGATTCGCTGCTCAATCTGTCTCTTATCCACGCGCATACCCTGGGCCTTGGGGTTCCGCGGCGTCCCCGTCTTCGACCTGGCGCTACCTTCCGGTGCCTCTTCTTGCTCAAAGTCAAGGTGTGCAGAGTGTGGTTCCCGATCTTTGAGGGCGGCATCGATCTCCGTCACGGACTCGGCTGAGAGAATCTCTTTACTCTGCAGACTACTCAGAACGCGTCGGACGTGCTTCACATTTGCTGCTCCGGTGCCATCGGGCGGCACAACTGCATCGACAACGCGGATGATGTCTCGTTGCATCATGCGAACGTAGGGGAGGTGGTCTTCTTTGGTGGCCATTTCGCAAAAGTGCTCGATGAAGGACATGATGTTCGCTCGGTTGTTCATGTTATTCTGCACAATGTCAGTACTGGGCGAAACCTTCCGATTGGGACCTGCTTACCCTCTCGAGCTGCTCCAGAATGCAGGAATGGAGGTCCTCATCGAGATCGCGGTATCTGAGGGCATAATGGGCTGCTTTTTGTGAGGATGTGACCGAGGCGCTGAGGTGCTGCAGCTGCGTTGTAAAACGCATGCGCACTTCGAACGGATCAACCATCATTTTGCCCTTTGCTTTCTTGGAAGGACATGATCCCGGTGGAACATTGGATCGGCTCTCCATCGATCACTAAGCGGTGAAATTTGGCAGAATAAGGTGTGGGGCGAAGTTTGGAGATGTCCTGGGCATGAACCTTGGAAGACAAAGAATAAGATGACCGGGCGAAAAGTCAATAAAAAAGCTGCTTGGATAAGCCTCGGGACTGGCTAGCGAGTATCAGCATATATATAAAACCGAGGAAATCGCAACATCACGTACCATCCGCATCGGCATTCTTGAACTTATTGGCCAGTGATCGGCATCCGAACGGTTCAGACAGCAGATCTTTGAAATCGAAGGCTTGTTGAGCAGGTCGTGAAGGAGATAAGTACCAAGTGATCCGGTGGAACCGGTCAAGATGACAGTCGAAGGGCAGCTTGGCAGGGTTTGAGGTAGATTATCCCGGACCTCTGGAAGGTCTGCAGTGTACTTTTCCACCAAGTTCAGTTCAGATGAAATGAGAGATATATTCAAGAGGTAATCTCTACAGCGAGATGCTGGCTTTTACAGGTATCCAATTCCTCCAATAAACACCGCGCAAAATATGCCACATTAAGTGTACAAGAACTACGAAAAGAAAGTTCATAGCGAGTCTCGCCTCAGGGTACTGCTGAGACTGTTTCTTTCATCACCGTGAAGGAGACCAACCTCTTCGGCCCCATGGCTGCCCGGGAACTCATGGTCCCGGAGAGCCTCTTGTCGACGGAACTCGACGCCATTGAGAACTGACCAGACATCTTTCTTGGTCAGCAATCCCTGCAAGATGCCCTTGTTGGCGAACAAAACATAGCGCAATCCAAGCCGCTGGAACATGCGTAGGACGACCAAGAAGCTGATGTTGCTATTGAGCGTGATGGGGGTTTGATCCATCCAGGGACGGAGATCCAACGTCTCTACAGGGTCTGCAAATGGCTGATGCGAAAAGAAAACCTGAGTCTCACTGGTGAGGTTGCGCTGTGTCGGCGAAGTTGAATACTTCAGAGCAAATGATAGCTCGTTGCGGGTGATGTAGCCCAGGAGAACAGGGATAGAAGCCTCCGAAATAACGGGGAATCCACGATATGTGGTATTGGCGAGAATGGAGCGAAGAGAGCCAATGGTATGACCAGTCGCTGTAACTACAGAGACATCATCTACGGTGGTCATGACCCGATGAGCAGAGACATCCGGTGGTGTGGTATCGTCTCGATGATCAAGGAATGGATACTCATTCAGTTGAATCCACGACTCGTAGATACCACGCTTCCCAAAGATATCGCCGCACCATTTTGATAACATCACGGCGATCATGATCGGGATGACATAGGTCAAGGCACCCGTCAATTCGAACATGATGACGACAATCGAAAGAGTCATTCGAGTCGCACCACCTAGCGCAGATGCCGCACCGATGATTGCATATAGTCCTGGCGTCACACATGGAATGTCGGGCTCACACTTGCTGAAAAGGAAAGCCTTCGGATAGGCCTCCTGCCACATCCGAACGAGAATTCCCAGCGCCCGGCCGTACAGGGCACCGATGGCGACCGACGGAAGAATGATACCGGCTGGAATATCAAGACCAAAGGTCAATGCAGAAAGGAAAAACGCCAGCACGGCAGCCACCAGCAGCATGGCAACGACTCCAAATGACTTGGACCCGGTGACACATAGACCGAATCGATCATATGTTTCACTGCTGCATTCTGCGAAAAGGGATTGGACAAGCTCTGAATTCTGAGCCCTCATAAAATGATTGGGAAAGTTGATCAAAGCCGTCAGAAGAGCAACGATGGCTACTTCAATAACCGGTCTTGACCAAGTCCGAGACCGCCGCCATTTGGCGATTCGCATATTCATTCGGATGAGGAACGCTCCGAAGAGTCCGCCCACAATACCAAGAATGATGAATGGGATGACCTCAAAGCGGTGCCATCCTCGAGTATAGGTGACTTGATACAATACGATATTCCCTGTGCGGAATGGGTTCAGGGCCTGCAACGTGACGGCGGCAACCATGGCGCAAACAAAGCTTTGCCACATTGTCTTGTCTGGGAAATAATAAGATAATTGCTAAAATTGGTCAGTATCCGTTATGGTAAGGGTACCATGGATCCTCACATACCTCCAAACTGAAAAGCACGCCTCCGATGGGAGCACCGAAAGCGACTGAGATGCCCGCAGCTGCAGCTGCAGAGAGAACCTCGCGTTTTCGAGCTGGTTTTTGTTAGCTTTCGAGCAGTAATGCGTGACTCCCAGTACACACCTTCATTTCCATTGAGACTGTCAAAAGGCTTCATCATGATATTGGCACAACAGCATGCAACATGGACAAGCGGGCCTTCTTTGCCCAACCACAATCCAGATGCAACCGAGAGACACTAGCTGGGAGTTAGCAAAAGCACGCTTCTGAATATATGACAATTCGACATACCAGCCCAAGTGACTTGATAGTAAGTGTCCAGGGACCCATGAAATGCCGGATGACGGTTCCTCCCAGGATTGTCTTGATCTCGGGAATTCCACTATGTCTCGCATATGTAGCAAACTTTCGTACCAAAAGACAAGCACACACGGCAAATACCACCTGATCTGCGTTAGCAACTTCTGGTGACTTTCCCAAGCCGAATGTCCCGTACCGAAAACAGAATGTAAAAGATATATTCGATGGTATACCGGCCTCCTGTGGACGGTGCACCCAGGGCATTTCCCCATGGTGTCCAATCCAGGCATTTTGAATAGTCTATCAAGATCATTCCATGAGCATATAGGCGGGGAATCAAGCTCGCAAAGACTATGAACTTACCGTCTAGACCCCAGCAGCAAAAGCTGCGATTGAGATAGAACTTTCCACCTCCACTACCACTTTTGCAGTAGCCTGTTTTCAGATCTCCCAACCAATCCGTCGCGATGTCGATAGAGGCAGCAATAATACCGACTGCAATGCCCGTCGCAACCAAGACAAACCAGATATTGCTTGCTTCGACGAGTCGACGGAAATATCCAGCAACACCCTGACCGCTCGAATAGAGTAACCGCTTCCGTTGTCGTTCCTTTGTGTATTCGTAGATCCAGTCGATAGCGGTGAAATCATCGTAACCCACACGACGGCCCGGGCCCTCGACGTACCAGTCCAGAGGCGTACCGTCCTTGGAGGCGTTCGTGTCACCATTCCATCCAATGGGCCCGTAGGGATCTAGTGGTGACACATCTCCATTCTGCGCACCCTGAGATCTTGTAGATTCGAGACCTGTATCCGAACCGCCGGCGGTATTCGAGAACAGATTCGACAGACTGAATCGTGACTGTCGCTTTTGCTTTCGTTTAAACGTGATCCTGCAGCGTCGCTGTATTAGCAGCAAATAGCAATCTTCGAGTACTCGAACGCTTACGGTTCATGAAACCCCTCCGCGCCGTGACCAGCTTCGTGAGGCTGAGGGAGGAGGCGATCCTGTTCCGGCTGATCTGGCGTCACGGCGCTGGGCTCGCGATCGCTGCCCGACCCCTGACCAGTCATTGACATCTTGAGCCACCAAAGCCCTGCATCAGCATCTCCAGACAAATGTTGGAGGTGTCTTTATCGTTTCAAGTCGAAGCTGGGCGAAGCTGCAGGGTGACTAAGCTTTGCTATCACGGGCGGTGAGAGTTCTGGCCGGTGGGGCTGCGTGGTTGAACGCGGCAGAAAAAAAAAGTTATGGGGAATTCTGCGGTGGATTTCTTCAACTCACAACGAGGAGCTCCTCTGGAAGTCGGGACTCAAGCATGAATGAGAGGCCCGTCTACGAGAGGACTCTGACAGAGTCCCAGCTGCTCGAGCATTTACCGAGTGGGATCGCGAATCTCGTTCGGTCTGCTTCGGGGACTCAACAGCTACACGCGCTTGCGCTTGGCGCATTGCAACCACAATGTACAGAAAGCGTTTTCAGACTCTACGAACCGATCATAGTCGATCTGGCAGCTCGATGGCTTCGACCGGATCTCAATGCCGATCCTATTCACGTCCTGGCTGCATTTGGTCGCATCTTGCCATTTGCGACATACCTGCGACCCTTTGCCAACCAACATGCCCTGTCACAGGCAGGAGCTCTGTCAGCTTTGGCTGGAACAAAGGAACTTACTCTGCGACAGTTGGATCCAATTAGCACTCGTGTCTTACTTCTCGCGCTATTCCGACTACTCTCCTTTGATTTGGAGACCTTCTCCAAAGCCGTGTCGCCGATCCAACTGCAATCTCTTTTCCCTCACGATGACCAAGTCATCAGATACCTCGCCGTCCGATGCTTCGCCCTTTACATGCATGCGGCTGACGCAGCCACCGAAAGCATGCTCCGGGTCAATACCGGCAGTGACCCGATTGAAGGAGATTGGGAGGGAACCACAATTGACTACCGCCTTCTAGGTCTCTGGGAGGAGCGGCGATGGGAGGTCCTCAGGAGGCATATCGAAACTCAAAGGTCTTCAAGGCCAGAGAGCGAGGCTATGGAGTTGGTCGATAGGACAAGAGAATCCTTCACCACGAGGTCCGCTGATGTCTGTGGTGTCTTGATACCTCGATTGAACGATGTCCAACCGTCTCCCTCGTCCATTGTGAAGACTACAACCGCGATCGGGAATCTGCGCCGTATTGCGAGATCTATTCTGGGCTTCAAGCCTATTCTCTTGATTGGATTGCCTAACTCGGGCAAGACTACTTTGATCAATGACATCGCTGCCACGATGGGCCAAGCAGAAACCATGGTTACATTGCATCTGAATGAACAGACGGATGCTAAGAGTCTGCTTGGGATGTATGCCACCTCGTCTGCAACTGAGTCATTCTCCTGGCAGCCTGGTGTGTTGACTAAGGCTGCGAGAGAAGGCCGCTGGTTGTTGATCGAGGATCTGGATCGCGCTCCATCCGAAGTTATTGGTCTCATTCTTCCAATCATCGAGAGGGGAGAGTTGACAATAGCTAGTCGGAGAGAGCGCATCAAGTGTGCGGAGGGCTTCAAAATCATTGCAACCATGAAATCCTCTTACAACATTGCCGGAGAGGAAATTGCCCCGAACACGTCCATGCTGGGAAGCAGACTGTGGCAGAGAGTTCAGGTTTCCTCCCTTCCCGTGGACGAGATGCGCGATGTCATCCTCCAAAAGTTCCCTCTCCTTGAGTCGCGCGTGCCAACAATCATGGACGTTTATGGAAAGGTATGCGCTGCATTTCACGGAAGCCTGGCGATCAAGGGATCTCAGGGTCGGACACCCGGTTTCCGTGACTTGATCAAGCTTTGCAGAAGATTGCATCGGCGGTTGCAACGTATAGGTGCGAAAACAGGCTTTGAACCTACCCCGGAAGGTGTCGACGATGAGATTCTACTGGACACAGTGGATGTTTTCCTCAAGTATCTTCCTGAAAGGTCAATGCAAAGCACCCTTGCATCTGTCGTGTCTGAGGCACTTCAGATCTCACCCCAACGTGCCCAATTCTGTCTCAATGAACGGACGCCCAGTTATACGGACAAGAACAACTCTCTTGTGCTTGGTCGTGAAACCCTCCAGAAGATCAAGGTCCCAAGTGGCTCGGCACTGAAGCTTGCAGCAGCAGCATCTCGCTTTGCCTCCACAAGATCGGCCCTGGCGATCATGGAGCAAGTCGCCGCTTCGGTGCAGATGGCAGAGCCGGTCTTGCTTGTTGGAGAAACTGGTATTGGAAAGACCACCGTAATTCAACAGCTCGCTACACTGATGCGCCAGAAACTCACGGTTGTCAACTTGTCTCAACAGAGTGAGAGTACAGATTTACTCGGAGGTTTCAAGCCAGTCAGCATCCGTACAATGGCTATACCGATGCTTGATGAGTTCACCCAGCTATTTGAACACACTTTCTCAGCAAAGAAGAACCAGAAGTTCCTTTCTTCTGTGTCCAAGTGTGTTCCTACAAGCAATTGGGTACGCCTTGTCAACCTATGGCACGAAGCTGTTCGCTTGGCCAATGGTGTCTTTAACCCCGCTAAGGAGGCCGAGAATGGCGATGAGCAACCGGCTAAGAAGAGAAAGCTCGACTCCCCTAAATATCAGAATCTGCGGCAACGATGGGAAGGATTTGAGTCTCAACTTGCGGACTTCGAAGCTCAGGTTTCGCAGGGTGATGCCAAATTCGCCTTTGCCTTCATCCAAGGTAAAATTGTGAGAGCTTTGAGAAATGGCGAATGGGTACTTCTGGACGAAGTCAACCTGGCCTCCCCCGACACTCTTGAAAATATTGCCAGTCTTTTGCATCATGGCAGTGAGGGCTCTCCATCTGTCCTCCTTTCTGAGGCTGGTGATGTTGAGAGAGTATTTGGACATCCCGACTTCCGCATTTTCGGCGCCATGAACCCTGCAACGGATGCAGGTAAGAGGGACCTGCCTCCTGGCCTGCGATCTCGATTCACCGAATTCTACGTGCATTCCCCAGATACCGACTTGAACGACCTTCTGGCGCTCATCGAAAAGTATCTCGGTAGCTTGACGTTGAGCGACCAGCGTGCTGCGCCGGACCTCGCACAATTGTACATGGAGGTAAAGAAACTCAGCAATGAGAACAAACTTACTGATGGAGCTGGGCAACGACCGCATTTCAGCATTCGAACCCTTGTTCGGGCCCTTATCTATGTCATCGATCACGCTGGCATTTATGGACTGCGCCGAGCCATTTTTGAAGGGTTCAGTATGAGTTTCTTAACCGTCCTGGGCCTAGAGTCAGAGCGATCTCTGATCCCCCTCCTCGAGGCACACATCTCTGGCAATGCAAAGAATGCAAGGGCTCTTCTTGGTCAGACCCCAAAGCCTCCCCAAGATGGTCACGATTATGTTCATTTCAAGCATTACTGGATGCGACGTGGTCCTCTGGAACCTGAGGAGCAACCTCACTACATTATCACCCCATTCATTGAGAAGAATCTCAAGAATTTGGTCCGAGCAAGCTCGACGAGGCGATTCCCTGTTTTGCTACAAGGCCCAACGTCTGCAGGAAAGACCAGTATGATTGAGTACCTGGCCAAGGTCTCCGGCAACAAGTTTGTGCGTATCAACAACCACGAGCACACGGATTTGCAAGAGTATCTCGGTTCCTACATTTCTTCTGACGATGGAAGTCTGCGCTACCAGGAGGGTGTTCTGGTAGAGGCCTTGCGCAATGGCTACTGGATTGTTCTCGATGAGCTTAACCTGGCGCCCTCCGACGTGCTCGAGGCAATGAATCGACTCTTGGATGATAACCGAGAGCTGTTCATCCCTGAAACCCAAGAAGTTGTTCATCCCCATCCCAACTTCATGCTGTTTGCCACACAAAATCCCGCTGGCCTTTACGGTGGCCGTAAAGTTCTTTCTCGTGCGTTCAGAAATCGTTTCCTCGAACTGCATTTCGATGATATTCCGGAGAGCGAGCTTGAGTACATCTTGAAAGAACGGTCCCAGATTGCACCCTCATTCTGCACGCGAATTGTTTCTGTCTACCGCAAGCTCTCGTTACTGCGCCAATCCAATCGACTTTTCGAGCAGAAGAACAGTTTTGCTACTCTTCGTGATCTCTTCCGATGGGCCCTCCGTGATGCCGATGACCGCGAACAATTGGCAGTGAACGGTTTCATGCTGCTTGCCGAGCGTGTACGAAACCCCCAAGAGAAATCTGCAGTCAAGGCTGTTATAGAAGAAGTTATGAAGGTCCGCCTGGACGAAGACGTTCTATACAGTGTCGCACAGCTGGAGAAGAGTGTTCCTCAAATGGCTGGACTGCCAGCTGGTATTGTCTGGACCAAGGCTATGAGACGTCTATTCATCTTGGTCTCCAAAGCACTTAGGAACAACGAGCCGATTCTTCTCGTTGGAGAAACTGGTTGTGGTAAAACCCAACTTTGCCAGGCTGTTGCAGAGGCCTTCGGGAGAGAGCTGTTCATTGTAAATGCTCACGTTAATCTGGAGACGGGTGATCTCATTGGCGCTCAACGACCGATTAGGAACCGAGCAGCAATTGAAAAACAACTCACGGAAGATTTGCGACTCCTCATTCACGACCAACAATCTGAGAGCTCTTTCGAGCAATTGAAACAGGAATTTGCCGCCCTTGATGCACAACAACGACAAGAAAAAGATCAAGGTCTATTGCGAAGGGTTGAAAAAAATCTCATTCGATGCAATGCTCTATTCGAGTGGTCTGATGGAAGCTTGATCACTGCCATGAAGACCGGTGAATTCTTCCTTCTTGATGAAATCTCTCTTGCCGACGATTCCGTCCTTGAGAGGCTCAACAGTGTTCTTGAGCCTCATAGGTCAATCCTTCTTGCCGAGAAGGGCCCCGTTGATTCCATGGTTGTGGCCGACGGTGGTTTCCAGTTCCTGTCAACCATGAACCCCGGTGGTGATTACGGCAAACGAGAGCTTTCCGCCGCTCTTCGCAACCGTATGACAGAGATCTGGGCACCCCAACTGTCGGAGGATGAAGATATCCTCCCCATTCTTCAAGTGCGGTTGAACGTTAAACAAGAGCAGGTCGCTCGAGCAATGCTGCAGTTCGCAAAATGGTTCAAGGCCACTTTCCAAAATACCTCAACCACATCCCTTTCACTCCGCGATCTCCTCGCCTGGGTCGATTTTGTGAACACATGCCAAACTGCGGACCCGTTGTTTGCCATCGTCCAAGGTGCAGCCATGGTCTTCGTCGATACACTTGGTGCCAACCCAGCCGCAATGCTCGCTATCTCTCTCAACAATCTCGACGGCAATCGCCAGAAATGTCTCGACAAGCTGAGTGAATTGTTCAGCGCCGATGCTTCCAAGATCTACTGGGAATCCTCGAATGTCACCCTCGAGCCGGGATTCCTGCGAGTAGGACCATTCTCTCTACCCACCGCCGGAGACACAGAACCCGACCCGCAATTCACCATGGATGCTCCGACAACCATCGCCAATTCCGTCCGCATCGCTCGTGGCTTGCAGTCGTCGAAGCCCATCCTCATGGAAGGTAGCCCAGGTGTTGGCAAAACCACACTCGTGACAGCACTCGCAAGGGCTCTTGGAAAGCCCCTCACTCGAATCAATCTTTCAGAGCAGACCGATCTCACCGACTTGTTCGGTTCTGACGTTCCGGTAGAGGGGGAGACGTTGGTCAGTTCGCCTGGCGTGATGCTCCGTTCCTCCGAGCAATGCAACGTGGTGACTGGGTTCTTTTGGACGAAATGAACCTGGCCTCCCAATCCGTCCTGGAAGGTCTCAACTCTTGTCTGGATCACCGTCAGCAAGTTTATATCGCCGAACTTGACCAGATGTTTAAGCGGCACCCCGACTTTGTCCTCTTCGCTGCGCAGAACCCGCATCACCAAGGTGGTGGTAGAAAGGGTCTTCCTGCATCTTTCGTCAATCGTTTCACAGTGGTCTATGCAGACAGTTTCACCGATGCGGACTTGAAGAGAATCTGTGCCAAGTTGTTCCCTGGCAGCCCTACTATTCAGACAGAGAGGCTAGTTGAGTTCATCTCTAGCTTGAACCGAGCCATCGTAACAGACCGCCGACTTGGAGCTGTTGGTGGCCCATGGGAGGTGAACTTGCGTGATATTCAGCGATGGCTTCAGTTGGCGGACCGAGGCGATTTGCAGATTCCCACCAAGCATTTCCTGGACGTTGTTATCAGCCAAAGGTTTAGAAGTGAAGAAGATCGAGCAGTGGTCTCACAGATCTATGACCGTATATTTACGGACTGTGATATCGGCCAAAAGAGCTACTACCACAACCTTACACCTGACTACCTGCAGGTTGGGTTGGGAGTCTTGACCCGTGACCCTATCCTCCAGCGCTCGGTTGAGCCATGTATGAAGGTTCTTCCGAGGGATCTTCACATCCTTGAGTCGCTCATCCTGTGTATCGACAATTCTTGGCCGAGCATTCTGGTCGGAGCTGCAGGCTGTGGTAAAACCACGCTGATCAGAAAGCTCGCGGCTGTCAATGGTGCCAACCTTGAAGAGCTAGCACTCAGCGCCGACACCGACACCATGGACCTGATTGGTGGGTTTGAGCAAATCGACCATCGGAGGGAAGTCTCGTCATTTGTTCACGACGTTGAGGTTTTCCTGCGACACCAGATCATCCACTCTTTCGCGTCTGGAGATGTCTCTGACGCTGTGGCTTCAGCCCTTTGGATTTGCCAGCACTTCCAAAGCTCGGAGACTTCGCTGGAAACCGTGGTCTCCTCTCTTTCTGAACTCTGCCAATCCTACCAGGACCCAACTCTGCAAGAATTCCTTTCTAGAGCCCAGAAGTTGTGGGATACTATTCGCCAGACCGACAAGATGAAGGTTGGGTTTGAGTGGACGGAGGGCGTTCTGACGCGGGCTGTTCAGAATGGGTACTGGGTGGTCCTTGACAATGCCAACCTCTGCAACCCGTCTGTCCTGGATAGACTAAATTCCCTGACTGAACCCAACGGTTCTCTCATTCTCAACGAACAACGAACTGAGGATGGATCTGCGCGAATCATCACCCCTCACCCGAACTTTCGCCTTTTCTTGACCATGGATCCTCGCAATGGTGAGCTCTCCCGTGCCATGCGGAACAGATGTGTTGAGATCTGTTTCATGTCACGCGAGATCCAGGAAATTCCTACCGCGACTGGGCCTTCCTACACTTGCGAATCCTCGCTCTACCGGCTTCGTAACATCTGGGATTTGGAAGCTGCCGCATCATCCACAAACCTTCACGACTTTGTCGAAGTTTGCCTGGATCATCTCTCGCCGGTAGACTTCTTCTATCTCCAAAAATCGCCCCGCACCTATTTGCCCAGTTATCCCAGTGCTGAAGTGAAACAACTTGTCCAAAACGCCCTCCAACGTCGTTCATCTGCACTTCAAGAAAATGAACAGTGGAAGCCCCTCAACGTGATTGCCGGGGAAATCGTCATGGGCGGAGCCTCTTTGGGTCTACAAGGATTACGGCAGCCAATTCACCCTCTTATCAATGAGCCACTTTTGTCTGTCACAGGTAGTGGTTACCGTTCAGACGTTGTCATTCTTGCCTACCTCGAAGAATTCAGGCTTGACATTCATCACCTTCGACAAAAGTTGGTCCAAGCCAACGAATCTGGGTTGCAGCTTAAACCAAGCCAAATGACGCGACTGGAGCGATCATTGGCGTCAACCCGAATTCAATCCTTGATGAAAGATTCAACACAACCCGTTGGCTTCTTCTTGTCTGAGTGCGGCCAGGCTATGTACAACTACGTTCAGAGCCTTGATGAGACTAGCCTCAGATCCCCTGAGATTGTAGCCGCGCTTCGGACTATCATCTGCCTGTGCTGGGACATTTACCGCGCGACAGATGTCAGCCAAGTTAACGAGGGTGAATTCCAAGTTTACCTGGAAATTGGCCGGAGGGTCTGTGCATCGTTGCTCAATTCATCGCCGGTATTGAAGCCATTGGAAAGCGCTCTATCACGCGCGCTTACTCAGTTCCAAGCTGGCTGGGCGTTGACTACTGGCCTTAGTATGCAAAGGATCTGGGACTCATGGCGACAAATTACCCCCTCCACACAAGAGCAGCTGAATTCTTTGATTGAGCTTGAAGCCACTGTCTCCGAATTCACTTCTCTCGCCTTGCAGACACGCGTGGAGCTGTCTCAACTTAGTCATGTCTGGGATTCATTGGTCAACGCTCAGCGATTCATTCTTCGGGATGGTGCCGATGGAGATGTTCTTGTCCAGAGTATTAAGCAGACCGTGGCCGAGCTTGGCCAGGCTGTCCGACGATCTGACTCTGCTCAATATCCCTACTTCTCTGAAGAATTTGAGGCTCTGTGTCAGTATCACGACATTTCTTCTGAGGTTAGCCAAAACGACGCAGCTATCAAATCTGTCGTGCCGTTGCTTGCTGGTCGTCCTGCCCGGTCGCTTGATTCTTCAGCCTCCCAAAATCAAGTCCCCGAGCTCCTTCAGAGGATCGCATCGTTCTCGGGGGCCGCAAAGGACTCAAGCTCCCCACTAGCGATTGGCGGTGTATTATCATTGTCCTTGTTGGAAAGATTGGCATCGGTTGGCGGTACGACCTTGGGCCAGATGGACATTCTTCAGGCCGAGAAGCAGGCTCTTTCAAAGACTCTTTCTCTGAGCAGTCGACAAATCGCCATGGACCAGTCTGACAGCCTCAAACGTGCCCTTGCCGCGCTCACAGTCCAGTTGGTCGCTTGCCATAGAGAACTCTTCGAGCCCCAATGCGCCGAAAACCTCATTTTGACTCTGCAGGCCATTCAATCGGGTAAATCGGTGGATAAGGGCTTCTCTATTCCAATTCACCTTGACCAAGGTGTTGGAGACAGCCATTTCTTCAAAGTTTTCGCCGAAAATGACCTTCCAGCTCTCATTCGCTCAATGACATCGGTTTCCCTGAGTGACGAGGAGAAAATCCATTCTACCGGCCTTGCAGCAGTTCAATTAGCAGTGATTCTTCTGCGACTCTTCGTGCCAGACAAGGCCTTTGATCCCTCTCTTGGCCTAGTCGTCCAGCGCACACGCCATTATCAACGCCTGGATGAAAGCAGTGCCAAGTCGAACGCTATCCTTTCCTTTGAAGATTCATTCTCAGGCCAGCCTTCAAACCTTCGCTCCATTCTGTTGCAAGAAGAGATCCAGGAATTGGGCTCTGCCCCTCCTCCTTCATCTGTCACTCGTCCTCAGCAGTCTGAACTTGGCCTTCTGCACGGCGAGTTCACGAACTTGATCAATTCCGTTCTCAATCGGAACCCAGAACAGATGATAAGATCCACGGAGGTGGCATTCAAGTCCCATGAGATGATTCAGCTCATGCGCGATAACATCCGACAGCTCAGCAACCGCCTTAGCTCGCACTACAGATCCTACGATGACATTACGGTGCCAGTAGTCCGCTTCCTTCAACTTCTCGAGGTCGGTCTATTCTTGGGCTCTAACCAAACCGAGAAGACCGGAGGAGCACTCGATATCCAGTCTTTGAGCAAGCGAACCCCGTTCTTGGGAGGCTCAATTCACCCAGTTCTTTCTCAAGACAACGTTAGCCAGCCTTCGAGTCCAACCAATCTGGTTGAAATGCGGCTCCATGAGCTATCTGCTCTCTGGGCCGCCAAGGATGCGGATCTTTCGGTTCTTGATCTCAGATCAGGACGTGATACAATTCGCCACATCTTCGCTGATTTCCATCATCTGTGGAAAACCAAGCTCAGAGAAGATCAGGAGAAGGAAGCCGAGAAGTCCGAACTCTATCGCTTCAAGGGATCGTGGGAGGATGAGGAAGAAGTCAATGAAGCCGAATTGAACGAACTCTTCCCTACTTACGAACAAGAAAATCTGCCCAATGCAGATGAGGTTGGCCGCATTGATCCTAGAATGATTGCTGTCCGCCTTGCCTCCCTTCATGCCAAGATTGTGGGTGACCAGCGTACCGGTCAAGCACTGCCCACTTTTATCAAGCAGTCTGGTCGCCTGCTGGGAACAATGTGGTCCGGCAGCAAGAGTCCCTTGTCGCCAGTGCCACCTCAACACCATCTTTCCCCCAGTCTTCTTGCTTCTTGACGATGTTGTTGGCGAAGACACTCAAGATCGGCAGAAGAACTACAACTTCTACACCGATTCCAACATTGCTGAAGCCAGAAGACTCGTGACTCTCACTCTTTCTGTTCAAGCTCGTTTTGTCCAGATCCAAACTGTGTGGCCGGAACATGCTGTTCTTCACGATGTTATTACCTGCTGCTCGGAGATCCTTCAATTCAAACATGTCGAGCCCGTTGCCAAGTTTATCACCAAGGTCGAGAAACTTTATTCCCTGGTCCATGAATGGCAAGTGGTGGCTAGCAGGGAGTATTCTGCTGCTCCTCTTTATGACGAGCTTACGAACCTGATTGTTGGTTGGCGTCGCCTTGAGCTCACAACATGGGCGAAGCTCCTGGATCTCGAGAAGGAGAGATGTGTTGACGATGTCAGTGCTTGGTGGTTTGTCGCCTATGAAGCACTCTTCGCTGTTCCTATTCAGATGGCCGAGTCTGGGGAGCAAGACATGAGCGAGCACATCCAAGGTGTTATTTCAACCTTGGAACAGTTCTTCAACTCCACCACGCTAGGCCAGTTCAGCCGCCGCCTCCAGCTTGTCACTGATTTCCAATCTCTTCTTACCGTATTCGGTAAAGACTATGATTGCCTGAAGCCGCTTGTCTCTGCTCTCAACAATTTCCTGTCTCACTACCGACCGTTTGAGCCCTCAGTGGACAAGGCCCTGCAGGACAAGAGGTCGGCTTTGGAGAAAGATATCAAGGAGCAGATCCAGTTGGCAAGTTGGAAGGACACCAACATTGTTGCCTTGAAGGAGAGCGCTAGAAGGTCCCATGTCAAGCTGTTCAAGCTGGTTCGCAAATACCGCGGGGCTCTCGGCCAATCTGTTCAGCCAATTCTTGAGCAAGGTGTTCCCGATTCTGGAGAGAACAGTGTCTCTATAATTGAGGAGACATCACTGGCAACCATTGTCATTCCAGAGGCATTGTCGGCCTGCCAGAAGAGCAAGGAGCTGTGGTCATCGAGAGCTCTCCGATTCCAAAACCCGGATGGCACAGCCCGCAACATGATGAATCTGTATTCGTCTATTCCATCCGAATTTGACATTGCCAAGGAGCTCGACGGATTCGTTGTATCTGTTATCGAGACCATAAATGAGTTCAAGTCGTCAACGCCGAAGACCTTGACCGAAGACAACAAGGACGACGTCCAGCATCTTAAGGTCCAGAAACGCCGTCTCTATGCTGATACGTTGAAACGCCTCTTCGAAATGGGTGTTAAGCGGAATGCTGGAACAGCCATCATTGAAACCCAAGCATCGATTGCCCAAGTCCTTTCTACGACTGGTGCCTTTGAAGTCGGCGCTACAGCATCAAGTTCCATCCGCAGTGCCGAGTCATACTTCCACCGACTCCTTGACCTTTTGCCACGCGCTCGTCTGGCATCTCGCAACTATTCCGAAGAGCTAAGCAATGTCGAAGTTTCCAGGAGTATGGGCTCGATCGAGCATCTGTTGTTCATTATCCGACGACAGAGAAGTGTCCTCTCACCTGGACTCTCCGGTCTTGGAGATCTGAAGGCTACTTTGAACAAAATGCAGAATTTGTGGTCGATTGGTTCAGATTCACTCACCAAGGCCGGCGCTTCTGCTACCGAAGAAAAGGTTGGCCTGACCAGAGTTGTTGCATGGTTGACGCCAATCCTCGAACTCGCCTCGACTATCATCGAAGTTCATGCCAAATTCTCAAATGTCGATACTTCGACTATTCTTCAAGAGCTTCGATCTAAGAAGACGGCCTTTGGTGACTTGCGCAAGTCTCTCGAGTCGCTTCCCACGCTTCCATCCGGCATTGTATCCCTGTCCCAGCAAGAGCTCACCCAGCAAGGACGGTCCTCGCTTGATCAGCTTGATGTCGACCTGAGCCGATGGGCACGAGATCGCCCGGACCTCTCTTTTGCTTTGGATCAGATTACCCCATGGACCCAAGCAAGCAATATTGCTCTCCCGGATCCCAGTGGCACCGGTAGCCTCTCGATTGAAAGCTTTGACAACAGCCTCATGTCTGCCATTGACAAGATGCTGGTCGGCCTTCAACAACTCAAGGACGTACCTACTGGAATTGACTTCGGCGGTCTAGTCTCGAGAAGTGACGAGTTCTTCTCCCGAGCATCCAAGGCTGTTCATCTCAGCGAGATCAACTCATCGCTGGTGGCAGTCCTTGACCAGCTGCAACATCTGCAAGATAATTCCGCCAAGTCTCTTCCGATTGCCGCTGCTTTGGTGACTAGTATTCTGCCTATTGCCAACAGATACTACCTCATCTGCCACGATCTGTCTGATCGCTTCATTTCAGTCCATCGCGAGATCTGTAAGACCTCCTACATCTTGACAAAGACCTTTACGCAGGTTGCGTCGGAGGGTCTCTGCAGCCCAGCCGAATCATCCCAAGAAGAGGGCAAAGAAGGCAAGATGGAGAGTGGTACTGGCCTCGGCGAAGGCGAAGGCGCAGAAGACATCAGCAAGGATATCGGAGACGATGAAGATCTCTCGGAGCTCGCGCAACAGCAAAACAAAGAAGACACCAACGAGGAAATGGATGATTCTGCCGACGCTGTAAACATGGACCAGGAAGAACTGGAAGGCGAATCTGGCGAGCACAAGGAAGAGGAGGACGAGGAAGACAAAGACAAGAGCGGCGACGAAGGAGAAGATGACATTGACGAGGAGGTTGGCAGTGTCGATGGCCTTGATTCTGGTGCTGTTGACGAGAAGCTGTGGGATGGCGCCAATGATGAGCAGCAAAAGGAGACTGAGAATGAGGAAGGAAAGGGCCAAGAAGAGGCTGATCAGCAAGCAGCCGCCCAGGAGCAAAAGAAGGAGGGCGAAGAAGCCCAGAAAGGAGAAGAGGGAGACGAGGAAGAGGAAGAAGACGATGAAGAGGAGGAGGCTCCCGAGGATGAGGGCGAAGCTGTTGGCCGGGAGGATATGGACGTGACAGATCCTCATGCTAAGGAAGAGGAGACATTAGATCTCCCTGATGAAATGCAGCTCGACGGTGACGACAAGGAAGGTGGTGATGAAGGGGAAGACGACGATGGTATGGATGATCTCGATGACATGGGCCCTCTTACCGAAGAGGAGCAGAAGGCCAATGAGATGGACTATCAGCCTGGTGATGAAGATGCGGACATGCCGCCGGAGGAGCAAGTCCCGGGCGAGGATGAAGAGATGGCCGAAGGTGAAGATACCAACGAAGGCGAAGGGAACGAAGAAGAAGAGGCCGGCGGAGAAGATCCTGAAGAAGCCCAACAGGACGAATTCCTTGCTCAACGCGATGACAACGAAGAGGCCGGTGAAAACGTTGCTCCTAGCGAAGCAGTCACCGGTGGCCTTGGTGCCGACCAGGACCAGAATGACGACAAGGGTGCCTCTGGAGATGCGCAGCAGGAGAGTGGTGAAAATGACCCGACTGCCAGCGCCGAGCAACAAACCGGTGCTGCCAAAGACAGTGAAGAAAGCAAGCGGAGTCGCGATGCTGGCGGTGCCGAGGACTCAGCTCCCAACGATCCTCAAATCCAAGCATTCAAGAAGCTCGGAGATATTCTCGAGGAGTGGCACCGTCGCCAGAAGGAGGTGTTGAATCCGTCGCAGGAGGAAGAGGAGTCGCAGCCTCTGCCCCAAGATACCGATATGGCGGATGCCGACTTTGAGCACCTCAAGGACGATGACGACCAGGCAGACACGCAAGCTCTTGGACAAGCTAGCGAGGATCAGGCCAAGGCCCTCGACCAGAACAAGGGCGTTGAGTCTGAGAACAAGCCTGGGGAGAATGAAGCTCTGCCGGATGTTACAGATGACAATCAAGAGGTTCTGGACAACCAACTTCAAGATGAGATGGAATTGGATCGAGGCAATCCCCCAACTGATGGCCAATCCGCCGGGGCTTTCATTCCTGGTGATCATACATCACGCGACCATGCAGACGGCGCCCTTGGTGCCGAAGATGTCAACGAGGAGCTGGATGAAGTCGACACGCAGCTCGCCGCCATCCATCTCTCATCTACGCTTCCACCCTTGACGCCAGAAAGTGAAGCCCGTCGTCTCTGGTCTCGCTACGAATCCGCCACAAATGATCTGTCTCTGTCTCTTACCGAGCAGCTCCGGCTCATCCTCGCACCAACTCTTGCAACCAAGCTTCGCGGCGACTTCCGCACCGGCAAGCGCCTGAACATTAAGCGCATCATCCCGTACATCGCCTCCCAGTACAAACGGGACAAGATCTGGATGCGTCGTTCTATCCCCTCCAAGCGCAACTACCAGATCATGCTCGCCGTGGACGACAGCAAGTCCATGCTTGAAAGCGGTAGTGGCCAACTCGCCTTCGAGACTCTGGCTCTGGTTGCTAAGAGTCTTAGCATGCTTGAGGTAGGCGACCTCTGTGTCCTCGGATTCGGCGATGAAGACCACGTCCGCGTCGCACACGAGTTCGGCAAGCCGTTCTCTTCCGAGGCCGGTATGCAGGTTTTCCAGCATTTCAGCTACCAGCAAACTGGCACGAACGTGCGCAAGCTGATTGCCGACTCTATCGCCCTCTTCCGCGAAGCGCGCTGGAAGCGATCTCCCGGTTCTGGCTCCGCAGACCTGTGGCAGCTCGAGTTGATCATCTCCGACGGTATCTGTGAAGACCACGATACCATTCGCCGTCTCGTGCGCCAGGCGCTCGAAGAGCGCATCATGATCGTCTTCGTCATTGTTGATGCTGTCAAGGGCAGCTCCATTCTCGACCTCTCGCAGGCCAGCTTTGAGGCTGATCCTGACTCCGGTGGTGAGATGAAGCTGAAGATGAAGCGCTACCTTGAAGGATTCCCCTTCCCCTACTATCTTGTTGTTCGTGACGTCCGTGAGTTGCCGGCTGTTCTTGCCACTGCGTTGAAGCAGTGGTTTGCCGAAGTGGTGGATGTCTCTTCGTGAGATTACAAAAAAAGTGGTTTGCAAATTTGGAGTTTTTCTTATTATGGGAGCCTTGGGACATTTGTATATGATAGATTTTTACTAGACATTCTGTGTACATGGAATATACAGTGGTTTTCGAAATCAGTTATACTGCTACACTCTTTTCTATTTCAACCCCCGCTTCTCGTTTACGCTCGCCAGTCGTAATACAGAAGGCTATGCCTCTACTACAAAGGGTTAACCATTAGTAGGGAAGGGTGTCTGTTTTATTTCTACGACTTTTGCTATTTATTGCGCGTCTCATTCGTTGCTAGGCTAGTTAGTAGAGTCGGATTACCGATTCTCCCGCAAAATCAGGCAAGAGGAGGTCGGATTACCGATTCTCTTAACTAACTATTAGGGAACTAGTTCTTAGAGCTAACCTCTTCTCCCAATCAATTCCCACTCGACCGCTCTCTCTGGCTTGCGTCTTGATGAATTCAACAATATCCCCCTTTGTCAACATGCCCGGAACAGCCCCCCATCCCATTATCCACATCAATGGCTTCCCCGGCACTGGAAAGTTGACAGTTGCCCAAGATCTGGTCGCACATGTCGCCCTCTCTGCAAATCTGAAGCTGATCCACAACCACCTTCTCATCAATCCCGCTGACGCTGTCCTCCACCGTACACAACCAGGGTACCAGTCACTTCGACGAGCTGTCCGCGCCGCTGTCTTTACGTCCCTAGCAACCGAGCCTGCAACCTTCAATACAACCTATCTGTTCACAGATTTCCAAACAACGAATGAACAAGGTGCCAGTGTGTGCGCAGAATACGCACAAGCTGCGAAGGATCGAGGCTGTCTACTGATTCCCATTGTTCTGACCTGCGATGAAGATGAGAATATCAAGCGCATGATGCAGTCGGAGCGTGGAAAGCATGCAAAGCTCATGGATGTGGAGCTGCTGAGGATGTTCCGCAAGGGAGCACCGGTTTTCGAGTTTAGCGATAGGAAAGAGTTTTTGGAGATCGATGTGACACGCTTGGAGCCAGAGGAGGTGGCGAGAACTATCTGGGAGCATGTTTTACAGTTCTATCCCGGTTTGAGCGGTGGGGAGTCTTGATGGTGAATTTGCATTGTTATATCCTCTGCTATAAACCTGGCCTGTCAGAGTGGCCTGGAGGACCCTTCCGTCTCTGCGTACAGTACTCTTCCTGTTTATCTTTGTTCAATAATTCTGCGTATTTCCTTAAGAGTTGGTATTGGTATCATAAATGGTATTGTACTCGATAAAACGCCTAGAAGATGCAGAATCTACCATCCATACTTCGAACCCGCCTCCTTCTTGTTTCGCCTTCCTGCGGCAAAGCTCTCCTCCAGCGCGTCCTTTTGCGAGCTCGCTGCGTTGACCAGTTGCTGCAAAGTGTGCTTGCCTGGCGCAATGGCACGGACCGGGTTATGTTGAGTAGCAGCCAATTCAGTCTGTGCAAGTGCCTGGTTTGTGGCGTACTCCTTGTCCGTATTGAACTCGAGAATGCGAGACTCGGCTGGCGGTGCGTTACGGCCGAAGAGTTGGCGTCGCTCTGATTTCGAGAGGTTCAGATCGTTGGCGATATTATCCAATGACGAAGGATTTGAAGATACTGTCGTGGTTTTGGAATAGTCTGGAACAGCGGAGGCGAGCTCAGGCGCTGGTGCTGGGCCTGCAGATGGCGTCTCGGTTTCGTATACCAATGGCTCGTACGTCCCTGCTGACGCGGGGAGATCGTCTGTTCGACTCGAGTCTTCGGAAGACAGCGAGAACAGACTGACTTTGGGTTTTGGTGGAGCTGGCTCCGCGGGCGCTTTTGTAGTCGGTTGAGGTGCTGCCATTTCTGAACCTTGGCCTCTGGGCGCTGGCGCTGAAGGTATGGGTTGGGATGTAGTCTTGGTAGACTTTTTCTTCTTTTGGTTACGCCCCACAGACAAAGGTCTGAACATCATGGGGTTCCCTTGCAGCTTGAACTCCCCAATCTCTGTCGTTGTCGTCGGCGCATCGTTTGATGTGGTTTGCGATCCCAGGCTTCCAGCCGCAGGGATGGTGTCCGCGTCATCTCCGCCAGCATCGGCGTCGAATGCGAAATCATTCCTCATCTCCGCATCGGCCTCACGGCTGAAGCCAGGCGTCGCGCCAGTCTTCAGGCTGAACACCTTGCGGGTCGTAGCCACCGGCGCTTTCTTCTCGGCCTTTTTCGGGGCGGGAAGGAAGGAGTTGAAGCCTGAGAAGGCACCTCCACCTCCTACCCGGGCCTTCTTGCGCGCAGGTCCATCCTCGCCGTCCTGGTCGGGTGCATGTTCTGGCTTGACCTCTGGGAGAGCAACGCGGATCTTGCGCGGGTTGCTGCGGTCCACTTGGAAGCCAGGGCCAGACTCAGCTTTGTTCGCGGTGGAGGAGGCCGGGGTAGTATCGGGCTCGGCATCAGAGCCTTCGGAGTCGGAGTAGGCTACCAGCGCCATGGTGTGTGTTGTGGATGTTTGGGCAGTTCCGAGCTGGCGATGATATCTAATTTCCATGCAAGCCTGAGTGCCTTGATGCCTTGGTGCCTCGTGGCCTCGTGGCCTTACGGCCAACACCACCCGCCGGATCTCGGTTCCCCTCGATCCGATTACTCACCCGATCCGTGATGAGCGGCGATGAATCGGAGAAAACACGCGGGACTCGAATTGGATTGGAGAATGAATTAAAGTCAAAGTAAACTTAAACTGCCGATCCGCCGGATGCGAAACCATTAAGACCGATGATGGCGTCTGCATCTGGGACACTTTAGGACATTAGGGCAGGTCACCACTTCGTAACGTCATCGGTTACTGGTGATCCGGTTTCTCCCGCTAAGATACGTCTTTGATAGAGATATCTGAGTTGTTTCGTAGTGAATTTCCAAGTCACAAATGTATCGGAAAACCGAACTTCTAGTTATATAGCGATTGAGACAAAGAAAGACTAGCCATAGGGGGGCCCGCCTCTGCCAATTTGGCACCCTTTCACTTGCTCACTCCTCCTCGTCTTACCAAGTGTAGACTACATCAATTCTCTCATATGATCCTTGACTCAATTATTCGAATCAATACAAAGAGAACCAGCACAATATCGGGACAGTGGAGCAGTCTGGGACCCAAAGGAGGAGAGGAGAGAGATCAATGCGTCATTTCCCTGCCCCTCCCCACCTTTCTCTCCGGACCTCTCCCTCTCGTTTTATGGCCCTCGCCCTTCGTTCTCCATGCCGAGCTTAGGAGGTCTGTTAAAGAAACGGCGCAAGGAATCGCAAGACCTCGCGTCGGAGCAAGCATCCGATCCCTCTAATCCCGAGAACCACGACGGTTCAAGCGCCTCCATGCAACCCGCCGTGTCGTCACAAGCATCTCCGCACCAGCAGACCCAGGGGTCCAACAATGCCGCCAGTATCAACAATATCATAAATTCCCCGGCCAATGCCGGCCAGAGTGCGCAGAATGCTCAGCAGACACCTTCTCAGGCTCAGGGCCAGGTCCAGGGCCAGGGCCAGCAGCCCCAAAAGGAACGCACCACGAGGGGCAAGTACTCGCAAGAGGATTTCTTGCTGCAGCGCACCCTCGGCACTGGTAGCTTCGGTCGGGTCCATCTCGTTCAGTCCAAGCACAATCATCGGTTCTACGCCATGAAGGTGTTGAAAAAGGCCCAGGTGGTCAAGATGAAACAGATCGAGCACACCAATGACGAACGACGTATGTTGAATCGTGTGCGGCATCCATTCCTGGTCACCCTGTGGGGAACGTGGCAGGACTCGCGGAACCTGTACATGGTGATGGACTTTGTGGAGGGTGGTGAGCTGTTCAGCCTGCTGCGCAAGTCACAGGTGAGTTTATCGGTGTTTAATTTCTTTGTGTGCGATCTTCTAACCCGTATCTCCGCAGCGATTCCCCAACCCGGTCGCCAAATTCTATGCCGCTGAAGTGACCCTGGCTTTGGAATATTTGCACGCACACCAGATTATTTATCGGGACTTGAAGCCAGAAAATCTTTTGCTCGACCGTCATGGCCACTTGAAGATTACAGATTTTGGTTTTGCCAAGGAGGTGCCCGATATCACCTGGACTCTTTGCGGTACACCCGACTATCTTGCTCCCGAAGTCGTTTCATCCAAGGGCTACAACAAATCCGTCGACTGGTATGTTTTTCCCCGGATCTCTGCTCGTGCCCACTTCGTTCTAATTCTTCCAGGTGGTCATTGGGTATTCTCATCTTCGAGATGCTCTGCGGATTCACTCCCTTTTGGGACAGCGGATCGCCCGTCAAGATCTACGAAAATATCTTAAGGGGCAAGGTCAAATACCCGCCATATTTGCACGACGATGCCGTCGATTTGCTCTCCCAGTTGATCACCGCCGATCTCACCAAGCGTTTGGGTAACTTGCACGGCGGCCCCGAAGATGTCAAGAACCACGCCTGGTTTGCTGAAGTCACTTGGGACCGTCTGGCTCGCAAGGACATTGACGCCCCTTATATTCCACCTATTCGCGGTGGCCAGGGTGATGCAAGCCAATACGACAAGTATCCCGAAGAGACGGAACACTATGGTCAGGAGGGTGAAGATGCGTAAGTTCCCTCCCATCCGTTACATTGAACAATCCGATACTAACTGTCCTAGATATGGCCACCTGTTCCCCGACTTCTAGCCTGTATGATTTATGACGAGATGAAAATCCGCACGGGTTTGGATTTGGTACCGGTGGCGCTAGCAGGGAGTCGCTGGAAAACCGCGAGGTGATATGTTGGAGGTCTACCCGATCTTGGATCGTATATTAAAGCAACTGGAATCGAGTTTTTCTTTTTTTTTTTCCTTCTCGATATACAGGGATGTTTCTATAATGGGACCTCAAGTCTCCAAACCAAAGAACCACGTCCATAATGTACACGGGCTCCAAGGCCATCAATATTCGTACAGATCTTGCTTAAACCCATCTTTCATCTCCCTCCTTCCTTTGGTCTATTCATGTCCATTGGACCTAGGAAGAGCCAGTGCCCATGGCGACCAGGGCGGAAGCGTCGCCACCCATCTTCTTGCTCTCCTGGGAAACGCGGCTGATGTAGGTGCGGCTGGTGACGTTCCACATGGCGATGTACTTCTCCATGCAGCTGGACAGGCAGCTGCTCTCCTTGGAAGACATGGAGGAACCGGGGGCGGGAATGCAGGCGTCGTAGCAGTGCTCGTTGATTTTCTAAACGCGAATTAGCGGAGGTAAAGCGCAGGAAAGAGATGGTGACGTACTCCGATCAGAGCACGGGCGTTGTTCATGGCCGACTCCTGCTGCAGCTGCTGCACGAGGGCGGTCTTGATGTCCTCGGAGGACTTGGAGGGGGCGGAGGGGGCGGAGCCGAATAGAGACATGGTGAATGTGGTGGTGTTTGGATGATAGAAGTCGAAGAGAAGCCGAGTTCAGGAATTGAGAGAAGCTTCCGCTGTGGCTGGTGAACCCTGCGCCACACCTGATGTGGACACCTTACAGTGTGCATCTACAACACAAACACCTCCGTGATACTCTTCTACTTCTGTCTCCGCCATTCGCTCCCTCTGAATTCTCCCTTCTCTAATCCTTCTCTTCTATTGGGTTCTTGGGTTCTCGGGTCCTGGTGACACCGTTAAACCCGTTTCCCATTACCCTCCCACCTCCGGTCTCTCCTTGAGCAAGCCCCTCGGGCTCTACTTCGACTTTCCAACATGCGTCTTCCCGCCCTTTCTTCTCTCCTGTGCCTTGCTGGCTTGGCCTCAGTGCCCGTCGCTGCCTATGAAGGCGACCCCGATATCAAAAGCATCCCGGTAGGTCACTGTTAGTTGACACCATGTGCGCAACCGAAGTACTGATCGCAATCGTCGTATAGCTTCGAACCCACAGTCTCAGTCCGGTATGAGTTTCCTCGGATCAGTGCAGCTTGTCTGCCATGCTCAAAACGAGCTCGCGACTCGTTTACATCTCGAACACGCCCTTGTTAACGTTCGCGACAGCCATACCTCGATTCGGACTTCCAAAGCCGCTGGTTCGACTTCGGAGGAGATACAGTGATTCGGGCTGATAAGTGAGGTTCTTCTGCTCGTCTTTAATAAAAAGATAGGAAACTGATGAGTGTTCCTTGCTAGATACATTCGTCTCACAGCCGATCGGCCTTCGCAGCAAGGATGGGTCTTCTCTCGCGTGCCTCTGACCGCGACCAATTGGCAGGTAGGAAGGAATGCGATATATCAATTATATTATTTGTGAAGCTCACGGGTCTCAGATTGAGCTGGAATTCGGAATTCACGGCGAGGGCAACTTGCACGGTGATGGCTTCGCCATGTGGCTCACCAAGCAGCGCGCCACCCAGGGCCCTGTCTTCGGCTCTACCGATCGCTTCGAGGGTCTCGGCATCTTCATTGACACCTACAAGAACAACCGCCCGGGCGTGTCGTTTCCCTATGTCATGGCCATGATGGGCGACGGACAGACCACCTACGACCAGGCGCACGACGGCAAGGCCAACGAGCTGGCTGGATGCTCTGTACGTTCACTCGCAATGCTCCCTCTGTGGGACTCCAAGGCTCTAAACTAATAAATTTCCAGGCTCGTGGTCTTCGTGGCGCTCCTGTGCCTACCAAATTGCGCCTGACCTACTTCCAGGACAAGTCCCTCACCCTGGACCTCCAGTACAAGACCGAGGACTCGTGGACCAACTGCTTCACCCTCAACGCGGATGAAGCCAACATCGCCATCCCCTCCGTCGCTTACCTGGGTCTCTCCGCAGAGACCGGCGAGCTGAGCGATAACCACGACGTCATCTCCCTCAAGGCTGAGAACCTGTACTCGGTGAACCGCAACGGTGGCAGCCGAGGCTCCGACAGCTCTGGCAGCCGTAACCGTGGTAGTTCCGGCAGCAAGGCTCCCAAAGAGTCGGGCAGCTGGACCTGGTTCCTGTTCAAGGTTGTCTTGTTTTTCGGCGCCATCGTGGGCGGCTACTTCGGCTACACGATCTACCGTACCAAGGTGCGGTCGTCACGCTTCTAAACTCGCGAATCCCATGGATTACCATGAAAAAGCAGATTTTCTATTCAAATACCAGATTTGACATAAGGCACTCCGGTTTTGTTGGCCGAATGTTTTTCGTCTTGCATAGCCTTTGAATGCATGTGTTTATTTTCGTTGTTTTCAGGCACCTATATCTTTTTCTCTTGAAATGAATCCAGTCATGATAAGCTCATCATTGAAACGGTGTATGGAGTAGGAAGAATAAAGGGTATCGTAAACGCCGTCCAAATGCAACACCAGCTCTGTAAACTCAATCGAGTCCAATTCACAAAATGCATCAATGCCCGCGCTCTTCAGTCCACATACGATCGATGATCTGAAACACCTCCGTCACGCTTCGCATCACAGCCTCGTCGATGCCCAGAGCACCATACCTATGCTGCATCTTATCCGGATGCCAGCGCACACGCTCGACCTTGAGTGTCGCCGATAGATCGGCCCCAGGCACATGGCGCATAAAATCCTGGACAGAATCAGGATTCACATCGCGGCGCTTGCCCGACTCAACAGGCCAGAAGAGCAGATTCCGAAGCGGCTTCGCAGAGGCAGCCTCGGTATCAGATGCAGCTTCAAACTCCTTCACCACCTTGGCAATCTCCTCCCAACTCGCCAAATACTCCTGCCAAGCCCCCTCCCACGCCCTCCTCTTCTTCCGCTCCGCGCCCCGCCGCAGACTATCCTCCATGGCCCGCTCAAAGGTTCTGCGCTCATCCTCGCGACCGCGGCCCTGCTGCTCGCGCATCTTGGCTCTCCTACGCTCTTCGCGGAGTCGTTCCTGTTCTTCCACCATGCCCTCGCGCGTGCGTTCCCACATTCGCGCGCGCACGTAGGCGGCGTATTCCTCGTCGTCCATCTGTTCTAGTTCCCCGTTGGGCCCTGGGACCTCGGGGACGGCGTAGGTATGTATAGGTTGTCCGTAGACACTCTGCCAGTAGGCGGCGCCTTCGTCGTCGCCTAGTGCGTCGAAGAGCGATTCGCGGAACGCCACATTGGGCGAGATCGGTGGGTTGTCCTCATTTGGTGGATCTGGGGATCGATGCCTGTGACGCCGTTTGGAGGAGCGCTCGCTGTGTCTGTGACTGCTGTGGTGTCTTTTGTGGTGTCGAGAGTGGCTGCTGTGTTTGTCGCGGGATGAACTGCTTTTGAAGCGGAAGCGCCCTTTGCTCTGGCTTGATTGCTTGTACTCGTCTTTCTGTTCGGGTGGCTGCTCGGGTGGGCGAGGAGCACCCTCGGGATGGTCTTCCATTCTTGAGGGAGAATCTATGCCATGACGAGATGTTGAAGAGAAAGGTGAAGATGAAGACGATGATGGGTGTGGAAATCGTGACTTAGTCAGTCTTTATCGCTTATCGCTTATCGGTTGATCTACACAGTATACGTCGCTCACTTTTTTTATTTACGCTGCTTGCACTGCGGTGAAAACTACGATGAAATAATAAGTCGGGATGTTCATCAGATCGATTGCAACAAGAGATACACATACGCAACGCCAGCCCCATTCCCCTGATTCCTCGCCTATAACGCGTGCTATACGAACCAGTCCGATAAAAAAAAGATTCAAATGCGATAATGCGCCATGTTCTTCTTGATCTCGTCCACGATCTCAACTGCCTCCAGTGTACTCCGCGCTTCAAAGTCATACCGTTTCTGCTCTGTGGCATCATTTCCACGCAGAACAACGACCCGAAAGCTCTTCGGGTGCCGCCGACTGACCTTGCAGCCCACCACATCGTTGAAGTTGATTGAGCGGGTCTTCGTCTCAGATGCGGTCTTGCCCGTTTCTCCCGGCACAATGTGCATGTAGTCATTGTCAAAGGTCAAGATACGGTGATTCGAGGCGGTAAAGGACATGGGTTGCTTGCGGAAGACGTGGTAGCGTCGGTAGTAGCCGCCAATGAGGTCCTGTTTCTGCGAGGATGAAGGGAGCATTCGTTGGGTGCCCTTCTTGCTCTTCTTGCCTTTGTCCACTGATCCCGGGTTGACGCTCTCGACTTGCACGGGTAAAGTGGGTGAAGAACTGCCCGGGGAGCCACCGAGAGAAAGTGGCCCTGCACCGAAGCGTCGGCGTACGAGGTCAAGCTCAATGATATGGCCCAAGGCCTCCACCGTACGATCCAGCGGTGCAACGGTATTCGACCCCATCACCTTGAGTAAGTAGTTTCCCTTGTCCAGACCCCAGCGCTTGCAGACGGAGTCTAGAATCTCTGCGATATAGCTGTCTGAAGTTGTGTTCAGGGTCATGACATGTGCCGAGCCTTCCAGGTTGATGAATCGAATTTTCAAAGTCTTGGAGACACCCATTCGAGGAGTGGCATGCGAAATGGGGACCACTGGCCGATCTGCGGGGGTCAAGGTGCTGTCATTCAGTGCAGACGAGAATGGTTGACCCAGAATAGGATTCAGGCGAGGACCCGGAGTCTTCGCTGGCGCTGCAGCTTGGACACCTGGGACCGCAAGGCTGGCCGGGTGTTCACTGTCGTCGGATCCCACGCTCGTGCTGAATTGCGGATATAGGCGCTCGTTCTCGGCAAACTCCGCATTGGATGCTTCTACAAGTGCAAACTCATCGTATGGCTTGCCCCGTGAGCGACCACGTGCCTTTGCGGCTTGGTTGTTGTTCGAGGTGAAGTCGGTCATCGGGAGCGTCCGCCCGAGTGCAGGGAAATCGTATTCGACCTCCCCATCGTCGACCATTCGAAGCGCCCATCGATTCACGGTCAACTTCTCGCGTCCGATGGATGGGCCACGCGCGTCTTCGGAATACTTCCAGAGCGCAAGGCCAATTGTCTCAGCAACGGTCACCGGTGCAGGTTGCTCTGATAGCTTAGACTCTCGCATAAGCGGCACATCCAGTGGGTCTTCAGGATCAGAAGAAAAGGGAACGTAAATCTTCAAGTACAACGGATCCTCCTGTCCTCTTCCAGAGAGCACCATGAATTTCTCTACCGGGTTACTTGGGGCACGTTTGCGAGATTTGAGTTGGCTAGTCAACAGGCTAACCGGCTGCACTGTGCTGATAGGCCGCGGGGGTGGGAGATCGTGTAATTCGGGAGCCGGAGTCTTCGATTTGCGCGGAGAGGAAGTCTGACTCGGACCAGTTCCCGCGGGCAGCTTGTGCATCAAGACCATTGGTGAAGATGAGTCCATGCCTAGACTGCCGTTGATACCCGCCAGCAGTAATGAGCCAGAGCCAGCTGTGGCGTCGAATTCAGAAGAAAGGGCGGAGCCCACAGACTCGGCACCGGAATCTTCATCCTCCTCGTGCAAGTCTCCGAGGGCAATGCTCTCTGCCCCGCGACTGCCGGTCCTCTCTCGTCGCTTCCGGGGATGCCCGACCACCTGGTCCATTGTAGAGAACTGGACTTGGCCTTGTCTGTAGCTCTGCGACTCGACCTCATTGTCCGTCGACAGGTCACTGCTAGTAGTTGTATCTCGGCGCGGTCGTTGCGGTTGTCGTAGCTGTTCTTGCTTTGTCCCTGTAGTACCCGCTGATCCCATGCGGTTATGAGTTGCAAGATTGTGCGTCGAAGGGGACGTAATCATGAGCTCCGGACGATCACGGTGTTCCGAGCGAGTGGGAGAAGAATCGGCGCGATCTCGGTGGATGGGCATTTTGGAGAACTTGATCTGGTCGGCAGTGCTATACTTGAGAGTCAGACACATGCAGGGCGACACTAGGCAGGACTCAGAAACAAACCTATTCATGCTCTCCATCTCCTCGTCACTCTCATCACTCAGGTCACTGCTGTCGTCGTCCTCCGCCTCCGCATGGCGCTGGACTTCTTGTTGGCGTTCACGCCGGCTTTTCTTCTTCCCAGGACGTGCGGGGTGTCTTCGTGCTGTAACATCTCCTTGGCTCTTGCCAGTGACCATGCCCCCTTCGTCATCCTCGCCGTCCTCCACGCCGAGGCCCTGGAGTTCATCCCGCGCGGCGTTCGCGTCGCGAACTGCTAATCGGTAGTATTGTGAAGAGACCGCAGCCGTAGTCGGGATCGGAGGCGAATAGGTGCGCTTGATATGGCCAGTGGTTTGGGCATTGTTTGTGGACGCGGCTGACCAGCCCGCGGCGCGGAATCCGGGGGTGTTGAGAACGGCGTCGTTGACGTTAATGAGACGGTCACCGATGCCGTCTTTAATCGTCGAAAGGTATGATGATCGCAACTGCCAGATGGTAAAGCTAGACTTTCAGTTAGTCCATGCAACGGTTATCGTACAGGGTGAAGAGGGGGCTAGGGATCTCCCCAATCGGATTTCCCCAATCTCAACGTCCGACTTACTCTTCATTGTGAAGTAGAGACATCTTCTCGGCCCTCGAATGAAGGGGACGAGATCCCGTGAAGAGTACGGGAAGCGCTGCTCTGTCAATGGTGATCGCGTACAACGAACAAGGTCGGTCACCACAGCAGTCCCGTCAAGGCCGAAAGTGCATACTCGGGGAGGACACGCACTCCCCAATCAGGAATCAAGTGAGTCTCGCTCAATCAGGGCCAGCCTGGACGGTAAAAGAAAGAGATGCGCAAAAGACATGCGCTGAGCCAGGTGGAGGTGAGTAGTGGCGGAGGCGGATCCTTGCCTTTCCCCGCCCCTGCACAGGCCTTGCTCGGCATGTTTGACTTGAACTACTCTTCCAAATGCTGTGATAAAGTTCGAGGCACATTCGTTCTGCTTCATCATTGGGGTTTTCTTGCACTTGTAAATTAGCTATCACGACTTTTCCCGATGGCCTTACTGGTGATATATATATGCAGGGGCAAGCTTTGGATTCCAAACACTACATTACATTCCTAACAGTGTCTTCAAAATGCCACTCTACGCGCCAATCGATGAGATTTGTTAAATCAATCTACAGGTATCCATTTACAGCCATTGTCGAATACATTTGGTGTGCCCTGCACATGTGCTATGACCTTGGGGCATTCCATGGGGAAATATCCGTGTCATCTGTTGAGATTACCTACGTTTATGTATTGCATATAGAAGTATTCATGCATCGCGCCCAATACATCATCGCTCAACGTCTCAATAACTCTATCAGAATAGATCAGTATTTTATCTTCCTCATCATATACCGTCTGCTTGAGCTTACTGGAAGACGCCAGCTATTCCAACAGAAGATTCAATCCCTGGCGTCGGACTGACGTGCCTTGCGCCGACAAGCGGACAGCCACGGAACACCAACGCCGTTATAAACAAGATTACGACTTGCCATTTCGAAGTGGTAAGAAGCACGAAAGTCGGATAGATCGTAATCTCGGTCGGAGAGGATGTCTCAGGGTTGGATGATGGCCACGCGTTTACATTGCCAATCACGGACCAATCCGCCTTCATTTGTAAGGTCTTCGGTGCTTCGGTGCTGGCGAACCCGATCATTCCTTCATGACTTCATCTTTCATGCAGGTCACCCAGGAAATGCAAACACACTAAATATGGCAAAAATGAAAAGGACACTTGTGATTCGTAGTAAATGAAACCCATTCTCCTCTCCAGCATGCAAACAATAGAAGAAGTGCAAACAGGCTAAACATGGCAGATGATCGGAGATGGGTGATTCGTAGTGAGTGAAACCCTATCTCCCATCTTACGTCAATTTACAAGGAGATGCAAACGTGTTAAACTTTGCAAAGCAATGGGATATTTGTAATTGAGAGTAATGAGAATGGGACTACCCCAGACAATCTCACCTTGGACCACAGTTAAAACGGATCACATCTTACCAGCACGCAGATTGATCGTCCTTAGACTCGGGATTCTTCCATCTTCCTTTCTATACTTGCACTGTACCCGAAACCCCGTCAAGATCTAACGATGACGACGCACGAGGGTGTTGTACTGATCATCGGAGCTGGTCCTAACGTTGGAGCCTCCGTCGCCGCCAAATTCTCAGAAAACGGTTACCGCGTGGCTTTGGCCGCACGCAGTCTGACAGACGGTCTTTCGGCCGATGGAAACCTCCATATCAAGGCAGATCTATCCCAGCCAAGCGGAGTTCCATCAATCTTCCAGAAAGTGAAAAAGGCCTTTGGTATCCCCAATGTGGTTGTGTATAATGGTTCGTTACATTATACCTCTGACTACGTGTAGCTTCGTGCTAACCTTGGAAGGGGCCTACCGTCTGACCACTCCTCCCGACGACCCTTTTGCCGCACCCGTTGAAGATTTCCATCACACGCTCAAGGTTGGCCTAGACAGTGCTTATATCGCTGCCCAGGAATCTCTTCGGGGCTTCAAGGAGCTCCCCGCTTCAACCTCGAAGGCATTCATCTATACCGGAAATGCTTTGAATCAGATCGCAATTCCCGGCACTCTGCCATTCGGGGTGAGTAAAGTGGCAGGTTCACTATTCATCGAACATGCCGCTTTGGCATACGGAGAGAAAGGCTACAGGTAGGCTTCACCGCGTGGTGCTTATCCAAAAGGAGTTGTTGGGTGGGAGAAATATTCTCTCGACTAATATTTGAGCAGATTCTACTACGTGGATGAGCGTCTGCCGGACGGTCGACCGGTTGGCTTCCCAGTTAGTGCCGGTGCCCATGCAGACATGTTTTGGACACTGGCGAATGAGCCCAAGCAGACCCCTTGGCTCGTGACGTTCACCAAGGAAGAAGGAAGGAAGCCATTTGTCGGTGTCGACTTTGATGGCAACACTCGGGAATCCCGTATGAGGAGGCTTAGCCAGTGATCGAGGCGTGTTGCACAAGGGGATCCAAGGAGCAGAAGTAAATGAATACCCGTAGCTTACAATTTGCCACTCCTAACAAGTCGAGGGTCAACACATGTTTCTAAATTGACGAAAGGAAGAAAGAGAAAGCATCTTTTTACCTGCTACCACTCATCAGAATGTGCTCAGTTACATAGTTGAAAGAATCACTGACAGATGGGTGCTGACTAGACTGCGCCAAGACCCGCACCATAGTTACGACGTGGCTCGATGAATATTGCGATAGTCGGTCAATCTATGGATTGAGAACGATTCCTCAGGCCCAAAATGTAATAATTGTCATTTCGAGTCGCATAAGTTATTAGAAGTTTTAAACAAAATAGGGGGAGGGGGGTATTTTCGAGAGTGGCGGCGACGTGCCCTGGTGGTCGTGGTCGGACACAGCTACGGTCATGTTCGCGAACCGCAGTGCTGAGCTTGGGTTCCCCTCGGAAGCATAAGACGCGTGTTTGGGTGCAAAGCGGTATTAACGAGAAGGATTGGGAGACAGATGCAGCAAGAACATGTAGTTGTACTTCCGGATTTGGGAAAAAGGCAGGCAAGGCACGGCCCGCCACTCCACTGGAGCCTCGCCCACAAAGTCGCCGAGATGCCCCCGAACATGATCGTCCTCGCTCCTCATCCCCTCGACCTGCGAGCTTCCTATTCCTATCTTCAGTTTTTATTTGCTGCGGCTCCTCAACGACCAGCAATGGCACAGCAGCCACCAATCTATGATATCGGTCCATTTAAATCAAGCACCAAGAACACAGACACGCAATTGAATGTTTATGTGTCCAACAAACGCTTTAGAATCGATCTCTTTACTTCCAACTTCGAAAGCTCTCCTGCTCTATTGGCCGAATACCTTCGACACGTTCAGCATCAAGAACCAGAATGGATCCCTGATGAGTCAGAGGTAGATGCAGATGGGGAATATGAAGACCCCCTTGATGAAATGCATGATTGGATCTTGCAACCATTTCTGCCAATTTTCCACGAAATTAATCCCCTGAACCCAAGCCAAAAGTACACTCTCGAGGATTGTCTGTTTGCAGAAGAATTGCATCACATCGTGCAGGTAGTGGGAGACAACATAGTTCCCGTTTATCTCAACAACACCAAGAACATGAAAAATCATCTCATCGGGGCCTGCTTACCATCTTTGTCAACTACTCGATATTTCCTGTCTACCACCCCAGAGAGGTCCAAGTTGCAACTGATGCAAATTCCGCTGCACTGCCAGGAATACCTCGCAAGGTATTTATCCACGGGCAGTCACAGGCTAGCTTCTTCAAGATAGTCTATGGAGGTGACACGGGCATTACCACAAGAGAGATTCTCACATATTCAAAGATTCACATGGCTAAATTCGATTCCGCAATTCTAACATCACAATTGGAAGGGCTGGTCCAGGATGATGATGGGGATGTCATGGGATTGGTTCTATCATACATTGATTACGATGGAGCTACACTCAATTGCCTTGACGGACGTGATCCTAGGTTTTCCGAGCTCCGACAAAAATGGGTTGATCAGATTTCGCACAAACTTAAACACCTTCATGCACACAATATCATCTGGGGAGATGCAAAGGCAGCCATTGTGCTCATTGATGTCAATGAGGACGCATATCTGATTGATTTTGGAGGGGGTTGTACTGAGGGTTGGGTTGATAAGGAGAAGTCTAACTCAATCGAGGGAGATCTGCAGGGACTTCAAAATATTAAGCGGTACCTTTTTGAATGAATTCCAGGCGACTTTCATTCAGCTGCCTGGCACTTTTATGCGTAACCTCGCGACGAACAACAGGCGAGCTGTTTCTCTGACCAAGCGGGCTGGCCGAGGGTTATACTAGCTCTGAAAATAGTAGTTTCAAGGGCTTCGAAGCGCGATATGCATTCCAATGTTTGCGCTGCGAACGAAAATGATCGAGATATGTTACAAAAGATACAGCCTAAGCCTTAGCCTTAGCCTTGCCCTTGCGGCCCTTCTTCGGCTTCTCCTCGCTGTCGTCGACGAAATCGTCTTCAGCCGACGCCTTTTTGGTCTTCTTGCCCTTACCAGCCGGCTTCTTCTTCGGCTGGCTGACGTATTTGTCCTTCTTCAAGTCCAACTCCTCATCATCTTCCTTGGCCTCCTCCACAACCTCCTCTTCATCAGATTCTTCAATGGCATCTTCAATGTCGGGCTTTTCCTTGGGTGCTGCCTTCGGCGCCACTACTTGGCTGGCTTTCATGAATGGGAGCGGGTGTGAGCGCTGGTTATAGACACGCGTGAACGTGGCCTTGGTCTGCGTGTCGATTTTGACGTTGGACTGGTCCATGGGTCCCAACCCAAGCTCCATAACTGCGTCAAAGTCATCACGAGTCAGGAAATAGGAGTCCATGAAATCGATGACATCTTCCACGCTCTCCTTGCCTTCGTTCATGAGGCGTTGGACTGATTTATCCCAGACATAAGGCATGTACTGCTGGCGGATTTCATCACGACTGCCCGAAGTACGAAGGCGCATGTGGCCTTGGATCTCCTTGACGAAACGGGACAATTTGCCTGAAAGAAAAAGTAATTAGGATGATTATGCGAGACTAGGACACAATATTTTGACTTGCCTTGCTTACTGTTTTGGCCGAGCCAGCTGGTGAATTGAGGCCTCTCGCCCATGTTTCCATATTGGAAACTAGCTGGCCGCACAAAGCTGAAGGCTGCGTGCGTGGGCATGAGACTCCACTGCTGCTGCGTACCGTGGATCATGCGGTCGACAAGGTCGCCGTCGCTGATACTCTCGGCCGCATTGTCTGCCAGCTCAAGCTGCTTCAGTTTCAACTCTCTGCCACTCTTGGATGATGCCAGAGTAGGCTTGGTTCTCAGGTAGTTTTCTTGGAGCATCAAGTAGCTGAATTCGTGATCGTTGAAGTAAAGCTCGATCTTGTCGTTCAAGGTCGAATTGGAGCTTGGCGCGAACATCTGTGCACTGAGAATCTTGCTGACAATATCCCAAGGCTTCAGGATAATGTGCTTCTCCCACGCCTTGGACATCTGCTTGCCCTTGTCGTAATCAAGATTGCCCTGACCTAGCTTGGCAGCAGACAGCATGTTAATGACTTGTCGGATGTCGGCATGTGTGCCCTCAATGAGGCTATCCAAGACAGGCGGCGGGATCTTGAGTTTCTCGCGGAAGCAGATTGTGGTCAGTCTAGCTCGAATCTGTTCGACGGTTGGGCGCCTGAAGGGAATATCGAAGGTAATGTGGTCAAATGGCTTCATCTTCGGTAGTCGTCGCTCGTTGCAAATGAGGATCAGTGGGATATTGGTCTTCTTGGCAATGGCTGCAACTGCTCCAACTCCACCGCGGTCACCGGCTGACATGCCATCGACCTCATCCATGATCAGGACCAATTTCCTTTTGCTACTGTCGACTTTCTTGCCATCCCCGGCGAAGTATCCTTGCAAAGATGTCGTATCAAGAACACCGAGTGTGCTGTTCTCAACGAGCTTCTTGCTTCGCGTATCACTGGCGTTGGTCTCCACAACATCGTATCCTTCCATTTTAGCCACCAAGTGCGCGGCCGTAGTCTTGCCTATGCCCGGAGGACCGTGGATCATGACCGCGCGGTACTGTCCTGATCCATCTTTGCCACCGACCTTAAACTTGAGTTTGGAATTTCTATCCCAATTGCGCAGCCATGTTTGAAGCTTCTCCACGTTGGACTTGTTGCCACAAATCATGGAGTAGGAGGTCGGTGCGTATTTGGTAGTCCAGAGCTGATCATCGACAGGCGCGGCTTGAGAACTTTGGGAAGCAGGCGGAGTAGAATCGTTAGCAGAGGCTTTGTTCACCCGAGCAGCCTGTTTCTGCTTTTCCTCTGCTTTTCTCTTCTCCTCGGCATCGATTTCTGCTGCCATCTTGCGGACCTTCTCCTCTTCAGCCTTCATCTTTTCCTGGTATTTTTCTGCCGCTTGTCCTGAGCCACCATTGGCAGGCATGCGTCGAATCAACTCGAAAAGGCCATCCTCATTAATTGTCTTCAGGTTGTTCTTTGCAATGGTTTCAAGTTTTTTTGGGCCAGCATCACTGCCAAGGACAACATAGTTCGTCTTAGAGCTGGGGGCACCAGTGCACTTGCCACCATATCGTTTGACAAGCTCCTGGCCCTCCTCACGGCCCAGTGTCTCAAGCACGCCAGTGAAGACAAACGTCAGGCCTGCCAGACAGTTCTCTGCGCCTTGAGGAATGTCCTTGGTTCCCGAAACTGGAGGAGTACGAGATCGTGCACCTCCGAACGGAAACTTCTTGTTCTCCCCGCTGGGGGCTAGAGGTGATGGCGGTCTAACCAAGGGAATGCTGTCGAAGATATCCTGAACCTCCTTGTTTTCGGGTGCAGGTTCCTTCTTCTTCTTTGGCGAGGCCTTCTGCCTTTTGGCGGCTGGGGATGCTTTAGGTCGAGCGGGCTTCTTGGCGTTCTCTTGGAAATCTCCGTCTTCATCTTTGTCAATTAGAGCTTCTGACTTGCGCTTGCGACCAGGACGTGTGGTTTTGGGAGCAGGCTTAGGTAGGTCCTCCATGATCACATCGTCTTCTTCATCATCATCATCGAGGGCTGTTCGCTTCTTCTGGGACTTTTTGGATGCTGCAGTAGCAGGTTTAACCTCAAGCATCTCGAAGTCATCGTCGTCGTCATCGCTGTCCACTGCCACATAGTCGTCTTCCCCCTTGCCACGCTTCCCATATTCGGTCGCGAAGATGTCATCTCCACCGAGGCCTTCGTCTTCAACGATGGCTGTAGCTTTCTTGGATGCTCGGGGGGCGCTTCGAGCTGACTTTGCGGGAGCATCATCTGCGTTCTTGCTCTTTGCGGGTTCAGCTTTGGCACCTCGCTTCTTGCTGGATGCAAAGTAGTCCGATGTCGTCGTGGGTTCGCCCTTGGCTTCCTCTTTTCTGCAATAGTAATATTGTCAGTGACTGCAATGGAACTCTTCAACAGACAAACATACGACTGGGTCTTGGGCTTCGCTTTAGGAGTAGGCGCCTTTGCAGGCGCGACCTCCTCATCTTCGTCACTGTCCTCCACAACCTTCCTGCCGCCTGTAGAATAATTAGCTCCGGAGTAAGATGTAGGAAGGATATCGAGGCCGTACGCTTCTTCCTCGCAGCAGAGGGGTCCTTCATGATAACGCAGAGATTAGCAAGAATGGCCACTGTTAAGGAAGAAATTCAGAGCAGGATCCTAGGTAGCCCGCTGTGAATTGAGCAGCAGTAGCTTACTTCTTTCTTTGCAGGCTTCACATCATCGCTTTGGCTGGGCTTGCCGCCGAAAAAGCTCCGGATGTCAGAAGGCATCTTGGACGCCACCGAGCACAGGGGGTTCAAAGCGTGGGGGCAGGGCACCGGCGCAATTGGGGATGAACAAGAAGCTTCACGGCCTCCGACTGTCGCCTGCAGCGCGGGTGACGCGACGGGGGACGTGACGGCTGACTAAGAGACACGCACGACACGTGACTATACAATTAGCCCATTTTGGGACTAGCGCCGGACATCTCGAAAAGTGCCGTTTGGCTTGCGCAAAGAACCACCGCCGTCATTTGCATCCCTGGTCGCCTCCCTCGGTCACAATGGGTCCTCAGATTAAGATGCTTGCTGGGCCCCTGTCGGCTTGCACCCGGCCAACATGTGCGACCCCTTCTCTGCCGCCCTAGAGCGATTGCCGCGACTCGAGACTGACAACTGTAATCCAGGTCTGCCAGGATCACTACCTACCTTCTCTCTGGCACGATGCTTCTCAACTACCTCGCCAGCCCTTGATTGGCTCACTCCGAAGTTCGCCGAGAAGTCCAAGTCCCCCAAGGGTCGCCCTCACGTCGCTACTGGTGGGTCGACTCGCGGAACAACGGTGGTGTGGGGAGACTTTGGACTCCGCATGAAGGACCACGACCGCCGAATGCCCTCTTCGGCTTTGAAAATCGCAGAGGAGACGATCAAGCGACGATTGAGAGGCATGAACTACAAGCTGTACAAGCGGGTCAGCGCCAACATCGGTGTGTACACCAAGGGTAACGAGCAGCGTATGGGTAAGGGTAAGGGTAAATTCGACTACTGGACTGTGCGACTTCCCGTCAGCCGCGTCGTTTTTGAATTGAAGGGTGACCTGCACGAGAAGGTCGCTCGTGAGGCATTCAGATTGGCTGGTCACAAGTTGCCCGGTATGTTTTGATTACTCAATCTCATTCTGCCTAACGCGGTTGATATTCATTCTGTACAGGTCTCTGGGAATTCGTCAAGAAAGATGACCCCCCCGTCGTTGGAATCACCAAGCTCGGCAACGGCGTCACCCTCGAATCTCTTAAGCGTGCGCGCAGAGATCCGCCCCTCGGAACCAACGACCTCGACAATCCGCCGCAAAGCACGTCTTCCAGCCCTTCCTCCTCTCAATAATTCCGCCCATTTCGCACACGATACCGGTTTTTCATGTTTCCTCCACACCCTTTTCCTTTTACCGTGTTGACCTAAGCCCCGACATCGGACCCGGGCCCATACCCCTGCTGTCTCCTTGTCTTTGCAGCTGCTGTATCGCCCATGGTGTCGAGATCCCGATCTTTTGTACATTATTGTCAGCTTTTATACACCTCGCAATGTGGCCGTTGAAGCCCGGCCTTCCGAGAAGATGTTTTGTCTCTATATTAGGAGTTTAGACAGAAGGATATGTTCTGCATTTACCTTTGCCCGATTCATCAACCACACCCATTCCTAGCTTTTGTGCCAAGATATATTCGTCTCGGCTGGCGGTGCCTTCTTGTACGGGTTCAATGCCATTATAGAGCTCACTTTTAGTATGGGGCTCTCCAGCTGGAAGGTCGTCAGCTACTGCTAGCCTGCGTTGTGTTTAGGGTAGAGGGGTAGCGTACCGCCTAGCTGACCAGTCTGTCTTGCAGGAGTGATTGTAAATTCACGGATGGATTCGTATCTAGGCTTCTGTCAATGGCCCTGTAATGTGTTCTGGCTTGATTTAGAATTGCATACTGCGTGCTCTCTCCGCCGGGTTCCATATCAATAAGTCTTGGGTCGGACATCCTAGGGTAGTCCAGCAGAATTCGGTTTGAATTTGGAAGTTATAAGAAAATTATCTTTCAATGCCCGAGGAATATTGGTTTAAATAGGACCGCTTGCAAAATCTGGGGTTGAAGGTCGAGTGACGGTATGTGATGACGTAGGTACCGCGGAAGGTTTCTGGGAAGGTTTCTGATCAACATAAACACCCTATGACGTGGGGAAGATACTGATACTAGTAGTGTCGATAAACGGGGATATGCAATGGTTTCATGAATTTCGGTGAGATCATGCTTCCAGGGTAGCCGGCAAGTCAGTCGAATGCAATTTTTTTTACTATTTAATGCAAAGCTCAAGAGACAAGAACAACGCCAGAATTCTTCACGAGAAAATGCCTTGATGCGCCTGTAAGTAGTCGGAGAACTAGTTTCTCGGCATTGAGGAGTTTATCAGTTCTGTATAAAGACAGAATGATAGTCTCAAGTTCATCGAGATTGGTAATCGCCTCCGTAGTGTACAATCATCATTCATCCATTGTTTGGGATCTAAAAGTCCATGCCCATCAAATAACTGGAAGGTTTTAGTGAACGTATTTCAAAACCATTTGACTTCGCGACTGACCTTTCATAGATGCGCATGAACTTTGCCACGAAAGCCTCGAGGTGGAAAATTACTTTCTGTATTGCGCATGCAAGTTAGCATCAAAATCACCATCTGAGGGCTAATGGTCACAACTTACACTTCCCAACTTAATTCGGTGCTCGTAAAAGGCAGACCACCTGATGACATCGGGCTTGAGCGCGTCGTCAACTCGCGAAACAAGCTTGAATGTCAAGGTCTAACATGCGTGATGTCAATCTAATGTATTCTAATTCGGAGAATATTGAGTTACGAACCTTGAGAATGGTAGATGGGGGAATGCAGTGAGTCAAAAGATCATAGAGACGAGCGCGGACCTGCAACAGTCGAGCCGGTGATCGTTCCGCAAGGATCTCATCCGCCGTCACCGTGATAAGAGCTTCCCAATCTGGCGGGGGGATCGCGGTCTTGTCTGTAACTTTTTCACTTCGATTCCACCCGTGTCAGCATCCAATCAGTCTCAATGGCCGTCGAGGTTGAACCTACTTCTGGGCATAGATAGCCTCGAGCATAAGTAGCGCTCGGCGCAAGTTCCGCCCACTCTCCTTTGCGATCCTCTTGTTCAGCCCCTCGGCCTCGGTCCAGCCTTCCCTCTTCGTAGCAATCCGGAGCGCTGAGCAGATATCGGTTTCAGTCGGCGCAGCCACCCTGACCAGCAGGGTACGCGAGCGGATCGGGGCAATAATGTTCGAGGTGCTATTGGCCAAGAGGATCAAGCGCAGGTTAGGACTGTACTTTTCCATGGTACGGCGCAGCGCAGCCTGGGCATCGCGCGTGAGGTGGTCGGCCTCGTTGATCACGACCACTTTGAATCGTTGCTTCGCGGATAGATCGACCTGCTGCGTCTGGGCGACCTCTTTCAGCAATTCCTGAACCACCACTCGGTCGTAGTTACCGACGTCGGCAGGCGTGATCTCGAGATGGTAGACAGAGGAAACGATGTTGAATTCCAGCTTGCGGTTGCTTGTCGTTTGGAACACTCGTGCGTCGATCTTGATCTTCTCAACTCCCGGTCCGTACAGTTCTTTCAATGTCGCAATGATACGTGTCTTCTTGCCTGCTCCCGATGGTCCATATACCAGAAGATGAGGGAAGTCTCCGCTTTGAGCCTAGAGTAGCATGGTTGTTGCGTGAGCAGCTTGCCAATCTTGCCAGTGCGAGGCACTCACCAGGGACCGGAGGCGGTCTGAGAGCTCGGGGTGGTATGTGAGGGCATCAAGCGTTCGCGGACGCAGCTTGTCGACAAGGAGAGCCATTGTGAGCTCTGATGTTTTCGAGATGGATGGGGGGTTCTCGTGGGTGGACTTGGAAAATGGAAATTGGGGGAACGCGTCGAGAACACGCGCCTAATTAATGAGTGGTCCGTGCACGCACTTCCAGCACTCTTTGATGCACCATCTTTGATCTTTGATTGGTAGATTTGCTAGTGGTATATTTACAAATAAATCTTGGAAGGGATGTTGTAGTATCAATGTGGGATTGTCTTCTATATTTACAGTGGGGATCAGGGGATCACCTATGTCCCAGTCTCCTTATAACTCCAGACTATAGTATGGACATTTTTGTCAAGATGAGATGGGCGCAGAAAGGGCTGCACCAGTGATGATGTACTCTGTTGTAATAGATTCAACCGATTTGCGGCTGCGAGCACTGGTCAGCCCCCAAAAGATTCACAATGCTTACAATCCGTTTCCACGGAGTGATCATTGAGGGATGGGCTTCAAGACCCCATTGTCATCATATTTCGCTTCTATATTGGGTCAGTCCAGTCTCCAATCAGGAACAAGAAGAATCGACTTACTGAAGAAAGTATAAGACAGCGTAATCGTATCTATACCCTGCATGTTCGGATCCGAGGCAAAATCGGGATCAATGAAGAAGAAAACGGGCATGTCCACAGACTCGCCCGCATTCAGCTTCTGCTCTTCAAAGCAGAAACACTGAATCTTGCTAAAGTACGGTGCTACCTGTCCTGGCGTGACGCTGTACGTTGCAACTCCAATAATATCTGAGGAGCTCTTGTTGGTCGCAGTGTAAAATGCCAGCGCCGTCTCGCCTGGCAGAACCCGCACTTCGCGTTGCTGCGGGGTAAACTTCCAGGGCAAAACGTCGGATACGGATCCATTGAAGGTAATGCGGAGGCGTCGAGAGTCTGTCACTGGCGTCACACGCGCAGCTGTGTCGCCGTCGCCGGTGCGGTGGGTGAGAATGGGCTGCCCGCCCCAGCCGGTTTGTTGGCAGATCTACAACAGAAAGAGTGTTAGTGAGGTGTCCCCGTAGGTTTCTCGGAATATGAATAGCAATCCGAATGGGCCTAGACGCACCATTTTGTACAGAGGAACCGAGCCGTAGGCAAGAGCGACTGTTCCGAGGATGAGACTGATGGTATAGTACCTGGATGGAGCCGCTGTCAGTATTTGCAAGGTATTGAACAGAGCTATATGAGCCCGACTCACATAGTAGATGTATTGCGCTGCTGCGATTGCGGCGTGTTGAACGGTGCCGAGGACGCATGACGCTTCTCGTGCAGAAAGGCATTTCTCGAGAAGTACCTCCTCTCAGCTTCGAAAATGCCTTTCCGCAAGGAAATCGGCCGTCGAGGAATGGTCCCCGTTATTGTGCAGAGCCCCCTCATGGGGAGCAGTGTGGAAAACATGATTGTTGAATTTCAATTGGAATCAGATGTTCGACTCCAACGGGATTCGATAGGAAAACGGCTGGTGCACGTGACCACTACTTATCGATAAGCACATCACCCTATCACGATTTGAGCAGTCCCAGGACGAACTTTAAATTTCGCTGTCGAACTATTTGGTAACTGATGAAAGGAAGAAGAATGCCACTGAATAATATGGTTCCTGCCCAGGTGTATTGACTTTTGTGAAGATGCCTTGATATATAGTCCACTTCTATCAATCATCTCTATGTTTACTGAGCTAAAAACCAGTGATTTGACAAATGCAAGTAACTAACACTTGGCTATAATGATGTCAAGCCTTGAATGCTATCGATTCGTAGTTGTAAAAGCCTCTTCTAAAGACAGTCCCAAAGACCACACCATAATAATACAAACAACGAAGGACTTGACACTTCCTACCAGAAGGATAATCTAATTCAACACACTGTTGGTGATGCGGCCAAAAACACCTCGGATCAACTTGGGATTTTCCCGAAGGCAAGTGAGAAGAACGGCGGCGCTGACAGCGAAGGCGATACGCTCGCGGTATTGATACTGGAACAGAGAGAAGGAAAAGCGTTAGCAACCGCATGACCACACCTCGGGGTTCGAAGAGGGCTGGACCGTATGGGTGTACCCCCTTTGTAAAGCTCGAACATACCTTTGCATCATACAATCGTGGCAATATCGTGGCCGCAGCGCGGGGTGCCACAAAAAGCGCCAACTCCTGTCTCTTCCGCGCTTTCTCGGCCAATACACTCCACCCACACATGAGACATCCCGCTCCGACGCAGAGTCCGGAATCCCACATCAGCGGAGTGACCGTCTTCTGGTCGAAGATCCGGGGGCCCAGGCGCGTTCGAGAGAGACAAACGGCGTAGTAGAACAGGCTCACAAATGAGGCAAGGAAGGCAGATGATTGGGCACCTTCAGAGATTGCGCGGCCAAGAGCAGCCGGACTATTCATCCCTCGTAGGTGCAGGACCATCTGTAGTGGGATGTAGGTTGCACAAGCAAACTTGAAAGTCCTGGCAAAGCGATACAGCGCGTGTATCTCGCAATTGGGGCCGCAGCCCATGTGTACCATCTCGCATGGAATGGGCACTGTTTTGGCGGGATCCCCCCATTCCTCGGGCCAGTCGTAGTCTCTGCACATGGATTCGAGAAGGGGTGCTTGGCCTGTATCTTTTCCGTATACAAAAACCCCTCGGCGAGCCCGGCGGAGGGCCTCGATTAAACGCGAGTCCACCTTGGCTACCTCCCCAATCCATTTCTCGTACGTTCCGGGCAATCTCTCCGGCTCATAGAACCACGCCCACATGACCACGGCCGCGCTCATTGCAAAAACCCCTGCATCTGCCAGACCTGGAGCTAGGGACTCGGCGAGAGTCCAGCGATTCTGAGCCTTGCGCCGGCGGTACCAGCGATTCCACGCTAGACATGCTATCACGTCCACTGCTCTTGTGACTGTAAAAAGCGTCAGATCCATCGTCCTCCCGACCAACTCGGGACGGGGATGGTCAAGCGGATTGGCTACGGCATCTTTGCTGGGTTCTTGATCTGAGGAGGCCCTTTTGGACCGGACATTGTCCCACGAGAGAAGACGTTTTTTGTTCAAAAGCTCGAAACTAAACCATGCAGAGACAAAGGCAGAGGCGAATCGAATCAGACGGCGGACAGTCTGGGATATCCGGATGTCACCTTTGGAAGGACCGGCAGCAATGGATGTGAATATCCGATACAACAGTACCGGAAGCAAATTTGAACCACCGACCAGAGCGGCACAAAAAGTCGGGAAGCTGTTGATGCGCAGAGGCCCGGCTAGAACCTGAGCCAACTACAGGGTTTCGGGGTCAGCATGCGCTATTTTGAGCAACCACCCAACGGTTTTTTTCTGCACACGGGGGCCGTGACACCAAATATCATTCATCGCGCAAACCACAAAGATAGAGGCGCGACGCCTTCGACGTACCTCTCGAAGCTTCTGTTTGGGAGACAAGTCTCTGCTTGCAAGCCGTCGCGCGTAGGTGACGAGCTTGGGGGTGACAGCAGATAGATATCCCAGGGCATAGGCGCGAAGGATGCTACAGGGCGATCAGCAAGGTACCTTCACCCTGGTTAGAGATCTCCACGCCACAGACAGCACGGGAGATCGGAAAACAACCAAAAAAAAGACTTACGGCTTCAAGATCCGGGTTTTGACGTGCCTGTCAGGAAGACCCGATCGGAGATCCATACCGCCGGCAAGCTCTATGTCGTAATCCGCGGGGCGAAAAAATAAGCATCCCACTCGGCGATTCACGACCAATTGACCCCAGGACTCGTCAGCCAAGCCCGGGGGTGGTGGGACGGGGAGCGTCCTATCCAAGAACAACGATTGGGGAGGGCCGCAAGGCGCACCAGACCCGAAAATTGGGTAGTATTTTCAGCTCGAGAAAGAGGGGAGAACCGACGCTCCTGTCACCTGCAGGATCGATCGATGCCCTATGATCAACCGTGGATCTGTGTAACGACCAAGCTTAAGTGCTTAATATGAGGGACCGTCGGAGCCTAAGCAGAAAGCAGAAAGGCAGAAGGACCTCGGTTCCGGGGGAAGGTCCCCTGAACCATGGAAGAACGAACTAGTGAACGGGGGAGAAGCGACGATCATCCACACGGTCGCAATTATAGTCAAAAGTGGCCGGTCGGTTACGGGGCTCTGCTGAACCAGGCCCACGGGAGATTTAATTAAAAGCCCAAAGAGGGAAGGATCGAACGCCTCCGAACAGAAACGAGACGAGACCGAGACTAGCAGCACGGACCCCGGGGAAGGGCCTCGGTGGGTAGGGGTTTGGAGGGGGGACGAGCCAAGCAGAGAGGTGAAGGGAAGGTTGAAGTGGGTTTGTACCGAACACCTGGAATCGTGGTCGGCCTCAAAGTTAGGGAACGTCGGGGTAACATCCAAAATTTGACAACGGCGCACTCGCCTGCAGGTACAGGCTGGGTACCACGCCCGTAACCCACCGAGTACCGCGGGGTACCGAAGCCAGCCGCGCGCACGGCGGTAATTTATGTAATTTTGGGTACAGCCGTTACGTCACGCGACCGTGAAAATTCACATGTGAAAGCGATGCGATGCTCCGCGATGATGTGCCCCAGCTTTCATCCTTCGGTCGCTCGTCATTCTTCGCTCTTTTCTATATTTCACTCTCTTGTCCGATCCGTGCGCTTCTGTCTCCTCCATCTCTGCTCATCTCTGCTCTTCCCTGCTCATCCTTTCTTGAACCAGACTCGACGACGTCTTTCTCTTTGCTACAGTCGGTGTACCTCACTATCAAGATCGCCGGTGCGGAATTGAGCAACCGCCAATGCATGATCACCTTCTTCTGGTCCACGCTGCTCTCGACGTTTAGAGCAGCATATTATTGACCCGGAGACCGTGTGTTTGCTTGCCAATACAAAGCACCCTATTCATACCATGGAGACATCCGGCCCCGAAGTACATACCGGTCGAAACTCTCCGCCCCCAGGCCCGTTTGGTTGTGAGTATTTCGACCTTGCTCATCACAGTCTTTTTTCTGACAGTCTCACGGATTCCTTCCTCGGTCCCATGGATACTCCGTTTGAGCAGGCTCCAGCCTTGCCCCCGGGGCCCTCTCTTCTTGACGATAACGAATCCCACATGCTCGATAACTTCTTCACCACCATGAATTCAAACAATTTCTCCAACGACTTCTGGATCCGCGGCCCGCAGGACAAGTCTGCAGGACTCAATTTCCACTGGGCCGACGAGCTCCCGCCGACTTTCGCGGGTTCTACAACTTCACTCTCGCAGCCGTCATTCCAGCAGCAGAACCTCAAAGCAAACATGATGGGAGGTGCTTCCGACCCAAATATATATGCTGCAGCTTCAATGCTCTATCAGGGTGGTATGAATGGAGCCGAGCTCGGTTCCGCACTGGCCCAGCAAGCGTTTGCAGGACATGCGCTTCCCATCAACGGTCCCAATGCCCAAGCTCGGCGCTGCTCGCACCACGTGGCTCCTGCACAGGCCTCGGGATCGTCGCCTCGTGCTGAGCTGCCGACTGGCTTCCATACATCGGAGATGCTTTTTGATGTGCGCGACCCGATCCCCGAAGATCAACATCCGTCTCGCAAAGTCCGTGGTCTTCACTGGGGCTCCGATAACAGCTTCATGGACCAGGGCTATATTGCTCCACCCGACCAGCCCGACATGGAGACCCGCACAAAGGATCTTCTTACTCACCTGGACTGCTTCGAGCCTCAAAGCAGTGCGGCCAACACTCGAGCCCCGAGCCCGGAACGTATGACCGACGCTCATGCGCAATCCTCCACTTATCGTCCGGTTGACGGAGAAGAAAGCCCCCAACCCAGGAAGCGACAGCGAACCCTCAAAGATGGTGATCAATTCTCGGATGAAGAAGACTCGAGACTACAGACACGGAAATCCAGAACCCCCAGCAATGCAAAGGCCCGACGGGCTTCAACTCAGACGAACCGAAGAGGTAGTATCACCCCGGGAAGCAAGGCGCCACGAGAGAATCTCTCGGAAGAGCAGAAGAGAACCAACCACATTCTCTCCGAGCAGAAGCGGCGCAACCTCATCCGCCAGGGCTTCGATGATCTATGCACGCTGGTACCTGGCCTCCGAGGCGGCGGTTTCAGCAAGAGTGCCATGCTCACCCAGGCTGCCGATTGGCTGGAGGACATTCTGCGTGGCAATGAGATCCTGCACAACCAATTAGCCGACATGAAAGGCATCAATGGTTTGGTGATGCCTCGATGAGGACTTTCCGCGACGTGACCACGAATTTCTCCTTCTATTTTCCCGGATGATTTCGACTCATCGGTTTTTTCACTGGCATTGCAAGCGAATCAGGGGTGGGGTGGGTTAATTCCTCCGGCTTGGCGAGTGGGCGTTCAGTTTTTTACAAGATACCATTGTTTTCGTTTGAGACCGACTATTTCCTGTTCGAGGCTCTGATTTATGCGGGTGCGGTGGCTGGCCACTTACGATACCTCCATAATCTAGCGTGAACTAGGTATCTAAGCATTTTCACATGTCCCAGCTGGTAACTGCTCTGCTCGGATAAAACAAGCTTAGAGTAGCGTATAGCCACCAGCGATGGAAATGCAGTGCACATATCGAACAAATTACTTGGACTAAATTGAGTGTAGTGCCCTGGCGTGGTTCTTGCCGATGTACTGTGCTCCGTATAGACTACTTCACACAGTCAGGATAGGCCAGGATACATAGCTCAATATGCTCGGCGCAGTGTATATTCCGATGCTGGATTAATATAGGAATACTAAATGGTATTATTTCAACAGCCAATGAAAACGCGACCATTAACAGCCAATGCCGAAAGTGAGTTGGCTTAACGTCTGTACTTCGGGGAAACGATCACCCCGGACCAAAGCCGATCCCGCCCCACCGCCGTGTTTTGGATGCAGACGCGTCGTGACTTCATTCTACCCCAACTCCTCGACAACGACCATGCCCCTCAAACGCAAGCGCTCTGGTGACAATGGAAATGTCGAAGATGAATCCAACAAGCGCTATGCTTACTTGAAACCGAGCATCCGTCGAGTCCCCGAGAAGACCATCAAAGCGAAATGGTCCACTCTGCCAGAGCCCGTCCAAGACAAAGTCCGCGATTTGTTCCATTCAATCGAGCGTCCGGTTATCGTGCGACAACAGAATGAGAAGAAGCGCATTGAGGCACAGAGTGCTGTCCAAGCTGTTGTGCGAAAGTACGTTTTCGTCTGCGCCTGTGTTTTGGTCGCATCACACCCAAGAGTGTTCTGCAGTCGGTGCTTCGCAGTTGCTAACATATTGCTTGAAACCTTTCAGTCTAGGGAGGCGACTCCCTCGAATGCCATTTCCGCCGATTACAAAGGACTCGAACTTTGACTATGAGTCGGCACTCGATGAACATGTAGGTGTCTTCTTATTATCATGCAAGAAGTGCCGGGCTAAACATCATTGTGTAGCGATCGCTTGAGGCCAACTTGGCTACCATGAAAGACAGCATCGACCTTCTGAAGGCTGAGATTGCGAAGGAAGAGGCCCTTCTTGCCGATGAGAAAAAGGCACTCCAGGAAATGGACAAGAACGCGAAGAGAGCGGAGGCCGAGAGAAAGCGCCAAACTAAGAATGTACGCAGTCATTTCCCGTTTTGGGGCGCATTCTTTTACTAACATCTTCCTCAAGGAACATCCTGCGCTCCGGCAACTGAACGAGCTACCCCAGATCCCAGACCAGACGTCCTCCGAGTTCTCTCTGTTGGATACTAAGGGCAGCCAGGCCACACTGGACGAAGTAAGACTCTCTGCCGGGAATCTACAAGCATAATATACTCACACTTTCTTAGCTGGACGCGGATCCTGGCATCCAGAAGCTCATGAACCAACTGTATGGTCATTTACAATCCATGCAAAGCAACACCGCTCCTCTCGAAGGACTCGGAGATGCGATCACCCGGTCACAAGCCGCCTTGGATCTTTACTCGACGCCGAACGACTGAAATAGCTCTTGATCTTACATCGACTTACGAGACAAACCGGGCCATTTGAGGCAAGACACGTGCGAATATCTCGGAGGATTGTTCCCAAGATGCAAGCTTATGGCCACATTTCGCACCTCGGGAACACCCAGGAAACCCCTGTCGCGTTCGCAGACCCCGATGGATTCGCAGCGGAACTGCATGCGTGTGGCACCGTGCACCAAGAGGACTCCTATCGCACGTGAACGAGTGCATCTATCTACAGAGTGGAAAGGCGTTCACCATTTCCCATGTGGAGAGTGCACTGTAGACCATGCACCGTCCAATCTGGAGGACTGTATTGCCTATGATTCGCGCCAGAACCCGGGGCTCCCTGATCCAGCCTCCGATCGCAAATCCGTGCCCTATGAAGCAATTTAGATAGTTAATGAAATCGAAACAATATGACCGGGGCATAATAATGTGGTGTACTCCGTAAAACGCGGGACCGAGGTCCTGACTGGGCGTGGCGGCTCCGAAAAAGATCGGGGATCCCCATGCGGAGGAGTTCGGAGGGGTTGAGTCTCCGCTCTCGCGCCCCAAGAACTTTGACCGTTGCCTTTGACGTCTCAACCAACTTCTGCTTCCACATGCCAATGTCTGCAGGCAGCCATTTCGCCTAGTCGTACTGATTCCACAATGACTGGCAAGAGCGCGGGCGCAGGCTCCGAGAGGAACGCCAAGTCTAAAGGAGATGCAGGGAAGGATGCGCGCGCAAAGGACTCGCCTGCTGCGGCCAAGTCTGAAACTTCTGGCATCGGCAGTAATTCCAGTCCTAAGAAGCGTCGCAAGGTGAATCACGGTAAGGTACCTTTGCGCATGCGACAGGGATATTAGGGGTTGCCCTCCCGGGTTCGCATGACGATTTGGAGACGGCTTTCGCTAATGCTTCATATCTACAGCCTGTGTCTATTGCCGCCGCTCGGTAAGCTTCATATTCCAAACCTCGCGCTTGTTCGGCGACAGCCCAGCTGGTCCCTCCTTGCGCGGTGGGGTGGTTGCTATTTTGAGGAATTCGCTTTGGCTAACTGGAGATCCTTGGTCGCGTGTGACAGCATATGACTTGCGATTCGGTACGACTTTCTCCCCTCCCTTCAAACCCATTCCACTCCGTTCCATTCCACCCGCCTCTCCGCTATGAACTAGAAGATGGACCTGCTGACCAGTTTCGATTCGTGAAGGAACGGCCTTGCACCCGATGTATAAAGCGCAATATTGGGCATCTGTGCCATGACGAGCCTCGGGAACCCACAAAGCGACGCGACCAAGATCAATCCGCGGCGGATGAGGAGGGCTCATCCAATAATGAGCTCGTCAGCGTTCCAGGTATGCCTCGGAATGTCGACGTCTCGGATGCTGCCGGTCAGCAAATCCTCCCCGATGGTACGATCGGAATCCCGCCTTCCTCGGTGCAGCCTGCAAACATTCCCACATCTGGCCAGGGCCTCGGTGGAAATTCCCAGCCAAGTAAGCTCGAGACCAGAGGTCGTCTTCGCATTTGCCTCGCGCTCAGCTGACGTGTGATTCTAGTGATGCCGTACAATGACTGGATGGGTGGACAGAACCAGTTCCAAGATATGCACTCGCTTCATCCGTCGTACATGTTTAATGCCCACGAAGTTACCAACGAGTACAACTTGCTTGGTGATTTCCTTAACAACAGCTTGCTGGATGATGGAGCTATGTTCCAAAATCAAGACATGCCGGGCGTTTACTCCGATCCGTCGTTAATGAACTCGATGAACAACAACATGAGCATGCCCAATGGCTTGCCACAAACCCAACTTCCTCCGCCAGCCCATAGCCAAGCACCGCAGGGTGACTCAATCCAGCGCCCAACATCAACAGTCGGGAACGACAAAGCGCGCGAGACATACTACATGACTGCCGCAGATCCGTCAGGGTCCGACCCGCCAGAGGAACGCATGAACAAACTTCTCAAGGCCAAGTACGACGCTGGACTATTGAAGCCTTTTAACTATGTCAAGGGCTACGCCAGGCTCAACCAGTACATGGAAAAGAATATGCAACAGCTGTCCCGGCAAAAGATTCTTCGGCAGCTGGATAAATTCCGGCCCAAGTTCCGAGAGCGCATGCAGAGTCTGACCGACATCGAGCTGATTCTCGTGGAGATGTGGTTCGAACGTAGCTTGATGGAGTACGACCGCGTCTTCGCTAGTATGGCGATTCCCGCTTGCTGCTGGCGCCGAACAGGAGAGATCTTCCGAGGCAACAACGAGATGGCGCAGCTGATTGACGTTCCAATTGAGAGCCTTCGCGATGTGAGTGTACTGTGTTTATCTGTCCTCGAAAGATTACTGATCTCTTTCTGTAGGGCAAACTTGCCATCCACGAAATTATTGTCGAGGACCAGCTGGTTAGTTACTGGGAGAAGTTCGGTGCAATTGCCTTCGACAATACCCAGAAAGCAATGCTCACCAGCTGCACGCTGAAGAGTCCCAACCCTAATGCGGCAAGCGAGGGGATTCAGTGCTGCTTCTCCTTCACGATTCGACGCGATAATCACAACATGTAAGTGTCTTGGAGCATGGTATTTGTGCACGAGAACTAACATGAGTCTAGTCCATCTCTCATTGTTGGTAATTTCCTCCCGACGCAACGGATACACAAGTAGCTTTGGCGTTTGGATGATTGGAATCAGGTGGACTTCAAAATGTCGGCATTGTGCTTTAATTGATATTGTTGACTTTCTTTTATTCCCCGAGGCTGGAGCGTTGAGTCTTTTAGCCTGAAAATGTAATATTTCTGAGGTGTACAATACTTCATTACTCGCCTTGAACTTCTGTGATTTCTTCAATCTCGCTTTAGTCTTCAGTAAGGTAACAGAGTAGCAGGCAGGTAGTGGACGTGATGTGAGGTTGTGGCAGCCTCTCCCCAAGTTTTCTCATTCCCACGAACCGTGCACCTTCTCACCTTCTCACCTTTTCACCTTTTCACCTTTTCACATTTTCATCTTTTCACCTTTTCACCTTTTCACCTTTTCAACTTGCACCCTTGACTTGACTCCCACTTTACTTTTCTCCATCACGCATCATCCTTTCATTCAAATACTCTCGCCATGGCTTCTTCTAAGCTCGGGATTCTACAGGGGAAAGTGGCTGCACTGGCAGGTATGAGCCAAAGCCTTGATCATAACGTGTTTGCCCATCTGGATACCTCGCTGATGAATGTCGTTCATCTTAATAGCTACAGCTACTGCGCTGCAACTTCGAATATTTAAAGAAGAACCAGCAACCAGCCTCATTGATGGTATCCTCGCGACCCTCAAGGAGCAGGTTGAAGACTTTCCTTCAAAGGCAGAACTTCCTGTTTCAGCTCGCAGAGAGCTGGATACAGTTGCAACAGAGCTGTGGAATGCCTGTGCACATACTGGGGATGCATGTCTTCTGAACGTCGACGAGATGAATGCATACTCCATGGGTGTGTTCACATAACCCGCTGCGGGCTTGAAGTTGGCATAATAATTGACAAGGTTTGAAGTGCGAGCTGTGGCATGTTCTTTGATCAGTATCGCCGCTTCGAACACCGCTTCAGGTATGCTAGATTCATTATTTAATCGGACCTGTTCTGATTGTTCTGCAGGCCATATCAGGGCGCTGAAGGTGGCATTCACAGCATGCCGTTTCTGCTTTGGTATTTACTATCCAGGTGCCCTACAGTTATTTTCTCATGTTGACTGGATCTTTGTAGAAAGCGAGCAGCAAGATCTGGCCCTCACGATGCTGAAGGTAGGTGCTCGAAGGTTGAATTTATTGCAATCACTTGCTCATTCTATCGATCCGGTCAAATTGGACACCACTGCCGCCGAATACTACATACTTCGGGCTCATTTGGTATGCTCCGGAACGAACAAAAAATATCATGCCTCTATCTGATTGTGTCTAGGCTCGGATTCAAGGCCGATTCGACATTGCCGAACATCTTTACTCCAAAATTCCGCCCACCGGTACATTGGACAAGCAATACGCTGCCATCGAGCTTTGCTATGCTATTGGGAATGATGCCTTCGTGGCAAGCCAATATGATATTGCTATCGAATGGCTTGAAAAAGCCGTTGAGCAGCTGGATGCTCTTACCGATCATCAGAGCCAGGAAAAATGCTTCAAGGACTTGAATCTGCAGGTTCGTCATACTCTCGGTAAGAGAGCCAAATCTTTCAAATTGAGGACATGGTTAATCTCTTCTAGTGAGAGTTTACCAGAACACAATGGCGCCAGCGAAGGCAGACAAGCTCAAGGAGCAGCTCAATATTCTTAAAAGGGTAAGTTTCTTGTCTTTCGGCTACTTCGATGTCTAACCTATGTAGGAACATGGAAACACCGAAGCTGTTCTCCTTCTAGAGATGTCACATATTCGCCGTAAAAAAAGTCCCGATGCCGACGCATTTTTCAGAGGTTTTACTACCCGGACAACCTCTCAGTGTTGGCAGTTGATACTAACACTGATATTCAGCTCTGAATCGAATCATCGGCTGCATGAGTTTTACGGAGATCAAGTTCGATGTGTAAGTTATCTTGCACATATCAAAACGTCCCACTAATATGCCACAGGGTCCTTGAGCATATCAAATGGTCAAAGTGCTTGAGGTATGTCACTTGGAGTATCTTTATGGAACTCGCTTACAGGACATAGCATTGGCCTCAGCATGGAAGCTCTTTTGTCATTTCTTCTGCGTGTGCCTGTTGATATGAGAGATTGGATTGAGAAGTGCTTCGTTCTGGCCGTAGCGATGGCCTTCGCTTCCAGGCTCCGAGATCAAGCACGCATCGACTTCATCAAGCGGACAACTCAGTCAATGGCTCACAAATTCAACAGTCTGAGTCGCCAGGCATCTCATGCAGCATTGATTGTGAGACATCTCTACTTGAGGATGCTTTCTACTTTGCTAATTGTCCTCTGCAGCTTATCTGGGCACAGGTCGACATTGCTTGCTGCCAGAATCGGTTTTACATTGCAGAGAAATGGTGCCAGCTTGTGCTAGATGCCGAGGCTTTTGAGAAAGTTTCGAGGGCAAACAGATCCACGATCAAAATGTGCGTGGCTTACGACGTTTTCTGGATCGGGGCTAACAGTTTCATAGGAAGCTCTTCGCGATCGCTATGAAAGACTCCAACATTCCGCGGGCTTGCCAGATACTGAATCAGATGATTTCTGAATGCAGCACCCATGCCGATGCATTTTCACCTCTTGAGTTCGAGTGGCTCTGCAGCAAGAGCTTTAGTCTTGCACGTCAATTGGTGTCAAGAGGCGATGCAGAAACTTCAATGGGGATTCTTTCGTCCATGCGCGAGGTTTGGTTGAGCTCTACCCCGTTCAATGCCATTTCTAACGGCGCACTAGCTTCTTCAGGTCTACAAAAAGACTCCACAGACTAGCCTGGACAAATACAATGGCTTTTTCTTCCTTGATGTATTTCTTGGAATGATTACGCACGCCATCAATGGTCGTTCCAGTACAGATCGAGTGGTCAAGGTAAATGATCCCAGGAATACTTCTACTCCTAGCTTGGAAAGATATCTCATAAATCCTTAGAGCGCTGCATATGCCTCTGTGCTCGATTGTTCCAATGCCGTCAAGGGCTACCTCATGGGAGATTCACCTCTTCTATTACAGCTGGACAGGGTCCTGGAAGCTGCATTGGGAATGAACCATGAGGAGTCTATGGTAATCACACTGACAATGCAATTCGAGGCGGGTCTCTTCTTGAGTGACTGGCGAGCCTTATCTGACTGGTTTGTTGAAATCCCGGACGGTATGCCCGAAATTTTGGGTACAAAACTCATGCATCTCTTTCTTTCTTGCGACGCCCTCCCACGCGATCTAAAGGTGTATTACGTCGCAGTAAGCTCAACCCATCATTTGTATGTTCTTGCTAATGGATGCACTGTCCAGTACATCATATGCAATCTGTATCGACGAACAGAACTGACTACTTCACTCCGAGTTGCCTGCCCTCACTACCTCCATGAGTTATTCGAACTCTGTATTACCGACACAGTTCTCTCGGAGCCGCTACCCAGGAACAGCCTTCTGGTTAGATTTTGCGAATGTCGTGGGAAATTCGAGCGTGGTCAGGTATACCTCATCCTTGCCGAAAGGGTGTTAGACCAGGCGATCAGAACCGCGGAAGACGAAGCTTATATGAACAGCGAAGTGCATCGTGAGCAGCATCAGCTCTGGAACGAGGCGCATGAAGATGATTCTCGGTATTTTTGCAACAGTGTCCTGTATCCAACTGAAGAGCTTGAGTATCTTGCTATTCGTTCATTCAATCAGGCAGCAGAGCTCTACGCGGATGGACGGGACGAAGATTGTCGCCGGTGGGCGAAGAAGGCCATTCATGTGGCAGAACTGATGGGCAATGATGAGGGCAAGACGCTTGCAGAGACCTTGCGGGCTCGGTTGGCCATGTTGCTCTAGGTCTTCGTCAGAAATATTAATATCACTGTTCTTTACAATCCTTTCAACGTGACAACTATGAACTCCATACGAGCATAGTGCTTCTAGAAGCAGAGTTGTTTCACTTCCTATGGACATCGGAGAGCGGAGCCGATCTGGCGCTAGACAATTTTGAGACCCCGAAACTCTTGCTTTAGTCACAAATCCAAATCCTACGCACCGAGCCAATCATTTCGGTGATTGGGACGAGACCTAGATCATTAGAACCCAAAATATTTGATTGTCTTAAATCACTGCTAGTACAAATTTAATCTCAGTCACGTCTTCCCTTCACTCCTCCCAATCCTAATCACGTATTCACACAATCAAAGCGAGATGGCCACCTTGACTCCTGTCCCTGTGACTCTTCCTGAAGACAAAGTACCGACTAAAAGAGATGTCAGAGACATTATCGGCACCTTTCTGACGAAAGAATGGCCATCCGTGGATCCGGAGACCCTGACCATGTCATACCATGCATCGTTTGCCAACGCCCACTGTCCCGTGGAGCAACCGAAGCCGGCTATCGGCGAACCTACCGAGCCCTTGAAGGTGTTCATCAAATTTCATGATGACACCGGAGGGGACCTCGAAGTCTTCAAGCATCTAGCGCCAAGCAAGCAAGAGGAAGCGCTTCTCTGTTACGAGTACGGTCGGTCCGGACTGGGAGCCAAAGTCTACGGGTTCTTCCAGACGCGGGATGGAACACTCGGGAGAATCGATGAATTCCTGGACGCACGGAACATGGAACCGGAGGATGTGGAGAACCCAATCATCCGAGCGGATGTTGCGAAAGGTCTGGCGATCTTCCATGCCCTGAAGACGTCGCTGGAGAAAAAGCCAGTGGAATCATACTATGAAGCTGTCATCAATGGGCTAAAAAAGTACCACGAAATGGACAAGTTAAAGGCACTTGGGAAAGAAGGAGGTGTCAGTATCGACACACTGGTTAACTACGACTTTGGGACGAGGCTGAGAAAAGTGGTGGACAAGTTGGAATCCATAGGAGGAAAGTCAGGATGGTGTATCCACGACGTCCAGTTCATGAACGTCATGGTGAAAAATGATCCGAAGGAGGGGGAAAGCACAGTCGCCCTGATTGACTTTGAGTTCGTGATGCAGAACTACCGAGCATTCGACATCGGCGGGCACTTCATGCAGAAGATGTTTAAATGGTTTGACGAGGAGAGCAGGATAGCGGACTGCAGGAAATATTCAGAAGAGGAGAAGAGACACTTCTGTGACGAGTATGCCAGGCAGTGGAACAAAGTGACGGGGGATTCAGATACCGGGGATCAAGTGTTCCTGGAATCCGAATACGGATATTTGTTGGCCATCACTTTTGACATCCATAACATGCTGTGTTTCATGGATCAAATCAATGACAAGGATCCCTTGAACCTGCTCGGACTAAACAAGCTGTTCGATGAGTTTGTTAGTCAGTACGCCAAACTTAACCTAGAAGATTGATGATATAAAAGAGCGGACACACGCTTTCATTCTTCTGTTTTATGGAGTATTTATGCTCGTCTGTAATATCCTTTGGGTCCGGCCGTAGAAAAGCAGAGATTGCAGTTTATTCACTAAAATCGCAAATGAAAGATTGAGTCCATTGGTTCAATAAGAAAAGGAAAAAGTGGCTTGGGCCGTTTTAAAGTAAAGATATGGGTATCATCAGAAGCAAAATATAAGAAAAAGCAACGAAGAAAGAGAAAGTGGCCTTCCATCCACGGTGGGTAGATAGGGGATGCAGATGGTATGGAAGACGAGAAGAGAAAGGATGGACCGAAGGTAGAAATGAAGAAATGGAAGGAAATAAACCGAGAAACGAAGGCAAAGATGCGAAATGACCAGTAGGAACTGTCAACCAACTGAAATGCCCGCACCTTTGCAGAGAAAATTGGAATCATGTTATCAGCTTCTCGTCTTGGGCGCATTACATAGCTGACCGAAAGTGGCAACGAAGGAAATGATGTTTCAATCGTCGACATTCGCATCATAAGATTGGCTCCTTATAACCTTACGAGCGCCCGTATGGCGCAGGGATGGAGTGGAGGGCATGTGGCGAGGCATATGAGGAGACCGAGAAGAGACCGATGAGTAGCTTGGCTTGCGGTCCATGTCCTTGCCACTGCTGTCAGTCCCGGTCTCGCCGCTCTCGTCGCTGGTCTGGGACCGCGTGCTTACGGCACGAAGCGTGAGATTCAGTTCTCGCTCAAGCTCTTTCTGAGCCTTCATTTGCTGACTTGAGCCGTTGAGCTTTTTGCGATAAGCTCGCAGAGTCCGGCATACTTGTTCAGTGGACATTTCCAGACTCCCGAATTCGCTCCGAGTGGAGGTTTTGGCGCGTGAGCGGAAGTCTGTGGATGTTCGGCGGTTGGTGCTTCGTGCACTGCTGGGCTGTTTATAGGTTGATGTCTTCGTCTTTGGACTGACTGGAGATGGGGACCGGCGGCTTTGGTCTGTCGGCGTGAAACATGTAGGCGAGCGGCGATTGGGGGGAGACGGCGTTTCGGCGAGTGAGTTGTTCTTTAGAGTCGATGGTGTCAGAGACAATTTTGACATCTTTCTAGCCAATGTCGGAGAGCGCTCGCGGATAGGAGTAGGTGTGCCCAAGGGATTCTCGGGTCGAAATCCAGCTAGCTCACTCCTTGAAAGAACCTTCCGCAGGGGTGGTTTGGCGGCAGTCATTTCCTTCGTGGGGCCTTCATCGTCTCGCCCATTCTGGAGATCCTGTGAAATTTGTTGTTGTACCGATAGACACCAGATCATCAGAATGCCATCCATTCCAGCAGAGATCAAGTGCCGTTTAGGAACGGGCTTGTCAGACTCATCAGACTGTTCTACAAGCAACACATCACTGACGCCTTCTGTATGCCCAAACTCTCCAGTGAGCAACTGATCTCGCTCCAGGTCATATACGCGGATGGACTTGTCCGTGCTGGAAACTCCAATTAGAAGTTTCGGGCAATGGCCTGGAACCTCCGAGGTGACGGTCAAAGCAGTCATGATCACCGCGTCGGTTGCTTCCGAGTCAGATGCTCGGAAGCAGTGGAGTTGTCGACCAGATGGAATGTCGAACTTGAGAATGCAGCGGTCCATAGTTGACACGAAAAGCAAGTTCGAATCGTCAGGGCAGACAGTCATGGAAACTGGAGAAGATTTGAGGGAAATGACTCTGGATATGAGGTAGGCAACGGAAGTTGCTCCATCCACCTCTCGCGTCGCACGCTCTCGAATGAGGATTGTGCGATCCGCAGAGCTCGACAGCAGCTTCTCGCCGTCGTTCAAGAACATAATTTGACCCACTGCTCCAACGTGGTCGTCCATGGTCTGGATCAGCTGCAGTGCGTTGTCTTTCTTCTCGAAAAGCTGCACAGTGCGATCTCGGCCAGAGCTGGCAACCAGGCAAGAGTCAGCAGTAGAGTGGATGGCGATGTCCGTGATCTCGGCCCCATGGGCGCGGGCTTCATTGACACAAACCCAGGGCTCGTTCGAAAGAAGCCTGAGCACACCGAATTTGTCCCCTGCGACAAACCACTCCGCCTTGTCTCCGGCTCTTAAAACCTTCATTTCATTTGCGATATCATCTTCGATCGCCTGGCATTGATCGAATGGCACCACCTTGGAATGCAAACACTTTCCTCGAGCTTCCCAGAAGTTCACGGAACCATTGCGAGACCACGAGAAGAAATCCGCAGAGAAAGCATTTGGGGCCTTTAAACGACGCAGGCCGAGCACCGGGTCCCGGTGAGCCGGCATAGAGTTCTCGCCAGCTTCCCGTTCATGCTCGCCCTCTTCTCGTAAAGCGTCCATTGGGTAGAGGTGGATTTCACGGGTCGCTTCCACCGTCACCAAGTGGGAGGAAAGAGAGCCCATGCACATAATGGGAGGCGCCTTACTTTTCTTTTCCACTGCGCCTTTCTCCATTCGGGCGGGTGACATGGGAGTAGGCACGGGCGGTGATCGAATGGCCTCGAAAGTCAATCGCTGCATCCTCCTGCCGCGCCCTCCCAGCCAGACGCACTCTCGATCGAAATCAACCGCCAAAGATGTCACGCCAAAACCGAGCTGTGCCACCGTGCACAGTTTCTGGGACCCTTCCCTATCATCTATGAGGCATAAAGCACCGGACTCCGTGCCAACCACGGCCTCGTTGTCCGAAATGCTGCCTACACAGCTGAAAGTGCTGTCTCCCAGCGGTCCCAAGAGGCAGTTTCTCCCCGAGAGAGCTTTCGGAGCGGGGTTTGGCGAGGGGCCTGCTCCATCCACGTTCAAACGAGACTTGGTTGGGGAGACTGGTCGAGTAGTAGGAAGCCTCCATACCTTGACATGGCGCACACCGGTCCTAGGAAAAATGTCAACATGTTATTGCCATCGCAGTGCCAGGGAAGTCATACGTCACCAAAGATTGACCCAGCCAGCACATATCGTGAATGACGGATGTACATTTGTTCGCCGAGTGAAGCTTGGCCGAGCCATTCTTAAGGTTGATGGACCAGATGAAGAGAAAACCGTCATTCACATTGCCGAGGGTTGCCAGATATTGCGAATCAGGGCTGAAGGCGAGGCTCCGGACACCAAATGTATGGTCGCTCAGGATCGAAAGAGGAACATCTGGTAAAGCGTCTGCGGCAGTTGAAAAGATCAACACGCGGGGATTGTAACCGGTCTGGCCTCTGTCAGCGACAATTCTCTGTATATTCCAGCACGTTGTCGCTCACCTCTCCCACTGCCAGAAATCTTCCATTTGGGCTGATCGAAACACTAGTTACCGCCTTGATCCTTTCCCTCGAGGACCATGCACGCGGGCTTCCGTTATCGGCAGCGTCGCCAGACGGCGACGCAGGGAGATTGATGTGTGGATTAGAGCGAATGTGTGAAAGGGAACGCGACTTGGGATCCGGTGTCGCTGGCGGGGTAGACTGATTGTAAAATGAAGTGGTTGGATTCACGCTCGTAGCTGAGGGGCGAGCTCGGAAGAAGCGCTGGCTGATGTTGGCGTCGTCGTCCAGCTCGGCAAGCACTGCGGCAGAGCCCGCGCATAGGGCAAAGCGCTTGCTCTGGTCATGACTGGAGAAGCCATTCGGGGTCGTGGTCGTTGTACCCAGCACTGTCTGAAGCGATAGTGACGATTGGTGCGAGGACTTGCTGGGTGATCGGGTGCCTGGGCGCAGCACAGGGGAGTTGGAGGGGGTGATCTTCAGGGAGGCGCCGGGCCCTGAAAAGCGCGTGGTTGCCATTGGTACATTCGAGATGCTTTCAGACTCCCCTGAGTGCGCGGGGGCTTTTCATTGTAGATTGAGCATCCGTCGCAAGGGATAGTTTTCAAAGGCGGGTGAAAGGATAAAAAATGGCGTGGCGGGGGATCGGGAGAAGGATAGAGGGGACCACTGTGGGGTGGAAAAGAGAAAAATCAGGAATTATCAAGCCGAGCTGAGAGATCTCAAAGAAAATAACATAAACAGCTCTATCGGGCGCAAGCTATGTTGATCTTGGATTCCTCCGGCGAGGAATGGGAACAAAAATGAACCGTGGAACGTATCCAGAATGGTGGGGATCGAAGGACGTGCCCCTGACAGCTGTGCCTAGCTAACTACTTTAACCTACTCCTCACTGCCCTCCGTGGACCTAGCTCCCTATTCCTATATTAAACTCTAACAGCTTGGCTGCCTTCGTTGAGGCGAACGGTGGGTCGCCAATCGGGGTCCTAGCACCGTCTATGTATGGCACTAAACCCATCTTCACAACGATGGGCCGAGATATCCCGTCGACCTAGGCGAACCTCTTCTCAATCTTAGCTCAAAAAGTACCCAGTCTTAGCTCACTGGCTAGATCTGCATGTCTTGATTGCTTTTTCGTCTGTACAGCATTTGATATTTCTGCACGAATGGCTATAAATATAGCAGTATCCCACTTTATCAGCAGACATCACTTCCTTTCTCTTTAAAGCTCAAAAAATGAGCATCATCATCTTCATGAATGGTCTTCGCAATAATTCTTATTGCTATAACTTCAAACCATTTCTCTCAACATCCTGTCTAGGTCTGGATGATAAACCATACGAGTAGTATGAACCCCCTCTTGATAAGGGCCTGTATGCTATTCCTTTGCTCACTGGACCATGCATATTGAAATCCGATAACTTAGCACTCAAATTGCTGGTCAGAGCGTGGTATGGTTCGGGATTATCACTACGACACAGACCGTTATAGCTCATTAAGTCGGTTGTGCTTGGCTTTCATGCCTTCAAAATGAGGCAGCGATCTTATCGCCACCAAGCCCCATCTTTTTCACAGAGACTCTCTCCTTTCTCTTCAACACTCGCGAGTCCTACAATGGCAACACCATGCACTGCGTCGGCCAAGATGACTTTTCCGGTGCTTCTACGCAGCGTCTTCCGCTCTGAATTCCCTCGCTCCCTGCGCACCCCTCCCGCGCACTATTTTACTCGCCCTCTACGAACCTTCCAACAGCCACGACTATTCAGCTCAACGCCGCAATTTTGCCAAGCTGAGGCCGAGCACGCATCACCTCTGCCAGCCGATGCTTCTTTATCCAAAAGCACAGGAGACATTGACCCGAGTGCCTCAACGAAAGTCACATCCCCGAGCGCATCGGGCCAACCAAACACCAAGCGCGACTCCAGGAAAAAGAAAAAAGATGGCAAAAATATTGGCAAGGATGGAAAATTCGACAGACCGAAGAAGTTCACCACTGATAAGAAGAAACTCGAGCATTGGCAAATACAAAAGGACGCGCTGGACGAGAAATTCCCTGCCGGCTGGAACCCGCCCAAGAAGCTTTCTCCCGATGCACTCGACGGCATCCGTCACCTGCATGCCACTGCGCCTGATCGTTTCACAACCGCTGTTCTAGCGGAAGAGTTCAAAACCTCTCCGGAGGCCATCCGCCGCATCCTGAAGAGCAAGTGGAGACCGTCCGAGGATGAGGTGGAGAGTCGACGCAAGCGATGGGAGAAACGACATGAAAGAATATGGAGCCAGATGAGCGAGCTAGGTCTTCGCCCGTCGACCAAAGCTTCTCGGCCCGTGGGCGATGCCAACAGGTTGTTGTATAGAGACCAGAAGAAATAGGGGGTCAATATGTATATTATCTCGGAGCTCATTCTCGCGTTGGAGCGATCTTTTATTATGGCATTTTTCTAATTGCACACACCCAATATGAGCTTTTTACTCATGATTGACGCCAATGCTCTCGTCCCTATAGATCTCAGGATGTGTTCATAACTCCACGCAGTGGACCATGAGTCCTGATCCTTCAATTCAGCAACAGTACAGTAAACTGCGAATAACGAGCATCAAAATAGTCATTTTCAATTAAATGGTTACTATTTTGGGGTTCTGATATTCGGCACATTAGGCACAACAAAGGGGTTCAAAACCGTCCCGCTAAGAAGTGTGGAGGCGGCGCGTCACCCAACTTCACCTGCAACTCCGGCTCCGCCTCGGCAACAAACACATGGGCCTGCACCTCGCGCCTCCATGTCTTCCACCTGACAGCATGGTGCTGCCTCTGTGACAATCCTTTACATCTGCTGATGGTCGCAGTTCCTCATCTGCATCCGAATACAGTACGCCGAGCACAGCAGCCCACATGCTGACACCGCGCCGCCATGCCGTCGAACATTCAGGTCTTTGTGAAATGGAAAGACCAGACTATATTTGCGGGGGAGAATGTGGAATGCACCATTACCTTCAAGAACGTGGCAGATACTGCTTCCGAAGCCAACAATGGAGCTGAACCTGGCCAGCACCAGCGCAAGTCCTCTCGAGTCGCAAACCACACCAGCAACTCCCCTTCGGACTCTTTTTTCTCAATGAAATCACCCCAGAGCCTCTTTTCGGGCCGCCGATCCTACTCCATCGGCTCTCAAAGGAAGCCCTTCCACCGAACTGCTTCTTCATTGAGCTCCCCGCTCGTCGGCTCCCAGAGCTTCCCGCCCCCCAGCGGCCCCTCTACACCTCGAACTTGGCAGCCAGGCCACAGCCATAAACGATCCGTATCGATTCTCTCTATTGATAGTGAAGGCCAGCCGGACAAAACACCCTCACCGCAGAATTATAGAGGCAGGCCGGCCAGGGGTCATGGACGTTCAGCAAGTCTCCAGATTGTCCCCAGGAGGAATGACAGCTATGACGATTCTTATAGAAAAGGTGATAGGATGGTCCATACACATGGATTGTCTCGAGCTTACAATGGTTATTATAAAGCGAGATCCCATATACCCGGCCCTCCGCTCGCTGAATCTCCGAATGAGTCAGCCCCCGGTGATCTGAAAGTCGATACTTCCCATCTTGGACGAGCTAGCCGTACAAGCTCTGTCGCAAACAGCCCTATTGTTCCGACTGAGCAATTGCGCGCTTCCTCTCGAAGATCCCAACCCCCGGCTTTCGATTTCAAGTTTCCAGCTGCCCCTCCAACGACCGATCCAAACAACCGACCCCGTCTTTCCCCATCTCCCAAGTCGACAGACAGAATCGCCCCAAGTAAGAAATCAGCCAAAGATGCTTCGCCGTTAGGCGCCCCGTCCCACCAGCAGCTTGCGCGAATAATATCAGCCACAAGTGTGAATGGAAGCACTCGGAGCAGCGGCGAGTTTTACTCGGTCAGCGATCATTCGGATGAGACATTGGCATCTGAGTACACAACCTATTCTGCTCAGGGTGCACGACCACCCCCAACACTAACCGGCCGACATGCGCGGCATTATTCGAGCGTGGCCGCCTCTTCTGCCAGGCCGAATGATAGTCAGGCGCTATTGATGGGTTATGCACAAATAAGCGCCTCATTCACAGTCGACGGCTCTCTCGTCAACCAATCAGTCTTCGATGAAGTCAAAAGGAAAGGGGTCGTTGGTGGCCAGCCAGGTACGGGCGGGCTTCCAGGTCGGCCAAGTTCTGCCAGCAGTGATCGGTCTCGGAAAGGTGGTGGCTTTTGGGGATCGTTTAAATGGAATGCCATTGAGGAGTCGATCAACGGGTTTCTCTCGAACAATGAACTTGATGGTCTGCGAGAGATGCGTGGGGTCGCTTCATCAAGATCAATTCCATTGCTTTCCACCCCACAGTCGCTTCTCTTCGTCGACCTGCGACTATCACCCGGGGAAGAGCAGTCGTACTCATTCTCCTTCTCTCTTCCCAGAGGACTTCCGGCGAGTCACAAAGGCAAAGCCATTAAGATTGCCTACAATTTGGTTATTGGTACCCAGCGGCCAAGTGGCCCCAATGAGTCTCAACGCGTCAACCGCATCAACATCCCATTCCGTGTGTTCAGCGGCGTGAATGGTAAGCTGTGACTGAAATGATTTTTTTGATATTCCTAGACCTAACAGCTTTCAGACAAAGGAGGCGTTCTTGGCCATGATCTAATGTCACCCTATGTGATCCTCCGTGATGAAGCCAAGGTGCAAAAAATTGGACCCGATGCTCCTATCGCTCTTAAAAGTCAGAGTATCAGCACCCCATGGAACTCAGCTGGAGACTTCCTGTTATACGTGGATGAGATCCTGGAGCAGCGCGCACGCGCTAATACTCTGTTTCCCCCGGGAACCACTCTTTCAAGGAAACCAAGTTTCGAAGAACTTCCACATGCAATGTCTTGTAAGGATATCATCGACTTTGCAATCCTTCGCAGCAACCAAGCTGTCAACTCCCGACGCAGCCCCAACCGATTCGAGATCGCTCGTGATGGGCAACGCATTGCCGTGGTTGTGTTGAATCGCCCCGTTCACCGACTTGGAGAAACCATCATTGCCACGGTGGACTTTGGGAATGCTTCAATTCCATGTTATGCCGTGCGAGCGTCACTGGAGACATCGGAGAAGGTGACACCCAGCCTCGCCGTCCGTTCAAATGCAAGCATTCATCGAACGACACGCCGTATCCATGCATCTCTATTTGAGAACACCTTGTATGCCACAAGAGTGGTCTTCAGCCCCGCCATTCCTGTCACCGCAGCCCCTACCATTCTCACAAGTGGCGTCACCCTCGACTGGGATTTGCGCTTCGAGTTCGTGACACCGACCCTGCACAATGAACAAGGACCTAGTCCATCTGGGACACAGCTACTGGAAACATTGTCTTCCGATGACCGCGGCAAGGTCATGTCCGCGATGGAACGTTTGGGCTGCGAGTCCTTTGAAATCTCTATTCCGCTCACGGTTTACGGTGAAACCGTGCGAGAACAGCTGTTGGAGGAGAACGAAGGGTACGCTATATAAGGATGCGTGCTTTGACTCCGAGGCTCTTAAGGTGCCTGCGGTGCAGGCCGCTCTCTTGTGTATTTGATTTAGATATCCCCGTATCCCGCCCCGTGCGCAAGATTTGCCTCATTTTTCTTAGATACCTTTATAATTCGTGTCGATACCGCGTTCTCCCAGCTTTTTTTCTCGCTTCTCTCTAAAAAGGTAAACATGTGGTGCATATTAGCTCGCTTGCTTTCCTTAATGCGGCGCCAGGGTTGACCATAGCTCTAGCCTTGAAACAACTTGGCCAATCCACCAAGCGGAATCGACCGCAAAACGTTTTGTCGGCGAGGCCGGCAATGTTCATATTTTTGCTAAGATAAACCAATTATGAAAAAAGGAATAAGTATCTAGAATTAGATGCGAGATCATGAACTAAACAATGTAACTATCTAATCGGCTATTACGTTGCAGCAAGACTTCACATATCTTGGCCTTTCTTCAAGTTGGGCCGTATTAACCTACAGAGCCCGTTTATATTTATTGCCAGAGTTGAAGCTATACTCTGCTTCCCATCCAAGACTGACATAGGTCGCCCAAATGCTCAGCCACCATGTGTCTCAATTAGCTACTTTTTCAAAAATGTCAAAGCTGCGAGGCACAGCGCATCCACTCCAACCTTCATTGTTGGTTGTATAACCGGTGCAAATAGAGCCGAGTGATTCCCAGGAATCTCTTCTCCCGAGCTTTGCGCCTTATCCCAAACTTCTGGATCAATACACCCAGTGAGCCAAAAGCAGCTCGGAAGACCTCGGCAGGTAGCCAGCGTGGAAAAATCCTCGCTGACATTCGTTCTCGGTGTATCACCGTCGAAGCTCTCAAAGTGACTATCGAATGATACAGCCACTTGAGATGCCAGGCTGTTGTCATTTGTGGTGGGCGGGAACCGTCTTGTCGGAGTGAACACCGGTGGTTTGGGCGAACCACTTGCCACGCACTCGGCCTCGACGATGCGTTTGATAGCAGAGATGAGCTTTTCACGAGTCTCCAGTTTGGCACTCCGGAAATCGACCCCAAGTTCAGCCCTGTCCGCAATGATATTTTCCGTCTGGCCAGCTTGGAGACTGCCGACAGTCAAGACAGCAAGATCACTGGGGTCAATCTCTCTGCTCACGATGCTCTGCAGTCTCACGACAATGTGAGCGGCTAAAAGAACAGGATCCACTGTCTGATGTGGCTGTGAACCGTGACCACCACGCCCAAATACAGTGATCTTCATGCTGTCGGCAGCAGCCATGATGGTACCGGGACGTGACCCAATGCTGCCTGCACGCATTCGCATAACGTGCTGACCAAAGACATAGTCTGGCAGGGGGATCTTTGAGTAAAGCCCATCGTCAACCATCGCCTGCGCGCCTCCACCCCGTTCTTCATCGGGCTGAAACAGTGCGATCAAAGTCCCGCTCCATGCGTCCTGCATCTTCACGAGCGTCTCAGCCGCGGCGAGTAGACAGGTCATGTGCATATCATGTCCGCAGGCATGCATCACGGGTTTCTCAATGCCGTCGGCGTCGCGCATAGTCACGGAGCTCGCATAGGGGAGCCCGGTAAGCTCCTTGACTGGAAGCGCGTCCATATCTGCCCGCAGGAGGACGGTCTTCCCAGGACCGTTTCTGAACACTCCTACTAGACCATAGCCTCCGATATTTGTGTGGATGTCAAAGACCTTCAATCCGGCCAGATGGGCTGCGACCTTTTCGGATGTAGATTTCTCCTGGCGCGAGAGCTCTGGATGCAAGTGAAAGTATTTGTAAAGATCCTCGTAAGGGGCCAGGTCCAAAGAGGTCTTCTTCAACAGGTCTGATAAGCTTGTTTCGGTCATCTTGTGGTCTTTCAGGAAATGTATTATCAAAATTGAGGGGGAAGCTCCTGCACCTGCACTCCACAGACGTTGAGTCAGAAAGCCTTCCCCGAGGGTCCACCAGGCGCTGACATCTCTTTCCCGTTCCCGCTCTATCGGTGGATCAGGGTGTCTGCGGGGGCACATCAAAACCTTTTGAATTTCATTATACTAACGGCAGTCACTTAGTCCTTACTAAATTCTACTAGGCCATGGGAAGGTCGTCGGGGAAAACATCAGCAGAGTCCAGTGGTGGCAGGCCTCCTGCGAAGCAGTACGGTACCGACCGTAATTGCCTTCCATATCCAGGCCATATAGATACTTTTTAAACCCTAGTCAGTGATACTCTAAACTTCATATGGCTAATTCCGTATTTAACGGATTTGTTCCAGGGTTGCATGGTAACAAGGATGAAAGTAAGAGCGCCGAAGTAATACCTTCAATATGGAGACATGAACGGTTCAGAGATAGGCATAATAGTATTCGCTGTCACTGTAATAAACCAGTCGAGTCGAAGGCTTCTGCGACATGCGAGTGCATGTCGAAGTTGGCGCTGGAGCTCCGAAAGAGAGAGCGGGCCAACTTCGCCCATCTATCGGAACATCAATTCGTGCACACGTCAAGTAGCAAATAACGTGGTAGAAGGCGGAGCAAACCATCATACGCCGAGTACTTCTGCGCCGCTGGAACCTTTTTTAGGAGTTTAAAAGGCTCTTGTATCTATCTAAATATCTGTTATGGCCTCTTAACTACTGCAGAAGCCTTGTCTTGGGATATGTGCACCAACGACGTCCTCCATCTTATGCCATCGAGGCGCAGGCGACGCCACGAAGGCCCGACCACCTCACTAACGTTAGCGAAGGCTTCACAACATTGAACCGGAATCCACTCCCAGTGGGATTCACTAGGGATTTCCCAGTCTAGCTAAGCACTTTTTAAGCGAAAGACAGTTAAAAACAGTAGTTACCCCTTGTCAAGGCGGAGTTTATAAGCCCGTCTTATCTGCCTAAGTGAAACAACCAAGAAGATCTTTCCTGTCCTACTACTAATCTCTCCTTGATGTCCGGCAATTCTACTTACTAGTGACAATTCTCAACCTGATCGCGAAAATGTTGGGTTTTCTCTCCAGCAAAAACTACGATCCCAGCACTTCGCATCGAGATAGTGTTGGTTCCAAGACGGATCTCAAGATGCCCCCAGCAGCTTGCGAAGAGACTATTACACCGGAGAAAAAGCTAGAAATCAAGATCTTTTCCCTCTATCGCTTGGTCTGGAATGGCATCTATCGAGTCAACGACAGGCATGGCCCGACTCATCTGAATCGACTGGCCGAACTCTTTGTCGGCGCAGGAATGTCTTCATTTGTCAATAAGCCCGAGCAGATACCCGACGAACACACCGTCAATGGCGGGAGAAGATGGAACCCAGCGGATATTCGTGTTCTCCAACCTCTGCGCGCGGCTCTGACGAATCCTGGGCCCAGGGGCCTGAGGCTATTTGATGGAATGTCAGTTGCTTCGCTGGAAGCAGTGGTGGAGGTGCTTGAGGCCTATGCAAAAGAAATTGCTAGTGTGAATGCTCTCTACCAACTACTTCGGGGGCTCCAGGTGGGGTTCCGGATGCCAACGGAGGATGACGAAAAGGCCGTTCTGGAGCAATTTATCCCTACGGCTCATGAATTCGCCAGACGAATTTTACATCTAGATGCAAGACTGTGTGTTCTTGTTTCCGACTTGGAGGACGAGTTTTGGAATGCGTATGGGCCGGTCACGGGGCGGGATGGATGGCTTGTGCACGACGTCGTTTTTCCACCGATACAGGACCAAGGACGTTCGAAGAAAGTCATCAGCTTCAAGGCCATGAAATGAATCTCAAGAATGACGGAGAAATCAGCCTTGTCTGCGCTCTCAAAAACTATAATAGCCTCGTCGAGTTGATCAGTCGCTCCATTCCACCTGTATGTTTGATAAAGCAAGGCTGAAAGGCCCATTGACACCCGGGAGGTAATTGTATATAGTTCTGTCATGTGAGGTTGAGACACGATTGGAGGACGATTGAGGGGCGAACGTTGATCCGTGTCCGGCTGCAGGCCTAAGACGTGACTGCCCTTTGGGAATCCTAATCCCGATTCTTCGAGAAAAGCCAAGCTTCGATACAGTCTCATTCTCCTTTTCCAATACCGTTGTTCAAATATAAGCCCAGCACTGAGCTGAAAGTGACATTTTCCACACAACGCAATGTCCACCGATCCGAAGTTCGACGACCTCCACAAGCAACTCTTCGAGGAAGGCCTCAAGACTCGCCGCTCGGTTGTTGGAGACTCATATGTCGACAAAGCTCTCGCAAACGGATCGTCTGAATTCTCTCGACCTGTCCAAGAGCTCATTACCGAATGGGCCTGGGGAAACGTGTGGGGCAGACCAGGTCTTGAGAAACGCGATCGAAGCTTACTCAATATTGGCATGTTGATGGCCCTGAACCGCGGACCGGAGTTGGCGGTTCATATCCGAGGTGCTCGGAGGAATGGTCTTAGTGAGCTCGAGATTCGCGAGGCTATTATTCATGCCACGGTCTACTGCGGAGCTCCGGCCGGCGTGGATGCTATCAAAACTGCGGAGAGGGTACTGAATGAGATGGCTGAGAATGGCGAGATTGAGCGTGAACTGGGAGGTAAAGCCAACGTATGAGATGACAATATCTGGTTTCGCGGGGATATCTAGACTTTTTTTGGTGACTCCATGGAGATCTCGAGCATCTTCCAATACAGCCCGGTAAAATGCCCGTCGGATGTTCCCACATAATACTAGACATATTGTTGATCGAATGGGTATTATTTCAAAACATGTACTTGATGAGGCTACATTACTGATTCGCAATCCGCGTTGGACTCGCGATGAGCTCGATATAGTTACTGATTTGATCCTCAACCGCGGCGGAATATATAGATAGAGTTGCCTCCGAGAGGAGGTATGCCCGGTAATACAGGGCTGTACTGCGATATAGGATGCTTTGGGATATATGTACATTATTTTTCATCGAGCCAGTTTTCATACTCGAAGCACGGAAGGCCCAAGGCCACGGTCGGTGACTGACGTAGAGCGGTAACTGGGGCAACGCCAACCCGTGGGACCGATCGCTATCACGTTTGGTGGAGCAGCTGAACCCGATAACCTCTCCCTTGCCCTTGCACTTGCACTTGCGCTTCGATCTGGACTCTTCCCTGCTTGTACCGCTGCACATTTCCTTTCCATTTGATACCTAGGTATGTCGGATCTTATGTCTCATTCCCCCGTGGCGCAACTGACCCTGTCATCGGAATGCAGGCACACCGCGATCAGCGCCAACCCCGCCGCCGCAAATAACAAGGGAGATAAATCCCTGAAAGAAAAAAGATGGCTTCGTTCATCACCACAATGTCGGTCCCCGCTGCTTCTGCTTCCGTTCACCTGTCTACTTCCTCCGAGGCCTCATCTCATTCCTCGGCGCGATCCTCTCAAACCCCTTCCCATAGTCTGAGCCCGTCGGGCTTCTACCAGACCACCCGCACTTCCCATGTTCCTATTCTTGAACCACCATCCTACCTTTCTCCGGCTGTGCGCGCGCTCAAGCAAGGTTCCTTTGGACTAACCCCTCCCAGCAATGCGCGGACACGAGCCCCATTCAAGCCCCGCTCCGCGGCCAAGGGTACCAGCAGCTACCAGCTGAGACAATTCGCCGAGGCAACTTTAGGAAGTGGCAGTCTGCGCAAGGCTGTCAAGCTTCCCGAGGGCGAGGATTTGAACGAGTGGCTTGCCGTGAACGGTATGACTCCCCTTTCTCCCACCAGCAAACGAAGGAGGCTAATGGAACTTTGGCTTTGGTCAGTCGTCGACTTCTACAACCAGATCAACCTCCTCTACGGATCCATAACCGAGTTCTGCTCGCCACAGACATGCCCCGAAATGAAGGCAACGGATGAGTATGGCGCACCGCGAGAGAAGAGACCTCCCGTGTTGAATCCTGGCTTACTATGACCCAGATTTGAATACCTCTGGCAAGACTCGGAAAACTACAAGCGTCCGACCAAGATGTCGGCACCCGAATACATCGAGCACCTGATGAGCTGGGTACAGAGCAACATCGATAATGAGCAGATGTTCCCCAGCCGAATCGGTATGCATACCCGAGCACTGACTTGAAAGAGCCAAACTCATGTGTTTTCTCATCTGCAGGTGTTCCCTTCCCGAAGACATTCCCCAGCCTCATCCGCCAGATCTTCAAACGCCTGTACCGTGTGTATGCTCATATCTACTGCCACCACTACCCGGTAGTGGTGCACCTCGGTCTCGAGCCTCACCTCAACACGAGCTTCAAACACTACGTCCTATTTATCGATGAGCACAAGCTGGCTAGCGGGAAAGATTACTGGGGACCGCTGGGTGATCTGGTAGACAGCATGTTGCGCAGCGACTGAAGCGTGGCGTGAATGGGAACCTTATATCTTGTGCATGGGAAAGATGCTTGTGACCTCAGAAACTGGACCTTCTGGCGGATGGAGAACCAGAAGACATCGTTCCCCAACGGCGTTTCGGGCGTGGAGTTTGCATTGTTGTCATTGAGATATGTTTATAGCCTTCATCGGCGTTTGGTCGTGTCGGGTCCTGGGTGAAGAATGGACAACGGTGGATTTGCTGCTGTTATGAAACATAGCTATTGCAAGACAATTGACGCGACATATGCCGTTTTGATGTGTTGACAGTGACCGGAAAGCTGGGTGCAAGTCCGGCAAGCTCTAATTAGTAATTGAAGGAGTTAAATGACTCCTGCAGTACATTATATGGAGCATATCTCAGTCCGAGTCAGTTTGAAGCTCTCGTTGAGTAAATAGCAAGGATAAATCTGGCTTGAACTATGAAGTAATGCGAAAAGGGGAATCGGGTGTATTAGGTCAGCACACCACGTGACTCGGGAAGAAGTCGGACCTCGAACTCAACCTGCACTCAGGACGCAATCGCTCGCATCTCCCCCCATCTCAACTCCCACGGTCTCCTCCCCTCCCTCGAGGATATTCTCCTGCTCAATTCCACGATGATGTCCGCTCGCGTCGCCCGCACCGGCCTGCGTGCCGCCCAGCAGTTCTCCGTGGCCCGCCCGGCCTTCAACGCTCTGCGCACCTATGCCACCCCGGCCCAGGACGTCCGCCCCCCGGTCGCCCTGTTCGGTGTTGACGGCACCTACGCCACTGCTCTGGTATGCACCCGACCCTTTGCAAGAGACAGCTCCAGCTTTGTCGAGATTTTTCGCGACTCCGTGTTGCCCCGACCCCTCCCGCTGCCCCCTCTGCGTCAATCCCGCAGTTGGACGTCGCAGGAACAAACGCACCCGAAATAACGACGATTCTAACTCTTCCTCTTCACAGTACACCGCCTCCTCCAAGTCCTCTGCTCTCGAACAGACCGCCAAGGCCATCGCCAACCTCGGCCAGACCCTGAAGGCCGACCCCAAGCTGATCACCATCCTCGGCGCTCCCACCCTGTCCGTCTCCGACAAGAAGCAGATCATTGAGGAGCTCCAGAAGGTCGCCGGTGCAGACAAGGCCGACATCCTGAAGAACTTCCTCGCCACTCTTGCCGAGAACAACCGTCTCGGCTCCCTCGAGGGCGTCTGCGAGAAGTTCGGCGCTCTGATGAGCGCTCACCGCGGCGAGATCGAGCTGAGCATCACCTCCGCTCAGGTGCGTTTTTCTCACGCGTCATTTGATTAACGAGGGATGTGCTAATCTGTACCACGATACAGGAGCTCGACTCCAAGACCATCTCCCGCCTCGAGAAGGCCGTTGCCAAGTCTGAGTACAGCCAGGGCAAGAAGCTCAAGGTTGTCGCCAAGGTAGGCTTTTATACGTGAGAAATGTCCCATTTGAACATCAAGCTGACATAACCAGGTCAACCCCGACCTTGTTGGTGGCCTCGTTGTCGAGATCGGCGACCGCACCGTCGACCTCAGCGTCTCCTCCAAGATCGCCAAGATGAACAAGGCTCTGACTGATGCTTTGTAAATGTAAAATAGAGTTGTGGGGGATGGTTAGATATAGCAATCCGTCCCGCATGAACGTTAGCGTCTGGTGAAGGTGGAAATGGGGGGTCTCTTGCATTGCCCTCTTTCTCTTCCATTTGTTTTCATTATCCGTCACCTGCACAATACACAATTTCCTTATCACTGTTTCCAGCGTAGACGGTAGTTTTACGGAATGCCCCAAATCTTGAGACTGGACTGGAGGAAGTCGCTGAAATGAAGGTTCAAAATGCATTCTTACTATGGTCTCGTGTAATACCCAAGGAAATGTATGTAAAATCAAAACGACATCTATTAACCGCACACCTGTATCAGCGTGCCATGACAACAAGAAATCCCGCAAATCCATCAACTATGCAAAGCTATGCTCTGACCCTATCAACGATGTCCGTTGCTGCCATTGTGCCCGTTCTCCTTCTCGGCCTGCGTCTCAAGCTCGTCTTCAAATGCGCCCAGCGAGGCGGAACTACGCACACGCTGCAATTGGCTTTCGACGTAATGGTCGAGATGGTCGTCCGCACCTGTGTGCGAAGCGGCTGTACTTCCCCGTCGGCTAGTCGTTCTACTGGCATCCTCGTCGTCCAGAGCTGACGACGCTCCTGGAGTAGCGTCGCCGGCGATCGTGGAGTGGAAGTCGCTGCGGCTGCCGATGGACCGAGTGGTCGAGGAGCGACGGACGGACGGACGTCTTGACACCGACGGGCGGCCGGATCGGGAGAAGATGTCATCGAAGTAGTGGGAGGCGGCAGCGAATGGCGAGCGCGGAGTTTGAGGAAGACGGCAGTTGAGTCTGGTAGATGTTAGTTTTGTCATATGTGCTAGCGAAAAAAGAAATGCTCACCCAGTGTCTTGGATGATCTTGGCGATCAGACCAGTCCAGCCGCACTGGTGGGAAGTACCAAGACCGCGGCCGGTATCGCCGTCAAAGAACTCGTGGAACCAGAGATAGTCCTTCCAGTGCTCGTCAAAGTCGAGGAGATCGGAGTTCGCATTGATGGCACGACGGCCTTCGTCGTTGCGGGCGAAGAGATGCTGCATACGGTGCTGAAGCTCCTCGGCGACCTGGCCCAGATGCATGTAATCACCAGAGCCTGTGGGACACTCGACCTTGAAAGTGTCGCCGTAGAACATGTAGAAGCGAAGCAGTGACTCGACGAGCAGGAAGTTGACACAGAGCCAGATCGGTCCACGCCAGTTACTGTTGCCGCCGAACAGAGAACTGTTCGAGTCACCGGGAACGTATTCTACCTTGAACGTCTGGCCATTGACATCCATAGAGTAAGGGTTCTCTTCGTGGAACTTGGACATGGATCGGATGCCATGCTCGGACAGGAACTCAGTCTCGTCGAGCATGCGCTTCAAGATCTTCTCCAGGCGGTCCTTGCTGACAAGGGCCAACAGGAGCCGGTCATCCTTACCGCGACGCTTCATGCTGGCGATGTTGCGCTCAGCGATATCCGACCTGTTCTCAACAAACCAGTCCAGTCTTCGCTTGAACGAAGGGAACTTCTTGATGATCTCCGGCTCCAGCGTCAGTACGGCATACAGCGGGATCAGACCGACCAACGATCGAATAGGCAGCTGTTGAGTCCACGGGCCGCCGTACGAAATAGCATCGTAGTAGAACCTGAGAAGATTAATCTCTGCCTGTGTAACCATGTCTCACTTCCAACGTACTGGTCTTCCTCATTCCACAGGGACTGGATGTTGTCCTCGCCGTTGCGGAAGGTCATGGCATCGCTGATGAGAATGAAATGTTCGAAGAACTTGGACGCGACTGGAATGATATTAGCATGAGAACCCCGTTCCTAGTCTGATCGAACTCACTGTCTTCGTAGGTTCTCCGATGCTTGGCCAGCTCCAAGGAAATATTGAGCATGCACAAGCAATAGAAGGCCATCCAGCCAGTGCTGTCGGCCTGCTCGAGTACACCACCCGTCGGAAGTGGCTCAGAACGGTTGAACAGGCCAATGTTATCCAGACCCAGGAAACCTCCCTCGAATACGTTCTTGCCATCTGAGTCCTTGCGGTTTACCCACCAAGTGAAGTTGAGTAGCAACTTCTGGAAGACGCGCTCAAGGAAATCCAGGTCCTGACGGCCGTACATCTTGCGTTCAATCTTGAAAGTACGGAAGACCGCCCACGCATGAACGGGCGGATTCACGTCTCCAAAGTTCCATTCGTAAGCGGGCAGTTGGCCGTTGGGGTGCATATACCACTCCCTGGTCATCAGATCAAGCTGCTTCTTCGCAAAGTCCGGGTCGATCATGGCCAGGGGGATACAGTGGAACGCGGTATCCCATGCCGCAAAGAACGGGTACTCCCACGAGTCGGGCATCGACAGAATATCGTCGATATACAGATGACGCCACTGCTCGTTGCGCACACCCTTTCGTCCTGCAGGTGGAGGAATCTCGCCGGGATCACCGTTGCTCCATTGGTCCCAGATAAAGTTGTAGTATTGTTTGCACCACATCATACCCGAAAATGCCTGGCGTTGGATGTTGCGCAGGTCCTCGCTCATGGGAAGCGGGCTGATCCGATAGTAGAAGTCGTCGGCCTCGGCGCGACGCTGCTCGATCACATCATCCAGTACTTCTTCATCCACGAACTCTTCCTTCTTCCGGGAGAAGCGGAAGCGGACGACGGCGCACTCGCCGGGAGGGACCATGTCGCCATTGTCAAAAGCATACCAAGCAGCAAACTTGGTGCCCTCGTTGTCGGGGTTGATGGCACCCTTCTCGTCATCGACGATGTGGCGATGGAAAGCATCCTTCACAAAAGGATGCTCGTTCTCGGTGCCCCATAGCTTCTTGTTGTTGGTCTCATTCTCCGTGAAAAGCATGCGGGGCTGGATATCTTCATCGCTGGATCCCACAGGAGGCGAAGGCGCGAAGCACGCATACCGGTCACCCAGTGTTCGGTGGGTTGACTTGGCAGTCCGGTCTCCGTCCTGCTTGATCGATGGCTTCGCCTTCTCCTTTTCCCAGGACCATGTGTTTCGGAACCAGACGTGGGGAATAATATGCAAGGGAGCCGGCTCGGGTCCGCGATTGTATGCAATGACACGGAAGATCAGCTCCTCCTCATCCTCGGCTTCCTTGGCGGTCTCGATGAAGATGTCCCAGTAGCGATTTTCCTCGAAAATGCCAGTATCGAGGATCTGATATTCCCGCTCTAAACGCGACCGCTTGGCATTCTCGTCGATCAGATCCTGATAGGGGAACTTCTTCTGAGGGTATTTATAGAGAAATTTCATATAGGAATGCTGCAAGTCACATCAGAAGATAGGTCGTGCGAAGTCCTAGTGGCTGTACCTACCGTGGGGGTATTATCGACGTGGAAATGGGCTTCCTTGATACTCTCGCCATGATTACCTTGAGGGTTAGACAGACCGAAGAGGCGCTCTTTCAAAAAATCGCTGGTCGCAGGTTAGTCTCCTCGCACGAGCGGAACGGAGGGGCCGGACTCACTCTTCGCCGTTCCAAAATGTAAATGCGATGTTCTGCAGGCCGTGGGTATCGGATACACCGGCGATTCCATCTTCGCCCCAGCGGAAGGTGCGCGACCGTGCATGATCGTGCGAAAAGTCTCCACCGAGTTAGCCATGATCCCCACAGATTCTCCAGTTGCAACTTACAGCTCCAGGCATCACCGTCTTCACTACTACTTGTTAGCATTGATCAGCACCTTCTCGAGGATTCAAAACTTACGAGTAATCCTCACGAACTGGGTAATGGTTAAGTCATTAGCGAGCGGCACTCGGCCAATTCAGAGTCAAACGAACCGGTTGCCCATTGTCGCTCGGCCACATACGGACCCCATCGTTTCCAGTAGCGAGTGCGCTCCCGATCCTCCTTGAGGCGCTTCTCTTCCTCAGTGAGATACTCTTGCTTGTCGATCAACACCATGGTGGAGACGGAATGGGGACTGCGGAGTGGGAGGGCCAGAAACGACCAGGGAATATTGCACTAAAGAAACCAGAGAAGAAGCGAATTTAGAATAAGGAAAATCAAACAGAGTCCACCAAATTCACAGAAGAAAAGGTGATGGGGGAAGAGGGGGGAGAAGAGGAGGGGCAGATGGGCTCGTTTTCTGCCAGGCCTGGAGCTGTTCAAGCTCCACAGAAACAGAAATGGGCAAAGCAGGGACTGTTGCAGTGATGCCGTCACAGAGTGGATTCGGGCTTTGATACTTTCTCTATCGCTCCAATAATAGGCCGCGCGGGTGGTCCATTCGCATCTGGACTGCTTATCGCGCATCTGCCGGGGATATTTCAAGATTCTCAGGTTCTACCTACACATTTTGCCGCTACGGCACCACGGAAATATGCAATTCGGGAGTGAAAAACTCAATTGCGCCAACGAGGCACCCAAGCCCGGATAAATACATTTTGCTTCAAAACATGAAAATGGACAAGAATTAAACGGAAGAACAAACGGGCTCGGTATTTGGTGTTCCGGGCTCCGCGATCAGCGGAAGTGTCAAAGTGGTATAAAAATTACTGAATCCAATGGGGGAATGAGAGAATCAAAAAACTTCCGCTGATAATGCACTTCAAGACTCGTTTGCCTCCTGCTCCTGCTCCTGCTCCTGCTCCTGCTCCTGCTCCTGCTCCTGCTCCTGCTCCTGCTCCTGCTCCTGCTCCTGCTCCTGCTCCTGAGGCTGCTCAGTGATGGTAGCGTCTCCTGAGGGAGCTGTGTCAAATCAGTCCCGCCCAGTATATAACGACTTCCCGGAGCAAAAGACAAATTCAAACCGCATGGGGATGATCAAGTTGAGCCATCCTTACCGGCTGTCTGGGCCTCTCCTCCACGGTTGCACTGTGCCGAAGAGCCGCCGTAAACCGACTGGCGTTTCAGACGCTCTTCGGCCTCGCGGATGCGCTCCTGCAGAGCTTGGAGCTCGCGGCTTTGGATCATCATCTGTTGCTTCCTACAGAGACGCGTTAGCTCCCACGCACCCGGGTTCGACCGCCGTCCGCCGTCCGCCGTCCGGCACTGCGAAAGCTATCGCCGAGGCCGAACTTACTTCTGATCAATGCTAAGGGACAGGTTATTGACGTCGCTGTCCAACGAGAAGGCGCTGTCGAGTGCTGTCGAAAAGGCCTGCGCCATAGTGCTGCACTCTTTGTCAACACCCATTTCAGATGTAGCCGGAGGGGAAGGACACGCACGACTGAGGCCGAGCCTTGGGCTTCCATTCGTGTTCCGCGTCCGACATGTTTTGTATACTAAACCCGGAGGGGATCTCGGAGGTTTCGAGTAGAGGGGCTATGTGCGACTTGTTTCGAGCGGGGCACCTCACGGCCACAATTAAGGTATCACCTAAGAATAAGGTATTCGGGGGTTGTCGAGACCAGGGCCAGCCAAGAAACGGAGGGAACGGAAGAATGAGAGCAGGGGTGTCTATGATCTGCCCCGATCGAGTGCACTGGTGGATTGTCAGTGTTTTGCTTATACTTCGATAAGCACAAGCCCCCCTAAGAACGGGAGGGGGGCTAGTGTAGGTTCAAGGGGGACTCCATACCGGGACCCAAAGCACGGACTGAGTAGATGATCGGGGACAAGACTGAACGTCTTTTGGGAAGAGAAGAAGGAGGGGAGGAAAAAAGAAATCGAGGAGAAAGGACGATCGCAGCCCACCGACCTTACTAGTTGATTATTTGAATCGCGGAGGAAGCATATCCACCGCAAGGGGAGCGTCATCGTATTACAGGGGGAAGATGAACGGACTAAGATACACTAGGTCCCTACGTGGGCTTCAATTCAGGGGTTGGCCTCTCCACTTGACTGGAAAAGGGGGAGTTAGTTCATTCACTCCTGGTGGGGGTTCAGCTAGAGGAGAAATAGGAGATGCCTCGCAACAACATTTCACCATCGGTCCGCCTCGAGGAGATGCTGCTCACTATATTCCGTACTCGAATTGTATACTCATTCCTTATAGACGGAAACCGTTGGGTTTCCCGGCAACAAGGGTGGCACGTGACCCATGTAATCTTCAGTATTTTCAGTAATGCCGGCTGTCAATCTTGGTCAAGTGTCACTTTGCCAGAGGGACGTCGGGAGCTGCGAATCCACCCATCTCATCGACTCCCATCTTCACTTCGTTTCATCCTTGTCGGAGAGCCCTCTTTCCGCCCTTCTCTGACGTGGATGGACTGAGGTATCCGCATTCACTCTCCCTCCCCTTCCAGCCCTTCCAACCTTCCCGTCCCGACTGATTCTTCGCGATCGAACACGCTCCGCGTTCCCTCTCGATCCCCCTCCCCTCCAACACCGTGGCACCGATCCCCAAAGTCCTCACCGCCAGCGGCCGACCGGGCGGGCAATGGGGAATGCCTCCGCTGTCGGCATACACACCTTTTGAGTCCTTGCTCTTCTTCCAGTCCCTGGCCACGTCCGATGTGCGACCGGCGAGCTTCGCGACAATCTCCAATTTGCTGCGAAATAACCCACTAGTACACCAGAATGTAGCGTTTAGCGCAGATCGCCTGACTGCCGAGGCCTTGGAGGACCTTTATGTGACGTTGCTGCGAGATGGATTGGACCGCGACGCTCCACCCGGACAGAATGGACGACCGACTGAAAGCTCGGGCGCTAGCAACCCTAAGAAGCGCAAGATCGCCAGCCCACGACCGGAGGGGCTATCGGACGGAGTTTCACATGCCGTTTTGGTACCAGAACTCGTGTCGCATCTTTATGCGCGGTACAGGGAGCTTGTGACTAAAGGGATCAGGGACGATGAGAAGAGGTATACTGAAATCAAGAAAGAAATTGAACACCTGAAGGAGGATGAGAGCAAGCCGCTTGCTCCAGGCACCAAGGAGACTGCTGTCAAGGATGTGGACCTCGAGACTGAACCGATGGATGTGGATGTGAAGCAAGAGACCTCGCGACGGGAGCGACCAGACTTTGCGATTCCCCTCGGACAGTCCCCCGAGGCAAAGAAACCGCCCGGAGAGGGTAGTGGCCAATTTCAAGCAAAAGAAACTCAGCCTCCGGCTCCTACGCAAGCACCGACCCATGACTCTCAAGCACCGCAATCGCAGACTGTCAACGGTCAAATGGTTCCGCAAGCGCCAGTACCCCCGCCGCTCGCGCCTCGGGCTCAGCAAGTAGCTCCTGCGACGCCTGCAGCAGCAGCAAAAGCACCTCATCCTTCTCAAATCGCACCTCGTCCCAATGTGCCCGGAGGCACACCCGTGGCTGGCAGTGCCGGTGTTCTCCCCGGATCTTCCCAACCAACTCAAGCGAGTTTCCAGCAGTGGCAGCTTGACCCACCTCCTCAATCTCCTTATTCCGCAACTTCTCCCAATATTGCTGCCGCACCACCAGGCTCCACGTCTACCAAACAACCTCCACCCGGACCCATTCAACTTCCATCAAACAAGACTTCAATATCTTCTACTGTTCCGAGCACGCCGGGTGCTCTCCCTTCAGGTGCCCAAACGCCCGTCCCCATTGGCCATCCTCGTGTCTCGCACACCCCGAGTGTGGTCATTCCGTCATACTCTGATCGTCGTGGTTCGCGTCCTCGACTTTCCATTGATACCCCTGGCTCCTCAACACCATGGAAGATGACCCCGCGTGCGAGCGTCGTCGAATCTCCTGTATCACCCGCACGTCCAGGCCCGGGTGATGTCAGTCCGATCAGTGATCGGGCTCCCTCTCCCGATGCCATGGATGTGTCACCTCCTCGAGAACGAAAGTCCCGGCGTGGCCAGGCAGAAGCCAAGGCTGTATCTAATATCAAGTCCGAAAAACCATCCACTCGCCGGACGCGTGCGACGAGTACCGCTTCATCACCGAGTCGTGGGCGTTCAGCGACCCCCCGGGCATTGTCCCCCGATGTCGAAGATTCGCGGGTTAGCGGACGTCGCAAGGGTGTTGCGGCTGATACAGATGACCAAGCTGCGAAAAATCGTTCTAAGCGCAAGCGAGGTACCAGTGAAGCATTGGAACCGGAACCTACGCCCATAGAAGCCCCCAAGGTGGATACTCGCTACGTGATGTGCACACGTGGTTTCCACCGAACGGCGGCACCGATCTTGAACGATGTGACTACCCATAAGCTTGCTTCCATTTTCGCAAAGCCCATCGGAGAGCGTGATGCGCCGGGCTACCATGATCTTATTTACCGACCCCAGGACCTGAAATCAATTAAATCTGCCGTCCACCAAGGAAGCAAGGCTGTGGCCGCGGCGACGGAGGCCGTCAGTACACCTGCGGGTGACGGCGAATCACCTGCTCCTGCCGTCGGTACACCTTCCAAACATAACGCCCTCATGCTGCCAAAGACCGAGGACCTGGTGCCTCCAAAGGGTATTGTGAACTCTTCGCAACTCGAGAAAGAGTTTGTCCGCATGTTTGCCAATGCGATCATGTACAACCCAGCCACTGAGCGTGGCTTTGGTCCTGCTTTCCCAATGATCAGTGACCGTGGCACTCGTGAGAGCACGCAGTCAGAGGGCGACGAGGGGGGCATCATTCAGGACTCACTGGAGATGTTCGAGGATGTTGAGCAGGCTGTAAAGCGATGGCGCGATGCAGAACGCACGGCCGACGAGCTGGCGAACAAGAACATCCTCTCACTCCGACGCGGCAGCGCCAGTGACTTTAACACTGATAGTGCCGACGATGTCAAAGGGTGATTGATGGGATCTCATGTCTATCTATTGTATGATTTTGAAGTGTTTTATTAGGAAAATTCTGGAATGAAGACGATCTCATCAACGGGGGCCTTCGCTAGCCACCCGTGATACGAATAATATTTGACTTCCTATGCAAGCTCGTAGCAACTGTATCTGATCATCAGATAATCTGCCCCTCGTCAAATCGAAAACAGGCCAAACAGGAGCTCCAAAGAGCTCCAAAGATACAGCCATTCCTCTGGTACAAATTGAGAACATGTGATCGATTTTGAAGCTTGGAATACTATTTACACGTCAATGCTCTTTCCATCCAACCAATCCTTGGCAAATCGGTACAGCATATCGTGTTTCTCCCCACAAACAGTGCCGACATGCCGTCTATGCCCAGGCATGTCCTTCAAAACGGTAACGCCCATGGTGAGCTCCTGGCAATAAGCCAAACACTTGTATCCTTCGGGGTACGAATCAAGTTTGGCCTGGTCCAGCCTTGGAACCTTGTTCGGGTTGACAGGAAGCAGCTTATCCTTCTCATACCAATGACGAACGAACCGTGCGCCCCAGCGACCATCGACCTTTTCAAAGAAGAAACAGAACCGACAGTCAGCCTCTGCGTCAACTTCGCAGCCGTCGATTGTGAACCGCTGAGTGATGGTTGCCTTCATCTTGGTGACGGCGCGGGTTCCATCGGGCGTGATATCACTTGTAACACCGTGGCAGCGGTGCATGATGAATGCACCCTTGTCCATGCCGGCTTTTGAGGCAGCTATGAAGTCTTTGTAGGAGACCCGGCCGGACCAGGTGGTGTATACATAGGCGTCTTCGTGGAAGATTGACTCAAAGTTTTCCCATTCGCAGGCATCCCTATTACAAACTTAGGGAAACGAACGTGGATGGGCTCGTGAAATGCTTACCGGTAACAGGGCCAACCCTCTGCGAGCTCGCGCAGCTTTGCTCGCTCCAGAACCAAGCTATCGGGCCCGTTGTTGCGAATAGCATGATCAGGCCGAGTGCCTGCAGGCAGAGAATGAAGTTCAGGCATGATGAAATGTGAAAAAATTGAGATGGGGTTTTGTTTCAATCGATTCCAAGTAATTTATCGGCCTAGGTTGGGGAGGGGGTGCTCGGAGATCCCGTTAAGGCCGCCGCCGAAGGTACATGGGTGTGCATTCACGCCATCCCTCTCAACCGCCGTGGGGAGTGTGGGGAGTGTGGGGATGAGAAAATAATGACGGCAAGTACCGGATAACCCGAATTTATGAGCTTCAAGTAGACTTTCAAGTCTCTCGTTGAACCCAGTGTTATATGTAAAACTTGCACCAACGATAAAAGGTTGGAGATCAACCGAGGGGAAAGGAATGATTACTCGGCGGAAGGTCAGTCACGTACGTACTCTATTTGGCTGGAAGCACCAGGCTAAGCCTGCGTGCAATCTATCTGGGGGTATAAACATTTTCTTTGCAATCGTCGAGTAGCATATATCATGAGTAGAAGCCGGTCAAGCAGCACGCACAGCTTGTTCCGGCTTCGTGCGACCCAAGCCCTCCTTGGCGTAAAAGTCCATGGGATAAATGCCTTTATTGGCAGTGTCCCAGTTCTCACGCACACCGAGCGCAATGAGTGCTTCGTATGGTGTCAACAACGGCCGCGTGAATGCGTATCCCCAATCGATACTGAGACGGGGACAAGCGATCTGAACCCAGCACTCGACATCGGCCATGGAAGCCAGCTTGCCGGGGAAAATCTCACTCAACAGTAGGTTCACCACGGGGATCCCGCGATCTGCCAAATGACGCTCAATCATTGCCATCGTGTTGGGGTTTCCCTGGCGGCCAAGGGAACCCAGGATGATGCCCCATTTGCGGGCCGACTTGGCAGATGAAATCGCATCGCGTCGAAGAGTATGCATCTCGTTATGGTCATAGCCCTCGCGAGTCAATGTACGCGAGTACGGGTCATAGCGAAATGCAGGAATAGTGGGGTTATGGATCATGGCGGATTCGAGGTGGAAGCGTCCGTCGCCGAGGTAGAGAAGAGCGTCGATTTCGGTGTTGAGTTGGGGCGATGTGCAGCCCAGAATTTCACCCTTGGAGAGAGGCATAATTTGGGGGATAACCACTTTGAAGCCGGCACGCTCCATGACAGGTTTCAGTCCATGGAGGGTTGCGTTGAATTGAATTGTGCCGACGGTAGCGATGGTCTGACCGGGTTTAAAGTTGCGCTCGAGGGTTGCCATTAGATGGGTAGTGTCGATGCTAATGTCGACAAAAATATATAGAGTTTTGATCTTGGTCACATCCACGGGAATCAAGCAGCTATGGGCATAGTGGACGAGCAGATCGCAGCCAAGAGCCCGCGCGGTGTAGTCGTCAATGCAGCAGGCGCCGTATGTCACGTCGCCCATAATGAGGGTCTCGATTCCGGGACAAAACTGCGTCAAGATATCGGATATAGTTGTGGCAAAGATCAAAAGGCCCTCGGGGAATTGAAGAGCCACGCGCTGGGCTCCGGAGGTGCGTACTCGGTGGATTGTCTTGGGGATCTCGAAGGAGTAGTTTTTGGGGAGCAGCTCCATGGCTTCTTGGATTTCAGGGTCATTGAGGATTTCAGGGGGCACTTGGTTTAGAGTCCGGGCCGTCCGTCTGGGTGCAGCTGTACATAACAGATTAGCAGGTGTCTACGCAGAAGCCGGGCAAACCCTGCATACCTTTCTGGATCTGCGTTGACTCGACATCGGTCTGGCCGGCTGGTTCTTTCTGAGCCAGGGCATCGGCAGTTCGACGGCCCACGAATCTCTTCTTAGGCTGTCGCAACTGACTGGCCTGTGCATTTGCTGTGTCCTCCATGATGATGGATGTCCGATGGCATGATAGTGAAGCCCCGCTATCGATTTATCTTTTTTTCGGTGGGGCGTCATCGTTTATGCACTAGGCCCGATCAGGGAAGGTTTCTCTCCGCATCTCATGAGCTTCCCCTCGTCCATCTTTTTTTACTTTCTTTACTTTCTCACTCTCACTCTCACCTCTTAATCGGAGTCTCTGTTACCTCCTCGAGTTGCCGCCATGGCTACACGCTCCCGTTTCCGTCTACTCTCGGCCTTGCGCACCCCTGCCTCCACGCGCCGCTTCGCGACCGAATCGCGGTTAGACTCGGACCATGTTCGCATCGTTGAAGTCGGGCCTCGAGATGGACTGCAAAACGAGAAGAAATCCATTCCCATGGAGACAAAATTGGAGTTGATCCGCAGACTGGCAAAGACCGGAGTTACAACCATCGAGGCGGGCTCATTTGTTCCTGCGAAATGGGTACCACAGGTGCGTATCCTCGGCACATCTCGGTTCACGATCATTCTTACGACCGAAAGCTGACTCTAGCATGGTTCATTTGCTCTAGATGGCTAGTACTGCTGAGATTTGTGAACAACTTCTCACATCACCCCCTCCATCTGAAAATACAATTGCCTACAACTACCTCGTTCCCAACATCAAGGGGCTGGAGAGCCTGGTCAAGATCATGGACGCCACTGGCGTGCCAGCGGATTCACCCGGATCGGCGTCAAAGGCCGCAACAACAACAGAGATTTCACTTTTTGCAGCAGCCACTGAAGCATTTTCAAAAGCAAACACCAACTGTACCATCGCCGAGTCCTTGGAGCGCATCAAGCCGATCGCCGCATTGGCCAAGACCAAGAATATCCGAGTTCGTGGATATGTCTCAGTTGCTCTGGGATGCCCCTACGAAGGACCCGACGTGGATCCTTCCAAGGTCGCCGACATTACTGCCACCCTCCTAGAGATGGGTGCGGATGAGGTCTCCGTAGCCGACACAACTGGTATGGGAACGGCACCCCGGACCATGGAACTTTTGCAAGCCCTGAAGGCCGCGGGTATTGCCAACTCAGACCTGGCATTGCACTTCCACGATACATACGGACAAGCCCTGCTGAACACTCTTGCGGGCCTGGAGCACGGCGTGCGCTGTTTCGATTCCAGCGTGGGAGGGTTGGGAGGGTGCCCTTACAGTGTGGGGGCCACTGGCAACGTTTCGACTGAAGATCTCATCCACACTTTCAATAGTCTGGGCCTTCACAGCGGCGTCGATCTGGCGGAGATGTCGCGGATTGGAGCGTGGATCAGCGAGGAGTTGGGACGAACAAATGATAGCCGGGCTGGAAAGGCAACCCTCGCCCGACTGTGAATATAAAAGGGGCAATACTTGTCATTGAGTTTTGTGGTCGTCTTCGATTCCGAAATAACCAGTGAATTTGGATTGGTGCTCAGCTGCCTTGTGCAGGTTCTCTATTCTGAGTTGCGAAAATAGTTCATCAGCAACCTCAAAAAGGTGCTTCCATTCGTCCAGCCACATGCTATGTACATCATTACAAGCTTTTTGAACAAACCCAGTATTTTCAGTATGACCGCGGCAGGCCAGAAATATCAACCAACGCCGCCAGTATGCAATGTATTCTCAAATCGCGGGACTTTAGAAATCGGTCACCCGGCCACCGTAGCTCCAATCACCTGCAGAACCCCATCGCAGCGGCTCGTTCTTCGGGCCACCAACTTCGCCAGTCTTAGGGTTCTTCTCGCCTTCGAACTCGGGCTTCAAGCCTTGTGGCGCATCCGGATGAAGCTCCTCGCCACTGCCGTTGACCTTGATCTCGGTTTGTGGGGACTGGTTGACTTGCGGCGTACTGAATGCGCCAGTCGAGCGGCGCTGGAGGTCTTCGAAGATTTCTTGTTCTTCCTTAGGGAGGCGCGGGGGAGCTGGGCCCTTTGCGAATGGAAATGAAGGTCCGTCCTCGTTTTGGCGCAGGAGTCGAGTGGTGGAGAGCGGGCGAACGGCGAGCCGGCTCGTGAAGGTGGGGGCACAAACGCGGTGCAGAGCAAGTGTGAATGCCATGGTGATTGTGTGGGAGGTATTTTTTTTGGATCAATAAAGCCGGGGAGAAGTAGAAGGCGAACGGGCCCGAACACCTCGGGAGGCGGCCGATCCAACGTGTGACTAAGACGTGCCGATCCCGATATCGCCGCCTTTTTTGTTTCGATCTCCTACAATCCGAGTAGTTGGCCCTCTCTCGATCTTCAGCTCGGATTGACGATTCAGTTCACCTATACCTCCTATTTCATCATGTCTGCTCTCCGTATAGCCGCGCGCCGCCTTCCTCGCGCCTCTCGTCTGGTCCCTTCGATTGAGTCACCCATCCAGCGTCGATTTGCAGCCACGTCCAATGCTCCCCAGGATGTGAAGAGCCACGTCCAGGTACGTCCTACGTCCAGTTCAAAGGTGTCCGCAATTCGCTGTACTGATAAATTTGCAGAAGGAGGCTTCCCTGCCTAACCCCGACCCCTCCCCCGACTCGCTCACGGCGTCCTTCATCAACGAGCGTACGCCGTTCATGGTCCCCACCTATGTTCGCCCAGCTCCAATGATGATGAAGGGACAGGGTTGCTACTTGTGGGATATGGAGAACCGCCGCTATCTGGATCTGACCGCTGGAATCGCGGTCAACTCTCTCGGTCATTGTGACCCCGAAATTTCAAAGATTATTGCCGAGCAGGTGCGCTTCTTGAAGTTATTGAATCACTCTTCTGAGCAATCATTGATTGTACATTTTTGCAGGCCGAGACCCTCATTCACGCTTCGAACCTCTACCACAATCCTTGGACCGGTGCTCTGAGTCAGTTATTGATTGAGCATACTCGCGCGTCCGGCGCAATGCGTGATGCGTCCCAGGTCTTCATCTCCAACTCCGGAACCGAGGCCAACGAGGCCGCCATCAAGTTTGCTCGCAAGGTCGGCCGGTCTCTCGACCCCTCCGGTGCCAAGCACGAGTTCGTCTCGTTCCACAACTCTTTCCACGGCCGTACAATGGGTGCTCTGTCTGCGACCCCGAACCCGAAGTACCAGACACCGTTCTCGCCCATGATCCCCGGCTTCAAATACGGCAACTACAATGATATTGAGCAGCTCCAGACTCTCGTCACGGACAAAACTTGCGGTGTGATTGTCGAGCCCATCCAGGGTGAGGGAGGTGTCAATGTCGCTACTCCCGAGTTCCTGACTGCTCTTCGCAAGCGCTGCGATGAGGTTGGCGCCGTCCTGATCTTTGATGAGATCCAGTGTGGTTTGTCCCGTACGGGCACTCTTTGGGCCCACGGTCACCCCTCCTTGGCCCCTGCCTCTGGCGAGGCTGCCCACCCCGATATCCTGACCTCCGCCAAGGCCCTGGGTAACGGCATCCCCATCGGTGCGACCATTGTCTCTGGTAAGACTGTTGCCTCACACATTAAGACTGGAGACCACGGCACCACGTTCGGTGGAAACCCGCTGGCCTGCCGTGTCGCGTACCACATCGTCGAGCGCCTGGCTGCGCCCGAACTCCAGGCTGCCGTCAAGGACAAGTCAGCCCAGTTTGTCTCTGGCTTCCAAGCCCTTCAGAAAAAGTTCCCCGATATCATCTCAGAGATCCGTGGCCGTGGCTTGATCCTCGGTGTCCAACTCACTCCAGCTTTCTCTTCCAAGGCAGGTGATATTATCACCGCTGCCCGCGAGCGTGGCATGCTTATCATCACTGCCGGTGACGGCTGCGTCCGCTTTGTTCCTCCTCTTAACATCACCGAGGATCAGATTAAGGCTGGCTTGAACATTCTCGAGCAGTCGATCGACTCGGTTGTGGCCAAGTCCTGAGGACCCCAGTGACCTGTGTAGTGTGATTTGAATGCCGCCTATGACGTGTTTGATATACCATTTCGTTGATTATCGCGGGAGACAGCGTAATTTTTTTGGTTCGATACGATGCATCTCATGTATAGAGGGTTAGAGATATGGAAAGAATAAAAGTCTATTGTGGTAAAGTGGAGAATGCCATACTTCGTTCATATCCCGCGCCAAGACATCCGAATGTACGCGTGGAGCGGATCTTCTTCATCCACCTCCCCTAATCAAATACGACAATCTTTCATATGTCCCTGGGCCCCCGCCTTTGCGACTAGATTAGAGCCATGGACCCGCGATAGTCCTCTCTTTCTCGTCTGTCCTTTGTAGCCTCTTCCCTCCCTCACGCGACCACCTTCCCATGACTCGCCCCACGTCCATGGACGCTCCCATGGGCGATGACGACATTTCATCTTCGCTGTGGACTCGTTTCTGCAAACGACTGAAAGGAGTTTTTAGAGACGCGGACCCCCGAGTCTGCATCTCTTTCTGGCTGTTCGGTGCGTATGGCCTGGGAGACCCAAATGATCAGCCTCTAACCGTCCGACAGGCCTTATCAACAATGTCCTCTACGTTATTCTCCTCTCCGCAGCCCTAGACCTCGTCGGTCCCGATGTCCCCAAGGGCATAGTGCTCCTCGCCGATATCATCCCGTCGTTTGGGACTAAGCTCATCGCTCCATACTTCATCCATGTCGTTCCCTACTCGATGCGGGTCATCATCTTCGTATTCCTGTCGATTGTCGGCATGTTCGTCGTGGGTATGAGCCCGCCTTATACCGACGGAGGGACGATTGCATCTAAGATCTCTGGGATTATTCTGGCGAGCTTTTCTGCCGGAGCCGGCGAGTTGAGTTTCGTTGGTCTTACCCATTTCTATGGACCTTTCAGCTTAGCGGCATGGGGCAGCGGGACTGGCGCCGCTGGCTTGGTTGGAGCTGGCGCTTATTCTCTAGCAACCTCTGCAATGGGAATTTCGGTCAAGTCTACTCTTCTGGCATCGGCACTGTTGCCGTTTGTCATGGCGGCGAGCTTCTTCCTTCTTCTCCCACGAGACGCCTTAAAACCAGCTACGGCAGCTTCGGTGTTATACCACGTCGTTGAGCGAGGAGAGCATCCGGATGATGAGGATGTAGACGAGGACAATCATGATCCACGACAAGGAGACGAAGAGGACAGGCTGTTAGGCGTCTCTGCTCCCTCCGATACCCACAAGGCTGTGCCTGTTAGCAAGGGGGCAACTAAATGGGAGCATTTCCGTGCTAACCTCCGCCGTCTTCGAAAGCTGTTTTTCCCCTAGTGAGTTCTCTTTGTATCTTACTTTCGCTATGCGGCTAACAGTTGTAAAGTATGCTTCCGTTACTCATGGTGTTCATCTCCGAGTATGTGATCAACCAAGGCGTGGCTCCCACTCTGCTCTTTCCGTTATATACCACACCATTCGAAAACTTCCGTGCTTTCTACCCGGCGTACAATGCGATCTATCAAGCTGGAGTCTTTGTTTCGCGCTCCTCGACACCATTCTTCCGTATCCACAACCTTTATCTGCCATCCTTACTACAACTTTTGAACCTGGCACTTCTGACGCTTCACTCCTTGTTCAACTTTATTCCCAACGTCTGGCTTGTCTTCCTTATTATCTTCTGGGAAGGTTTGCTGGGCGGTCTAGTTTACGTCAACACCTTTGCAGAAATCAGCGATCGCGTCCCTGAAGAAGACCGCGAATTCTCTCTCGGAGCTACAACTGTGAGCGATTCAGCCGGTATCTGCATTGCAGGGTTCTTGAGTATGCCATGGGAGGTATTGCTGTGCAGGTACCAGCAGATCCATGGGCGAGATTACTGCAGGCGGTTATAAGGCTATACCTAACTTGAAATCAGGCAGGGGGGGTTGGTAGGAGGAAGGGGGAGTTCGCTGTATCAATTCCCTATATAATACTCTTAACAGTTCACCTATCGCAGAAGTTTCTATTACCGCTAATACAGTGTAGCGTTTAGGAATCACACTAGAGACGCTACGCTACCCAAACGGCAAATCGCCCTACACAAGGCTCCGCACGCTACAAGCGAATATTACCATAACCCAATCTATTATCTTTTCTTGAGGCCAAAAGCCCCTTAGACTTAAGGTGGATCCCCGCAAATAGGAGATCAGGGCCGTAATCGTCAAAGGTCCGGCACGCTAGCTAAGGGGACAAACCAATAACTATTTAACCCGTTTATCCGCACTGAATCCTTTCGTAAAACCTATCGGTCTTGGCATCATGTAGATCAATTCCCACGGCCGCCTGCAATCTTTAGTTCTCGACGCGCGTCTAACTGATTGGTCTGTGTTCAACTTCACCCTACTTCGAAGAAGTCCAAGACTCTACGAGGTAGGCCAGTTATTATTTATATTATTGTCATCACTCGTTCTTTCGTGTACTTCCTTTCCTTTGCCAGGAGTCATTAAAAAGAAACAGCGCAATCACGTGGAATGGTTCATATCCCAGAGCCTCTGGTATTCTGTTGATAGCCATTTATGGTCTTCCTTCGGAATAATGTCGCAACAGTGAGGTGGGAGCCGACCCAAGAATGATCGACGATCATCCTGGTTGCGATAGATATTTTCGAATCGACGTGGTTAGGGTGAACTCGACGAGTATTCTCCTCTGCCCGGAAGGGAATGCTCGCCGCCTCACATCTTTCATCCGTTAGAAGATGGATGAATTCTTCGACTTGTGCCTCGGTCAGCTGGACGAGATTGAATTGCATAGTACTGTTGAGGAAGATGCTATTGCACTATATTCGACCTAGTGGATGTTAGCGAGGTGGCAGGTATACACGTACCCCCGTCCCAGAACTTCCTCGGTCAAAAAGGACTGCTCCGCCGAAGAGACGGTCCTCTGCCCAGTATCCAACAGTGTCGGCCTACCCGCGGGCCCAGTATTCGTGATCAAGGTAGTCGTAATGAGAGAGCAGCGTGACGTATGGCGGATATTTTGAACCGGCCACTCTCAATAACCTTGGAGGCCTCGTCATCACTGGCTTGCGTAACCCTCCTTTGAGCATATTAAAGAGAGTGGCTGCTATGTCATGGCATAGAATAACGACGACTTCAATCAAAAGTAAAAAGAACTCTCGGGAAGCGGGGTTTTCATCTTGAAATCGTTGGGCAACCTATTAAATAGGTCAGTATATTTAGAATGAAATAATAACCTCCCATCGTTCATACCTGCACGTCAAACTCAGCTGTTTCGACACAAAACCCATCCCGAACGGTTTTGGCAATCTCGTGTACTTCTTGGCTGGGTTCGGGATCCGGGTTTTCCTCTAGCCACCAGGGGTCGTCATCCTCTTCCCCGAACCTTGGGACTCTTGGGACTGGAATGCCATTCGCCACTTGAGCATATGTGTCGAGAGCTGCAGTCGAGCCCAGAAGGTTGGACATGGCATGTTCGACAGCAGCAAAGTGCCCTGGAGGAAGAACTGACAGGGGAACTCGGCTAGCATCTTGGCCGGTTGCAATGGTTAGTGATTGTAGTCAGTCTGGCGGGCGGTTGACAGAGTGAGTGTTGAAAAAGAGGATATGTCTCGACTTGTATTTTCCGAATTTACTTAAGTCTTTTGTAAATATGGTTGTTTATGTATCTCTAATCTAAGACTCATAAGTAAGGTTTACTAGAAAGCTATAGTTGTTGAGTTATTACGTCGTAAGATATCGGCTTAAATACTGTATGGTGTTTTGGGGTGGTGGGTCGCTCGTGAATTACGTTACAAATTGCTAGAACTAACTAACGTAATTCACAAGCCACCCGGCCACACAAGCCACCCGGCCACCTAACTAAATTTACGCGTCCCAACGCGTCTCTCCTATTTTCTACTAACCACTATGCCTCCAAAACGCGCTCAATTAAGCCGTAATTCCATTGAATAAGAGGGCCGTCTTTTGTTAGCTATATAGGCTATAAAAAAGGAAGAAATTACCTCTATTCGAGACGCAGCGCGCTAATTTAACGTTCCACGTTCTACGCTCGCCGACCGCATTAATGGCCACCAAAATCGCTCTGAAAGACGCGCCAATAACCATAAACTGACCCAAACTGAAGAGGAATCGCTTAAGAAGTGGATATTATCAATGGATACGCGTGGAGCAGCCCCTAGGCCGGCTATAGTGCGAGAAATGGCGAATCTTTTGCTTGCAAAGCGCAGTTCAACCCCAATCTAGACGGTCGGCGAAAACTGGGTCACAAACTATGTCAAAAGACAGCTAGAGCTAAAAACTCGTTTCTCACGTCGATACGACTATCAGCGAGCAAAACAAGAGGATCCAAAGGTTATTCAAGAGTGGTTTAATCGCGTATAAACTATAATTCAGCAATACGGTATCCTACTAAAGGATATCTACAATTTTGACGAGACTAGCTTCGCGATGGGCCTTACAGCGACCGTAAAGGTTATTACCTAAGCAGAATACTACGGTCAGCGATCAGTTTTACAGCTAGGAAATCGCGAGTGGGTGACTATAATCGAGTCAATTAGCGCTTCTAGGTGGGCGCTTCCGCCTATAATTATCTTTAAAGCTAAACTACATAATCTAGCTTAGACTAATAACCTTCTAAGAGATTAGCGCTTTAAAGTTAGTCAAAATAGATAGACGATAGCTTCAAAAGCTATTTATACTATTAATGAATAGCCATACGCAAGGCCGATATCGATTATTAGTCCTTGATAGGCACGGTAGCTATCTTACGCCCTATTTCGATTAAATTTGCTTAGAAAACGAGATTATCCCTATTTATATACTAGCGTATAGCTCGTATCTTTTATAGCCACTTAATATTAGTTGTTTTGCGGTTTTAAAGCGCTTATACAGAACCTTAGTTGATCAAAAAATATAGCTTAGTATTAACTATATTAATAAGTTTGATTTCCTCGCTGCCTACCTAAATACTCGCGATAGCGCTTTTTAAGCGCCTACTATAAAAAGTAGCTTCGTAGTAGTGGGTTTAGTGCCATTCGATCTAGAACGAGTGCTTTCAAAGCTTAATATCTAGCTTCGGACGCCTACACCCTTAGGAAGCCGCTTAAGTAGCTAATTAAGCGTTTTTACCCTAAAAACACTAGCGACTATCGCTAAATTACTTAAACAAGGAGCATTAATCTAAGCTTTCCTAAAACGACGCTTAAATAGCCCACTAACACCCTTAAAAACTACGTTAAACTAGCTTATTAAGGGCTATTAGATCGCTATACAAAATGGTATATTACTTAAGCAAGAAGTTAAGGAATTACGCGCTGCCAACGCAGCGCAGAAGCAAAAGCGCGTATAGGTTAATAGACGTATAGCCTACAAAGCTAGTATATCAGTGCAGGAAGCTCAGGAGTATTTACAAGCCCATAAGCCTATTATATAGCCTACGGCACCGTCTCCAGCAGCACCTAACTAGCCTATTCAGCAGGCGGTAGCACTAGCGCGACGACGTCAATACACCTATTCTATATACGGTGAAAAAGGGCATAAGTCCCCTACATGCCTAGTTAGGTAGAATAATTAATATAAAGGCGTTTTGGTTGAAAAAAATAGATGTAAACAGGAAGTAGGTGGTTAGGTGGCTGGGTGGCTTGTGTGGCCGGGTGGCTTGTGAATTACGTTAGGTATAATGATAGACAGTTCCATTCGCCGCTGATTGGCCCCTGTATTACGAAATCCACAATATAAACAGCTCAGTCACGTGCCATCACGTTTCTCACCGCCAGTTTCCCCTGAATTTCCAATAAGAGGGGAAAATAGGCAGCAGACTCGATAGATTATTTATCCAGATCATACGCAGGCTTTACCACTATCCCCTTGACTTTTTCGCAAATAGGCACTATCTACCATAACTTCCTTACAAATCAATCATGTTCGGAACAATCAAGAACTGGTTCCAGGCAAGCCAAGAGCCCGCCGAGGCCAAGTGGGACGCCAATGCTGTGACTATGCAGCAGCCAAGCCGCCCTGCCGGCCCAGCGATGGAGCAGACTATCTCAGAGCAGCCGGTACGAGTCCAAGCCTCTTGGAATGATATGATGCGATAGCATAGAATAAAGTCCGCTGATTTGTGTCCTAGGGTTCTCCTGAGTCGATGGGTGTTCATGTGCGCGGTGGTGGCGAGGGTGAGGACGTATGCTGCGGAGTGTGAGTTTCTACCATTACGGCCAATAATGAACATTGGAGCGCACTTGCTGATTAATGTCATTTGCTAGCTGTGCTGGCCTGTGCTGCTTTGAGTGCTGCGAATGCTGCTGCTGAAACTGCTGTGGGACCACCTAGCCCTCGAGGTTATGAAATTGGACGCCCAGACAGGATATAAACTCTTAGCTTTAAGGATTTGGTTTTGCTTTTTATCAATTTGAATCGAAGTGTCCATTTCGAGTCAAGGCATAAATGAGTCAAGTCTTTCAATAACGATGAATGTTTGGAAGTTTCTGTAGTCCACTATCTCCATATAGCTTAAACGGTCCATGCAGCTACGGGCTGGGGCTGAGCGCCTACCTGCACCGTATCAACCAACGCGAGCGCGGTGTGGCTGCGATCTTGGCAGCCAGACGGTGATTCACGTATCGCTTGAGTGCTGTTGCACTAGGATGAGCGCGGCAGGATGGGAAGCGCTCCCCGTTGAGACGAACTCCCGACACGGTCGGAGGCTTGCACGATTGTGGCCGAATTCATCAAGAACGGTCTTTTAAGCTAATTCCAGGCAGTCGATCAAACGGGCTTTGGGCGTGGAGGAAGGGCATGCTCAGTAGGAGTGAATCATGTGCTTTTGCGCCATCTCTGGTAACAGATCCTATCCAAAGCTAATAAAGAGTCTAGATCTGCATTGTAAGCTTTATCACTGTAAGCCTTTTCTTGTATTTTTCTAATCTTGATGTGCTTGATGGCGGCGTGGAGATTATATGCACACGATAGTGGCAGTGAACCGGCATTGGTAGGGGTGACTCGTTGTAAATGGTCATGTGCGACATCGACCATTACTTTGGCCACAAACACCAGGGCCGCCAGGGAGCCCTTTTGCAGCTGTTTAGTGTCAGAGCTGGCGGCATATAGCATCTGTACGTGCTCGTGAAGCAAGAACAGCGTCCTAGGTTTGCCATCAGCAATTCAATATTAAAATCACTCCAAAGAACGTATAAATTAGATTTACCTGGTTACCATACTTATAGCTCCGCAGTAGTACCTCCATTCATGATCACAGTCACGAATGAGGACTGCCATAATCATCTGTATCTCCTGGTCCAGGCTTTGCAAAGCTGCGATTTGATGTTCCGTGCTGGCCATTGGATAGACTAAAATCCAGAGAACACGATCGAGCAAGTAAGTAACTTGTATCTGGCGTCCGAATCCACTTATATCTTTGGCATGCAGCTCGTTTAGAGGTGGACGGGGAGGGAAGTATATAGACTCAGAATGGTCCTGAGCTGGCGGAAGGTCGGGAGGAAATGAAGCCTCCTGATCCGGGAGCTGCAAGATGGGAGCTTGCTTGCAGCCAGGACTGTCACATTGTACGATTCTGTTTGGTTTTATGTTAGTTTACTCAGACAAAGGATTTATTAAGATATCTTGAGATGATACCTTTCAAAAGTTGCGGCGCCCCACCATAAATTGATGTCCTCACGGGCCCTAAGCCTCGTATACCGATTTTGTGGAAGTGTATTCAAGTCTTTGATCTTATGGACGTTTAAGCCAATTGATGAGATCATTCGTGCACATGTACCCAACGAGATATTTGCGGCATGTGGCTGACCAGAGGCATATTCAAACGCCGCGATGACAAGACTCGCTTGAATCAAAGAGGTCGATGCACAAAGACGGACTTGAACTCTCGCAAGTAGGATCCGAACAGTGATATAGAGATTGTTCAATAAGGCGGGGTTTTGTTGAAGGTGGGAATTGGCAGATGGGTTCCACGCGAGAAGACACAAAGCCAGCAGAAGGGTTGAAAAATCGGCTGGAGGCGGCGTACCAGTGTACTTTGCCACCGCCTCACGGAATAAAGTGGGACATATTATAGGGAGTGTCATGTGGATATCTCGAAAGTAATGCTCGCCTACCCTTGGCACAAACAAACCTGTTTGTCTAAGAATTTTGCAGAGCTGAAAGTAGAGTATGGCATCGAAGTTGCCTTCAGACGCCTGCCACTCAGAACTCGAGAATCCACCCAAGAGTAATTCCGCGCGGTCCGTGTTAGGCAAAAACCTTTCATCCTTTCGGAGCTCGATGTACGAGCAGGGCAGACCTTGCCGGGAGCATGCCCCACACCGTGGTAGGGCTTTGTCGCAAGCTTTTTTCAGGGCCTTACACACAAGACAAACATGAGTAGCGCAGTCCATATTGGAGGTTTTCTATTTAGAGAAGATTAGTTGTATGAATGCTAAGCTTCCTCGCCTCCATGATGTAGGTTTACGTTGAGGACCTTGAGGACCCGTCGGCCGCCGCTAGGCTTAATATAGTCTGGCGTCTGGCACCAGCTAGACTAATCTGTCCTGGAAGGTCCTCGATTTAGTAATTTCTAGATCTGCTCACCTCCACTACCTGAAGCGTGGCAACGCCGGTTACCGGCGTGGGGCGCGATTCATACATTGGTTATAAAAGGGCTCCTTAATGACGGTCACCTTGTATTTAGTATCAAAGTCTGTAAACGATTCTCGTTCACCTTGGATAAAGACAATGGCGACTCAGAAGGGTCCTGTCACAGAAATCAATACTGCTGCCGGCCATGAAGTTGAGAATCCCAAGCGTGTTCGCAGTTTGCGGCGCCTTTTCCAGTGGCATGAGCCTGGCACATCTAAAGAAGAAAAGTGGTTGATCTTCAAGCTGGATTTCTTCATCTTGCTGTACACCTGTCTGGTATGTCGACGCTTGTGATTGCATTTTTCTATTGTTTGCATCCTAACCTCTTTGAAAAGACATTCTTCGTGAAGTATTTGGTACAAATCACACTTTCCAGTCTAGACATCTCACTGAACTTCATTCAAGGACCAAACCAATGTGACCAACGCATATGTTTCTGGCATGAAAGAGGATTTAAATCTTCGTGAGTTAAATCTTTCTTCTTTTGATGCGATCAACTGACCGGTCTTCTGTGCAGTGGGCAATGAGCTCAAATGGTTCACAACCTACTTCAACATTGGAATTATCATTGGAGGTCCCTTCTTTACCATGGCCTTGACTTCCATCCACCCTCGGTACTGGCTACCAGCTTGCACACTGTGCTGGTCGCTCTTCGTTCTGTTCATGTACAAAGCCCAGACCGCCAAAACAATCTACATTCTCAGATTCTTTGCGGGTATCTTCGAGTCGGGTGCCATGCCAGGCGCATTCTACATTGTAAGCACTACCACGATTTAGCTACTTCGAAACCCGCACTGATAATTGCTCAATACAGATAGGAAGCTTCTACCGCTCATCCGAGATCAGTCGACGCTCCACGATTTTCATGTTTTCCGGGGCGGGAGGGCAGATGTTTTCAGGCTATATCCAAGCCGGACTGTCAGTATATCCATTACAATGACTGCATGCAATCAATGATGCTGATATATGACAAGGTACAAGAATATGAACCACACTTTTGGTTTGGCATCTTGGCGATGGTTGTTTATCTTTGATTTCCTCATTGGTATCCCGGTCGCTGTTTTTGGATTCATCTGTTGCCCCAGTAAGTCCTCATAGTCCCAAGGATCCTAGTCTAGCATTCTATATTAGTTCATGACAGTCTAACACCCGAACAGATGAGCCCAAGTCCACAAAGCCTTGGTGGATGACAGAAAATGAACGTGAGATTGCCATTGAGCGTATAGCGCAGGAAGATCGTGATGCCATGACTATTACCTGGAATCTAAGCGCTGTGAAGCGAATCCTTACTTCATGGCAACTATGGGCTTTTTGCGTTGCTTGGGGGTAAGGCTGTCCTACGTTTCAGTGTTGCCGACAGGATCAAATCACTAACTGGGATTAGAACAATGCAGTGTACCTGTGGTGCGAACCTGCAGAGATGGATGACCTTGTACCTCAAGTCAGTGAAGATCGACGGTCACGCCAAATACAGCATTGAGGAAATCAACGCCTTGCCTACAGCGGTGGGATGTGTTGTGAGTAGTTTCTGCCCAGTGCACGCCCTCCTTCTTACTTACACGCGAGTTTCCAGGAAATTGTTTGGATGATCCTGAGTGCGTTGGTCATGGACAAGACACGGAACCCTCCTCTGGTTATTTTGGCTCTCGGTCTTGTTCAGCTATTTGCCTACATCATATTCTACGTCTGGCCCGCCAATGCGCATTTTATAATGGCTGTCTACTACATCTGCAGTGCCTATGGAGCGATTCCCGGTCTGATCAGTGCCTGGCTGAACTCCTGCTGTGGTGGTGACAAACAGCTGCGTGCTCTGAGCACATCTCTGATGATTTCTGTAGGATAGTAAGTACCCATAAGTGACGGAAATTTAATCCTGCCGACTCACTAAGCCTTTTAGTGCCGTTGAAACTGTTTCTCAGCAGTTCATGTTCCCAACCTCCGAGGCACCCCGGTTCCAAAGAACCAAGGGATACGCATTTGGAATCGCTTGGATTTGTGCGATGATTCTCTGGTTTTGTGTTTGCCTTCCCTTCATCGAGCGGTACTTTAGGCGACGGACCCGGTGCTTTCCAGCAGACACATGCTATGTTACTGGTTAGATTTCTTGAACCTCGCGCAAATAGCTCCAAATTAACCCAAAATAAAGAGGAATCGCTTAAGAAGTAAATATTATCGATACGTCTACGTATAGGAAGTAGCCTCTTAGGCTCGCTGAAATATAAGAAAGACTGAATCTTCTACTTATAAAGTGTCTACCTTGATCTAGAAATCCTGACACTTTTAAAAGATCACTTAGCCCTGATAGGCTTTAGAGGTTAAGAGAGAGGATAGGCTATATTTATAGTTTATATTCTTGTAGGTAAGACGCTAGATATTGTACTTTGATGAATGTAGAGGAAAGAAAGTAGCAAGAGATATATCTGTCACAAAAGCGTCGCCAAATTCTGCCCTTCACATTCGACTCATTTGCTCGATATTTTTAGACAATCTTGAGAGGCGACAAGTTCGTCCACCATCTTCCGATATTTCAATTGCCTGTGGCACTGATCGAGATGAACCCGATACTTTGCGGCGAGAAGAGACTTCTCGTAGAAATTTTTCGTCGGATGAAACGTTTTCCCAGGTTTGCTCATCCTATCCATGATCTCCAAGAGATCTGTTGTCATCCCCTCGATATCGATACTCGCCGCTTTAGCAGCTAGCATTGCGGCACCATGACAAACAGCTGCGTTGACATAGCGAGGAATCACAACTGGGATATCACATGCAGAAGCGATCAGATGCACCAGAATGCTGTTCTGGCATTGGGAGCCAGACATGAAAATAGAGGTGATATTGTGACCTGATTTGTTCATAACATCCATGATCTGTCGGGTCTGTAGAGCAATGAACTCCAGCGTGCCGTAGTATAGGATAGCTAAGCTGTCCACAGATACGTCACTTGTGAGACCAACTATGGAACCCGTCATGTTTGAATCAGCCACTGGAGACCTGTTCCCGAAAAGATCACCGTAAAAGAAGAGGTGACGAGACAAGTGCGGAATGCATTGTGCTTCTTGTTCATCCGCCATTTTTTCCAGACGTTTGTTCAGAAAAGTGAATATGTCCATTTGGTGGAACATTGCGAGACTCTTCGCTTCTTGAGTTGCCGGGTGAGTCTCCAAAACATGCTGGAGTAGTTGGCCTGTTGCAGATTGCCCTCCTTCTGCCATCCAGCATCCCGGAAGAATAGTGTCGCGGTATGGGCCCCAAACTCCTGGCACGAATATCGGGCTCGGGGACATCACGAGATGACATGTTGAGGTTCCCGCTACTGCAGAAAGACGGGTAAAGAGCGTTTCCCGCATGTCATCTGTTGAACACCCTCGGGGTGTTGTGACTGCGAAATCCGCTTTTGCGCCAACAGTTCCTATCCATCCAGCATAGGCGTCAATCACACCGCTACCAATGGCAATACTCGACGGCAATCCGAGGTCCAGGGCAGCCTTCTCACTCAATCTTCCAGCCAATTCTCCGGCATGGAGGTGTCGGCCATTCTAATTCAACGAAGATTAGCCGTTGTACTATTTTGGAACAGTCTGTTGGATCGCCTTACCACATCATTAATACCCCCAATGCCTTGAAAATTCCCCTCGACCAGGCTTCCCAGACCTATTTGAACCAAGAAGTCTTTGGGCCAGCCTGAAGCGCTACCTTCAACGCCAGCTGGCAAGTATCCCTGTTTGCAAACAAGGCTACACAGGCTCCTAGTTTCGCCGCCGGTTGCTAGATGGGTAAGAGCATCCACCAAGTCATAGAACTTGCACCTTGCGAAGGTTTCCGCAGGCATGTTGTTCTTTAACCAGAGAATTTTCGGTATCTCCATTTCAACCGACATCCTCCCACCCACATATTCGAGCACCTTGTGCTGGGTTGTGTTGATTCGTTCTGTTTCTATGACTGCTCGATGGTCCAGCCACAGAATCACATTACGGTCTGTGTCAAATGTGGAAGCAGTCACTGACATCGGGCTGTCGTCATCGGTTGCGAATACGGCTAGAGAGCATGTTGCATCAAATGCGAGTCCTCGAACCATCGACGACGGGATGTTGTTCTCTCTGATGGCGCGGCGCACAGCGGAGCAGATACACCGCCAAACGTCTGCGGTCGATTGTTCCTATCAGGTAGAGGACAATAAGCACATGAAAAAAAAAATAGCCAATGGCCAAAATATGAATCCATACATAATGTCCGTGCTTGGATTGCCAAAGTCTGATATTTTCAGAGGCTAGCCCGACAATTTCACCTGCATCATCGATGATACAGGCGCGAGCACTACCAGTCCCAACATCCACACCAATGTAGTAGTTGGTTTGGGGATGCATTGAGCGTTCAATTGTTATTGCTGTACGCTCATAGAATTATGATCATATAGGTGCTGAAAGGGCGAACGGCGTCGAATTCGGACGCGTAACTTATGGCTGAAGTATTTAAGGTCCTTGAGCACATTCCACTTACGCCATTTATATTTGATTTTCCAAATGATTCCCTTCCTTCCTGCGGAACACCCTCCGCTGGTAACAGTTAATAAAATACCTCACGTGGAGATTATACAAGTTCTAGACTGAGTTATGCTGCGGTCTCCTAAGTCGATCGACCCATCACGGAAATATGCGCCGGAGATTTCGCCGTTTTTCGCCGAGAAGTTTCTCTCGGCAAGAACGCTCGCTGACCAGAATGCACACACACGTATCTAACCAAATTCAACATTCCATAGCGCTGGAAGAAGATATGTTTTTCTTCCGTCCTTTGCTAAGTTCTCCCGTTAGATCTCTAAGACGGCCAACTCGGCTTGAATCACCGAGAACCAACCAACCTTTGTTACTGTAATACGGCATGGCACTGCCACTCGAAATCAGCGGGTTATTGAAATGATGCACAGCCACCACCACCATGCATCCGTCCGTAACTATAAATATACGAAATAATGCCAGTTGCGACCTACTCGTGCAAGGACTGTTTGTGGTCGATGGTCGTCTATTTGAGAAGAGACAATGGACGGTCATTTTGACGCCCCCACTCGCACCATATGTGACGAGATTTTAATTAAAACTCCCAGTGAAGCCATATTAACCTGTAAAACCTAAGGTTCAGGGCCAGAAATTAGTTCAAGGAAGCTTCGAAATTATCCATTCGGATGCAAAAGCGAATACCACCAGAATGAATTTCTATAAGAGTGTTCGTCGCTTAAGTTTTCTCTATCGAAGAATATACAAAACATGAGACAACTTGCCAACTAGATTATGAACCCCTCACATCCCTGACAACTTCCTCCAGGATCATTCTATATCGCAACATGTCCGGGGCCTCCGCCGCCCAAAAGCTGAACTGCTTTAGTACGTCCGCAATCTTTCCCCCAATCGGCATAGGCAAGTCTTTACTGTACGTGGCTCCAGAGTTGGGGCCCCAAAGCTCTTCCGCTCCCCCAGGAATCCATGCGGCGTTCCCACTCTTTACAACAGCCAGAAGAGTGAGTGACGCGCACATGATGCTTCGGAGATCGAACCATAAGCCATGGTGGCGATGACCGAGCGAACGGACATCCAAAGTTTTCATGTTGCATTCTATACCCGACACAACCATGGAGCGAAGGAGAATAAAGTCTTCATCGTCCATAGCTGTGGTCTCTTCCACACCAGGTCGCACGTTGGCAAAGTTGAAACGACGGGAATCAGCCACCGGAGACGCAGTCAAGGGATATGGGTTCAATAGAATGTCGAAGTGCTCATTGCGAACGTATTGGTCAGTCGCGGCTGGTTTGTAATATGGATGGCCTCCCATAGTTGGCGGAGGCGGACTGAGTCCCACATGTACTAGATAATAGAGAAAGGGTTGATAAAGCCAGGTTTGCATTTCAAGCAACCGGTTATCGATCGCCCAGCTGAGTTCGCGGGAGACATGATTGCCTGTGGAACCCCTCCGGGAATTGAGATGCGGAGCGCGAATAGCAGACGTGGTTTCCAAATGCTGCATTGCAGGAGGAAGGTTGGCCGACCATGACGAAACCTGAACCTCAAACTCCTGCGCTATGCGGAGGAACGGCTTGATGTTCAGCCAGAATGAACGATCCTGGCAGAAGAAAGAATTGATAATGCGGTTGCCGATTCGCCGAAGTGCAATCTCCGTGAGATAGTAATACCAACTTTCTTCCTCGTTATGTATGTGTTTCGCATGCTTTCTCAATTCATGATCCTCACTGATCGTGTTCGGAGACGCGTAAAGCGAGGCAACGGAGTCTAGTGTCATGTCTTCATTGCCAATTGAGCTTCCGTGAAGAGTATCAGAGGCTGAAGGACTGCAATTATCACCCGACTTGGGCGATGGAGGCGACGGGAAAAGGTTGGGATAGTCTCCCAGGCTGAGTTCGGATTGTGGAAATGGCAGTTCGACGCGGAACTCGCACTCGGACTTAAAGCATGACCAGTACAGACTTTGCTCAAGTCTTTTTATTTTTCGGTCAGCAGCACTCAAACTTCTGGACGAGACTGTCGGACTCCCTAGGTGATTTTCTCCGATACCGTAAGTCGTCTTGAGGTGCAGTTGTAGGAGAGTCGAGGCGTGAAAGAAGTATTGCCACGATAGAATTGGTTGGAGAGTGTACATCAAGTAAACTTCAAAACATTCGTGTTATAAATTGATAGTTGCGACTCTGCTAGTGTATGACTAACCTCCGGCAAAGAAGTGGCATTGGGCTCCTAGCATTGTGTGCTTCAATGAGCCAAGGCGACGACATGCGAGTGCGAAATACGATTCGGCCTGTTGCAGTTCTTTGTCGTACACATGTACAGAGCCCGCCGAGGATGACGCGAGGTCGAGATTCGCGCGTGGCAGGACCGTCTGTTGTGTAATCGACATGTCAAAAGGTTTTGCTACGCTGCCAAGCGCGCATGCAAGAAGAACGAGGCATGAGAGGCCATCCCAACCCACACCATGCTCTGCACACTTGCGACCATGTTTGACAAGAACATCCACATCGAGAATAGGATTCTTCGTATGGATATTTTGTAGAAAACAATCAACAAGTTGGGGAATTCGCTCGTCGTCAGGAGGGTGTAGCCCTGTGTATCGTACCACTTCATCAACAAGGGCAACCTTCGAACCTCCTTGTCCCGGAGTCGCAATATCTTGTTTGAGTTGGAAGATCTCTCTAATCAGGGCGTTTCGAGGGTACTTTCCATGAAAAATCGACCATTCCAAGATATTATCCGCACTCATCAAATGCGGAGGGATTTGAAGAAAGTCCCTAGAGGATTCAACTGTATACGGCGCCTCCGTTGTTTGAACAGCTGCCTGGGAAGTAGCCTGCAGTCGTGTACCTGGACGGCCCGATGGTAGGGCATCATCTGCGTGTTCAAACAAAAGGTCAGCTAGGAAATTACCAAGGAAATCTTGTTCCTTTGATGTTCCCGAGTTCTCGCATATTTCCCCCCATTTAAATGTGTGCTGCTGAAACAGCTCGGTCCTCCTTTCTCATCCAAGATTGCATCTTCTTACGCTCCATTCCGCAGGAGTCAACAGGTGTCAGTGGTCTTACCTCTTTTATAAAGCGCGCACTTCAAGCTCTCTATTTCCCCTTGAAGTTGATCAAATCTTTCGAGTAAGGTCTGAGTAGCTGCCCCTAGCCTGTAGTGTACTCTTGTCAGTATGAACATTTCCACTTTGCTAGTTATCAAGAACACATTTACGTAATAGTATCCGCAACTTTTCCAGGGTATTCGCATGTCGAACCGTTGGCCTTACAGAGAGAACAATAAGGCCTTTGTTTATCACATTTGACTTTACGCAGTCGACATGGTTGGCAGGCAGCCTGGCGGCGCTAAGTACCCCAATACTGTCAGTCTCCATTACCTCGGACTTTACGAGCGCGCGGCTGTTCATTGAGCCCTGGCGACGCCTGCACTGATCGCATCTGGTTATTGGCCCACGCGAAAGCCACCATATTGTTGGGACGAGGTCAGATACGCACACGAGCCATATGGGAGTCTTCATTGACTCCTCGCCTCTTCTTCGCGGGCGGTTCTCCGACGCCATCGCTGCTCGGACTCCCCGTCGTCTCTCCACGATGATATGTCGGACAAGGGGGCGATGGGGTGGTCATGGTCATTCAAATGCACAGTGAAGGATGAACCCAATGTATAGGGGTGGCTGCAGTAACAAGGGAGTTGCACTGGAGAAATCGGGGAAACCGGCGTTTTGGCCGATTCTTAACCAAGACTGCAGGTTGTGGCGCTGGCGGCGCGGGGAACTCGGCGAAGTTCACCGTAGGGCCTCCGCGCCGAACCTTCCGCTACCACTGAAACGAAGCGTCGCGCGACAAAGTTGTGGGGAAAGATGGGGAAGCATTACGTGGATCCGTGATTGATCCATCGCGACCGTGGAATTCCGGTATACCTGCCTTGGAGACCCCGCAAAGCTTGCGCGAAGTTTAATTTCCTGCCGCCAATCTCGCCGAACTGCTCCGCAGTGGTCCCCCCATAGTGGGCGGTCACGGCTAAAGCTTCATTGACCGCTGACATGATGACCTTCTCTACGGAGTCAAGTCTGCGGGGGCAAATTCCCGTCCATTATTGATCGCTCCAGTCATCAAGCAATCAAGCGGGATGCGCGGTGTTTAAAAGGCAGCTCATGCCCTGCCACTGCTCGTCTTGATCTCAAGCACCTACAGCTTGACTTCGCTGTTTCTGAACAGACCATAATCCGTCGGCTTCACGCTACGGATCGTTAATATCCCTTGTTATTCCTTACCTGTCCGAAGGATACCGCGTGCCCACAATGGTCGAGGACAGCCCTCTTTCCAAGTACAATGTCAGCAACAAGCTATACAAACAATCTCTTCTCAATGCTGTGTGCTTAGTTGCTGGTGTCTCCATCTTCTTTTTTGGCTATGACCAGGGTCTAATGGGTGGCGTGAACACCAACCGCAACTATGCTGAATTGATGGGGTTTGGCTATTACGACGAGCAACAAGGCGATGTCGTCGTCACCAAGCCTATGCTTCAAGGGAGCATTGTAAGAACACTTCCTGCGTCCCGACATTTTCAATGATGAAAATAGACCACATGGAAACTGACCGCCGTATTACCCAGATCGCGGTTTACTACCTGCCCGGTACACTTTGTGGCTGCCTTCTAGGCGGTTGGTTCGGTGATCGGTATGGCCGGATTGCCACGATTGGGTTGGGCGCAATTTGGTCAATTATCGGGGCATGTTTGCAATGTTCGGCTCAAGATGCGACCTGGATGTATTGTGGTTCGTTTCCCCGATCGGGGTATCTCGTTTACTACTGATGAACAGTTGCAGCTCGCGTCTTCAACGGCATAGGCACTGGCATACTAAATGCTATCACACCTGTTTGGGCTACGGAAACATCAGGCCACACCTCCCGCGGCAAATTTATCTCGTTGGAGTTCACTCTCAATATCTTTGGAGTGGTCGCTGCTTATTGGATCGAATTGTGAGTAGTAGTACCCTTGATGAACCTCTGCAATAAGCCTAATCAAGTGAGTAGTGGAACTTCAAAGTACTCTGACCCCCTGTCGTCATTCATCTGGAGGTTCCCTGTCGCCTTCCAGATCGTGCCCCTTATCGTACTAGCTGTTGTCGTCTGGTTCATGCCCGAGTCCCCGCGATGGCTCGTTAAGGTTGGTCGCAATGACGAAGCCCGCTTCATCCTGGAACGTCTGCGTGGCAAAGATGGTGATGATGGGGAACTGGCTACATTTGAGTTCCAGGATATTGTCAACATCAACAAGTTGGAAACACAGGAGTCCAAGCAACAGAGTTATTTCCGCATGTTCTTCGGCATTGGGTCGGGAAAACTTCACATCGGTCGCCGCGTACAGCTGGTTATCTGGCTGCAGATCCTGCAGGAGTGGATTGGCATTGCGGGTATCACAATCTACGGTCCCACGATTTTCAAGCTTGCTGGGATCTCTGCCGACGACCGTCTTTGGGTGACTGGCCTCAATGATATCACGTACATGGTGCGTCCCTCACTTTCGGCCACCTGATCCTTCGCAGAAATCAATCAGCTAATTGACCTCACCTAGATTGCGACATTGATTTGCGTCTTCACCATTGACCGTATCGGTCGACGCTGGACACTATATTGGGGTGCGGTCGGACAGGGAATTTGCATGTTCGTTGCGGGTGGCCTTGCCCGAGCTACCATTGAAGCCAGTCCCGGTTCCCGCGGTGGTATCGGCGGTGCGGCCACATTCTTTGTTTTCCTCTACACCATGATCTTCGGTGCCACCTGGTTGACCGTTCCTTGGTTGTACCCTGCCGAGATTTTCCCGCTTCAAGTCCGTGCTCGTGGTAACGCGTGGGGGGTGGTAGGATGGTCAATCGGTAATGGTTGGACTGTAAGCTTTCATCCTGTCGGGGAATGAAGACAAGGGCACTTTCTAACGTCTGCATAGGTACTCCTTCTTCCGACAATCTTCGAAAAGCTCAATGAAAAAACCTTATACATCTTCGGTGGGGTTAACTTCTTGAGCATCGTCATTGTGTGGGCACTTTATCCAGAGTCTAACCAGAGGACATTGGAGGAAATGGATTTAGTCTTTGCCAGCGAGAGCATCTGGAACTGGGAGGCTGAAAAGACATTTGCCAAATTGAAAGCAGAACTACCCGAACTGACCCAAGCAGATAGACGCCAGAGCTGTGTCGTTGATGCCGAGAAGGGCTCCTTGCGGTCTCTGAGACCCGACCATACTTTGAGCGGCGATCGTCCTTGCTTGACGAGTCACGATGATACTAAGCGGATGGCCGACGCATGCGAACAGTCTCACGTTGAACATCCATAAGCAGCTACCCAACAAGAACCCGGTTATTATATATCAAGAATGTGGACAATAACCTTACACGAAGTGTGAATTTAAGTGACCTTATGGCGTTGTAACAAGGCTGAATGTTTTATGAAAGGGATATTTTCAAGTATCGAACTATACAACAGTTAGAACATGCATATGTTACTTTGGATCTAAGCTCTATTCCGAAGTAGCCGGCTGCAGAGGAACGTATCTATAAAATAATCAGAACTTGAGAACAAGGCAGAAATGAGTCTTGCTAGCATAGGAAACAGATACAAGCAACCTGTTCAACGAATAAGACTATCTTTTCAGTGTAATCCTTTAAATTTATTGGTTCTATCGAGGATGACCAAACAGAGGTTTTAACTTCCGTGGAGGGAGGCATTAGAGATCGCCACCTCCGCACTAGAAGAGGCTTTTTTGGTGGAATATTGTAAACCAAGCACTCCAGCCGTGTCCCACAGGAGGCATTCGAGATCGCCACCCCCGCACTAGAAGAAGCTTTTTTTGTGGGATATGGTAAACCAAGCACTCCAACTGCAGGCACGATACTTCCGTGGATTTTATTTGTTTTTGTCCTCGCCGAGTAGTCTCAGGGTGAACAGCTGCCGATTATGTCATATAAAAAGCTGTCATCCTTTCGCCTTCCGTTCAACTTCTCGAGTCCCAAATGTGGCCGCGCGTTTGACCTGGCACCCAATTCTCGTTGTTGTCCACAGTTGGTCATTGCTTCTTCAACATCATTAATTTTCAGCAGTGTTAATCTCTGCAGAAAAGGTCTCATTCCATCCGGCCATGGCGGAGAGTATCCGTCGCGCTGCAGATGGTCTTACTGGCGCTTATACTGGCCACGATTTGGGCGTCAAAATCTACATTACCACAGTCTTGAGCATTACCTTGTACAATGCTCTTGAACTTGTCATTCTCATCTTCACGACTTTCAAGAAATACAAAGGCCTGTATTTCTGGAGTCTCTTGCTCTCTAGCTCAATCGGCCTTGTACCATACGCGCTTGGATTTCTCCTGAAGCTTTTCCAGCTATCCGCCCTGTGGCTCTCTCTTACCTTGCTTACTATCGGCTGGTACTGCATGGTAACGGGTCAGTCAGTTGTTCTCTATTCACGGCTTCATCTGGTGATGTATGATCCAAGAATACTCGATCGCGTCTTGGCTCTGATAATCATCGATGCTATCATTTTGCACATTCCTACAACTGTCTTGACATATGGATCAAATCTAAAACCCAACAATCACGAATTTATTTCAGGGTTTCTTGTCATGGAGAAGATCCAGATGACAGGATTTTGCCTGCAGGAGTTTATTATCTCAGGTATATACATCTGGGAGACCACCAAAATGCTACAACTAAACTCAAGCCCAGCCAAGAAGAGACTGTTGCTCGAGTTGTTTCTTATAAACTCGGTGATCAGTCTCATGGATGTTGGCCTTCTGGTGGTGGAATACCTGAACCTTTATGTCATCGAAGCTACACTCAAAGGCGCCATCTATAGTGTGAAACTGAAATTAGAGTTTGCTGTGTTAGGACGGTTGACCGATTTCATCCAGGGTCGCCATGGATGGGATGAAATTACGTGTGACTTGCCTAATTCTGGTTATTCTGGACAAACATCTGATCGCCAAGAACCATCTTGCTAAAGCGTCTTTCCAGGATAGGCAGGATGTTCAGGGAGCGCGGTACATTGAAATATCTTACTTTTCTATTGAGCGATAAACAATGGTCACATCTATGGCGTAATTGATGCTATTCCCCTGCCTCTTCAAAAAATAATTCCTTTTCTCCGTCATCTGTACCGATGCGTTTTCAAATGTTTGAGTGAGAATCTGGAGTCCTGTAACCTGTATCGGGCCATACATAGCCCGGTAGTAGAACCATATAGTAGAACCATATAGTGACTACGCATAAGTCCGGGTTCTAGCTCAGCGGGTGTCAAAAAAAGTTCAGCGGGACTAGTCTTAGGACACGCTCAGGTGCCGAAGCTAATAGGGTGCCAATATATTCTGATACCCGATTGCCTGATTTGTTGGCAGTCTTTTCTTATCTTTTTGTCTTTTTACTTTTTAACTCGATTGATATTCACCTTTCCCGTTACAGCACTGCTTTTCCGCGGTCCGTTTTCTCATGAACGATGGCGCACTTTTGCAAGATTGCTGGGGCCAACGCAGTCGCCTCAGATTGGGAGCCCTGTGAACTTGTTTCCAATTTCCGCCGTTCAACGGGGGTTAAGGTCCAATAGAATGCATCCATTGAATGTTTCAGCCCAAGGAGCGGCTCGTATAAACCCTTAATTTGCATGACCAGGGTGCCCAGATGGTCTAGGCTCGGCTAAGATACTGCCATTTAGGCTTTGCGAGTAACTGCCAAGCATGGATTTTCCGCGAGTAAGCATTGACACCCCCAAGTTAGCTGTCACTCAATTTTAATTCCAAATATTTCGGCCATAACAGCCCCAGACCTCTGGTGAATTTGGTCTGTTCACCCCACCATCTAATGTGTGTCGGATGAAGCGGGAAAAACCATGGGCTGAAGATGTATTTATTGCCTAAGAGCTATGATGGTGTGATTGAACTTTCATTGCATCTGCTGCAGCTTGCTCATTTTTTAGTTGGAATGGCTGCGGTGCAGTTCTTTTCTTCTCGCTGCCGCATGGGTGAGGGATGGGTCATAAATGGGTGACCGCTGCCTATCGGTGTCAAATAATTGGATCATGCACCGCACCAAACACGAGGGGGCGCATGGTATGTGCACATAGCCAGCACGGACTGACGAACTAAAACTAAATTTGCCTTCTCCCGGGAAGTGCAAATTCGGCCAAAGAGAAGAAAAACAAACAATAGATCGCTCCATTCTTGAGTGTAGAATCTCAATCAACCTAATTTGTATTATTAAGTGTCACCGAGGCATAGGAAATTCACAAAGCAACGCTTACCCTAAGGTAGGGTACAATGCAAGGGGCCCGAGAGGTGCGAATTGGAATATAGCGTGATGGCCCGTGCATGGCTCGCTTGTAACAATATCGGAGTAGAATCATCCTATCGGAGTGTACCATACCTCATCCTACCTATCCATTCCACGTAACATCTCCGATGCCGCGGCCCAAAGGTGGCCGGCTCACAATGTCCAGTAGAGGGAACCCCGTGTCTTTTCGTTACCATTTCGACGGTCTCTAGATATCTCTGGCTGAAAACCTCTTCGCTCTATCCGCTTCCCGTGCTGCCGCTTTCGCCCAAAGAAGATCAAAGAGTCATATCGGTGTCCCGCGCTTTGCACCTCAAGAGCATTCACCAACGGCAATCATGTCGAATCATAGATACAAGACAGACAATTATCCGACGCTAAGCCGTCCATTTGAATCAATAAAACCAGAGTACGATGTCGTGGTCATAGGATCTGGTTATGGCGCTGGCGTTGCAGCATGTCGAATGGCTCGGGCAGGAAAGTCTGTCGCGGTGCTAGAGCTCGGTTGGGAAAGAAGATGTAAGCACGACTCGCATTTCGTTGATTGAACGTCCACCACTATAAACTATGGGACATTCATCGAGAGACCTGAAATGAGAAGTCAGTGCTAACATCCAATTGAGCCGGCTCGTTTCCGCATACGCTCATTCGGTGTCTTATGGACATGAACATTTCAGGGAAACCAGCAAAAGATTCGCTCATGTCAAACTGGCTATCATCCGGACACCCCACCAGACTCTTCCAGTTATTGCTGGGGAATGGACAGCATGCTTTTTCTGCTCATGGTATGTGGCGTCCATGATTTCCTAAGTTCTACACGTGACGACTCAATTTGAACATCGGAATTTTTGACAGAAATCTTAGGGCTTGGGGGATGCTCGTTGATAAATGCAGGAGTCTTTCTGGAAGCAGATGAAGACACGCTGAGAATGAGTCCGTGGCCACCGGAGATTAGAAATGACCCATCAGTGCTGGACGATTGTGAGTTTTATGCACACGTTCATGTTCGGAAATTACCCGTAGGCTAATTAGATCAGACTATTTACGAGCTGAAACCATGCTGCAACCCTCCACATACCCTGAAGAATTTCCACGTTTGAGCAAATTCGAACATCTCCGAGAGGATTCAAGGCGAATGGGAACAGGTGCAAATTTCTACAAAGCGCCGCTAACTACTTTCTTCCATGAGAGCCGCAACAATGTGGGCGTAAAGATGCAGGCAAACGCAGGATCGGGCCACGAGTCTACTGGCCTTAACGATGGTTCCAAAAATTCGGTAGCGACGACATATCTCGCAGATGCCTGGAATTGGGGCGCTGAGATTTTCTGCGGATGCGAGGTAAAATTCATCGAGAAAGACCCGGAAGAGAAGGGCTACATCATTCATTTTGCGTGGCATGGAAGGGGGAGATCTGTGTTTGCGGATCATTTCAAGGAACAGCTTTTCTGGATTAAAGCAGTAGGTGCCGATGCAAACAAGCCTTGCCCATCTTCCAACCGGATCATTACATGCTAACATTTATCAATTTTGGCCGGTTCAGACAGAATTCTGTTTTCTTGGAGCCGGTGCTTTGGGCACTACTGAGATCCTGCTTCGGTCCAAAAAGCGTGGCTTGCAGATGTCTCCACTAGTGGGAAGAAATCTATCCGGGAATGGTGACATGTTGGTGTTTGGCAAGTTTCATGCATAGAGCGAAGTTTCATACGTCTGATTATGATTTAGGGTACAATGGGAGCGCCGACATAAACGCAATAGCCCGTCGATCGTCAAGCTCTTCCAAGGCACCGGGGCCCACGATCACAGGTGTGATTGACAACCGCCTTGTCGATCCCGCAAACAACCCTCTTTCTGGATATGTCATTCAAGACGGTTGTATTCCTGAGCCAATGAATCCAGTTATCCAAGTTATGTTTACCCTACAGACTATAAAGGATCAGGCGGTCTCCTTCCTTTCGAATCCTCGAAAGGAGACTAGAAGGACTCTTGCCTCTTTGAAATCATTCTTACTCGGCCCGTACGCCCACGGTGGAGCCCTGCAGCGGACTTCAACATATCTTGTGATGTCTCACGACAGCAATGAGATGACCTTGACTCTTGATGGTGACCGGCTGTGTTTGCGAGCACCTTCGGAAGGTCGCTCTGATAACTTTAAGAAGATAAAAGCAGTTCTCAGCGAGTTGTTCGGGCGTACACAAGCAAATATGGGATTTTCATACTTCTACGGTAAGGCGTCTCCCGGTAATAATGACAAACTAGGCTAACTGGATCAAGGCCGCCATGAAGAGGAAATTACTGTGCATCCGCTTGGAGGAGCCAATATGAGCAGCGATGGTACAGGGCGTGCAGGTGTAACGAATTGTTTGGGAGAGGTCTTCACTGGCCGAGGTAGTGAAGTACACAAAGGCCTCGTGTGTTGCGATGCTTCTATCATTCCGACAGCCCTGGGTGTGAATCCACTGGCAACAATAAGTGCCCTCTCAGAGCGCTCCGTTAGCTCGCTCGTCAAGCGGTCTGGGCTGTCAATTGATTTGAAGACCAGAAATGGTGATTTGGATATCCACAGCAATCCCAGAGTATCAATAAATTATCAGAACGAGCAAGGCAGCATCAAGGGAAGGTCGAGCTCCATAGGATGGCAGTTTACGGAGACTCTATATGGACATATCTATATGGGACCGCGAAAGAAAGATCCGGGGCGGTTTGACAAGGTTGGAAAAGGCTCTTCCTGTCCAATGCAAATCTTTCTCACGATAGAAATCTGCACACCCGTAAAAGGTGAGAAACCAGGGTCATTCTTTTTTGTATGGAATATTGACGGTTTTAATCTAGGATCGCAATATCAAGGTAAATGCACCGGTACAGTTTCCTGTTACGCGTTATCTACCAATACGCTCAGGATTGTCGACGGAACTGTGGAATTCTTCACGCCGATAGAAGATAAAGCTGAGTCGTCCGCCATCTCATACCGACTGGAGCTTCTCTCGGTAGAGGGCAAGCAGTTTTACCTGGAAGGTCATAAAGTTATCAACTCGAGCATAGCATTTTCTGTCAGAAAGACTTGGGAAGCCACAACTACGGTCAACGTCAATATCACTCGGCCTGACGGGGCAAGTCTTGGATCAGGCACTCTTCATATCTCATTGAGGGACTTTCAAAAGCAGATTCAAACATTCCGGACGACGAAACCTGTGACGGGTGGTCTTGTCCTGGCTTTGATAGGCTTTCTGGTCTCTTTTATGATCCACGTCAGCCTCTTCTTTTTCAGCCCCTTCGTTCCTGTGCGCTTTCCTCAGTCCTCGACGGAGGGTAATGTCCAATCAGAACGCCATGGGTCTTCATCGTGCAAAATCAAAGCCAAAGATGGCGTACAGGTGCTTCTCGACATTTATGATCCTCTCGTCGCTCAAGTAGAAGGCAATCTTGCAGACAGCTCAACCTCAGCCCATCCACCAGTCCTGCTTCTACCTGGAATTACCGGGATGGCGATGTATAATCTTTTCGCGCTGCCATTCTTGCGTCGCAACATGGTTCATTACCTAACGAGGCGTGGATACCGTTGTTACGCACTCACGCCTCGCTGGGGCTGTGATTCTACCGTGGCCCAGAAATCCACTGTCTTTGACTGCCGCCTTGACGTTGCTGCCGCAGTCGAATACATTCGGGAGAGAGAGCCGCAAAAACCATACGTGGTAGCCCATTGTCAAGGCTCCGTAGCACTCGGCATGGGACTCCTTGACGGGACTATTTCCAGTGGTGACCTGCTCGGTGTCACCGCAAACTCCGTGTTCATGAATCAGGTCTTTGGTTACTGGAACGCAGTCAAGGGACAGACCACTCTGCTCATCCAACTCTATGAATTGATCGCAGGGAGCTTCTTCCCAATTGCCAGCAGTGGTAGGGATGCCCTTTTCCAACGACTACTTGATGCTCTCCTTCGTCTTTATCCCGTGGGGAACAAACGAGATCGTTGCACATCCACTGCATGCCGTCGAACGTCTTTCGCTTTCGGGTTGTTATGGAATCACAACAACCTCGACATGGGCCTTCATGACAACATTCATCAGTACTTTGCAGGGACCCACACCAAGATCATGAAGCAAGTGGTCCACATGGGAGCTCGAGGAGTCTGTACGGACAACCAGTCACGTCCTCTGCTTACAGACGAGAATTTACAGCGCTTGCAAGGGTTACCGATTCTGTTCATTTCGGGTACGGACAACCAAGTATTCGACCCCGTGTCGACGCTGAAGGACTACGAGTTGTTACGCCGACGGTTCGGGGAGAGACATTATCGCAGATTCCTAGCCGAGGGATACGGGCATCTGGATCCTATTATTGGAAAGACAGCTGATGAAGATGTGTATTGGAGAATCTTAACCCATCTGGGAAGCTGTACTGAAACAGGGGAAGTGTTGAGAGCCAATTAACGTAGCCAGTCGGTTGAGAAATATAGCGGTGTTCGTTTGATATTATTTGTTTGTATGTTCGGCGATACTGTGGAGTGTTAATTCCACTAATGCCGCCAGTAACGTTACGGCGCGTTAGCCGAAGCAAGGACTGGGGTAAAAACGGACTCGGTAGAAATCCCGCGTTGGCAGCAACTGATTATCCGATCGCTGATTTGTTGATAAGAATCAGCTGATGGCGTCACGGCATGTGACGGCTTTCACATGTGAAAGTTGTAGTCGACTTTCTCCTCCAAAGTGATTCCTTCGTTTCTTTGTATTTTGTGCTTGAACATTTAGATCGATGGTTTCCTTTTCTTCGCAGCTCCTGGTTGTACAAAAATCTTCAAGCCTGGGACTAGACTGCGGCATATGCAGTGTGGGTAGATATGATAGGTACGACACATCTTATGATACTTTCGAGATCAACGCTAATTACGCTGCCAGATCACGTCTTGGGGAGACCTTCTACGCGTTTCCGTAAGATCCAGGTTTTCGCTGTGGTTTCCTTCTGGTCACTTTATCTTCTGCGGTAAGCCACACAGGTACCTGGGCATCCCAATAAACCTCCGGACACCGCGGCTAAGACTACTTTTTATCACAGCGCGAACAAGCATGGCCCGCCTTTTATTCGATCTCTTTCCAGATATTGCAGCAGCAGGCTAAGTGCCTGGCAGACCACCGTCATTATCTTTCTATGGCTCTATGTCTGCCGCAACTTTGGCAAGATCGTCGGCCTGGAATGCCCGGAGCCCTTGGCGAACCTCTACTCGCGATCTTTCTTTCGCGCGACTTGGATCACAACTGGGTTGGACGCTGGATTCTGGACTGCTATGAATATCAAGCCCAAATGGCTACGGGATTTGGCTTCCTTGGTTTTCACTGTCTACTATCTCATCGCCGCAGAGGCAGCGGATGAAAAGGTCCGGAAGGTTCGGGGTACCCTGAATCTGGAACATTTGAGGGTTTCCTGGAATAAAGCTACGTCGCCCTACCTATGGGTATTGGCGAGTTTGCTCCGACCTCGATTGACTCGGTATTCGCCTCGAGCGATTCGCATTGCGCGCCCGCTCCACTCCGTCCACGGTGATCCTGTGAATGCATGGCTGTACTTTGATGGGCCTCTGAGTGCGCTCAAAGACCAAACTAAAATCATTCTGGACATTCCAGGAGGTGGCTTTGTTGCTATGGGACCTCGAAGTTCTGAAGACAAGTTATTGTCGTGGGCAGGACGGCTGAAAGTGCCGGTGTTGAGCATCGACTACAAAAAGGCTCCAGAATTTGCGTATCCGTATGCGCTACATGAGTGCTACGATGTTTATCACACGATCATGTCTACAAATGGCCGTTGTCTTGGGATGAGTGGCTTGACACGCCCGCGAGTTGTGGTGACGGGAGAAAGTGCGGGCGGCAATCTAGCAGTCTCGATGACCCTGATGGTCTTGCAGTCGGCTATGGCACAAGGCTGGAAGGGTGACGATGTAATACCTCGTCCAGACGGGCTAGTCCTGGCATATCCGGCGCTCAACATGAGAGTCGAAAGCTGGATGACCGACGAGCAAATGTCATTGATCCAGGATAAAAGCTCCCGCCAGACCAACCGAAGTGTTCTGCAACGGAAACAGGATCAATATCGCAAACTAACGCCGTACACGTCCCCGGGTCATTCGGTTGAGAACTTGACAGCAATCACGAAACAAGAACCCCAGAAAGATGAGCAAGTCAATGTTGCATCCGAGACCTCAAAAGCACTCCGCGAGAAGCTGAAAAAGAGTGAGGATCTGAATAATAACGCACTCTCTCAGCCCGAGGACCAAGTCCAACCTATCAAAACGAGACTGGCCGTTTCTTCAATGATATCCTACGTTCATGATCGGATTCTCACACCTGAAATGATGCGAGCTATGATCATCCTCTACATTGGACCTCATCACCGTCCGGACTTCAATACCGACTTCTACCTGTCCCCGGTTCTTGCACCGGATTCACTTCTCGCAGCTTTCCCCAAAACCTACATCTTGACCGGCGAGCGCGACCCCTTGGTTGATGATACAGTCATTTTCGCAGGCAGACTGCGCCAAGCAAAGCTTCATCAATTCCATGAACGTCAAGACCTAGGTCTAGAGAAATCGGGACACCAATTCAACGAGAAGGATCATGTCGAGGTCTCGCTTATCCCGGGTGTGTCGCATGGGTTCATGCAAATGGCCGGATTCTTCCCGGATGCATGGAAATACATCAATCGCAGCGCGAGTTGGATTGAGAACATCTTCAATTCTATGGAGGTAGATGACTCTGAATACAGTCTTCTTCAAGCATCTCAGAGCTCTGGTGTGAGGTCTTCCCAAAAGTGGAAGAGCGCCACCAAGAGTAACGGGGGTGTCAAAGGCTACCACAGCAACCATCACCGCCGTTTCACGGGCGAGTCTTCAGCGGATGAGGACAGGCCGTTAGAGATGAGTATGAGCAAGATTAAATCTTCGCCTCACATGTCAGATCAACCCGAAACTCGCGTGCGTCGCAGAAGATCTCGTTCATCATTTGCCTCCTCTCGATTGACCGGGTTCACAAGCGCTGGAATCGAGTCTGGCCATACAAGGGAATTCATTGCAAAACTGAAACGCCTTGAGCTCGACAGGCAAGATCAAGACACATTTGATGAGGTCAACAGTGCACCAGTAAGCCCAGGAACTGCTCGTCCACGTGGTCGAAGTATTGCATCTTTAGATAGCGAAGAAGATCTTTTAGATCGGCGGATGAACGGGATTGCGGGTGGTCTTATGGGAATGGGAGAGGGTGCGCGCACACCTGGGACATGAAGTTATGAACTTGATGATCATGAGGAGTACATAGATACATGAGAAATTATCACTGTATTGCAATTGAAAGTACCTTACTGACGATGACAATGTTGATCGACTGCTTCACATGCCAGTCGCATGTGAGATGTTGTCCTAGCATGTGAAAGTGGATCGCGCATCTTCCGTAGGAGAAACGTATGTAATCTCGCTTGTACTTTCACATAAAGTCAATTTGACATGACAGGTGAAAGGTCTGGCACTGTGCCCGGCAAATTGTACCAATAAGCGTTGGAACAATCGCCTCGTGGAAGTCGGCATGGCGATCGCGGCTTTCGGGATTGTCCCGACCACGTTCGGCACGTTCTTCCAATACACAGATACACACCGTACTAACTAGTGTCGGGTTTCTGAAAGAAACAGTATGCAAAGAAGCTTGTATGTAATTAAGCCTGATAGTGGAGGGATTCTAAGTCAAAGATATAGCTAATGACGCGTGCCAACCCCCTTATAGACCTCGGGCTATTTACATCAACCACTTTCTGCGGTGTCCCTGTCCACCTTCCAAAGTCACAGTTGCCTCAATTCTAACCCAAAGCACTGCAAATGTTGCAGCGGCCAGCAACACACCGACCATGATGCTGGTATTCACATAGCTATGTGGATCCGCCTTTTGGTGCTGGTTGCTGCGGATCAACAACCCGGCGATCGGAGTTCCAAGCAACGTCGCAAAACCTCGCACCATGTACAATACACCGTTTACACTGGCAAAATTCTGCACACCAAACAGCTCCACAAGGCTCGTTGGGAAGAGCGAAACATAGGCCGAGGCAAATACACCGTAGAAAACGGTGAACACGATGAACAGTGCGCTGCCGCTGGATTGGCTCGTTGATAACGAAGATGGAAGCCAAAGAGCCAGCACAGCCACCGACGACACCATCGTTGTCAGGAATAATGTATTTAGCCTGCCCATGCGATCTGCCGCATACCCAATAGCAATCTTGCCGACGGCATTCGCCGCGTTCGAAATGGCAATAAAGTTGGCGGATGTCGCCTGTGAATACCCCAGAGTGCGCGCGAAGGAGGCAAAAAAGAAAACAGGCGTATAGTATGCAGCTGATTGAAGCGCTGCTCCCAATGCGTGGGCGGCAAACTTGCGAGTGCGCACGACGCGCCAGTCGACCAGGGGAATGCGCAGAATGCTCGCTCGTGAGTTCGCCGCATTCTCTGCCTGAATTCGAGTCAACTGGCTGGCTGGCCATCGCATGAAAACACCAGACGCTGTGATGAGCACGAACGAGATCGCCGCGGTGATGCGGAGGCAGTTGCGGAACCCGACGCGTTCAATGAAATATCGAAAGGCCAGGGGCCAGGCGACGCCTCCAACACCTGTTCCTGCAAGGATGATCCCCATGGCAAGCCCTCGATGACTCGAAAACCAAGTGGGTGCTACTGTTACAGAAGGCATGTATGCCATGCAGGTCCCAATTCCAAGAAGCAGACCCTGAGTGAGGAGGAACTGCCACAAAGCTTGGCTGAAGCTGGCCAGAACGAGTGCAACGGAGTAGATGATCCCGCCACTCCAAATGACTGCACGTGGTGAGTACTGCTTAGTCCACGCTGTTGTGAACGGGGCGCCAATTGTCATGAGTGCGATGGAGAGTGTCCCGATGAGATCAATCTGCGCCGGAGTTGCACCCGTGAAGGGCGTATTAGGGAGCTTGGACATGGAGTCATACAACTCCTGGTAGACACCGAAGGTAAAGTTGATACCGCATCCTGTGAACACGAGGGCGGTTGACGAGGTCAGGATGAGAAATGGCTGTCTGGGGAAACGTTATTATACTGCTTACGGCGGAAATACAAAGTTTGACCTACAGACGTTCTAACGTGGTAGGCTGAGCAGCGCCAGCTACTATCATAGGCTCCAAATGGCGATCCATGGTGATGTTGCGATCAAATCGATACAAATGCGGACTTTTAAACCTTCGGCTCGTTGAGTCACTGCGGGGCATCTCGGAGCTTAACATTCGGCGAGACGCCCGCGACGCCGAACCCCGGAGTTGCTTACTACATGGCAAATCGTTAATTTCATCCTGATGGCCGTGTCTGTTCAATGCTCACCATATGACATTTATGTGGAATTGAAATGAAATCGTTACGTGCGACGCGGTGGCAGTTGCATTTGTATAGTTCACAATTAAAGGCTCACCAGGTCTCTAGGTCACCATACGTAAGAATTTCTTCTCCATGTTGGAATGTTGTGACATGAAAAGTATCAATGGTCACACCGGCGTTGAGTTCTTTCCTCGAAAAGATGGTCTAAAAAAATTGCTCGAGTCAAGGGCCGAGAGCGCAATTTAGACATATGTGACGAATATCTTCATTTCCAAATAGACTTCCAGTCTTAGCAACTTGTCTCTGGGGATGAGTTTGCATGTTATAAAGGATAGGCTTTAGGCAAACGAGTCGGTCACCATTAGACATGACGCCAGTTCAAGTGTCTAAATTCCATCGTGATAAGCGATTATCAGATAATGCCTGCTTACGCCCAAGATGGTGTTGTTCTTTCTCGAGTCTTCCAATGCCCAGCCGATGCGCCCATCTTTGAGGGTTTTATTGCGCAGCCTCTAAGAGCATTTTAAGAAATGGCGTGAGTCAGAATCTGTGTTTGTCTTGGGGAAAAGCATATTTTCATCACTCGGAGCAAACGAGATGTGTTCAGAAGCCGAAGTAAAGCTGGTCTTCTTGCCTCCATATTCTCCAGATTTGAATTCTGTTAAAGAGTTCCTTGCTGACTTAAAAGACTTCATTCGGCGAAATTAGCAGTCTTGAGAACATAATCCGCATTCAGGATTTGATAGCTTCCTTGAAAATCGTGTTAATGCAGTGGGGGCAAGGATAGAGAGTGCACAAAGACACTTCCCGCACGCTTCCCGCACGCAAGACTAACCGTCAAGGAAATTCCGCAGCTGCATATTAGCACTGCCAACAAAATTTTCAGCTGACAATAGCATATGTAGTGTAGATCTGCAGATGCTATCTCAGTTGGCGTAGTTAATATTGATGTTGATCACATGCCAGCCATAATATCCGTATTGACTGTTTGCAAGTGCAACGGAAGATACATCTTTTATTGCCGTGTGAGTCCCGCGGGAGCGAGTAGCAGATTTACCTGATGAGAGCGAGATTGGACTAAGCCCTACTCTCCACTAGCCACCGACATCCGCCCCACCTTCACTGCCCTCAAGACCGAAAGCCGCCCCTCGACGATATCAAATTAAGGACAAGTTCACAGCGTTTTCACCACCTATTCTTCCATCCAGCTCAACTTTTACTTTTTCCAGGGATCATATTACGCTGGGAATAAACCTTTACTGATACTGAAAATGAGCATAGTGCCAATATCGATCATCTTGCTGTCGAGAGATACAGAATTGATATATTTATCTATGCATGATTTCATTTAGCCCAATCCATCGTTGAGCAACTGAATGATACTGTATTCTCAGATTAATTACTTTCCCTTTTAATGAAATTCTGCAGTATCAACAGCAAACTTGGACTTGAATCTACTTTGCTGCATAATGATACATGCACCTAATAAGGGGGGCGATTTAACTTTGACGGCTGCAGGGAAGTATGTGACGCCCTCTGCCTTATCACGTCATTTCAAATGTGGAGGTAGAGTCTCTACATCTACACCGCTATCTATCAGCATCTTTTTGGCGCTACCCTCAGTATCCCCGTCTAGGCACAGGGCAAATTTCGGGACAGCAATAGTAGGGGTAAAAAAGGGACTACACCGCTGGAGATAAAGGGGCTTCAGTAGTGGCAACAATAGGGCCAAAGGTGGCCGTCCCGCGTGCACAGGCGATGCTCTATCAGAGTGAACGCTTTTGTATCGGTACAGGAAATTCTTCCACCTCATGGCACAGAGTACCCCTTGGAAATCGGCTACAGAGGTCTCCTTTAGATTAATAAGCCATTTATACTACATGTGGTTTCCAAACGTGGTTTTAGTTGGATGGAGTATAGTAGGGGTCAATTACGCTCCCCCGCGATCGAGGAGATGTAACTGGCAAGGTTATCTCCGAGCTTTAGTACCCACTGTTTTCACTAGAAGCGTCGCATCATTGATGCAAGGCATATCCATACCGCAGAGAAAGATGCAATGTGACGTCTTTTGGTGTTTGCGATGCATATATGCATGACGTGGCCACTGAAACCTGAATCGGTTGGCGATCGGAAACCCTAAGTGCCTATATAACGCCTTGGATTGGCACCACTAGTTACCTACCAAGCCTTCATTGATTTATTTACACCCATTCTCTATTCTATTCTTTCACACGAGATAAAATGAGCTCTACATCCTCTGTGCGGGCCTCTTCTCTTCGCAAAAATGGATATATCGTTATCAATGGTCGCCCCGGCAAAATCTACGAAATATCCATGTCAAATGAGAAGTGCCACTTTGAGGCAATAGACATTTTTACCGACAAGAAGCTTGACACTCTTGTGGCAAAAGAAGAGAACGTGGATGTTCCAGAAGTTTCGAGCAATGAGTATCAATTTGTATGGGTTTAATATTCTCAGGACTTACAAGCCCTATACTGACGATTGATTTTTCGCTCCTAGTCACATATCGAGGGCGGAATGCTTCATTTGATTTGTATGGACGGCGCCGAAAAGAATGATGTACCTGTTCCAGATGGTGATGTGGGGGGTAAGATTCGCGCACATGAAGACGCTGGCATCGACACCTTGATTACTGTAATATCGGCAATGGGTGAAAAAAGGGCAACTGCTGTCAAAGAGGCACAGAGAGGATAACGAAATTAGTGGAACAGGCCCTTGGTTTAATCAATAACTAAATATGTGGTCTTATGGTTTTACAATGCAGCGTAACCTTATATTTGACCCAGTAATGATTCCAATTTGGAGACTGTTCATCACTGTTGCTTCCCTCTTCCTGGTCAAATACTGGCAGACAATTCCTCGGACTGTTTTTGATGCAAGAAAGGGAAATATTCATCAAATATTTCTTCGAGATCGGGCGCAGGGTAGATTACAGATGATCTGCATTCACCCTCCAAATAATCAGAGCAGAGGGGCATACGAGGAGTCCTCCATAGATTAGGCAGTCGTTGTCAGCAGATATGGTCATTTTAAAGAGGATATTAAGTCATCTCTTCATCCCTACAAGGCAAAAGGTGCTACCGAGGAGCCTAGTAAAATCATCGCGCGGTAGCTTACACCAGGAGAGCGCCAAGAAGCGTCAAGTAGGAGAAAGCTATGGCTAACAGGCTGAGTATGTTGGTGAGCAGGGTCATGGTATCATTTTATATGACAAAGGTATCGAGAAATGACTGTCTGTGCTATCTGGCACCGAGTGGGCTCCTAAATCGTCACTTGCATGCGGAATGGCAGAGGGAGGTGACACCTTGCCAGATTCTCAGGGCCTACCCTAGCTCCTCATGGGATGTATGCTCGTGGCGAGGTTGAGCAACCAGGCAGTATTGTGACGTATGCAATCGCTTTCCTGGCCGTTGGTCATACTGACTGCTTCCCAGTGTGATCTTCGCGGTAGTTGTTGCCGCCACGCCGTTGACCCATATTGCTCCTCAAATTATAACCGTCACCAGATCCGCCGCTGCGGCCGATGAGCTCTTTCGTATTATTGACAGGAAATCCGCGATTGACTCTCTCTCAACTGTAGGGTTAACGCCGGAGAAATCTGTTGGCACGATTGAGATTCAGGACGTTCAGTTTGGCTACCCCTCCCGCCCAGATACCAAGATCCTCAAGAGCCTTAACTTGAACATCCCTACTGGAAAGACCACAGCGCTGGTCGGTGCTAGTGGCTCAGGAAAGAGCACCATAGTTGGTCTTCTGGAACGCTGGTACGAACAAGCTGCTGGAACAATTCTCCTCGATGGTATTGATATCCGGAGTTTCAATATTGCAAGTTCCATTTCCAATGACACAGGGAGCCATGGTGCAAAATGGTGATATTTAGAGATCTAATGGCAAGTCGATTGAACGGAGTTCTATGGATCACTACCGACCTGAATATTATCTGTCTTTTTACACTCCAGTTATGTAGAGATTAGCTGCTATTCCCAGACAGGCTTGGGATTGTCACGGGATGTTTAACTACATGTTCTAGCTTATATCAGCTCATTGGTACATCTGCGCATCACCCCCGGTAGACTTTATGATTGGGCGAAGGAATCAAGGGCAAGAGAGTGTATCATAATTTTGGTTTTTGTCTCGGATCTGAGGCTCAATGGCTGACCTTGCATATGTTGAGGTCAGCCAGGGCTCGCGAAGTGGCTGACACAGCCTACCCTAGTAGGAACAGGGGTAGAAACAGGGGCCCAGGCCCAGACTAAGGGCTAAAACTGGTCTCTTTGGTCATGGCCTCCACGTGACTGATACCGCCCGCTGGCTGAGATGTAGCAAAGCGAGCCTCAATGCTTCATCAATACCAGGGGCTTAGTAAGTATCATGGAGGTCTATCCAAATATCCAAGTCGCGATACTCCTGCTCCTCGCGGCACTGGGAGTAGTGAGTGTGTCAATCCGCCGTTTCTTCATCCGCCGTCAGTTCGCCCGCCGCCACGGCTGCCAACCAGTCGCGAGATCATTCAGCAAAGACCCCTTCCTGGGCCTTGATACGATCCCTGGCACCATCCGTGCACTCAGGCAACATGAAATTCTCGAACAAGGATGCGAGCTGTTTCGCGTCTATGGCAATACATTCACTCTCAAAGAGCTGCAGCGACGCGCGATTGTAACGATTGAGCCCGAAAATATCAAGACGATCCTATCGCTGAAATTCCAGGACTATGGTATCAGTCACCGCCTCGAGCCATTTAAGCCGCTGTTAGGCGAGGGTATCTTTAATACGGATGGCGAGCACTGGGCCTCATCGCGCGCTCTCATTCGGCCTAGTTTTCACCGTGAGCAGGTGGCCGATTTGACCACTTTGGAGGAGTTGTTTCAAGATTTGAAATTATTGCTTCCGCGAGATAACTCCACGGTTGACCTGCAGGAGCTGTTTTTCTGCTACACGATTGATTCTGCAACGGATTTTCTATTCGGACAGTCCATTCACACGTTAAGGAAGAACCAGTCGCAGAGCAGGTTCGCGGAAGCGTTTCATTATGCCCAGAAGGCTGTTCTCACGCGCGCCACTCTAGGGCCGCTGAATGTCGTCTACCGTGATCGAAAGGCCGATGAGTGTAATCGGATCTGCCGCGAGTTTGTGCAGCAGTTCGTCGAGGAAGCTGTCCATACCGTTGCGGATAAGAAACGGATACAAGCAGAGACAACACGGAAACACGTATTCTCGCATGAGCTTGCATCACGAACGTCCGATAAGCAGCGCATTTTGGATGAGCTGATGAATGTGCTGCTAGCCGGGCGGGATACGACTGCGAGTCTACTGGGGAATCTCTTCTTCATGCTGGCGAAGAACGCAGCTATATGGCAGAAGCTGCGGCGTGAAGTGGCCGTCTTACAGGGTCGGCCACCAACCTATGAGCATCTTGGGGGGCTGAAATATGTCCAGTGTTGCGTGAATGAATGTATGGACTATCAACGCAGTTCTCTTTGGCTTTCACTGATTAGGAACCAGCTCTCCGCCTGCACCCTGTCGTCCCACGAAACGAACGCGAAGCAATACGAGACACAATCCTCCCACTAGGTGGAGGCGAATATGGCCTATCCCCAGTCTTTGTTTCAAAAGGGACATTGGTATGCTACAACATCTACGCCATGCATCGGCGGATCGACTTCTATGGCCCAGATGCAGAAGAATTCCGTCCGGAGCGCTGGGAGGATGGTAAGCTACAGCCACGCTGGGGATATCTGCCATTCAATGGCGGACCACGGATCTGCATTGGACAGCGCTATGCTTTGACCGAGGTTAGCTACGTTCTTGTGCGGTTGGTGCAGGAATTCTCCGGGTTGGAGAGTCGGGATCCGGGGCCTTGGGAGGAGTCGCTGGCTTTGACACTTTGTTCAAGGAATGGAACGAGGGTTGGGCTTATTGTTTAGCTGGACATTTCGTTCGACCAAATAAAGTATATTATGGTAGGTCTAGTAAACGACAACACCATTGGCCTTCTTTTCCTCCGCCTCGAGCGAGAGACTAGAGCTCGAAGACGAATATGAAATCTCAACACTCAAATCCCTTCTTACGACTTCTTCCTCTGCTTCCTCTTCCGCGTCTCCTTGAGACCGTTCTTTCCAAACATCTGCCAGGACCGTTGCCAATGAATCCAAAAATCTATCAACCTCGTCCTTTGTGCCAATGGTTACTCTCAAACACCCCCCACACCCAGCCTCCCTACCCTTTGTTTTGTCACCCATGTAGCGTTTTAGAGATTCAACTTAATGTCCACATATTTTATTGTACCTTGTTCTAGGCACATAGCACCAATAATACACATATATCCGAAATTCGAATTATTTCAAGAAAAAAGGGGGTATAAATAACACAGCTTTTGAAGCGAAGCGAAAAGAGGATAGAAACAAAAGAATATGCCAAGACGGGAATCGTCGTTTGAAGGGACCAGAAGTCCGGTAGCAAGGAAAGATCAGCGGTGATCGAGAGGGCTATGTATGCATGCAAGGCGCTCGGGTATTGGATGCAAGTATGCATATGACATTGACAGGAATGAAAGGTAGTGTCTTGGAAAGTCCCCTGTCAGAAGCAAGGTCCAAAGATATGCAGTATAGGAGAGTTGAAAGGTGCAGGGCAGGGTGTATATAAAACAGAGGTAAGTTCACATGTACTGAACGACCCAGAAAAGGATGATGTTCAAAAGGGTTTTCCGGTTTTTGTACATAATTAGATCATTGAAGCATGGGGGACTGTCGAGGAGCGGCCTTGGAAAGTTTTCCAGACCGAGGCGCGGCCGCAGATCCAATGTTACTTGCCCGGTGATCCTGGACGTGCTCACGGACCTGCTGTGAGCCGTAGAATCGATCGGATCCTCCCGCGGCATTGGATGGCCGTGGAAGGTGCGCCTGCGCAGCAATGGAAGGGGGGATCTTGGGGAGCGGACAGTTTGGTGGTGGTGCGACTGGAGGACCCATTGACAGGCCTAGACCCGGCATGCTCTTTCGGCGAGACATGCTCTGATGAGGTTGGGCCTCGGTCGGTAAAGGAGGCAAAGGTTGGCGTGGTGCCGGCTCCGGAGGGGGGGAGAGGCGGAGATATCGTCTGGACTTGGGGCTCCGGGTTCATCTGAATACCCAGTCCAGAACGACCAACGAAGCTGAGAGGCCGGGAAGGAGGAGAGCTCGCCATTTCGGAGGGAGCAGCCGCTCGAGGCACGCGAGAGAAGTTAGGAGCAGGTTGCCCAGACCGCACTACTCTTGACAGAGCATCCTCGGAATTGAATGCCCGCAAGGTCCGCCGGCCCTTTGCATCGTAAGCAACCATTGGTGGATCTGAAGAATCCGTGCGGCGGGAGCTTGCGATGCTGTATGTAGGTGACTGCGGGGGCGAAGAGACGGTAGACATGGGAAACTCGGCGCTCTCGCCTCGGAGAACACCCGCTACCGACGAAGGTTGAGAGTTGGAGATGGGGGTCGGCCCCGGTCTCGCCGCAAACTTTTTGCTGAAGGAAGGAACACTGAAGTTGGGGGCTGGAGGCGACGCGCTTCTAACCAAGCCGTCGGGGAACGTGGATGGGGGTGAGCTGGGTTGGACATGCTCTGTGCGATTCGGAATTGGAATCGCTCGTGGTTTAGAGGACGTGTAAATAGACTGGCGCTTGTCATGGCTGGATGTTGGTAGGCTGACAGGATATGTTGACTCAATATCGTGTGTCCGGGGGGCTTCTGTCGGGGAGACCGGAGGGTTGGCGGAGATAAATGACGAGGCTTGAGCATCGGAGGTAGTTGTAGACATGGATCCAGCTCGGGAGTCAATTGCCGAATGCTGATTCATGGAAACGTACGAGCTTCGCCGAGACTGGTAGGTCATCCCTCCGACCGATTGACCATCTTCCTCCTCGTTGGAAGATTGAAGATTCACCGGCTGCAGGAATAGACTGGAAACGCGATGGGGATCTTTCCTCACCATTTGTCGAACACTTGACTTGGACCGAAGCTGAGGCTCGGGCATGTCGTCTTCAGAGTGCTTCTCCGCCGTAAGTTTGGGCCCTCCGCGAGCTTCGATCTCCGCCCGGACCACCGTAAGCCAAGAGATCATCGACTCGGGGTTGTCGAAGACCAAGAGAAAGCTTCTTGCCAGACGTCGCGCGTTCGATCGGTGGAACCCGAAGCGCAGCCGGGACTTGGGAGGCTCCGCGGACTCAGGGCCGGCATCTGCCGTCGGATTTTGAGAAATCTGCAACACCCAATGTTTTCCGGGGATGGCGTCACTGGCAAATGCCACCGATTTGGGACCCAATGGCAGCATCTTCTCGGGAAGACGGTCATTTTTGCCTTCGCCTGCATACTGAAGGATATAGCCGGTCGTAGAGAGCACGTAGATTTTCTTCGTCCAATCCACCTTATTTATAGAACTTGATACAGTCCGTGTATGTTTTCGTTCTTTTTGCTCCTTCTTCTTTCGTGCCGCGTCGGACGCCTCGATATGGCCATGGGAGCCTTTTCGGCCATTGTCCGCGTCGCTTCTCCCCATTGTCGCATGAAGGCGCAGGATCGAATCTGCGGAGATCGCAGGCGCAGACAAACACTCATGCTTGAACGATTGTGGGTAGGCCTGGAATAAAGGCGGGGGTTTCCAACCATACTGTTCCTGGGACCGCTGTTTGGGGTCGATGACTGGCTGTGGAGGAGGAGGTGGTGGCGGTGGCGGTGGTGTTCGCGTTGTTTTTAATGTGGCTCGCGGCCTTGGTGTTGTTGGGGAGGTCACGGTGGGAGTTGACGCTACTGTCCGAGGTGACAAAAGGTCTGGGGAAAGAGACGCGTCGGATACGGTCACTATTTGTGTTACAGGCTGCTGGGCCTCGTCAATCTCGGCCAATTTGCTATCGAGGGCCGCTGCGGCGCGTGTCGACTTGTCGCGACCGAATAAACTGCGCAGACTGCTCTTGGACGACTGGCGCTTCACCGGACTCTGGAGAGGAACGGGCTCTCCGGAACCGTTGGTGCTAGGATAGTCATGCGGGCGCGGACGCGACAATCGTGAAGCCTGCGCTTTAGTCTCCGTAGCAGCCGCCGGGCTAAAGTTGGTCTGCAACGGTGCGAGGCGATGCCCTCTGCGCTCACCGAACGACGGTGGCATAGAGTCCGGAGTCATGGAAGACATATCGCCCATCTGGCGGGATCGTCTTGACGGCCGTCAGCGGCAGCGCATTGCCGTTTGAAGGTCAAGAAAAGGAGGTGATCAACGGGGCAATGATCATCGAAAAACGTGGGCGCGGATGCACGAGGCGAACGTTATCGGCAAATTCCGCAGGCCGGCATGAGAGAATCAAGAAGGAAAACAAGGGAGGAAGAGAATCTCGAGAGAAATTAGCGAGTGGGGGGAGAATCGTGAGATCGGCTCCCAAACGTGATGCTCCCAACGTGATGGACGTGCATAAAATTGAGGCAGGCTAATTTGGGGCCGTCTGGGCCTTCTATTTCCGATCATTACTCATTCCTATACTGAAGTACCGCACCCTACTGTATGCAGGGCTTCCTACCAAACAAAGAAGCATCCTACAAGTGGAGCTCAAATCCCGCTCCACCGAATTCCAACGACACTCGGTAAATTGTCGTGCCGTCTATACCGATGGCTCCTCATTTCTCCGGTCCGCACTTCAATCCCTGTCCGGACTCCACACATCCCATCAGCCCAGCCCCATTATCACAATGCCGGGCCATTGCAATGTCCTTGGTGGTCAGGCCGCGCGGATTATGAGTCGTCCAGTGGACATCGACGGACCCGAACCGCTGCGCGCGTCAGCCTCATTTTACTTGATCTATCTTCGATCCAATGTCAACTTACCACGGTCATAGTAGGGTGGTGTTTCTTCACCGAGCTCTCCGATGCGATCAGGTTCACGAAAGACTGCATGAATCAGTCTCAAACGGTTCAATTGCGCTCGGAACGGAGTCACTCACCACGGCCTTGAAATAGCTTTTGAAATAGAATGTCTTGGTCACTCCCATTCCTTCCGCGTCCAGCGCCCATCCCTGTTGCTGCAGCGCTGCGGTGTCCGACCCGAGCTGCCGCGGGTCTTCACCTTCTGCAAACCGAGGTGTGGGCGTGTTGGAAGCCATTCGGAACTGGGGAGCTGGTGTACGGGGGAAATGGCGAGGGGCAGATGCAAAGGCGGGTCTTTGCAGAGCAAATCTTCCGAGGCGCAGTGCGGGGATACTTGCCATAGCTATGCGCTGTGTGCTGCGTGCTGCAGTTCGGAGTTGGTGCTTGTTGCTCCGATTCCAGGCTCCCGTTGATCCGTCGCGCGTGCACGGACCAATTTGCTATCTTATCGCCCGGCAGTCCGGTGTTTACCTCTCTAGTTGAAAGTGGCATATTGCATCTAAGCTCTATAGATAGGCAAGGGCGTGAGGTAAGTGGCCATTTTGCTCTAGCCTTCGAAGGAATAGACGTTGGGACATCTGTAACTTTCCACTGGCGACCTCGTCTATCGCGAACGATATTTACCGGCATGTCTAGCGTAAGTCGCACCGCTCGTCGTCCGGACTAGACAACTACGTTCTATTGATAATGGAACCTGTCACCTCAAGCAGCCCGGGCATCATACTTGGATATTGAAATGTTATTGTTACTGGCCGAGAAAAGCCGCTTTGGAAGCCTGTCGCGACCGGGGCTACAGGAACAGCGACATAGTGACGACCATGCGCGTGATCAAGCGCTCCATGTCAAGCTCCTCAGGCCAAGTCCATATAGAACGCCACAACTATGTAACTGCGAAAACAGTGTTACTTCATGGAATGGAGCATTCAATGATACCGGCCAGTCTGGCCTCAAGCCACAAAATACAGAGCTATACAAGATCGCATTTCCTCGGAATTGGCCAGATCACTGGACCGATGTAGGATGCTACACTGCCACTGAACCATTGACCGGAAGTGGACGAACTCGGCCGGATTGCCCACAAGGACCACGCCACGAGAACTCTCCGCAAAGACCGTCGTTGTATCGTGGAGGCACTCCACATTTTACCATTTTCCCCAGCTCAGCCTACGCATGTAAGACTATTACCCGAATAGGTATCTACGATCTCGGGAGAAAATAATGTAACAAAACATGAACCGTTCGATTGGGGTAATCTGCTAAACCATACAATTCGTAACCGGTATCCGCCCAGTCACAAAAGTCCCGTAGCGTACATGACATCCCCAGTTCGTAAATCTCGACATTGGCGCAGTCAAAGCAAAGACACAACCAGTCATTTTCAGACCGTGCATGTATTTGCGATGCTGTCGTAGGCACCGTAAGTTGCGAGCGAGGCCCGTCTACCATAAACAATGCAGAATAATCGAATAACCGACGACCACCGGTAATAATAATTAGAGTCCACCACGCCCAGCGCAAGGATAACGATTCATGCAATCGAAGACATGCACAAAGAAGTGAAAAGGTGTGGAAATCCTGATAGATTTCCGTCGAGCAGGGCTCAACCCCGCTCGTCATCGCTCTGGCTGCAAATTCGTGTATCAGTTTCAGACAGCTGTGAAGATGCTCGTCACTGATATTTAAGGAGCAACAATACTGTTGCGGCGCGAGTTGGCTCGGGAGTTGGCCCGCGAGGTGACGCGGGAGCCGGGGCGGCTGCCCATGGTGTGACGAATGCGGAGATCCTGCTGTGACCGAGCGTAGGAATTGGCACGCGACGACATCGGTACCTTGGATGCGCGGCGACCTGTAATGGTCGCGTCGTGGCGGGCCTCTGAGAGTCGCTGCGCGAACGGGGAGCGCTTGCGGAGCTCCGGACCCTTCCAGTAGATCACGTAGACTGCAATGACCAACACAACCGAGATACAGACTACAGATCATGTTAGCTTGGGTTTAATCTGAGTGTAATACATGGATTGAACATACAAAGAATAGTGGAAGCATATTCGAGATGATATTTGCCGCCAATGTCTGTTGATATTTGTTAGTTTCATGTACAACAAACCTCGTGCAACGATAACTTACTCGTAAAGAAAGGCGTAGCGGGGAGGGTGAGTACACCGGCCAGGAAGTCTCGGGACCATCCGTTGCCACCGGTTGCGGACGCAGAGTAGGGACCATAGGCACAGATCATGTAATCGATGGTGGCCATGTAGATGGCGTAGTTGGCAATACCAATAATGGCGGCAAAGATCATAGAGCCGATCCAGTGGCACTGGGGCAAACTGGTCCATGCAAAGCCAATCAGGCCGATGGGCAGGCAGGGAGCGGTATACAGCAGCCACCACAGACGAGACTCGTACTGAGCGCGTTCACTATCCGGGTTATCGCGTCGCTCCTTGACATTACGGCGGATAATGGGGAACCACGAGAACCAAGCAATGAAGTAGCCAACGACAATGGGAATGAAAGCCAGGCCCTTCTGCCAGGTGTTGAATCCCCACTGTCCGTAGACCAGGGACATAGACTGAATGAACATGAAGATCAGGGCATCACTGAAACCGCTCAGCAGAGAAAGGGTCAAGACAATGGGCTCTGTGAGGAACATGCGGAAAGGACGGATCCAAGTGAGCATGAGTTCCCGAGGGGGGAAACGTTGACGGAAGGACATGCCCTCAGTGGGGCCGACGATGTTGGGATGCTCGCCGCTCTTGCGCATCTTCTTCGCAATACGGTCCATCAAGACGGTAGTTCGGGTTTCCGGGACCATGAAGAAGTGCATGATTTGAACGAAGACGCCAAAGATCAACTGGATCCAAATGTTCCAGCGCCAAGGAAGGTAGGCCTCGACGAAACCACCGATCACAGGACCGAGGACTGATCCGCCAACGGAAGAAAAGACGACGGCGGCGACAGCGTACTGCTGAGTGTCGGATTCCCAAAGATCGGCAATCATACCCAAAGTTACAGAGCCACCGGCGGAAGAAAGACCACCGAGAGCACGGCCAACCATGATGGAGGCGAAGTTGGGCGCCAGCGCCACGGGCAGCTGGAAGACGTTGACAAGGAAGAGGGAAAGTTGCAGAATGGGCTTGCGACCCAATTCTTCACTCCATGGTGCCCACAGCTCACAGCCGAAAGCGTACAAGACCAGGAAAATCATGGCACCGCAACGCGCTGCTTGCAGGGAAACGCCAAACTCCTCCGAAATTCCATTCAGACCGTTCGAGTACAAGGAGGTGTTGAAGTTCATGGAGACTTGTACCAGGAAGATAACGGTGATGATCATCCACTTGCGCTTCTCGGAGAAGGAGTATCCGAGTTGGTCGTAGCACATATCCTCCGTGAGCTCGACCCGCCCAGATGGGGTAGTGTTCTCGAGTTCGTACTGCCCATCGTTGTCCGATTTTTCGCTCATGACCGCATGGATTTGATCGGCCTGAGTTGTGCTGGACGTCTCCGAGGTATGCACGGCATCACGGCCGCCGCCGACCTTGTCGGGGACGCTGGCCATGCTGAACTGGTGAGAGTTAGTATTTGCCCGGTGGACCATGCCATCATGAATACTGACCGGATAATTAGAGGTTTTGGTTAAAGAAGGAGTCGAGGGGAGAAGAAAGACGAGAAGCGGGGAAGGATGGGGGAAGAGAAGGCAAAGAGAGAAAGAGGAAGACAGGAAATAATAAATACAGCAAAAGCAGGAAACGGCCAGGCGAAGGCGCGATGCAACAGCCAGTCAAATGCGGCCATTCCACGATCCCTGGTTCCATCAGTTCCTCCGATTCATTTTCTTTTCATTATATATTTTTTTTTTCGTCGACCCCCAGTTTCTACGTTCTACGTACTTTCCTTCTCCAGACGTTGAGGTCGCCCTCGACCTTCCCTTTTGCTCACCGAGCGGCTTGCCGACTGATCGTTTCCCCGCGGGTGTCGCATTACCCACTTATTTCTACCCCAAGAACTTCATCTCCGGGCCCCCGAGTTTCTGCTACATGTATGCTACCCTGCATAATAGATTTCCATGTGCAGGACCTGCAGGGTTCGTAGGATTCAGCCACAGGCGAGACAATAATCTGTGCCCCCGGTCGCCATTTGCCTCTGCAGAGGCCTCGATGACGCTCCGGAAAAAGGAGAGCATGGGAAAGCACCGCAATTGGGCACTCGGCTCCACTCCGAGAACAACGACCGAGACCGATGCCATCCTTGGGAATCAAAAGTCACCGAAAGGATCCCGAAACTACCGATTGGGCCGGATACGGCTTGGACCGTCCGCATCAGGCAAACGACCAGATGCAACAAATTCGGATGCTAGATCTGCTTCTGCTATCTTCCATTCCGAGACGCATGCGACATCAATCTACAGCGATTTCGATCGAGATCTCATGTGGCGCAGCACGGAGCAAGGGGCCCGGATTTCATTGCCAGTGCCCAGATCGCATGGGGTCTCCATCTGTAGGCCCAGGAACGATGACGCACGAAAGAGGGCCAACCAAGTTCTTCTTAGTCTATTGAACCACATCGATCATTATAAGGCTTTGCGCCCTGCACACTCATGGCGGCGCCTTCCAGGGCCGACCAACGGGCTGGCGGCAGGGTGACGTCAGGAAGGCTGGAAAACACCTATCACGGCGAAGAGTTGGCCGTGGTTCGCCAGGAATCAGGAGCAGACACAAGACTAACGCGTCCGTGGCGTGGTGCATTACGGGCGTGGCGCCCAGTCCCACTGTCATCCCGACAGGGGTCCAGATGTCTTGTTCCGACCGCGGCGGGCCCGGGATGCGCTTACTCTGTGCGATTTTTAGTGGTTCCAATGCCGGACCGAGTTTGTTGTTCTCTGGATCTGCCCATCCTCTGCCCTACGATTTCCAGAAAATTCGAAGCCTGTCAGAATGTCAACCACATGAAAAATGGCTGATCTCGATCCCTTGCAGGCCCCAAAGCCCAGGTCGCCCGTGCGCCGTCCCTACACTTTTGGCCCCTTTCGCCCACGGGTCTGAGAAGAGCCTACTCAGTCGTTTATTTTGGACCCCAAGGAGAAAAAAGTTTGACAAAACAAAGTTTTCCTGATCCACCGAGTCGCATCGGTGAGAGTGGACCGCATCTTGTACGTCGTCCGGAAACAATCAAGGGCGTAACCCGGGGAATGCGCGATGCCACCTTTGTTGCCGCGCATGGACTTCGTCAAGGATCTTCCGGATCGTAAGCCACGCGAGCCTTGCGCGGTGATCAGTGGGCTCCGTAAAAGTATATTCACCAAAGGCTTCAGCCCCTGAGGAGGCGATTCGTGTCTTGACATGGCGATTCGCTGCCACCCGGCTCATCCGAAGACGCCACTTGGGACTTGGCAGGTCGACCACCGGACTTGGGGTCTGCATGCCCGGGCAACGTAGTCCCTTGAAACGAAATGTGAAGAGCCATAGGACGGTTGCACGATCCAGGGCTAATGGAATCATATTCGCCGAGTACTTTTGATCGAGGGCGTCGTAGAACCCCAGACTCCCCCGCCCGCGGTCGGATCACGTGCTTCATGCCCCAGGCTTCAAGATATTGTCATGTGACCTTTCCCCCGCGATGATTCTGAGTCAGCGACTTGTCATGCCCAACTGAGAATCGGAGCTTCCTGTAGCTCGACCATCACTATCGCAAGTCTGGCTTCTTGTTGACCATGTCCCCTGATCTGAACACTCTTCCCGCATCGCGGTCGTCCTCGTCATCTTCGTCCCTACCGCATCGCAATATGCCACCCTCACCCGGCACAGTCCAAGCACCCGTGAATCCCAGCACCACCTCCCCTCGGCCATCGCGTGGATCCAGCATGGGCCGATTATCGGTCTCCGAGAGACGGCGGTCGGCAGCGGGCATGGCTCTAAACCTGAACGAGGCGACCGGCATAGGTTCGGGAAGTCTCACCGAAAATCCCTGGTCCGACCATCGCTCCTCCATGGGGCATGCATTCCGCACGGCCAGTCCCACCAGTCACGGCGGTAGCCCCATCTTCGCGACGGCGGACCCTCACCACCAGCGAGCGCCGTCTCTGGGGGAGCTGCATCAAGAGCTGGAGCAGGAGCAAGAGGCGCAAGTGGTGGGTCTTTCCCTCAACTATACCGTAAACACGCATCCGACTAAACTTTCTGTACGGTAGAACCGCCTCTTGCAGATGATTCGCAGTCAGCAGGCCCAGCTGCAACACCTCCAACAGAACCAACAGCAGACTCCGCAGTCAGGGACAGCCGTCATCGATGATACCACCCCGTCATCGGAACGGTCAATTTCATTCTTCCCTTCTATGCCCCCGCCTGCACCGTCTAGTAATCGGCCATCCATCTCGTCGCTCTCCAACCGTCCACCAAGCCTGATAACATCTCCTAATATGCATCCCCAAGATGCGTCCAGATGGTCAGATGGCACGGAAGCGTTCCCTGCCCTCCGAGAAAGCTCATCTCGACGAGGTAGTCGCGATGACAGCGCATTCCACCAGGCTGAAGCAGCCATGCTAGGCCGGGAGAATCAGATGCTTCGACAGAGGATCCGAGAACTCGGTAAGTCATGCCATACCACTTTTTCAATCTTAAATCCCGCATCAATCTTGCGGAGGACCCCACTCCGAAGTGGAGATATAGAATGAGCACGTATTCCTGACACCCCATAGAACGGCAGATAGGAGACATGACCACAACCACGGGGATGGAAGTCCCCCCAGCTGCCCGATCGGGACACGCGCCGGGGCAAGAGGGGCCCGAAACGGCGGACCCGCAGGCCGTGGGGTCTTCGGACGGGAAAGCCACAACCTGAGCCTTCCGGTCGAACTCTGTTTAGACAATGGTGTCAGCTCCCAAGACTGTTGGGATGAACTGTTCGGGTAATGATGATATGTCGGGCCACGGCTTCCGTGTACAGCTATGCAAGCGAGTTTGCTCACATAAGATCGTAAGACCACAAGGTCCCACCGTGGAGTTTTTCATGAGGGTTCATTTGCCTTTTTCACGAGTTTCCGGGCAATTCTGCTTGCTGTCTTGGCGCAGGATGGAGCGCCCTTTGCACATGGGCAGGCCGGTGGATGCATGTCCCCATGGGGATATTCCCGCATTGCGGTGCGCTTCAGGAGACAACTGCTTAGTCCCTTTGCTTACAGCCCACCTGGGCAGTTAGATGGCGCAAACCTATAGTCAAGGTACATACCAATGCATCGAGTACCTGTGTTCCTCGTCGTATTAAACTGTACAACCTTGGGAAGCCAACTGCGCTGTTTCCCCTTGAAATCTAAAGCACAGAAGATATGAAAACTCACCAGATATTCATCCTTAGATTCATACCGAGATATCCACGCCCATGGCACCATCCGGGATTTCTTTTTTTTTTCTCTGTCTAGACAAGTGTAGCCATCCACCAGATAAAGCATTCCAAGGAAGAACAAATGAATTCTGATGTGATATACAAGACCACTGCACATGCAGAAAGCCAGCGGTGAGAAATATATTCATCTAATGCGCTCCGAAATAAAGACAAAGAAAACCTGGTATCGAAGAACCGAATACAACACACTCGTCGACTACAGCTTAGCCTTCTCGGCCTGAGCAGCTAGGTCGGGCATCAGCACGTCGCGGAGCTCGGAGGCAGCCTCGTTCAGGTAGTGGCTCATACGGTGGGCGCCGAGGCGCTTGCAGACGATGTTGAAGTTGAGACTAGAAATGATCAATCAGTATTGAGGACATGATGTATATGGTCCAAGGGTCGGTGAACTTACCTGTTCTCGTTGATCATGTAGGCAATGCCGAAGCCGTCATCTATGACCTGGCTCCAGCCGTAGCCGTTGAAGAACTCGGAGCTCAGCTGGGAGCTGGAGATGTACCAAGAGCTGGAGTAGGTGAAGGCGGGGTCTTCGTAGATGGAGGGCAGCTTCTCGCCGGGCTGGAGAAGCTTCTTCAGACCGAAGAGGTGACGGTCGACGCCGCGGCCGTCGCTAGCCTCGAGGGTGTACTTGGTGTGCTGGGCAATGGCGGCACGGAAGAGCTTCACGACCTCCTCGCGGGAAACGTTGGGGTCGGCGAAGGCCTTGCAGAAAGCGGTGCTCTCGTCGGAGACGGTACGCGTGGTCTCGGTACGGCCCTCCTGGAACTTACGGGTGGAGGCGGATTCGTAAGTGGGGCGGTTCTTGCCGTACATCTTGAAGTAGGCCAGCTGGATGACCATCTGCACGTAGGCGTCGGGGCTGCACTTGAACTTCTTGATCAAGCCCTTGCCGTAACCCTGGTAGGCCTGAACGACCAGCTCGTGCGAGTTGATCTGCTTGCGGTGGTACTGGGCCGCAAAGTCGATGGCCTCGTGGGCAGCGTCGTTGAGGTTGAAGGTGACGGGCTTGGGGTCCGGCAGCTGCGAGCGCACGGACTTGGCCGAAAGGTCAATCTTCTTGTTGAAGATCAGGTTGTTGATGTGGTCACTCAGGCGGTGGGTGGGAGTGCCGTCCATCATGCTGTGCTCGCCCATGAAACCGGCGGTGCCGTTGTCGTTAACAATGAACTGCAGCGGCTTGTCGAACCAGCGGTTGGAGCCATCGCCGTGCCAGTATTGGTGAGCACGCTCCTCCAGGGTGACGGGCTTGGCATCATCCAGACAGATGACGAAACCCGCAGACTCGATCTCCTGCAGAGCCTGCTCGTTGGCGGGGTCGGCAGCGACGAGGGTCTTGCGGGCAGCAGCCCAGTGGTCACGGTCAGCCACAGTCAGCACACCGACCGGCGGGGCGGGCTGGGCGATCTCGTAGATGCGCTTGAACTGCTGCTCCAGCTCGGAGACGTTCAAGGCCTGGCCGTCAACAACAAGGGGAACCTTGAAGAACTGGTTCTTGCGGACCACCACGATGTGCTGGTTCTCAGCGGCAGAGTACTTGCGGGGGAAGTCCTCAACGTCGCCAGGGACACGGCAGCAGTTGAACATGTACTCGTACGAGTTCATGGCCATGGGCTGGCCACGCAGGTACTCGGGCTCGAGCGAGCCGGAGTCGACCTGGCCCTTGAACTCAAGAACGGCGCTAGCAATGGCTGCCGCGCGCTTGACAGGGTCACGACGCTCGCGGTCATCACGGTAGGAGTAGAAGTAGGAGACGTAGGGGATGACGGGGTCACGGTAGCCTAGGTAGGCGGCGGAGTTCCACCATTCGGCGATCCAGTTCTTGATCTTGGGGTCGGCAGCGCGCTCCAGGAGGCGCTTCTGAAGAGGCTCACCCTCGCCGCCGGGGCGAATAAAGGCCTCAACGGCCTTCTTTGTGTTTTCGAACTCGGTCTGGGAGACGAGCGGATGAACGGACTTCAGATACCGACGGCCGGTCTCCTCCAGCGAGGGAACCGGCAGATGGGGCAGAGAGTCCTCAAATCGGAGCATCTTCCCCTTGGAGAGATCCTCCTTGTATCCTACACCAGAGAGTCAGTTCCAAGTTCGATCGCGACCGGCACATGTGATCCACTCACCCTCAGGGACCGAAGAAGCTTTCCGAGCGGGAGCCATAGCGGGTGTCTACACACAGTCAGTAATTGCTCTGCTCCTGCAGTCAATTGTCTCGCCAGCATCAGACAGTTCGTAGCTGCCGTGCTACGAAGATCGGAGGTGGCCGGTCTTACCGAGCGGGCGAGTAGTGACGTCGGAGGGAGCCGGGGCCTGGACAAGGTGGAGAGACGGCTTCGCGCAGAGGCAGCGAACATCCCTCACAGCTGTAGATAGGTAAGGGTTGGGGGTATAAAGAGGGAGGTGAAGGACGAGAAGAAGTGTCGCGAAAGGTAGAAGAAGGGAAGACCAAATAAGAAATGGCGGGCCCTAAGCTGTGCCTCGGCTGTTGAAGGGGAGGCCGAGTCGGCCGTAAGGTCCTAACGGGTATTGTCCCGTACCGTAATCCCACAAGGAATCGGCCCCGTCCGAGGCGGGCTCTTGCGGGGAAACTTCCCGTGGAAAACCGAAGAAAGACGCGAATACGGTGACCGAAGTGGCCCTCTGTATTACACTGCCGGACCGAGGTCAGTTAGAATGGGAATCCGGGGACGTGTGACTTCACTCGTAGGGATGATCACCGAAGGCAGGCCGAGAGAATTTAATTTTGTGGGCTATACTTCCCACATTATATAGTTATAGGGTCTACGGAAACAACGACCACCGAATACGGCCTGACAATACGGAATAGACTTGGCCGTGGCGATCCCAGCAAACCACAATGCGGGGTGAGCTGCTTCTTAGCGCCGTCCCGGCAATCAACTACACAAAGTAGTAGCGGAGTACAAAGCTCCCCGCGGAGAGATGAGATTAGAGAAAAATACTAACATAATAAGAATAATAAGTACTCGAAATGCAAAGGAGGGGACAAAGTCCCAGGTATATCCCATTTCCCCTCCACGGCATCCCTTCATCCGTTCCCGTTTGCCCGGATACCAATAGAAACAATAGATCAGAACGCGCACGCGCTATTCGCAGGTATCAACGCCCCGAGATCAAAGTAAAAACATGAAACGCCGGGAGCCCTGGCCCAGACTGATAAAAAAGGAAATCCCGTAAGATAAAAAGTTGCCAGGCAAGTAAAAAGAAAATGCCGTAAATAGGTGGTTATGAGACCGGCTGCACAGGGGTCGGCTGCTCCTGGCCATCGATCGTCCGGGGAACTTGTACTCCACTTCGACGTAGCTCGTCCATCTTCGCCATGGCTGGTCCCGTGCAGATGCGACCCGTCTGCATCAGAGTTCGTAAGCGCTTGCGTCGGGCTTCGCCGCTTCGCTCCTCGCCGCGCCCAACCCCGTCGTCCACCCAGTCCACACTCTGCACTTTGAAGCTCATCCCGTCGTGGCGACCCTCGAATGGTCGAGATTTGACACCAAACATCACGGTTGAATCGTACTTCTCAAGACAAGGCAGGATCAAGAGAGTAATGTGTAGGTCTTGGTCGGTGGGAGGTACAGGCGGTAGACGAGGCTCTTTCTCCTGGGAGTCGGACTTGGACATCCCATCCGCATTATTCTCCGCTGTAGACTGCGGGGCATGCTGGTAGATGTCCTTGATTTCCAGATCAAGCATAGACTCATCGACGTCCTCACCCCAGGCACCCCGGATGTAACCCGAGTGGATGGCAGCGGCCACAGGGTCTGAGTCGTCGGTGTAGACGCCAGTGCCCCACAGGGCTCGTCGTGCACAGATCTCTTCGCGGTGGGTCGCGTCAACGCGGAAGCGCGGAACACGGATAGTAAATGTGCAGTTTTCGCGCTTCTCGAACCGCGGAAGGGGCTGCGGAGTTGTAGTATAACCGAATTTGGCACTCTCTGCGGAGGACTTTGCAGAGGGAACACCGATACGGGGATTGTAGAGGGTCGAACCCAGATGATGACGCGGTAAATGGGCCACGCTCGACAAGAGGGGCTCGAGATTCACGGTCGTGCGAGGCTCCCGGATAGGAGATGCGGCAGGAATGGGTCGAGGAGCATGGTGGTGGTGGTGATGGTGATGGTGATGATGCCCAGCCGACGCCTCTGCCGGAGTAGATGTTCGATTGAATGGGTTAACAGACGACAGGGATCGATGCAGTCCGGTGAGAACGGCGGCTTCCTCCTCTGCCTTATGACGGTGATGGTGATGACTATTGGGAGTGGTTAGTTTATATCATAGGAAAAGGTTTGAGGAGCACATACTGGTGATGGTGATGATGAGGATGAGCGTGTCGAGAGCGACGAGCTCCCCGGCCAGAGAGCCCTGCACCGCCATCCAGATCCATCTGAGCATCTTCATCCCGTGATTTTCTTCCCCTTTTAGTGCCCGAAGCAGAGGTCGGGCGCGCAATCTTGTCATCGGGCCCGATGAAGCTGTCACGCTTAAAGGGACTGGAGGTGAGTGGTGTCGACGGTCCACTCCCGGAGGCTCCTGCTGTCACACCTCCAACACCACTACCGATTCCCGAGAACACCCGTCCCAACTCATGCTTGATGCCGGCTTCACTAGACGGATTGATGAACGGAGCCTGGGCACCCTGCACAGCCTGTGGAAGCGGAGATGCTCGACCGCCACGTTTACCATCTGCGCCGACGGCGAGAAGGCTGCGGTGCTGCAGGAGCTCATCACTTCCTTTACGCCGTCCCTCTTCCCCAAGGGCACCCAGCCCAAGCGCATTCAGGCCCGCCGAGGATGCTGAAGCCGGAGTAGACCCCATGCGCGGGGGCTGGGTTTGTTTGCTCTGATATGGTGATTCATGGGGAGACGGCTGGCCCTGTCCGGTTTGTACGGAGAGCGGAGGCTGTCGAATACCCCCGGGTTGAGAACCTAAGGATTTGGTATAGCTCTGGATGGCTCCAAAGCCAAACCCGGTTCCAGACTCTGGCGCAGGGAAGCGTTTGGTCTCCGGGGAAGATGGGTGCGAGCGACCGTGCTCCCAAGTGGAAGCACTCGAGTGGCGCTCGGTCGCTTCCCGTTCACCATATAGAGAGCCGTACCTTGCTGAACCCCCAAATGGGCCCTTCGCATCAGCCCCGTGAGCTGACCTTTCTCGATCGCGGTGTGGAACATCCTCCGCGCGGCGGTCCCCAAAAAGACTGCCGAAGCGACCATGGGGGTCCCGGCCATGGGGATCGAGACCTGCATAGGATGCCGAAGAGGCTCGTTGTCCAGGCTCAGGCCGGTCTGGCACACCTGCACCCGAACGGGACAGCGGGCTGTAACCGGGTGGTCGAGTTGATGCCTCGGCATTGGGTGGCTGACTGCTCGGTCGGGCGATCGGCCCACTGAAACTCATCCGACGGGGCTCGCTGTATGGAGGATCGGAGGATGATATCTGAGGTGATGGGTGTGTTGAATGTGGCTTTTCAGGGTACTGTGATTGCGGCGCACGTGAAAGCCCCCCGTACCTGGACTGCTCACCACCCAAGATACTCGATCCACCGCCCGAGCCAGATCGGTATGGCCGGTCCTGTGGAGGCTTCGAAAAAGATTTTTCGGGGGTGTGTGATCGGCGGAAAAATGACTGATCGAACGGTGACGGTCGTGCTGGGGCGGTGGGTGGTGACATGGCCGCGGAGGCCGTTGTCGGCGCATTGCCGAACAGGGAGGATGGGGATGGCCGTGAAAACAGTGATGACCCGGTATCTCGAGCCGGACGCTCAGCATCCGAGCCTAGCATGGCTGATATAGACATGCTGCTGCCCGGTCTCTGGGATTGGCTGGATGGAGCATCGCGAGAGGAGAAGGGCGCGTTCGCCGATTGGGATCGCGAGCCGTAGGAGTGAGGAGGAGACGGGGGAGGCATTTGGCGAGTGCCAAATGAAGGGGGAGCTGAGCTTTCGTGCGATCCTATCAAGTAGTGAATATTAGCATCGGATCCAACATAGCAGCAGCGATACATTGAAAACGCGATGATGCGATGTTGTCACAAGATGACGGGGCGCGATCCGTGTAGCGCGCGCGATCCATCACGTCCCAGTCACTCACCGTGGACAGGGCTCCCACTACTGCCCTGAGAGGCACGGCGCGCAGAGTCAGGCGGAGGTTGGTTCATGTCGCGCGATCTCGAAAGCACCATGAGTCCCAAGGGGAGCGGATGATGAATTCAGGACCGCGAACCCGTGACTCCGGAAGCTCGACCGCTAGTCCGAACGGGGACTAGCGTGGCACATCAACTCTAAGCCCCTTGCGGACTAGTGTACCCGAGCGGCGGATCACAGCCACCGGGGATAGAACGCATCAGGGGAGGCTGGACCAGGCTAATGCGAGTGTGACTCTGAGGGAGGCCTGGTGTTTAGCTGCCTGGCCCCCATGCCAAGTGCTATGGTAGCCCCCGTCCATCGAGGTCTCAGCAACATGCGCTGGCGTGCGGAGAAACGGCCGGGAGGAGAACCTTGGAACCACGGGGCAATTTCGTACCCAATTTCGTGAATCCGGGGCACAGAACACGCGCACAACCCAAAAACACAACAAAAAGGAAAGGAAATACTGCCTACCTGGTCGATGGTGGCCACTTTGCGGCTGCGAGTGATTTCTGCGATGCGTTTGGGGTTGCGATTTGGACTCTACACTAGCATGTCGGCGATGTTGATGCGCACTCTGATTTCGCGGAGGAGAAAGTTGAATCCCGCCATTCTGGCCACGTTGCGGATGCGACGAGCGCGCAGCGGGCGAGTAATTTTGCGAGGATGTCGGTGTCGGGGATGAGTAGTCATAGCGACCGGTCGGGCGAGGCTTATCGTCTCGACGAGGATCATGCGCGGGAACACCGTATGAACGGGGACGATCTTCGCGAGACTCCTGTGAACTGCCCAGGGGCGACGGTCGGGGCGGATAGGAGCTTAGGTGCAACCGTCGGAAATAATCCATCCTAAGGCCAGGAGACACGAATTGGCAGAGACGGGGAAAGGAGGATTCTTCTAAGAGCAATCTTGCAAGGTAGAATGGCGGTGGAAAGGGAAAAAAAATAAAAGAGGACCGGGAGCTCAAAGTGATGCACGATCGGCGCTTAGTGCCGCGAGCCGTTGTGGGACGTGATGTGAGGTGCGGAGAAGATTCGGGGTGGGATCTGTCTAGATACTCGATTGAGTTTCACACTCCCCGTCCTATGTGGGAAGACGGAAGGGTGTGCAAAAAACGGTGAGTTGAGCACGCAGGGGCTGAGATGTATCGCGTGTGGGGGGGGATTATGATGACGCTCGTGCGCACGATAACGGATGCAATCAAGCCGGCCGGGTTCCTGGTCGCATTAGGTCCTGGTACGGGGCTCAACCGTTCAGTCGGAGCTAGAATTAATAGTGTAGTTGATCTATCTATTTTTTGTGTTCTCCAGTTCCCGTCCAAAATTCCAAAGTTGGGCTGCCCAACCCATCAACGATACCTGACCGAGTCAGGCAGCATGCAACCACCTTGTCTTAGCAGCGGCCAACAGTGACGTGGCACCCGTTCACTCCCTCGGCAAGGAATATATAAATCGGATCAGACATTGACATTGGGTATCATGAGCGAGGAGACTATATCACATGAAAAAAAAGGCACGTTTGCGTGTAATCATACCGCACAGATTGGGATCAGATGCTCATTTATAACACCATCCCAAAAAATAGCCCCCTTCGAGTACCAGAAGACGTCCGAGTATGAGTGATCGGAGCAGTCCGAGCTGGTCACCCAATCGCCCGTTACCACAATAGTGACCGCGCCCTGAACGACTTTAGCACCGTCGCAGTGGGTCAGGTAACCGCGTTGGCGTAGAGTGTCGAGGTGCGACACAAGGTTGGAGTATAGTTCGTGGATAGGGGATCTGGCATCCAACACTAGCGTAAATGTCCGATCGTCAACCGGGCTCGAAGGCGTCTCTTCCTTCATCAGAATCTGGGTTCTCATGGAGGCATCTTGAAGCTCAAGATCTACGAGGAGCGAATCAAAACGAAGGTGCAAGTCATTGGCAGGATCGAGGCTAGACAAGCCCATCTGCAGCTCGTTGTCGTGCATCCAAATGTCGGTGCGGAAACCTTCGCATCCGGCAGCAACGGATTGCGCAATGGCGTTCGCTCGGGGGTCTGAGTGGGGAAAAGTGCAGGTGATCTGCGAGTCGCGAGAGGTAAGACGCGACGCCGTTGCAGGACGTGGGAGTGCTTTGGTGGGAGACGGAAGCGTGCAAAGCAATTGAAACGCAGCCCTAACAGGTTATGGTTAGAACGCAGCCTGCAAAAGTAAAACCTGAAAATTTCGACTCACAGGCATGTCAGAATAAGGCACATAGCCCGAAGTAATATCTCCTTCCAGCGCTTCTGAACCGACACCAACCATTCGGCAAGGAAAGACCCCAGCCCCGGAATACACTCGGTGGGATGGGAGCGGAGAGGATGATCATCCAACAACCAGGGATCGTATTCGTACCGGGTATTAGACTCGAGATCTAGCTCCCCCTTGGGGGAAAGCGTTTCCGGTGCTCCCATCAGGTTGGCCGATCGGAGACGGTGAGTGGTGCCAGAACGTGATGTATATAGCGGTGGGGGCCCGGAAGGGTGCTCCCGGTTACAGATGAACTTTTGCGGCCAGGTGGGAGGAGAGCCGTGGTATATAAGTTTGGCAGGAGCTTGACGGACAAGCACGACATGTTTAAGGCCAAGAGAGGGTCAAATCGCGTAATTGTGGGCAGCGGATGACGAGAAGCACGCAACCGTGATTGGCGATAGAACGAGCTCCGATGATCGCTGTTGAGCCTGCGACCGTAAACCTTGCAGACATCCATGCAAAACGGGGAGCAGTCTTAGCAAGTATCAACATAGATCTCATCCCATCTCGGCCTTGAATACAATTTTCCATGTGGCCATTTCAGTGAGGCTTACGAGGTGCCAAGTCGAGGGACAATCACCTGGGTCAAAGTGGATCGCGCACAATTGACACGTAAAGTGACGATTGTTCTGCCAAGATCCACGCCAAGCCAGACAAAGGCCCCCTATTTGCCTCTTGGCCTGATTTCAGGGTCCAAGATGTAGCTGGAGACTGTCGGTCTGGCCCGCCCCGTATTCACGACCGGGGGCCAACTGCCTCTAATCACCCATTTCACTCTGGCAGGGTTGAAAGTACAATGATGCATGACCGTCATACCTGATCAGATCAGCTCGAACTTATTGGAGTTAGCCAACGCCACAAAATACCGATAGATAGTCGAAAGGCATCCCTCCCGGAATCCAGGTCGGGCTCGATGGGTCCGGGCTCAAGACCATCCCTGGCCACTCACATCTACGAGAGATACATATGGCGACTTTAGATCATTTAACCGTGGACCGGTATAGCTTCTCTAAAATTTGATATTTGATATGCGTTTTATATTAATTGCAACTTGGTTCTCACAGTTTGGCTTGCATGCTTCCCTCGGGGTTACGATTCAAGATCTTATTCTCTTGCGAGTCCATCCACACTCTGTCCGTATAAGCGTGGCTGTTCTCCCACCTGACAAAGTCCCGCTGAGAAAATGCGGAATTGAGATGATCTAGATAACGAGGAACTGATGAACATGCGGTGCATTTATTGATAACTGTCCCATGACAGGCGAATGAGCTTCCCCTCTCCAGGAACCGGCATTGTTCCCGGCGGCCCCCACAGGGCAAGCGGGCCCGGATGTCTGCCTCCGTGGTTCACTTGGTCTACGTAGAGCAAAGCCTGATCTCCTAGACACTTTCACACGTAGGGACTTTCGATTCAGTCAATCAAGCTCATTACTGGGTCTCAGGCTCGGGAGTGACTGGAGTAGCGAGTGTTTAACAGAGATAAGAGCGGCCATCGGCCGATTCGCGGATAGTGGGATATTGTTGACGGTTAACTGAGGGGGGAAGCCACGTTTTAACTCTGATGCAGTGGAATAATTGAATAACCAGATGACCGGTCTTCGCTTCGCTTAATCAATGTGCGAAGCATGCTATGAATAATTTCCAATTTTGAACGTTTTTGCTTTGTTACTTATAGATGGAGCTCCACTTAATCCGGGCGCTTCCACGGAGGAACAACGTAGTAGACAATACCGTGACCAATGGAAGCGACAACTGGTCCGACCTTGAAAAAGATACCGTCAGCCGCCAAATCTTGTTATCAAGTCTGGTGAGGTAAATCTTACCCAATGTATCCAATGATAGCTGGGGAAGGAGGTCGCCACGTATACTCCAAAGCAACGCGCGGGATTGATCGCTGTCAGTAACCGCTATAAGCAAACGTCATACACTGATTTTACAGGGGTCTCTCGGGAATACTCACATGCTCCAGCATATCCAATTCGCGTAAAAGCAGAGCCCCAAGTTACAACAAAAACAACCATGCCGACCAGAAATGGGGATAAAGCAGGACCGTATATCGCGCCTTGTCTAGGATCGAGACCGACACCAAATGAAAGGAATATAAGGACGAGGCAGTAAATAAATTCAAGAAGAAACGCCTCGTCTACGGGTACGAGGCTTGTGTCGACGGAACATCCTCCAGCGGTGAAATCGCGCGTCCCATAAGCTGCTCGAAGCATGAGGCCTGCCAGAGTGCCGCCTGCTGTTTGGCTGAAAATGTAGATGACCATGCGAGGAAGGGAAATCAAACGAGCGAAGAACGTAGCAAATGTGATAGTTGGGTTCAAGTGGCTCCCGCTGACGTTGGAGAAAGTGAAGATGAATAGGGTCAGAAATATCCAGCTACCGAGGCCACCGAAAATGGGACCTAGAAAATTGGTCGTTCCGTAAACACCAGACGGTCCTGTTGGGGTAACTGAAGCTGAATTCGGACGTATAGCTAGCCATACCGTTACAAAAACATCCAACATGGTGCCTAAGATAGCCTTCAGTAGATTTCAATTCCCATTTCAACACAAAAGATGCCCTTACCTATGCATTCGACGAGTCCAAATCTCCAATAGTCGAGGTTCAAGAAACCTTGCAAGCTGAGCCCTTCCTGGGCAGTCATCTGTGGTGCCGCATCGGGCGCCTTGTCCAATTTGTCAGCATTATTTGGATCGTCACGATCAAGTACAAGTTCTTGATTGCCGCCGATGCGACCCGCAAAGGGATGGATCTCAGGACGTGGAGGTGGCATCCTGCTCGCTTGACGACAGGTTGCGGGGAGTTCAGTGAATTATTTTGCTGAGAGACGCCTCGATTATTCTTCCCCATCCACTGCGTCGCGTCTTGCAGCATAATTGTCAAATAATCCCTAGGATTGCTGCTTATCGTCAGCAACAAGGGAGGGCGGTGTGATTTTGCAGAATGCTGGCGAGGCACTAGGTACGAATGGAAAACGTAGTTATTGGATGAGGGCCCTTCAAGCAGAAACATCTGACCTAGAGTCAGGATGGGAATGGTATTTGGTCAGGGTCGAAAATGACTATAAAGTAAAAGACAATCCACACCGGGCGTCTACCCAGGCACGGACGCATTCATGCGGATCGCGAATACCGGAGATATCAATCATTCGGACGATCTATGTCTCAATGTAATCTCTCCCTACAAATTGTCAAAATTAGGGACATAGAAATACGTATTCTCTTTACTTTTCGTTAGCAATACTTCCTCCAACAGGCATATACACACCGATGGCCATATGGCCACCTGAGGTACACGGACTCGATATAAATCTCCCAGAGCACTTCAAAGATTTGTGGCTGCTAAAAGCAAATAATTGCGTCTTGGATGTATCTTTGGACCGCTGAATTCACATAACGCAAGCTATTTACAAAACATACATTGAAAAGTGGGGACTTATCCCCAAGTTTAACAACTGGTCATCCATGTAACTAACTCAGTCTTGTTTCGTCCGCAAGTCGGGCTTTCTTAGCAATTCCATGTATGTGATTTTTTTTAGCCTGCCCGGGCCCGCAGTCTAATCTTCGATTTGAATTAGGAGACCACAGGAAATTGGGAAAATGATTTGGTGGCACAAACGCAGTCCGGAGATCCGAAGCAAACGGCGACAAGTTCTCCATGCACTTGTCCGGCACGAGTGCGTGTAACGTCTTCTTCTCGTCACTTCTTCTAACAGTATGGCCACTGGGGTCCCGGGTCATTCCATGCCCAGTGCTAGAGGGATCCCAGTTTACTGGATCGGGGCTCGCCGGACATTTCTATAGCCCACATCATTTTCATTTGGAATTTCATAGCTCAAGGTATTTCATGGGGAATAGGGTCAAATCTTGAGACGTTTTCATCATCGGCTTGCTTCAGCGCACTATACGTTGTGTGGCAAATAAACGGGCGCACAAGTCCAGACGGTTAAGGCTTTATACATAGTAGATATCGTAGGAGCAACTCCCATTGTGCCCACTCAGCGGGTTTAGCCGGCGAAAATTGCAATGGTGTAACATGGAAAGGATGTGCTATAGTGCAACCGGAGACAGAGGTATATGTACATCGGAATCGGCTGTAGCCTAATTGTCTGTCCATTCATTCCCTCATGCGATAAAAGATCCTCAGATCAGGCAAAAGACCATCTTTTGTCCAGTCCGCCATGGAGTTGACAGGAGTCTCCGTACGGAGGCACCTGATCATGGTGCTCCAACTGTTGATTCTAATGCCTCGGACCTCCGCAAAAGCAGTGTTTGCTCATTTTATGGTAGAGTTTTCTGGAATTGCAATATCTATTCTTTTGCTGACTGGTGTATGTGCACACCTAGATGGCGAATGCAGCACAGTATGAAGTGTCCGACTTCAAAAACGATATCATGCTTGCCAAAGACAGTCACATTGACGCATTTGCGCTTAATATGGCTTACGGCGTGTCAACTAATGAGCGGTCGGTTGCCAATGCTTTTAAAGCAGCAGAATCTCTCGGATTCAAGGTATTCTTCTCCTTCGACTACGCTGGGAACGGATCTTGGCCACAGTTCGATGTCATTGGTTTCCTGCAGAAATATTCATCCAGTCAAGCCCACTACAACTATAACGAAAAGCCATTCGTGTCTACATTTGAAGGCCCCGACAGGGCTGATGACTGGATCGGAATAAAGAAAGAAACAGGTTGCTTCTTCGTCCCCGACTGGTCATCAATAGGAGCGCAGCCTGCCCTAAAGCTCGCCGGAGGTGTCGCTGATGGTTTATTCTCTTGGGCGGCCTGGCCGACAGATGGCCAGCCGATGGACACATACGTTGATGCATCATATATCGATAATCTGAAAGGATCACAGAAGCCTTACCTTATGCCAGCATCTCCGTGGTTTTACGCGGATATGCCAGGTTACGACAAAGACTGGGCATACCATGGTGATGACCTGTGGTATGATCGATGGGTGGAAGTGGCCTATCTTGAACCCGAGTGGGTTGAGATCATCTCTTGGAACGATTACGGAGAGTCACATTATGTCGGGCCACTCAATGAAAAGGGGTATGGAGTGTTCACCACGGGCAAGGCCCCTTACAACTACGCACGAGATATGCCACACGACGGCTGGCGACTCCATCTTCCATACGTAGTTGATCTGTACAAAAGTGGATCATCGTCAGTGACGGAGGAAAGTCTAGTCGTTTGGTACCGTACCCAACCCAGCACTGCCTGCCCTGAAGGACAAGATCAATATAAAGATCGATCGTTCAAGGACAAAATATTCTTCTCGGCGCTTCTGGCCTCAAATGCTTCCGTCAGAGTGGGCGTTGACGGCCTCGAAAAGGACGCTCAGTGGGAGTTTGAGCCAGATGGTGGTATAGGAATCTACCACGGCAATTTCGACTTCGATCATGACCATCTCGGAGAAACTGTCGTCACCATCGTGCGTGATGGCAAAGAGGTGGTGCGTGTCGAAGGACGCGCTATCACCGACACCTGCACTGACGGTTTCGCCAATTTCAATGCATGGGTCGGGAGCGCGACCTCAGGAACTACCATGTCCCCGGTCTCGCCAAAGCTGCCACTCTCCAAGCAAGTTTGTATCGAAGGATCCGCATCCTCGAATTTCACCGAACTTTGCAGATTCACCTGTTGTTATGGCTACTGTCCCATTGACACTTGTTACTGCACGGCAATGGGTGCCCAGAAGAAGAGACCGAAACCTACGTACGAAAAAGGGACTCCTAAAAATGGCGATGACAGCTACTCCGGTTTATGTTCCTTTGCGTGCTACTACGGATTCTGCCCAGAGTCAACTTGCTCTGGGAATATGACTGTGCCATCTTGCGCAGGAAATGGGAATGATAACCGCGCCGATCAACACAGTTCCAGCTGTGGACATACCGGGCATGCTGCACATGCTAATGAGGGGTCGGAGCAGCCTCTCGCTTCGTTGGATATTATTTTCGGACTTTATTTCGCGATATACTCTGGTATGGCGCTCATCATTTATTTTTAAGAACAATTTGAAAGAGGGTACCCAAATATGGACGGATTAATCGATAGCATCAACGGTATGTAGGGGAAGTCAAAATGCAGTCTTCACGGACTTCGACGACCGTGTGTCCGCTGGTTGCGTCGCGAAATTTGAAGGTGGGTTGAGATTAGCATTGCAGGGTTCTTATAATCCACACAGCCTTGAAAATTGGCTTTAATACAGAATTTAAGAACACTTTTTAATCGTAGCTTTACCAAAATCCAAGAGGCTCAGTCTTTGATGCCATAATAGTGGCCACTCTCCGGCGATTAACAAGAGCATCGGAACAGCATTTCTTTAATTAGGCTGATGGTGGTGTCATTGTGCCAACTGTAACTGGTCTAGGGGTCGAACTCAAAAGGAGAAATTGACTCGTTTCATCAACAGTATCTTGAGTGCGGAGTAACGAAGCGGGATGATGCTACCTAAATAAGGAAGTTCCGGCTGGAATTCTCGCCACGTATTCCGAGGTGGTGAAACACGGGATCCTCGATCGTAAGTGGCAGTGGCGAAATGATAGTGGAGATATGTGAAGATCGCGGATAAACAGATGCCTGCCTCCGCGGTTTCGCCGCGAAATACCGATTGAAGTTAGACTGGTCATTCTCGATCGCCTCGAAACACACAATTGAAGAACTTACAGTTCGGCGGGGACCCAGTCTCTAATAACCACGAATGAGCTTTTAGGCCTTATGCCTCAGGTGCTAGGTAAGATATTAAAAAAGAAAGTGGCTTGTTTCAGCTTCCCGTGCCATTCTGACCTAGAGAGACAAGCAAATGGACGAGTCTACTTGGAGTTATTCCACTGTAGATATTAGAGATTAAATCGACCAACAGCTTTGGGGATGCGCTTTTGGACACGGCGTGTTCATACTCCAAGCTATAAAAAAATTCAACCAAAATTCACCGAGCTTCATGACAAACTTGACTAAGGGCCTGTAAAAAAGCCGGTCGATAACAAAAAGGAGATAGCCAGGGCAGTGGACTACGAGTGGACCTATGGCGTATCCGCTGGACTCTCAATCGCTCCGCCCTGCTGGTTTCTTACCAAGGTAGGGAAAGTCAGCGGCATGGGCAAATGAGTTTCAGGACTGGGGTTTTCTGACTGGCGATGGTCTAGTACGAGCTCAGTGAAACCAGACATCGTCAACTGCACAGGATGAAGGGCAAATTGCTGACAAGGTGGATACTTCTGGGTAGCGTATGTGGCTAACGACCCCTTTTCACTCTTGACCAAGTTGGCCGGGGAAAAGATCATCCAGTGCGTCGGGTCAGCGTTACTCCGTACGGATCAACGAATAACCCGGGAGCCAGGAAAGTAACGACCAGAATATTGAAGTACAGTAGAAAAATCGCCGATGAAACGTGGCCGAATGAGAACCAGGTCAAAGCGATGGAGGGGAAGAAGATCGAGGACCAACCGTTATCTCCAAGGTGGATGAGATGTCAGAGGGTGTCAAGCACAGCGATTGGGGGATTTCGGGTTAGTGGCCGTAATGATGTGGGGGTTTGGACCAAAAAACTCCGGTCGACGGGAATGAAGTTCAGGGAGGTTCACGCAGGACATGGAAGGACCAATTGCGCGGTGATGTCATCGTACGTGCTTCACACCTCCCTATTGTCCACGATGTGCAAAGATGTGCAAAGATGTGCAACCAATGTGCCCAACTCGCCACGGGTTCGGCTAGGACGGTTAGTAAGATTGGGGGGCTCCGCACCAAAACCTGTCGTTGGACGAAACAAAACGGTCGGTCCTTGTTAGGGGAAGGACAATTTCTTCGGTCGGCAAGGCCCACGGTTCAATCAGTGGCAAGCATTGCTTCCCATGTGGGTCAGGACAGGAACCCAGCGGCAGGAGCCAAAATCCCATTGATCCGAAATTGGGTTTTTCTGCAAAGCTTGGGTAACGCCAACTGGGAGATCACGATGATCGGGTGGCTTTTGCGTCGCACCTCCACTTGAGTTGAGATTAAACGAGTCCCCGAGGATGGCGAGTCTGGCCACTTTATATCCTGCTTATGCCTCCTCCCCCAACCCACTTTTTTTTCTCTCTCCTCCTCAGGTCTCTAGGGGACTTCGTTTATCCCCGTACAGGTCCGTTCGCATCGACACTGGAATCAATGTCGATCGTCAACTCATCTCCATTCTTGTTGCTGACTCCCGGTAGACACAATCATAAAACGGAATTCAGCCCTTAGTAATCATGGAGGGAGAAAATAACCCCAGACGATCCCGGACAATGGTAAGTTCAGCCACTCATGCAGCCAAGTGAAATATGGCGCCTAACGCATCGGTATCTCTGTAGTCCGGGGCAAGGAGCGAAAGATCGCAACCGGGACGCGAACGGTCGTCGACAAACCCCGTTTCGCCCACAAACCCTGTATCGCCGAGAAACCCTGTTTCGCCGACGAGGGCCCGTGTATCTGTGGAGGGAGATCCAGTCTCGCCGACGAGAGGATACTTTGGCGGCAATGAAGGCGTTGAAATCGAGGGTATGCGACGACGCAGCACGGCATCGCGACGGAGTGGAAACTCCGTGCCCAGCCTGGCTCCTCGAACGACCCTTGCCCAAAGAACGACCGGCAAGTTTACTCTGGCTGGCCCAGAAGAGACGCCACAGTTGCGACTGTCTCATGAGCCCTTCGTGGCACCTGGATATGGCGACCTCAATCCATCATACGAACAACCAAACAATGCGAAGCCGGTCTGGTCTTTGGCCAAGCCTCTGCCGCGTGTAGTGCGGCCGGGTATGGTGCCGACAAAGGAAGAGCTGCTTCAGAATCGCCAGAATGCGCAGCTACCGGCGGAGAACTCGCAGAAGATAGGACTTGATGTCGATCCCAACGAGCTCGAGATGGGAAGAATCGAAAAGACTGCCGACCCGAGGATCATGGCAGCACAGGTGGAGGATGCACGGTTGCAGCGTGAGCAAAACTTCATGAACAAAATCTTGAACGGTGAGACTGCTACCCAGAGACCTGGGTCGCGTATTTCTCGTACCTCGTCGATGCGCATGAGGCGTCCGTCTCAACGGAACAACCAATCCCAGGAGCAACTGTCGACAGTTGATGAGGGAGCAAACCCATCAGTTGATGATAATGAACCGTCACGGCCCCCTGAGTACTATACCGATGATCCTCTGCAGCCTGTGCCCGAGGAACCCGAGATTCTGGATGATCAGGGTAAATTTGACTTCCCTTCCCTCGACGAAGCAACCTGTCCTGAAGATCTTCACCCACTGGTGCAGGAACTCGTCGAAGACGAAGTGCACAACAACCACACCACTTGGTCCGTCATTCGCACCCACCACCGCGAAGCCCTGGCCGAGGCCCTGGCCGTCTTCGTTCAGCTTACCATCGGCTTTTGCGCGGACTTGTCTGTGACCGTCGCTAATGCGGGCAACCCTAACACCACTGACTGGGCCTGGGGCTTCGCCACAATGATGGGTATTTACATTTCTGGTGGTATTTCCGGTGCTCACCTTAACCCGGCCGTTACTATCATGTTGTGGTTCTACCGTGGATTCCCCAAGCGTTTGATGCCGGAGTACTTCGCAGCTCAGTTCATTGGCGCCTTCTGTGCCGGTCTCGTCGCCTACGGTATCTACTATGAGTCGATTCAGTACTACCTGGCCTCAAACGCCGACACCGGTATCATTAATAGCTTCGTCACTGGCCAGCGTGAGAAATGGATTAATCCTCAGACGGCCTTTTTCAACGAGTTCGTCGGCACAGCATTCCTGGTTGTCACAGTCCTGGCTCTCGGTGATGACCAGAACGCCCCGCCAGGTGCCGGCATGAATTCCTTCATCATTGGTCTGGTCATTACCTGTCTGAGTATCGCATTTTCCTATCAGACCGGTGCTGCCTTGAATCCTAGCCGTGACTTTGGTCCACGTCTTGCGCTTCTTGCCCTGGGCTATCCCAGTGAACTCTTCTTGAACGCCTACTGGTTCTACGGACCGTGGGTTGGTGCGATCAGTGGTGCCTTTGGTGGAGGCTTCCTATACGACTTCTTCATCTTCACCGGCGGAGAGTCACCTGTCAACTACCCCTTGGAGCGAAGCCAGCGCGCGTTGAGAAAGAGCCGCATGAAGTGGAAAAAGCGACTGCATATTGGCAAGAAGCAAGAAGAGCAGACGGCTGTTGCATGAAGATCGCGTTGCATCTTGGAATCCTTGGAAGATTAAGGCTTTTTGCATACTTTTAGAAAGAAATAATGGTGGAGTTGTCCTGTTTGTGCATAAATGTGACTAGTGCGGCTTGTGTGCAAGTGACCGCTATTTGTATTTCCTATCTCTTTTCCTTCCCCTACATATTGGCATTGATATCCTGCTATGATCATGTTTTCAACGTGGATAAAATGGACCCACAGATAGAGTTGAAATGATATCCAGAATTCGAGCACGACATACTCCTGGTAGCAAAAATGAGACTCAGGTCTACTGTGCTGTGGTTGAATGTTGGTTACATGGCCGGCGATGACACTGCCACTCAGTTCCTGCTTTCGAAACTGTCTTAAGCTCTGGACTGTCACCTTATTCCATTCTTCATGGGGAAGATGTTGGGATGGTATTGCAATATCTGTTTACAGGGGAGATTCGTCGAACTTGACAAATCACAACTTGGCTTTGCCGCTCTCAATCTGTGACCAGCCCTGGTCATCCAGCTTTTGGTACTTTGTGCCATTCAGCCAGTACATCGTGTCACCCTCTCCACCCTTGCGAGGATCCCATGCCTTCTTTACCAGATCGCCCTTTGCTTGCTTGAAGGTAGCACCGGTAGCAACCCTAAAGTAAAGTGTGTTAGGCAATTTGCCTTGTTGTAAAGCGGGAACATACGTACTTTTCTGTAATTCGGACTAGGCGAGGTAGAGCGTATGAAGGAACGCCCTTCTTCTTGAGCTCAGTGTAAAGGTTTGACATGAGCTTAAGTTCAACCGACTGTGAGTGATCCTCCAGGGTGATGCCAGCGGCGCCAGCTTGTCCATCGTATCTGGTAACACGTTAGTTTTCAACCCCTCGACAATATTGACAAGACCAAACTCACGCAGATAGTTTTACACCATACACCACGGCATCGTGGACACCCTCAATACGGCAAATATGATCGCGGATCTCACCTGCACTGACGTTCTCACCCTTCCAGCGGAAGGTGTCACCAACACGATCGCGGAAACCAATCCATCCTAAATGATCTTGAAGTACAAGATCGCCCGTGCGTTGGAAAAGGTCCCCCTTCTCAAAGACATCACGAAGTAGTTTTGTCTCCGTAGCCTCCTCATTGCGCAAGTATTCCGTCAACAGTCCCCGATCACGCACACGACCAATCGCCTCACCTTCCTCGCCCAAGCTAGCGCGAATGCAGAATCCAGTTTTGGGATCACGGTAGGGCATCTCGGTCTCGGTGTCGTATTTGACGATGAACGTGTCATCCTCCAGGAACCGGCGAATGGGACCTGAGAAACCAACCTTGCCGACACCCCAGGCGCCGACTCCATGGTTGTCGAACTTGGCCAACCCCTCAGTGGAGCGGTAGAACTCGCGCACCTCGGGCACGGCGAATCGTTGGCGGAAGCGTTCCCAGATCTCGCCTCGAAGGCCATTGCCCGCTGCGACGATACAGTTATGGTTGCTGTCGTAGGGAGAAGGTGGAGTGGCCAGGAGATATCGGCATAGTTCACCAATGTAGAGGATTCGTGTCGCCCGCGAGTCATGAACGTCTTTCCAAAATTGGGACGCTGAGAATTTGCGTCTCAGACAAAGCGTCCCGGCATTTCCAACGGAATAACAGCATCCAGTGAAAAATGCCGTGCCATGGAAAAGCGGGAGGGAACAGTATGTTCGCATGGGGTAATATTTGGATCTGTTGTTGGCGTCTGCTGACAGAGCCGTGGAGGTGATGAGGGCCATCATGTTTCTTATGGCGCATGCTTTCGGCTTTCCTGTCGTTCCCGATGTATAGATCAAGGCTGTGAGATCTTTGAGGCCACGTTTGGCCGCTTGTAGTCCAAATGGAGAGAATTGCTGGAGACTGGCAAAAGTGACAAGCTCCGACGCACCAGTTTCAACGCCATCGAATGAAGAAAGATTGAATGTCAAATGTGGCAAGTCGACACAAACGTGTTGGCACAGATCGGGTGTGGAGATGATGGATGTGGAGCCAGAGACATTGAGACAGTGAATGAATGTATCGTCTAAAAGCTATGTTAGTTGCCATTGGGTAGGTCTCGGGGATAGCGATGACTGACCCCGCAAATTGGTGTTGATCATGGCGGCCACCGCACCCAGCTTTGAGAGCGCATAGAGCGTAACCACCATTTCAGGCGAGTTCGTCGTGTAGACACCCACAAAGTCACCGTACTTCACCCCTCGGCTACGTAGTAGAGCTGCAAACCGGTCGACCACTACAGAATAGCGAGTTAGGCACTGCAAGGAAAGGCTGGCGAAAGGGGCACCGACACTCTTTCAATTGGACGTACGACCAGGTCTTGTGTTCAAACCAGAGAGCATCTGCATCTCCCTGTCCTTCCACTTCGACGACCCGCTCAAGCATCTTATAGATCGTGGCCGACTCGCCGAGCTGGCCGATGCGCTCTCCGAGGCGCTTTCCAAAGGCCCTATCGTTCAAGATGGCGGATACATCCGTGGAAATCGAGAGCTTTGCGTTTAAATAGGCACCAGCAGCCACCGAAAGGGCCGACGCCATAGCCACGGCGGGCACGCCAGCTTCAGAGAGGAATTCCATTGCGCTCAAGAGCCGTTCAACTCTGCGACTGGGGGACGCGACAGCTGGATAATTATAAAGAGCTACCCCAGATCGACAGCGTCAAAACGGAAGCTGGTCGGTCTCAATCTGCCGTTCCTTACAAGACGAGCTGGTATCCCAACGTTTGCACCGAGGTGGATTCCATTGTTTGATACGGGAATCCCCAGTATTTGCGCGGTCATCGACCCGAAGGTTCCCCACGCTAGGTGGCCGCGTGGGTTACGCCCCACGGCACTTGGGTATTCCGTAACGCGAAACATCTGTAACTTACATCATATCCACCAATAGTAGACCATGATTCGGGGCCGAGGACCAGAATATTACGGTATCGTACGATCGGGAGATGGACAGCGACGGCACTTCAGTCGGTTCTGTCGGTTCAACATTGATGGTGGGAGTCGGTCCGGTGTCTTTGATGAAGAGTTGGTCCGATTGATGCCGCTCACAAGTGCAAAATAGCCGCGGTTCATTTGCCCCGCGTTCGGTGACCCCAAATAATAGAAAAGAAGTCCGCGCTGCTATCTCGTTCCTCCAAAAAACTCCCCGTCCCGAACTACCGTCATGTCTTCACCACAGCAGCGGTTGAACTCGGTTGCAAAGCAGCTGTCGCCTTCGAGCACTTCTGCTGCTAAGCAGAAGATTCTCTCTAAGAACCCCGATGACGTGGTATGTATTTACCTCGAGCTATGCATCGTGCTCGGTCAATTAACTGGGTAATAGGTTATCACCTATCTCGCGCGCACGCCACTTACAAAGGCCCGCAAGGGAGGATTCAAAGACACCACCGTCGATAACCTTCTGATCTCCCTGCTCACCGTGAGTTCATTGCAGCTTTATTTATTCCCTACATGAACCTGACCCGATTAGACCGTGCGCGAAAACTCCAAGATCGACCCCAACCTCGTCGAAGATGTCTGCGTCGGCAACTGCCTGGCGCCAGGCGCCGCATACCTTGCCCGTTCTTCCGTCTTGGCCGCCGGGTTCCCCGTGAGCACCGCCGCCTCGGTCACCAACCGATTCTGCTCCTCGGGCCTGCTGGCCGTGCAGAACATCGCGAACCAGATCATCGCCGGATCGATCGATGTCGGCATCGCGGTGGGCGCCGAAAGCATGAGCACCAACGCCGACGGTGGTGCGCCTGAGATGGCGGAGCGTATTCGCTCGCACCCGACCGCGTCGCAGAACTATTTCCCCATGGGCCAGACCTCGGAAAATGTCGCGGCACAATTTAACATCTCGCGGGAGCAGCATGATAAGTTTGCTGCGGGTAGCTACCAGAAGGCCGAGCACGCGCAGAAGGCCGGCTGGTTCGAGGATGAGATCGTTCCTATCAAGACCCAGATCAAGGATGCCAAGACTGGCCAAGTCAAGGATATCGTGGTTGACCGGGATGACGGTATCCGCTACGGTACGACTGCCGAGGGTCTCGGCAAAATCCGTTCTGCTTTCCCTCAATGGCAGCCCAGTGCCACTACTGGCGGCAATGCCAGCCAGATCACGGACGGTGCTGCTGCGCTGGTTCTGATGAAGCGGTCGCAGGCTCAGGCACTGGGCCAGCCCATCGTTGGAAAGTTCTGCGGTGCTACCGTTGCTGGACTGGAGCCGAGAATCATGGGCATTGGTCCGTCTCTGGCTATCCCCAAGATTTTGAACAAGTTCGGCTTGAGCAAGGATGAGATTGACGTTTTTGAAATCAACGAGGCATTTGCCTCTATGGTGAGTTTAGATTTTACCCTTTGTGGGTCTCCGTTTCTGACATCTTCACGTAGGGTGTCTACTGTGTGAACAAGCTGGGATTAGATGAGGCCAAGGTGAACCCGCGTGGTGGTGCTATGTAAGTTCCCAATTTAGTATCACGGAAATGATGAATAGGGGCTGACCTGGACAGTGCATTTGGTCACCCTCTCGGTGCTACCGGAGCTCGGCAAGTGGTCACTGCTTTGGCTGAGCTACGTCGCCAAGACAAGCGCGTTGCAGTGACTTCGATGTGTGTGGGAACTGTATGTCTTTCTACCCCTTTTCGCTCTCTTCAACATATACTAATTTTGGCTCACAGGGCATGGGCATGGCTGGTATCTTTGTATCTGAGCATTAAATTCCCGGGTCTTGTTGCTTGCATTTGCCGGTCCATAATCTTGTATATAGTCACAAACTATCATTTGCATGATCCAAATAGCAACTGCCTCGGAGATCCTGCACAAAATCCCAGCGTCAACCCCTTGCCACTATGTATCGCCGTTGGGCCGATCGGGGTTCGGCCGAGGAATCGGCCGGCCTCGATTCGGCTTCGCCACAACACAAGTTTATGCCTGAAACGTAAGGTGTCATTGTCTCATGGCCTTCCCGACACCTACCCGATAGGGCTTAGCGCAGTCGGCCTCAAATTTGTGCGCTGAGTAAAGATCCTCCATGCACTTCTGCACATGACGCATCACACAAGGGGTCCCTCTGAAAGGATCGAACCCCCGATCCCTAAATAACTTTTGTCATAAAGACACGTCAATTTACTGCTGCAATGATTCCCAAAACCGTGCGCAGGCCGCAGCGCCGATGCCGAGGTACCCGGGCGAGGTTGGTTCAGTCTCGAATTTGCATCCCGTCGCTCAGGGACATGGACCGTAAGGGACTGAATCCAAGGGTCTGATGAACCACAGTTTGCAACACATAGACGTTGGATTTCCGAGCTGGTTCAGGTTCCACGAACGCAAACTTTGATCCCTTGGAGGACCGGGACCGATGAAAAGACATCCGGGGATAGCGAATGGCGCATCAGGCTCCGACGAAAACCCGCCGGACACATCTCCACCCCTGGGCGATCATTGGATGCCCAATTATTTTTGGAACTGACCATCCAATCGCCATGGACGATGGAGAGACAAGCAAACGTGTCCCGGTCCACCATGGTTCCACTTGCGGTCGGTGGCGTTGCCTAGAACGTCCGCACTTGTCTCGGCCTGGTTTTATTTCTCCGCAGTACATAGCTTTTATTCCGTCTCCTGATTCTTCCTTCTTCATCCTTCCTTGTCACCTTCGTTCTTCCCTCCTCTCTTTCCATACCTTCCTGCCATTCCTTGGACTTTTCCTTTTATATTTTATCTTGATACACAGTCTTTCGCTATTTTCATAATGTTCTCCAAGCAGGTTGTCGCTTTCGCCATGGCGCTGGCCACCGCTGAGGCCGCCTACCAGGGCTTCAACTACGGCTCCACCAACGTCGACGGCAGCAGCAAGTACCAGGCCGACTACGAGACCGAGTTCCAGACCGCCAAGAACCTTGTCGGCACCTCGGGCTTCACCAGTGCTCGTCTTTACACCATGATCCAAGGCGGCACCACCAATGACCCCATCCAGGCTATCCCCGCCGCCATTTCCGAGGACACTTCCCTTCTGCTGGGTCTCTGGGCGTCCGGTGGCAACATGGCCAACGAGATTGCTGCTCTCAAGTCTGCCATCGGAAAGTACGATTCCCTCAGCAAGCAGGTTATCGGTATCTCCGTTGGCAGTGAGGACATGTACCGTAACTCCGTCACCGGTTCCAAGTCCGGCGCCGGTCCCGGTCTTGGGCCCGAGGAGCTTGTTGATTACATCAAGGAGGTTCGCGCCGCCATTGCTGGTACCAGCCTGAGCGGTGTTTCCATCGGTCACGTCGATACCTGGGACGCCTGGACCAACAGCTCCAATGCCGCCGTCATCGACGCTCTCGACTGGCTCGGCTTTGATGGCTACCCTTACTTCCAGCTCACCATGGCCAACGGCATCGACAACGCCAAGGAGCTGTTTGAGGAGTCCGTCCAGAAGACCCAGAGTGTCGCCAAGGGTAAGGAGGTTTGGATCACCGAGACCGGCTGGCCTGTCAGCGGTCCTAAGGAGGGTGACGCTGTTGCTTCCATTGCCAACGCCCAGGAGTACTGGAACCAGGTTGCTTGCCCCCTGCTTGGCAACACCAACACCTGGTGGTACCTCCTCGACGACGCCGGTGCTAGCCCCAGCTTCGGTGTCACCTCCGGCCCCTCCAACACCACCCCTCTGTACGACCTGAGCTGCAAGTCCGTCAACTCTACCAGCTCCAGCTCTGCCGCCGGCTCCGAGAAGTCTGCCGTCAACAGCTCCGGTAGCTCCTCCTCTGGCTCCACCTCGGGTGCCTCTTCTACCGGTGCTTCTTCCACCGGTGCCTCCTCTGGCTCCGTTTCGAGCGACACTGGCGCCTCTAGCTTCAGCACCACCTCTGTCGCTTCCTCCACCCCCCTGACCTCCGCCACCAAGGCCGCCGGCTCCAGCTCCGGCTCCGGTTCTTCTGCCGGCTCCTCCGCTGGTAGCTCCTCCGGCTCCAGCTCTGGTTCCAGCTCTGGCTCCGGCTCCAGCTCCGGCTCCAGCTCCGGCAGCGCCGCCTCTGCTTCCTCCACCCAGTTCAACTCCGCCAGCCGCGCCTCCGGCTCGGTCTTCGGCGCCATTGTTGCCGCCGTCGTCCTCGGCATCGCTGTTTAAAGACATTGCTTTTTACGTATATGCGGAGTGACGGGGTCTAGGACATTTTATATTAGAACCGTTTCCGTGCCGGGTTGAGCGTTTTACTATGGATATTCCTTTCAATCATTCGTTTATTGTACATTTTAGAAATACACTTGACTCCGGCGTGATCTTGGCTTTGGCACTTCGTTCTATAAGCTTATGTAAAATAGAATTGGAGTTTACTGCAATATTTCTGTGAATACTTTCTCGCTGTCGTAGTTTGTTCCTATACTTCTTTATCTACTTATGAGTTAATGTGGCGCCAAGGGCATTTTGAGCTCCAACAAATGGCCTTCCTATGGTGGTTACCTAGGTTGCCTTTCTTTGCCCCCAGCTCTCACTCTCTCTGCTAGGAGCCCCTATATATTGCCAAGGGTAACACTGAAAGAGTTCGGATTGGCAGTTGAACCCTTGGGAAGTATATACAATTGACGTAGGATATAAGATACATGCAGTCAATACTAGGTCAGATATTAAGTAGGAACCGCCTTCAACCTGACCCCCTCCGCCGAACTCTCCAACCAAACTTCCATCTGTCTCGAGGTATCTTCCATGCTCCTCAACGTTGGACTAGATTTCAACGGGGTCGGGCTATCCACCGACAAATCCGAGAACAAGAGGGCCAAAGGCGAAGACTTCCAGATGTATTGATTCCGAGTGTGAATGACAGTGATAACCAAGAAGATCAAGCTGAGCACCACCAGAGCACCGGGAAGAATCAACCACTTCCATCGCACATGAACGAATGGCTGGACGGTCCATATTGTTCCATTGACCGATGCCCTGCAGACTTTAGATCGTGCGTTCAAGGTCAGAGAGGATGACATGCTGTCGAACATCGATGTAATGTCTGTTAGGTTTCCTTGTTCGCCATAGATAGCCTCAGCGGTCCCCGGAGTCCAACTCGGTCGATTGCTCATGAATAGTGAGCCCTTCCCTTCCATTAAAGGGAACAATGAATTTTGCATAGCCAGACGGCTTAGCCAATTGACTTGGTACACGCAGTCTTCGGGGTTCTTGTACGGCTTTTCAAAGCGGGTACCGTTGGAATAGCACGTATCCGGCGTGATTGAGAAGTCATCGGTTAAGACGGTCCAGGATGTTGAAGTATTAGAAGAAGTTGCGACTGCTGTCTGGGTTTCGGAGAATACACCTTCGGTAATTCTTGCTTCGTAGGTGTTGACGCAGAAGTAGAGAGCGCACTCCGTGGCGCTGATTTGAACTTGAGGTGGGACTCCGTAGCCTGGAGATGAGATTGCTGTGAAGTTGAGAATGAGTGGTAATCCATTTGTGTTAATTTTCAAAAGGTCGAGGCCGCTGGTCGCATTCATCATATACATCATGTTTTAGGCGGTGCTGAAGGATAATCCATTGGGTAGTTTGTAGTTGTATGTGCTCATGGTCATGCCGAACGATGTCTTGTTGAGATGGAGCGAGTCGGTGATATTGGCACATCGGCTGCAAAATCCGAGCGATTGATATTGGGGAAACGTGCAATTACCAGTCGGGCAGCTCGCCAGGATGTTATTACTGTTTGGGGCCTCCGTTTGGAATAGGCCGGAATAAATTGCACCATTCGTGCTGAGGGGCACATTGTTCATTCCGGGGCCGGCGCCCTCGCTGTAGTCGGTATATTTGCTAGCGTTACAGACTTGGATGGATGACAGACCGGGGGCATGGACAGCCCGCGTTTTGATACCGATCACCTGCTGAGTGAATGGATCCACGGCCGAGGCTATAACATAGACTAAGCAACCAAATGTCACCAGATGGCTGTGACTGATTAGTATTAGAAACTTTATTGAAGCTTTGCGAACTTACCGAGGTAGGAAACGGAAAAGAACGACAAGAGCGCCCATGGCTCCACGACTGGCGGCATCGAGGAGGGCAAGGTCGCTCAATTTGTTACCACCCCGGAACCATGACCATTTGAGCTGAGCCAGAGACTCGGCCAGGACAAATGCCATTGTGGCTTTCATGACTGTACTAAGCACCGATATGAGAGCGTTGAGCGTAATGCCATGCGGCCAGTCGGGCATTGGCCTTCCGTCAAATTTGAAGAGCACCACGATAATGGCAACCAAAAACAAGATAGATGTAAGACACCCCAGGATTTCCAGGGTCCAGCTTGCACCCCAGAATGGATGTGTCTGAGACTGCAAGAAGACCTGTTCCGCAGATGACAATGGTCGCGGTCTATGCTCCGTCTCCATTGCCTCGTTGAGTCTCACGTATGAGAGACGATAGTCATCTTTGTTGTGCTCCATCCTCGTCCCAAGCCCAGAAGGATACACTTCGGGATCATGAAGAAAGGCAAGGAGGAATCTAGGGTGAAAAAACTTGGCTAGGGACAGAATCAAGTGAGCTGCCCTCGAGTTTCCTCATACGGCTGATGAGTGAAACTAGGGCCGAAATTCGCGGAGAACTATTTCGAGGTTTGAGCAAATCAATTACCGCCGTAGGCTAGCGCTGGAGACGGTCCTTGATAAAGACCCACGCGATTGACAGGAACACCTATTAGGTTGGGCCGTTTAGGGAATTTTCGGCGGGTCTTTGACCCATTCATGGAAACGCAGGGTTCTTTGCGAACCACTGAATGTTGAAAAATTAATGAGGAAAAAGGAAAACATTCGACTGCAATAAGCATGGTGGTGGTCACCTAGCGCCCACGGTTTGGGTGTGAGCGGCTCTCCACCGTATTCAAGCGGCTTTAGGTGGCTTATCACCCATTTAAATATTCTCCACCTAAGCACTAAGCGAAGGGTCTCGGCATGTTTATAAAATTCTTTGCGTATTCTAAAATATATAGAACGATTGTGTGAACCTCCTAAGCTAGGGTACAATATCAGTTAGACGAAAGAAGAGCTTAAAAAGGTACCCAAAGGGGATATACTTTAAACTTTTATGAACCCTGCAGCCGCCAATAATACCACTGACACTGCTCCTACATCAAGATAGATCGACGTTGCTCTAGCTCTCACATCGACTAGCCGACACAAAGCCCAGACGCTTCAGTGGTGGCTTGTCGTCCTCACCCAAATACCAGAATAAATCTATCAGTTCTATCCCTTTGCGTACTTATCCTAGAGCTTAAGCCACACAAAGCCGCCGATCGAATAGTAGGAGGTAAATGAAATTAAAAGCTTTAATATCATTCAGTCTGGTTATGGAGCTATTCTTATAGACAGGAAAATAACCTTTATCTCTTAGCGTAGGCGTCATCTAAACATATCTAAAAGAGAGGGGTAGGGTTGATACCCAAGGTAATGCAGGTAGCTTGAGAGAAAAGGGAAGGCTAGGGGCACGATTTAAAAACTGAAATCATGAGTTGGTGTCTATCAATGACTATCTCACCCCCTGGAGGCTAATGGAAAACTCGATATATGTTCGTTGTCCCCCTGTACGACAAAGGCATTTCCCCTAGCATCTAAGCTCATAGGGAGTGTTTGAGCGCTCAAAGAGCATCAGCTCTATCAAGCACGATTTGCATAATTTTGGTGCCACTCATAGTCCCGATCCTCCATCAAAAACTTTGTAATAGCCTCCCGAGGTGAGGTCGGATCCCTGCCCAACAGGTCTGCCATAAGGGGATCAGTCACACCAGCTTCACCCTGGGCAATCGCGTCATGCCATGTAAGTAGCTTGCGGAAAAATCCTTCTGGCTTTCCTCCCTCATCGTTGTTGGCATTTAACCGAACGAACTCATCCGGTGGAACGATTTGAAAGTGAACTTTCCTATTTGTGATCTCGTTTATCAGATTCACAACCTCGGTGAAAGTCACTGTTTCTTTGGCTGTCAATAAGACAATTTGTCTGTCGAAACCACCACGAATCATAAGTCGGGCTGTGGCCTCCGCCAGCTCATCTCGCAAGGTCAAGGCTAGAGGCCCGTCCGAAGGAAGGTAAATAGTTGACGTGCTTGGGTACCATCCCAGGAAGACTGGGAAAGCATCGGCGTATAGTCCTTCGCGAATTGATGTGAAGTTGATGCCAGATCTAAGAGAACAGAGTCAATAACACCATGAGGCGTAGTAGAGCACTTCAGATGGGTTTCTCACAGCCGCATCATCTCCTCGGTCATCAAATGAGCCTGCTGCACATCGGCTTTGGAGTCTGAGCGCAAACCACCAAAAGCCAAAGAAGTATACCAAACCTATTTCCCAAGAATTGTTAGACTTATCTCATCTTCAGAGCTACGTTTTGTACGTACGTGGCCAACATGGGATCTTTTGGCGGCATCGATGAAGTTTTGATGTTGCTTTCGCCGCTTCTCGACATCGAATGTGTTTGTGCTCACAAACAAAAGGTTTTCCACGCCTTCGAATGCTATTTCCATAGATTCAGGCTCATCGTAATTGACTTTGCGAAATGCGATTCCTTGGGCCTCGAACTTTGAGCGATTTTCTTCCTTCGAAGATGCCGCGGCATATTCAGTACTGGGCACATTGGCAACGAGGAAGGACAGGACTTGGGAACCAAGGCCGCCGGTAGCGCCCATAATCAAATACTTGAGCGTCATTTCGATATGCTGGAATTAGGACGGAGGCTTATGTATTGAAACAAAGGCTTCAAGGGATCAGCGAAGGATTCAGACGAGGTTAAATGTTGGTCTAACATTTATAAGATTCGCGAGAAATACCATTTGTATGCATGCTTTTTTAGTTAATTTAAGTTAACTAGTTAACTAGTTAACTAACGTAACTAAATCACATACAATTTTAAATCCCCCTGATACGGGAACTTTCGCTCATTCCTTGAATCTTGTTTAGATGTTTGCCCTATATATTCAATAGTAGCTAAAAGCGCAGTTTATCGATTTAGGAGAGGGCAGAGTAAAGGTGAAGGTGAAGGTGAAGGTCTATTCGTGATAACTTCTCAGGATATACTTTGTACCTGGGGAGCCGGGCGGGGCGAGAGTTATTGGTAAGCCACCCTGTGTGATACGAACTCACGCCCTAGGTAACGTGGGTATGTAGCACCCAGGATGATGGGCCTTATACCTTAGGTGTTACTTCTCACGCTTAATCCCGCCACTCTCACCTCAATCACCCACACCCAGACCAAGTAGACTTTCCTCGCCGTTTCAAATAGAACAGAGTATATTGGCTTCTGCTCGATCAATATTTAGGTGGGTGTCGCCCGTGTGAGCAGGGGTCCCGCCGCGCTGGCCGCACAGACCACTCGGCTGGGCTATGGCGATATATCATTGGGTATAACCTCGGGGGGCTGAGACATTCGTCACTTGGCATCCGCACGCAGCCTCGCCGAAGCTTTGTTGATTAATGAATTCATGGCGGAGGCTCTAGGCAACGATCAACCCCTCGATCGCCGTGACTCCATGGCATTCTGGCGTTTGAGTCACGGTCTGTTTACCTGTGCCGAAGTCACGCAGTTTAGAGTTGGAACGGAGGTGCAGCTAGCTCCGTGCACAGGGAAAGAAACGGCTGACTGACAACGTGGTAAGCACTAATAGAGGAGACGCTTACTGTAGCACTAGATAGCCCCAGCTGAAAAATCGAGCATAAATAGCCGCCTCGTATCTTTTTTGCCTTTCTACTTCTCGTCATTTGTTGTACGCTTCTCAAATTTGACCGAAATGGCCCCCTCTCTCCCATCGCGGTATGAAATCCGCGTTCTTGGACCAGAACATGAGGAATGGGCCCGGGCGATTTGCCTTTACACAAACGTATTCAACTCCGCGCTCTGGCCGGTTGTCTACCCTGAGAATAAAACGAAGCGGGCCTATCAGACTTTTCGAGCTGCTCACTATATAATTAAGCACCAGATCGATTCGGGAAAGTCCCTTGGTATCTTCGACAAAGAGTACCAGTGGAAGCGACCAGAGTCTGCGACCACCGGGGGCAAGCTGTACTGGAATCTGGAGGATGAGAGTGCCACCGAAAGCGAGCTGGCAGAGCAAATGGACTTTCCACTAGTCTCAATTGCCATGGCCTACGATGGCATCGACGAGCTGGACATGGCTCAGATAAAACCTCTGATAGAAGCGCTACCTTTGTTTGAAAAAGTCTACGGCGCCCTCGCGGAGCGAGACCAGCGTGATCCTACATCATGGAAGCCCACGGGCCGCGGACAAGTCCTGATGCGCAACGCTACAAGCACCGTTCAATCTTATTCCGGCCGTGGACTTATGAGGCTTTTGGCTGAAGAGATGATGAGACGTTCGGCCGCGGAAGGATTTCGTGGTATCCAGATCGAGACTGTTTCTGAGGGTGTGCAAAAGGTGTGGTCGTTCCCGCCGAAGCCGTTCAAGGGGATGGTCATCGGGCAGTTTCACACGATGACATTCGAGGAGAAGAATGATTCTGGGGAAGTTTTGTATCCTTTCCGACCGGCGAATGTCAACATTGCCAAAGTCTATGTCGACCTCCGGGCTTCGGATTAACGAAGCGATCGGTTATGTCCCGCGGCAACCAATTGAGCCGATACATATGAAGATCTAGCAACTAGTAGAATGTGGTTAAGAAGTCTGCCCAATACGGTGTAAATCATGAGACATAGCTAGAGAGCCCTTTCTCATAGTAGCCTTCTTTCTGCTTTTCTGCTCACCCTCCCTTCATTACCTCTCCCACTTTTGTTAATAATTCCTCTTCTTGCTGGACAATGAATTATTTGCGCTCTATTATTTTTTAGACATTTACTGTCATAATTTCCTTCATCACATGAAGAAGGGTATTCATGTCGCCGAGCGGCATACATTCGACTGTGATATTCAATCCTTATAGCAAAGAAATAAGCAGGTTTAACCTTTGACATAAATGATCAGTCAGTTACTTACAAGGAATATTTGACCTACTACGTCTAGGGCTCTCTTTTTCTCTGCTAATGATATATAGCGGAGATTCACTATATATGCATACCTTGCTGTATAAGTGGGCCAATTCTAAACACCATTGTGGTCAGACTTGGGGCGAGTATTGACTTGAGAAAAAAGGGAAGTGCCGGTGGCCTAATGTTCTCCGCAGAAAGCTTCAGCCTGATGATCACTGTTTAGCAAAACGACGAAGTAAAAACCTAAAAATAGAATTCTGAGCCAATAGAACAGACGTGCTTATCGCCGGCAAAATTGGCCGGAGGCTGAGGAATCACTATAGCTGGTCAATCCGAAAAGTACTAATAAGCTGGGGTTCCTTCCAAACTTGCGGGGAACTACAGCGGCTCGGGTTATCTAATACATACCTTTACCAGTGCTCAATTTCCCTCTTGACTGATATCTGCTTTGGTAGTTCTGGAGCGTCATGGCCGACAACGACCAGAGAGAAGGTACCGTGCCATTCAAAATTCCGCACATAGACATTGCAGGCCACACTTATTACAAGATCATTGGTGACTTATCGAGCAACTCGCCTCGGCTGGTTGTACTTCACGGTGGCCCAGGCTCTGGCCATGAGTATCTTCTTTCTTTTAGCCGCCTATGGGAACAATTCGGTATTCCCGTGGTATTCTATGACCAAATCGGCTGTGCCGCTTCCACCCATCTACCTCAAACTATTGGAGACAAGTCCTTCTGGCAGGAAAGTCTTTTTCTAGCCGAGTTGGACAACCTGCTCGATTCCCTTCAGCTTCGGGACGGGCCAGGCTACCATATTCTGGGCCATAGCTGGGGTGGTAGAATGGCGGCTGCTTTCGCAACCACCCAACCCCAGGGATTGCAACGACTAGTCCTCGCTAGTGGTATAGCCAGCACTCAAACAACCCTACAGGGTATGCAAATCATTCGCAGACAGTTGCCACCTGATGTGCAATTAGCGATTGATGAAGAGGAGCAGAAAGGCAATTTTGAGAGTGCTCGCTTTAAAGATGCAATGGACGTGTTTTTCCGCAATTACTTCTGTCGGGCGGAGCCTTTTCCACCGAAGGAGATTCTACCAGCCTTCAAGCATATGAGTGAGGACAAGACCGTTCGGGAGACAATGTCAGTTTACTGTTTATCATTTTTGGAGCCTTCTACGCTAGTTCAAATATTTCTTCTTTCATAAATCCAGCTTTTAAACTACCGGCATTGCTCACGATTTCGCTGACTCTTCTTCAGATCAGGACCATCACCTTTCAATTGCACGGGCTCCTTCCGGGACTGGACCTGCATTCCGCGCCTACATCAAATTGCCGTGCCGACGCTTGTGTATAACGGCGAATTTGACACCTCGCACGATATAACTACAGTGCCATTTTTTGACCACATACCTCGCGTACGATGGATCACATTTTCAGGCGCCGGACATATGTGCCACCTGGAGAGCCCGGAGATTACAGAGAAAGTCTTTAGAGTCGTCGGAGAATTCCTGATGCAGCAAAACTGAAACCTACAATCAGTAAAATGAGTTATAGTCCAGCATCTCCTACAAAGCTAGACATTCTCCTTTGCAAATTTCATCATGGACCATATACATGTGTGTTGTGAGAACCTCCACAAAGCGTGGATCCCCTTATTGGGATGCTTGCATTGCTTTATTAACTTGATACGGAGTGGCGATGTATTCTGTCAGAATTTTGGTATGATTTACCATAAACTATGCATTCCCACCAGCTACCAATTCAACATGGAAGCAGCCCTTTCTTTAAAATGTCTCAAAGAACTTCCGATTGGCGAACGAATAGTACATTACCCATTTCTCATATAGAATTCAAGCAAAGACGTCATATTGCATTTACAGACAACGTCTGTTTCACTGGTTGAAGCTCAACACTGACCTCCTCAATCACTAGAATCCGCCGTGAGCTCGCATCCCACTCCGGATCACGTAAGTCCGAAAACATGTCCGCACAATGCCTGCTGGAAGAGGCCTTCACCCCTATCACCGCCCCAGTTTCATTACCCTCCTTTGCTTTTGACCATGGTGTATTGCTAGGTCGCTGACGGCCGGTCTTTTCACTGGACATGCCGAAGATCCTTGCAAATTTGCCACCGAAGGTTGCTTTCAAGAGTACCCACATTGTTGGGAGACAGGTGCAGATAATGCCTGTTGATACTTCGATAATGGACCACATGTACCCCTTTGCGTAGAGCCATGTGGAGTCGTATTTGCCCAAGACGAGCATTGAGATGAGGAGGCGTGCCATAGCGACGGCGCAATCACTGCAAGAGAAAATAAAATTATTAGTAAGGTATATTCGCCGGCACTCGCCTGTCTTTTGTCTTCTAGTTTCAGAAAAAAAATTGATATCCTTACAAGAGGCCCAACGCAAAAATCAGCGACACAGCTACCTTCTGCAGCTTCGGAAGCTGAAGCTGCCACACGCAGGGAATCGGCATCAACCAGATCGTGAAGTCGGTGATGATATTCACGATTGCGTAGCCAATGGCGAACTGTTTGAAATTGAGGCAGGTACCCTCATGTGTCCAAAAAGCGCTAATGGGTTTGCAATTGAAGATGGCGAGGAAGAGCATGATAATTGCCCACGTAGAGATCAATGCGATCATGCCGTATACCATGCGCAAGAAATAAGGGCGCTTAAAGATACGTTGGTAGAGGAAGAGCAGTGAGAGCTTCACGCTCGGGGGGCCCAGCACGTAGAAAATATTGAAGAAGTAAAGGAGCTGCTCGAAAACGACGACTTCCTGTGGTGGGAGTTTTGCTCGGTGCTTGCAGAGGCCATTGATCCGGCCTGGGAGAAGGTAAGTATTAGTGTCCGCATACTTGAAAGGAAATTGGATTCGTCATCATCGTCATCATCGTAGGATTAGTTACATCTCACAGATATCCCGTACAATAGCCAGTCCCAGAACAGGGCCACGCAGATGATCCAGTCATCTACTCCGAGGGGCAGCTTTCGCAGTCGTCGAGCTGCAAAGCGACCGAGAACGGCGAACGTGGCTAGTACAATGAAGATTGTGTTGACCACCCATAGCGTCTGTCCGAAGTCCTCTTTGTGGTCAGCCATAATTAGTCGATGGGGTCCAGGGGGGGTCGCTAATTCATACTCAAAAGTCAAGAGCCCTATTATATGAACAAGAAAACAGCCTGGAAAGATTGGGTTAACTCAGACTGCAACTACCCAAGATGCCCAAATTCAATTATCGGCCCGCGAGCGCACAAAAGAAAACTCTCTCTAGTTATGTCACATTGATGCTATACTCGACCCACATGCCAAATTGCCAATATGGCGCCATGCGACGTAAAGCTTCCCGTCCGACGATCGCAGATCCACCACATCCCGCTGCCCTTTGGGCGTCCCGTCGGATCTCCGGGTATAGCCGGTGGGCCTAGTTTGACTGCAGGATTGCACTGCTGCACCTGTTCCAATCAACGGCGGAGATACAACATAGGGGCCAGGACCTGAAGTCGGTTGCTCGGGAGGACGCAGCGGCTCGAATGCCCCGCGTCGAAAAGACTTCGTATACCGTCCTTTATATATACCTGTCACTTACAGTAGAGCTGTATTCTGCAAAATAAAATCGAATCAACACATACCTGAGGCCACACACTCCCCAGCTGGAACAATGACCGTGGTGCCTCAACAGAAGCCTTCCTGGCAAGAATCTGTCCGCCAGGCCCAAGCAATACGCGATCGTTCCATCGAGAAGGTCGATGCCACTGTCCTCCCCGGTACAAATACTGCCAGGGTGATCGATGTCCCCAGACAGCACCTCTCGCAGACGGATCAGGCTATCACAGAGAGCTCTGCTGAAGCCCTGGTAGCTTCCATCGCAGCGAGGAAATTAACTGCGACCGCGGTCACAAATGCCTTTTTACGCCGGGCTGCAATCGCCCACAAGTTGGTGAGTGATGGTGCAGATTCTCCCAGCAAGTATATTGAGTGTTCGAATCTAAGCTTTCCTTACGTGTTTAGACCAATTGCGTCTACGAGCTTCTCCCCGAGCGTGCCATTACCCGCGCCAAAGAGCTCGACCACTATTTCGCCAAGCATGGAAAGCCCTCCGGTCCGCTGCACGGTCTGCCAATTAGCATCAAGGCACATGTAGGCATTAAGGGACGAGACCTGTCTGCTGGATTCGTTGGTTGGCTGGACCGGACGAGCCCGGATGATGCGAATATCGTCAAGATCCTTCTGGATGCAGGTGCAGTTGTTTATGCGAGAACGACCGAGCCACAGGGATTGGTAAGTCGACCTCAATATACAAACTTTGTTAATTCATGACTCATTTTGCTGTTCGAATAGATGATGCTTGAAACCTGTAGCAACATCACAGGCACCACAACCAACCCACACAACACTGCTCTCACACCTGGAGGCTCTTCTGGCGGAGAGTCGGCCCTGCAAGCCCTACACGGCAGCCCCCTTGGAATTGGCTCAGACATCGGTATGTCTCCAGCCACGTTATCCCTGATATATTGCTATAATCCTAACCACCAAGACAGGGGGTAGTATCCGCTCTCCTGCCGCCAATTGTGGTCTCTATGGCCTGAAGCCATCAACCGGCCGACTCCCACCGGTCGGAGGCTCCGCATATTGCCGCGGCTGTGAGACAATCCTCGGAACACTAGGGCCTATTTCACCGACTTTAGGAGGCGTTGAAATTTTCATGAAGACTATAATCGAATCAAGGCCCTGGGTCAACAACTCCATGGTGCTCCCAATCCCGTGGAGGGACCAGGAAAATTACATTCATCAGGATGGCAAGAATTTGACTGTCGGTGTGATGTGGACCGATGGTGTTGTTACCCCCGCACCAGCGGTCACAAGGGCTTTGAATGAAGTGGTTGAGCGTCTCAAATTGGCGAAAGGCGTTGATGTTATTGAGTGGAAGGCATATCAGCAGAAGGAGGCCCTGGAGATTCTTGTGAGTATTCTGGATCACTTTCATGATTGGTATGAGCTGTGCTAAATGATAAATTGATATAGACCAGGCTTTATGCTCCAGATGGTGGTAAGGCATTTGCCAAACACGTTGAGTCTTCCGGAGAGCCCTTTAACCCGCTCACGGCTTGGACTTTGCGGGATACTCCCGGTATTGAAGAACTTAGCCACCAGGGCGTGTGGGACTGGACTGGCAAGAGGGAAATGTTCCGCTACGCCTACTTGCAGGGTCAGTACAGGACCTTCTATATTGAAATTTCTGCTACTCTGAGCTGACTTGACTTTTACCGCTGCAGAATGGAACAGTGTCGCGCCGGAAATGGACGTCATAATCTGCCCCGCATTCCCCACGCCCGCGCCCCTGCATGGAACTTCGAGATATTGGGGTTACACCTCTTTATTCAACCTGCTGGATTATCCGGCCCTCGTATTCCCAGTTACCAAGGTTGATCCCGAGAGAGACGCCAAAGATATCACTTATACTCCGAAGAACGAATTCGATAGCTGGGCGCACGAGCATTATGATCCGGTGAAGCAGGTGGGTGCACCTGTCTCTTTGCAAATTGTTGCCAAGAGGCTGGAGGAGGAAAAGTTGTTGCAGGCTTTTAAGGAGATAAAGGAGAAGATTGGTCTGCCGTTTGTTGATTGTCTGGCTTGATAACGAACCCGAGGCAACTGGAACTCACTTTTGGGGTATACCCGACTGTTCTTTCAAAGCTTTCCTTTCCCGGCAGTACGGTCTAGCCGGGCGGAGTTGGGGGTGGGGGAAAGAGAGTCACGGAGCTGTATTAGCGATCCTCCACCGAATGGTACTGAGTATTTTTCTTCTCAGGTTACCGAAAAGATTGAGACCGAGTTTAATGAAGCGTATTACTGTAACCTTCATACCTTCGCCACCTCCACTCCCGCCGTGTGTTCCCCATGGGCACCCGAGATAATCTGTTCTCAATACCATGCATTTGCCGAAAAGGAGCCATGGGCGAGCAAAATCTCTTTCTATTCATTACTCGGGTTATATAAAGGCTTCACGTTGTACCCTGCACTCTGCACCATGCACCCAACACTCAATATTTTGCGTCGGAGAAATCCACAGAGAACCGAGTTACATCGGACATTAGCACTGCGATGGCATCCACATCTGAATATTCAGGATTAGCCTCGAAATGGCCTCTCGCTTTTGACCTCGCGGGCTCCGGTATACCTTGTCGAATGGAGGGCGAGGTCAGCGACCTAGTCACCTTCGGTGATATCCCGGCCGCCATCGATGGGACTTTCTACCGAGTTATGTGTGATCCATTCGTGCCTCCAGATCCCAACAATGTTCCCCTCGATGGTGATGGCAACGTTTCGGCATTTCGGATTCTCAATGGGCACGTTGATATGAAGATAAAGTACATCGAGACGGAACGCTATAAGCTTGAGCGAAGTGCCAACAAAGCGCTATTTGGCCTCTACCGAAACCCTTTCACACATCATCCTTGCGTGAGATCTGCCGTTGACTCGACTGCAAACACGAACTTGGTCTATTGGGCCAATCGCCTGCTGGCTCTGAAAGAAAGTGCTCTCCCGTACGAAATAGATCCGGATACTCTCGAGACATTGCGCTATGATCCATTTGGAAGTCAGATCAAGGCGAAGACGTTTACGGCCCACCCAAAGATCGATCCTTACACCAGCGAGCTTGTTGTCTTCGGCTATGAAGCCAAAGGCCTCGCCACCAAAGATATAGTTATATATTCCCTTGACAAGGACGGGAAGAAACACGACGAGCAATGGATTGAATCACCCTGGTGTGCCTTCATTCATGACTGTGTTATCACGCCGAACTGGATTGTTCTCGTACTCTGGCCATTTGAGGCCAAGCTGGAGCGTTTGAAAGCTGGGAAGCACCACTGGGCCTGGAACTACGACTTGCCAGCAACCTTTATAGCGGTTCCAAGGAGGAAGAGTACTCAACTACCGGCCGGTTGGAAACAAGGGGAGTACAGGGTATACTCTTGGAAAAATTGTATGACCATTCATACAGGGGGCGCATGGGAGGGAAAAGATGGAATGGTCTATTTCGAGTCATCCAGGGTTCATGATAATGCGTTCCCTTTCTTTCCACCGGAGGACGGGAAGATGCCAGCCCCGGATGCTAAAGCAGATTTCGTGCGCTGGGAAATTGATCTGAATCAGCCTAGCGGATCTACCGTGTCGGACCCGCAAGTTATTCTCGATGTACCTTCAGAATTCCCTCGCATCGATGAGCGATTTATGACGGGCGATCATGAATTCGTTCTTCTAAATGTCTTCATTCCCGACAGATCAGATGGGGGCAAAAACATTTTCCACGGACTGAATGGCCTTGCAATGCACAGTCATAAGTCTAACCAAACCCGCTGGTTCTACGCCGGAGATGATTCTCTTGTACAAGAGCCGATCTTCATCCCCCGTACTTCCAGTGCACCTGAGGGCGACGGATGGGTTATTTGCATGGTCGAGCAACGTGCTGCCAACGGGTGTCACCTCGTCATCATCGACACCAAGGAATTCGAAAAACCTATTGCGATCGTTCAACTTCCCCTGCATGTCAAGGCGCAGGTGCACGGAAATTGGGTTGACGCGTCCCTTCTTTCCAGGAAGGCGAGTCTTGTGAGAACGATCACTAAGCCTGTCATCAGTAATCAGGGAGCCCTGATGCCGCTGGTCTAGTACCACTTACCATGGTCCTCGCTCAGTACAGACTCTATTGGGAAAGGAATCTTAACTCGTTGCGGGCTATGGGGCCATTTGAGTTGGATGTTGTTGAAATATTCTCAAATTTGTCTTTCCGATCGATATGTAACTCTATATTCAGTTAGCTTACCGGCACAGCTCGTCTCCAGAGCTTGGAAATACTTGATTAGTCACGCGCATAAAGAAGGTCTCGTTCAACTGCACTGAAGTTTCGATGCTACCGTCATAAGAGTATTGAAATGCTCCAGTAGCGAAACAAATTCATAATATCCGGCAATCCCTGGATGACCAGCGCTTTCTTATTAAGGCCCTAGTTATGGCAAGGATCTGAGAAGTAAAGCGTGGCCATGGTCATGCTATTGTATATTGATAGTAGCTGTCTTCGCCAAGTTTCAGGCTGTTTATGTACTGACATCCATCCGATAAGACCACAATAAATCTTGTCAATTGATGGAAAGAACAAAAAAGTAATCATGAAAGGTATGAGAAATGACATAGTGAATCTCGCATGATGCAGGTGAAGACGAGGCATGGGAGCAAAGAAAGGGTATTATAAGTAGCCCTCCAATGGTATGCATTGAAAATTCGGCCGCCAAGTGCTGGTTTCCACGTCGTACTGATTTGTTGAAAACCCTAGATAAAGTTGATTCGGACCAAGACCAAATCGTGCGATCTCTTCCTCGGTGATCCAAGGAGGTTGATAATCATTCGGCCTGAAAATGGAATAGTCATGTACCCGGGCCTCTTCAGGTATGAGAGCTGCTTGTAACGTGGCGACTGGTAGACCAAGGGAATCATTATTGTCGAGAATATTGCGAGAAATCGCCATTGTATTCCCGTGTCTCGAGGCAAGGCTGTAACTCTCCTCCAGCCTCATCAAATTTTCCGCCAAATGAGCCAAAGGGGTACTTTTAAAGAACCCCTGTATTGGAGGCGCTCGTCGCATTAGATCTAAAGCCCTCCGCCGCAAGCCTGGATCACGACATCTCAACACAGTCACAGCGAGAGGAACACCTACATTCATCTCAAAGGTGAATGGGGGTTGCACACCATTTGGACCTGATGAGTCTCCGAGAATCACAGTAGAGTGCTCGACGATAGTGCTGAAGTCTGCGAAATGGACATCGTAAACAGTTTCCTGTTGTCTTAAGCATCCGGTCACACAAATCAATGCCGCAGCGTGATATATGAGCAGCATAGGCTCCAGGTGTATGGGCTCAGTAGATGAAGGGCTGTTGCTTTGGCAAAGATTGGTGTATCCCTGGTGCCATTCGTTAAGTTGGGCTCGGAGCGCTTCTTTTTTCGCAACCATTTCTGCGCTGACAGCAGATTCTGCTCCCACTTCCCTGAGGTGTAAGGTCGCCTCGCGCTCAAAGAGCATTGTTTCCGCAGCTAGGACGACGATATTGTTTCTTGCAGAAACGACAGATGCAACGCCGGTGTTGATGCCTGCTTTGAAAAGGGCAAGAAGCTCACTAGGTGGCTGAGTTCCTGAGATTGTGAGGGAAAGTATGCCCATTCGCAGGAACAAAGGAAAAACATTGCGCTCCAAGAGTGCAGCTTTCTCGAAATATACTCCTCTATGGACCAATTGGGCGCGGAGGTTAAGAATCAAACTAACACCCTGTCGATAGAGTTCCAAGGCCTCCTCCATACGTCCTTGAATCGTCTCCACGCAAATAAACAGTGCGCAACTGATGAGGACAATGTACGGATCCGTCCTCCCGTGCTGGATCTGCGAGTGAACGCTGGAGATCGATCGCGAGTACCATGTCAAGGCATCTTGTTGGACATTGCTGAGCGAATATGCCTTATTTCGCCGATCACTCAGGAAATGAAAGTCCAAACACTGGTTGGGATATTCGAACAATGCGCTAATTGCAATCATCGCATCCCATACCGCGGGCTCGCTGCGGCAGATTTGCGGAACAACACCTGTCCAGAAATCTATACCCATCCCACCTGCGAGGTGGGGTGACACATGGTGAAAGTAGTATTCAAATGCGCGACGCTCTCGTTGCCCTGTATTTGGGGAGAATGATAGCGCGTAGCCGGGCGTTGAAGCAAACGGTGTATGAAGAGCCAAAGAAAGTGCCCGACTGCCCTTGTATTCACATTGTCGCCCTGTGCTAGAACAGCGAAAACATATCGGTCTCTCTTCGTCACATTTGACTCGGCGGATCCTGGGGCCAGCGGTCAGTGCCTAAGCATACACAAGGCAACAGAACTTACTTGCAGGTTTTGCACCCCGATCGAGATTTGGCAGCCCCTATGCGGCGGCCGGTTGAGGTGTGAGCATCCATGCCTTAAGCAAATAGCTTCGTGGTGGTCCGGTGGGTGTCAGACATGGAAGCTCAGAAGGGATTAGTGTATTCCGAGTTGAATATCCATGGTTAGGTAATTTGAGGGTAATGCCAAGTATTATGATTACGCTACTACCGACTAGAGGAGATAAGTGAGTGGAAAAGGTTGGGGGCCAAAAGGTAAGCAGGAAGTTAGTCTACCCTCGTCCTTTTCGTTCTTGTGAATCCATACCCGTGGAAAATAGTTAAGCCTGAGTTGGGCTTTGCATATCGATAGCGGTGTTGCCCCAGTTCAGCTAGACCGCCTTGAGGTAGTGATCAGCTAGTGAAATACGTAGGTAGCCCCAAAAAGACACTTGCGACCCATTTTGCGATCATCGAAGGTAAGAGAAGAAGAATCCCTTAACTCGCCGGGATATGGAGAGAATCTCCTATAGCTGGTTCTCCCAGGCGCTCGGTACTTTTTATCTCTCAAAAGGTTATCGAGCACTGGGCAAGTCACGGGGCTCCACTTAGAATGCTGGGCTAAAGTCGGATAGAGATATACTGATAAAGAACTGGAGCACGGTGGGTCTTAACTTTTAAAAAGAAATGGGCATTTCCAGGTAACTTCAGACCGGATAGTACAGATAGTAATCCTGGAAGAGATTTTGTCTCATCAAAGTTAAGCAGAGAGCCCACGCCGAGCTGCAGGTACGAGTACACAGCGAATACAAGGAACAGAAGGCGCGGCGATCGATCCCCAAAACGGTTAAGACACATCACGTGCCAGTCGTCATCAAGTGACCCCGGCGCTGGCCATGAAGATCCAACACTTCTCTCCTGTCTGCACCTCTCCGGACTCCAGACTGAGCCTTCTTCTGAGTCCTTTGAAGGTATCTTCTTACCAGGAACATAAATATTCCTAGTCGCCTCTACACCTGCCCCTTTTCAGCTCCAATACAACTGTCGCAGTCATGAAGTTCTTATCGGCCGCTACCCTTCTCCTCACGGCGCCTTTGATCTCGGCAGCCTCCTTTCCCTCAATCTTCGACCCTTCGCAGGCTACGATCAAGACATCGGAGCGCCAGTTTCCCGTTGCTGGTGACAACCCTTTGGAGTTTTGCCAGGAACCCTCAAACCATATCCTCAAGATCAAAGAGGTGGATCTCTCGCCTAATCCCCCGGAGCCGTACGTCTGACCATTTGAATCTCTGCGTCATTGCTTTACAAATAATTTTGACTAACTGCTTCTCTTCACTGAACAGTGGCAAGACCCTCACCATCAAGGCCAGCGGTACTCTCAAAGAGAGGATCGTGAAGGGCGCTACCGTCAATCTGGAGGTCAAATGGGGTCTCATTTCCCTGATCCACCAGACTGTTGATCTGTGTGATCAGCTCAAGAATGTCGATATGGAGTGCCCCCTCGAGGCGGGTGATATGGTTTTGACCAAGCAAGTGGATCTGCCAAAGCAAATTCCTCCGGTGAGTTCCAAGTTGAACGATCTATTCCGCAACCGTGAAGCTGACATGGATCAGGGCAAATACTCGGTCTTGGCCGATGTCTACGACAAGGACCAGAAGCAGGTCACCTGCCTGAAGGCCGACGATATCCAGTTTCACTTCTAGATGATTGCCAAACCCCCTTGCACCCTTGCATCCACCCATCCAGTGGCCTCTCTGTTCAATCAACTCCAAAGACTTCGTGACCTTTGCTTGATTTGACCTCTCTACGCCAGCAACGCCTTCCGCCTATGTCTCGTCACGACTCTAGCTGATTTCGTCTCTCACTTGATCTTTATGTCACTTTCTCAGCATCGTAATTTGTTCAGATATCACTACGTTACAATCCTGTTTATGCTTTGCATGTGTACTCACTCTGAATTTGACCGGAGCCTGCTCGTGTGGCCGCGGTCTCTAATACATCTTGAAACACGATTGTCGAGGGAATATCACATACGTCACAACCGTACCCTTAGGATCCAGTAATTCCACATTGCAGCCATCGAAGTTGCCTCCAAATGTTCAAACCGGTCTGTAGCACCTTCCCAGAAACACTAGGTAGATACATACACAAGGCCTGGAGAAATCTTCAACCTTGGAAGTACTTCGATACCAGAATTTTATTGAAAGGTGGAAGTTATGTATATGCAAATTTCAGACATGTTGGGTATCTTCCTTCTCAAGCTTCTTGTCGGCCCCGCCGTTTCAGCTCTTGAAGCAAGCCGATTCACATCCCCGAAGCAGTAGATGTTGTCATCAAAATATTTGAGTAGCACGTAAATGATGTGGAAATACCTTTTGAGCTAGCTGCGCTCAAGGCTGAAGTGGCTCTGTCCGCGATTTTACTCTCCGAACAGTCGTCGCACACGCTTGAGAACACTGTCCTTCTCGGGGTCGTAAGGATGGTCTTTGCTAGGAATCTCGAGGATAGCGGGGAAGGGGTCGGTGAATGTGTCTACGGTATGGCGGATGCGCTCTGCAATCTGTCGTGGGCGGTGTTAGACACGGATAGCTCATTGTATTGTCAGACGGAAAGATGGAACGAACATGTTGGTTGATCAGGATAATAGCGATGTCCTTTCGCTCCTGAGTGAAGTTCTGGAAAGTCCGCTCGATCTCCGAGGTCTCGGTTTTGCCGTCAACGACGAGGAAGTTTCGCTGGGAGTCTGGGCCATCGGTAACGTGCTGTGGAGATCATTCGCATGAGTATATCGCAGGCTATATGAAGTCGAGGGTCCCTAGAGGACAGCTTCAGATATGCAGAGGGTACATACTCCAACGCCAGCGAGGAGGAGACCGGTAACGGAGCTAAAGACGGGGTCTCGGTTAGCTGAAAGTGATGCTGGTAGTAATGGCAAAGCCATATTATGGGTGACTTACTCTTCATCGCCAATAACGGCGAGGAATTGCCGGTCCTGTAGTTGAGGGGAGTCAGCAATGCTATCGGAGGGGCTTGTTCGCGGCACCAGGTGTCCAGTACCTTGTAGGTTGCGGCCGACGCCATGATGACTGGAGCTGGGGGGGGAAACGACAGCAAGAATTCAAGAATAGACGCTCCTACAACAAAGCAGGGACGCACACAGACCAAATCAGTCGAGACTCGAAGGCGGCGTCGTTCGCTGCTCGCCGCTGGTTGATCGCGGAGAGCTCGTGCTGACTAATCAGCTTCTCCAAATTTCCCAGATTGTTTACTTCCTTGTTCCGCATCATCGGCTTCTGCAACTTGACAAGGCTCTTTTTGGATGCCTTTCTACCACTTCGCCTAAGACAAAGCTGCTGAGGAACAGCTTCTGTCTGTAAATTCTCATTACATCCTCCATTATGCCTCGCCTCGTACGCCGCCGTCCACTGGCAGAGCGCATCCGCGCCTACTTGGACCCATGGGACTTTTTCCTTTGGGTGTCCGAAGAGATTGAATGTCATGACTGGGACGAGATGAATAAAGACTGGGGATTGGCAATGGGAATATTTCTTAACCTGGTTTTCCTCGTCGCTCGCGCGAACAGCCGCTCAAGTGGCAGCAAAGCGATCGACGATGTGTTTGGGGAAGACGAAGGCGTGCCCTGGCTCAGTTGGTTTGTAAGTGATACTTACACTGCTTATGCTACCCGTGACTTCAAAGTAGGATACGTGAGCTAACTGGCGCTATTTGATTCATTTAGGCATCGTCTATCGTCCTTGTCCTGAGCATCTTTTCCGGGCTCAACGCCTTTTATACTTTCTATCGCAAGCGACACTATCGAATGTTCGAAAATTCGATCGACAAGGCTCCAGCCACACCATCTGCGCGTCGCGTGCGAGTTGATTCAAACCCTTTGTCTGCATCGCCCCTTAGATACTTGGCCAACGCCCTGTCCGGCGAGTCCGCTCAATCGAGAGCTCACCCCGATGCGCAACGCGATGTATGGGAGCTTGCGATATGGGACCCAATTTCAATAAGCGTCCGCTTGTTTTGCTTGTTCAGCCCGGGACATGTGTTGGTCTACCTGCACTTTTTACCGGCCCAACTGTCCGATCCTCGGCCTAGCATGACAGTCGTGACGACCATCTTCTTGACTATACTCCTGTCGGTCCAGATGTCCTTCCTATCATCATCATACACACAACAAGCGAAGGATTCGACACTGGTTCAGAAAGAGGTATTCAGGGAATACGAAACTAAATTCGTCCACCCCAGGACACGACCTCTCATGAGAGATGTCGGGATACAGTTTTCCGAGGAAATTGCCGCCGCAGGAGATTCCCCGAACAAGGTGGAAACCTATACGCCGACTTTCATAATCAACCATGGCTTCAAGACCAGTCCCAACCCGAACTATCACAGCCACGTCGACCCTGACGGGGTCTCGCCTCGACGCCCTGTCCCTACGTCTACACCGAGTACCTCGTCGATATTCCAAACCCAGCCATCCTTACACACGCCCGCTGTGTCACGAGATGGTTCTCCTTTGGTACGGACAGCGGGCACGAGTATGCGACAGCCGCAATTCCGACCTACCTCGACGAGCACCGGTGATGGCGGTAGCCTGGGGGTCTACTCCCATGCCAACTCTCCTTTGAGAAAGTCAGCATCGACTGCGTTTGAGCGCCGTGTCCATAATCACGGTGATTTCATCTACAAAGAGCGAGGCACCACCCCTTTGAGGAAAGGTTCAAGCCCACTCAAGCGCAGCAGCCTCGCGACACCCCTTGGTTCAGCAACGGACGTTAGTAGATCGAGTAACCTCGGCACTCGTCGCGAAACGGGTCGATTCTAAAATAAAGCAATGATCTCATTCTTTGCAATGATGTGATGTCGATTCCGTGAGAAATTTTATTGCGTTATGCATGTCAGGCCATGCATGGTCATGCGCAAAACCCTCGATGCAGAGCTTAATCTGCCCCTAGTACATACCCTAATTCACGTTCTACTTGATGTGGCGTCATGGCTTGATTTTGCAACTTTTTTGCCGGCCCCGCCACTCCCAGGAATGTGGAAAGTGAAAACCAACCTCCAGAGTGAATGTATCGATTACTGGCGGTCCAAAAACACCTGTCTCGTTATACCGTCGAAAATCGCAATATAGTCCCTGTGGATCCATCGATGACGGCCTTCAGTTTCACCAACGGGTTCGCACCTTCTCACCCATTACAAAAACCCTACATCGTAGCTTCTGCGTGAATGATGCAATTCCAGAACACGATAAGGTGCGCGATCCATAATGCCAGATCCCGCGGGGAATATCTTCAGGCATTCCACCGCGGGGGCTGGCATTCTTCATATCGGGCCACATGCCATTCCAACCCACGCGACCCCAGTATTCTTACGCGTTGAGAGCGCGCTTTCTCTGAGCCCCAGACTAGGCTCGATGACCCACGCCTCATTCTCTGCGTCTATCATTTGCCTGGTACTGTGTACGTCGACCATCCCCGTCTAAATCGAACTTCCGACATCCACTCCGAACGCCTCATCCTCACAGCGCCGACATCAAGAACCCCCTACTTTTTGACGGCATGGGCCAGACATAGACCCAATTCTGGCCTGAGAGTGGGGACAACTAGCCAGCATCTCTCTCAGCCCACCATGGAGATCGAGAATCGCGTCGAATTACCAGACGGACATCTTGTGAACCTTTCACCACGACCCCCACATCAACCTCAATACAAAGCCTATCGAGTCGATTACGCATCTACTGAGCTCTTACCTGCCAAAAAATCTCAAACCACCCATCGAGCCTATCGTTCAGAACTTGTGGAGTGTCGCAGCCCGGTCGACACCATGTATCAAAAGGGAAAAGCAACCAAACTTCCGGTTCCAAAAATCCTTCTCGAACGGGACAGAGACCAACGGAACCAGACGCCTAGTCTTACCGCGATAGCCAAACCATCGCCCACTGCCTTGTCTTCGGGAGGATCTGGTGCCCAGTCGGGCGAGCGGGATCGTGACCGGGACCGCTATTGGAGCAAGTTGCGCGACAAGTTTGAGAAAGAATCGTGTCCGCTATCTCAACGGGTATCCTATCACCGAACAAGGGAGAGCGACAAGAAAAATTCTCCAACCCAAGCAAAAAACTGCCAGGAAAGCAGATATGCTGCGGTCCACGAAGAAGCTACCAGTCGTGTGCCCCAGCCTCGAAGGATAGTACCAATCACTACCACCAACGTCAAAAGTAGTTCCTACAATGCTCTGGATGAACTTTGCCACCCCGACAGCCATAAGCCATGGCAAATTCAGGAGGGACACTGGTCCCCTGTTGACAGACACGAGACCACTGCTCAGAAGTCGGGGATGACGGACACTACCACTGGGTCGAGTCCTCGGTCTCGCCCTTCTATATCGCCTGTTTCTGATGACAGCTCTATAACCGATTGCGACTGGGAAGACCGATTTGTCGTGCACATGCCTTCAGCCAAAGATCCGAACCCTCCTATGATGACTTCGCAGCAAATCGCGGAGTATCAGAAGAGCATCGAAAAGGTGCGCCGAGATGGTGGACACATGGTAGACCCTAACACCCGGCCTAGTCCACGGAAAGACTCGCCCGAAGGAAAGCCTCACCCTGTCCTTCCAAGGGACAGAAAATCTGGCGGTTCGGGTCAATTCAAAGCCTATGACGGACGACCCATGAAACTACAGCCAGAAGCTGATCGACAGCCTGCACCTGCTCCTGCTCCTACACCTGCTCCTGCTTCTGCCCCTGCTTCTGCTTCTGCTCCTGCTCCTGCTCCTGCTCCTGCACCAGTACAAGAGCCGTCACCTCCGTCACTAGGACCCCAGGGGAAAAAGAACTATTACAGTCCAGACGAGGTTGGCAAGAACCGCATCAGCACCATCTGGGAGGAACAATCTCCAACCAGATCCAAAGAGAAGCGATCTTCAACAAGAACAGACGGCTCTTTTTTAGGATGCAAGGAGATCAACGGGCCTGGAACCAAGAACCCAGACGAGATTCTTCTGTTCGCATCCGGCGAGAACTCGAAGAACTTGCAGCCTCGTCCTCTTGCCGCGAATGGGAGGAAGAAACAGAAGGAGGAGAAGAAGGCTCCTCGGAAATCAGAAGAGAGTCGCCAGGCTCCGCGAAAGTCAGGAGAGAGCCTGGTCAAAGAAGAGTTGGCACAAATTTCTCGGAATTCGAAGCAAGCCCAATGCTCGAACTCTTCGTCGGCAACCCTGTGTCAGGAACCCATCTGCTCACAGAACGAGCTTCCGAGGACCCACTCCAACGGATCGAGCAAGGAGAACTTCTACCTCGCACCAAGCACGTCAAGTTTGGCGGAGAAGCTAGACGGCGTCTGCGACGACGACGATGTGTTCATTATCACACCCACTATCACACGTACTATGCTTCCAAGCCCGATGCCAGAGAAGCAGGAACGGAAAAGGGAAGAGAAAAAGGCCTCTATTCCAAAGGCACGGGGGCTTCGACGTCCTGGTGGCACCGGCCAGTCTGGCACCGGCGAAGCCGTCAAAGCCATTCGAGCCAAAGCTCAGGTCATTTCCACACCTTCTGGGCTGCGACCAGCAGCAGCAGCCTCGCAGGTAAAGTCAATCGCGTCCTCTCTGACATCTTCCAAAACGACACCGCTCAGCAGCATTCCCACCGCCAAAGACAAAGAAGACTCAATTGCGACAACTGCGACAACCACGACAACCGCCACAAAAGAAGTCTCTACTACGAAGCAAGAAGTCACAGCGAAGAACTTCCCCAAGTCCAAAGACAAGGAGAAGGACGACCACGCGAAACAAGCGGGAAACTCTATCCGTGGGTTCATCCGTACCTCAGGGCTCGCAAGGTCCACCGGGCTCGTCAGGTCACCCACGGAGAGCCTCGCCACGATACTGCGTAATGGCACTGAGTCTTTGCGCAACCGCGCTGAATCGCTACGGAGGGGCAACGGGCCCTCCATCAGTCGTAACAGTTCTCCTATTTCTCAGCCCTCAGGTCCATCAAGAGACAATTCCGAGTCCTCGCGGTCTGAGAGGTCCTTCAGGTCGGCAAGAGATAAGGCAACTCCGCCGCCTTCCAGCAAACCCTCCCCTGCGAAAAAGAACCAGTCTCCCGCTTCGAATCCTTCTGCGGAAAAGCCATCCCCGGCAGAGATGGCCTCCCAGGTGGAGATGGCCTCCCAGGTGGAGATGGCCTCCCAATTGGAGATGGCCTCCCAAGTGGAGATGTCGCATCCGGTTGAGAAGCCCGTGGAGGAGTCGCCTCTGTCTGCCGAGAAAATCGCCCGAGCCGAAAGGCTGGAAAGGTTCAAGGAGCAGGCGCGCCTTCGCCGGGCCACGAGGACCATTGAAATCGCAGAGCTGGACGGACATCAAGTGCCCAGCAACAAAAAATCACTTCAACCAAACATTACAGATGTGTGCGATGATCTCGGTGATTTGAGCTCACAAGACAAGGATGAGACCTCCAAAGATGCAGGGAATGCAATGGCTCTTTCTATGATCTTTGAGATCGTCTTCGTTGCCGTCACACACATGCACAAGGGGCTGCTTCAGGTGACCGACAGTCCATACGCAAAGTTCGTGGTAAGCAATGTCTTGAACATGGTGCGTCACTGCTACCGCGTCTTCAGCCGGGTCTATCGTGCTTTCTCGAAATACCAAACCACCGGAACGTGGCCCAAGGCCACGAGCGATCAGGCCGTCAGCCGCTTCCTGACGGAGCTCCTCCAGGCCATTATGTATCTGTTCATACTCGGATTCGGTTTTACGATGGTTGGCCGGGCTGCTTCTTATATTGTGCTTGTTGGAAGCTGGATCGTGTGGTTTGCTCGTCCATTTGCATGGGCTTTCCAATGTGTCGGTCGTGCCCTCCTTAATTGACGTGGTGTATTCTTATCCCCGGCCTGGGCATCCGGGTCGGTTGTTTGTCATGCATTCTTTTGTACCCATAATGTTCTTAAGGGGGTTATCGGTCGGAGCGGTTTTCATGACCAAGAGCCTTCTTTTTACTGTGTTTTTTCCATCTCGTCCATGAGCTATTGTTACATACGCGTAAAGCCTTGTTTTCCAATCACTCCTATTGCCATAATAAGCCGTAATTGATGTATCCTCAAATGATGACTTCTACAGGACCCAACAGCCTACACTGGTGCACCGCCCGACGATTTCTCGGGTCCAATTTCCTAGTTTGCTCTTCGTATAGAACTAGTGCGGCGCTAATGCAGGCCTAACTTCGACTTGGACCCAGCCGGTCGCTTAGGTCGACGGGCCGCGTATTTTAGCATCAATTTATTTTCTTCATCCTGGGGATATTCATGCAAGCTGAAAATCCGGTGGGCTCGAACGGCGAGGCCGGGGCTAGCGCTCGCTAGCGTCTGGCGTAAACTACAGACAGTGTGGCTACAATAGGCGATACGCGGCTTTGAACTTGGTCTGCCATAACCACCTGCCCGGATTCTACTGGGTCGGCAGAAATGGCCATGAGAAGGATATCGGTTATTTCGTCCCCGGTCGTGGCGAAGTGTAGACAATTTCAGGTCACAGACATGATAAATAACCCGCCGTCCCGGGTTTTGACATCCTCATTCAGAGGAGATACAGCGTGAGCAGTCAACTGTTTCCTTCATCATTTGTGACATTCAATTTTGCAATGTATCGATCTCTGGTGCTGGCAGCCGCAGCCCTAACGGGACTCGCGAATGGCCATCCTGTGAGGGAAGAGAATCTGCTTCAACATCACGAGTTCTGCCTTCTGGAGACCCTCGTCGTGGACATCCTGAGGCTGGATTCAAAGGCAGACGCTTTCTGCACCAGCGTTCTTAACATTAAGACCGCAACGAAGACACTCATCACCACTTCGACTCCTGCTGTCGCCACTGACACTGCCACCGAATACACCACGGGCACCGTGACGACTACGACTACGGCGACCGTCACTGATACTATCAGCGATTTCTTCACTGCCACCGAGGTGGATTTCCTTACAGTTCCTGTGACGGAAGTCGTTGATGTGACGAACACCGTCTCGACTACGGTGACTTTCGATCAAACCGAGACTGCCACTGCTACGGATTACTTTACGGCCATTATTACGGACACTGTGTCCGACACCGTCACTTCAACAGTCACCGCTACCTCTACTGCTATTGTTTATGACCGCCGTAACATCAGAGAGCATGTCGTGTTTAGGGCCGCGCCCACTCCTTTCTGTTTGGAGAGACTGGATAATCTGTATTTCACTAGCGCTTGCTCGTGCTTGAAGCTATGTACGCCGACTGTCACCACGCATGTTACGGTGGTGGCGGCTACTCCGACGGTCACTATCACAACCACCCTCCCTGTGACCGCCACCGAGGTCGATACTGTGACGGCTACAGCTATGGCTACGACGGATATCACGGACACCGAAACGGTCACCTCCACTGTTCCTTCTACTGTCTATGCATCTTCCTTCTTCACCGATGTGGAGTCTATCTCGAGTACTGACTATGCGACCGTGACTGCCACTGCTGACTCGACTGTCACCGAGACTGCCACTGTCACCACCGACGTTGCCGTGTTCACCACTGTTCAAGCGGTTGCCACTGCTACTCAGGTCTGCACTGTTCTCGCGATCGAGAAGTTCATCCTGGCCGATACCGACCAGACCACCGTCGCCGAGGCCAACCTGTACTCTGGAAGCGACATCATCGTCAACACGAACTCCTTGTATCCACCGTTCACCAATCCTTACCCCCCGACCGACCCCTGGTACGGAAACCTCCCTTGTCTGTCCATGCTTTTCACGTGCGATAGCGAGCAGCGGGTGTTTATCAACTACCAGGACGATGGCAGTTTCACCATTGTTCCCGGTTACCTCACCTCGTCCCCCTCGACTTACGCCGTTTCTGCCACTGTTCCTCCTACCGGCTGCACCATCACCATCTACGCCGTTGTCTGGGGTCTTGGGTTGATCCCTGATAGCGATGTCATCAGCGCCCTGTACAGTGCTCACATCAACGGTGAGGAATTCCAGTGGTCCAATACCTTCTTTGGGACGGATACCTGGTACGGCTATAAGAAGGCCGGTGCTATCTACTACACCGATGCCACCGGTACCATGCAGGCTGTCTACGGCAGAGAAGGCAGCTATGGCACTATCTGATTTCTCATCAAATTAATTTTCATCACACGCTAGACAATCATGTATATATCAATGCTAGTGATCGCTTAATGACTCCAATAATACATATTTCAAGGACACACGAATTTGACGCAATTCCGCTCTTAGAACCAGGCTTCTTGTGCTCTTTCTATTCACATTGGGAATACCCCCGGAATGCTCAATTCGTTTGAAATGGGGCAAGGATGAGTATCCATGATCCCATGATGACACGATGACAAGGACCCAGCAGTGAGCATGAAGACAACGACGATGATGATTTAATTGAGGGCAAGCTTCCGGTCCGAGAAAATGAAAGAGGCCGGATGGAAGCGATGAAAAGAAAGAAAAGGAGGGAGCTTATGTCCCTTACGATCAATCGTACTGAGACCAGCCTTGGGGTCGTTATCACTTGGTGTCTAATTAAAGGTCTGATGGTTCAAGGAATTTGATTCTTTATAAGACAAGGTCAAAGATAGTCCAAATAAACCGCACCTAGGAAACACCGCTGCTTGAATGAAGTAGTGCTGGTCGAGATGGAGAACGGTGTAATATCCGCCCTCACTACAATCTCTATGATAGGGAATCGAACAGGAGTAAAAAAAAATAAAGCGAAGAAAAGGACTATCTTGAATAAGATGTTGAATTTGGATTTGATTTCTTCCTTCTTTTTGTCCTCCATTCCCCGAGGAAAGTCCAGAACCTGAAAGGACAAAGACCAACCTTAGAGACAAGCACCAGGCTTGTGGAGGGGCGAGAAGAGAAAGGAAGTGATCTGAGCGATGAAGCGTCATTGTTAAAGAGACGGGGTATCGGAACAGTGAAATGTTGGATGTTGAAATGAAAAAGTGAACGCTCAGGAAGAAATCGTTGAGAGGTCTTCAATCGTGACGCCATGACACATTGCAAGGGGGGCCCGAGATTTGGTGTTGGATGATTTTGGTTCGGGACAGGTTTCGTTGAGTATCGTTGAGAGAGGTGATGTTGAATTAGGTAGAGTCGTAGTAGTTATTGTTGACAGAGGCTCGGGAGGTATGAGCCTGGAAGACGCTCAAATTGAGCACAAGGTTCCCGGTTGAGTGGGGATTTAGTTCTTGATTGCGGTCCCATTCTGTTCCGCTGCGCCGTTCTGCTCAGAGGCGTCGTTGCTCTCTGGCTTTCCGGGCACCTCGACAGTGAGGTCCTTGATTTCAAGGTCCTTGAACAACTCGAAGACTGCGTTGCTCCGGTGGAAGTCGTTGTCGACGATGTTGACCAAGTACCAGTCGTCCATGACTTGCTGGATCAGTTTGCGGCTAGCGCTGCCGGCTTCGTGGCACTTGGACCAGTCTTCACCCAGTCGGTAAGCCTCGTCCTTCCATGCCAAGAAACTGACCGTCTCGACGATAGTCGGTTGAATGATTTCTCGTCCAGCAAAGATACCCCAGGTCAGTGCGTTGGGGCTGTCGTGTGTGTTGGTACGCAGTTCACCGCTCTTTTGGATGGCGTGATAGGTCAAGTCCTCGTTCTTCTCGATACGAGCGATGAGCTCATCGATCAGGTAGGATGGCACCAGGAGTTCAAGGTACGCTTTTTGGTAAACGAAGCCATTCTTGGGACCCCATCCATACACGGGGTCAGACGATTTGATGCCGTTAATCGCGGGCTGGGAGTTGATGGTCAAGAATCCGCGTTGGGTGAGGTTAATCAAGTGGTCCTTAATGTCATTTGCCTCGGCAGTGATGGGGCTGTCGCTCCAAGGCAGTCGGTCGAGCTTGCCCGACAAGAAGCTAATGAAAATCTCGGAGAGGTCCTTGATAGACTTCGGCTGGCCCCAAAGCTTGACGTTCTGTTCATTTGTTCCCTTGAGTCCGACACCGTAAGCATCAAGCTCACCGAAGGCAGGCGAGCGAGAGTCGGTCCAACGGCCGTTAGGGTACTCGTCCCATGTCTGGGTGCGCGCGACATATGACGAGTTCCGGTTACGCCAGAACACCGGTCGTACATCCTCTGTTCTCCGACCCAGGCCAAGAGACGGCCGCCATGGCAAGGTTCGTTGAATAGGAGACTCGTCTGATGGCGAGAGACCCAGCTCCTCCAGAACAAGCTTGGTTGCCTGTGCCAGGTTCATTGTGTAGAAGTGCAAGTGGTTAATGCCAAAGGCCAGGAGCTTCCGGCACATATCGGCGATCAAGCGCTTTCCAATATCCCGAACCGCAGCGTCATCATTCTTGACGGGCTCCAAAGCCTCCATCCAATCAGGGGGCACACGGGTCTTAGTCCAGTTGGACCGGCGAATGAACGAGGCATAGGTCTGAATTGGCATGATGCCGGGGATGATTGGCACGGTGATGCCCTTGGCGCGGCACTTCTTAACCCATTCGATGAAGTTGTCAGAGTCGTAGAACATCTGGGTGACCACAAAAGAGCTTCCTGCATCCACCTTCTCCTTCAAATGGTCAATTAACTGGTCCACGTCCGGGTTGTCATCGGCACCCTCCGGGTAGCCGCCCACACCGATGTCGAAATGGTTGCCGTACTTCTCGCGGATGTACTTGACGAGATCCTTCGCATAGCGGAAACCGTTCTCATCAGCCTCCCATGTTTCCTTATCACGGGGCGGGTCACCGCGGAGGGCTAGGATGTTGGTACACCCAGCCTTGTACGCGGTCTGGAGAGCGTTGTCGACCTTTTCGAGAGGCATGTCGGTGCAGGTCAAGTGCATGCATGTCTCCAAGCCATAGACTGACTGAGCCACGCCAACCATTTCGAGGGTCAACTCAGAGTGACGGCCACCTGCACCCCATGTGATATCGATGAAGGAGGGGCCCAACCCGTGCATACGGTCCATGCGGTCGTAAAGGTTCTGTACACCCTGGGCCGTTTTGGGAGGGAAGAACTCGAAGGAGATTCCGGGCTCCCCGGCAGCCTCCTTCTGCGCAAGCTTCTCACGAATATGCATAGTGTCGCGTTAACCTAATCCCACAAGAGAACTCATCAGTGTCATTGTCCAACTAATTGGTAGCAACGGAGGGCGAAGAATGCCTCACTTGGGGCTTTGGGAAGGGAAGTCATACCGAAACTCAACGAACAATTTTGTCTGGGGTGCCAAACCTGAGGCTATCGGTGTTGCAGAGGGGTCTGGCGATCACCAGGATTCCCGACCAGCTTGCTATGACGCCCACAGCTGAAATATGTAAACAGGGGAACCCAGGAGAAAAGTAGTAACAAAAAAAAGTGGGTGAATAGGCTCCAGGTGGGAGTTGGGGAAGAAAGGTGAGACCTTTGGGACGTTTTGGCGGGGGAGGCCGAAGGTCGGAGGCACGTGTTCTGTCCACAATGGGCGCATTTTACTGTGCATCGCTGGTTTTTTGAGTAATTTCAGGCATTTTAAACATATCTAAGCTGATTCTCTATCTCAATTGAGTCTTAAGAGTCCGTCAAGATGGGAGCTGGTACTACGGCTACCCCTCCTGCCCCTCCTTGAGAAGAAGGGTTCCGGGGCAAATTTTCCCATAGCGGCCGCTTATCGCCGACAACTTTTTGTCCCTCCAATTCCTCGAATTGTCTCCATTCCACCTCCACACTCGACCCAGACCACCTGTCAGTGCTACCTCTGCTCTTCTATACCCAGGGACCAATTCGAAAATTCACAAAATGTCGACCGCCACTATTCCCCCACCGTCTGCCGACGAGGACTACAAGTCCACTCTGCTGCCGCTGCTGATCTCCAACAACGTCCTTTCCTTTGGCACCTACGTCCTGAAGTCTGGTCGCGAGTCTCCTTACTTCTTCACATCCTCCCTCCTGCATACTGCGCCCTTGCTGCGTGCTACCTCTGCCGCTTATGCGAGCGTCCTGTCCGCCGAGCCCTTCGTGACCACCGACGCCAACGGCACCACCAAGCCCAACTTCGACATTATTTTCGGCCCCGCCTACAAGGGCATTCCAATTTGTGCGGCTGTCACCAATGAGCTTGCTGTCCGAGACTCGCTCTCCGGTTCGCCCAAGGGCACCTGGGACAACGTGAGCTACTCCTTCAACCGCAAGGAGGCCAAGGCCCACGGAGAGGGTGGTAACATCGTCGGGGCTTCCCTCAAGGGCAAGCGGGTTGTCATCGTTGACGACGTCATCACTGCCGGCACTGCTATCCGCGAAGCCGTTGGCATCATCGAGAAGGAAGGCGGTATCGTTGCCGGTATTGTGGTCCTTCTGGACCGTGAGGAGCGTGTCAGTGACTCCGAGCCCAAGAGCGCTATCGGTTGTGCTCAGAGAGATCTCGGTGGTAACATTCCCATCCGCGCCGTTATTGGTCTTCACGATCTGATTGAGAAGCTGGGTGACTCGATCGGCGCCGGCGAAGTCCAACGGCTGAAGGATTACCGCTCCCGCTACGGTGCGGAGTAAAAATGGTCCGTCAAAGCCTCATTGAGGTACGATGTATGAAGAAAAAGACAAAGAGAAGTCATGATACCAGTATAGCCCGGAGTTACTCCAGTCCATCGATACATCCCAATTTTGAAAAGAAAATTTTGGATTATTTATAAGCCCCGATACACTGTTTTCGAGATTCAATTCCTTGTTCAGATAGCAGGTAGACCTGGGTCGCTCACATCTTCCCACATGTCTTCCTGCGCTCTGGCAATGTACGAACTAGTGGGACAGAGCCGCCGATTCAGAGTTATTTGATGCTCCAATCAGATTATGAACGTCGCCTGGATAGATTCTTCCATCTCGGTGAGAAATGTATTTACGTCGTGTCTACCAAGAGCCGACAAAGTGTTATTATACAAGCTAGTCACAAACCCTGTCTGTGATGCCGTACACGCTATCTGAAATACCCGAGGATTTCCGCTATGTCGCATTTGAACCTTGATGGCATCGGACACTGAAGCCCTTGCCATAGATGACTACGGCCAAGCCTGGTGTCGAGAGTCCGACAGTCATACACAGCACAGCAGGAGGAATCAATTCCCCATGCCTCCCTATGCTGAAATTTGCAGAAGTCCAAAGAGCACGGACACCAAATGGACCTCGAGTGGAGTATATCGCATATTGAAGGATCTGATCGCGCTCAGACCATTTGAGGTTTGAGTTACCTTTAATTGGAGAAGGGCTTGATAAAATCGATGGAACCGGGAGTGAAACATACATAGCATGAATAAACGGCAAATTTATGAGACATTTATTGTCTTACTCATAGAAGGCCCCTATAAAGGAAAAAGGTAATTCCAGCCTAGCATATTGAGTACCATTACAGTTCGGTAGACTTCATATCGGCCTAATCGAAAAATGCTCGCCATTAAACACCATCAACCAGCCGCCTGGCAGAAATCATTTGAAGGATTGAATTGGATAGCCAGTAGCTAAAACTTGGAGACTTCCGGCGATCTCCCAGTGGTAGACTATGTATTACAGGAAGGCTCGGGCGACAGTTCCGACTTTCAATTCAGGCTACCTAGCGCAAATGGGATAATGCTCCGATCTCAAGTCCTTTTCGGAGGGTTGATCTGGAAATTTTCGTTAGGAACAATAGTCGAAATCATTTTAAATATTGCATCGCATTAATCTGTAGGTAGATAGTCCCATAATTGAAACCTGCCGGTTCTGAGGCCCAGAAACATATAAAAATAGTGAGCTCTCGCTCAATGTCGAAGACATCTGCGGTCGGCGACCAGCAAGAACGTAGCCAACCGAGATTCTTTGGTGCCTTAGGGGCATGATGCACAAAGAGTTGTCTTGCAGATTTATAGGGACAAACATGAAGGACAGCGGCATTGCCGCATCGACGTATCTTCATAGCTAGGTACCTGGGAGCCCGAGCAATTCTGAGTATTTTTGTCCAGATATACAGTGACAAGCTGATGGAGTAGCAAGCCTTGAGAATCCCGATGGATCCAACACCATCCCAACGTCTATACTCGTGGGTGGCGTGGTAGCTACTCTTGGGCCCTTTGTAGAGGGCCAGGTATTGTTGTTCTCGGAGACGAAAACGCACGCTTTTACCGGTGCTACCTCTCCGACCATATAGACGTTTACTTCCCTGCTCGAATGTGCTGCAAGCACTGTCTTGTTGGTGGTCTTCATACGTGGACGGTCGGTTTGGACCAAGCGCTTTCACCGGGGCTATTGCTCTGTTTTTCTTTTGGAAAGTTAGGGCTAAAGCACATGGAATGACACGAATCATCTCCAGTACAATGAGGCTCTTTTGAAAAAGAGAAAATATTATGACCAGGGCTCTAATTAATAACAATACCCTCGGATTCCAGTGGTTAAGATATTTCCATGCAATCAAAAATTATCCTACAAGGTTTGATGACTGGAAAAATAATGATTAGCACAAATGTCTCCTTCCATATCGCTCGGCCATTAATCCGTTCGTAGAGCACGATAGCCCTAGTCGACAGTCATTGTTAAAATCAGACCGATACAAGATCAACGCTGCATACTCCTCATCACTCGGGTCGTTATCACATCACGCCCTTACTTCCCTGCCGTCTATGATCGAGTATCACAAATAATTGTCATACATACACCGCATGAGTTTCGCACCAGGAATTATCGAGCCAGATCTGTTCCACCTCGGCCGTCTGCCGTGTATAGAGCTATGGATCTTGCTGGGAACCCTTCACCGATGGCGATGCTTCGTGAGACACTAACGAATTTTGTTATCTGATCCCTTATTCTCTCGAGATGGCATTCGTCAACCGGCGTCCCCTTTGATCCGCGGAAGTTTCCAGATATGTCCTAGCTTTCTTGTCTCCGGGAACATCAGGAATTCTCCGAGCCTTCACCGTTCATTCCGGGATCAAAGAGGTCCAACCAACAGCTATAGATGTGAGGTGAGATGTATTATCAGACGGTGTACTTCTTGACAAAGCAGAAGAGACATAAGGTTTCCTTCAAAATATGTTTTGGGAGTGACTCCAGCGGGATTTCCTTTTTCTTTTTTCTGGCTCGCTGGCGTTTTCAATTTTCAATTATTCCCACCAAGCACTTCGCGCTTTTGCTTTTTCTCCTTGATTCTGCCGTCCGCAAAGACTAACTCTGTCTTAGAGTGCTTTGAATTTACTGAAGATGCACCGGGTCGGTCGTTGAGGTTCGATATCATCAGTCGTTACCCTGGCTCTGTGGCGTGTTACTGAATCTTTGTGCTTCAGTGCTGATCATTGGAAATGTGCGTTGCTTCTCTCATTAAAAGTCTCACTTTAAGCTGTAGCCCCTGTGGTTGTCCTCTCTCCCCCCTCTCAATTTGCATCATGTTATTGAAATAGTATATCATCAAATAACTAAGAAGCCAGATACAGATTTGGGTTCGCACCATCATTGAATATGCATTGGGAATACGCAAGCGTTCTCCTCAGCCAACTGTTTGCGGTTGGATCATGTTGGCCCTACGATGAGAAGCTCACTGCATATAACCTCAACGAGAATAAGACAGCAAAGAGCCCCGCCGAATACTGGGGTAAATGGCCTAATCACACCTATCACCCATCACCGGACAATTGGCGGTTTCCAATTTACACACTTTTCCTGGATCGGTTTGTCAATGGTGACCCAACCAACGACAACATCAATGGAACTCTCTTCGAGCATGACCTGAACTCAAACCAAATGCGACATGGTGGTGATATGGTGGGCTTGGTTGATACCTTAGATTATCTACAGGGAATGGGCATCAAGGTCAGGATCAGAGATAACATTGAGAAATAAGCAGATATTGATTCTTCGTTGGGTTTCAGGGAATCTATCTTGCCGGTTTGGTTTTAATGAATCAGCCATGGGGCTCGGATGGCTACTCGGCTCTTGACACGACCCTTCTAGATCAGCATTTTGGCACAATTCAAACTTGGAGAGATGCCATAACGGATATTCACAATCGCGGCATGTATGTCATTTTTGACAATACAGTTGCCACGTAAGTCAAAAAACCAAATCTCTCGAATATACAGACTTTGTAGACTAATTGGCTGACCTCATTATAGAATGGGAGACCTTATTGGCTTCGAAGGATACCTCAATACTACCACACCATTCTCGTTGAAAGAACACAAAGCGGAGTGGAAATCATCTCGACACTACGTTGATTTCCAATTTGGCAATACGTATAACCAAACCTGCGACTATCCTCGATTTTGGAACGAGACTGGTTTTCCAATAGATCCGTACGTTCGAGATGAACTGAAGGGATGTTATGACAGTGACTTCGATCAATATGGCGATATCGAAGCCTTTGGTGTCTTTCCCGATTGGCAACGTGAACTTGCAAAATTCGCATCTGTTCAAGATCGTCTACGTGAGTGGGTACCCAGTGTTAGAGAACGCCTCATCCGACATTCGTGCATGATCATTTCCTCGCTAGATATTGATGGCTTTCGCTACGATAAAGCGACGCAAGCTACTGTCGATGCGCTTGGTGACATTTCAAGTTCCTATCGAGAATGCGCACGTCGAGTTGGAAAAAAGAATTTCTTCCTCCCGGGAGAGATTACAGTAGGAAACAATCTCGGCTCTGTCTTCCTAGGCCGTGGTCGGCAACCTGATATGCTTCCGGAGACCCTTGATGAAGCATTCGCTCTAAAGAACTCATCTGAAGGCTACTTTATCCGCGAGGAAACTCAACAGGCAATTGACGGTGCCGCTTTCCATTATTCTATTTATCGCTCACTCACTCGATTCCTGGGAATGGATGGAAACCTTGCTGCTGGCTACGACATTCCCGTCAACTGGACAGAAGCCTGGTATGAGATAATCCTCACCAACGACATGATCAATGCCAACACCGGCAAATTCGATCCGCGGCATATGTATGGAGCAACAAATCAGGATGTCTTCCGCTGGCCAACCGTCTCACAGGGCATCGAGAGGCAGCTTCTGGCCCTGTTTATCACCACTCTTTACCTGCCTGGAATTCCACTTTTGCTTTGGGGAGAAGAGCAAGCATTCTACATTCTCGACGCTTCCGCTTCCAATTATATTTTTGGTCGACAGGCAATGTCAGCTGCTACGGCATGGAAGACTCATGGATGCTTCCAGCTGAATTCCACTCAATACTTTCACTGGCCGATTGAGTCGGGGCGGTTGGGGTGTCACGACGAATCAGCCACGTTTGATCACAGAGATCCATCACATCCAGTCCGCAATACCATCAAGCATATGTACCAAATGCGACAGAATTTCCCGGCATTAAACGACGGCTGGTGGATCCAATTGCTATCCAACCAAACGCACAATATCTACTACCCAGGTTCCAATGGCGTGCCGACTGAAACGGGCATGTGGTCAGTTCTGCGAAGTCCTTACTACCAAATGCAGGATCTTGGAGTGGCGGGAAACCAAACAGTCTGGTTGGTCTATCAAAATGACAACCGCACTGTCACTTACGATTTCGATTGTTCTGACCAAAACTTGGCTCTTGTGGCACCCTTTGATACATATACCATTGTCAAGAACCTCTTCTATCCTCATGATGAGTTCACTCTGAAAGACGGTCCCACCAAACTTCATTTGAATGGCTCTAAAGAGTTCAATTGGTGCCTTGACAGTATCACTATGGACCCTTATGAGTTCAGAGCCTACGTCCCGAAAGAAAAGTTTGTGCCTCCCCACCCGATGATCACTAAATTCACACCTGGGCATGATGCACCGGTACTATCTAAAGCTGCACCTGGAGAAAGCGAACCCCTCGAAGTTGGTCTCTATTTCAACACTGAGATGAACTGTACCCTTCTTACAGAGGTGATTACTCTAGAGTCAAGGACCGAGTCCGGAGAAGTTCCCTCAATTGACATGGACACGGTGGACTGTGGTTTCATCGATCCTGAGGCCCCCTCCTGGACTGGACAGATTCCTAGCATCTGGGGATGGTCGGCAACCTTGAATAACGTCTACAACGGTATTCACCGCTTGACCGTCAAGAATGCAACAAGCAGTGACGGCAAGTTTACAAATTCCATCGACCACTTCTTGGTACGGATCGGACAGCACGACAATCCCATGATATTCACCGCTGCCAACTACTCCAGCAGCCTACTTCACCAACGTCCTAATGGAGAGCTCTTCATTCGACAACATGCGGCAGGTGCAGACATGTATCGCTACTCAACCAACTGGGGAAGTTCATTTTCTCATTGGATCCCGTACGAAGGGGCAATCACACCATCCAAGAACAAGCTTGGTCCGGAACAAAAGCCCAGAGATGGAGCGGAAAACATGTTCGTGTTGAATACTGGAGCCGCTTTACGGGAAGCAGCGATTACGTTCAAGAAGGTGATGAACCCGGCTGGAAGATGCCACGCCGCTTCCCTCACCTCTTCTTCAATGGGCCTTTTAATGAATATGGCTACGATTCTGGGTTGGCAAACATCGTGAAACAAGACAGCGATGGCATTTGGAAATTCCGATTCATGGCAGAGTGGCCTGCCCAAGGTCAACTCAATGTTTGGGGTATTAACCCGGACGGACAACCGGATCAGAGCTATATTTACGGGGACTCTGACGGGGACTCAATCCTGGATCGTCTACCTCCGTCTTCGCTCAGCGTGACTACGATCAATATTACTCGGCATCCACCACACCCGCATTTGGCATGGAGAATCCAGCTTGATGACGCGACGATGAAGCTCAAGCTCATGCCTGCAGGCTCCCAATATACCCAAATCGCCTTGTTCGTTCTGTTATGGGTGATACCATTCCTTACAGCCTGTACCACTGCCTATGTGTTCAAGAAGACTTTTTACAGAATCAGATTCAACCAGGTCGGAGTGTCAGAGAAAAAAACACTCATCTCAATGGATGTCTTCAACATTTTTAAGCTGGACAAGGCCGAAAATGGGGAGTCCAAAAATCCTCTCATACGTCTGGCAACTAGATCAAAGTTTCTCCAGAGCAAATCTGCCTTCGGCAACCGCACATCAAACAGGCGAAAGGTCCTTGTTGCGACGATGGAATACGATCTTGCTGACTGGGGTATCAAGATCAAAATCGGTGGCTTGGGTGTCATGGCACAATTGATGAGCAAACAACTGGGACATCAAGATCTCATTTGGGTTATCCCATGTGTTGGCGGGGTTGATTACCATATAGACAAACCTGCCGACTCCATGTTCGTTATGATGCTCGGAAACTCATACGAAGTCAAGATTCAGTACCATTATGTGAAAAACATTACCTACGTGCTTCTGGATGCCCCGATCTTTCGCCAACAGTCCGCACTAGAGCCCTACCCGGCTCGAATGGACGATATGGACAGTGCTATTTACTACTCTGCGTGGAACCAATGCATTGCGCAAACTATGAAACGATTTACAATTGATTTGTATCATATCAATGATTACCATGGCTCACTTGCGCCTCTCTACCAGCTACCCGAGACTATTCCGGTCTGCCTGTCACTGCATAATGCCGAGTTCCAAGGACTATGGCCAATGCGGACGCAGAAGGAGAAGGCTGAGGTTTGCTCCGTCTTCAATCTTGATATGAGTGTAGTTACGCGTTATGTTCAATTCGGTGAAATTTTCAATCTGTTGCATGCCGGTGCCACGTACCTACGTCTTCATCAGCAGGGCTTTGGTGCCGTTGGGGTCTCCAAAAAATACGGAAAACGGTCTTATTCAAGATACCCTATCTTCTGGGGTCTTAGAAAGCTAGGAAATCTGCCAAATCCCGATCCCTCGGATACTGGCGAATGGAACAAGGACCTGCCTAAGGAGAACGATATTCGTGTCGACAGCGAATTCGAACTTCGCAGAGCTGTGCTTAAACGTCAAGCACAGGAATGGGCTGGCCTAGATCCAATCCCTAATGCCGATCTCCTCGTCTTCGTTGGAAGATGGTCAATGCAGAAGGGTATCGACCTTATTGCCGACGTGATGCCTGCTGTTCTCGAATCACGACCAAATGTCCAGCTAATCTGCATCGGGCCAGTCATTGACTTGTATGGAAAATTTGCAGCGCTTAAACTGGACCGTATGATGAACCTCTACCCGGGAAGAGTGTTCTCGAAACCACAGTTTACCGTGCTGCCACCATTTATTTTCTCTGGGGCTGAGTTCGCATTAATACCTTCGCGGGATGAGCCTTTTGGTCTGGTTGCCGTCGAATTTGGTCGCAAGGGTGCTCTTGGTATTGGTGCTCGAGTAGGCGGCTTGGGCCAAATGCCGGGATGGTGGTATACAGTCGAGTCAACGACCACATCGCATCTCCTCAAGCAGTTCAAGCTCGCCATTGACAATGCTTTGAGTTCCAAGCCTGATGTACGAGCAATGATGCGTGCGCGGTCCGCCTTACAGCGCTTCCCTGTTGCGCAATGGATTGAAGATTTGGAGGTTCTTCAGTCGACAGCTATTCGAATTCACAACAAGGAACGTGCGAAAACTCAGGCACAGCCGTCTGCAGCAGCTTCTGCATACAATGCAATCTACGGAATGATGACTACACAGGTTGCAACGAGGTCCAATGCTTCAACTAGTACTCTCACGCCGCCGCTACACTCACCTACTCGGTTTGGGACGGTTGCATCCTTGCAGCATAGCTCCCTCTATAGCCGTGACCCGAGTCCCGGCAGTGATATCCGTCCCAAATCTGGATTGAGTCGACAGATGCCCTTCGACGTTAGGCCAGTGTCTGCTCCTTTGGATGGTCGGGGACGACGAGATCCTGGAAAAAGCAGTGTTAGCGATGTTGAAGAAGGTGCAGAACGAGCAGCTCCTGATATCTATGATGACAGTGATGATGAAATGATGTCCACCTGCTACGGCGATGATGAGTATCCAATGGATCCTGATGCTGATGGTAGACGTCGAATGGAAGGTCCCTTGCAGCCATCCCAGTCACTTATCCCCTTGACACGAGAAATTCTCGCTGCACGGCACGCAAGTCAAGGCTCTCTCTTGCCTCGACCAATCAATACGCCTTCCAGCTCTACTGCGCCTAGCACAGTGGGTACCGACGATACTCTTCTTCCTCCACAGCGTCCTTGGGCCGAGCCTGGAAATCGTCTCAGCAGCGCCTCACAGCTATCCGTTGACTCAGTTGTGGGAGACAAGAGAGACTATAAACTGCAAAAAGTCGATCCCTTCTTCACAGATAGCAATGGCGAGTACTACAACGCCTTCGAAAAGAAATTGGAAGGCCTCAGCGGTACAAATTCAGACTCACAGCTATGCATCGAGCAATATCTAGAGAAGAGCGAAAAGAAATGGTTTGACAAGTTCCGAGATGCGCGCTTGGGACGTAATCAGTCTCCGGCTCCTTCAATGCGATTCGGCAAGAGTGGAGGGTCCTCTCCTCCAGGGTCCATCACTAACGACGACGCTACATCTCATGAGAGCGGTGGCCAAGAGAGAAAAGAGGCAGACGACGAGTTCCAGCTAGGAGAGAATTACGTTCCGCCAACAGGGCTGAAGAAATGGATGCAGATGCGCGTTGGAGACTGGCCGGTGTACTCCCTGTTCTTAGGTCTCGGCCAGATCATCGCTGCTAATTCCTACCAAATTACACTGCTCACAGGTGAGGTTGGTCAGACAGCGGCGAAACTATATGGAATCGCCACTGTGTACTTGGTCACATCTATCCTCTGGTGGTTCTTCTTCCGATTCTACAAATCCGTGCTTGTCCTGGCCGTCCCGTGGTTCCTATACGGATCCGCCTTTTTGGTCATCGGTCTTGCTCACTACGAGCCTAATTCCTTCATCCGGGGGTGGATCCAAAACATTGGAAGCGGTATCTATGCTGCGGCATCTTCGAGCGGTTCTATCTTCTTTGCCCTCAATTTTGGCGATGAGAGCGGTGCTCCCGTGAAGCAGTGGGTGTTCCGTGCTTGTCTTATTCAGGGCACACAGCAAGCATATGTCATCGCCCTGTGGTATTGGGGTTCAACTCTGACAAAGGCGACGAATGCTGGTATTTCTAACGTGCAAAGCAGCATTACCAATACCTGGAGGATGACGTGAGTTCTCTTCACGAACCCCTTTTTGTTAAGTCATTGAGTAACACTGGCTACAGAGCAATTTGCGCTCCCATTGCGGTTTTCCTGTGGATAATTGGTCTGATTGTCTACTTCGGCTTGCCAAATTACTACCGTCAGACGCCCGGCAAAGTTCCATCTTTCTACAAGTCGGTCTTCCGACGGAAGATTGTGCTTTGGAATTGGGTGGTTGTCATTCTCCAGAACTTCTTCTTGAGCGCGCCCTACGGTCGAAACTGGAACTGTAAGTGGAACTTTGGACTATTCCCGAACATGAGCACTAATACCACTATAGTTCTCTGGATCTCCAATCATGCTAAACCCTGGCAGATCTTGTGCCTCTGCGTTGCCTTCTTCGGCTTCGTCTGGATAGCTGTGCTTTGCCTCATGGCCCGCATATCAAAGTCACACAGTTGGATCTTACCGATAGTAGCATGTGGCCTCGGCGCACCCCGATGGGCCCAGATATGGTGGGGAACATCCGGCACCGGCCTGTTCCTTCCATGGGCAGGTAGCTATGTATCTGGTGCTTTGGTTTCCCGAAGTCTGTGGCTATGGCTAGGTGTCCTGGATGCGCTGCAGGGTCTCGGTTTTGGCATGATCCTTCTGCAGACCTTGACGCGTATGCACATTTGCTTCACACTGTTTGTCTCGCAGGTTCTTGGTTCTCTTGCCACTATATGTGCGAGATCTTTCGCCCCGAATAAGATCGGACCAGGTCCTATCTCCCCAGATATCACGGCTGGTGTTAGCGCGTTGGGTAACGCTTGGTTCTGGATTGCGCTCGTCTTTCAGCTTTCGATTTGGTAAGTCTCTTCAGCTGGTCGGAGAAGCCTTCGTGCTAATGTCATTTGAAATACAGCGGTGGCTTCCTTCTTTTTTTCCGCCGCGAGCAGCTGTCAAAGCCTTAGATGAAACTTGAGGGGGATCTCTTTTGTTTGAAATTGGTTGAACAGGACGTGACTTAATGGGGCTATTATGGCTAAGCTCTTACTTTCTTTAGGCACATTACTTTCCTATATCTGGTTATTCTTGTCATTTGGTTTCCATCGAGTTTCTAATGTAATGACCTCGCATCTCACGCTAAGACTGAAACCGGAGGTCAAAGGCATGCGCTGATACTCTACTACACTACAGCAAGAAAAATTGGAATTCATAATTCATTCTCATTGAAATTCGTAGACCACTGAAAACAAATCCAAAAGTAGATAGGTCCCGAAATATGCAGAGCAAACTGTCAAAGGGGGAATATAGTTTTCTCAAACAGGGAAGCTTTTCAACACAAAACAAAGCTTCTATTACCGTATTCAATGCGATCCTCCAAGGCGCCCAACCCAAAAACCACGAGATTAACTTTACCACTCGAGGGGCTCGTTCTTCACATCACCGCGGTTGGTCTTGGGCACAGGGGCGGCATCGATCCGGGTAGCGCCGCGGTTGCCACGGCGGAGGTAACCACTGCCGTCCAACCAGGGAGTCTCGAGGCTGCGCTTGGTCTCGAAGGTGCGGATCTTGCTCTCCATCTGTAGGGTCAGACCAATGTCATCCAGGCCGTTGACGAGACAATGCTTGCGGAAGCTGTCGACTTCGAAGGAAGCGATCTTGTTGCCCTGGGAGTCCTTGATCTCTTGATTAACAAGGTCGACCTCGACTTCGCGGCCGGCGCGGGCCTCATCAGCAATCTTGGCCAGGGCGGTCTCATCCGAGATAGGCACGGGAAGCATGCCATTCTTGAAGGTGTTGTTGAAGAAAATATCGGCAAAAGAGGGGGCGATGATGCACTTGATACCGAAGTCAAGCAAAGCCCAAGGGGCGTGCTCACGAGAGCTACCGCAGCCGAAATTGGGGCCAGTGACGACGAGGATCTTGGAGTCACGGTAGATACCCTGGTTCAGGATGAAATCTGGATTCTCCTTACCGGTGGCAGGGTCGTAGCGGAGCTCGTAGAAAGCGGCGACACCCAGACCAGTACGTTTGATGGTCTTTAGGAACTGCTTGGGGATGATGGCGTCGGTGTCGACGTTGGAGCGGTCCAGAGGGGCGGCAATACCCTTCAAGGTAGTGAACTTGGGGAGTCCGGTGCTGCTGCCACCAACGGCGGAAGTGTTGGTGTGGGGCTCGTTATCGGCGGGTAGGTCGAGAACCCGGTCAAGCTCATCCTCCGTCTCCGGGGAGTCGGCCTGGACTTGCGCATCGATCACGGGCTGAACCTTGGCAGTGACGGGGCTGGCGACGACATGCTCACGGACGTCGGCAAGCCTCCCAACAATGGCGGCAGTGGCGGCCATGGCAGGAGACATGAGGTGAGTGCGGCCCTGGGCACCCTGGCGACCCTCGAAGTTGCGGTTGGAGGTACTGGCGCAGCGCTCCTTGGGAGAGAGGATATCAGGGTTCATACCCAGACACATGGAGCAACCAGCCTCACGCCACTCGAAGCCAGCATCGGTGAAAATCTTGTCCAGACCCTCGGCCTCAGCCTGCTCCTTAACCAGACCCGAACCGGGAACAATCATGGCGCGCAGGATGTTATCAGCAACCTTCTTCCCGTTGACAACCTTGGCAGCGGCCCGGAGATCCTCAATACGGGCATTTGTGCAAGATCCGATGAAGACCTTGTCCACGGGGATCTCCTTCATGGGTGTACCGGAAGTGAGACCCATGTACTCAAGAGCTCGCTTGCAGGCGAGCTTGCGGCTCTCGTCCTCGAAATCATCAGGGCTGGGAACAACGCCGTTGATGGGGACCACATCCTGAGGGGAAGTACCCCAGGAGATGGTAGGGATAATGTCCTTGCCATCGAGGAAGATCTCGGTGTCGAACTTGGCACCGGGGTCGGTCTTCAGGGTAGACCAGTAGTTGACGGCCTTGTTCCACTCGGCGCTGCCGTACTTGGGAGCCAGAGGACGTCCCTTGAGGTACTCGAAAGTGATCTCGTCGGGCGCAATCATGCCTGCACGAGCACCACCCTCAATGGACATGTTGCACATAGACATACGGGCTTCCATGCTGAGGCCGCGGATGACGGATCCACAGAACTCAATGACAGCGCCGGTGCCACCAGCGGTTCCAATGACACCAATGATGTGGAGAACAACGTCCTTGCTGGTAACACCGGGGGGGAGCTCGCCGTCAACCTGGATGCGCATGTTCTTGCTTCGGCGAGTAAGGAGGGTCTGGGTAGCGAGGACGTGCTCGACTTCACTGGTACCGATACCAAAGGCTAGGGATCCGAAGGCACCGTGGGTAGAGGTGTGGCTGTCACCGCAGACCACCGTTGTTCCGGGCAGAGTGAACCCCTGCTCGGGGCCGATAATGTGGACAATACCCTGACGCTTGTCGCCCATACCAAAGTAGGTGAGGCCGAAGTTCTTAACATTCTCTTCGAGGGTGGTACACTGCAGACGCGAGTCGTTCTCCTTGATGAAATCCGAGGCGTTCTTGAAGTTCTTGCGGGAGGAAGTGGGGATGTTCTACAGGAGAGAAGATAGTGGTTAGCTGCGAATTCTCAACGGATCTCAAGACCTTCACATACGTGGTCGACGGTCACCAGAGTGCAGTCCGGCCGGCGGACCTTGCGGCTGGCCTTTGTAAGACCCTCGAAAGCTTGAGGAGAGGTCACCTCGTGGACGAGATGCCGATCTGTTTTCAAGTGTTAAAGAATAACCATGAGCCCCAGGGCATTTCGGCATACCGATATAGAGCAGGCAGGTGCCATCTTCCTGCTCGTTGACAATGTGGTCAGCGAAGACCTTGTCATACAAGGTCCTTGGTTTTGACTCTGCGGAAGGCATGTTGTACAGATAATTCAAAATGAAGTGCAGCCTTTGAGGATTGGGAATAGCAGAATCAACTTATATTTTGCTGCGCGCGCGATGTCGCTGGGGAGCTTCTCGAGGGGCAACGCCGATCTCGGTCGGTCAGCGGCCAATATTCGTGCGATCATTGGTTGAAATGGCGAAACCAACGGTGGCCGATATCGGCGAGCGACAAAAATGTGACGGCGGGTAGTGGCGCTTGTGGGCGGGTCGCGACTCTGCTTGACTCTACCACAGTACAGTGTAGATGGGTCTGGAAAGTTTGAAAATTCGAACAATTCACAAAGAGTGTGAATAGCTACTGCTGTAATGCCTCTAATTCACACTACCCACAGCTAGGGCACTATCTGAGTTGATTTGGCTTCTGTATAGAATAGCATCCGCAACTGGATGTCCCATGACGTAGACGACCGGTTCCGGGGTCAATTCTAAGATTGCACCTAGGCCGACCACTGATTGGCCTCGGCCGCCGGAGACCGATCGGCCCCCCGCCTGAAGATTTGTGCCTTGAGGGGCCGTGTACATACATACAAGGCAGGATGTGGAGGGGATGTGCGTTATTCGTGTGGAACTCATTAGCAATACTCTGTGTTGATTTGTTCCTATGTGTCAATTGTTCTTTGACTCGGTACCCAGGTGAACTGCATACATTCAATCACATGAGTGGTCACACATTTCCAAAGTGCTCAGAGATCTATACACTCTAACGTTGAAAACTAGATACTTGGATAAATCCGATAGGTCGCTAAGCGACCTAGAGATATAAGTGTGATTTTCATACACTGTGATTTTCCTTTCCTGTTTTCTAAACATTGGAGAACAGACGGTCGATATAAGCCTTTCGACAAGTCTTTATTCTCTTAATTGTATTCAAACCTCAAATAAGTCTAGAAAGTCCAAGTAGATATAATTTGCCCCAAACACCAAAGTCTAAGCGCATCACATTATTTATACTCTTGAAGAAAGGCTCTGAGACCAACCACAATTCTTTTCCCAGATGCCGATCCACTCCGCAATACCTCCAATGCCGCATTGATACCTTCCAATCCCCCCTCTGCTTGGATAATTTCCGGTAGGGTCAAGATTTTTGTCAGGGGCAGATCTTCCAACCAGGTCACCAAAACCTCACCAACGGCAGGTGCAGTGTGGAACAACTTTATCGGTACAGTGTGGCACTGGATGACTGGGACTTGATCTTTGGGTAGCCCTGTAAGGTCCAGGAGATGAGAATGGCCAGAAGTATCAAGTGTCTTCTGAAGGAGTGTAGCTGTATCTTTGCCGACAATGTCCATCGCGTAGCGCAGTTTACCACCAGTAACTCCGCGAATGATCTCTACCGCTCGATCGGTATCGTATCGATCAACGAGCAGATCGGCGCCGGACTGCAGAAGTTTATGTCCGAATCGCTGGTTTGTTGTGAGGAACCGAATCCGCTGCCCAGGCCGTTAGCGTATGTTTCTGTCGCGTGTTCTGTTGCAACGACTTGTTGAAGTTAACATCGGCCTCTCTTTAGTGCGGTCTGAGCAGTGTATCGATTATGGCTTCCGTCGGAAACATCTATCTCAATTTCGGGCTACGGGCAATTTCCATTTTTCCCGCGTGGCTGATCGTCCGACAGGTTGGACGTGCTTTTGGGGATAAGAAGATTGGCAGGGAAACTCGTGCCTTGCGTGACACGTCTGACAATGAGTGATTGATGACACTGATAGATAACTAGAAGAAAATTATCGTTTATGAGCGGTTATGTATGAACAATCTAACCTTTCCAAACGCATCCGCATTTGACCTCGCCTAAGGCAGCCATGAATATGTACAAAGAAGTGATAGGGATATCGACAACTGCCTGTCCCTTTACACCCGTCGGATCAACGGGCAGCTAGCTATGCCATGGGTTGAATAGCTCTATGCCAAGGTTATCCTGGTTGAACACCAATAAGGCGAGGCGATGTCGCACGAACAGACCAAACATTCCACAGAATATCTGAACTGTGACCATATGCCAGGCAAGTCTATCTTCTCTCATCGGCCCCAACCAGACGAGCCAAAGATTCAAGATCGTCAGGTTTGAAGACTCGACAATATCACCATCCTCGTTCTTTTTCACGCGCACTAACCGCAGTGTATTTAGAAGGTTTAGTGCCGTGGCAACCAATGGCGATGGGGGAATGGTCCATTCTGTGACGGAGGCATCAAGGAGGCCCGTGGAAGCGTTGAATTTTGGTAGCCGGTGACGCGGGCAAGGAATTATGTGGAACAATTGTGGCGTCGAGTAGAGGAAGTTGAAGATCTGCGGGACAAACAGAAGCATGAGAGTCTTGCTGAAATGCCCCAAAATGCCCACAACCGCAAACACCATGCCCGCAAAGTAACAGTAGGTATCACCCACGAATACTTTGGAGGGGTACCAGTTGTGGCACAGTAGGGCCGCTGAAACACCAATAAATGGCAACAGAAAGTAGATAGAGAACAAGTGGGAGTCAGTGGCCGGGTGTGGATATGGTGTAATAGGCGCCAGGTACATCGCATCGTTGAACAACAGCAGAACCGCAATCACGAGCGACTGAGCCACCTCAATGCCATTGATACCCGCCAGCATGTTGATGGCATTAGGGCAGAAGATCGCCACGGCAGCCATATACATGTAGTACAACCATCCAAGGTCGATAAAATCACCAAGGTACCGTTGCAGCGGGACTGGCACGACGACCTGTGTTACGCCAAAGTCGACAAAGTACACGATGAGCATTGGGATTGAGGCAAAGGCCGGAATCAAGACTTTGTGTCTCCAACGAATATCAAGCAGGTCGTCTCCAATTCCAAGGATGACGATGGACTGCAAGGACAGAAGACCCGACAGGTACGATGCCAGCTGCCATGAGAGACAATTAGCTTAATGCTGAGCAGCCAAACAGCAGACGAACAAACCTTTCCATGAGGGAACCTATGTAGGTACCGCCCAGTCTCAATGTGTTGGTCCTCGATCACCACGTCGCGATTACCTCCACCAGACGTGGCCGCGACGATGTCTTTGTAAAAGGCAAATGGGATGAAGACAATAAGCGAGATAAGATATACCACTGCGCAGACGGCCCCCATTGTTTCAGGGCTGGAGCAAATATTAGCCCTTGATATTCATGCCATCGACGGCTAATGACGCGTATACTTACATTTCAGGCTTTCTCGGTTTGGCCATGTCCTTGCCCTTCAGGCCGGCCTTTATGAATACTGGCCCGAGCCATCGAATCATGCTGAATGTGATTGCAAATGCAATTCCAGCCATAGCAATTGAGGCAATCAGAGGCGCGCCATCGCCCTGGAACGTGTTGACCAGAATGCCGATTCCGGCCCCCACCAAAAGCAGAAGACGCCAAGTCTCCGCACGAGAGAGGTCGCTTGAAGTTTGCATGGCGAGCAATTGGCACCGACGCCAGGTTTGAGGATTAGAAACGGGACAAACAAATCACAGGCGAATTGAACAATATCTCAAAAGGAGTAAGAGCTTACGCAACCTGGCATCAAGCCGAAAACAACACGATAAGCTTATCGATTCTGCCCGTGGTGACACACCGCTTTGCGGGCGGCGAGATCGTGTCCCGTGATGATGGCGGCTTAGAATGGAAAGCCGCAGGGACGCTGAGACACCTCTGTTTCATGTCACAGCATGCATACGTGTGGGTAAACCGCATCATTGGCCCATTGACGGATTACCCTGGTTTTACCTAGCCAAGTCAAAGATCTGATCTCGATGGGGGCAGTGGAGCACCCCGAGATGGCTGGCGGCTTTGCTGACTTCGACGCTGGCCACCGAGATCTGGTATCTGTCACCAAGTTCAACTTTTACGGAAACCGCATTGTCACGGCCTCGTCCGATCATCGTATGAAAGTTTGGGACTTGAAAGATGGTCAATGGCAGCTGACGGATACCTGGCGAGCCCACGACGCGGAGATTCGCGATGTAAGACCCAAAAACATACCGCGTGGCTGAATATAGGCTAAACTACTGTTCCAGGCCACATGGAACGGACCCTTCTCGGGTCAACATATCGGCAGCGTGGGTGAGGACATGAAGTTCAAAATCTGGCAGGAAGATGTCACGCAGCCGCCCAACTCGGGCCGTCGGTTTAGGTCCATCTTCCGCATGACGGCACCTCAGAGACACCCGTTCGTGTCCTTGGACTTTAGAAATATTGACCTGGAGTCATGGCTTGCTCTGATCACGCGTGATGGCTACTTGATGGTCATGGAACCTGTCAGCCCAGACAGTCTGGCGGATTGGCAGACCCTTGATCAGTTTCGTGTGTGCCCTGCGCCAGAACGCGGCGAGGAAACAAGCTTTAGGGTCCAGTTTCACCATGACCCCACCGACATCACACACACCCTTCTGCCGGACTCCGATCCAAAGAGCCTCTCGCTGGTTGTGGCGGCCATGGACACAGTCAAGGTATATCGCACTGATGCAAATCGTCGCTTCTACCATGCCATTGAATTGAATGGGCACGGTGGTCTCGTCAGGGATATCTCCTGGGCGAATGGATCTGTCCGAGGCTACGATCTTATTGCGAGTGGGGGTAAAGACGGCTTGGTCCGCATCTTCGAGGTTTATACAATACCTATGAATCAGGGATCCCACAACCCCAACTCTCGAAAGGAAGATCGACGCCAACAGCAATCATCATTACGAGCAACGTCGCAATCCGGCATCGGTTCTGCTCTCGCAACCCGCGTACCTTCTTCGCCTTCCAACCGTCCAGCAAGTGGAGACTCCCAATTTCGGCACTCCTTCAAGCAGGTAGCTTGTATCGACAGTAATCACCTGGACGTGTGGCAAGTAGAGTTCTCTTTCGCAGGTAAGTTGTAGTCTTTCAGTTACTGCTATATGCGCTAACACTGTCTCTCTAGGCGATTCTCTTATTTCCTCTGGCGACGATGGCGTTGTTCGATTCTGGAAGAAATCGTTGACCGGCGAGTGGCTCGAGTTTGCGGAGACGGATATGGGCTCTCAATGAGGTGTATCTACTTCCTATTTCTTCTACACCAAGACCCCTTCCTGTTCTACCATTTCTTGTCCCTTCTGCCAGTTAGTTCAAATGATACCCTTTCACTTCATTTTAATGCCTTTAATATTAACATTCTACTATTGCACCATCACTAGATTATATTGGATCGAGTTCTGTTGCGGCAGTTCCAAATATGCGATGCGGCAGGTGCGATTGCGGTCCCAGAGCGCAATCTTGTTGGATTCCTTCAGTCAATGATTATGAGCATCACGATATCCTTCGGCCTGTTGACGGTCGCCACTCTTTTACCATACTTATCTATATGGATAGCGCACATGGCCGTGGGTCCTACATTCGGGACTGGGGTATTCATCGGTGCCGGCCAGGCCCTGGCCATCGGCGGCCCGGCCTCACTGCTCATTTCCTACATATTCCTATCGCTGTTAACCTACTTCATGGCCACGACTGCCGCTGAAGTCGCCACTTATACACCCTCTCAACACGGTACTTTGGTCACAAATGTTTTCCGATACATGACGCCTAGTATGGGGGTCGCTGCCGGTTTTCTTCGCTGGTATACTCTGGCCATGTTCGTTCCTTACGAGATTACGACTGCAATGGTGAATCTCGGCTTGTGGAATCCAGGCGCTACGGTTGCCATCCGGCTGTCTATCATCACGGCCATTGTCCTTGGCTTCAACTACCTCCCCGAACGATTCTTCAGAAGGTCTGAGCAGCTGTTCACCAAAATCAAGATCGGCACAACGATCTGTCTTCTCGTTCTGTCTCTGTCTATCGGGATTGGAGGCGCTACTGGACACGACAAGTGGGGATTCCAGTACTGGACAAAACCTGGTGCGATGCACGAATACTTGGTTAAGGGCGCAATGGGAAAATGCTTGGGGTTGCTGCAGTGTCTTCTCACCAGTTCCGTGGCCTTCACCCTCGCCCCCGAAATGATCGTTCATCGTGCCGAATCTCCTCAAGCACCAAGCGAGTCAGAAGTCACCGAAAACTTGAATCCGGATATTCAATCTGGGCTGCCACAACAGGTCGCCGTTGACGTCGCCACTACCGTCTTTCCGTATATCCTGAGTTCGCTGGCCATGGGCGTGATGGCCCCATACGACGATCCTCTGCTAACGAACAACGGAGCTGGAGCTGGCTTATCTCCATTCGTAATTGGGCTCAACACGGCGAAAGTTCATATTGTCCCAGTCATGGCAACCATATCAATCCTTCTATCCTCGGTCGCCTCTGGTCGATCGTTTCTTTTCCTGGCTTCACATACACTGGTTGCCATGTCGGAACTTGGCCATGGGCCCAAAATTTTCCAAGCTCGCAATAAATATGGCGTGCGTTTTGTGGCCGTCACGGCTTCCGCTCTGCCTGCCCTTCTCGCATTTATATCCGTTGCGATTTCCAGCTCGACCGTGGCGAACTACTTTGTTCTCTTCATCACCAGCTCCGGCTTCGCATCCTGGCTCATTTCGGGCGCCGTCTATGTCTACTACCGAAGGCACATCAGATTGCGCGGAATTACCAGCGTATATCGATTTGGCATCCAACCGTTCGGCACATACTTTGGACTTGCTGCCAGTGCTGCCCTCATCATGGCCAATGGGATGACCGGCGCACTCCCAGATCCTCGGCCTGGAACAAAAGGTGGCAGGCTCGTCGCTGCTTATATCACTTTCCCCATGTTCGCTTTTGTATATCTCTCCCATCGCTTTCAGGATCTGATTCCTTACCGCACTCACGAGAGGGAAGAGTATCTGCGCGAAAGTGACCCCGATCATCTCACGGCACGCTATCCCAGCCGTCAGGACCAGGAGAACAGGCGGGGTTCATCAAATAATGCATCAGCACTCGAGATGGATCAAGTCTGGTCATTGGCCGTGGAAGCGTGAATGATGTCGAGTCTGGGCAGCGGGTGCAGTGGTGCATAGAAGATGCTCAGCAGGGTTAAAGCAGTAGATGTGGGATGGGTTCCATGTATCTGTAGAGTTTGGACTGCAGCGTGTATTCTTCTTATCCCTATTTATACTACTTTCTGTTGTCGCGGGCGCTGCTTGTCACCGCTGTCTGGAAATTCCCGAGTACGTTCAAGGTGGTACAGACTTCCCCACAACAACACTTCCACCCTTACCACCATACCACCCTCAAATATTTCTTCTGGTCGTGACAGACTCTCTTTGAACATCTGTTGATCTGCATCTTTGATACCCCACGTTCTCCGTTGTTTCGTATCGGCGCTTGTGCTACGTTGTGCATCACTGGGGGTTGGAGGGCCTCGCGTCCACAATTCAAACCGACACGTCCAGATAAGAGATGTCAGACCACGCTGAAATGTGATTGCCAGTCACAGCGCTGTTTATGAAGTGGGAGGTAAGCGATACTGCTAGCGGGCGGGCCGAACGCGGGTGGGCCATACAGTATCATTACTCCGTGTCCGCCTGGTGATCGACTAACGGTTTGATTTGATTAGCCCTGTTCCTTGCGCACCAGCGTCCTCTATAGTGGCAAAAAAAGGCCACCAAATCACGGTTGGGATAATAATATCGCACACCAGCTGAGGATCCCCCAAGCATCCCCCCCTTTTACCACGAACCTTGGGCATTTCTTCCCCTCCCAACCGCTCCCAAGCTCCCAGGTTTCTTGAGTTCCCACATCCGGTGCTATGTACTACACCTATGGCTTGAGGAATTTTTCTACCTTACACCTGGACCAAAATGACCTTTCGGGCCCCCTCCCCTCGCGACATCTGCGCCACGCTCCCCCCTACCCTGCCCCATCTACTCTTCCTCCCGCTGATCTACCTTCTTCCCATGGACCACGTTCCGCTCTATACTCTTTGCTTCAACCCTATCTTGCACTTTCCCCCCTGACCCCGTGGGCGGAATTTCCCCCCTTTCATAAATCTTCTGTCGGCACCTGCTACCCGCATCTCACCCTATCTGCTCCTTACATGGCTTGTTTCCCCTGGATATTTGGCCTCACGGAATGCTTCTGGCCAGTCTTTGCTCTTCCAGGGCTCTCTACTTACAGAACAGCTTCTTTGAAGGCCCTGGATAACCAACCATATCCATATCCCTTCATCTGTGCTTCCTAACAATAACCTGTCCTCTATCGGGTCACAGTGGTACCTATGTATCTCACAGGTCACCCAGTCACACTGCCTGGGGGTGCATGGAAACCCGGATGTGCTTCGGAACCTGCTCGAACCGGGATGCAACGATCAGGATGAATCACATTGTTATATTGATACTAACGTTATTCTAGATGCTAACCTACTAACAAAGGAACCCCCTCCACATCGTTATTCGCCGTGCTATCGTACCCTTTTCCCATTCACTCCCCTAAGCATTTCTGGCCCGTGACTCCCCACCGGACGAGGTCTTCCCGACGCTGGTCCCTTTTGGGGCTAGCGTACTTTACCATTACCATTACCGTACCCCGGTCAGGTGATCCCCAGCATGCCCGGTTTTTTGTTTTCGGGTCGACCCTCTGCCCCCGTCGCAGGCTCAGCGCGACTCGGTCGGCGCTAGTCCTCTTTCGCTCCTCCTTGTTCGGGGCCCATTCGCTGCCTTAGGCCCGCCTCTCCTCCTCCAACTCGAATCACCCTCTTTTTCCTCTCCTTTTCTTTCTGCGCGTTTCCTATCTCCCTCAGATTCCCTCCATTTCATTTATTTCCGTTTCCTCCGTTCTCCTCACCATCTTGACACCTCGTCCTCTCCAACTTCCTCCCTCCACGCGATCCCGTCGCTCACCCTTTTCGCCCTCGACTCGCCCTCCTCCCTAGTCGATTCTGACGGTTTCTCACGCAATCGCGCCGGTTCACCACCCTTATCTCGAATCGCCTCGGTTCCTATTACCTAGTACACGCTTTCTCGCGTGTACTTTCGCCACCCTCCTCCTTCCACCCTTCTGGATACGGGGCTGGCGCATTCGGCCAGGATTTTCCACCTTCACCCATCCGCCCTCAACCATCCAGCAGCCATCGGGATCGATCCGGTTCTTCAGTAAAAGGGTGTCTGTGGCGGTGACTCGCATGCTGGTTTCGCTTGGGCCGTAATCGTCGACTTCCCCTCGCTGAGTGGTCTCCCGTCCGAACGCGTCTGGCTTTGACAAGGTGGGACTTACAGCGAATAACCTGCGAAAGCGGTCGTTGACATGCCCGTTGAATGGTGACGGCTCGGACACGCCATCCTCATACCCAAATACACCATTTTGCCGTTTCCCGAGAGGGGGTAATCTGTCAGACTATGACAGATACCTCCTCCCTCGCCATCACGCACGCCACAACGGATCCGTATCCGGTTCCCGCTCCTCCAGGCTCACCTCTCGCCAACGGCGCCATCTCAGACTCAGTCGCCCCCGACGAAGAAGAGCCGTACACCATCAAGTGTATCTGTCAGTTTGACGAAGATGATGGTAGCACGGTATTCTGCGAAGGGTGTGAGACGTGGCAGCACATCATCTGTTACTACCCAGACAAGCGGGTACCTGATGTGCACAACTGCGTTGACTGTGAGCCTAGGCCGTTGGACCACCGCCGCGCTGTCGAGCGCCAGCGGCAAAAGAGAGTCAAAGAGCAGAGCGAGGACGGGGACCGGAAAAAGCGACCGAGTGCGAAGGCTCCAAAGAAGAAGGGCAAGGAGGGCGATGTGAATGGATTTGGTTATCAGCGAAGCGAGTCAGGGGCGCGCGATCAGCCCCCGGCCAAGAAGACCAAGACTTCCCATCGCTCATCCGCGTCCGTCAGCGCCTTAACTGGTACACCGACCCTCCCCTCGGAGACCCGAAAACGACGTTCCTCTACCTCCCTCGCTCCTAGTCCCACGAAATCTTCCGGCCCTTCCATCCCGCTGTATTCCAACGAATTCCTTCACCTCTACGACCGAGACGATGAACATGTGGACATGGACAGTAATCTATTTGTTAATGTGAGTCTAGTGGGCGATACCGCTTCGTGGGTCAAGGATCCGGAGGCTCTAGCGCGCGTCACCAATGGGCGCGCCGAGAATACGTTCAACTGGTCGGATGCAGCCTTGGATCGTTCGCGTTGGCCAGCCTTGACCACCGACGTTATCACGGACTCCAGCCTCGAGATTGGCGGGACGAATCCGACCTGGAAAATCGTGAAGACCCAGGACGCTGTGCAGAAAGATCAAATCGTGGGGGAGATCACCGGCAAGGTCGGCATTTTTGACGATTACTGTCTTGATCCCAACAATCGTTGGCCGGAGCTGCGGCATCCAGAACCATTCGTCTTCTTCAGCTCACACCTCCCCCTCTACATTGACAGCCGCCACGAAGGGAGTGTCCTCCGCTACACCCGTCGGTCATGTCGTCCCAACGTCACAATGAAAATATTCATCACCAACGATGTCGAGTACCACTTTTGTTTCGTTGCCAAGGAGGATATCCCTGCCAACTCCGAGATTACAATCATGTGGTATCTCGATGCTCAGTTGTCCGAGTCATCGAATGGTTTGGTGAAGCAGGAGTCTGGCGACAGTGCGACCGAGGCTGCGGCCATTTGCATTAGTAACACACTCGCCAATTTTGGAGGCTGTGCGTGTGAATCGCCTCAAAACTGTCTGCTCGCGAATTTGGATCGCCGACGGCATCCTAAACTACCCGAGTCTAGTGCCAAACTGACCAACGGTAAGCGGAAAAAGGCCAAGACCAAGTCAACCGCATCGCCACGAGACATGAGTCGCGCATCCATGAGTCGCGCGGGAAGTGAGACAACGAAGCATCCGGAGGATGATGATATCGCTGCGGAATCTCGATCCACGTCGGGTTCTGCTCGTGGACAACCCCGTAGCCGGGACATGAGTCCTGTGCTCCCGGAGTTGTCCACCCGTGAAAAGCGCAAGATTGCGGACGCTGAAAAGCACTTCCAGCAACTGGAACAGCAAGAGCATCGCCCTACGACGCAAAAGAAAAAGAAACGCCTTAGCGGGCCATCAGCGCAATCACCAGATGGAGTGGTAAGCTCCACACAAACCGGATACTTTCCCTCTCAGCCGCGGTCAGCAAAGTCACTCCGTCTTGATACTGCCGGCCACTCTCGCTCTCCCACTACGGCCCTATCACCTAGGTCTTTCCTCGTCGGTCGTCATGGATCACCTCGGAAGACCTCCGGATCTAATACACCTTTTACCCGCTCTCCTCTCAACCGCCCCACGTACGTGGACGCCGCGATCCAAGCGGATCTCAGTGATCTTGATGAACCGTCAATTCCCGGCCCATCACCACGCACTCGTTCCGTGTTCGTCCCGATGACACTGCGGCTCCTGAAGCGGTTCAGCATGGATCGGATGAGGTCTGAAGAGGTTGCGCGACAGCAGTTATCTTCAGCAGGCTCTGATAGCGTGGCCCCGGCAGGATCTTCGTCTCCTGCCACGGTCCGATCTCCTATTGTTGGTCACGACAAGTCTGACTTCACTATGGCCGACGCGGACAACTTGCAGAAGCCCTCGACGCCGGTCGGCCCTGGTGATGTAGAGATGCAGGATGCTTCTACCAATGCCGAGTCTGATTCGCTCCGAGGTAATCAGGATCCCAGCAAGCCGCCCGTTCCTCCTCCGTGGCCATCGACTCTCGCCCACAACACCCGGCTTCCAGGGTCTATCACGCCAGTTGACCACGGCAACCTCCGCGTCACTATGCCCCCTCCATCCAATATCCCCACAGTTCCTCCTCTCGCGGCCAGCCCTGGAGCTGCGTCCAACGCAAGTCTCCCGTCTCCCATCACATTCGATATATCTCATCATGCCACTGTGCCCCCGCCCGTCTCGGCTGCACCAATATCAACCCCTGCCAAGAAGAAGCTCAGCCTCGGTGATTATCTCAACCGAAGGAATACCATGACGACCACTCCGACCTCGGAAAAGTCTCATGTCCAGGCGGCAACGGTTCCGGCTCCACCGATATCGCCTTCAACGCCAGGGTCAGGACCAACGGCCATTGCAGACGGTGCCCAGACTCCCCCAAAGGCGTCCCAAGACGCCAAGGCTGAGGAGTCGTTGGAATCTCCTGATGTAGCGATGAAAGACGCCCCTGAATCGACGCAACCACACATCCCCTCCATCTCATCATGACTTGTTCTACTTCCGGGTGGTAATGGCGGATGCCGAAACCTTTGGACTGACGTTTTACGACCCCAAAATCTTTCTTCTCGCGTGACTTGATTCGGCCCCTACTGAGAGGGCCCGGCGTTCGGACTCTATGGGTTCTCTTTTTTGTTTTTCGAGGCGCACTCGGCGTGTCAATGGATATGGGAAGGATGGTTACGGAAATACCAGGAATCGGTTTAGGGAACTTCGACAGGGCTGCCCCAGTGCAGTGATCCTCGATCTTCATGATTTGTGAAATTATGTACCGAGTTTTTTTCTTCTCTCCTTCGATATGGCTTACCATTCGATGGTACAGGATAGCTTGTATGAACAATATGTTGATATTTTTCTTCACTTACCTTTCTTCGTCTTGCCTATGGTAAAACTTGATCTAGGCAATCATCCCACACCGCGGTATATTCGTTCGTCGTTGTAAGGCCAGTTTGCCCTGAGAGCACGGGGGCTTCTTCCACGACCTGTCGATGTACCGAACATTGCGATCAAAGATGCTACTATGCTACTATTTCAAAGTACTATTCGTCCACCATCAAATGACCATCTACCTCTGTCAGAACTGACATTGCATGACTGATATGACACTGAAAAGTGCCATTGGCATTTTTGGTCTAGCGGTCGGATCTCCGACAAGCTCCCCCGCGATGAGGGAGCATCGACACTCTTCAACTTTGGAACGTTCTTTGGCTGAACACTCTCTCGTTCAATTCCCACCGTCCTCTCCCTTTCTTCGATCCTGCGGGTCCTTTCCCCTACCAACACTCTCTCGAGTCCCAAAAGCAACCATGGCGGCTCAAGCACAGCCCCGCATTCTACTCATTACCCTCGACAAGGTAATGCCTGAAATAGACGAGGTCTTCGCAGATCTCATACACAAATTCTCAAAAGTAGCGCAACTCCAACGAACCCGCAAGCCAGATGCTTCCCTGAGAGTCCTCTCCGAGAACCCCAAAGCCGTCTTCTTAACGGATGGAGCTCTCAGCAAGCCCAAATACGCATCACTCTGGGATGCCGTGCTCGAATATGCTCGGAATGGCGGGACGGTCATCTGTATGGGATGGTTTTCATCCAGTGTCAGCCCCCCGACATCAAATCATTCTTCGCCAAGGCTGGACTTCCATGGGAAATGGCCGGCTATCATCGCACCACCGTCTCTCTGAATCGGCAAGGCATTCCTCGCGACGTGACCCTGGCTTTGCAGCCGTCGTACAGCCAGAAAGCTATTTTCCTCAAAGGGGTGGACCCCAGTCTGTCATGGTATAATCCCACGAGTGATTCGACTACACAGTCCATGGTCTTTGACCCGGAGAGTGTCGATACCACGACGTGTCCTGTTGCGATGGCGAATGTCGGTGAAGGAAAGCTGGGATATGTCGGTGATGTGAACGGCGAGCAAGGGTCGACCCTTGTGGTTCTTGCAATGAGTGGGCTTTTCTCAACGGCCTAGTCAAAAGTTGCTTCAATGTGCTCGAGTCGTCGGTTCCTAGGTATTGTTATGCAACCGAAAAATAACATTAAAATAAAATGCATGTCTTATGTCACCCTGGTCTGAGTATGGATTCCCGGTATAGAAGGGTCCACGGTCTAAGAATCCAACTCATTGGGCCTAGATAGTAATAACGATGCGCGACAGGAAAAAGCTAAATAAATAGAAAATAACAAGTTAGTTACCGTCCAATGCCCAAACGCGGCTCGTCTGAACCAACCACGTTCCTCGGTCTCCGAGTCTCCGCATTTTCCCGAGAAACGTCGGGACGAAGTCCGCTGCATCGTCATCGCGGTGCAAAATTCTCGATGAGTCAAAGGATTGGTCGAGCTTGAAAGTACCACATTCTCTCTCTGTCTGAATTTTGATTCATTTTTAACATCATTGTTTTGGGAACAAAGAATATGAAGCAGCGCCACCATGAGCGCCTCCGATGAGTCTTTCGCCTTGAACGAGGCCCAGTCACGCCAAACACAGGAGTTCGAGATCGAGCAGCTAGCACTGCCATCGGCCGATGGAGGCAAAGCTGCCTGGTTGATGCTGGCATCATGTTGTCTCATCCAACTGCCAGTCTGGGGTGAGCCTCAACCCGTGGAAGACTGAAGTATACACAACTGAGCCACAACTAGGCTTTTCCACTGTCTTCGGTATCTTCCAAGAGTACTACACCACCCACAGTGTTCTCCAAGGGAACAAGGGGAGTCTTGCAACTGTTGGAACTACGTCAAGTGTACGTTCTCTCGAATTGTTGACACGACTCCACGCTGATTTGCAAGGGCATTCTCTATCTTATGTCACCGGTGACCTTCACCTTGCTGACCCGGTATCCATACCTGCAAACCTACTGTGCTCCAGTCGGTCTGGTCATCACAGTGAGCGGGTCGATTCTTTCTTCCTTCTCGAAGCAAGTATGGCATCTCATCGCCACCCAGGGCGTGATGTGCGCTATCGGCAATGGGCTCCTTTGGAGCCCGAGTTCGCTGTATCTTGATCAGTGGTTTGTGCGCAAGAAGGGTCTTGCATTGGGCGTGATGTGGGCTGCAAAAAGCATCACCGGAGTTGCTCTGCCTTTTGTGGCAAATGCTTCCCTGTCCCATTTTGGTTCGAGTGCGACCTTGCGGGCTTGGGCTGTTATCACGGTATTATATCCCTGCTTTGGTGTCTAATCTGCAGCCTTTATCGAATACTCATAGTATACTACAGTTCATATCAACGGTTCTATCTTTGCCGTTCATGAAACCCCGGGTTCCAGTGTCGCCCTTCTCCTCGCCTCGACGCTTGGACCTTAGCTTCCTACGACTGGCTACCTTCTGGATGCTGCAGGCCGGCAACATTATTCAAAGCTTTGGATATTTCCTCCCTTCGACATATCTCCCCTCTTATTCGACCACGACAGTCGGCTTGCCAGAAACGATGGGCACGATGCTTGTCTCACTATTCAACGCAACTTCCGTCTTCGGCGGCATCGCACTGGGAATGCTCTGTGATCGCTTCGAAGTCACCAATATCCTCCTACTCTCCTCAATAGGATCTGCATTATCCGTGTTCCTCTTCTGGGGCATGGCTGGCAATGAATCGTCTCATGCTGGCATTGCTCTACTTACTCTCTTCTCTATCAGTTATGGCTTCTTCGCAGGTGGGTTCAGCTCCACCTGGTCGGGAGTGATCACTCAGATCAAACATGACTCCTCTCCATCCCTAGAAACTGGTTTGGTATTCGGCCTGCTTGCTGGTGGTCGAGGTATTGGAAATGTCGTGAGTGGGCCGTTGAGTACATTGCTGCTCCGCCAGGGATCCGTGAGTGACCCGCATGGCTCGGATGGTGCGACGGGATATGCTACCCAGTATGGGACTTTGATTATTTTCACCGGAATTACGGCCTTTTTGGGTGCCTGGAGCTGGATGTGGCGGTATATCAGTTCTGGGATACGTAGTACGTGTTGAGTTGGTTCCAGGATTGGACGAAACGAATCTTTACTAGGCTGCTTTTGAAGAATCAGTTGCCGAACACTATCACTGCTGTTTTTTTCATCCTCATAGATTAAACAAATCTAAATTCATAGTAACTCGCAATTCCAATTGTTCGACAAAAAAACGGACTACCATTCGCAAGTCACGTGCATCGACCTTCCATCGCGCACCCGCGAATTTCCAGGCGCAACTTCTGGCCGAACTCCCAATCCTACTGCAGCTTCTCTCAGGGCGCTGCTCCCTTCATCACCATCATGTCGGCAGCCGACCCAGCACTCCAAGACCCCCTCCTCTCACTCCGGCGCGCCATCGCCTCCGGCAACCTCCCGACGCCGACGACCTCGTCTGAGCTCACCGACGAAAATGCGACAGACGACCTAGCTCATGCGACACATCTCTACTTCGCACAGCCAATTCCTCAGGCACTCCCGCTGGGAACAACAACACGATTTGTCTCCGATGCAACGAAAGAGGCTGTCGACCTGCGCAGTATCTTCTTCGCGTGGCAGAAGAAGGATGTCGCTATTCCCGAATACTTTGCCTCGGCGCAGGAGCTGAACGAAGCCCTCAAATCAAAGGGAAGAGAGGAGCAGGTACAGAATCTTGTTTTCCTCGAACGTCTCGACCTCATTACCTGGCTCGAGGGCGCTTCGGATGGAAGTGACCACATCAAGCCTCTCGAGGGTGCTGCTGCTGCCGCCGAGGCGGCCGCCGCGGCCGCTGGTGCAGCTCAAGCTGATGCGTCAGCTGGGATTGCTTCCGGTGCGACGGGCGGCATTTCACAGGTGCCCAGTGGTCCGGTTGGCGCTGTATCGGGCGGTGCTCCGGGTGGTCGTGCGCAGAAGCCGATTGATCCTCGGCTGCAGGAGATCTATAATGGAGAACGAAAGACCGGAGATCGGAATACGGTGCTGCGGGGAATTAAGCCTACAGTAAGTCGATTGCCTTGAGAGCCTACAACGGAGCTAATTGCGTATCAACAGGATTTCTCTCACGTCCGCAAGAGCGCCGAGTTGTTCCTAGACCGCAACCGCAACCGCTCCGGCCAAGCAAGCGCCAAACCAGGCAGCAAGAGCTCATCAATGGTTCCAGCACCATCAGCAGGACTCTCAATGCCATCGTCCCGCAAATCCAACTCGCGTCCGGATCCAATCATCCTCCTCTCCCCCTCCGCCTCCTCTCTCATCCGCATGTCGAACATCAAGTCCTTCCTCCAAGACGGCATCTTCGTGCCACCAGACCACCCCACCCTCAGCATGTCCACCGAAGCCAATTTTATGGAACTCAAACGGCCACTGCGCATCAAAGCCGACCCGTCCAACCCCAATGCCGCAGCCATTGGCTCGGCAACCGGTGGCCGCGGCCCCAAGCCAACCAAGTTCATTCTCGTCGACGGCACAACCAACTTCAAGCCGGAGTACTGGTCCCGTCTCGTGGCTGTTTTCACGACCGGCCAAACATGGCAGTTCAAATCGTACAAGTGGTCGTCTCCGCCCGAGCTCTTCAAGCATGCAACAGGTATCTATGTCGGCTGGCGCGGCGAGGAAGTGCCAGCGCAGGTAAAGGGATGGGGCCGTGGTGTGGAGAGCTTTGCCGTTGAGCGCTGGGACGAGAAGGGTGGTATCCATGGAGGCGGACGGTGGAGGGACCGGGAGATTGTGGAGGGTATTTGGACTGCCATTGAGGAGGGCATGAGGCTGAGGGGTTGGGGATCCAAATAGATTCTGATTCCTTGTTCTTTTCTCTGCTTTTCCTATATCCTTCGATTCCCCTCCGTCCTTCTGCGGTTACTTCTATAAAATGGAATTTGATGACAATATGACATAAGTCGCGGTGCGACCTTTTGGCGTTGGTTGGGAATCTATAGATTACATTTCATTTCTTCTTGCCTTGTAGGTGTTTATTTGTTCAATTGGTTCTAATGACCTGTTATATTAAGGGCATTATTCCACACACACCCCCTCTCTGCTTGATTTCTTAGGCTACTAATATTTCTGCTAGATAAATTATACAATTCTAGTTTATAGTAAGACTTTACAATTTCAGCCTATAAAATCGCTCTCTTCGTATATAATCCAATGATTGTATACTTCTAACTACGCCTCTTAATATACCCTAATCATCTAGCAGCTCCCTGACTTCGTTAATAGCTCCTAATTTATATCCCCTTTGAGAATGAGTGGAAAAGATTATCAGAATTTACTACCATTTTCTACGTCCATCATCCTTTCATCTGATCACCCCCTTCTTTTCTCAACATATTTCTCAACAGGCATCTGAAAATATATAGTTGCGATTGCTTGCACATCGCCTCGGCGAGGGGTCGAGGTGAATGGATTACACGCACAGACTATAAAAACATGGGATCAATGAGTGAAACTATCCACACTGCGGCCACCTTGGGCTCTTTCTAAGCTGCATGACAGTAAAATGAGAGAATTTCCCGATAACATAGAGCCCCTCAGGAGAATTGACATCCAATCAGGCAGCTTTCAACCATGGAGCTCAACTAACTGACTGCGGGTTTCGGCCGTTCTTAGCAATGGGACACATGTTCACAGTATTATAAGGAATGACGGAGCGTACATATTGTCGGGCAGAGTTATGACCACTTTTACTTATGCAACTTGGAACCTTCTTCGGCTACCAAAGTCATGGCCTTGCTGTTGGTTGAAAAGATTGAGGCAGAGTCAATTTGTACAGTTGTATTCGACCGTGAAATTTGGAGCTTGCGAATGTGTCGGGTGAGGAACTTCCGTAATCCAAGAGCTGTCTGTACGAGCGAGTCGCGTGGCAAAGGAATATTGGGTCTCATCACTGTGTTGAGAGCAGTCATATTGATGGAGTAAGGAAAGAAACCTAGTCATCCGCAAGTATAGAGAGACAGGCGAGAACTATTCTCTTAGAAAGTCTGACACAAGAACGGACTATTTAATAGTCACAGAAATGTTTCTCGTGTGAATGGTCCACTACCGTGTGAGGTGTACTCCGGTAGCTGCAAATTCCCAGGTGGAAACCAAGTAGTGTCTAAAGCATTCCGGACTCCGTATGATCATACAAAAACCGGAGTTCAGCCAACGAGCGGATGCCACTAACCGGAGTTCCACAACGAGGGGATGTACATTGACCGGAGTCCGGAGTCCGGAGTAGAACCCTTAACACCGGGCAAGCGCTCAATGCCAGGCACAAAGTAGTTTAAACAACTACTTCCATCCATGGTTTCACCGGCCGTGGATGCATCGCTCGGGAATTTGGGACAACAAGCACCATCGTGACGGAGATGATCCTCTCTATTTTTGTTCTGGCGTGAGGTCTGGGACCGTGACTTTTCGCTTCCCTATCAGAGATGTACGGAAGGGTCCGGATTCTACAGTTGGGAAACTTGATATATTTGATCTTTAACATCACCGGAAGCTTTAGCCAATCCACCGCGCAGATTATCATCTTCCGATTTCTCGGTGGCTTTGGAGGCAGTGGTCCGTTAGTGGTAAGTCATTCCTCGTTGTTGCACGGAGGGCTTTGAAAGTGCGCGAATGTTCAAAAGGGTTAATTTGGCCTATATTATGTAGATAGGGGATGGCATGCTAGCAGATATATAGCCAGTATACTAAAGAGGCAGTAGAGTGGCGGTCTATAGTCTAGTACCTCTCTTCGGACTAGCCATTGGTCCCATCGCGGGTGGTTTTATCACCTAATATACGATATAGAGGTGGACGTTCTATATTATGTCGATTATCAATGGGCTCGTGGGTATATTTAGTGTCTTCTTCCTAAGGGAAACCTACGAGCTATATCTACTGAAATTAAAAGCCTAGAAGCTTCGAAATCAAACTGGAAACCTAGCTCTTTACGCGGCCATTCCTACTACTTAGAACCTAGGCTATTATCTAAGCATTGGGAATCTATATGGCGTTTCTCTATAGATTAATATATCTTATGCTTGCCACTTTCCTAGCCCTCTAGCAGGATGTCTACGACGAGAGTGTGTCGATTGGAAGCCTAAACTATATTTCTATAGGGAATAGGTTACTACTAGGCACTCAAATCGGGGCCCGACTAAAGGATAGAGTCCGCATTATTCTTTCCCCTACTCCTTTGGGCCTAACGAAGCGATGTACTAACAAACCGCGTGGCCCGTCCAGGTCTTTCTTGCTCTCAAGCAGCGCAACGACGGTACCGAACTCCCTAAGCATTGCTTACCTCTTATATTCCTAGCTTCCTTTCTAGTTAGGGTAGGTATATTTTGGTATAGCTAGTCGGCGGAAACGCGCGAATAATAGGTCGTGCCGAACCTCGGCATCGCGGTGACTAGTATTAGTATTATTATTAATTTTCAATGTGTGTAGCTATACGTAATTGATGCTTATCCACGATACACCGCGTCTACACATGGAGAAATACTAAGTCAGATTCCACCATGGACTCTGGCCTGAGTCCAAAGTGTCCAGCCACGACATGAACTCCAATCCATCCCCCGCCGACAGCCAAGTCTCGTCCATCCTGTCCGGGGTGGCGCGCGTCGGACTGCTACTGGCTGGCATGGGCTGAGGAGAAGACAGCACCTCGTTTAGAATATTGCGAATCACCCGGCGTGCCTGCTGGGACATATTGTAATTCGCCTGCCCCGGTGGCACGTATGTCTCCAAGAAATACACAAAGATACTCAGCTTTTGGATGATCTCCACGCGTGGTAAGTTGAAGGTCGTCGATAAGGCTGGATCGTTCGAGGATTGGGAGTGACGGAGCAACTCCACTGAGAGGACCCCAGCGCAGGGCAGGGCGTAGAAACAGAGCTGTACCCGGATCAGTGTAAGGATAAAGAAGGCCCAGACTCGAGGAGACGCACAGAAAAATCTACAGGCACCATGGCAGAAAAAGCTCTGTCTGGCTTCGCTATGTCGGCTATTCGATCCAGGATGGTCGATAGGATCTCATGCGCGACCCGGACTAACTTGTCGGATCCAACCCCAGTGCGCTTCACTGAGATACGATACAGTAGAAATTCGGTGTAGAGAAAGTCAAGGTGAATTGATTGTACGGCGAGCTCGTCTGATGATAGCTCTATTGAGCCGTTGCTGGGTTTCCATTGCAGGAAGGACGGGAGTTGCTCGCGAATCCGCAGACTTTCGTCACATAACTCTCTTCCAAGAATCGATCAGTTGATAATAAAGCGTATCACATAGCACTGAGGAAACTCACTCGATTCGCTGTGGTAGTCTCTCGATTTGGCCGCAGGAGGTGACCTCAAGTACATTTTCCTGCAGCATCGCGACCAATAGCCCAACCCGCGGATGAGCGGCCTTGGACAATAGACCTTGGCGATTCCATCCACTAGCGTCCAATTCCCCTAGTGCTGCCTCTCGCATTTGTGGATCAGCGATCATCTCTGCGTAACTGAGATCCGATGGCAGCAGAAGGTCACAATAACGATGCGATATCCGAGGTGGGCGCCCTAGGACCGTCGCCAGCTGTTTGTCGACCATATACCCGACCGCCATCACTCTTTTGCGCAATTCAGCCAGAAAGAATGGCGCGTTCTTATCCGCTGGATCCGGCTGGTGCAGCCCGAGGGCAAATGCCATCGTTGACGCATCTCCCAGCATCTTCCACGCTCGGTAGTCTACTCACTGTCAGTCAATGGTGTCCGGAATCCACTGCCGGGTTATCTCTGACCGGTATTCCCCCAAAGGATACTGGCAAGGATGGTTTGCTGAAACAGAAGCCACGTAAGGGGCTCACTGATCATGCCTATGCTCTCACAGAGTTTTATACACGTCTCTGCCGTAGTCACCATGCACGACTGTAGTGACCGTTTATCAGTTGCCGGCTTTCCGTCTTCACGCTCGAGAAAAATCTTGTGCTCGCCTCGAATATGATAGATGGAGGCCCCTGTAATCGCGAACAGCAATCCTATCCCCTCCCATCGGAGCGCGATCATTCCGATATACTCCGTAAAGTTCATGTCCGGGTGCACTATGATGGGAGCCCGACTGTTACTGAATACCGCTAGAGCTAACTCATTCATGTCGCCTCGGTTGTCCTCTCGTAAGCCGTGCTGATGAAATCGATGGATATTATCGAACAATTCATGGACAAATGGGCCCCCAAATGCCCATGGCTTGAAAAAGAAGGCATACCGGGCTTCACAAATTTCTCTGTACAAGGGAAGGTCATCCAGAAGCTGCAGCACCTGGACCCCTAATGCCACCTGGTTCGGGTCGACTGGTATAGGGCCTCGAGGCTCTGCCACAATGACCTCTTCTTCTGGCGCTGCATGCATCAGTCCCGACTCCAAGTCGACGAAGATGCCCTGAGGACTAGTGAGCCCCAACCAGCCCGGGGCACTTGGGACCGACTTTTTCCCGTCGCTCAAACCGCGATTCTGGACGACCACATCGGTTTCATAATCCTGTGACGCGAATGCTTCCAGCACAGATGGGCCACCGTTCTCACCGTAACTCTGACGTGTTTCGGCCCTGGTCCACGTTCGGCTATCTCCGGCACGACGAGCAGTAGTCCTTTTCTCCGACTGTGGCCGGTATCTGGTCATGGGCGCCGGATGATAGATACACAGCGGCGCCTGGCCTCGATGGGCACAGCGGCCACAGACGGGCATTTGGTGATCACATCGCGACTTGTCCTTGCGACACGGCTCGCAGGAGGACAACTGCCCGTTTCGGCGCTGGAAGGCCATTGTCAACTTGCGGAGTGTTGCTACTAATCAGACTAATGGCACTAGGGCAGTTGGGTAAACTTCAAGAAGGTGGGAGCCAGAATTTCCAGTACTCTCAGATTTTCGGACTAGTCACGCCACGTTGACGGCTCAACCGCAGCCCGCTTTTTCCAGGTATTCCTACATAAGGGAGGGGGGAGGGGAGGGGAGGGGTGGAACAATTCCCTATATTAATTGTAGGCTGTCCGTCTCTTGTATCTTCCCTGGCCTATTCTGCATCATCTAGAGAACACTATCGTCTAGAGAGCAAAAAATAAAAAAAATAAAAATAGCAAATAGGCCAATCCCAAGGTCGATACTTGTGTGTGGTACGAAGTTCTGTTCAAGGTTGGCCTTTCATTGTCAATGCGACTAATTCGATCTATCGTAGCACATGGATACCTACCTCCCAAGTTTCGCAAAGACAGACAAACCAAAAACTTGGGAAACCTTGGAAACTACTGTATAAGGAACAAAAGTAGATGATATCGTAATGTCCATTACAACTCCCACGGGAACTGGTATATATGACATACAAAAAAATCAGAACTCACTCGCTGTGCCCGAAGGAGAACAATGCATGCGACAAAGGAAAAGAAGCTAGGAAATGCTGCGAAGTCCATGCAGTAAATATAAGAATGGCGAGTTGAAGAATATGAAGAGGAAGAGGAATATGAATGGGCGAAATGAATCATGCAAGAGAAACGCCGTGTCTGATGCTCAACGCAAACAAAATCAAAGCATGCAAGAGTCAACCGCCGGTCTTTTTTTCTGGGGATATTTTCTGATACTTTTTTTTTCTCCGGCTCTGACTTCTCTCCAACATTGAAAAGGTGCCAGCAGAAGGGGATATCGTGTATGAGAAAGAGAGAAAACGTCATCCAAATATTACAAGGGGGTTCCCAAAGAAAATTCCGGCCTTCTCTATAACATGAGGCATTGATCGTAACGTCTTTCATCAGGAGGAAATAAAGGAAAATCTCATGGCGAGGGAATAATGAAGCAGAAGATGGGGGGGTAAAAGGCAGCCTGGGGCCGAAGGGGTCAGGCTGCATGCCAATATGAAAGCAGAAAAGCGAAATTCGTGGTCGGAAACGGATCATGACGATGGATCTAAGTCGAGAAAGAGGGGTCCCCCTTTTTCAGGCTTGTTGCGTGAGATCCCGTCGCGGGTGTGGTTCCCGCGTTGCAGTCGCACAAGTACGGGAAGTGGATACGACTCGATTGGGCCGGTATCGCATCCGCAAAATTTTTATTCGGGACTGCAAAAAGGCGTTTGGGCATGGCGATTATGCGCGAACAGTGGCCTGGGGGACGTTCAAATCACGACGAGACCGGATGTTTGCTGGCGTGCAGGTAGCATCAGTCGGCGATTATCATGACCGGGCTGAGCGGCTCATGCTTCGTTCCGGGGCGCCGGGGGTTGGCGAGTACGAGCGTGTCCCGCCAAAGATATCCACGTCGTGCTCCTGCAGGACCACGGAGTACTTGGGGTCACGAAGGAATTTCGGAACGGAGTCCTTCAATTAAAAGTCAGTACCAAACACAATCTGCACCGCAGGTTCAAACTTACACTCGACATCAGCTTGAAGACGGAGGTCTGGGCAAGCTCGAAGAGATGAACGACCTCCTGAAGACTTTTGAACATCGACTCGTCGTCACCTACAGCCTTGGTCATACGGCTGGCCAGGCTGTTGCGCAGAGCGTGGTCAATGTTCAACTCGCAGGGTGATCCAGGGGCCAGAAACGCGTTGTACAAGCCTAGCACTGGATTAGAAAAAAAAAGAAAAAAAAGACAAGAAAAAAACCTCAATTGGAAACTTACCATAAGCAGCAGCTAGGGTCTCGCGCACCGAGTCGACTTTGGTGAACGTGCCGGTTTTCTCCACCTTGTGGTAGTTGGCAGTGAACTCGGAAACATCGAGGTAGAAGGACAGGTTCTCCTCGCAAAGCGAGTAGCGCAAGAACTCGCGGAAGAGAAGACGGAGGGCGGGATCACCCAGGATGTGGGTCAGACGGGCGTTGTTGGAGTCGCGGGGCATGCCACGGCTGTCGTAGGTAGCGTTGCTGTTTGCATTGGCATCACGGGCCTTGTCGCGGGCAATCCATCCACACACGCGCTGGCCTCGCTCGGTAATGGTGTAGATCGCGTACTTGGACGGCTGGAAAACGGCATTCGAGTCGGGGTAAGACTTGTCATCCTGGATCATGGTGATCAGGCCGTACTTGAGGAACAGCTCAGCAATCAAGCAAGTCTCGCGACGCTCGATGGTTGTCGAGCAGTCCATCAACCAATCCACGGCACCCTTTCCGGTGAAAGTGTTGGCGTAGGACTTGCCGTCGTGCAATTTGCGCTCCCGAGCCATCTTCACACCCACGATGCCGTTAGAGTAGTCGCTTAATGAATCGGAGTCTGAGGTTGAAATGCTGCTCTTGATGTTGGGGCCATCCTGACCGGCGAAACGGCGGAATATGACTTCGATCGTGGCTCGGTCGTGCGACAGCTTATCGGTATCGGTGTCTCGCTCGAGGTTCACCAATTGCATCGTGTTGCGCGGTGACTCCAGCACATCCATCACGTGACGAGCGGTGATTCCGTTCCGCTGACAGAAGCGCTGCAGGATGTTGATGCCCTTCGGAGTGAGCTGGAAGAGCGCGCCCTTGAGAGGGAAAACCGGCAAAGCCTTGCCATCCACCGACTCAATGAAACGAGCATCGACGAAGCGCTGGCACACGGAACGAGCCATCTCCTTGGCCATGGAAAATGTGGTGGTTGTGGTGGTGGTCACGATGCGCGAGGGGTCCTTGGGGTCCGGCATGCGGTTCGACTGGGAGAACTTGAGCGAGCCCAAGTTGTTGATGGCCTCCTCCGAGGTGAAGGTGTGATCATATCGCGTGAAGCGAACCCGGTGCGAATCCAACTTCAAGCTCACCATCAGGGTGGAGAACAAGTCCATGAAATCCTAATCATCGTCATTAGTCACTCAATTGCATCGCTTCGGTCTCGTTGTGGCCCTGCCACACGACATTTTCCAAAAAACCTACCTTGGTGAAGGGGCGCTCATCTTCAGTCATGCGCAAAAGTCTCGACGACGTTTGATGCATCTTGGGCGCGATCGGCGCAGGGCCCGATTGGCTGGAGCGAGATTCTTGAGGAGGGGTCGGGGCGCGCTGAAGAGTCAGGCGGCGTTTGAGAGCAGGCGGGTCCGGAGAATAAGGGCGCCAGAGATCGGACAATTGCTCGGCGTCTTCGTCGGATAACGGCGGGGTCAAGGGGTTGGTTAACTTGGACCTGCTCAGGCTGCTGGAGGAGGTGTAGGAGTGCAGCGTTGTGGGAGCGCCAATGGTGGACAGACTAGCTAGGGCGCTGGAGGTCCTCTGAGCCAAGGCAGCAAAGGAGCGGCGATTGCGTCGAGAGATAGAACCGACGACTGACCCAGGGAAGGTAGATTGTATGGCAGGATGGGGATGCGGATCAGTCGCAGGGGTAGTTGAAGAAGGATGGGGAACAACAGAAGGATCAGGAACTGAGAGAGAATCTTCTCTGAGGTGGTTCACGGCAGGTAGGGTTGGCATTGAAGGGAAGGAAGTCTTCTTGGGTGAACCAGACTTCGGGAAGATTGCGAAAAGTGGGTAAGTCAAACAAGACCTGGTATCCACGATTCAAAAAAATACCAAACGGAATTCATGAAATGGGCCAAATTGGGAGTGTGGGTGGAACTCCTATAGAGTGTAGTGTGAGGGAGGGGAAGGGGGGGGGGGGGGAATGAAAGGAAGGGGGGAAAGAGGTTGGGAACTGGAAATTATACACTATACAGTAGCTTCCAGTCTTTTTTTCTTTTTGTTTTTTTCCCTTTTCAACCCAAAGAGAATATAAGGGTATGGAGAAAAAAAAATAAAAAATAAAAAAAGAGGGGGAAAACAGAGAGAAATAAGGCGGGTCTAAGCAAGAACAAAGGGAGAAAAAAAAAATCGATTGTGATATCCCCCTCTCACCCCTTGTGAAGAATTACAGCCATTCGGCCTGTCATCCATGACCCACAGCCCACGCGTGAGTGTAGCCGGAAAGAGTTTGGTGTGCTGCACCCAAACAACGTGGGCCAAGGGAAGGGATTGCCTCATGGTAAAGATCGGTGGGTTCTTTGTTTCGGGCCTGAATCTGCAACCGGATACCCGCACGCTTCGTACGGTAAGTAATCTTTTTCATTTCTTTTTCTTTTTCTTTTTTTTTTTTTTTTTTCTTTTTGTCCCTACAAGTACTTGGATACCGTCCGGACCGATTGTCAGAAAAAATTCCCATTTTTCCATCACAGGGCATAGACCCTATGGCCGCTTGGGACCACGATAGTGTACGGAGAACTCCCGTAGCGCTCGACAAATCCAAATACAGCGGTGGCTAAGTCAATGATTTCACCATCCACCGAGGTCCTTTGGACCCAACCGTCAGCGACCCAGGGATACACGCGAGACCGGACATATCCGCTTGAAGACCGGGGGGTAATGGTATTACGGCTGTTACGGCTGTAATGATCTTCGTTCCAGTCAGTCCAAAGGCTGACTCGGGAATCCCCCCCTTGTGCAATTGTGCTCTGCCTTGATCGGGAATAGTGGCAACCTGATGTGGGAGGTGGCCTCCTATCACATAATCATCCGCGGCATGTCATTGGGGCACGATGGCGACGGCGGTCTCCACTCTTCTCTGTACTGTCTTGTTTCTCGGCCCCCTGGACCGATGGGGAAAGGCTGGCTGTCGATACCCAAGCTTGCCATGCCCACGTGGGAATCCCTCGCCCCAGTACTGTCAGGAACCTTATCGGGTGGTGGCGAATACCTCCATCGATCCGACTGTTCTTGATGCCTTTTATCCACAGTCGGATCTTCGGAGTATTTCGATCTTCGTCTTTCCCATCGGAAGAGTTTTCCTGCCACCAGCGGACCGGCATGATGCCGCGATTAGACGCCAAGGCGGGAGAAGGGAGGTGCTTCTGTGGACTCACGTTTCGCGGGTACTGTACACACTTCCGATCGCGGTGGCGCTTGGCGCCACCGCTCATCGTGCTGTGTCATGGTTTTGAAAAGAGTGTTTTGAGTCACCCGCGTTTCATGTTTCGGAATAAACGATGAGGGGCAGTTGGAGTTGTGACGTGGGGTTCCTTCCACGGGCTTTCCAGGCGCCTTTCGTGATTCCATGCCGTCCACGTGGACACACGTGGGGTCTGGGCGCCTGAGGCTCCGATTGATTGGAGTGCGGCTGTTTGCTCCTCCACAAACGGTTTGTTTCAAGTCTCCAGCCCCATTCCTCTTTACTGGTTTGAAGAGGACGAGGAAGATTTGAAGGAATACGGCGCACAGACTAGCTGAACCAAAGCCATACGAACCGGCCTGTCAGATGGCCTTCAGTTCGCGTCACTTCCCTGGTTCGCGTCTACACGGGATGCCCAAAATTGGCTTGTCGATCGGCCCTAATCGTGTACATACATACGTCCATACACAGTCATGTATTGGTGGTTTAGCCTCGATTGCGCCGTTCTTAACCACTCTTCTGGTCTCTCTACACGTCAGTCTCCACATGCCCCGTCAGTCGCTTCGGAAAAGCCTGGCACGAACCTCGTCTTGAGGATGGAATAGCTCACTGACAGACACGTCAGCCCGGATCCTCCGAGGCAGTGCTCACGAGGCTGACCGGCCGGCTCGTGAAGAGCGTCGGTGCGAGTTCGTCCGCCAGGAGCCGACGAGCGGCAGCGCTGGTTACAGTATGTAGAGAGCAGTCTTGACCCAGCCAATGGCGGGGCGCAATTCCTATACATGTCGATCCACGGAAGTGGTCGGATGTTTTGGCTTCCAGATTTGTTCCAAGATGGAAGGGTGATGTGATACATCGCCCATCCTTGAGATCTATCGAATTCCCACGTGGACAGGGGTTAGATCTGTAGTTTGAGACCACACAGGCTAGTAGATGCGTATAAGGGCATTATTCTTATGCACCGCAATGCATGATCAGCCCCTCGCACAAAAATATACATTCTATATGTCCGGAGGCTGAGGGGCCCAACGGCCAAAATGGAGGCCATCAGCCCTGCGAGTCCAGTCACAATCGGCGAGAACTAACGATCGACGCCCGAACGCTGAGGCTCGGATATGGAACTAGGAGCTGTCAAATACGCCAACCCAAAGTTTAGGTTGAGCGAAAACAAAAACAAACCGAAAAACAGCAAGGGAGGTAAAAAATCTTGGCATGGATGAGCGAAAATAAAAAGCGAAACAAATGCGAGTTGACTGTCGCTTCGTTCCGCTGAGCTAACCGTTATCGCAAAGCTAAAGTGGGGCGCATCGAAAAATTGAGAAGCCGCTAGCACGATTACGGAGAATTCTCCATGCGCCAGAATTGCGGTCAGACGCTCAACGGCAGAGTCCAAAACCAAGACCCAATGATCCTCGTATGATGATCCGCTATTTCCGAACGAGTCTGGTTAGTGTATGGGATCAGCCTTTGGTGCTAATGGTTATAATGGTATTGTAACCCTTAGTTGTATCGATGATCCCTGACCGCCACGCGACAAAGGATTCATGCAGGCCACCTACACAGTATGTATACTGTATTGCGCATCCACTCGAAAATTGGAAAGTTCCATGGTTCCAGATGCTGGATTGTAGGCAGCCATGTATATAGTCAGAAATAGTTTTCTATGCTCCAAGGTTGTCGCCCTCGCGTGCCCCCCGGCTGAATCCCTACCAAAAGCTTACGTGTCAAAAGTTGGATTATAAGAAGATGCGAACAGACCCTTGCGCCCATCGCCCGCACTACGGTATGATTAGTGCTGTGAACCTTGGGGAGATCGTCGTTCTCGACCGTCATTCGACTCCCCATGCTGAACCTTGTGTATCCCCAACTCATCCTGCCCGGGGAGAAACATGGACACAGGTCGGCTGCGCACGTACAGTAGGACTCCGGCAACCCCATCCCGACCAGTCGCAGCGTCGCTTTCCTATTATGCACTACGGAGTACCTACACCCTCGCAATGTTTCCTTTTCGATTAATCGATATGAAGGTGCAAATCGTTGCTGAATTTGAGTAGCACTAACCATCCGGATGTCGACCCGGATCGTGGCTTCGGCTGTTTTCAATGATCTCTTAGCTCCGTGGCTGCGCTAAACTTGATCTTCGTCTATTTCAACCACTGCCGGCCTGGTGGCTGGCGGATGTCCTATCTTTGGGAGCACTCTTCAAGCCCACCATTTGTCACGGCGGCCTAGAACCAGCCATCCGGACAAGTTGAAGCGAGCAGCCCCTGTATTCCAAATTCTTTACACATACTGCGTCGTCCGCCCTACGCAATAGACCCCGCCATCCCGGGCACGAGGCCCCTAGTCGCCCACCTAACTTTTCGCGCGTACAAATGATATGAAGGTGAGCAGCGATGTGGAGAATTACACCACGTGGAATCCTGGGTCGAATACCTGCCTAGACCGAGTCGGGTAGAGATCAGAAGCAGCCCCAGAAATTTAGGCCTCCTCGCCGAGGGTATTGCCTGCCATGTGGTTTGTTCGACGACCACTAACTCCGCGTCAGCCCCGAACGCCGAGCAGGGATTCTCCTCCTGAAAGCCTCAGAAAGAAGGGGTCCTTACCGTCGATAGTCCGGCCTTGCAGAAGCCGACAAGGATCACATACACTCTGCCTGAGGGGGGTCTCAGGCACCGTTTTGCTCGGTCAGCACGCCATAAGCATTCCACCGGTCGATGATCGCTTGAGGTGGTCTCAAACCGAAATGACTGTAACAAATGGGGATCTGTCGGGACGATCCGCAACCGTAATAACAAAACCGTCAAGACGGGCGTAACAATCGTTAACTTTACGATACAGGGTTCCACCTGACTTCCTCGATCTAGAGATAGCTTGCGAGGTGCTCAGTGGATCACGTCATAGACTCCCCCAGTGATTTCCTATCGCGGGGATGTTGGAAATCTACACCCGGGGAACATAATTTTGTGTGCATGATTTTTAAAGCTTTTCTTTCTTTCTGATATGACATCTCAGGAGGGGAGGGAAAAAAGACAGAAACCGCCAGGGGAGTTCTTGATTCATGCCGGCCGACACGGGTCCTCTGTCTGACTCGTTCGTAGCCAATTTCGGCGCTAGAACCCTTCTAGAAGGATTCTGGAAACGCTAAGAACCCGCTAACGAGTCTCGTGTTCTGCGCCCGAGGAACGCCGGCTCCACTGGAAAAGGAGATTGCTCCTTTGTTGGCGTTCAGGGGGTTCGTGTTCGCATCTCCCGTGCATACTGAGACAAGTCCGTCCGATGAAAATTTGCCTTCGGTTTCTGACTCCATTTTTTTGGGTCCGCACAATCAAGCTACTGTAAGCTTGGCAGCGACACTGTGGAGCGTGTAGTTGGAGAATTGGAGATGTGACCCTGAAACTGTTGATCCGGGATACTTTCGGAGATTGCATTCCCGCCGTCCGATGTGACTCTCCTAGGCGATGACGCGATAGACTCTGAGATATAAAGTTACTTTTAGACTTCGAGGTCTAATTTTGCAACTTTGAATACTCCGTCCAAGTCCTCATCGGGAACTTGGAACCCCCACAACTGTCAATAAATTACAATACGCGGGAAGCGGTCCACGTGGTAGATGATCTACGGAAAGAAAAAATCAGTGACAGTCGTGGTTTGGGAAAAGAGGGGGGGGATCCAAGCCGGTTCGGCCGCAACTAGCGGTGCTCGGCGAAGTTCGTGATTAATTGGCAGTGGTGACTTGCATTTGAAACGCGGTGGGCCCTGTTGATTTCTGCATGACAGCCTTCGTTTATTCTCTTAATCTAGTAAAGTATAATGGAGATAGTTAAGCCGTTGTCTCTGATCCGCCCACTTTGATATGCTGATGAGCTGCATTTATTGGTCGATCCAATTCACTCGGCGTTTCGTAGCTGCACGTTGACGTGTGTTGCAACACGTGCTTCATTGAGAATAGTCACGGTCACCTTTTTTGGGGGCCACGACGAGCTCAACGTTCGTCTCAAGGATACCACTGTGTGGAAGACAGCGATCGTCAATGTTTCATCTCTCGGGGATTTACATTTACTACGGTAGCAAATATCATACCGTCGACACCAGACTAGGTACCAAATTGCGCCCAGAAATCGCTCTTCTCCAAGGTTCATGGCTGTTGGCGTACTCTACTCCCAGGGAACGGAGCTGCAGCTTGACAATGCCAAGTATCTATCCTCGACTTGGCATCTTGACGGCTTCCTGCTGAAACACCCTTACCTAAGTCTTCCAGAAACAGTCGCTCTATGTAGACAACCCTGGCGTCCTGACTTCCAGTATGGACCATGACCGGCCTTATCCTAGCGCAAACCCCTAATGCTCGGTGATATGACGGAGCCGACAGGGTGTAGGGGTGCGGGTGATATATTAGTGATCGTCGCCGATCATCAAAACCCATGGCCACTACGGATACCGCCATTCCAGAAATGGACCCTTCATTCCCTTGACCCCTCAACAGGTCTGAGATTGGGTCAAATTCAAAAAAGAACGCAGCTCTGATCCGAAGCTTTCCTAGCTTCGGTTCGCAATAATCTTCCGAGTGAACCCCGGTCTTCATGCTGTCATTGTGGGCAGACCTCACACCAGCCCATTGGCCGAAAGGAGAGGCAGGGAGAGGATCATCCAACCGTCTCTTCACTACTCTCCACTAATATCCGAAGAGTGACCTTGTGAGCCAATTAGTCTTGCCTTCTGGGGTTAAGGCGAAAACCAAGGCAAAATGGGAAAACGGGAAAACACATCATCCACAGGTCGGGGTTACTCTAGTTGCAGCTCGCGGTGGCCGCCGGATATGCAACTACAGTTTCCCGCATCCTGGTGTGCGTTTCGGCCTGGGACTTTTTACACTGTTCTCATTGCCCGGGGCTGCAAAGCATACTTGAATATTATTAATCCGTTCGGTCTTAGCAAGGCCCGAGAAAGCCGTGCACTATCGAAGCGGGCATATGCTGCCTGCAGGCTTCACATCTGGGATGCCCCAGATTGCGCAAGCACAGATTGAGTTTATGATTTAGAAACTCGAATGACTCGTTCACTCCCAGACGGGGTCATGCATTTCGATTACCCTATTCCCTATCGCCGTGCAACCCCAAGTGCAATCTCGACCAAATCTCCTCGGACCTCAAGTTACGGTCTGGTCTCTTTCCCAAGGGGTAGACTCCTCCCGCGAGCCATGAAGGAAACCGGGCTACGGCAGCGGGCCAATTCTTACTAACCCCGAACCGCCGGATCTGCAGGCTGCAGCACTCGGATGGATTTGCAACGGTATTTAGCCACAGGAGAAGGTCGCCCACCTGGAGCTGTGGATAATTTAACAGCCATGCGAGTAGTGCAGAAGTGTGGAGTCGAGCTTGCAGGAGGCCCAAGCAACGGGGAACCATTTCCCTGTCCAACAACAGCACAGGACACTCACACTCCCCACCATTCTTCGCGGCCACTAGAGGCCACTAGACGCAGATGGTTACAAAGCGACGTGGTGGCAGAAAGGGGGAGGCATGCCATGGCAAACTCGGAGATGGAACTTGCGAAACGCCGAAGCATTGACCCTTTAGGAAGCTAACCCCCCTCGAGAGGTCAGAAAAGCCTAGGCCGAGTCTAGGAACCACATGAGAAGATCCTGCATATTTCCCATGGTACCCCAGGAGTCGGCGTCCTGCATGTGCAGTAATATGCTCAGTTCGCCAAACAGACACCCCTGCCTCGACTTTTCCCGTTATGGGCATAACCGGGGGAACTTGCGACATGTCATTCGATGTGTCACTTTTGACACATGGCACGCATGCGTGCCCGCGTGCCTGTGTACCAATCACCGGCTCTGGGATCGGTGTGGCAAATGATGATAGTAGGTACATGAAGGGGTCCGTCAGTGGTTGAGATTGGGTATGGTTATATTCTCTGCAGGTAGCCATGGCCTTGAGATGGGGCCGGGGAGGAGGGCCTAGGTTGTCAATTTACCCATGGATAGAAACCCTGTGGGGGTATTTGTTTGCTTTATTTCCATGTTATCGCCTGTACCACCCACTTGGGAGACCTGGGGTCCCGAATAGTCCCAGGTAGTTCCCATCTAGGACCCCCGGTCTAAAACATCAACCCATCAGAGCAAAACAAACTCCGAAACCTTGGTACCTATACGCCGAAGATTCGAGAACACGGCACGATGCAGGGAGCCAAAGGCAAGGGCCTGCGCCATTGATCTGACCAAGGGGAAATGTGATATCACCGCCAATCTAAAAGTTAGCACGTCCAGCACACGTCCACCCGACCACGCGAGGATCCAGAAACGATCGACAGCCACAGGTGACTTGGCCACCAAGATCAAGCCTAGCGTTCTGGGGCCCAATGCTTAACAGAGGCGGGGAAGAGTGTTGTTCTGGTGTCTAATAGGCTGGCGTGCTTTTCCAAGGTTGTGATATATCGTGGCGAGCGACTGATTGGATGGAAGGTTTGGCCGCGTGGAACAATCTTGAAACCGGGTTACATTCACGTTATCAATTATGTTTGTGTTTTGTCCCCTCTTAGGATTTGCTTGAATTTGAAGATAGTTCCAAGGGTTAATCGAGGGGGGACACGCAGTCTAGAACTACCCCATGTAGATGATCATTCCAAGGTTAGGTCTGCTTAAAGCGGATGAATATAGACAGTATGTGAGCCCCGAGATCTTCTATCTCAAATATCATTGAAGATTGGCAGATAATGCCTCGTCAACCATCTCGCCACCACTGACCCAGCGAACTCTTCGATCCAGCCATCTCAACAACCTCTTCGAAGCTAATCTCCACACGGAACATCTGCCCGTCAGCAGTACCATTTCCACCACCAACAGGAGTGACAAGTCCCCACGTAACCAACTTCTCCCAAGACTCGCGCGCCACATCGCGCCCCCAGACGCGGCCAGGCGTGGCAGCTGCGCCGGACACAGATGCAGAAACCTTAGCGGATGTAAGTAGACGCACGTATTCTGCATACGCGGCTGGGAAGGAGAGCGCAAGCGGTGCCAGGCTTTGTGTTTGTCCGTCGTTGCCTGGGTCGAATAGAGCTGTTAAGCGAGTTGCGGCAAGCAATAGGGCCAGTGGTAGTGAGGAAGGGCTCGATGAAGAAGTTGCGAATGGGAGTGGGGCTGGGTCGGGGCAAGTGAGGGATTGTGAGGCGAAGCTCTTCGGGGTTGGGATTTGGAATGTAGGTTTGTCGGTGGCCTGCGTGCTGAGGTGTAGCTCGCTGATAGGGAGGAGGGCACTGGTGAGGAAGTCCTTGGGGGTTTTGGTTTGGTGGTAGATTCTCTTGAGATGGAATTGGAAGTCTTGGTCGTCCCACAGATGCTAGGAGGTGTCAGTTAGATCGATTGCCGATGGACTGGGACAGAATCACGTACCTTCAGATATACCTTCCACCCCTCGAGCAAGGTCTTCCAACCGTTGGATTCTACGATAGAATGTCTATCGCCGAGAGAACACGCAAGCTGCAGCACTTCACTGTCATCGAGATCCAGACTCGCCATACAAATATCCGAGAAGATCTCATAGGTCCTAGGAAGTGGAACATAGACGTAGCGGTGGCTGAATCGACTCTTGACTCGCTTTTCCAACATCTCAGTCACGTCAACCTTGGTGGTCAACCCGATTACAGCGATGGGAGCTTTTCGTGCTTGGGCAATATCAAACAAGTTGTACAGCAAAGTCTGACGCGGGTGGGTGACAAACAAATCGAACTCATCCAAGAGGATTACGATTGATTTGGCTGCTGTCACCCCGTCTGCATTCCCAGAAGCGCCAAACAACTCCTCCGGATGGGAGAGAAGGGCCAAAAGGGTCGCCATCGTATCGGCATAGGAACTGACCTTGGCTGTGTCGTCCTCGGTATGGGTCTCACGGCCAAGCTGGCGCCACATCTCTCGAAGAGCCAAACGATCATCCGTGTGTAGGAAGCCATTCAGACGGACGACGTGGAAGTCGTTGCCATGATCCTTTGCGAGAGACGAGATGATCGTTTCCACCATTGCCGTCTTTCCACATCCCCGCGATCCAAGAAGAAGCATCGAATTGCCTTCACCAACGGTAACTGTCTGCTCGATCAAGTGGTTGACCTTGGTGTACTCACTCTCAACACCCTTGAGCGGGATTTGTTGTTTTCCGGAGAGTTTCTCGAGAAGGGCAGTTGTAAGGACACGCATTTCGGAGTGAAGTCCGCCTTGACAGAGGGTTTGTAGGTTCTCGACATATTCAGGAACCCGTTCAGGCATCTCGACAACTTCATGAGTCTCTTGGGTTTGAAGGTCCTGCTGCAATTGCATGGCAACAAGGTCATCCAGGCCATCATTGTACACTTCCGCAGAAGGAGACAATTCCTTTTCCGATCCTCCATTGCTCACACCGTTGGCCTTGGGTCTGGCAGTACTCCTCCTAGATCTGGTCCTTGCAACTGAAGCCGTCGGCTTTGGGGACTGCTCGTCGAGATCCATTTCTTCGTCGTCCGCAGACTCCAGCTTCGGCTTCTGTGCGCTTCTTGCTCCACGGGTGCTACGAGGCGTTACAGCCGCTCTGCGTGCGGAAGATGGCGTCGCGGCATCGCCCTCCAATCGCTGGGGTGCTTTGCGCTGCCGTCCACTTGACCGGGTACCGCCCCTCGAAGGAGTCTCTGTACCATTATCCTGGTTTGTTTCCTTTTGTTCCAACCCTTCTGGTACGTCTTTATTCCCACCCCGAGTGGATCGACGTCGATTCGCTGATTTCCGGGGCGCGGGATAATCTTGGTCGGCCTCGGAGTCTTCGGCATCTGGGGATGATGGGACCGAATAGATGTCATCTCCGTCCATTTCAATGTCTCCATCTTCATCTTGAGATGGCTCTTCGGAGACTCTTCTCCGCTTCGATGCGCGAGGGTCCCTCATGGTTGCGATTCGTCGTGTTGCGCCGTGGGATGTTTAGAAGATATAGACAGGAGCGAGGTATGTTGCCGGCTATAAACGGAGTTCATGAGATGTGTGTCTTGCGAGAGGAGGGTCCAATTCGGGTTTGCGACCGCTCTAGTAAGCGATAGTGAGCTCGACACTGTCCGATCACGCTTGTGTACGTCGAGCCAGGGACGTTATCCCAGGAAGCGCATAGACAGAATTGAGGTAAAGCGTCTCGAATACAGAACAGCCGATGTGAAAAGAGGCGCCGGAAGCCCTGTTCAGTCCCGAGAAGAGCCGTGGGTCGTGAGGTCAATGGTAGGGGCAGCTGTTGACCGTTCGGCAACAAATCGACATCTCCGGGTTTCTCGCCTGAGGCCACCAACGCGTGACGCGAAGTCAGGTGCGCGAGTCGCCATGCCGGATATCGTCTTTTCCAAGGCTTGCTTCATAGATGAAACAATGGTTGTTATCGTGGGATCAAGAATATTGATCTGTCAATCTTCTAATGTTGAAAGAAAAGTGGCATTTTTCATGTTCGCGGCTGTTCACAATTGAAGATTATTCACCAATACTTTGTTATAGTTTCACAATCTACGGATATAAAAAGTTGAAAAACGGATAATTAAACCCTGATCGAAAGATCTCCCCTCGATCCCGTCTTACTAAAAAACCCCGATCTCGACTGTGCTTGAACGTGGCCGCACGACACACGACACTCGGACTAAGCATCGGCAACGTCGAAGCCGAGGTCCAAGTCGGAGATGCGCCTGTGGGGCGCAACTGCTTGTAAGAGGCCTTTGGAATTAACTTTCCAACCTCTTCAAAGCCTCCAAGATAGCCATTTCCTTTCTTCATTTCTATTTCATTTCATTTTCTCTCTCAGACGTCATGTCCGAACACGCGATTAAGCCCCCGGCGCGACAAATGGACGAGTTCGAAGAGCTCGTCTACGCGTATACGACCCGAATGGGCCTGGGCAACGAAGAGGTATGGCTTGAGACAGCGACTAGCTTTCCACCCTTACAAATATCATTAAGATATCATCGCTAACTTCCATCAAGCACTGGGACGTCGATGCGCGCAACTGCAACCTGCGCTTCGAATCCGCGACCCGCGGCCCGCCGGCCAAGGTCTCCTTCCTCATTAACATCACCCCGGCTCTCAGCAACTACATGGGCAACTTGCACGGTGGTTGCGCTGCGACACTGATCGATGTTCTTTCTACGACGATTCTGCTGGGAGTTTCGGAACCGGGGAAGTTTTCCTTCGGCGGTGTAAGCCGCAATCTCAAGTTGACCTACCTGCGCCCTGTGCCGACGGGTATGGAGGCGCGGATAGTTTGTGAGTTGATTCATGCCGGGAGGCGCTTGGCACTGCTACGGGCGGAGATTCAAAAGGCGGATACTGGGGATGTATGCGTGGTTGGGGAGCATGAGAAGGCGAATACGGACCCGGAGGAGAATCAGAGGATTTAGACTGAATGGAGAGTTGGGATAAGATAAGACAGGCTTCAGCGGCTGTACATAGAATTTTGCCTTTTTGATACCTACGCCAATATAAAGAACTACGGTTGTACCTTGAATGGTAGACAGGTATATTGCGCTTGCTACCTCCTGGTTTGGTCTGGCAGAGCAGCTGGTGCTCAGGAGCGGAAAAGAAGAACGACAGAGTATCAAACATGTCCAAGAGAAATATAATCAGCCAGCATCTAGGCAACGATAGATCAATTTGTAAGGCTTCTGGCCCTCTACTCCTGAGCAAGCTGCTGGTCCTCCCGAAGTCCCTCAACCTTCAGCTCCTCACCGGCCGCACGACGGTACATGTCTCTCACGTCGTCTGGGAAATGATGTTAGTAATGGGTCCAGTTCGGGAACGGTATGGAAGACTTACAGGTTGTGGTCTCAAAGTGGGATGTGGCATCGTAGCTCTTGGAGATGAAAATATTATCCTTCTCGCCGCTCTCCAAAGGCTCGTAGATCGGGATCGGGGGACCCATGAACTTCTCCTCGATCTCGCCCAGGCGCTCAAAGCCAGGCTCGAGTTCAAGGTGGTGATTAGCATCCTTTTCGGCAATGGTCGAAACGATGGCAATGTAGTAGCCCCTGGGGCAGACGTTGTGAGCGGATGAGACCATCGCGATGTACACATCTACAGATATTAGTGGCAGCTCATTATATCATTGCTCGCCGTGAACATACCGTGCTTCCGTCCAACCTGAGACTGGGGAATGATCAACTGCAGCGAGTCGCTGCCGTCAGTCTTGTCGATGGGGTGCTTCAGGATACAGATAGCCTTGATCAGGTATCCGCTGACCTGAACCTTGCCGGGGAAGTAGGAAGGGTCGGCAATAATCTTCTTGGTCTTGGTCTCGAACTTCATGGCGTCCGACTGGTCATCGCGGTCCTTCATGGTGGCCTTGATGCCCGAAACCTTGCCGCTGTCATCGTAGAGCACCTCGTCGATATCGGTGTTCAGCATGTAGGTGCCACCGTAGATGGCTGACAAACGAGCGAAACCCTGGGGAAGCTCACCCAAGCCGTAGAGAGGGTAGATGTAGGGCGACTTGCCGTAGCGAGCCATAGAGTTAACGTAAAGGCGGATGCGGTTGATAGCCTCGACAGCCATGCCGGGCTTGGAGATGTATTCATCCTCTGGGAACAGGGCCATGGAGTGGCCAACGAAGTCGCGAGTGTTGTCCTCGAGGCCGAACTTGTCATAAACCTCCTTCATGGTGCAAGAGCCGACGTTCAGGCCTAGACTGGGTTAGCCATCTATCTCCATGATCGTCAGGATCTACTATCACGCACCCAGGTGGGTCGCCGGGTCCTCCTCCTTGAACTCTCCAACCCATTCGAGGAACTTCTTGGCGCGACGCTTCTCGAAAAGGCCCATCAGGGAAGAGCGCAGAGCCTCACCGGCATCCGAGGGCACCTTGGCCACGGTCGCCTTAGGGCCCTTGCCCTGTTGGACATAGCTGCCAGCGATCTGCTTGAACTCCAGGTATCGCGTCACGTCGGTGGAAACCAAAATGTTTGTCAACTCGCCGTTGGCCATCAGCAGCTTGGGGACCAAGTCGATGTTCCAGTCGTTGACCCGTCCGTACTTCTTCCAGGGCTCCTCGCCGGGGGCAACATTGCGGTACTTCTTGAACAACTGCGGGGAAGGTTAGCAGAAGACATCGTGGATGGATCAGTCGGCGTACTGTCTCAATGTTGACGGAGGCGGCCTCTCTGAGATCATTGTTAGCTATTTCGGCCCAAATGCAGCTGTGGGGAGCTCTGTTGGTCTGCATACCCTCCGTAGTGGTCATTGCGATCGATGTGGAGCACCTTGTTACCCTTCACACTCAGGACACTGGAAAAGAGAATGTTAGAGAAGAAATATTGATAGTAAAGGTTTTGAGAGCTCCTTACCCAGACAACACGCACTCGGTCAGGCCTGGGGGGGAAGGTCAGTATTCGGTGCAGTGGAATGGCGGGGTAGCAACAAACCGGTGCCCAGCACCACGACGTCGTACTCGGGCGCGATCTCATCCATGGCGGGTATAGTAGAGAAAAAAACAGGTAAGATAGGGGAAAGGGAAGGCTGATGCCGGAGGCAAGTGGAAAAGAAAGAAGGTTCTCCTTGGACTCCCCCGCGGATCAACGAAGCGGTAAGAAGGGGACTATTTGACGGGTCCGCCACTAGTGAGTTACCTCAGTGACCAAACACTCGGGTTTCTCTCTATTTCCCTCCCCTTGATTTGCATCCACTAACTCCCCCTTTAAATTAATATCGGTTCTAGACTCGTTTCTAAGTATAGCCCCCTGAAATGGTCTACGGGTGGACTACATCATAATGATTACCGTTGGAAAAAAAGGCATTCCAAACCTTCGTTAGATAAATTACATGCAGCAGAACTATGGGGAAAAAAAGAGCAAGACTGGAGTATGCTACAAGATTCGAAAGGGGAATCCCACGCCTTCGTTTAAGGCTTCGGGGGAAGCTCTCCACGGGCTCCTCCTCCAACGCATCCTCATGCTGCGGGCGATAGTTCTTGGTGTAGTACTCATGCTTAGCGTCTTCCCAGGCATACCAGCGCTCACGCAGAACGTGCTTGATGCTCTTCTGAGTGATTTGGACCTAGTCGAGGAATGATGTCAGCACATTTCCGGAACAAATTGCTAGAGGAAAGTTGGACTCGAGAGTCACCATCCAACAGGGAAAACACCGCACCCGCTGGTGGATTTTTCCAGCAAGCCAAATATATGTATATCGAGCGATGCTTAGACAAGCAGGGACCAAAACTTACCACACGGTCACGCTCGTTGGCCTCGTGGGCACCGAAACCAGCCTTCAGGCGCTCTCTCTCCAGGTTGGTAGTCGCAATGCGGTTGCGCTCCTTGACACAAACCCACCACAGCTTATGCAGGTCTTCCCAGCTCTTCTCGCGTAGTTCTTGGATGGCCCATGGGCGACCTAATGTGACGGGGTCAGCGCAATTCACGTTTGATAATGGTCATATACTATGGCCCGGGAAGCGTTCCACTCACCAAAGTCCATGTCGAATTCGGGGACGCTCATTGCCTGGCGGGACTTAGGGAAGAAGCCCCAGAGTCCGTGGTCGGGGGTTTGCGGTTGCGGCTGCATATCTGCGGGCGACACGGGCTTGGGCAGGGGGTATTTCGATGCGCTCAATTTGAATCTTGTACCGGTACGGTGGATGGCCGACACGCCGCGGGTTCTGTTCATGTCGCGTCCACGGCCAGCGGCGACGGGAGTCGTAGAGAAGCTCGAGGACTGAGGGGATCGGGTCATCGAGAAATGGAGTGAGGGTGCCAGGTAGGGAGGTGGCAATTCGGCCACAATGCCCCCATATTGGGCCAAACGGGCAATGGACGGCCGATGCATGGTGGTGCTCTGTCGTTGCAGGAGGCCGAGTTGGCGTTGTCTTTTTTTCAGGATCGAAGGCGGACGGTCACGTGCGCGTCTGGCGGCAACTCGAAGCCGTTCTTCACTTTAAAGTTGGAGGAAAGATAAGGCGCTTTTTTGGCTAGACTCTTGGATAGTTCGGCCTTTTTGTTGGAAGGTTCTTATTACTTCTTTCATTCTACATGGTCACTTTGTCGACCACAACTTAAAGTGAGCTTGCGCACCCACTAGCATCCGCGCGCCTATTCGCCCAATCGAGTCACTCCACCTTCAGGCGGAGCAGTGCCGCATCAAGTACGGTCGAGAGGACCTTTGTGGACTGCTATCTCTTCACGGATTCTTACTCGGGCTGATACTTGATTGATCTTTGTGCTCGACCGACCTCGGAGTGTCTCTGAGTTATTCTTACTGAACTGATTCTTGACCCTCCCAATATGAATAGGCCAGGTTCGTCATTTTCTTCACCCTGCCGTGCCCTTGCCCGGCCTGTCTCCGGCCACAAGAGAATGCGTTAGATCCGAGTCGTGTCTCTGCTGCAAGATTGGCCTCGAAAGACGGATATATATTGCCCCGAATTCGAGGTCGAAGGGGCTTCGTGCTCCAATGGCATCCGTGGTGCAGATAGTTCCCTCATTTGCGACCGAGACATTTTTGCGAGGATCTACCGACACATTCTTGCGTTGGCCCAAGGCATGGGCGCTCTGATATGAGAAAGTGAAGATCATACTGACTCCTTGTGCTCGTGTGTTAGGACCAGGCCCGCAGCCGCTACGAGGCATGTCCGGATTCCCCGCGCCGCAGCAAGCACAGGCGCGAAATGCCACATTGGCCTCTGCACGATTGCCAAACGGAAAATTGGGTACGAACACTTCACCAGCCGATTGAGGTTCATGATTCAAAGATACGGATTGGAGGCTAATACTCGGGCCTATGACTGCAGGTGGCGCAGCGAATTGGAACTTCAATCTCCCCGTTAGCGGAGCCTCCACTCTACAAACCAACCAGCAACGTACCATCGGGACTATGGGCAGCTTTGCGCAAAGTCTTGGGGGCTCCCAGCCGGCAACGCCGTTAGACATGTCGTACGTGACTCGACATTGATGGGATCAATTGATCCATCTTTCTCGGAGTTGGCCGAGTTCGAATTGACATCTCGAGAGCTAACAGCGACGTTTGTTTTAGTGAATTCCCTAGCCTCTCAGGCGCGCCGCAGCAATCACAGTCTCAGAACCCGGGGCAGCTTGTGTGGGCCAACGCAAGCCAACGAGCTGCACAGCACACACCCGTTCAGAGACAACAGCCTCCTCCTCCGTCGCAAACCCCATCTCGAGCCTCTCAAACCCAGTCGCACCCTGCACAGCAACAGTCTCAACCTCCTCATGACGATATGTTTCCCTCCGGGGCTCAATTCGCCAATCGACTAGACGATTTCAGGAATGGTGGACAGGGTATCAGTAGTCAGCTAGGGGCGGGCAGTCAGCCTCAGACAGGCAACATCGACGAGTTCCCTCCTTTGGGTCGCAATGTTGCCGCCGAGCTAGGCCAGGACCGCCGGACCTCTCTGATGCAGAATGCGGGTTTTGGAAGCTACAATTCTAGTAAGACAGTTACGGGGAAAGGGACCGAAAGCCGGAATGAGTGGCTAACACGGTATCCAGGTATCGGGACATCGCGTTCGCCTGTTAACCAGGGACCTAATGGTGTGTTGGGGCAGGAGAAAGAAGTAGGTAGATCGGCGATCCTGTTCCAGGCCCCGCACTCACCGACACCGCAGGACTTGAACAACACCCTTATGTCGGGTCAACGCAACTTCAGCGATCCGCAACAACAATTGCAGCAAAGGCAGCAGCAGGCTACTGAGGGACAAGACGTTGCGGGCGGCGCCCAAAGTGCGGAGCAGCCGCCTCTCGCGCAGATGAACGAGCTAGATCGGTTCGGACTGGCCGGCCTCCTGCGCATGATTCACAGCGAGAGTCCCGACGTGGCTGGTCTCGCTGTTGGACAAGACTTGATGACCCTTGGTTTGGACTTGAATCAGCCCGAGTACGCCCTCATTTTCGGTCGCCCCGTCTTATGCAATTCCTGCTAACATTATCACGCCGTAGGCCTCTGCACACCTCGTTTGCCTCGCCATTTGTATCTTCCATGTCCGCCGTACCTTTGGAACAGGACTTCTCCTTGCCGTCTTGCTACAATGTCGCCAACATTCAGCCCCTTCAGTCTCGAATCCCCGGATTCAGCGACGAGACGCTCTTCTACATCTTCTACAGCATGCCCCGAGACATCATGCAAGAGCTGGTCGCGGAGGAATTGATGGGTCGCAAATGGCGGTACCACAAGCTAGAGCGCTGCTGGTTGACCCGCGATGAGACATATCCGGGCCCGGTCGATGTTGAGCGCGGCGTGAGTGAGCGTGGGGTCTATCTTCTCTGGGACCCGGCCAGCTGGAAGAAGATTAGGGTATGTGAATCACACAACTGACAAAGAAATAACGTGCTGACTGGCTGCGACAGCGTGAGTTTATTCTGCGATATGAGGATTTGGACAACCGGCTCGACCCCAACCGAAGCATGTGCCGTTCAGCTGGTCCGACACACGCTTCATGAGTTGATACCTATGAAGCCGAGTTGAGGCGTGGCGGAACTGATTTAGGTAATCAGCAATGGCGTTTGGCTTCATGGTTTCTGTAACTTGTTCCGAGGGTGGCCGATAGTACAGTGCAGTTCGGGATCTGGGCGCGTTGATTTATCGGAGAATCTGAATGGGTTATGTGGGGAACCAAGATATGATCTTACAATCAAATGGCCTTTATGACCTTGCATTTCCAGCATCTTATTATTTCGTCTCCTAGACCTCATCGGCTTTATAATTGACCTGCAACTTTAACAAAGAGATAATGATGGGCAGATAACAAGTGCTTGTCTTCAGGATCATGGAATTTGGCCCTAATTCTGAACAAAACAGCCTATTTGAAACATTCTCAATCTTTTCAAAGGAAACGAAACATCCAAAACATAGCCAAACAACATGTGATAAGCGAAGCTAGATGTCTTATACAACCTAGTATCGGTATACTTTCTTCACCATTTCTTGACTGCGGGCTTCTTACTGCCGGGCACTGGCCATATCCAATGGGCAAGAGAACAACACCTAGGGCTATTCACCTTCCTCTACTTTATCTGACCTACTAAAACGGGTTCTATCCTGACGGACTCAAACTCCATAACTAAGTACTCTCAACACTATCGGCAAGACGGTCGAGTGGTCTAAGACGACAGGTTTAGAATCCACCCTGAAATCCAACGGGCCCCCCTCTCCAAGAGGGGTTCCGATCCCCGATCTCCATTTGGGGCCATGGGTTCGAATCTCTTCCCATTTGGTCCTTAGTCCTCTATAACTAGATGGATGAGGCTTATCACTTTTTTTTGGCCAAAAATTAGAGTCATCTGTGGCACTATTCACTCACTCAGCGCCGCCTTTGCTATGTGGATTGGCGGCCTGGAACCAGATGACCAGGGTTCGGCACACTAGAACAAGGACGAACGGGAGATGGAATCTATAGAGCAAGTTGCTACTTATGTTCTAATGGTTTATTAAAAGCCCAAAGACCAGTGATTTAATAACACGCTTGTGAACTAGCTTGCACTAAACTTCATCAATGTACAGAACTATAGATTAACCATCAATTCTTAGTCATTTGAAATTCTCAATGAACAGGTATCAGAAACCTCAACACAGACAAAGTGCTCCTAGTTCGGCTTACGAGCAGTAGAAAGAATAGCCGTCCATTCAATAGGCACATCTCCATCCTTCCCGTAGCGGTCCTCCAAGTATTTCACCAACGCCGGACGAATCTTGTCCTCACTATCCTCGCGCTGCTTGGGTGTCCAAAAGGATTTGGCACCTATGGGGAACATTAGCATGACCATTTCCACGAATTCTGGAATGACTAGCGAGATAGCCTTAGTGTCGGCCTTCACGATGATATTCTCGAAGCCCCGCTGCTGAAGTTGCGATTTAATCCAGGGCACTGAGTGCCATTCGCCATGACTCAAGATAGAGAGGAACTCTTGAGTTGTGGGGAAGGGCAGGTTCCCGGGTATAGTTTCAAGGGCCTTGTGCACGACGGGGATCCAGCCAACTGGACGGATGTTAGTTCGGTGTGGCCAAGCGGGGAACTTGGAGACTTACGCTCAATCCAGGTAGAGAGAGCAATGGTACCTCCAGGCTGGAGAATACGAAAAGATTCTTGTACAAGTTCAAGTCAATAACATGATGGTATCATGAATCAAATGCTCCACTTACCATCAAGAGCTTCCAGAGATTTAGGAAGAGCCATGTAAGCTAGTAGGGAGTCAGAAATCGAGTCCCAAGTATCTGTGGGGATAGAAGCTTACCAAACGCAGTGATGGCATGCGTGTAGTGAGCGCTGGGTAGACCAGTTTCCTGTGCATCCACGACCTTGACTTCGGCATTCTGCCAACCCTCACGCTGAAGTCGGCCCCGGGTGTACTCCAGCATTGCCTCGGAAATATCGCCGCAAGTCAAACGCCAGTTTTCCTTGACTTTTTCATTTAGCTGCTGATGGAGAAGACTCGAGACAACCCCAGCGCCGCAAGCGTTGTCAAGCACTACGAGGGGCTTCTCTGGGTTGGCATTGGCATCCTTGACCAGGCCGCTCTGCTCGATCAGTGACTGCGCAAACTGTCCGGTAACCTTTTCGCCGGTTTTGTAGTTTCTGACGAACTTGTCCTCGTTAAAGATGCAATCCAAATCTTTCTTGGAAGTCATGGTAGAGACAAGTTTCGATGATCTGGTGGAGGTCTTCGTTGGACGTTGAAGTGAGGTGGAAGTTCGAAGAGACCGAGATATGCTTTGAATCATGAAATGTGTAAATTATGAAGATAGAAATGCTCTACATGTGTCCCTGGAGATGCTTTTATACGTTTCGGCTGGCAGCCTACGCTTGAATTTCAATCGACTGATTGTTCTACTATAGAAAGTTTCCGACATTGTGTCCGAGAGCATGGAACGCCTAACTGTTCTAGGGAGATCATTGGCGGCCTTCTTGTGAGAGTGCCACAACAGGTACAAATCAGCTGCCATTCTCAGAATTAGTATGAGAAGGTTAAGGCGGGTATAAAGGAGTGGCATGTGTTTCATTGGATCCAACACTGCACAGTTGAACGCGACGGAGAGTTTTTCGAAAGTCCCCGAGATGACTTAATATGGTCAGGTGCAGTCAGTACCTTGGGCGCCTAGGATCGACTGGTAAGCACAAGTAAACTTTTATCTTCAGTTCTTCCGCGAGTACATACCCAGTGTTACTCACCTCAAAAGGACTCTGCTGGTAATTATGAGTAGACGTATTGAACTTGTACAACCCCAAAGAGGAAATCCGGAATTACATTGCCCCGACAGACCGACCTGTCTAAGGCACGTGATATCACGCTATCCCATTAGGGTCAATCATAAACATCATCACAAACACGACCCCTCTCGTCCGCCGATTCCACCTCCGACGAGCCCGCGTTGCCAACCATGCGGATCACCGAGATTGTGATAGACGTGAGTTGCATGCACGACCAATTAGACCTACTCGATGCGCTGACCTCTTTGTGTTTCAGGGCTTCAAATCGTACGCCGTGCGTACGGTGATCTCAGGATGGTGCGCAGACCCTCTGTCGCATGCGAGGCTGGCAAGGATGCGACAATGGTGAAGTGATGCTGATTGCATGGTTTAGGGACGAATCTTTCAACGCAGTCACCGGCCTGAACGGTTCCGGTAAATCCAACATCCTCGATGCCATCTGTTTCGTTCTCGGTATTACGAACATGTCTACCGTCCGCGCGCAAAACCTTCAAGACCTGATCTACAAGCGCGGCCAAGCTGGTGTAACCAAGGCTAGCGTCACCATCGTTTTCGACAATCGCGACACGCCGAAATCGCCGATCGGATTCGAAGAATACGCCAATATCTCTGTAACCCGACAGATTGTTCTGGGCGGTACCAGCAAGTACCTGATCAATGGACACCGTGCGCAACAACAGACTGTGCAGAACCTCTTTCAGAGTGTCCAGCTCAACATCAACAACCCCAACTTCCTCATTATGCAGGGTCGCATTACGAAAGTCCTGAACATGAAGGCGGTCGAAATCCTGTCCATGATCGAAGAAGCGGCCGGTACACGAATGTTTGAGGACCGCAGGGAAAAGGCAAACAAGACAATGAGCAAGAAAGACTTGAAGCTGCGCGAGATAGAAGAGCTTCTGAAGGAAGAGATTGAGCCCAAGCTCGAGAAGCTCCGATCCGAGAAGCGCGCATTCCTCGATTTCCAACAGACACAAAACGACCTCGAACGCTTGACTCGTCTGGTTGTCGCACATGACTACCTGCGCGGTGGGGAGCGATTACGCGTTGCAGGCGACGAGTGCGATAACAAGAGGGCCAAGGTTCAGGCGCTGGAAGACAATGCCACTAGGCTGAAGAGCGAAATCGCACACTTGGAAGAAGATGTGAAGTCAGTCCGGGCCGCGCGCGACAAGGAGCTGCGCAAGGGCGGCAAGTTCCAAGGTCTCGAGGATGAAGTCAAGAACCACTCACACGAGCTGGTTCGTTTGACAACCGTCTTCGATCTGAAGAATTCCAGTATGGAAGAAGAGAAGGAGAAGGGCAAGGCCATTCAAAAGACCGTTAGCGATCTTGAGAAAGCGTTGAAGGAGAAGAGAAAGATCTACGACAAATTGCAAGCCCAATACGATTCTGCTAAATCCGAACTTGACGCGCAAAATGTCGAAGTTGAACAGAAGGAAGAGTTGCTCCAGACCTTGCAGACGGGTGTGGCCTCGAAGGAAGGACAAGAGAGCGGATATCAAGGACAACTCCAAGACGCAAGAAACCGTGCCAGCAACGCCGCCACGGAACAAGAGCAAGCGAAGCTTAAGATCAGCAACTTTGAGAAGCGGATTAAGGAGGAAGAGCCGCGCGCCAAGAAGGCCAAGGAGCAGAACTCGGGCCTGCTGAAGGACTTGGAAGGCATGAAATCTCAAGCCCAGAAGTTGGATGCGGAGCTCACCCGGCTTGGCTTTGAGCCTGGTAAAGAAGAGCAAATATACCAAGAGCAGTCCGGACTGCAGCGCGATATTCGTGACCTTCGCCAAAGAGCCGATGCCTTGAGGAGAAAGGCAGCGAACATCGATTTCAACTACACAGATCCCCACCCGAACTTTGATCGTTCAAAGGTCAAGGGTTTGGTCGCCCAGCTGTTTACCTTGAACAAGGACCAGGTGCAATCCGCCACCGCTCTAGAGATCTGCGCAGGTGGCCGCCTGTACAACGTGGTGGTTGAAAGCGCTGAAATCGGTACCCAGCTGCTGCAAAACGGCAAGCTGCGCAAGCGCGTAACTATCATTCCTCTGAACAAGATCTCCGCCTTCAAGGCCTCTGCAGAGAAAATCGGAGCTGCCCAGAAACTTGCTCCTGGAAAGGTTGATCTGGCATTGTCTCTGATCGGCTACGATGAGGAGGTCCTTGCGGCGATGAACTATGTCTTTGGTAACACGCTTATCGCCAACGATGCCGATACGGCCAAGAAGGTGACGTTCGACCCTTCCGTCCGGATGAAGAGTGTCACCCTTGACGGTGATGTCTACGATCCCTCCGGGACGCTCTCCGGTGGAAGTTCACCTAATTCCAGCGGAGTGCTTGTTACTCTGGGGAAGCTCAACGAGCTTACCAAGGAGCTCCGAAGCAAAGAACGCCAGCTTGCTACATTGGAAGACAACATGAAAAAGGAGAAGAAGAAGCTTGATGCTGTTCGTTCAATTAAGCAAGAGCTGGATCTCAAGACCCACGAGATCAAGCTCACCGAGGAGCAAATTAACAGCAACTCTTCGTCATCGATCATTCAAGCTGTTGAGGAGATGAAAGCAAACATTGAGCAGCTCAAGAAAGACATTTCCGACGCCAAGATTCGCCAAACCGAAGCATCCAAGGACATCAAGCGGATCGAGAAGGACATGAGCGAATTCAGCAATAACAAAGACAGCAAATTGGCGGAGCTGCAAACCTCGCTCGATACGCTCAAGAAGAGCCTCAGCAAGAACTCGGCTTCGGTGAAGGAGCTACAGAAGGAATTGCAGTCCTCTCGCCTCGACTCTGAACAAGTTGGAAGCGACCTTTCGGCAGCCGAGGAACAGCTGGCCGAGTCGATCAATACGCTGAAGGCGCAAGAGGAGGAAATTGATTCCCTCAAGCGAGAGCAAGCGCGACTCAAGGTAGATTCTGCACCGAGATAATACCAACGAGCTTCGACACTAATTTTCACAGGATACCCACGACATTGCGCAAGCTCAGCTGGAAGACGAGCGGGCCAAGCTTACAGGCTTCGACGAAGAATTGCGGGAACTCGAGGAAGCTATGAAATCCAAGTCCTCGCAGATCACCGAGGAAGGCTTGGAGATGCAAAAGTTGGGCCACCAACTTGAGAAGCTGCAGAAAGACCAGCACGCCGCCGCTCAGGCTGTTTCCCACATGGAGCAAGAGCATGAGTGGATTGCAGATGAAAAGGAGCATTTCGGCCGTGCAAACACACCCTATCACTTCCAGAACCAGAACATCGCCGAATGCAAGTCGACGCTGCGCAATCTGACGGAACGGTCTCAGGGTATGAAGAAGAAGATCAACCCCAAGGTCATGAACATGATCGATAGTGTCGAGAAGAAGGAGGCTGCCCTGAAGAATATGATGAAGACGGTCACTCGCGACAAGCACAAGATCGAGGAGACCATCATCAACCTCAACGAGTACAAGAAGGAGGCACTCTACAAGACCTGGGTCAAGGTCAACGGCGACTTTGGACAAATCTTCGCCGAACTTCTGCCGGGCAGCTTTGCCAAGCTCGATCCCCCGGAGGGCAAGGATATCACGGACGGTCTGGAGGTCAAGGTATCTCTGGGCAAGGTGTGGAAGCAGAGTTTGACAGAACTGAGTGGTGGACAGCGGTCCCTGATCGCTTTGTCCCTGATCATGGCCCTGTTGCAATTCAAGCCCGCACCGATGTACATCCTCGACGAAGTTGACGCCGCACTTGATCTGTCCCACACTCAGAACATCGGTCGCTTGATCAAGACCCGCTTCAAGGGATCCCAGTTCATCGTCGTGTCTCTGAAGGACGGCATGTTCCAGAACGCGAACCGTATCTTCCGCACACGGTTCAGCGAGGGTACCAGTATTGTCCAGGCACTGACCCCCGCCGACATGAAATGAGTATTATGAGTGATGTCGGCTGGTAATATTCCGTTCGTCTTTGTCTTTGGTTTTATTGGTGTCGTCCGATCCTGTGCATTATGGCTCCATAGCGTGGCAGCGGGTGTTTATGGGTTTAGAGTCCGGCTTGCTCCGGTTTTGGGAAGGGATATCGGTTCATGATCTATGCATTATGGCTTCTGGGTCTGCGCAGTCTCAATTTTGGGGTTTCGGGAGTATTAGCTCATTCATGTAAATCATTTTCTCTGCCTGTGCATGAGTACTGGGGTTTACAAACTACGCTGCTTCCTGTTAAACGATAACATTAACAACCTAAGCAATATTTTCCACCCGGACCTGTCTGCACTCATTATTTTTCTCCGGATTGGATGTTTCGCACAGAAATAGAGATTATAGATATATCTTAGAGGCACCTGCCTGAATAATGAATGTCTCGGAGTATACATGGGAAAACCGACCGTGGCTTTCGACAAGCGGTCAGTCCTGCCCATGAGGGGCGACCTCCGAGGATCGGAGAGAAATACATTCAACTCATATCGGATATTCAAAAGCATCTTTCTCGGTCATATCTCACCATCAGATCGAGCTCTCCGTTATTGGTGTCCAACGGCATCTCGGCACGTGCAGAGAACTCCGACCCGAAACTCCCACGCCACACCTCGCGCCTCTCTGAACTCGTGAAGCCGACTCGGACACGCACTTCTCCCAGACTCGACTTCGTGGCATCGCGACATTCCTACTTCCCACACGACCTCCTACCCAACCCGGAATTGTCCCGCTTCCGCAATCCGACCTTTGGCATCCTGACTCTACCCGACCCAACCCCATCCGAATCCGAATCTCGCGCCAAAGCACGATGCATGACGACGAGCCTTCGTTGAATATACCCTCCCTCCTCACACTGGCCGTGGTATCCTTCTTTGTGCTCCGATGGTTCTTTAACCGCGACGACAGTCCCTCTGCTGGTGGCCGGCCCCGCGGACGTGGGAATGCCGTTGACCCGGCCCAGGTGGACCAGATCTCGCAGATGTTCCCTCAGCTGAGCACTCGCGAGATCATGTGGGATCTGCAGCGCAATGGAGGAAGTGTCGCGGCGACGACAGAGAGGATATTGGCTGGGCGGGGACTGGAAACGGTACGTGTTGCGGTGGATGCCGATGCTCTCATCAGCGCCACATCGCCCGGGCTTCCTTCCTAGACTGGGAAATCCTTCGCTTTGAATATTGACTGACTGACGAAATATTGTAGCCACCTCCATCCTTCCAACCCCAGGTCGCTATGCCCTCTGCGAACGGCCCGGCCCGGCAGTCTACCTCTGTTGCTGCATCGACGTCAAAGGCGGATGGACAGGACTTGATATCACGGTACGGGCTGAGCGCAAAGCTCACAAGCGAGAGTGCAGAGGCTGCTTCGGCGACACCGTCCAAGAGCTCCTGGGCCCAGAATAAAGAAGAACGGCAACGGCTTCTTCAGAAGCGTCGAGACGAGATGATCCTCGCCGCGCGGAGGAAGATGATGCAGAAGGAGCAGGGCAAAGCCAAATGAATCGAATACCCGTGTTAAATAATCTGAACTTCTGTCTACGGCTTGTTGATGAACGGCAATACCCAGGACTGGTTGCCTATTGCGGGACATACTCTCCTACTCCTGTCCCGTGTTGTTCCCCGTCGTTTTGTATAGAGCGCTAGCATGTTGTATGGTGTTAGGTAAATTGGAATAGCCTTTGGTTATCACCGCTGTCATGAATGAAAAAACCGGGTATATAAGTCTATATACATGAACGTCGTTTGGGGGCATCGGTCTGCGTCACATATGCACCTTAACTCCAAAAAAAAAAGTCATACCCAAATGAGAAACCCCATACGCCTAGAATTCCATGTAGTCTTCCTCCTCTTCATCCTGAGTGCCATCGTATCCACCATTTGCTCTCTGCTCTGCCATTTGTTCTCGTCGGGCTTGTTCTTTCGACGCGCCGATTTTCCTATAAATTTTCAGCACGCGATCCTCACTAGATCTGGAAGTATAGAATCCAGTCAAATACATACCGTAGACCATCGACCACGCCAGTCAAGAATCCACGCTCTTCACCGATCTCCATCGCGCCGACACCGGTAAGAGCCACACCTCCTCCACCCATTGCCGCAGCGTCCATGACATCTACACCGGATCTCATCTTCGCCATGCGCACTTCACGAAGATCCTTCAGTAGCCGTCTGACCTGGTCCGGATCTACCAGATCATCACTCGCCGCGTCAAGCAACATATTCCCGACTTCGACCCAGTGGAAAGGTAATGGAGGTACTTCTGTGGGAGAAAATGTAGTCTGCGCAACATTCTGAGGAAGGAATGGCGGCGCCGGATAGTACTTTTGACCGTCCCTCGTATACTGCGGCCGGGCAGTTGGCATGACTCCATCTTGATAGTCCCGGACACTGGGCTGACCAGGCAGCCGGGGGGGTGGCGAGAATGCATTCTTATAGTCCTGGTGCTGGGACTCGATTTCGAGAAGGAGGCTTAGCGCTTCTGGGTGCAGCCATGGCGGGGGCATGATATTGGCACGGCGCTGGCGTTTGAGGAGCAGTGCAAGCCAGAGGGGCAAGGATGCGCGTCGTGGCGGGACGAGAGGTTCAAGAGGGCCCTGGGAAGTCAATTCGTGAGCTCAACACACGAATCATGCGAGAATACTTACCCCGAGTAGTTCCAGGCCCTCGAGGCGCTGGCGAGGCACCACGGTCACCGTCTCCATCTCCGCGAGAAAGGCGATCTCCGTGGGCGTGATGCCCCGCGGGAGAGGAAAGGCCATTGGCACGTCACGGCAGCGAGAGAAAATCAGAAATCACGAAGTAGCCAATTCGTCTCGAAAATGTCGTCAGAGCCCCATGTCCGGCGCGTTTTTGAATATGCGGAGTCTCGACGCGCGGATCGCGCCTCGACGATTGCCAAATGTGGTGTTTGGTGTGTTTGCACCGAAGCTTACCCACCTGTCGTCTTCCTCCGTCTTTCTTGAACAGTGCAGTTCGTTCTCCTCGGGACAAAATGAGTTCAGGTCCTGAATCGAACCTCAGCCGTGCGGCGCGCTATGCCGTCCCATTCGTCTTGGTCTTGATTCCCGTATGGAGGGCAAAGGTCAGCTCCGAAGTCCGCGAGCCGTATCTTGACGAGGTCTTCCATGTCCCTCAAGCTCAGGCGTACTGGGCTCATCAATGGACACACTGGGATCCGAAACTTACCACTCCGCCGGGTCTTTACCTGTGGTCATATCTCCTTTGCGCCGTCCTACTCGCTCTCCGTGGTTCTCCGACGAAGCTAGACACCGAAGCTCTGCGCACGACCAATGTCGCGACAACTGCCTTTTTCCTTCCGTGGAGGCTTCAGACGCTATCGGATACTGTGCATAATGTGCGGAATAGTCGGCAATTGGGTGCCTGGCTCAGCCATACCGTGTTGAACATCTGCATGTTTCCGCCGCTGTTTTTCTTCTCGGGGCTATACTATACGGATATCCTGGCGTTGTTGGCTGTTGTCGAGGCATATAACTGGGATCGTAAGCGAACATCTCGAAAAGGATACCGTGTGCTCCACACTCTGGGTTTCCTGGTTTTTGGACTGGCGGCGCTGGTTTGCCGGCAGACAAATATCTTCTGGGTCGCTGTTTTCCTGGGAGGGCTGCAAGTGGTTCGGCAGATTCGCACTTCCTCTAAGGCCTGTGAACCATCTGAAGTGTCTTCGATTGTCAAGCGTGGCCTGCAGGGCGAGGTGTATGATCCGTTGGTCTCAGACGCTTTCCTCTCAGGTATGTGGTTTTTCGAGATGCGCTGGCCAATACAATGCTAATTTGATGCAGATTATTTCAAGACCGCCATCTCCTTCGCCGTCTCGAGTCTTAAGAACCCCCTCTCGATTGTTGGATCTATCCTTCCCCATATCATCATCCTTGGGGCCTTTGGTGCATTTGTTCTCTGGAACAACGGTGTCGTCCTGGGTAAGCTCCCTCTGCACGCCATTGGCATCTCAGGGTTCTCAAACTGACACGTTTCTTGGACCAGGACACAAAGAGTTCCATACTGCCGGATTACACCTCGCTCAGATGCTCTACATCTGGCCCTACTTCGTTTTCTTCTCCTGGCCGATCCTGATCATTCCCGTGCTCAATGTTCTCCTGCCTCAGTCCATTCTGCCCAAGTATTTGAATTATGGTTTCCCTGAGAAACGGAAGAAGTTCCCGGGTATCCTGGCCTCCCTGGTCGTTCTGCCAATCATGCTTTCCATCGTTCATTTCAACACGATCGTGCATCCCTTCACTTTGGCGGATAACCGACACTATGTCTTCTATGTCTTCCGTCTCCTGCTTGGAGTTCATCCCGCCATCAAGTACGCCGCGGTCGTCGTCTACTTCCTTTGTGGATGGGCAGTGATTTCTGCCTTTGGATTTTCCACCGTCCAGACTCCGCCTCAACTCCTTCAAGTCCCTCCCGCAAAGCCGGCGTCTCCTGCCCCCGAGCCTACTCCCAAGGAAGAGCCGAAGGAAACCAGAAAGCAACTCCGGGCCAAGGCCAAGTCCGCACCCAAGAAGGGCAAGCAGTCGCAGCCGCAACCGCAGCCGCCGCGACCGAAGCCGATTTCACCGGAAGCATTTGCCCGGATGAGGGAGACTATCATGCAGCGGAAAGCACAGCAGAAAGAGGCGCCGCGTGTCAGCTTCGTACTTGTCTGGATTGCTGCCACTGCATTGTCCCTTGTCACGGCCCCACTTGTCGAGCCCCGCTACTTTATTATCCCCTGGGTGATGTGGCGTCTGCACCTGCCGCCGTCGCCGACTCCCGTAGCGCTCCGTCAGCAGCGTCCCGCTGATGAGAGCGAGAGAGTACGTGCAGACCTAGCTACTAATGCCCCCAAGTTCCTTGAGACTGCGTGGTTTGTTGCTATTATCGCGATTACGGGATATGTCTTCCTGTACAAGGGCTTCGAGTGGCCGCAGGAGCCAGGCAAGATTCAACGGTTCATGTGGTGATAGTTGCGTCACTGGCGTGTCTCTATTTTAGAGATGTGCATGTACATTAGTTCAATACCTGTATTTTATCGCTTAGACAAAAGTCTCGTTTTTCACCAGTCTCTCTCAATGATGAAAACATTATAAAGTGCAAGTCGGCAGATCAGCGGGCGGCGGCCATACTTCGCCGTACACCTCACCAATCACCTCATCTCATCCATCCCCAGGCCGAGGTCCACACCGAGTATCAACAACCCCGAATGCTTCTACGATTTGTTCAAATACAGAATTGCGTATCTCATATTCACCGCCGGGTCACTCTCAGTTCATCAAATTTTCCCCGCGAGCCATCCACACTCACGCGAAATTTCACTTCGCTCAGGCATCCTGGCCTGCGAGCTGGTGGATTCCGACCCCTGGTGATGGAGCGCCCATCCAAACGGGCAAGGCTGTCTCCAGACTCAAACAAAGGTGATGCGGGCCTCCATAGTACGTCCTCGATGCCGTTGGCTTCTCTACATAGGGCAATCACCCCGCCGCCACGATCGCGCTCTCGACCGCTCTTGACACCCAGTGATGCCTGTCCGGAGCTTAAAAACGATGAAGTCTTGACCCAAGAACCTGAACTGGCAGAGGCCAGCAGTACTCCGCCACCTCAATTCATCCCATCACCTATCCAGCTTACTCACATCAAAGACTTCCCCGCCAGTAAAGGTTACAATGTCGACGCGGTTAGATTGCGCGATATCCTTGGGGATCCCATGATCCGCGAGTGTTGGAACTTCAATTATCTATTCGATGTGGACTTTGTAATGTCTCAGTTTGACGAAGATGTTCGGAGCTTGGTGCAAGTCAAAGTGATGCATGGGTCCTGGGAGAGAGAGGCTGCGAATCGGATTCGGGTGGAAGTAAGTTCTCCGAGGGCGATGTCTCGCCTCCATCTCGTCTCTCAAATCCGTTCACCTGAGATTTGTTTAAGAATGGGAGTTGACATGACGTTAGGAAGCGTGCTCTCGATACCCCAATGTTGAGCCTATTATCGCATACATGCCTGAACGGTTTGGTACACATCACTCGAAGATGATGATTCTTCTACGACACGATGATTTAGCTCAGTGCGTTTTTTGATTTTCACATGTCTTGTTCTGGCCTGATTACTGACCTCACCAGGATTGTGATCCATACGGCTAATATGATCCAGCAAGACTGGACGAACATGACGCAGGCCGTATGGCGATCACCATTACTTCCTCTGAGTCCACCTGGATCCCGCGCTTCATCACAAACATCCTCGAATATCGGTAGCGGTGCACGCTTCAAAAGAGACCTGCTCTCATACTTGAAAGCATATGGGCTTAAGAAAACCGGCCCCCTGGTTCAGGAGCTCAATCGATTTGATTTCGGCGCTATCCGTGCTGCACTTGTCGCAAGTGTTCCCTCCAAGCAGAATGTCAGTTATCTCGACTCGGAAAAGGCCACTCTGTGGGGCTGGCCTTCTTTGAGAGACCTCATGAGCCGTATACCTATCAGAAAGCAACCCAGGGATGGAAAGACTCATGAGCCGATACCTCATATCGTTGCTCAGATTTCTTCAGTGGCCTCCCTCGGTCAGACAGACAAATGGCTAAAGGATGTCTTTTTCAAATCACTCGCACCAGCATCGACGAACCCCCAACCCAAGTATTCCATAATCTTTCCAACCCCAGACGAGATCCGCCGCTCCCTGGATGGCTACAGTTCCGGAGGATCCATCCACATGAAGATCCAAAGCGCACCGCAGCTCAAACAGCTACAGTACATGCGTCCGCATCTCTGCCACTGGGCAGGTGACAGTCCCTCCAACACTAATTTCATGGATTTGTCCGAATTTCAACCTCCCAAGCGCGACGCTGGACGCCGTCGGGCCGCACCTCATATCAAGACCTATATCCGCTACTCGGATGCGAATACAATGGAGACCATCGACTGGGCGATGGTAACGTCGGCAAACCTGTCCACACAGGCCTGGGGCGCAGCCACCAATGCGAATGGAGAAGTGAAAATCTCCAGCTGGGAGATCGGCGTGGTTGTATGGCCAGAGCTGTTCGTGGACGGTTCTGCCTCTGGGAACTCTACGTCGGGATCTTCATCCGAACTGATGGTACCCTGTTTCAAGCGAGATCAACCCAGCTCGCCTTCAGGCACCCTGGCGAAGGAAGCTTCTACGGTGGTTGGATTCCGGATGCCCTACGATCTCCCGCTTACACCATACAGCGCCTCGGATGAGCCATGGTGCGCAACAGCCTCCCATGATGTTCCCGACTGGCAAGGGCTATCTTGGTCTGTTGACGGTTGAGCTGCTTCTATAGGCTTTCTCTAAACTTGTTTTACGGGCACTACCCAGCGGCACACTGACGCATTTACCTCCGTTTATGTTATGTACAGGACGCTGAGCGTACCAGTCATTCGTGACGCATCGCTTGGTTTCTGAATTCATAGCAATTCCATAAGATATTCCATCATTCTATTCCTCCAGTCGGCCCTCATTCCAGGCCCGACCATATATGCCCCTTCGCCAATATCACCGTCCGGCACATTACTCGTCACGAAGACCGTACTTGCCAATGAATTCGTTGACCTTCTGGATGTAGATAGCCTGAGCCTTCTGGTCGCTGTAGTGCTTGACCTTGTCCCACTCGCCGTAGAGCTGCTTCTTCTGTAGAATGGGAAAGAGACTATATTAGCAATCCGAACACTTCACAACCCATATCAAGGACAAGACTCGAGTAAAAAGTAAACATACCACCATGTCAAACATGCCGGGCTTGTCGGGCACAACATTGTTGCCGATCTTGAAGTAAACCCAGAGATCCTTCTTCTCGAAGGGACCAGGAGCAGTCTTGAGCATCATGACCAGCTTGCCAGCGAAGTCGAGACCCTTCTTGAGAGCGGCGATCTGAGCGTCGTCGGAGAGCTTATCCGACTCGCCCATGGCGAGGGCAGCCTCGACGGCAGCCTTCAGGGTAGCGGCATCAATGCCAACGGCGGCTTCCTGCACCTCGGGGGTGAACTTGGCTTTGCTCTGGGCGGCCTCGAGGGCGGTGATGAAGTCGGTGATGTCGGACATTGTGTGTGATGTGTGATGAGGGGAAGAAAGAGAGCTGGGGAGGAGCTTGGAGTGGGTTTGTTGAGGAGGGGCTCGGATGGTGGGGTTGCTGACAGTGCAACTCGCCAGTTTGTTGTACGTTTTGCATGGGTCAACCTTAATTCCAAGGGTTGGGGTAAGGTTTACGTGGGTAATCAAAGCGGTTTCCAAGGTTGGGGTGAGACATTGAATAAGATTGGAATAACCGCTATGCAACTGTATTCTAGGTATGCAGTTATTGATACAAGGGGACTGCCCGAACGCGACGCCGATGCAAGCCGACGCTGCATATCACTCGCAATGCACCATGGAGAAAAAAAGAATGTACAAGAAATAAACCTGGAGGCAACCGCCCAGTATCACCAATCCACAGCCCACCCGTTCTTATCCAGGAACTCCTCACAAGCCGCCTTGAGCGCATAGTTAGGCCGCAAATCATTGACCGTCATAGAGACACGAGTGAGCGGATCGACACCCGATTTCTCAACGTACTTGACGATACCAATGCGATCAAAGCTGTTACCGGCCGGCGTAACGACCGGATCGTGCATGACCTCGAATGTAATGCCGTCAATCAACCAGTCCGGCACAACCTGCACAATGTCAACACATGACTTTGGAAACGGAGGAAAGAGAGACAAAACTTACTCGCTCGGCCACCTCGCCTTTGGACGCAATGCGAAACATCTCCCTCAGATCACGAACCTTTTTCTCCATATCCGCCCTAAGCGCCTTCTCATCCTCCACAAACCCAATCTGCCCAACCTCCCCGCGCTCCAACTGCCCCCGCAACTCCACCAACGACCGCTCCAGCTCCGTCTCAAGAAGCACCTCGACACTCTTGAGCGTCTCATCCATCTCCCGCAATCGCGCCGTCTCCCGCGCCTCCCATAGCTGCTGCTTCGCGCGCAGCACGGTCTTGGAAAGATTCTCGGTCTGGGGACTCTTGGCGACTAAACTAGCCTGGTATGCGTCGATGGCGACATCGTAAGCTTCCTGCGGGCGATGCAGACCCAGTAGTGCCTGCGCGAGGTACCAGCAACTTTTGAGGGATGTGGGGTTCTTCAGGCCGTAGAGGTCAATTGCGGCGCGGGCGTCGTGTTCGACTTCGGCCCATTTCGAGAGCTTGATGCGGGTGATTGCGCGGTTTGTGAAAAAGGTCGGGTCGGTTGGGTTCTTCTGGATTCTGTCGGAGGTGAGTATGTGTGGTATCAATTGGCGCGTTCAGGTTGCGCGGTGGAGTGGTTGCCGTACGCTTGTGAGAAGTAGTCTTCGGCGCCGCTGTAGTCGCCCGCTTTGTAGAGCTCGTTGCCCTTTGCTTTTAGCTCCTGCGCCATCTTTGATCGAGTGGGTGTGTGAGGGAAAGGTGTGGTGGGCTTTGGAGTCGCTGATCAATCAGTTCCCCAGGTGGGGCGGCCCACTGCAGCGAGGATCAGGAACGATGGGTTTCTCGAATAGAGTGCATGAAGTTAAAAGTTGAGGATGATGAATTGAACTCGGATGTAGGTTATATACAGATGAGGTTATCTCTTTCAATTGCTCTTTACGGAGAGTTGAGTGGAAAGTCAACATGGCAGAAGTGCATCGATCCCCGCAGAAGAACGATGACTCAGCAGGGCTACGATCGAGGCTCAAAGAAGGCAGTAATAGTTCAAGCATGGTTCGACAGCCAAATCTAAACGATACATGTGCAGACTGCAATTTTGTATTGTAAAATGTACAGGGGCGAAAGATAAGAGCTTTTAAATTCGAATCCCAACCTCCGCAGGACTCAACATTCAATTCGTGGTATCATGATGCGCTTTGAATAAATAACAGACGGGACAGTGCCTTGCACCCAGGCACAGGCCAGTATATTCAAGAGGTTGGTGATAGGCGATCCACCATAGTATTCGGGATCCTCATATCAGTATCCCCATATAACACGATCCACCATTTACGAAGAGCCGGCGAACTTGGCCTCGTAGTCAGAGATGGCCTGGACCTTGGCGGCAGAGGCACTCTTGGGGTCGAAGCGGTAGTTGAGCCAGTCAACGGCGAGCTTCTTGGCCAGCTCGACACCAATGACACGCTGGCCCATGCAGAGGACCTGGGCGTCGTTGCTCAGAATGGAGCGCTCGACGGAGAAGGGGTCGTGGGCAGTGACGGCGCGGATGCCGGGCACCTTGTTGGCGGCGATGGCAACGCCGAGACCGGTGCCGCAGATGAAGAGACCGCGATCCGCCTTGCCCTCCTTGATGAGCTTGGCACCCTCGACGGCAGGGTGGGGGTAGGCAGTCTTGTCGGAGGCCGTGTTGACACCGACATCAGTGATGGACTCGACCAGAGGGTTCTTCTCCAGAAGGGTCTTGATGGCGTCCCTGTAAGGAACACCGGCCTCATCGCAGGCCATGACGATACGGAGGGGCTTCAGGTCGGCGGACATTTTGAAGGTATAAACAAAAATTGTTCGGTATATGTATATGTATAAAGAATTGTAATGAGAGTGTTGTAACTAGCACAACCGGAGTGCGGCCGAGGGGCTTCTTATACCCTCGCGCTGGATAGCATTCCGAGGGTCATGCCAGAACCATACCCCAGAGGTGGAGACGGTTGAACGCAGTCCTCCACTCCAGTTCATGACCTCTGGTACACCACGTATTCGTTCAGACGCACTGCCCCGCCTATGGCGTCATGGGCCGGATCGGTGTGTGGTGAGTGGATGCAAGTCGGGTGGCTCGTCAATGCCGTACGCCGTGGTACACATCCGGTACGCGGTCCTTATGTACCTCTCTATACGAGAGACTGAAGCCCGTCCATGCCATGGGCACAAAGGTGGCGGCGACAACCTGTCAATTAGATGTGATCTGTGCTCCGTGTCTCATCTTCGGCAGACCTGCCTGGTCTCACCCCCTCGGCGCTAGCTGACTTAATCCCGGAATGAAAACGCCCGTGCGAGACTGCAACGGCCGGATGAGGGGTTTGTCTCGAGCACATCGGAATAGGACCATACCGGTCCGGGACCCAGGATGCTGATTGACCTCTTTCCAGGGTCGATGCCGACCATTCTGTCATCGTTCCGATGAAAGCCACAAACCTGATAAGCTGTGGACACCTAGTGTTTTGCAGTAATGAACTACAGTGCTATCCGGCCCATCTTCAAGCGCCAGTCCACTCTTGGGCCTTGGAACTCAGCCCATTCGCATAGAGCTAACGCATGAGGGGCAGTCGATTGATAGTATCCATTGGAGGCCATCGGCGATGGTAATTGCCCCACCGTGACTCCACCGTCGATGATGCCGTTGGTCCACAGGCCGCCCGCAAGAGAGCCATCCCGCAAGTATGAACCTACTCCGGATTCTGAACTCTGGACTCCGAACTCTGGTCTGGGGTCGCCGATGGTTGCGTGTGTATGCCGGGGATAGCACGGGTGCCGTAGCACCGGGGTGTAGAAGATCCCGGAGTAGAGCAGAGCCACATGCGGACACGCCAATACAAGGTGACAGACCTAAGAGAGCCCAGATCCTCGGGAATAGTCTCATTTACCTTCCGCTCAACCGGTTTTAGCCTGGCTTGCCACGGTTTCCCGCTTCTGGTATTTGGTGCCTGAGAGAAACCTGGCACTGACCGTCAACGCTACCTATCAGCATTGCGAACCGGGTTTCTGCCTTTAGGCTTTACCCCTTTCATACATGTACATCATCCCCCTGTCGCCCCCTGTTGCAATCTTGAGCCGCGGGGTTTACATCCACAACGCCTGGTGACATCATATCCGATCTTTCACGCCCAGTCCGTGCTCGATCCCCTCCGGAGTAAGTAGGGAACGTCCCCTTGGTGCAGCCATGGCGGCCGCTAATGCGTGCGCGGGATGGCGCTGGCGCAGGTGCCCAGACCAGCCTAGAGACAAAAAAAAATATCTCACCCCTCACGGAGGCCAATTGTTTATTTCCCCTCGGGCAGATCTGGATTGCATATGAAACGGAATAATTAGACACCGACGTAGTCGATCCTGTTTGTCCGGGGAAACCCAAACCCTTTGAACTCGGTCCAAAACACATCATTCGACGCTCGACACTCAACTCACAACTCACAACTCCTGCCATGGCGCCCACTACCTACCCGGTGCTTCCGGAGAAGCTGCTTCTCATCTCGCTGAAGATGTACTTCACACCGGAGCGCACCCTCAGCTACGTCCGCGCGCTGCTCGACCCCGCAAACGAGATCGTCCGGCCACAAAATCGCGAGAAGCTCCTGCTGGCCTTGATCCCGGACTTCCTGACCATATGGCCATGTGCCGACATCATCAGGGAGTACGAGAGCAAGCTCGCTGCCTCCGGTATCCCCACGTCGCCGCCCCCGTTCTTCCTCGGCGCCCAGGACTGCATGTGGGAAGAGTACGGTGCCTATACTGGCGAGGTGTCGCCGGCTGCGATCAAGTCCCTCGGCTGCTCAATCGTCGAGCTGGGCCATGCCGAGCGCCGTGCAATCTTCGGCGAGACCGATGAGCAGACCGCGCGCAAGGCCGCTGCTACGAGTGCCCAAGGTATGGTACCCCTCGTCTGCGTCGGAGAGGTCACCGCCCCTGGAGCCGTGGCCTCGCTGGCTGTCGGCCAGGCGGTTTCCGAATGCGCAGTCCTCGTGCAAGCCGTGCTGAATGCCATCCCCGCGGAGGCACCCGTGATCTTCGCCTACGAGCCCGTGTGGGCAATCGGTAAGCCCAAGCCCGCGGGCGTCGATCACGTCGCCGCAGTCGTGGAGGGCATCCGCGGCGTCATTGGCGCTCGTCCTGGCACGGCGCGGGTTCTCTACGGTGGCAGCGCAGGACCCGGGCTCTGGGGCGCCGGCGGACTGGGCAAAGCCGTCGATGGAATGTTCCTGGGCCGATTCGCACACGAGATCGAAGGCGTGCGCAAGGTCGTCCGCGAGGTGGAGGAGACACTGGGTGTCGCCTGAATGACCAGCCCATAACCATCATCCATCATCCTAATGCCAACGATTAACTATGTCACTGTCGAACACCTGTGTATTGTGGTTTCGTGTTTTACACTATACGGTCACCGTTATACCCAAAAGGCATAGAAGCCCACAATGGGCCTAGACAGTGCACTTAAATGTGGCCCACGCAAGCCAAGCAGGGGACGCCCCGGCTTCACGGGAAACCTAAACTGGGGATCCCGGGGCCGATGGAGTCTCTAGCTGTCCGTGGCGCACACAAAAATGGAGAACTGGTGGGTTCTTTGGAGCTGCGTGCACCCCCACGTCCCTGTCACGCGCTGATCAAAAATCGTTGTTTCTAAAGCTTTTCGATCTGCGTTCTACTCGGGGCTTTTTATTCGGCACTTTCCCCTTGGCCTATGGATTTCAGATGGATCCAAACTGGACCCTATGCTCTATGTGCCCCTCAAGTGGGCGCTGTGGGACTCAATTGCTATTTTTTTTTCACTGATCGAGTATCCCGAGCTCGTCCTGACTGACGGCCCCCGCGGCACTGCCCGACCAGGCAGGAAGTGGCTTTATTGCGTCGCTGCATCCCGCACTTTTCGGACAAGCGTGCTAGACGGAGAAACTCGACTGGCGATCACTGAAGCGATTATTACTGATAATACGAAATTTAATGCAGAATCCCTGTTCCATGCTATGTACAATAATAGTAATCTATCCGTTTTTTTATCCTTCGCGTACACCGCTTCATTTCTTCTGGAGCTCCTCGCGCAGCTCCTGCTTCACCCGCGTCACGGTTCCAATACCGCCGTACACGATGCCGGTGTACATCATTGCAACCGAGGCTCCGGCATCCAGCACCTGGCGCGCCTGCTGGCCGGTGGTGATACCTCCCGAGGCGAAGATCACCTTGCGCGGGGAATCGGCGGGGTTCTGGTTGGCATCGGTGGGTGCGTCGGCCTTGGACGGGGGACCTTGGTCGAGCATGGCGCGGTAGCGGGCGACTAGAGCGACGGAGCGGTCAAAGAGCTGCGGGCCAGAGTAACCGCCTGTCTCCTTGAGAGTCTGCTGCTCGTTGGGAGGGAGAACAAAGCCCTGGGGGAGAGGGTCGGGCCGGCGGTTGGTGGTGTTGCCGACGATGACACCGTCGACACCGGAGTTCCACACGGCTTCGCAGATGCCTGAGATCTGCTCGTCTGAATCTTCATCCGGGCTGACCTTCACCATCACTTTTGGCTTGGTCTTGCGGTCGACGTTCTGGGCGGAGCCCACGACGGCAGTCAGGATTGCGGTTAGCGGAGCTGCGGCTTGGAGGTCGCGCAGGCCCGGGGTGTTGGGGCTCGACACGTTCACGACGAGAATGTCGGCGTACCGCGCGACACGGTCAACACAGTAGACGTAGTCGCGCTTGATGGCGTCGATGTCTCCGTCGGGTGTGAGCTTGTTCTTGGCCACCTGCACTGCGAGCAGCTTGCCGGGAACCAGACTTCCCGGGGGCACGTTGGCCTCGCCGTCCAGAACGCGCTGTGCGGCCTGCTCGTGCTCGCCGAAGCCAGCAGCGTAGGCAAAGTCAACCACACGCTGTTTCAGTACATCGGCCATGTGGTCGGCACCCTTGGAGTTGAGGCCGTAGCGGTTGATCATGGCGTGCTGCGAGGGTAGACGGAACACTCGCGGCTTGGGGTTACCGTCCTGTGGCAGGGGAGTAGTGCCGCCGACCTCGACAATGGCAGGTCCGATTTCGAACAGCGGGTCGGGGATGTCGGCATGTTTATCCAGACCGGCGGAGATGCCGATGGGGTTGGAGATGGTGTAGCCGAAGACCTAAGAATGATTGTATCAGCGTGGGTCTAAACAGGATCGAATGGCACAACATACCTCGGTGGACAGAACGCCATCTCCGTCCGGGTTACCGCGTTCGCGAGGGTGAAGACCATACCGATAGAGGGTCTTCAAATTGTCCACACCAAAGTGGTGCGCATCCTCCGCATCAGGATAGATCATGCGAATAAGAGGCACCAGGCCATACCGGTGAATGCTAGCCCGGGTATCAGTACCATAGATGTATCCCACCAACAGCACAAACGCCAACGAAGTGCCGTAAAGACCCTTCCGCGATCCACGACCAGCTCGCTTGGGGATCTCCTTGACTTCTTTAGGAAGTTCCTTGGGAGCCTCCTTCACAGCCTCAGCTGCCTTTGCAGGGGCCGAGTCCGAAGCATATCGTGCAGTGCTGGGGCACCGCTCGGCCCGTGACAGAAAGGCCGAAGGTCGTTGAGTCCAACGGGAGGCGGGGAGGGCGCGAGCCCGGAGGCTGTTCCTCCAGGCGATTGTCGCAGAACGGGATGTCATTTGGGCTGTACAATGCGCGTAAGCTTAATTGGACAGTCTCGGCGAGTGCGCGCCGGTTTGGACCTGGTTGATGTTAGTTCCTTAGATTCCCAATCCCAGTGTTTGTTGCTGCTTGAGCTTTGAGTCCGGTTGAATTGACCACGAGCTGCTTTGCGTCCACGAGATAATTTGAGAATGAGGAGCGACTTACTCAGGTAACTGCAATTGCTCCGAGATTCCGCAGCGCAGCGCCCTTGCAGATCGAAGCATCGCAGGGCGGAATCGGGATCTTTTGCAGACGCGGGCGGTGAGCGGGGCTGCGTTGCCCTGATTGGCCTATACCACAATTGACTTGATACATACTCCAGAACTTCAACCAGCTGTTGATAAGATGGTTAAGATGGTTGTTGATACTTCTCGAGGCATAGGTCTGGTAAGGAACCTTACAAGCTGGGCCCTCTGAATAAAATCAGCACGCTTCCCTGTTCAACTGATGATCCAATTACATCTCGACTCTTATGTCCAACCTTGGAACCAGCAAGAACATGGACAATGCAATGCGTACATAGGTAGGTATTTGTACTATTGGGAATCCAGGAATTCTAAAGGTACATAACGCCTTTTTGTCTCACTCCCAGACGCCAGGCTCCATAAGAGTACTCCGAAGTGCAATGTTCAAGAAAGGAAATTCGCGCATGCATCACAATAAGAAGCCTCTCCCTCTACTCATCGCTCATTCGAGTGTCCTCGTCAGCTGCATCAGGAGAAGCTGCATTCTCACCAGCATCGCCCTCATCGGGCTGCTCTTGTTCCTCGACAGGAGGCTCGGGTGGTGGGGGTAGTGTGCTTGCGAACTTCGGGTCGATGTTCGCGCGGTGAAGAGAGCGTTTGTACATCTCAGCCTCGTCGGGGTCACGAACCACCACCTGCATCTGGTCGATTTGGTCCTCCTGCGTCTGAGATGCATTGGGGGCCAGGCCGGCTTGCGCGATCGTGCGGGCACGCTCGGGCTTGAGACGAGTCTTGCCAAGAATCGGGTAGTAGTAGGCGGCCAGCTGCTTGTCCTCGCCCTCGGCGGGTGTGAAGAGAGTGAGAGCGATGTCTCTCTGTTTCTGTTCAGTGTTGAGAGACTGCATGCTGGTGGCGTAGGTGCGGGCACGGTCATAGCGATGGAACTTCGTGCCATCAGGTCCTTCGTGGGTGTAGAGGCTTTCGTCGTCGCGGTTCGGGTCGTTGATGTTCATGCTGGTGCGGATATTCTTGGCATTTTCAGGCTTCTCGGGCAAGAGAAGCTCGTAGTCGAATGGAATCGGACCAGGGTCCGGGTAGAGATTAGGGTTGGCCTCATGAAGTGCCGCCTTGGAGGCATGATCTTGGCAGATGCGTTCCTCAGGAGCCCCGGGGGTGAAGCAATGCAACTTCCATGCGCTTATCGCGCTTGCCAGCAATGCCAGCAACCGGCGCCTTGTCGAACTTGAACTGAACATAGCCACCAGGATCCGGGAAGCCCTCAAGATCAGGCAAGACTGGGAAGAAACCAACGGGCTTCAATTTCGGGTTGTCCGGGTGGACGGGGTTTGCCCAAGCGTCAGTATCAGCCTTCGTGGCGGGAAGACCACGGATACGGCTCTCTGTGTCTTCTCCCATGTGCTTGCTCTCGGGGTATGCAACATCGAAGCCCTTCTGAATGAATTTCTTGATGTGCCGCGGGTCATCCACTGAGACCTTGCCCTTCTTACCAGGGCGGGCCTGAGCTCTGGCCGGCGTGCCCAGTGCTGCTGCTGCGCGATCAACTGAGATGTGCTGAGTGCGACGAAGGAAGCTGACATTCGTGTTCTTGGGAGCAGGGTTGCGAAGCTGATCAAGGGTCATCAGCAGGGGGAGGTCTGCCTCGTCAAGAGGACCGGGGTGCTCGGGAGCCATGATAGCTGTATTGCAATTCCATTAGCGACCAGCCATTTCCTTCTGGATCAATGAAAGGCGCATACGTACCACTCTCATCTCCCAGGTGAAGACCCGGGATACCAACAAGGTCAATGGGCATACCGCCCTCGGCATCAACATCAACATTGGGTTCCTCGCGACGTGCCAGGTTCGATGCAAAACCAGGAGTGAGGAAACGGCTCAGGCCTTCATGGGGAATATCGAGGAACTTTGGGGGCATTTCAGGTGGAGGGAGGTCATTGCGGTAGCGCAGAGATGCGATGTACTCCTGATGGAAGCCGCCAGAGGACTGGCTTTCCTTGGACTTGGAAGACATGTTGCGGTCGATGTGAATATCAGACTCGCCGGAGCGGGATTCGAATTCGGTGACCAGCTCAGAGCGAAGATAAACAGCCGGGAGGAATGGGATAGAAGGACGGATGGGTCGAAGTGGATCGCGAGCTGGGTGAGTGCACTCGTAGATTCAGAATTGCGGAGAACCCCAGAGGGCAAGAGTCGGGCGTGCGAACAGATGCTGGCGAGCATCCCAAGATCGACTCGATGGCCTAGCATTGTTGGCCATTCTGCCGGTCCAGACCGCCTCCTCTATAGAAACGAGACGGATGATGTCGGAAGAATAATGGTCCGAAGTATGAAAGGTCACGTGGTTCACGTATTCACACAGGCGCGTCGACGAAGAGAAACAACTGAGCAATTACGCTCTAGTGGTGAAAGAATGCCTGCAGAAAACCAATAATATTGTATTTGATTCAATCAAGAATAAATCTTTATATCCTAGACACCCGTTGCATAGACGAGAAAGACATCACAAAAAGCACTCTCTTAATAAGCCCACATGCACTTGTAGGCCATCAAACGGTGACCCAACCGATCATACTCTAGCTGTCCAATCCAGCTATCATTAGTCCCACTCAGCTTTCCAAAGATACTAGCCCCCTTCCATACGACCACCTGTGGGTCCATCTCTCGTGGCGGCATACCAATCATGATATCCTTCGCAAAGCCTGGGCGAAGCATTTGGAGCCGCTCCTCCAGGAACAGATTGAAGCCACTCGTCAGACTACCGCCACCGACAATCATGATACCGCCGATGAAGTCACGCATCTTCTTTTCATCAGATCGAGCGGCGTGTGCGATGGAGGTTAAGATGGCATTGTCCAAGGCATAGACGGGCAAAATATCATCGCGATATTCTACCGCAGAGCGGGCCGGCTGAGTTGTCGGCGCGAGTGCAGCAGGGGTACTGGCACCCGCCTGGGGAGTTCCTGCAGCTTCTGGCGCCGGGGAACCAGCAACGGAAGAGCGAGGCGTAGCCTCCTGCTCCTGGAGTCGACCCAATACGCTGGGCTGCTGGGGTTTGCTGGGAGTGGCTTGGACCTCCGCGGGTACTCCTGAAGCGTCACCATCTTGTTTTTCGCCGGGGGAAAGCGGGGGCGCAAGAGCAGTCATGATCTCGGACTGAGCCCCAGAGGCAGGATCATTCATCTGACCATCGTAAATGTCAACAGAACGATCGATCAGTTTTCCACGTCCCTTGAGTTTGTCGCTGTTGTCAAACAGTGTTGGTTCGAAGAAACCCATTGGGGCCAAGTGAACTTCATCGAAAGCTTTAAAGTTATGCTTCACAGTATCTTGACCTGAAACCCGGAGATGGAAGTCAAAGACCTGCGGAGAAACACTGGCCTCGTTCATCGTGCAAATATTCTTCTTCAACTCCTCGGCCAGCAGCCAGTCGTACCGTCGCCACAGATCTATATCGGCATAGGGGAAATGGTCATGCAACATCATCTTGATGAAGGTTTCGGTGACATCTCGGCCGCCCATTTTCAGGTTCACGCGCGAGTTCTCCAAGCACATACCTTCCTCCACGCAGCAGATCGACGTTTTCTCTGCTCCAACATCCACCACACAAGCAGAGGTGAAGCCGGCACCAAATGTTGCCGCAAGGCTCTCTTGGATGAAACACACCCGCGCAAATGCGAACTCCCGCATCAACATCTCCAACACTTGATTGACGTAGGACTTCTCGTACAGGTCAGGGATGACGAACACACAAGAGTACTGGGGCCAGTCTTTCTTGCTGGACAGACCCAGTTGATTCTTGATTGCATCTTCCAGGATCAGCGAAATGTCCAAAAACAGCATTTTCTTGCTCTCGTAGTCCCGTTCATTACACCATCCGTGCTTGATGGGCCAATAGAGCTTGTAGCGGGGATTTGAGGAGTCTGGAACCCTCAATGCAGGCTGTCCAATGATGTACTCTGGCGGAGGGTTGGACAGCTCGGTCCAGTCGACGCGCAGGGGGTCGTTGTGCTCTGAAATGATTTCGGGGTTCGTCCTCCGGTTATAGTTGACCACCATTTCTTTCGAGTTGGGCAACATTCGTCGTTTGTTTTGTCGCATGTGCACCTTGAGGTCTGCCGACATTCGGTTGAAGTGAGATGACCACTATTTTCAAAAGTTAGCCATCAGCTGCATTGCCTTCCATTAGCACTTTCTAACGTACCTCCTCACCAAAAAGGTTCTCTGGCTCCTCGGGAGAGCCATCGTCTCGCTTCTGCCTTTTCGGCTTAGGTTCCTCTTGGTCTTCGCTTTCGCTGGTCTTCGACTTTCGCGCAATCACCATCGGTACTGTCTTTGGCAAGGCATCACTGGCCAGCCCAATACGCAGGTTCTGGCTGCCAATGTGAATGACAATGACCTTGGAGCCAGCGGTCTCCGCTGGTACTTCCTCCGCGTCCTCCATATTGGCATCGCCATCCGCGTCTGCTTCTGCTTCACCCGCTTCGTTGGGTTTGGCCATTGCAAGGGCACGGTCTTTGTCCTTGGCGGATTTGGTCATCCTCGTCCTTGCCTCCTCATTCTGGAGTCTGAATGCCAGGTACTGATCATCTCTCTTGAGATAGTCGCTGTACAAGAAGGCGCAATCAGCATTGTGGTTCTTTACGGGATCGGTCAAGCGTGGATTGATATGAATGCGAACACGCGAACACTCACGTATAATAGTTTTTTTGGTTGATAGGTGGGATTTGCGGCCAGCTAGACAGCTCCATGTTGTTGTCCGTCCGCTCGAGACCTAGTAGTTCACTGTTAGACTCTGATCGTTTCAATCGCCTGGCTGATTCCATGACCGGGTCGTTGAGACAACTCACCTTCGTCACGAAGGGCCTTGCCCGACTTCTTGCCCACCATGGTGAAGACGTGCGGGTGGTGGTGGTCCGCGCCGGCTCAATGAGGATGCGCTTGAATCAAGGGAGCACGCAGGTCAGGGACTCAGTATCTGCGGACTGCGCAGTCGGGACGGTAGACAAAGGGTGGCAGAAAGAACGATTGTAATCGTATGAAGGAGCAAGACAGCGAGGACGGGAAGCCTTGTAGAGCGAGATCGCCCATCGACTCCCCGATTGACCGCCCACACGCACAGGCCGATTGCCAGTCCAATGCGGTTGCCACCAGCCCTTTCAACTCCCCTCGTCACTTCTCCTTGCTCTGCCCCTGCTCCGATTGTACCATAGCCATTCTATTCCCTGAGGCTCTTTCTTGAACGACTCTCCTTTGTTCACCCGCGACTCTCCGTGGCAGTACAACCTCGGAAACTCCATACCTGCGCATCATCACCGGTGATTTCAAATCAAACATCATCCATACACAGCCATGGGAGGGTCATTATCGCGTCTGTGGTCTTTGGTCTGGACTAAGAAGGAGATTCGCATCCTCATCCTGGGTCTTGTACGTCCAGCTCATCCTAAGCACTCGACCAGCGCGGGCAGAATCACTTGCGGCCAGCGCAGGACCTAAAGACTGATTGATTTCTTAAAACTAGGATAACGCTGGAAAGACCACTCTTCTGTACAGGCTCAAGGTAATATACCTGTTTCAAGCGCAGTGTCGCGTGTCAGGCGCATTGGCAACTTCGACGCTAACAAGTCGCGTCTCCAGATCGGCGAGGTCGTCACCACCATTCCCACCATCGGATTTAACGTCGAGTCGGTCACATATCGGAATCTGAATTTTAATGTCTGGGTAAGTGGTAGCGATACTACAGAGTTCGCTTGGGCACCACTGACAAGAGTGACTTCAGGATCTCGGTGGCCAAACATCCATTCGCCCCTACTGGCGCTGTTACTACGCCAACACTGCGGCCGTCGTCTTCGTCATCGACTCTACAGATATCGACCGGCTGGGGACCGCGGCAGATGAGCTCTCGGCCATGTTGAATGAGGATGAACTTCGCGAAGCGGCTCTGCTGGTGTTCGCCAACAAGCAGGACCAGCCTGGCGCCAAGGGTGCGGGTGAAATCTCGGAGGCATTGAAACTGGGAGAACTGCGGGACCGGAACTGGAGTATCGTTGCCTGTTCCGCCATTGATGGCAAGGGTATTAATGAAGGCATGGACTGGCTGGTGGTTCGTTTGCCCAAAATATCCTTTTGATTGCTGCATACTGACTGTCATACTTTTAGCAAACTATCCAGGCGGATAATGCATGAAGCACTGTTTTTGCCGGGCTATAGATTTTGATCTTTGATATACCTTGATCCTCGGGTTTCTCACGCAACTTGGGGGTCGTTCCGCTGCATTCGGGGGTGCTATGCCGCTTCTTTCTCTTCGGCTCTGCTGAGACCGGCAGAGTCCTTGTCTTATATTGCTACATAAATTTTGGGTGCGCCTTGCGGCTGAGATAATAGTTTAATGAAACCGCTGTTAAGGCTTGACTGGAGAATAAATACCATTTTATAGAGTCTTCTGAGGTGCATTCGGCATTCGGCTTGAGGTTTCATAGAATATGCACCTTTAAACGGTCTGGAAACCTCCGATTATTTAAGTTGACACTACTTTTCCTATCTCCAAGACGCTTGAGATAAGCGGCATACATTCACCCCGCACTTGTGATACGACGTCAATCAGCATTATCTAGCTTGGCCGGTCTCTCAGATCGTTCTCTTTTGTCTTCCTATCCCTCATTTTATCACAAAGTCAGTCAAGGCATTTAAAACTCGTCTCGTGAACGTAAAAACATAACATGGCCATTCCTTCCACTCAGATCGCAGCCGTTGTGTCGCCTTCTGGGGCATCTGCAAATTCTAGGGTGGAGATTAGCAATACATACCCAGTACCTGAGCCAGGGGAAGGGGATATATTGATCAAACTCGAATTCTCCGGCGTGTGTCATTCTGACCTGCATAGTATCCTGGGTGATACACCGATGAAGACCGATGTGGCCGGTCACGAAGGCGTGGGAAGAGTGATTAAAGGCAGGATATCATTTTCTTGGGCAACTAATTTGGATTTTGAGACAAAGGCTAACGCTTGCCTTCGGGATAGTTGGATCTGGCGTCGATGAGAAGCTATGGATTGGCCAAAGAGTTGGTATCAGGTTAGTTTTAAAGGTCATGATTACCTCTCCACTCTGCTCAGATGCACTTACGAGGAACTAGATGGCTGTATAGTTCCTGTCTCGAGTGTGAGATATGTGCCATCAATCACACTGCGTGTCCAAATCAGAGAAACGCTGGCGCGGTATGCCTTCCTTCCCTGTAAACTTGCGGATATACTTCCCAAGCCAGATCATCTAACGTATAATTCTACTGCAGAACGTCCCAGGCACCTTTCAGCGTAAGCTTCTCTATGCAATTTGTGAATCCAGTTTTCGTGTCAGAAGCTAATCCACTGCTTCAGAGTACATTGTCAGTCCAGCTATTCATGTTACCAGAATCCCCTGGGGACTGTCTCCTGAGTTAGCTGCTCCTCTTCTTTGCGGTACATTGATGAAAATCTGGCCATTTGATAATTTCAGTCGGAATTGAATAGCTAATAATCCACAGCCGGAATCGCCATGTACTCTTCAATCATGAAAACCAGCCCCAGGCCAGGTGATTGGATTGCTATTCTTGGTGCGGGCGGAGGCCTGGGACATATGTAATACTGTCACCTCTTTATTTCTCTGGGTTTTCATCCTCGTACTAATATTACTTGTGACCAGGGGCGTACAGATCGCTGCTAAGAAAGGACTTAGGGTCCTTGCAATCGATAAGTATGTCAATCCCCTTCCGGGGGATTTTGCCATATTGGCGAGAGACTGACATTTCGAAGGGGAGAAAAGAAGAAACAGCTTTGCCTCTCACTCGGTGCTGCGGAGTTCTTAGACTTCTCAGAGGTCAATATTGTAGAAGCTGTCAAGGCCTCTACCTCCGGGCTTGGCGCTCATGCTGTTATTTGCACTGCCAACAGCGAACGCGCATATGAGCAAAGCATGCAAATGCTTCGCCCTCTGGGAACACTGGTCTGTGTCGGAATTCCTAACATCCCATTCAGGTTGCCGGCTACCCCATTCGACATGATTGTCAAAGGTGAAATTACACCCATCTCTATCTACCTCTGTCCACTATTCCTACTCGGGGGTCTTCTTGAGGTAATATTGATTGACTGTATAGGGCTGAAGATTGTCGGAAATTCTGCGGGCACCGCAAAGGAGATGGATGAATTGTTAGCAATGGCCGTGGCAGGTGATGTCAAGGCGCATGTTGAATGCTACGAGCTGAGGGATATCCTTGATATCTTAGGGCGCCTCGAGCGCTCGGAGATTGAAGGGCGAGTGGTTCTAAGAATACCCGAGTAAGCAAGATCCCTTAAGGGGGTCATTCTTTGGAGCATCGATATTCGCCAGTCGCAGACTCATAGTCCAGAATTATCCATCGACCATTCGGCGAAAGGCAATAAAAGCCAGATTTAGCAGCTCCTATTTGGTGTCCCTGAAATATATTAAATAAAAATTGAAATGCTCGTGGGACGTTTTGCAACCCCGATGCGAAGTAAAATTGAGGCCAAAAATGCAAAAAAGAAGTGGTTCCAGAGGGGGTCGAACCCTCGACTTTGGCGTTATTAGCACCACACTCTAACCAACTGAGTTATGGAACCAGCTGTTGAAAACTGGCGATTTTTGGCTATATGAGGGAGAAAGGAATGGATAAAGTATTTAATCTCTTCTGGTCCGTCCACGCGATCAGGAGGCACGTGAGCTAGACGTCAATAAAGTGGCTGGACTGCCTTGATTCTGCTTGCAAAAGCTTTACCGAAAAGCAAAAAAATACAATTCAGTTTGTTCTCGGAATACGCGTCTCTTTCGATAGTTGGAATTTTATACTACTGACCAAAACCGGGCTAGCGTCTGTCTTTTCAGTGTGCCACCAGAGAGATGCGTCATTAAAGGAATAAAATGGTCGGTGAAAAGCACAGTGCAGCCCATAGCCACAGAACAGCCCAACTATGCTGGGCTCTGGATCCGATGAGTGGAACCAGACATGGCAATAGGTCCTAGGATAACGAACCACGTCTAACAGGTGTTGCATGTCATCAAGTGGCTTACCGGAATTTGAAGACCACAAGTCAGTTACCTCTTATAGCCAAAGGTGGGAATGACACGGCAGAAGATATGTCAGGAGCGAGGCCGTTACCTATGTCCACTAGTTCAAGTCGTAGCTTAATAAGAAACTATGTTCGTTTAGGAACATCGGAATCAGAAAGTGAACATCACCTACGATACCTTGCCTCCGTGCTTACACTCCACTGCCCTTTCCGTCTACCTCATCCCCTCTGGATGACACACAGGGAGCAAAAAGCGGTATAAAAACAAAAAGGAAAGTGGTTCCAGAGGGGGTCGAACCCTCGACTTTGGCGTTATTAGCACCACACTCTAACCAACTGAGTTATGGAACCCCATTGATGGGGCCGAAACCCGTATTATGGACCACGTGGGGTAAATGACGACATGAATGATTCTCACTGCTTTGTGTTCTTGGCACCCGCTAGCGCCGCCTTTTTTATTGGACCCCGCTACACTAGGACCCTCTTATTCTGAGTGATTTCTTGACACATAACGTGCTTGGAGGATGAATAACCATCAAATTAGAAGATGCGCATCCTACATGATCTATCTTGTACCATGTAATGTAATTTTAGGATGTGGTTGAGAGACTAGTCGTAATTTCGCGTCTAGGGCATCACGATGCCCACCCTATCTTGGTGCATCTGAACATGATCCACAACACGGTTTTTTTGCCCACAATTGGGTTCCATAACTCAGTTGGTTAGAGTGTGGTGCTAATAACGCCAAAGTCGAGGGTTCGACCCCCTCTGGAACCATGTGGTCCATCGTGTATGCGATGATCTTTTTGTCTCGTCCCGGAAACTCCGGGCACCCGTGCGGGAGGTTGTCTTTTTGCCGCTTGCCAGGGCCCAGTGAAGCTAGATTGCCATTAATCAATGCAAACATATTCGAAAGAAGTTTCGTCATGCTTCTAAAGTTGCTAATTTGCGGGTTACGGTTGTATGCCTGAAGGGTCTAATCAACATGAACCATGTTCAATCGTCGAAATATAACAAACATAGATACTGACTCCAGAAAAATAATTGGGCAATCAAATACCAGAGATGATATTCGTCAGAGAGACAAAGAAAGGATCGCCAAGCACCGATACCAACCATCGACGGGCAGGTTGAGAATTTATACTCAATCATAACCATGGCAGATGTAGCCACCCCGGGCAGCATCACCAAACTCGGCCAAAAATCAAGAGCGAGTTGGTCTATAGCATATACAGATGGTAGATCAAAGGTGACATACTGTGGATCTGAGGTGATCTAGAGAGCGAAACGGCCACGTCAGATTGGGTAAAGGCTCAAGTTGAATGACCGCTACGCCTGGGCGTGATTGCTGTTGTTGCCGTATGGCCGTATGGCTGCAGGTGACGAGAAAGCGACACTGACCGGGGTAATCGCGCTCGGACAGCCATTCCTCCCGTGTAGAGTCACCGTTTCAGGACGAGGTTGCCCCGTATCCTTAGTGGGAATCCTCACCCATGGCGCCCGCCCGCACGCCAAAGACAAACCCGTCGCTGTTTCGGATGCCAACAGTGATGGTTCCAACTTAACTACGGAGTACGGCTGAGCGGACCAGAAGTCACGTTCTCCACATCCTATGGTCTTATGTGCAAAGTCAAGGAGAAAAATCATACTGTATCGCAAAAGCAGTTGTTTGCTGCCGTCTCTCCCGATATGCATTCCGTTGTCTCGATAGACACAAAAATACTGCCGGGGTAGCGGGACGAATTTCCAAGAAAGACCTTGGGAACATCAAGTCCGTTAATAATTCGTACGACTCACCGAAGGCGAGATAATCAATAACGAAAAAAATGCGGAATGGATCGTCTGCAGGTCCATCGTAGTGGGGGGCGAAATTTTGAGAAGGGCGAGGATTATCAGATCGGCTCAGAAGACGGGCAAAGATGCCCAAGGAGATCTGCACTAGCACCGCACGGTATGAAAGTACTCCGTACGCGGGGACCGAGGGGATATTCCCAATTGTAAGTGCCCACTGGTGGACTATTATATAATATTCAAAAAGAGTAGACAACGTATTCCGCAATTCAACATGTTTCAAGAGACTTTTAAAAAGATTGCTTACAAGATGTTCAGTCGGGCAACGAAATGAATGTCTTGAGTAGAGCGACCCAGCTCCACGTACATCAATGTACCTTCGTATCCATTGACGGGCCGATAACGTATCTAGGCCAATGAGCAAAAGAGCGACCGACATTGCATCGCAAGGGAACATCGAAAAGGACGGGTCATGATCCCATCAAACCCGGGGAAGGTCGAATGTGCTGGCGATCGCGGATGTAATTGGCGCCCGTCGTTTCCGGAGTTCATACTTGGGATATGGGCCTATCGGGGGCCGGGGATGCCCCCACGGGCCGCAGCGATGGGTCACGATGGATCACGATGGATCGACGGAGCGGAGACTCCCAGGCACATGGGAACGGCTCGCGCTGTGAGTGGCCCGGGCTTGCGAACTAGTCCAGGGAGATCGAAGCCAAATGCTCTTAAAGTTGAGCCGGAGTGCATGTGCAATAATACTTATACGCAAGAACGACGAGGTCCCGCCACTTGTGGAAAGAGTGGATGAGCTCGGGTCGTTGATCTGTTTCTGGGCGATCCTTTCCATGTAGCTGTTACCTCGTAGCGCACGTTGATTAGCCCTCGGAGCCATGTTCCATGTACCTTTTCTAAACCCCTCCAAATCCGTTATCGTGCTCCCCACCCATGTGTCGTCGTGATAGGACCTCGACGATGCTCTGCCCCTCGTGATGCGGCGCGTGTCATCGGCGTTTTCGTGCCTGCGTTGTATATGAATCTGTCCCTCGTGCCCCCCAGCTCTTTTTATCTTCTCCATACCTCTCTCCCTCAGTCCCCTTACACAATGGATTGGCTACACGTTTATATCGCCGGAGCGGCGTTTCTCATCTTCGCCCTCGTGGGGCTAGTCATCCTTGTCTCGTCCCAGCAAGTCAAGGTGGATTTGAACCAAGGTGTATTCACTTACCTCAAGTTCATCTACGCGAGTTTTCTCAAGCCTCATGACAAGAGCGCCGAGGGCCAACAAGGTGCTCTGGAGAGCTTCTACAAGACTCAGGTATGCGAGGGAGGCGGAGAAGGAGGGTGAAATTGCTAATTCAACGCAGGCAAGCGTTTACGATGCCACCCGCCATCGCCTGCTTCGTGGCCGTGAGGATATGCTCGGCCTGGTAGCTGCACAGCTAAAGCACAAGGTGGGGAGCAAGGAGATCAAGGCCGGAAAGGCAATTTGGGTGGATGTGAGTTCCCCGACACGCATGAATGTTGTAGGGTGTACTGACTGACGATCGCAGGTTGGTGGTGGCACTGGGTATGTGCAATTGATTATGCAGAAAGAGACGAGCCCTCGGTTCCAATGGCTAACCCCAAGATAGATACAACATTGAGGCCATGTCGGCTTTCGTCCCAGTGGACAAGTTCTTCGATCAGGTCTACTTAGTTGATCTCTCACCCTCCCTCTGCGAAGTTGCCCGCCAGCGCTTTGAACGTCTTGGATGGAAGAACGTGAGCGTTATCTGCCAGGATGCCCGATCCTTTCGTCTCCCCGAGCGCCATGTCGACCCCAAATCCCCGGGCGGTGCCGCAACTGATCGTGTGGATTTGATCACAATGAGCTACAGCCTGTCTATGATCCCAGGTATGCAACAAAGCTTTGAAAGAGCCTTAAATCAGGAACTGGAGCAAGCTGACCGTTTTGAAGACTACTACAGTGTCGTCGATTCGTTCACTTCGCGCCTCAAGTCGACCGGCCTGCTGGGTGTTTGCGACTTCTACGGTAAGCAGCTCTCATTTTACTGTAAAAGAATATGACCTAACAACCCTCAAGTTCAGAGCATCGTCGATGTATCATCCCGCAACTACACCGGTGGTGCCTTCAACCGCCACGTCAACTGGCTTGGTCGAGTGTTCTGGCGTGCCTGGTTCGACTTTGATCGGGTCAGCTTGGAGGCTGCTCGACGTGACTACCTGGAATACAAGTTTGGAACGGTCATTTCGGCTAGTGACCGCAATTACCTCCTGGGTGGTATTCCTTACTACATCTTCGTTGGCTGCCCCAAGGAATTTGCTTCAACCCCGTCCGGCCAAAACACCATCGAGAAGCTGGATGCCTCCTTCACGGAGTCGCCTTATCTGCTTCCCGCTAACCACCAGAAGGAGATGGACAAAGCAGTCGAGAAAAGCTCGAACGAGATCCGCTCGAAAGCCTACGAGTCGGCCGTGATTAATCTGAGTGCCAACCTGCCCCTTCCCTCGTCTTTCTACCAGAACCACCACTATCGGATTCACTATAACGACATGTTGCCTAAGCACACCCAATTCCAGAATGAATACATCTACGCCTTTACCTGGGAGGACCCGCGTGTCGACCACCGGCTTCTGAACATCGGCTCCGACGACGTCATCCTGGCTATTACCAGTGCTGGTGACAACATCCTGGACTACCTTCAGAAGAACCCTCGCCGTGTTCATGCCGTGGACCTCAATCCAAACCAGAACCACCTTCTTGAGCTGAAGGTGGCCAGTTATACTGCACTGGGCCACCGGGATATGTGGAAGATCTTTGGCGAGGGCAAGCACTCGGAGTTCCGTCAGCTGCTCATTACCAAGTTGAGCCCCCATCTGTCCAGCCAGGCCTTCCAGTACTGGCTTGAGCATGCGCACGTATTTACGTCGACTTCTGGCTATGGTCTGTACGAGACTGGTGGCTCCCGCCACGCCATCCGCATGGTGCGTTACTTGTTCAACATCTTCGGACTTCAGGGCGAGGTGCAGAAAATGTGCGAGGCACAGACTATTGATGAGCAGCGGGAAATCTGGCCCCGTATCCGCCGAGTCCTTCTAAGCAAGCCTCTCAACTGGGCCATCGTGAGCACCGAGTGGTTTGCCTGGAAGGCGGCCGGTGTCCCGCGCAACCAGCGCAACATGATTGTTGATGACTTCTTCATTCGCAACGGCCTGACTGCGGACATGAAGAGAAGCAAGGATATCAGCGGCCAGTCAATCTGGGAATACGTGGTGAACACCTTGGACCCGGTGGTCAAGGATACTCTTATCAGCAACGACAACTACTTTTACTACCTGTGCATGCAGGGCAAGTTCTCTCGACGGTGCGTCCAACATCCTCCTTACAAAAAAAAATTGAACTAACAAATTTTCCAGATGCCATCCCTCTTATCTGTCACCCCAAGCGCACGTCAAGCTCTCTACCCCCGGTGCTTTTGATGGTCTTCGGATTCACACCGACGAGATCAACGAGGTGATCAACCGCATCAAGCCGGGCACATTGACTATTGCAGTGGTGAGTAACATGAGTGACGCTTGTATTCGTTATATCCAGCTGATACTAATCATTCCTTAGGTCATGGACTCAATGGACTGGTTCGACCCTACCGAGGATGCCGCCTCAGAACAAGCCCGTCGACTCAACCATGCCCTCAAGAAGGGCGGCCGCATTCTTCTTCGCTCCGCAAGCATCGAGCCTTGGTACATCAAGCGCTTCGAAGAGAACGGCTTCACGGCACGTCGCGTGGGTGCCCGTTTCCCCGGGACTTGCATTGACCGGTACGTACCCGACTCGGAAAGAGGTTCCTTGTGACCAAAGCTAATAATCCCTAGTGTTAATATGTACGCCTCAACCTGGATATGCACCAAGCAGGAAGACGTCGTCCGCTCGAAGAACGGACGAACAATGTCCGTCTTGTCTCTCGGCGACAGCGCAATCGAATCGACCAAGCGGTCGAGCAGCGTTGAGGATTTGAAGATTTGAAGATTTGAGCCCGATACCCTTTTTTGCTTTTCCACCACTTAATGATTTCCCTTTCGCTTAATGCTCTTTATCGTTCTTATGGCACATAGTTTATGAGCTGTTGGTGTATACCCGGGGGTGCCAGGGGAGTTGATACGACCAAAAATGGACTTTGCTTTCATAGAGAACATTTGTGTATTGAACGGCAAGAGGATTTCTCATGATACCCACGAAAAAGAATGTTGATTTATTATCTTTCTATCTTTAGCTTTGAATTCAAATCGTACCTAATTTTCAGTGTGCAGAGATGTATACATCCATCCTGGATGAAATCTATTATTATCCCAACTATTTCTTCATGGTAACGTCAAAAAGTATGTATCATTAACGACGTTTGATAAATGGGATTTGCGCCACGGCCGTGTGAAGTAGCTGTGCCATTGCCGACTTCTCTTTCCAGGTGCTTCGGGAGATAGGGGGATACTAAAACAGCTAGAAGGATGACCCCAGCCCCACTGGGACAACCAAGGTTTACCGTTTGAAGGCCAAGCTCACGACGATCAAGCCTGATTCAATTGAGATACTGTGTCTATTTCCAGAAGGGGCAATGCAATGGAACCCGATCCTGAAGATTCAGTACAAGCCACTTGCCCGTTATGCACTATACTTCGTACTCAGAGCCCGATATGCAAAGCTCATGTACAGTGAGTTGCCATCGTTCCTAGGAAAGTACTCGCTCATCATGACTAGACCCAATACCTAGTATATTATCATGCAAAACAAATGGTCATAGAAAAACATTAAGGCCGAGGTGACCGGCCCCAAATCTAATCATATCTCACAGGAAAAAGAAAAGCCAATAAAAAGGACACGCGCAAAAAGAACCAAGGCGCCCTCTAGAGTAATACGAATTACAGGGCAAATCATGATAGATCGCCATGAACCCACAACCCAGGTTCTTTTCCCCTCGCTCGAATCATATCCATGGCTGCCGCTGAGACACATACAAACGTTGACATTCACAAAGCATCTCTGATTATAGAAACCAGAGAGGCGGGATTAAAAAGGACAGCGAAAAGAAGATGCTCATGAGCGGCCGTACCGCGTCTTGCCGAAAGAGAAGGGCACGTAGCGGTATTTGATCATGTGCTGGATTTGGCGGCGCACTAGGTGGAAGTCAGTATGGAAGTTCTATTTTTATCGCCCCTTATCTTCCGAGATAGGGAAACCGGGATTCACTCACTGGTCAGGACAAACAGGATGATCCAGTAGACCACGAGGACGGGCCAGAATACGGGGATGTCGAAGACGGAGAACCAACTGCACAGGAAGCCGATGGTGATAGCACGGGTGGCGGCGTGCCAGAACTTGAACTCGGGCAGGCGGCGGATGAACGGCCGGAACTCGTCGTCCTGCTTGGTGGGAAGGCTGGGGGAAGCGCCAGCGTCACCGTCTTCCAGGCCTTCATCTTGTGTGAGGGAAGGGTCGAACTTGGGTGTCAGGAAAGCGAGGAAAAGGTTAAGGAGGTAAATGCCGAGAGTGTAGGCGACTAATGGTGGTAGTAACAGTCAGCGCTTCGTTCTTGTCGTGACCTTGTGATCCCTTTCTCCTCTTTCATCTCTGAATGTTTGACACCAATTCCTCCCATGTAACCGCTGAGCCGGGTTCAGACAAGACGTACCGATATACCATCCTTGCGCGAAGACAATCCGCAGGAAGAAACAGAAGAGCAGAACACCGGTGCCAACCCAGCGATAGATAGTGTAGGGGGTTGAGGCGTCGAGGTAGGATTGGTATTTCTGCAGCGATTGGTTAGCACGGCATTCTGTAGGGAGATCTGAGACTCTGGACGGAGAATAGCGGCCATGCGCCATCCGGGGCCCCTCATGGTGAAACGCAAACACTTACCCGGGTCAGTCTGGAGGTGTGCGCCGACATGGCGGTAAAGGGCGACTGCTCGGGCTCGGGGACATCCATGACGGAGGATTAGAATGGAGGAGGAGAGAAGGAAGCGAAGACGAAAAGCCCAAAGTGTCCACGCAGATCGCAGTGCTGAATGCAGATTGGGAAAACAGGAGCAAAGTGTCCCCTGGCGCCGGGCCAATCAGCGCGCCGATGGTCGGAACGCCGCATGGTCATGTGACGAGGCGGGTGGCGGTGCAGAGCTGCCATTGTGCTTAGTCATGATTCCTTAGTCAGCTGCTTCACGAGGCCTCGGCGCGGTTAACTTCGGCCCTTTCTCGGTTGCGGGGGGTCGACATCATAGGCCTGGGTCCGTTCTCCCGATACTAACTGCTGGTGTCAACAATTTGCTGTTCACACGTTACCGCTATCAATTGTCACCATGTTTGCTCGTCGTTGCGCCCGCCTGGCTAACTCTCGGACGGCTGTCCCCTTGACCTCCTACTTGGCCCGCGTGCGCCAGTACTCGTCCGGTTCGAGCTATGAACATATCCTGACCTCGACTCCGAAGCCCGGTGTCGGTCTCAGTGAGTGACCTCCAAGCAATCACGTACACGAGCTGGTAGCTAATCCAAATAGTCACTCTGAACCGGCCCAAGGCCTTGAATGCTCTTTGCAGCCCGCTCTTCACTGAGCTGAACGATGCCCTGAGCAAGTATGACACCGACAAGGACATCGGCGCAATTATCATCACCGGCAGCGAGAAGGCATTCGCCGGTACGTAATTAATCACAGCTTCCTTCCACTACGCCTCCCAATTACAAAATGGAACCAAACTAACCGAACATAGCCGGCGCCGACATCAAAGAAATGGCCCCCTTGAGCTTCTCCGCCGCCTACACCGACAACTTCATCGCACCCTGGTCCCACCTCGCCAACGCAATCCGCAAGCCCGTCATCGCCGCCGTGTCCGGATATGCCCTAGGCGGCGGCTGCGAGCTGGCCCTGATGTGCGACATTCTGTACTGCACATCGAACGCGACCTTCGGCCAGCCCGAGATCAAGCTCGGTACTATCCCCGGTGCCGGCGGATCCCAGCGCCTGACGCGGGCGATTGGCAAGAGCAAGGCTATGGAGTTGATTCTTACCGGCAAGAACTTCAGCGGTAAGGAGGCCGGTGAGTGGGGTGTTGCGGCGCAGGTTGTTGATGGTGGTAAGGAGGAGCTGCTTGAGGTTGCACTGAAGACCGCGGAGACTATTGCTGGTTACAGCCGTGTGGCGGTTGTTGCTGGCAAGGAGGTTGTGAATAAGAGTCAGGAGTTGTCGCTCCGGGAGGGTGTTGAGTATGAGCGACGCCTGTTCCATAGCTTGTTTGGCAGCAAGGATCAGAAGATTGGTAAGTCGATTCGAGGTTATCCTGTTGGATACGACTAAGATGTTTACAGGAATGACTGCTTTCGCGGAGAAGAAGAAGCCCGAGTGGTCGCACGAGTAGATCTCTTCGATCTCTATAGAAGATACTGTGTTCTAACTACAAATTATGGAGCTTGCAATGGAAGAATGTTTGACTGGTCATTCGACGTAACGTGTGCATTCGATATTGACTACCAACTACGGCCCGCCGCAGTTTGATTGCCCATTGCATCATCCATCATGGTGTCTCCATCGGCTGGGTGTGCATCGCCTATCGGAGTCCCGCATTTATACTGCTCCAATGATCGATTGATACCGACAATGCCCCATGCAAAGACCGCCACATCGCGGATGGTATCCATGAGCTTAGAGGCATTGGGTCCTCCTGGCCCGCTTGTGTTGGGCTCTTCGGGGAAGGGTGGGTATGCAAAATCGTAACTGCTGGACTGTGACCAAGAACCCTGTCCCGAGGAAGCTGAAGCCGAAGTCGAAGTCGAAGCCGGAGTTGAGGCAGAGGCCATGGGGACACTGTCGTCCCTGTAGAAAGTTCTCTTCTCTGGGTATGCTGAGTGGCGGATCGCACTGTCGTGAGGATAAGATGCCGCTCCGTACGAAAACACAGGCTCGAGAGCCCAAGGCGCAGCGAATAGACCATTGGCGTAGACGGGCACAGGTTGGGGTGGGACAGTGGCAGCCGGGATTGGGGGTCGAGCACGACGGAGGATGACGACGAGCCCGTCAGACGTGCACGAAACGACGGCTTCCAGCTCAGTAGGCTCAATGGCAGACGAGGATGTATAGGCAGTCGCATTTACCGAGGGGTTGGCGCCGTATATAGGATTTTCATCCATATCTACATTATCGTCCTGTAACGGGTTGCGGAACCAGAACCGCAGATATGCAATCGAGTCATTGCTCTTTGCACCCTCGAGACAGCGTACTGCATCACGGAGGCAGGTTTCCTGAATACAATAGAAGAAGCTCCGAGAGACAAGCTGGTGAGGGCTCAGGCCGAGGATCTCCGACACGCCGCTGGTAGCGTACATGATGGTCGCGGTACGAGTAAATCGATTCACGAAAAGCGCAGCGCGCGGTTCATGAAGCGGCTCATTTAGACGTCGCGAAAACTTCTGCGATATCCAGGTGAGCATGTGGTAGCGTGGATCATTGGGCGAAGAGTCGAAGAGCTGGCGGACAATGGGAGCGTCGAGAGCGCGCTCTATAGAAACGACGACATGTCAGCAACGCGGAATTGAGATTTTGAGACAGGGTTTAAAGACTTACTTTGACTTCCCTTTCCACTCCGGTAAACGGTGGTACTCGCGATCAACACATCGTACACCACGGTAAAGACGCACTCGCACCCGACCCACGAGCCATTCTTATGCCGAATCGAGCAGTAGTTCAGCACTGCGGCTTTATCTAGTCGCACTCCACGACCGTGTACACTTCGCGCGAAAGGAAGTTCTTGGGGATGGAAGTAATCCCAGCAGGAGCGATCGATCACCTCGTGTGGGTCGTAGCCAAGCACCACCTGGATGCTGTCGGAGGCATAGCGAATGGAGGCCTCGTGCGAGAGATCTGTAGACCGTGCATTAGCAATAATCTATATCAACCCCGACCGCCAGGGGATTGTCACGTGAGACACAGCTCGGAGTGCACTAACCGTGGATCGTGATGAAAGTGGTGTCCATGGTGCAGAAGAGTGAGGTTCCCACCAATCCACGTTGCCGGATGAAAAGTGCGAGTCAGGACGCGTGAATGGCCGGCCTGTATTCTGACCGGGATCTAGCTTACAGGGGCTTCACATGGAGCGACGAGGGGGGTGATGGGGGAGGAGAGTTCGCGCTGACTGTGGTCCCAACAGCTGTCAACCTGGATTGCGGATAGCTCTCGGGGCCCGCCTTACTGACAATAGGATAAAAGGACAACCGGACAATGGGATTATAATGTATGATATCGTTTCGGATGGTATTATTAGAATGTACGGCTACAAAGCAAGATATGATTATATACAAATAAATAAAGCAAGGGCGAAGTCGAAAGGTCGTTAACGTGAGACACATTGCATCATTGGTACTTCTCAACCTCGTCCGGGTTCCTATTTTGCTCCCGGTAATTCTCAACCACTTGGCCCTCGATGGTCTCATCGAACACATCGACCTCCGTCTGCGCAAACTTGCGCGCGCTTACTCCGCGCTCGAAGAGCAGATCGAGTTCTGCAAAGGAGCGACCGCGAGGCTCTGGCACGCGGAAGTAGGCGTATATAATGCAGAGGAAGCAGATACCGCCCCAGAAGAAGCCTGCATAGTTGCCCCAGTCCCAAGCACCAGGGTTAAGCATGTAGGGAGTAAGGACGCCGCAGATGATGGCGACAACGTTATACAGACAGCGACCAAGCACGACCGTCTTGATCTGTAGTCGGCGGGTTGAAAGCTCTGCCACAAGTGAGTAGCAGACGGTACCGACCGTCAGCTGATAGAAAAGCGCCCAGATGAGCATCAAGGAACCCGTGGCCAAGGAAGCCTGGTCGCGGTGTGCAGTCGGGACAAGTCCCATGAATCCCATGATAAGGAGCATGGTGCAGAGGCCGCACAGTCCGTACAGACACAAAGTCCGACGACCGATACCGACACTCATCAGGAACCACGCCCCGAAAGTACCGAGCATGTTAATGCCGTACTGGCCCATGGCGAATGCGTATGCATTGGATGAAGAGAGACCGGCCTGCTCCAAGAAGTATGTCGAGTAATTGGAGAAGGAGTTTCCGCTCAGGTTCTGGATGGCCCAGACCATGCAAACAATCTCGGTTCGGCGCAGGTCAGTGCCCTTGAAACAGTCGAAGTAGCTAGCGCCTTTGGTGATCTTGGCCTCCAGCGCGGTTGTGTGCACCATCATGGCGATGGTCTCGTCAGAATCAAATTCTGTATCGCGGTTCTTGCTGGTCAAGCGTTCCAGGGCTCGTTTTGCGTCCGACGTCCGTCCTTTACGAACCAGCCACCAGGGGGATTCGGGAGCAAGAGCAATTCCAATGATGAGGGGCAGAGGCCACATCCACTGCAGTCCATACGGAATCTTGTATGCCCACTGGTCGTCTCGGTTCAGCATCCCCATGATTACACCAATTCCAATGAGCTGGCCAAGACCCCAGCAGAAGTTGACATAGGTTGTCAAGTATCCTCGCAACGCGACGGGGCACACCTCGGAGGCGTAGGTGATGGTCAATGTCTGGAAAACACCCCAGGGAATACCGCACAGGATCTCGGCGGCAAGAAGAGCCTGGACGTTCGGGGCTGTGAAGAAGATGGCCGTCCACGCGGTCACGAGGACCAGACAGGTCATAATGGTGTACCGATATCCAAATCGTTCCGAAGCCCATCCGTTGATGAACAGACCGATAATTTCGCCGACGTAGGCACCGTTGCTCAGACCTGCTTGCCACTGGAACTACCTGTCAATACGAAGTTCTTGCCTCCTGATAGAACCCCCGCCAAGGGGTTTCCGGGACGAATCATCGAAGACCTACCTGCGCAGAAACTTGATATGATCCATCCGCCAGTTGTGTGCCGTATTTCTTATTGAACTGGGGGAAAGCGTAGAAGTTGTTCACCAGACTGATATCGTAGCCCTCCATAGCAATACAAGTCGAGATGAGGACGCTCCAAGCGACAGCCTTGGGGTACAACTTGATACCCTGGAGCAAACTCATGTTCCGCTCCTTGTCCGTCGCCGCCTTAGCATTCTGAATAATCTTGTCCATCGAGGAGTCGGAGGGCCGCCCTTCGGAGGGGTATGTTGGCGGCACATCTGCTGGCGCAATGGTATCGTGCGCCTTGGACTCAGCCATATTGGCGGGGCGAATGTCACAAAGACACGGATATAGAGAGAGGTAGGAGGAAGGTCAGGAGTGGTTGAAAGGGTTGAAAGGGTTCCGAACCGGATTCGGAGACCTGCGGAGGTTAAAGAAAAAAATATGCGTACCCACAGGTCCGTAGAAACATCGCACGCGAGGACTCAGGGGCGCAACGAATCCTTCCCCGGGGGCAAAGAAGGAATCCAATGGAATTCCAGAACGCGAGACTAGACGGAACAAGGAATAAAAAGACTCGAAGTTTGCGGGGAACGCGGGCTCGTGCCTCCGGACACAAATTTTTATTGAAGCTTGGCGACGGGGGAGGAGGGGCCGCACCCGGGGTAACATTGCCTTGAGCGTGATTTTCTTTTTCTTTTGATTTGCTCTCTGTGGACCAAACTTACGGTGTTATTCCACATATGAAAGAAGTCTTAGATCTCTAGTTTAAATTTCTGCCACCATGTGCGACGGGTACCTGTCAGAACCTACTGTCTTATTCTCCGAAGACCCTTGCGTCCAACATGCCGCATGCGGCACCGACAGGTGGGATCGGCCGAATTTGGCCCGAGATCTCGTATAACATCAATGATCCTTAATTTTGAGAATCAAGAAGAATTATGGAGTGGCATTGAGTATTTTGAATTATCGATACCTTAGCTAGGTCCTTTTCATGGCAAAAGTAGCGGGTCACGTATCAATCGCTCCATGTCCTCAGTCTGAATGCGAATCGAGATATCCACTCCGTTTTCGGTCCAATTACTCTCGCCCGTTGAACTACTTTTCTTTGACGGGGGTGCTTCTTTAATCACCAGCTCCCCATCCAAGTCGGGTAACATTGCGTCGGCATAGCGAATGATCGGCACCTCACTCAGCCCGAAATCGACATCGTAGAGGCCCGCCCGGGCCCAGGTCGTCACCAGAAGGTGCCGTTGTCCGAGGAATGCCTGCCAAAGTCGCTGCGGAGTCTTTTCAAATGCAATGCTATGAAGGTGTACACCGAGTGCCGTCGGATTGTTGATTTTATTGATGGTCTCGCGGATACGTCGAGCGATGTTTCGTAGTCTGTGATCTTGGGATGGAGAGACTAGGTCGGCGCCAGCCATTTCCAAATTTATCATGAGGACAGATGAGCCGAGAAACGTATTGCCTAAATGGAGTGCAGGGCGTGTTCCACAGACAAGGTCACAGTGGAGAGGGCCAGTGTCGTTCTGTTGATTCCGTGCGCGAGCAATGCATGACCAGATATGAGCCAGAATGGCATCATGTCGACTGATCCGAGTGTTTTCCAAGTTGTTTTCTGTTGCCTTTTTCCAGATGATTTCCACCTGATCGCGAGTCAGGTGTACCAAATAATGTGACACGGGAGCTTCAACATCCCAGTCAGACCAAGGCATAGCTGTGCCAGCAGGCACGAGCTCCTGGCCCCGGAATGCGGCGGGGATCTCTCGAGGCCAGGGGCATTGTGGTTGTGCAGCCCACCAGTCGTACCGGTGCAGAGGCAGTCCTGCGACTTGGTCGATAATGGTCTGGTCGGGTTGATCCCCGTTAATGTCTCCCGATGCCTTCGAGTCCAATAGGCCCGGTTCAAACACGGGGTTTAGCACGGGCTTGGGCAGTTTTGAATCCGAGATAAGCCAGCGACTAATTGTTGACCAATCCTTCATAAATAAAACCAGCGACTGTATATCAGCTAAAGCATGCGCGATCTTGGCCGACAATGCAAAGTTGCCACAGGCTAGTTCTGTTAATTGAATTGCCATCACGGGGGGCAGAACACCATCTTGGTCGGCCTCGCTTGGTCGGAGTGGACAAGCCAAAAGAGTGGATGAAGCGAGTCCATCCAGAATGACATTCTTGCAATCCAGAAGAGGCTGATCCGTAGTTCGAGAAGAGGGAGCGAGAGCCTCGAGGGTAGCACTGCTCTTTGCCGTCACAAACTCCACCCCGGCATCTTCTGATGTCCCGTAGTGGGCATATAATCGTCCAAAACGTCGCGCATGTGGTGCAAACTCGGCTTCCTCGCTTTTTAATTGAGACGAGTCAAGTGTCGCAATGCTTTTCAATAGACCCGTCCATTGAGGATAAGCGTCTAGGACCAATGGAAGAGAACGGCGAAAATGGCCGGCGAGATCGAACTGAACATTTTTGGGCCGTTCGCAAAGCCAGACGGCGCTCGTTGGTGCGAATTCTGCCGCAGTTGCATCGAGAAGCGAGAGCGCCACCGCCCGCTGCGGCGGCTTTGTGCTCGGAAAAAGTCGTTCGGACGGAGGTGTTTCGACGGAGCCCATTGCGATCAATCAGTCGTATCGTGCTTGGTATTTGGTAATGACCTGGGCAATTCAATGTTCCTATTATATACTCTTGCAAAAATGAAGCTTTCCAGCTCTGGTTGTAGTAAGCTAGTAAGTAAGCTAGTGAGTCACGTTGAGTAAAAGTGAGTGGAGATGAGTGGAGGTGAGTATGGTTTACACATCTTCGTGTTCTGCCGCCCAAGCAAGCACTGCCCCAAAGTGGCGGAACTAGTGTTAGCGACGAGCTTGGTATGAATGCTAGAGTCGTCTTCCTTTGGCTGGAACTTTTCACGTTCGATTTGACTTGTTCTCGCATACCGCCATGTGATCTGCGATGATCGGCAGTTAGGGTTGCGATCAGGGTGTTAACCGGGTGGCTACACCAGGGCGGGAGGCAAGATGATATCATAGGTACCGGGCTAGAGCCAGTTATAAGGGACTCCCGCCAGGAACCACGTCTAATCAGACATCCTTCCTTCAACCATCACTGGCATTTCACAAGTATTTCATCCTCTATTGAATCTATCTTGAAATCAATCAAAAAAATTCCATCAAATTTCACAATGTCTGAAGAGAACAAGAGCAACCGTGAGTAGTATCCAGTTAGCCGTTCACTTTATTCGCCTGCAATGCAACCGACCTTCATTCACCCAATTTTGAGATACCCGAATTAACATTGTTGTCACAGCTGGATTCTTTGGCGGTCTAGGTAACGCAGTGGGCAACACTGCCAGCGGCGCTACCAACACAGTGGGAAACACACTTACCGGCCTGGGAAGTGCTGCTGGCGGCGCCGCGCAAGGCATCGGCCAGACTGTGAGCGGTGCGACGGAAGGACTTGGTGATGCAGCCAAGGGTCTTGGACAGACTGTGAACAAGGCCGTAGGGTCAGGAGAACAAAACAAGCCTTCGGGAGAACAAAGCAATCCTTCGGGCAACTAAAGGAATGGCCCAGCTATACCGACTGAGTATAATGGTCCGTGATGAGATGCGATCCATTGGGATCGTGCTCTTTATGACCATCAATGTTATATATTAGTATCATCCTTTAAATTGTGTTTTTATTACCCATCCCGACCGAGGATTGAGTTCCATCATATTTCAAAACTTCCTAGATGCAGGGGGCTCCAATAAGAATCAGTATCCTCCCCAAATCAAACGAGACAAAATCCCCATGCGGAGTACGATGGGGGAAGCTTGGTTTCGGTCGGCGGGAGTCTGCGTACTGTAGTCGCACACGGAGCTCGGAGATTTCCGCCTGATGATCATCGCAAGCTGCAGTAGGGGAGATATTGAAAAAGTTAAGATGCACATAAGAATTTCGATTTCATGCTCGTGCTTTGTAATTGAGCAGAGTCGAGAATCGAAAACCCATGCTGTAGATGCTCCATAATCTTGGAAGGAAAAGGCTCTCGGATGGACCTGCTGGTTCGGAATAGCCACGCCTTTCCTGAAACGGCCGGCACAACGGTCAACAGCATCCATCGCCCGTCTGCCACTCGGCCCAGACAAGTTCGAATGACTAAAACACTTGTTTCACCGATTGCGATCTGATCCCGCCTCGGGATTGCCCGCGGTGAGCAAGTGTGCGCTGACATCGGGTCGGTGATGATTCGGCGCTGATTGAGTGTGGAGCCTTGAGATATCTCGAGATAGCGACAAAATATCACGATCTTTGCCATGGAAGGCCAGGACATATGTACTGGCGAGAGCAATGAATATTTAAAACCAGCCCCCAATTTAGCACTCGGGAATGGTCAATATCGAAAGGAAGTGCAATGCATGGATGATTGCATCTCCATCAACAGCAACCGCGAGTGCCCAGGTGGGTCCCATGCTTCATCCTTTTTTTTCCATGGATCCCCACCGGAGGTGTTTCTCTGCGATAGCTATATAAACGGGCCCCGCAGTCCATTCCCGTGAGATCTCTTCTCTTCATCTATCGTGAAATCCACATCGCAACCATGGGTCAAGACGACGAGCCTAGTATGTTCACACTTTCCTGTAAACACAGCTTGATACTGACTTCTTCGTAGAGACCTACCGCTACAACGAGACCCCGGTGTACACGGCCTCCAATGGATGTCCGGTACAGTCGATCGCGCTCCCAACCTTCGAACCTTTTGCCTAATGCGAACTATCATATAGGTCATGGACCCCCAGGCCGCCCAGCGCGTGGGCCCCAATGGCCCTCTGCTCCTGCAGGACTTCCACCTAATCGATCTGCTGGCACACTTTGACCGTGAGCGTATTCCTGAGCGAGTGGTGCACGCCAAGGGTGCTGGCGCTTACGGCGAGTTCGAGGTCACCGACGACATCAGCGATATCGTTAGTATCAAAATCCCGGAAACGGCTGGATATTGAACTAACCGCCCCCTACAGACCACGGTTGATATGCTCAAGGGCGTTGGCAAGAAGACCAAGATGCTGACCCGCTTCTCTACTGTCGGTGGCGAGAAGGGCTCCCCCGACAGTGCCCGTGACCCGCGCGGGTTCGCTATCAAGTTCTACACCGAAGAGGGAAACTGGGACTGGGTGTTCAACAACACCCCGGTATTCTTCTTGCGCGACCCGGCCAAGTTCCCCGTCTTCATTCACACGCAAAAGCGTAACCCGCAGACCAACCTCAAGGATGCCACCATGTTCTGGGACTACCTGTCGACACACCAGGAAGCCGTGCACCAGGTGATGCACCTCTTCAGTGACCGCGGCACTCCCTACTCCTACCGCCACATGAACGCCTATTCAGGCCACACCTACAAGTGGATCAAGCCGGATGGCACCTTCAACTACGTGCAGATCCACTGCAAGACGGACCAGGGCAACAAGACCTTCACCAACGAAGAAGCCACCAAGCTCTCCGCCGAGAACCCAGACTGGCACACTCAGGACCTCTTCGACGCCATCGCACGCGGCGAGAACCCCTCTTGGACATGCTACGTGCAAGTCCTGAGCCCAGAACAAGCCGAGAAGTTCCGCTGGAGCGTCTTTGACCTGACAAAGGTCTGGCCACAGAGTGAGGTGCCCCTGCGACGCTTTGGTCGGTTCACCCTGAACAAAAACCCGCAGAACTACTTCGCCGAGATCGAGCAGGCAGCCTTCTCACCTTCACACATGGTCCCCGGCGTCGAAGCCTCTGCCGACCCGGTTCTGCAGTCCCGTCTCTTTTCCTACCCAGACACCCACCGCCACCGTCTGGGAGGCAACTACGAGCAAATCCCCGTCAACTGCCCCCTACGCTCATTCAGTCCCTGGCACCGCGACGGCGCCATGAACGTCCACGGAAACTACGGCGCTAACCCTAACTACCCTTCGACTTTCCGTCCCCTGGCGTACAAGCCCGTCAAGGCTAGCCAGGAGCACGAGAAATGGACTGGTGCTGTCCTTGCGGAGCAGATCCCCGTTAGTGATGAGGACTTTGTCCAGGCTGATGGTCTGTGGCAAGTCCTCGGCCGCACGCCTGGCCAGCAGGAGAACTTCGTTAAGAACATCTCCGGTCACCTGTGTGGTGCTCATGAGCGTGTTCGTAAGGCGACTTATGGCATGTTCCGTCGGGTGAACCAGGATCTCGGTGCTCGTATTGAGACTGCTACCGAGGCCAATGTTGCTCCGTTGGCGCGTTTGTAGATGGTGTTTTTACATGTATTTCGTTACTTCTCAACATGGGGATGTCCATGTGTTTCTGTATCTGTGTTCAAAGGCTTGAATCAAGAATGACTTATGATTAACTGTGAGCACGGTACTACTAGTGTGCGTAGATTGTTGTTGTATTAGAACTTCAAGGGCAGTCTAGATGAAAAGTGTTCAATTCCAAGGAGCGGAATGTAAAATCTAATAACCAACGAAATCGGGATATCCGAAAGCAAATTCGCTGTCGTCTGGCTCTTAAGCTCAATGTCGACGATAGTCACAATAAAAACGCCATTCAAATCGTGTCCAGTGGAATGGGAAGAAAAAAAAAGAAGAAGAAAGGAATGCTCGCTGATCGTGTCTCTTGTATATGGCAAATTCAAATGGATCTGTGAGATGGTCATGGGACGATGTAGATAAGCCAAAAGAATATGCGGTGGATGCATTTATGGTGAGGAGAGGGTGGGATAATTATGTCGATGTGGCAATGGAGAGGAAAGTGTGCACTTGGCTAATCCCAGCACCCCCAGAAGATTCCTGGGTGTTTGCAAGTAGGTCGGGCCTCCGAGCCATGACCGGTGGGAAGTGCGGTCGTGGTAGTGGTCGAGGGGTCGCGACATCCGAACCAGCCAGCATCGTGGCACGTACTTGTCGAAATTGCTGCTGGGGTTGTGGTGACCATTGTTGGCGCCGGTGTTACTTGAGGCGCGGTGGCCGTTGGATCATTGCAGCCGAACCAGCCCGGGGTCTCGCACGTTGAGGTCGAGGTCGCAGTCGAGGTGGCGCTTGTCTTTGTGGTCGTTGGATCTTTGCAGCCGAACCACCCCGGTGTCTCGCAAGTCGTAGTTGTTGCCGTGGTGGAGGTAGAAATGGCAGTAGTGGTTGTAGTTGTAGTCGTCTCGTCGAGACAGCCCCACCAACCGGGTGTCTTGCAAGTTGAGGTCCTGGTGAAGGTCGGTGATGTAGTGGTCGAAGTCGTCGTGGTGGTGATTTCGGAACCATTGCTTCGGAAGAACTTCCATAGCACACAGTCATAACATTCCTCCTCGGGAGTGCACGGTGGGACTTCGTTGTAGACTTTAATTACATCAGAAATGACATGCTGGATCTTGTGGGTGCCAATGCCCACACGCCAGCCTTTGTCTGCCACGGTATCGTAGGTGCACATCTGGCCGGTGTGACACGCAGACTCCATTGCATAGCCACCCCATGTGCAAATTGAGTTAATTCCATTGCAAGTTCCCATGTAGATCGGATCGGCAGTATGACCAAAATGATAGGCGCCTGTATTCCGTCGCTGTTGGGGCAAACGTGGATCATGACCTGGAGGACTAGGAAGGCCCAGACGAGCTGCCGGTAGTGCTTCTGGTATCGCCTCAAAAGTAACAGTTGGAAGACCAAAAGTTAATCCAAGCAAGCTAGTCATTGCACCTCCCAAAGAATGCCCCGTCAACCAAACATTTGCGTCGGGGTAGATCTCTGTCACGTTGGAGTAGAGATCAATGGCGGCTTTGTAATATTTATCATCATCAAACAGTGCCTCGGTGATACAAGTCAGGTTCGCCTTGTAGGTGTTGGTCTGGCAGTCGCAGGTCTGTCTCCAGAGGTATGACCCTCCTTGACCACAACAGCAACTGAAGAACAGGTTGTCATTGATCTTATCGTTTGTTGTAGTTCCTGCCCCGTCAAATAGGGCCGGAGAAGTGCCCTTCAGCGATATGACAATGGTACTGTTCGATTTGTCGGAGAAGATATGCCCCCGGAGTCCATCCCCCTTCCATCCAAAGCTCGTCGAGTAGTTAAACTGACCGTGAATGGTGTGCCAATCCTGTGTACCAGGTTCCTCAATATAGTCATCTGCGGTCATCTTGGCGAAATTCAACACAGTGTTCTTGTCTGAAATGTTTGGACCTGGAAGTGTGTCCATGACCCATTCCGTTGGCGACAAGACGGACGCTGCACCCGACAGCTTTGCAGCTGCCAAGTGCCCCTCAATCACCGATAAGCGCCGATCGGCCAGCCGTTGTATCGTGATCGGATTAGAGGATGCGACGAAGAAGGGATGAACCTCCACAGGTTCGGTTTCTGTTCCATCTTCGGAAAGAGTTAAGAGGCGAGTATCGGGTCCGACATCTAATCGGGCATGAAGGTCAGGGTGTTCGTAGGTTCCTCGGTGGAAGATATGGCGAAGAGACTAAAGAAGGTAAGCATATGTACAAAGCACAAGATCTACTCAGCCGGCAACTTACAAACTCATGTGTTTCTGACGAGGGCTCGGACTCATGGAAGGGTAACTGTGGCGGGAGGATCGGTGCCTGGAGAGGGGGCAGGTCGTAGTGTCCATAGACGGCGCGAGGCAGTAGTACAGCTGATAGTAAGAGATCAGAAAGGCCTAGTCTCTTCCCTGGACGGGTTCGAGATCGCTGAGAGCGAGCCATGACGGGCGATGCAGGCCAGGAAGCTGAGGATGGATGTTGGGGCTATCGCGGCTTATCGCGGTGACGCAGTGCGGAGGCGATCCGCACGTGATAAGAGCCCCGTGACGCGCGATCTTTCTGATTCGCGACTTTGTTATTCTTGAGGGCTGCTGACACCGGAATTGCTTTTGATTCGCTCTTCCTAGGTCTTCTGCTCATCCGGTCACACCGAAACCTGCTGGAAGTGAACTGTGGCAGCAGAATTGGGGAGCTCGGACATCGAGCTGCATGAGCCTATCAGCTGGACCTGGCGGAGTCACTTACGACTAGTGCTTTATAGGCCCGGTGTCGCCCCTGCTTAAATGTCTAGCCCCTCCGATAATGGCTCTGGTCAGCCTCAACTGCATTCGATTCGGTCGTTCACCAGGATGGAGAGTTCAGATGTTAGCCCCCCGGCTTCCGTCAAGCCGGCAAACGAGCCGGTAAAGGCCAGCGCACAGCTGCCGCCAACGTCTCCCGATGGCGATAAGCAAGCAAACGGCCCCGATGTCTTCGAAAAGCGAGCTTCTGTAGATCCCGATGCTGCCGGTGAAGGACAGGCAGATGAGGGTTTTGTGTTATCGCGAAGTGTGCAGGATCCCTCTGAGGAGCTCCCCATTGAGCTGGTGAGCCTGACGGATCGGTAAGTAGCAGATGGATCGGTCATTTCCTCAAACCCTTGCCTAATATCGACTATCAGGTTCATCAACTCGTTGAGTGCCAAAGTTCATAACTCGCCTCCCACGATCGAGAAAATCTCTTCCCTGTTCCAAGTCTTCTACGACCGCGCCGAATCTCATATTGCCACCCATATATCCACACTTGCATCTCGCATCAACCGTGAAGCGTCGCCTCAGGTCCCTCCCAGGACAAGAGGAAGCGGCCTATCAAGACTGGCCAACAAGCGCTCTCAGGATGATGTCCGGCCGAGTGGTTTTGGTCGACAGATGCTGACTGCGGAAGAGGTCGAGGAAAGACGCAAGGCTCGCAAAGCTCTTGAATACAAACGAGCTGCGATGGAAGAAGCTGCAGAGCGGAGGGTCTGTGAGCTTGTGTACGACAAAATCTGGAGGCACAAAAGTACATTGGATGAAGTTCGGGATGAAAAGTTGCGTTCCAAAACTGCAGCCTTGCTGCTTGTGGGAATCAATCTAAAAGACTTGGGTATCGACTTGGATATGTCAACGATTTCTGAAAATGAACAGCAGGAGGCCAATGATTACCTTGCCCAGGCGCGGGAGAGCCTTGAAAAGATGAACGACCAGAAATATCCTCTCGGTAAACTTCAACAGCTAGCAGCTGCCCACAAAGCTATTGTCGATGCTCTTACCAAAATGCTCCCTTCGTCATCTTCTGCAGACGAGATCCTACCCACATTGATCTATTCTCTTGTCACTTGCCCGCCGGAGGGAATCAATATTGTCAGCAACCTGAATTTCATCCAGCGGTTCAGATCTTCAAACAAGATCGACGGCGAGACTGCGTATTGTTTGACTAATCTTGAGGCCGCTATCAGCTTTTTGGAAAACGTCGAGCTATCCAGCTTACGCGCAGATGAGCTGCAAGAAGGTCCTCTCAAAACTCCAAGTGAGGCCGCCACGCCGTCCTCCGAGCGAGTCGAACCTTTCCGACCGACCAAAGAAATTACCACTTCATCACTTACGACTGTGTCTGCGGAATCTGAGATCTTACAGCCCGAGGTCAAGCAGCCAGCATCTTCCACGTTGCCTCGGCCTCGGCCTTCCCCAGCACCGCAGCAGAGACGCTTGAGCAATCTCTTCCAACCCCCGGCAAAGGTCTTCGAAGCTGCCAATGATGCAGTTCGCAATACCGCAGACCAAAGTTTGAAGAACATCGGCGCATCGCTTGATAATAGCTTTAACTTCCTATTTGGCCGCCTCAAAGAACTGCAGATCACCCAAGGACCCAATTCACAAGGGAATGAGACATTGTTGCCGAAGACGTTGGCTGAAGCCCGCCGTCTAGTTTCAAACCCACCGGCCAACAAGCAGAACCTCACACCAGAAGAGTTGGCCTCCATAAATGCCATCACTGTCGACGAGGCCGCGCAAGCACGCAGCAGCTCAAGCGCTACTGGACTCACCAGTGGAGATCCAACACCTCGCGACCGAAGCACCGACAGTTCAAGAACTCAAAACAGTGGCAAGAAATCCGTTGGTACTTCACTACGAGATGAACTTGCCCCGTCCCCGGCTGCAACAGCGAGTCCCAACCCGCTCGAATCAATGCGAAGCTTCGGAAATACCCTCAACCCTCTCAACCACATACCCGGCATGATCAAGAACTTTGGCCGCAATACCCCAGAAACACCCAATGCTAGATCGGTGTCTCCTGCAGCAATGGACCGCCTCAAGATATCACCTCTTTCGGTTGGGGCTAACGGAGCAGGGAGCCCTCTCCCTGCATCCTCGAATATCGAGCCTCCGATACAACGGTTTCTGGAAACGAAGGATGCAAGCGATCTCCGTGTGGGAGACGTGGCTGTCTTACTTCAAGATTATAAACGACTTGCGGCTGCGCTCTACAGGCCTGGTCCAGGGCCTCAATGAGTTTCAAGGTTGAATGTCGCATCATTGTAGCTTCGTGGTATCATTTATTGTGAAATTTCCTTGCATGGTGGGCTATTATTGGCGTCTTAAGCATTTGATGGTGCATCTCATACTATTGGATTAGGGTTTAGATGGCATGGCTGATCATATAAGCTGTGTGCTTGTGCATATTATACATATTGGTAGACAGTATCTTTCAGAGGGGAATGAAGACATTCTTGGTATCCATAGACCCATTCTTTTGCATTAGACGGGGTAAAACAAGAGCGCAGATAGGGGTATTGGGCATATTGAAGCTGGGACGTCTCGGTCGATGGGTAATTGGCATAGAAGCATATGCCACGAATCTCGTAGGCTATGCATATTGAACGGCAAAATTGAAGAGGCGCCGTAGAAGAAGGAGAAGGGAAATCGTGTCAATTCATTCACTCGGATCGGCCTCGAAGGACCTCGACGCCACCAGTCCGCATTTCATTGAGCTTTGCTGATAACTCTGCGTTTTGTACCTCGGCATCCTCATGACGACGCCGGACCTCGGTCTCGAAGACGGCAGCTGTTTGACGACGGGCCCGGCGCAAATTCTTCATCTCGGTCAGGAGGCTGCTGAAACGGTCGATCAGTTGGTCTCCACAGTCTTCCCAGTCATCGACAGACATGCGGGAAAGGTATGCCTGGCGGTCTTTTTCGGTGGCCCTTAGAAGCTGAGATACAGTATCGTTGGAAGACTGAGGGTCTGGGACAAGAGGCGGGCCCGGTGGCAGCGAAGGTGACTTAGCAGCCGGAGGAGGGGATGGGGTTTTTTCGAAGGGCTCCGCCTGGAGATCGGAAAAGGATTTTTGGTACAGTAGCTCTGGGGGATAGTCTGCTTCCAGCTGTCGTTTCGATGTACAAATGACCGTGTTACGCCTGCCACGTTTGGTGGAGGAGCGGTTGAGAAACGGGTCTTGCATCATCTCATCGTGGTCGTCGCGCGAGAGATCGGTCAGGTTGGTAATGTCGAAAGCATTATCAGAATGTTCGCTTTCCCGTCTGCTACTGACCTGGCTGACGCGAATCGTTTCATCAATACCGGCAGCATCACTTTCATTGTCGTCTCCGTGTTCTGATGGATGGAAAGTAGGCATATCGAGAGCCCGCGTTACTTGAGGAGGCGGTTCAGAGCCATGTCGAGTTGGTGAAATATCCAGCCGATCCAGCAGAGAAGGCTTCGGTGGGCTGAAGCGCGTCCTTGGAGTTGCCGACATGCTATGCGGAATTGTGATCTTCCTTGCAGCGGTGGGAGGAAGCATATGTCCTAATTTGCGCGGTTGGGATTCGGTAATGGGGTGCACAGGAGGGGTTTGCAGATCTGTCGGTGCTTGATCCATGGACTTCGAGGAGACTCTCTTGCTCGCGGACCAGAAGTTCTCTAGTCGCTTGCTCAGCGGCTCTCCTGTTGAACGGTATTTGTGAGATGCGTGCCAGCCGCTTGGGTCTTCGACATTTTCAATCTTTTCGGTCTTTTCATCATCTCCGTCATCTCCAGCGGAGGAAGTCAACTGACTGACCGTTTCCTCGTAGTCATCAGAATCAAAGCCAGCTTTCTTCATAGCTTCGTCACCTAGGTTGCCTCCAAACCAGGATAATCGATGGTGCCGAGTAGGACGAGGTAGATAAGATGGCCGGGGTGAGGTGTTCTCGTCACCATTTGCATTGAATCTTGACTGCGACTGACCATCATGAAAGCCAAAAACACTGGTCCCTGCAACAGTTGAATCATCGACTCCTTCGACGTCGGTGTCAAACATATCCCGCTGCTTTCCATTTTCGGGGGCTGCGCGAGACTGGAGTGGAAGTACCATTGGAGGCTGGAACCTTGGCGATGCAGCTCTACCATTTGAATTGGCCCGTCCCAGGTGCTTGAGCGGTATCTCAATTTTGGCCTGTTCGGCTCGGAGATGGCGCTGCGACGAGCCCAGGTCAGCCGGTGCATGAGGCTGCCCGACCTCCCTGGAGTGGACATAGTCGCCCACCCCCATGATCGATTGAGCAATGGGTATAACTGCTGTCAAGTTTGTATCCGACAGTCAAGCCGAGCAGTGTAACTACTTCTCATAAAGTTGGCGAGAAAGTGAGGATTCCGAATGTTTGACAGACTCCGACGCGAGACAACCGCGTGGTCACGTGCAGCTCCATTCTTTGCCAAAGTCGCTGTTTGCTTGACTGAAGAGGAAATCTTCACGTACGATTAATGTACAATAATCTCATAAGAACCGAAATACGAATAATCAATTGTATGTACAAGGGATTCGAATGCTCTCGGGTGTTTGTAATCCATGGGTTCAGTTGTGAAATATCAGTTGACTGGGAGTATGGCTAAATTAAATTACATATCGGTGGGACCTATAGGTGATCCGCCAATGGGTATCATATTGCATTACGCATCATCCATCAAGTCCATAGATGGAGAGGAATCGTGAATATGGAAATGCTCCAGATTGTACGCAACACTCCTTCCACGTTCCTTCGCCTTCTCTAAAAACTCCTTGGACTTGTCCACCTCCGCTTGCTTTTGTTCCATCGCAAGTCTTTGTGCACGCCTTGTCTCCAGGGAACCAGGCGTACTGTCGATCGCCATTGTATCAGGACTATTCTCATAATCGAGGTCCTCGACGGGTGTTGGCAAGGAAGAGATAATCAAGTCACCAATCCAAAGAGACACCATGCCTCGAAGTTCCAGTAACTGCGGAGAGTCGGCGTAAGGAGGCGATCCGAGGAGCATGTCCATGCGTGTGGCAATTTGCTGTGCTTGGTCTAGTTCCTGCGCGCGGACTGTCGCAGTAAGAGCGTGTCTCTTGGCCGCCTCCCGGCGTTCAAAATCCATTGAAGAGTCTTCCTCGTCCGAAAGCTCCTCAGAGGACTCTTCACGGTCGAGCAAGTTCTTCCTTGCTATTTTGCTCTCTTCCTGCGTAACATAAACCCATAACCCAAACATTGCAGGATAGAAATGCAAAGCCGAGATAGAGTTTGGGTGTGTTTTCGAAAAAGGGTGGTTCAAAATCAGCCTTTCGTAATACTCTTTCGCTTCCGCAAATCCCTTTTTGGAAAATGGCGACGTAGTACTGCGCTTACTGAGATCGTTGAGCGACGAGTGATGATCATCCCCCGAAGCTTCTGGCGGACCTCGGCGCAGCAAAATCTCAGCGCCAATTCCCCATCTGCCTTCGCTGCGCACATCCATGGGCATTCCTCTGAACTCGTCACGTAATAAGAGCCCCCATGCTCTCCCGGCTCGAGTATAGTCCCCTTGGAGCAAAGAACGGTGTAAGATGGCAGTCAATACAGAGAGATGCTGCAGGCGAATGCTGCCTTGGTATGCTGCGGACTGAGGAGGATAGATAGGGATATCTAAATAAGGCAGACTTCTGAGGAGCTGACCCGGCATATTGCCTCTGATGGTCACCTCGTCCTTGTCGTACCCAGGTCCATGGGGAAAATTACCACTCGGCAATTCCTGGTTGAAGGAGAGACCGGCGATTCGATATTGATGGGACTCGTTCGGCGTCAGGATCAGAGGCGGATCCGGAGGAGCCGAGTCCGTTACCGACGCAGCATCTGTCGTGTCCCCCTCATCATCGGTCCAATCTTCAGTCTTCTTGCGCTTTCGATCATAGTGGGCGACACGAGAACTAGGCGGCTGTAACCACGACGGCAGTGGCAACGAGAAGTTGGAAGCGGACAGGGCAGGCGCCATATGCCCATGGAAATCAAGGCACAAAGGCCATAGAGCTGCTATTAATCAAGAAATCGAAGATTCGCGAAGCGGATGACGGAGAGATTCTTTAGAAATCCACTCAGTTGACTAAGAACTTCCGGCCGAGTTCCCGAACTCGGGAGGCAAAGGTGACAAACATCACTTATCGCTATCGCCCTCCTGGTCCTCTCCTCTCTCTCTCTCTCTCTCTTTCTCTCTCCTGGATTGACTCCTCCTTCCCCTTACCTCCTTTTCGCTTTGTCCTTCTGTTCCCCTCCCAGTCGTCTATTGATCCTCTTGGAAGGCCTACCCTATCCCGGGCCTCATCCGCGGATCCCCCGATCGCCCGGCTCCGCGGGTATTGTTAGGTACATATCTCGAGTGTGGGCTGCTCCTGGCGCTTGTCAGACCGTTCGAGACTACCTTAATCGGTCACTGTACCTCGTGTCAGACAACCAACGCGTTTCACATAGTCACCCGTTACTGCTCATCACCGCCTCGCCGACTCTTTCTTTGTCCCGAAGCCCTCCCCAGCTTGAAGCTTCCCCGAACGCGGCCTGAAGCATCATCATTCCGCCTGCCGATAAAGGCGAAAACTGCATATCCAGTCGATATATCTCAGTCACCGCTCAGTGCATCAGCCTAGTCGGTTCAATCACGATCAGGTAGAATCAGTGCGGATACCGTCGCTACCAACCGTTTTTGGATTCCTATGGCAGTGGACGTCTAATATCGCCTGTAACCTGGCTCTATCACTGCAACCGGCTACTATGGGACAGTCTGCTTCTACAGCGCGAGATCCACCCGACACTGGTTATCCAGATCATCTCACGCCATTCTCGGCAGAGCGCAACCCTGATATGAGGGATGAAGACATGAACAACGGACAGGCGGCTGAACAGAACGGAGGAGCGAGCTCCTCATTTGGGGCGGAAATACACTATGATCATGACCAGGACATGTCATCGGGCCAATCGTATGAACAGTCGGAAAGCTGGCAGCAACCCACACGATTTTCCGGCGGATACTCGAATCAGATGCGGAGCATCGAAGAAGAGAATGATCCTGAATATGAGCTTCCCGATCGAGAGATGCGCTCGGCAGCTATTGCCCGCATGGCGGCAAGAAGACAATCCACCATGTCAAGGCTAGGATCCAGAATACTACCGAATTCAGTAATCCGAGGTCTTCTCAATAGCCAAGAGGAGACACCTGCAGAGGGTCACGCGCACCGCCATGGACTGGTATCAAGACCAACTCCAAGATCCGAGACAGCTCACAGTAGCAGCCGGTTTAGCCCTTTCAGTGCTCTTGGATCCAGAGGAGTCACCCGCCGACGTACCACTCGAGCACCTTACTTGATTCCTCCTCGTGCGGATCGTAGGGATTCCAACGTCCTCTCAGATGCTGCAACTGACTCAATTATCGAATCTACCGCTCAACGGTTACCAGAGCCCGCTCGGACATCTTGGCGTCGAAGTGCTCGCCTGCACCGCATGCGACATTCGTTGCCAACGCCTATCTCTCACATGTTCGGGCAGCCGCAGTCCGACATGTCCTCATCGCACGAAGAATCATCGCACCAATCTGCGGGGCCGCCTTTCGACGATATTCTATCAAATCCCATGGACACTCGCCTGGATTTCGGTGAACCACTGCCCGAACTGGATTCAGTGGAACGAGGAGCTCAGAATGGCGGGCCACTATCTTCAAATCAGCCAACTCCTGGCTTAATGGGGATGCGCCGGCTGCCTGCTTTAATGAGAGCACGATCTGCCCGATCATTACGGCGAGAAGAACAGACTCCTCTTTCTCGAGTACTCCAACTTGCTGCAGCTGCCATCGCGGCTCAGCTTTCTGGGTCCACTGGTCCTGCTCTGCCAAACATACAAGCTCTTGGGAACGATGGGCTAGAAGGCTCCCTTGAAAACTTCATCCAGAGTCTGCAGCACGCCACATCTGTACAGCCCCAGCCAACAGCGTCGGGAGAAGGATCGAGTAATCCGGCGCCCGAAGGGCCATCGCCACCGGTCAATTTCCTGAGAGTCTTCCGATTTTCTAATTCAGAGTCTCCGCTTGGCCCTAATCCCGCAAATCCAGCTAATTCATCCAACCCCAATGCATCCGGCCAGAGCACGAACGGATCTGAGAATCAAGGCACCCCATCCGATGGGATGTCTGTTGATGAGGCCCCAGAGGGGGCCGAGGGACGGACAGTCACATTGGTTGTTGTCGGCGTCCGATCAGTTCAAGCGGGTAATGGAGGCAACGGGGGCAATGGGGGCAATGGAGGCAATGGAGAGCAGGTTCCGCAAGGCCCTGGCGGTCCAGGGCTAGATGCTCTTCTTGGACTGCCGTTCCTCCCGCCTAACGCTATTCCGCGCCCCCCAGGTGCAACAGGCGATCTGACACAGCGACCAGATGGAATTGGAGAAATGAACCCTCCGCGTCCTGCAGTGCCCGGATTCCGCCCAGCTGGCGTTCCAGAGCCTTTGCGACAGCCAGGTTTAATACCTTCTCGGAGACTGTCTGATGCCGGAACCCGTCCAGGGTATTCATCATTCCCCTCTTCTGTCCTCTCCGAAAGTCCGCCTGGTCCTCACCCTCCCCCTTCGACACCCGCGGAACATGGCATGTCAGCTGTCTCCTCCGGCACCTCAACCCCGAGCCGCAGGCCTTCCTCCGCGTCGGCCATGTCGCCAGGTACACTGCCAAACCTGCATGAGGGATATCCTTTGCAACCGACAGTGGAACCTGCGGAAGAGCCAATCCCACCCAGCGCTACTCGGCAACGGCGAAGAAGCGACTCCGAGTATGCCCGTCATCGTGCCCTCGGTTCAGGATCCGTGCGTCGCAATGGCATGGTTGAACCTGACCAGCTACCTCCCAGTGGTGGCCGAAGCTGGTTGATCTATGTTGTGGGGACTAACTTATCAGAGAATCACCCGGCTCTTACAACCCCGAGTCTCTTCACTGATGTATGTACTTCTTTCACTTGCTTGCGGATTATTTACTGACTACTGTCCCTAGAACCCCACATATGAGGATATGATTCTGCTATCGTCACTGCTAGGGCCTGCTAAGCCCCCCGTCGCCTCACAAAACGATATCAACTCGGCAGGCGGATTGTTCCGGCTTGTCGAGTACTCTGGATCTTTAGTTGCAGAATCCGTGGATGGCGCCGGCGCTATTCAGATTCAGGACGGAGAACGTTGTCTCATCTGTCTGAGTGATTATGAAGTTGCCGAGGAAGTCCGAGAACTTGGCAAATGCAAGCATGTCTTCCACAAGGACTGCATTGACCAGTGGTTGACTACCGGCCGCAATTCCTGCCCACTCTGCCGTGGCCAAGGCGTCGTTGAAACCTCCAATGACGATAACGCCCCAGCACCTCGAGCTGCTCCTGAACTCGCTCCTGAACCTACTGCTATCTAATGTGTCCCATTCGGACAATGCGGCTCTGGCCAGCCCGCATTGAGGACGCTACGCCTTTGGCCCACTCCCCACTTCATCGCATCTTAGCATTCAGCGTCTGCTTAGAGCCTAACGACTTTTCTTCATGGATATCCCATTTGCATTCTGTTCGTACTGCGTCGTGTTCTGGGCGCATCTCTTTTTTTTTTGACCTCATCAACGTTCGAGGTTTAGAAGCGGCGTGGTGGAATGGGATTTCTACACGTCTAGCCTCAGTTGATTGTCTATTGGTTCTGTTCTTTTGTATCATTGTTGGCTTATTGTCGCTTTCACTTGGGACGGGACGCCGTTGATCCTACCTATCGGCTCTTTCTCGAGAACTTTGAAGGCTTTTGAGCAATTACAAAACAAATATCCATGTATAGTTCTTTCAATTTGAAATTTCAATAGCAAAAGTCTCTTGTATCGGGCATTGTATATATACTCTGCCCCGCTTACCCCTCGATGCCGGTCACGTGCGGGAAAATCTGCCCGTTGCGGCATGAAGCTTCCCACCTCTGGCTCTGCCCTTTGCTCTTTGGATTGTACAGGTGTGCTTCTAAAGCTTCATCCATCTCTTCCCCAAGTATCCAATTGGTCTCTACTGGAGGTACTACATCCGCTTTCGGCCAAAAAACCGCCCAACTTCCGAAGCAGCCACCCGAGACACCCGAGAAACTCACGACTGAACGACACCGAGACTTCCTCAATAGACCAGCAGATCACCACGCGAAATACACCATCTAGCACCGGAAATGACTGCCCCAATCCGCACAACAGTCCTGATCTCAGGCAATGGCTCAAACCTCCAAGCCGTAATCGACAAAATAGCCGCGCAGCAACTGAACGCCAACATCGTGCGCGTGCTGTCCAACCGCAAAGACGCCTACGGCCTCGAGCGCGCCCGCAAAGCCAACATCCCCACGCAATACCACAACCTCGTGAAATACAAGAAGCAACACCCGGCCACACCAGAGGGTGTGCAAGCTGCGCGCGAAGAGTATGATGCCGAGCTGGCGCGACTGATTCTGGTCGATCAGCCGGAGTTGGTGGTTTGTCTCGGGTTCATGCATGTTCTGTCGCCGCGGTTCTTGGAGCCGTTGGAGGCTGCCAAGGTCCGCATTATCAATCTGCATCCGGCGCTACCTGGGGCTTTTAACGGTGTGGTGAGTTTTGATCCTATGGTCCTGTGTTTGGAGTGAGTGCTGATGTTAGTTTTTTCTATAGAATGCCATTGGGCGGGCCCATGCTGCGTGGATGGAAGGCAAGATTGATAAGACGGGTGTCATGATCCATGACGTGATCTCGGAGGTCGATATGGGTAAGCCCATTCTGGTGAAGGAGATTCCTTTCAGGAAAGGTCAGGACGAGGATCTGGAGGTCTTTGAGAAGCGAGTGCACGAGACGGAATGGGGCACCGTGCTTGAAGGGGTGGATGTGGTGCTCAAGGAGCTGGCTGCGAAGAAGCAATGATCGAGTGCACATCCACCGATGGCCCTTGAGCACCCATCATCGACTGTTGACGATTTATGACTATATATCACCTGGACATGTATGAAAATAGAAAGACCAAGTTCGCGCATCTCTTACACCGCCCTTCCTTCGCAGTGCTTTGTTCAGTAGCTCGGGCCATACCTGGAATCATCAGAACAGCCACGCAACGCCGAAGAAGCTAAGAATGCAGCCAAGACGTAAGTCCTGGGAATGATTGGGACAGGGCAATGGAGCCGGTATAGGTCGAAGGCCCAGGACCGGACCTATGGGATAACACAACATGCATGTCAATCCAGAAATCAAAACGGCTAAAATACATAGTGCCGCGAAGACCAAACGAGGTAATATAATCTCCACCATTGCACAGGTGGCGCAGGCGAAAGGTTGACTAGGATCGCTGGAGGCGTACGGAGACAGGGATATGAAATTGCATCTATTCTCGTCACATGTCTGTAGGTTAAACTGGTAAAGGTCCGAGGCAAATCAGCCGCAGCCACGCACTCCCATGGACCAGAGTGCATCTGTTCAAGTAAAGTGCCCGGGGAAGATCTCCGACCCACGGTTTTACCAGCAACCAACCAGGATCAACAGAAGTCACCCCTGGAGCCACAGGCCAAACGGCCGGCGTTAACTTAATGCTGGTCTGGAGGCAGTGGAGGCAGTCGTATCCGACGGAGGCCGTTGATCAGCCGATCTTTCTGCAGCGGGTTTCTCCGTCGTACCCTTGTCGGAGTGTAAAATCTCCGCAGCGCCTGAGTGAGTGCGTGGGGTTTTGCGGTGTGCCTAGTCTCGTGGGTGATTTTATGGTTCTCCTTGGAATTCAGACGTTGGATGCGCTGTTTGGATCAAGACCTGGGTAGCATGACTAGGTATATTTTCATAGCTTAGGAAGAAATACAACATGCCAATTGATCAGTTGCAGAAAATATTTACCCTCATTTTTCAATCTTGGAAGAGAGTCTACTGTATGCTGCTCGAGGTACCGGCACTCAGTAAGACCGGCCACCAGAATTGCGGGATTTTGAATTTCATTAGAGACGTGGTCCTTGTCCCGGGTTCCCGAGATATGTAACTAGGACAGCTTTTACATCACCAGGTTTGTCAAAAATTAAGTGCTTTCTCTGCGGACCCAAAGAACTGTACAAGCCACCGAGCCCTTCTAAATCACCAGGGTCACGGGTAACCTTCGGCATTTTATGCCTAGGTGGGTACAAGGTGAGGATTGTAAAATTAGATTCGGATTTTGCGGGTTTAATCTAATCCTGGTCGTTCTGAGTAAACAGCCCCGTTCATTTAGTTTCGCATAAGGGCTCAATGAGTTCACGCGCGTCCAAATGCATAAAAAAGCACGAGCTTCTGAACACGCGCCGTACGTGGGTTGGTAATTGATCATGAGGCTACAGCAAGTTTGCCGCTCTGAAAACCACACTAGGAATAGCTGGGACAGGGGTGGAGACGAATTTCAAGACCCGGCTCAGCTATGACCATGGGGGCCATGGGGAATGAGATCTGGGACGGAGATATCCCCCTCTTGTCTTTTCTCTCTCATCGTTCTCTACCGGGCTAGCTCTGCACAGGGCCCCATGAACGGCATGGTAGTGGACACTCGGCCCACCGTCTGTCATGGAGCACGTCCTTTAGCGTTTGCGCCGGCTCCCTTTTCACCCACATGGCGAGAAAATCCGAGGGTCGGTGCGCAAGCGCCGGACTGTATTCGTTAGGCTTGCGAGATGGGCTTCGATGAGGCCAATAGGAGGATGCTCCGCAGAATGATCTACCGTTGTCTCCCCTGCAATTAATCACCGAATGGATCGGGGCCAAGGACGGGATTTGTCGCTCCATCTGGTGATTGGGAGCGACGGAGTCGATCCCAAACCTGGTCTTTCTAGCGCCTTTTCGATCGACTCCACCTTTTGTTCACACCTGTCAGATTCCCGTCGATCAGGTACATTGTCGGACATCCGGGCGAAACTATTTCCCAAGGAGAGGCTGAAAATACCGCGACCTACCAGCCCCATCGCACTACGGAGTCCGTACTGTCGTCCTAACCCTCGTAGTTCATTGTTCCGAACCCACCCTTTTCATGACCATCATGACCAGCATGATCATCATGGATCATGCAAGAAAAAGACTCAGTTATTCTGCTCTTAGTCACCCGGGCTCCACTCCACCCGATCTCCGTCACGAACAGAGCGTTTTCGGCATTTCCCCAAGCTGCCGGCCCTTCTGGAGATTTCACATTTGCCGACTGACAACCGGAGATCGTGCCGTTCGACCTTCCCGGAGCTTTGAAACTTCGGGTTCGTATTTTCCGAAGCTTGATGAACATCACGCGCTGGAAATCATTCTTCTTCTCAGCGGGGCAAACACTCGGACGTCTCTACAGTCCCCAGGACCCGTCCGTTGAGGAAGACGGATACCGTGGACCTGTTTATTCCGTAGGGCACGAGATGCGGCTTGTAGATAACGAGGGTTACATAAATTCGCGCCCCGATCATCGTATGTCGCCGAGTCCTCGAGTGGGACCATTGAATTCAGATGGTGACATCACTCACCCTCGACAGGATCGTCACCAGATTATTCCTCCTTTCGAATGCTCCGAATCCCGAGGCTCGTGGAGATCAAAGGATAAAAATATACAATACAAGTCGATCGGTGGGGAAGAAAGGGGCCGTTGGCCCAATGCTGCAGTGCTAGACTAAGGATCGGTAATACTACCTTGTCGATTTCCCATACTTTAGCCCCTGGTCCCGGCCGACAGCGTGGACGATGGGGCTCCTGAATCAATCCATGGGTGCTTGCGTATAGTCTCGTATTATTGAGAGCGATCAGGATCGCTGCATCGGAGGTTGGGCCGACCAAAATTCAATTTCATGGGCTTTAATCTCCGCACCTGATTCCAATAGTCTGGGTCCTGCTTCACCCCACCCCCTTAGGGACGCTTTACTCGACTCGGTCACTTTGTTTTACTTTCTGTGCTAACTCTACCGGCTTTATTGATTTCTTTCTAATGAAAGTCCTGGAGACTTCCTAACTTTCATGGGGACCTCGTGGAGCGTCGAGTCAACGGGCTGAACCACCATGGCGCAGTCATATTCCCAACCCCAGGCCGCCCTGGCGGGCTTCCTGAATTCAATGCAGCAGGACTCGAGCATGTCCGCATATTCCCTGTTCGGCCCATCCCAGTACCCCGAGAGCGTTGCGTTTTGGCATGATCCCTCCCCGCCGGCGGCGATGGCCGTCTCTGCGTCATATCCGCCTAAACAGCCCACGTTGGAGCAGCCGCCCACGCTGCTCCAAGCCATCCCGGACCAGAAGAAACATAAACGGACTCGGAGCGGCTGCTTCACCTGCCGTGCTCGCCGCATCAAATGCGACGAGGGACGTCCCACCTGCGAACGCTGCCGGAAAGGAAGTCGGGACTGCGTCTATCCATCGCCCGCGGCGCCTTCCAAGGGCGCGCGAGCCGCGGGTAAATCGCGCAACAGCCGTCCACCATCTCAGGGAAGTGATTCTTCTGGTAAATTTGAACACGAGGAAGTAAATTCCCTGGAGCCCATCATCGACGAGGAGGAACCCGATGGTGCCGGATCCGGATCGCGGCCGTCGCCGTCAAGCGGTGCGGGCCCAGCACAGCCTGATCTAAGCAGGACGCAGAGCGACCATTCTCCGCAGAAGCGCAGCATGAAGCAGGTGTCTGATGTCGGTTCATTTACCGTGGATCCGAGCAGCTCTCCTTCAACTGAGGGATCGCGCTTCGAATCCATGAGCGTTCGGTCGCTCAGCATCAGCCACTCCATCTCCGAACTACTCAGCACGGCCCGGCTCCCAGATGATTTACGGTTCTATCTGAATTTCCATCAAGAATCCATCTCCCATGAACACTTCTTTCTTAGGTCGGGCAGCGCTCGCTTCATCCATCACAGCATCGTCGAACTTGCCTTGGGGTATGAACCTTTACTGTACGCCCTGGTGGGCTTCTCGGCATATCACCACACTCTGCAGTCTCCCGGAGGAAAGGTTTATACATTCCTCAAGTACTATAATAAAGCCTTGGTTCTTTTGCGCAAATCACTTGGTTCCGGGGAGGAACACACCGAGGCAACACTGTGCACGGTCCTGATGTTGACAACCTTTGAGGTAAGATTCACAGCATTCTTCAATGTGGCGGCGGCCCTTTGGAATAATTTCTGATTATGAATCTCGATAATAGGAGTATATCGGCGACTGGGTGAACCTGATCGACCACCACTCAGCGGCGCACGCGCTGATGCGCGAGTTGTTGACTCCCGAGTCTTCCAACTTGATCGAGCTCCATACCAACATCTTCCTCTGGTACGCGCGTTTTGACGTCGTAGCAGGTATTGTGGCCGGCACAGAAGCGATTCTCAGTCGGGATTGGTACACGACGAAGGAGAAATACGATGAGGAGCAGGCCGCCCTCTACCCGGACGACGCGTACAAGCAGCTCGTGCTTGTTGCCTCGATCAACCGACGTTTCGGCCTCGACATGGCTTCACTCTATGCGAAACTATCGCGCGGCATGATCCCGATGGACGAATTCGCCGTGCAGAACGAAAAGCTGGGACAGACGATGGAACGGGCGAAAGGCATCCTCAGGGAGTTCGATGACTCCGAATACACTGTCCGCTCCTATCCGAACAAAAAGCCCCTTACGGAAGACGACATTGTGGACCCTTATACGTCTGGCGCTATACATCAGGGCCCGTTGTGGGATGCCAATTACGCCTGGATCGATCTTCTTTCGACCGACACGATGTTCAAATACCAATCGATGCTCACTTTGCAGCAACCACTTCTTCCGGAGCTGGCCCAGTTGGCTTTCGATCAGTGTCGCTTGATTGAGACGATGGACCGCTGGCCGGGTAAGGGGAATGGACATTGCATTGGCTTCAAAAACAGCATCGGTATGGTGTCTATGTTCCTTCCCAAAGACCAGAAGCACCAGATGTGGGCTCGGCGCAAGATTGCTATGATGGAACAAAACGGGTGAGTTTACTTGACATTCGAGGCTTTTCGTGTCCCAATATTGATGTCTCTTGTGTAACAGATACATCATCGCCCCTCGATTCCGTGCCGCCCTCGCCGCAATCTGGCAACTCCCCGAAGTCCAGCACTGGTGGCTCCCCGACGACGAAGGCTACACAGAGGTTATTCGCGAGATCCGCGCCATTTCAGAAGAACGCATGGATCAGCCCCGCGATGAACACCGCGAGAACGTGCGGGATATGAAAGGGCTTTTCTGGAAACTGAGCGTTGACGATCAGGAAGATGACCAGAGCCCGGGAAGCAACCATAGTGCTGTTCCTTGAGGGAGTCTATCACTCTTATACCCTGGACACAACCCGAGCTGGGTCATCAGCACAGCTCACCAGGACCAAAATCATTCATCGACAGAAATCATGACCCGGCCCAACAGCACGGCTATATCACCAATAATCCACCACGCTCGAGCTGTCCATAGTTCGCTCATGGAACCTTCCCTACCTTCCTATCTTCCAACTTCTGGCCGGAGGACACAGACATTTCCATGTCGCCCAAGTCACAACTTAACCATGCACACACGCCGTGTCATCCTTCACTCATTTCACCGTACATCCCTCCCCGTGTTGCACTCTTGATCTCCACGTCCTAATCTCCTATATCCCCCCTTTGTTACCCTCGGCTCTCTCGGCCACGACTTGATGTGTACATTTATTATACCCGATCGTTCAAAATTTCCCACATATTAATCGCATTCCTTTGGGCTCTCTACCCTGTGAAACATCCGTGCCCTCGATACTTACATAGAAAGCCTTCGGCTCTCAAAATGGCATATAGACTTTTCCATACTGTGGCTTGATCGCCTACATTGAACCGATAGTGTTGAACCAAGGCCATTTTTGATGGCATATGTACATCTATACATCTGCTTCTTTCTAAGGGCTACACCCCTGCTTCCACGGCACCTTCCCAGCTCTAACAACCGTCTCAAACCCACCAGCCAACTCACCACCACCACCACCACCAAACTCTCCCCCATTCACATCCTCACCCCAAGGTAAAGCATCCACATCGACATCCCACCCAAGCAAACATCTAAGAATCACACCCGCACCAGCTTTACTCATAACCACGTTCATCTCCTTACACCTTTCATCGCAAACACACTCCACACAACCCTGCGGCGAAAGACACTCACAAGCCTCAATACGTGTCACAGCTCGCCGTAAAAGCAACCCAATAAATTCAAACGCTTTACTCGCAATCCCACAACCACACTTCCCACCCTTCGCATCGTAAAAGGTCAACCTCGCAGGCCGTTGCCTCTTAGGCGGCTGCATCTTCCTCGCCATCTCCTCCTTCGAAAGCAAGGCCTCATTAGCAAGACGGAGACCACGGCCAAGTTCCTTCTTGGCGACTTTACATTCCGTACGGACGTCACCGGGAGAGGAAATGACGAATGAAGGCAGGAGAGATAAGACCGCATGCTCGGCGGCGTGAATAGCAGCCGCGATGTTGAGGTGATGGGATTCTAGAATTGAGATTGCGCGGCTGGGTACATCGAGCCACATGCCCTTGGTGAAGACGTCGATGGGCGGGTTATCAACGGCGACGGCGTCGAGGACACGGCCGCGTTTGTCCATTTTGAAGAAGCCGTAGATGGCGGAGTGGACCTGGATAGCGCCGAAGAATGCGCTGGAGGCGTCGGGGTCGTGGCCGACCAGGCGCATGCTTTCGGTTTCGATGGGATCGATGTCGGTGAAGTCGCGTTGGATTGTGCTCCAGTCTACGTGGACGCGGACGACGCGGGCGAAGAATTGCGAGGTGTTGAGTTCTCTGACGAGGTATGTTTGGCCTTGGTGGAGAAAGATGCCACCTTCGTAGAGGGTGAAGATGGCGCGCGAGGCTTCGACTTCTTCGATGACGATGTTGCGGTTGTTGGTTGTGTCGATTACAGCGAAGTGTTGCTCTTCTATGTCGCGAATTGGGACGCACCGGGAGGGTTGGGGTCGAAATCGGTCGTGGCAGTGGTAAAATCCCATGCTATCTTTGACAAGACGGGTTGCTGCGAGGGCGAAGAGTTGCTGGGTGAAGTAAATGTGGTCTTCGTCTGGGCGAATGGGTGCTTCAAATGCTGCGCATTGGACGTGCCCTTCCAAGATCAGCTCATTGGCTAGGTCGATCTGCAGCTCACAGTTCGGTCGAGTGAATATCTCGTCTGGGTTCTGCATGTAGTGTTGGTCTGTCGGGTATCTGTCCCCGACCAGGACGGACAGAGAGTCTTTGTTGCGGCGTCCAGCACGGCCACTTTGCTGGCGCAAGTTGGAGATTGAGTAGGGGAATCCCACGGTGATGACAGCGTCTAGAGACCCGATATCAACGCCCAATTCCAGAGCATTCGTCGCGACGATCCCCAGTAGCTTCCCTTCAAACATTTCCTTCTCGATCCGACGCCGGTCTTGCGGGCTGTATCCGCCGCGATATCCCATTACCATATTGCCAACCTCCGGTCTTCCAAGACCTTTGAATTCATTGCGCACAGCTTGCAGGAGGACCTCGCATAGCTGTCGGATCCGACAAAAAGCAATCACTCTCACGCCTCTCAGGAGCAATTGGCAAAACAAGCGAGCAGTCTCGGAGACACTGTCGGAACGCCCAGATGTTGGGTCTGCAGGGTCTTTGAATGGTGTATTCCAGCAAATGAACTCCTTTCGACCTGATGGGGATCCGTCAAAGTCAATCAGCTTCACATCCTGGATTCCAAAGATGGACTTCATGTGCTCCTCCGGATTTGCAACTGTGGCAGAGCAGGATATGAACTTGACATGCCTATTTCCAACTGCAGCACATATCCTGCGAAGTCGTCGCATGATAAAGGCAACGTGAGAGCCGAACAAGCCGTTGTAAACATGTAGCTCGTCGACGACCACAAACTTCAAATTCTTCAAGAAAGTGCGCCAGGCACTCTCCTGCGGCAGGATTGTTATGTGAAGCATATCTGGATTGGTAAAGATGATTCGCGCCTCGTCGCGAATGAGGTTCCGACTTCCCATAGGCGTGTCCCCATCAAATGTTTCGACCATAGTATGCTGCAGGCCATTCATGTACTGTAACAAATCCATCATGCTGCGCCTCTGATCTTGAGCCAGAGCTTTGGTGGGGAAAATGTACATTCCCCTGCTCTCATGATCCTTTTCCAGCTCGTGAAGCATTGGGATTTGATAAATAAGTGATTTGCCGGAACTTGTCGAGGTCGAAACAATCACGTGGTGGCCATCGTACAAGTTATTGATCGCTTCTGCTTGATGCGAATAGAGTTGGGTGATGCCTCTCGTGTTGTATAAAGCATTGACGAGATCCTGCGATAGCTGGAACGACAAATCGCCATAGATGGGCTCCTGGGCGTCAAATACCCGATGGCCTTCAGGTACGATCTGGGCATGATACCATTCCATTTGCCGGATCTCCACAATGATCTCTGCGATAGACTTTCGTTCCTTGGGGATTGTTGCTGGAGCCTTGATCACAGTCGGGGTGTTCATACCACTTTCAGGAGGCGTAGGCAAGAGTACATCCTTTTCCTGTTCCAGAACCAGTACCGGATCAATAGCTTGATCTTCACACCGGACCAGAAATGCATCTATAGCATCCGAGAACTTGGTATTACGCTTCTCAATCAAGTTCAGCATCTGTTTCTGGCTGTAGACCGGCATCTTCAGATCCTCATCCTTCATGCGGCGCACCGGTTTAGATGGCTCTCCAGTTTTGGGGTGCTGTACTTCGCGTTTGAGATCGCCATCCACGAACTCGAATAGCAAAACGTCCTTCTTGATTTCCAGCTCGCCCTGATTCACCTCCGGCTCGGCCGTATCCGCCGCTGTTGGAAGGCCATGTTGCTTATGTAGTCCATACTCGAGTGTTTCTCTGTCTCCGACCGTCATAACCTCCAGACTTGCTTCATCCACATATTCGAATCGTACCGCTCGTGGGACTAGGACTTTCACCCTTGCCACATCCTCGACTGTGAGCTCACGCCCTTGCCCCAGTTGGGCCTGTACAGCCTTCTTGATGTTATCGAATGTGGTTGCAAAATGTTTGCGCGTGCAACAAAAGGTATACACGAGATTCAATGCTCGGTGAATCTGCGACAGGCGCTTCAACTCGTCCGGCCATGGCGCAGATGGTGTTCGCTTCTTGGGCGCCTTGGGCCGCTCACTTGTGGCTGTTGACTTGTTGCCCCGTGCTGTCTTCTTCTTTTTGCTCGAGGATTGCTCTGGTTCCTTTGCGTCCGGCGCATTGTGGAGGGGGGCGTCTGCAGTCGCGAGGGTAGGGTCTAGAGGCGACGCGTTTGAGGATGAAGCCGTGGCGGGGCTAGTAGTTCCAGGGTCGCCTTCACTGCTCTGTTTTCGTTTCAGTGAACTTGGAGCTGTGGCTGATGATGAATCTGCCATGTCGATGCTCCATCGTGGTTCCCATTTGGCGTGCGTTGAATCTGATGATGTCGGCGTTGGAAGAAGGAAACGCGAGGTCACGTGTGTCCAACCATATAACCAAGTTGGGTAAGTGAATTGGGCTGAGAAACACGAGAGGCCATTTAATGGGTGAGCTGTCTTGATCAAAGCAGAACTAATTTTGACTACTGATAGTGGCCCATAAATTAGATATTGCTCAGTTGGGATACAAAGATGTACCGTTGCCTTGTCCGCGTAGATTCGGAGTATGGAGCAAGTTTAATCGGCCCCGGATTCCAAGGCTTAGGTCTCGATACAACGCTGACCTCTTCGTGGCTTTATTTGAAAGCCCCGTTACATTATCAATAGCTCTTCGGAGGGTACTGCGGATCTTTTGTCCAGTATTATTCTTGCAGACACCTCAATCAAGAGTAGCATCTCTTTTTTGCAAGAGATCAGAGACTAAGCCAGTCTCGAAGGATTTGGCAGCATCCCGCTACATTGATATACCATTTCTAGAAATACCCTAAATTTTATCAAATAGCCATTACACCGATGACTCAACTCCGGTGATGGACGTCCAATTTCCATACTTCGCTTACTTCCGAATATCGGCACTTTGATCGAGCCACCGCATTTCACCGATGACCATTTGGATCCATTGAATTTCCGATCCTTGGGATTATTACGAATCAGGCATCTTCAAATCTCAATGATGCAACGTAAGACAAGTATCTGCCGGTCCAGGAGTATGACCGTCGCCGATCAGGCGTACAGCGCCGTTGGAAGGCATTCCGCTTTGACCCCCGCCAATGACCGGCCCCGGGCGCGCTGCTTAAATACCGAGCCGCTGCCAATATCACCGCGTCTCCGATTCCACAAACCACTTCTCTCTCCAGGTCGCTATGTCCCATATTCAATCATCCAGAAGATTGTTTCAATTCTCTCAAAGAGTTTTCTCAGGACTACCAACTTCCAGAGCCATGTCTACAAAAGGAGCTCAAACCGCGCACGATTGGAGCGCCGCGCAATACCTCAAGTTTGAGGATGAACGCACCCAGCCAGCTCGCGACCTACTTGCCCGGGTTCCTCTCCAAGCACCCAAGACCATTGTCGACCTAGGCTGCGGCCCAGGAAACTCCACCACAGTCCTGGAATCCCGCTACCCAGACGCCCAATTAATGGGAATCGACTCGTCGCCGGACATGATCCGCAAGGCCAAAGCAACTCTCCCGCACCGCGACTTTGCCGTGAAAGATTTGGAGTCCTATTCCCCTCCAGACTCGGTGGACTTGTTCTACTCCAATGCCGTGTTCCAGTGGCTCAAGAAAGACGAACGCTTCGAGATCATCAAGAGATTAATGAAAACACAACCATCGGGCGGCGTCTTCGCCCTTCAAGTTCCTGATAACCTCTCTGAGCCTTCTCATGTCCTGATGCGGGAAACTGCTGAAAATGGGCCTTGGGCTGCTACACTGGCGAAGGTTGGCAGAGATACGTTCCAGACGGCACAGGAAATCTACGATCAACTCAAGCCTGTTAGCTCGAGGGTAGATATCTTCCACACCAGTTATTATCATGCGTTGGAAAGCCATGAAGCTATTATTGAATGGGTAAAGGGTACTGGATTGAGGCCTTATTTGGACCCTTTGGGCCCGGAGGAGAAGAATGGGTTCTTGCAGGAGTACTTGAAGCGTCTGCAAGCGGTGTACCCAGTGTCTGTCGATGGCCGAGTCTTGCTGCGTTATCCACGCTTGTTTGTGGTTGCTGTTAAGAAATAGTGTATAGTCTTTTGCGTGTGAAATTTATGAAAAGTTGGGCTTGCATGGGGGCCCATTGGGGGCCCACAGGGGGCTATAGGTTGGGCTCGGGCCCGGACTCTGGGCCCAATCGTGGGCTTTGGCGAAGGTCTAATCTTGGATACCTACTATATACGATTGAAGACATTGCGTCGCTACCGTCTAACTATATATTTATAGAGTAGAAGAATAAAGAGGCTATAGCTGCACCGGAGTCTCGATCTACGAGTCAAATTCCAAGTGCGAATGTCGATATCGGGCAAGCTTTATCACCGCCGCTCTCCGGCGACGCTCCTTTGTTGAGGATAAGTCTAAGACGATCCATGGCACCTACATGTAGGCTTTTTGCCGGAGGGGGATTTTCCAACACCCTTCTATGGGATAATCCGAGGAGATATACCTGTCTAGAGTATATCACTCAACCTAATACTATACTTGTTGAGGTTTGGGCGAAAAGCTAGTCTTGACTTTGCTATTGGTTTTGACTAACATTGTAGCATGAAAATGAATGAAAATAAGTGTACAGTATCAAATCCAATTTGGAAAGACCGGACGAGACTCAACCTTAATCCTTTGAACAAATTTGAACAAAAAATCCATTGTTTGTGTCAAAGCTGGTGTCTCAGGGCCTTTTTTGTTTCGGCCAAGTTACTAAAGCAATGACGGTTTTTTGGGCAGTTTATATCGGCATTTCAAGAATACTGTCGTAAAATTCGCAGTATTTTTATCCCGGTGGGACCTGATGGAGCTATACCGCGTCAGTGCCTTCGCTCACCTGTCTTTCTACCCCCTTAGGCTCGATGTTCCCATGCTCAAGTTGAATAGTCCTCTGTGTTGCCTTTCTGGTCTTCCATGCAGGAGTACCTATATATCGGATACCATGGGGATCTTCAAACATAGACTCTGTTTCCTCCAGGGTTTTTCCAGCTGTTTCTGGGAAAAGGAAAAACACGTGAATAAACATGACGGTATTGAAAACCCCAAATATGATATATGTTTCCCAACGGATGACAGCGAAGGCTGTTGGCGTAAAGAGGCCTAATGCGGCGTTAAAAACCCAGTTTCCGGATGTTGAAACAGCGACGCCTTTGCCGCGGAGACGAAGAGGAAACAGTTCGGGGGGTAAATCCACGACACTGGCCCCCAGGATGGAGCAAAGGAAGCAACAAAAAGATAAGTGCATGCAATGGCCCCCTTTGCAGCAGCTCCTGTGAGTTGCATCGATTCCTCAGCGACACCATCGATGCCACCTGGTACAACAACCCCATGAGCGGCAAAAATGCCGGCGTTGGCATACATGAAAGCCGCCATGAAAGCTGCCCCGACCAACAGTGTTGGACGGCGACCCCATTTATCAACCCAAATGAGAGCTGGGATAGTCATCACAACATTGATAATGTACTGAATCGACGAGGCCAAGAGACCGGAATTACCGCTGAAACCAGCCATGGCAAAGACATAGGCAATGTAATACACTGTGAATTTGTAAGAAAATGGTTCACCGGTCAAAGAAACCAACGGTTTGACTAGAAGCACGAGCACGACGGGTTTACATACTCATGACGTTCATGCCGGTTAATTGAGACCATATTTGCATGAAAAGTGCCGTGATTGTTCTGTGGATCATGCGAGGTCGAAAAAGATCAAAATAGGTGGCATCCTTGTGCTGGCGTTCGAATTCACACATATCCTTGATATCCTGCAATTCGTATTGAACGAAAGGATGGTTCACGTCACCCGAAGCGTGGACACGAGCCAAAACATTGTGGCATTCTTCCCAACGATCCTTTCTTGCAAGCCAACGAGGTGATTCTGGAAGGAGCATCATGGCAAAAAAGAGTAGGATCGCTGGGACCATTTGAAGGCCCCAAGGAATACGCCATGACGCTGTACTGTAGTTATGAGAGGTCTGGCCTCCAATATAAGCGCACCCAAATGAGACACTTGTCGCGAAAAATATCAGAACTGTATTCCACGCAACACATAATGACGATAGTGGGTTTGCAAACATGAAATTAACTTACTAGTACATAATTAAGATGCCCCACGTAATTGCCCATTGTTGAACACCAACAAAACGACCACGTAATGATGGCGGAGATATCTCGGATATATAAACTGGGACCTGCGAGGACTCTATACCAACGGCAATGCCATTAATAATGCGCCCCACAATGAGCATCGCAATCGTTTGCGATGCGCAAATGATAGTGGATCCGACGATCCTGAAAAATGCGTCAAAATTGCGGAGAAAATGCAGCAAAAATGATACTTACCAAATTATGCAGCCGACCATGATCGACGTTTTTCGACCAAACCGGTCAGAAAGGGCCCCTGAAAGCAAGGAACCCAACCATGACCCGTACGCCATAGCGGCGGTGATTCCTCCCTGAACCAGGGATTTGGGCCCACTGCAGTTTGCCTTATCGTTGAAAGGGGGACCATCAGGCCCTTGGTTAAAGTAACATTTGTAAGAGTTTTCGCTCAATTGAGCAGAAACAGAGGCAATATCAAAGCCAAATAAACCGCCCCCCACAACTGCAATAGCAGTTATCGTATAGATATTGTCTTTGATACGCATACCTTCGTCGTTTCAATATTGAAGCAAGCAATCTGCTAATGTCGCGCTAGTCGATCCACGTCCCACTTGTAAATCAAGCTTTTGTGGAAGCATTGAGCGGAAGCCCTTCTTTATAGGATGGCAGTACCAGAGCCATGTATTATATGCGGGGTAAGCAGGGAAGATGGCTCGGGTCACGCGCACTCGGCCTGTATCATCGATAACCTGAATGCAGGTATCTCGTCATTGGCCGTGAGGAGGAATTGGACTTTCAAATCCAAAAAAAATGGAGAAGGCGGAAGTCTGATCACCCCATTCTCCGCACTCCGAAGAAAGTCCGCCCTTTTCTATGTACCCGCTTCTTGAAACGAAAGTCGATTCTGGAATTATGGTCATATTGATGTATTGATTGCCGATAATATTCAGAAATAATTAAGATTTGATACCCAAAGACTTGTTTAAAATACAATAGGAATTGAACAGTTGCTGAGCAAATCTCTTCAGACACTACGTCTTGCACTACTCCATAGGCTATATCGGATAAGGCGGGAAGACCCAACAGTGTCAAGGTTTCAGGTTATTCCACTTATAACAGGGCGACGTCGTTAAAAGCTAAATGAAGGCTTGTATCTACCAAAGCACCGTACAGATTCTCAAACCTCAGATTCTCGTGTTTGACAATCCCAGAAAGAAGATAAAATAAGGATTACGAGGCGCGCACATAGAACATACGGCACGTTCACTAGAATACTCAAAATGCGAAAATGAAGGGTGTTGACCACAGGAAAGGCTTCGCCGAAGGATACAGCCTGACTGCAGATATAACTGAGACCCACCCTTTACCTACCAACTGACCGCCTGCCTACCTAGACAACCGATATGGTGGTCTGAGAGGTCCTAGTGGCTAGATAGGCAAGATAGAACCGGCAGAATCCAGGTGGCAAGTTTGTGGGTCTCAGTTACATCTGCAGTCAGACTACTTACATCATTGCGCGGGGTCGCAGCAAACCAGGTGGCTCCACAGTGCCGGAACGGGCGATCGGGCATTTGACAGGATTCTCTCTCCGCGAGTAGGAATTTTGCTGCGACAGTGGGAACCATTTTGAGGTTACATAGCTTTGTCGTCCCCTCTGAATTCCCATTAGTCTCCGTGTCAATCAGTCTGTTACCATATAGTATGGATGGCTGGATGGCGTCATTTCCCCTGACCCCTCGCAAATAAAAGTTAAACCCCAGATTATGGTACAAGTGTGATGATTGGTCTATATGGAAAAATCTAGCTATTTGTAGTTGCAGCAGCTCATCTGCCTGCTGTCTAGCGGAGTGGCTGTCTAACAGGCAGCTACTCGTACAGATCTATATACACCACGTGTCCTGGGATCCTACTTTTTTTGCAAGGGGGCAGCGTACTAGTGACACGCGCTACCGCGCGCCGTAAGCCCTGAAACGACTCAAAATTCAAGGCAAGTGGCATTGTGGGGAGGGCACCAGCGACGGACCCGCGGGAAGTAGCACCTTTTGCGTCCCTAGTTCAGTTTTCAGATGACGGAGGAACTACATAGATGAAGTCCATGGCTTGAAATATCATACGAGTGTGGCGGAGTAAATGGCGGCTACGGGTCTGGTGCTACTTGTCTTGCCGTCAGTGGCGCCCAGGACCACGAATAGGATGAAGTTTGTCAGAATAGAGTTCAAGAAAGTCAGTGAATTAAAAGAAAAGCACGCATAATACCTCGCGCGATGCCGTCTTCCTACGTGTAGGCGACTGACGGTGGCGACCATAGGTTTTATATCACGTTCAGGGCCATGATCGCGCATGTAAAGCAAAACATACAGGGTAGAAAAGGCAGGTGCGGCAAGGGAGTTTCGAGACGGAGGTAGCTCGGTAGAAAGGGTACTCCCTCCCACAGTCGGATAGTGAGACGACAGCAGTACTAGTAACTCGGGTCAGTCGTGCAGGGTAGTTTAACCTATGTATATACGTTTGTTTCAGAGCATGACGTCCTAATCCTGTCTTCGAACACAATGCACTGTTCGCACTCTTATTAAGGGCTTCTTATTTTACGTTTCTTTTGTCAACCCCGACAAGGGTTTTCCACCCTCCCACCGATCAAGCACACTGAAATTGAATATCTCTTGCTATCTTATATTAAGTAAAACCCAGGTTCTATTCACAACCACAATCGCCATTTTCTTGAGGAAACTTTACACCACCGAAAAGATACGAACTATGGTAGCACAAAAAAGTTCTTTAATATTTTATAGACTACTTAGTTGTGGTGTAATAAGCTTCTCACCTATACCCTAGTACATGAACAGATCAGCCCTCACTGGAATTATTCGACGCCTGATTGGCCGACGGGCTTATCCGTCCGTGCTCCCGTCACCATCACCGACGCCATCCAGCCGCCACAACCGCGGAGCTTCGTCAGGCTGCGCTGGCTGAGATGATAAAACGGCCCTGGCTGGAGCCGACGCGGAGCCTTGCAAATTCCCTCCACCCGATTCCGCGCCCATCCCCGGTCTTCCTGTCTATCCTGGCTTACGCTGCCCCCGCTGCTCATATGTGTCACGAGCATTAACGACAATGCGTAGCCATCTAGCACACATACATCCGGAGATCCGACGACCCCGTGGCCGTGCTAGCAAAGCTAAGCCTGATATGGCTGCCCTGCAGAATAAGTGAGCTGTCAGCGATTCTTTGTATCCGGTTCAGGGAGCGGCTTCTTTAGTGTGATCGTACCGTCTCCGATCAGGCGACAACGACTAGCTGGTACGGTGTCCGAGGCCGAGTTCATTCAGGTCCAAGCCAACCAGGATCTCCAGGAAAGGTTGTCGGCCGAGGCAGAACAAGGGCTACAGATCACCACCCAGAAGCATGCCACTAAAGTATCGCCATGGCTAGAGCTCACCCAGTGGCCGAAGTACCTTCAAGGTCACAGCTTTTCTGAAGTAGCAAGTCTAGGCATGCTTCTTAATTCTTCTCGCGAGCCACTGCTTGCCGCGTTCGCGCAGAGTGTGGAACGATTGATCAAGCGTGTATATCACACTATCCAGGACCGGCGGATTAACGAGTTTGACCAAATCCGAATCAACAGCTTTGTCTCACGTCCGAGGATTTGGGAACGACCGATTCTAGTGGATCTGAAGCCCTGTACATACGCCCGGTACCAGCAGGTATGGCAGCGCCTAATCTGTTTTGCCTACCGCAGTAGTCGCCCGGATCAAGCGATCATCCTGCGCCACCAGTTGACGACCAGTCAATTTACCAAATTAGACCAGATGGAGGACCTTGAAACGCAATTGTTGGCGGAGCAATCCCCAGCAGTCTGGGATTAGCTAGATTATGCCTGTCTCGCACTCTCGATTGCTTTGCTCGATCACCCGCTCAAGGGGGATCTATTTGAGAGTACTGTTATTGGCTTCCTTGCTGTTCTCGGTGTGGATGTCGAGCGTTAGACATTTTGGGAACCATACGGCTATACCAGCTATCTATCGGCTCTCGTAAAGATGGCCTTGATGCTAGTGGTGGAGCAGGCGGTCCAGATGGCCGATGATGGCCTTATCGCCCACCCAGCAGATACGCTGGATGATATGCGTGAGCGGTTCCTACTGTATGGAGTCCGGGCCCCCTTTGGCTGGATCAGCCGTCTACGTACGTACGGCAAAAAGATCCAGAACAATACGAGTAGCTTGGGCTATATCTACTGGAGTGATGACGAGCAAACCTTGAGCTATAAGGGGCTACGCCTAACCATGACGGACTTTCAGCGCTTTGCCCGGACTCGGGTGACTTTGGCTCAATCTGATCTAGAGCAACTTTTCTTACTTCATGAAGATGAGGAGCGAGAGACTGTGGTTCCGCTACTATCTCTACATCAGCTACAAGATAATCTCACACACAACCAGCGAGGATGGAATTTCCTTCACGATCGACGCAACCGTGATATACTTACCGTCAACGGGGAGCGGTGGCTCATGGACCGGCTCCTGCAAAGTGACTCGTTACGCGGGGAGTTTCTTGAAATTCGGAAGCATGATATACAGGTTGTCTGGCGTCTATCCGCGGTGGATAACTATCTGCAGCAGGTAGACCGATTTCTTCATTGGCTTCTACTTCTGGTCCATATTACTGGGGGCCAGCCTATCCCATGGGGGGGGGGGGGGTAAGTGGGGTGCAGTTCATCCCAGTAGGCTAGGGTTTCGTTAACTATGGGAGCCCATTTGTACATACCAGTAGAAATGCCCATCTAGATTCCAGTAGGGTTTTTTTGATCGGATCCCTATCAAAGTTCGGTCAATTGTAATCCAGAATTGCCCGCGCAATTTGACCGAATTTAAAGCCCATCACTTAGCGTTAAAGGGTTGTTGCAGGGATCCAAAAATAGGTTAATTGTTTTAATGGGGTGCGACCGGACGGTGTTAGGGTTTCCATCACACACCATCACACACCAGTATACTAAACCATGCGATCCATCACAATAGAACGAGCAGGGGTTTCAGGAGATATATTATAAAACTAAATTATATCACACTTTCCTAGAAGATTAAAAGGCGCCTTTTAAGTACTTTACTATATATAGCTTAAAAATAGAATAAAGAGTGGCTTTAGGTATATAAGGAGTTTATAGAAATAGTTAACGGCTAGACGTAAGTCTTCTAGGACGTCTTACCTTATACCTTAATTATAATTTATAAATAGTGAAAGTCCTAAGTTAAGGAAGTTAGTGATCTACGCGCGTATAATGAGAAAAAGCGGCAGAAACGCGCACGATCAACTAGGCAGATAGCATATCTAGGTAGCCTAACAGTCGCTGAGGCCGCATAGATTCTACAGCCTCCTACATAGGCTATAGAGCGCGTTAAATCGCCTACACCTACAGCCGTTCAACAGCCTACTTTACTACCTCTACTAGCCAAACGTGCTCAACCAAAGTGTTCTAGGTGTGGAGATATAGGGCATAAGATCAATTCATATAAAACTCGATAGGGTTTTCAATATATTATAGCGTTTAGGTGGAAAAAATCCTAATTCAAAATACAGTAGTAGGCGGTGTGCGCAGGTCAACCGGGAAATACGTTAATCAATATCCGATCTCCGCTGCTGCACTTGTTCCGACAAAGATATACCTACGTTCTTCCCCTTGCGAGACATCCAAATCTCTTAATTTTGTTTCTTGAACCTTTTTTGATTTATTTTGAAGGGGGAAAAAAAGGCTCAAATATGCAAAAGCACCATGACCTCGATATTTTACATTGAAAGTAGCGAAGATCGACTTCAACTACCTCCTTCGCAATTACACATCGCGACAGACGAAGCTCGAAAATACTGGTATGCGCTTGCGGACGAAGCTATTGCTCATCTTGGCAACGATGGCCCTTTTGAAACAATTTTACCACAAGATATCCTAGGCAAAGTTCCCGCCTTGCCAGCTAGCCAACTTGCGCTTTATGAAGTGTTGATCTCAGACTCCAGCACAAAAGCGATCTTGACAGCGGCATCATCCACAATGCGTCCCACCGAGACGGAGAGATGCAATGCCCACGACACAACGAAAGAAGTCCAAGCAGCTCTCTTGATGGGGATTCAGTCTCCCATCGCCTGTCACTTAACCGGCAAATGTTTTGAACAATTTCGAGTAAATGGAAGGGATAGCCGGAAGCCCCCGAATCTCACTGGGATCCTTTCGCTTGCCTGGGCTTATATCCTCTCTAGTCGCCTAGTTGAGTTGCAGCCACAGGACGGAGCAGAAGTATCTTACACGAGCTCGACTGCGTGTTGGCAGCATCATGATGTGACAGATCGAAAGACAGAAGGCGCAACCTCTATTGAAATCGACATTGGCAAGGTTGATGAGAGCACTGCTCGATGGTGGGCGGCTATCTTAGCTCCCAAGCAAGGATGGAGAGCATCTATATTAAAAAAAGAGGGTGAAGTTTACTATGCGCCTTGGTCACTTTCTCTAGACGAGTCCCCGGACTTTAGCGTTGTTTGGCAGGATGTCGGCTCTCGCAACCTAGCCTCTGCTGTCTGCTACCCTCCTTCGTCGCCGGCTGCCTTGAGACTTCTCGCTCAATTCTGTTCTTTGCATGACTTGGGGAAGCAATTCCTTGCAGCTCTTTCTGCAGCCCTGACATTCCCCACGCATAAACAACTTGAGGTAACCATCGAATTGCCATTGCCAACGGTGACTCAAGGTCAGGTTGGTCAACCTTCGGAAAGGCAGTCGATCAACGAATATCTCTCCGTGAGCAATGACCTCCCTTTTTTCATGGCCCTGAGTTGTAACCACAGCGTTGTGATGTCAAGTCTTTGTGGTTCATTCTGGGAGCCCGATATTCCATGCAGCCTTGTTAGTGCATGGTTGCATCCCGTTTTGGAGGAAATTCCAAAAGCCTCTCGAATATCCGAGAAACCGGGACGATATCATGAGATGATTGCTCTTATGTGTGGCAAGCGTCGTCCTCGACTTTCGGCCCTTTGGATTGGAGCTGCTCTAAGCGGCCTTGTGCCGAGGATACTCGACTCTGTTCGTAGCGGGGCTCCTCCTCTTGACCCTAACGGCTTTCCATGGACAGGTTCTCCGCAATCTTTCATGGACCTTCCAGGCGTAGGGCCATATTTTCACGCTGATGCCTCAGGGAACTACGTCATAAGAAGAGTCGATGCCTGGAGGCTTTTGTATCTCCCAGTACCAGAGGATGATGGTCTCTACTACAACAGCCTTCCTTTTTCACCGTGGCATCCAGTCGGAGTTACAGCCGAAAAGAATTGCGCGCTACGAGTCCGAGTACACCAATCATGTCCAAGACACCATTTAGCCTACGCCTATTGGACTTGGCAATTACAAGGTGGCTCTTCATTGAATGATCCGGGATTTTGGCGAGGGGACCCTAGTCAATTCCAACGAATCTCTTATGCGCAACCTCAACAAAATGACGGCTTGGAATATCCGAATATTCCTCTGTCTTTGTCGCAAGATGCATCACGCGAAGCGTCGTTGGAAGTTTTTCGTTGGGTCCTGGCAAACCATGAAGGAAAGCCGCCTTCTGAGCCAATATATAATGATGACTGGATTGCGGGTTGCGACGACAGTGATGAATGCTATGTGGAAGCACAATATGACTCCGGCAGCGAAATTGATTCTCTCAATTAGGAAGAACACAATTAGGCCTTAGTAGGACTTTATAGACTAACTCAACCTATGATCCGGGAGCCGATCGCTTCCTGAGGCGGCCGTGTTACCGTGAACTACATTACGTTTGAATTAGGAACGCAAAATCATGAGTACTCAAACAGATGAGATTCGTCATCGCTAATAATCAGACATCGCTCACTTATAGTGAACGCGTAAACTCCGTATGCTCCGAACCCTCCAGTGTACTTCTTCCACATAAACGAGATTGTATCATCTAATGCTCCTTGTTGTCCTCTTCTTCGTCACCGGGCAGATTCTTGATGCACTTTCCAATTTCCGTCCAGAGCCTCTCGGCTGCTTCAGCGTTCGAGAACTGTTTGGAGTGTCAGTACATCCATGGACAACGACCAAAGGGGTCGAATTGACTTACACGCAGCAAGAGAGGGACAGTTCGGCCATTCTCGACGCCGGCCAGGAGAATTTGCTTGCTGGTCGGGCATTCGTTCTTGGAATCTCCGTAGTTCATACCACGAAAGAGAGAGCTGTTCAACATGACACGCATGTTGCCGTCGGCGCGCATGATCATGCGGGAGAAGATCTTTTCAGGGTCGGTAGAGCTCTTGCGGCCATTCAGCTTGAAGGTACCGATACCACGTTCTTTCCACTCGCCATCCAAGAAGTTGAACAACTTGGACTTGGATGAGAAGAAGGTGATTTCCTCTTCCTCGCCGGTTTCCACTGTACAGCAGGTTAGATTGGTGTGTTGGGTTTCAACCAAAGGGAATTTCATACTGGTCTGTTCGTAGAATCGCTCATCGGTCTTCTCAGCCTCGAAAGTGCTGTTGTCTTCATCCTCACCGTCGTCCTTATCGCTCTCCTCGTCCTTGTCCTTGGACTCTTCGGCACCGAGCGTCGTGGACTTGGCCTCACCAAGTGTGGCGGGCTTGGTCTCACCGAAAGTAGTGGGGGCGCTGGGTGATGCGAAGCTGGTGAGGCCACCAGTCTTTGCTGCCGCTCCAAACCCGCCGCCAACTCCAGAGAACCCATTTCCAAAGGTACCAAAGCCAGAACCCCCAGATGCAGAAGGGAAACTTGACTTATTGGAGTCGGCGGGCTTGAAAACAGACGGAGTCGATGCTCCAATGGAGCCGAAGGGGGATTTATCGGAGCCGGCGAAGGCAGCAAGTGTAGACGTTGCGAATGCACTCCCCGCGAAACCCTAAGACGAATAATGGTGAGTGACTGCAAAGTTAAGCGAGAGAAGGAGCAACATGAACCAACCTTATCAGTCTTGGTATCCTGCTCCTGCGAGCCGTCCCGGTGTCGCTTCTTCTCCGGTTCTTTCGGGTCGGTGGACTTCTCTTCGGAAGGCTCGGCCTGGGCAGGCTTCTGGACTGATTCGGCAACCGCTTCGGTCTCGTGGGAAGAGTTCACATCGAGTTGTTCTCGGCTCCGCTTCTTCTTGGGGACTTGGGTGGAGTGATCGTCGGACGGCATCGTGACGTTGGAGGTGGAGGTGGGGGTTTGTTTTGTCGCGGATGAATCCTGTGTTTAGGAGGGTTTTTGTTAATGATGTTCCTTTAGGAATTGTCCGCCATGTTCTTCGGGTCTGTTCCCAGTCTCAGTTGCCTTCGATTCCAGAAGTGCTTTCGAGGTCAGAAGTCTCCCAGGGCTCGGGTGAGGGGTTGGGCTCGAATTTGACGGTCTCTTCCAGCAGCTCGTGTTCGAGCTTCTGCACCTTCTCTTCGCGAATTCGGACTAGCATTTCGCGGATGGCAACTGCCTTCTCCCGCTGCGTAGCCATCTTCTCGCGCGATGTAGCCATCCTCTCACGCTTGTCCATCACCCGCGAGCGCACCTTGAGGGCACTCTTCGAAGCGTCGAAGCCGTCAACACACTCCCCATACCACTTCTCGTGATTCTGGAGGACTTTGTCGCGATGATGGACATCTTGCCACCGCCGCTCAATGAGCTTTTCGCGCTCCTCCAATGCCCTGGTCCAATGGTATTCGTCACATTCAGGGAGGTCGTTGGGTTGATCGAGCCCGGGAGTCTTCTGGGTGTGATCGAACACAGTTTCTTGGCCCTCGGCGTCGAGGAAGACTGTGCGAGAAAGGGAGGAAACGGGAGTACTCACTTCTTGGGGACCAGCGCTTTCGTTCTTGCTGCCGGCCTGCTTCTGCTGGGGCTCCTCCGGAGTGCTCTCCCGTGATCGCTTCTTCCGGACCTGGCCGTCTTCGTGATAGTCTTCCGCGGTGTCGCGGGACTCTTCAAAGGAGCGCTTGCGACCACTAGTGTTCTCCTTAACTGAGTCTTGCGGGGTGGGCTCGATCGACGCTTTGGAGAGTTGCTTGCGGACCGGGCGCTCACCGCCGTCGTCAGAGTGCGGCGACCCCATTGTTGACTCAGGTGGGTATGTCTGATTCCCGCAGAGTTTGAATGAAAAGTTTGATGTAAAGACAAAAGAAAAAACTCGAAGATGGGATTAAGATCTACTCAAGCAAGCTTGGGTACTATCTAGGAGGAAAGATGTGAACGAGAGGAGGAATATCCCAGGATACACGCAGCCCCGGTCACCGCTCGGCCCCGCAGCGAATAAACAACAGCAGGCGCTAGCAAACTTAGGATAATATGACCATAATGAAGGGATGGATAGTTCAATAGTTCACAAAATCACCAAATCGATAATAAATAGTGTGTAGAGCAATAGCCAGCCACTTATGCAGAATGAAGTACCTAGGCATTGCCGCAAGCAGCAAACGATACTAGAATAGCAAACAAGTCATGCGACATTCATTTAATCGTCATCTACGGTTCACTTTATGCTCCTCTCCCTCCAGGCTATAAAAATCAAATATATTCTCGAATATGGTTAAAGCTTTCTCGCTACCAGAGGCGTTTCACAATAAGATGCCTGCATGTGCAAGCATTTAGGCCCAATCAATCACCATATCTAATACCCGTGAAAGACCGCCCACCAGCCAATTGATTCAAGATACAGCATGGCCCGATGGTAAGCTACCGATAGACCTGGGTTGTCTTTTGTAGCAATGATGGTCAACTTCATCACATAAACCGTGGTTTCACTCGAGATATTGAGGTGTAGCCATTATCAGAAGCCCAAAACAGACATCGCAGATCAACGCCTCCTATCTTAAAAGCAGCTTCAGCTCGTCTAGTCAACTTCCCCAAGAGGCCAACAACCTAAACCTCGTTACCAAGGCTGCTAATTCCAGAGCGTACTTGGAAATTCTGCTGCAAATTGTTCTCATACATTGACAGGTATGTATACAGGTATCCAATGGGGAATTGTTGAGATGATTTGCTGGAGTTCGACTCCAACAAGACAGGCCGAGGGATTTCCTCGATCCCGGAGAGCGCAAGATACCACTTGTACTCTAACTAATGAAACAGAGGCATCCAATCGCGATATAGAACATGAAGAGCGGGTACACAGCAATGCCCACACGATTCCGAACAATTCCCGAGCCACCCAAGATGCTGACGCCTGCAGCCAACGACCATGCCACCAGCACCAGATAAACTGGTATTCTGGCGATTGTGGGGAGACCAAGTGCACTGAGAAGTGCGGCGATAACAAGCGGGAAGAGCGTGTAACCGATGATACAGATCGACTGGAAGAAGGAACTGGATAGGTACTGTTAGTATATCACAATGACAGCCGGGAATTGGAGTAAAACGTACATCTTGCCACCTAGAAGCTTGATCTGGAGAGTAACGGCCGCTTCTCCGATCCAGACAATACAGAAGACACCCGAGAAGACCAGGGACGATTGGTCTCCGTGAGCCATCGACAGGAACAAGCTCAGAACCAAGCAGAAGATAAGCGGGCCCCTATGCCATCGTTAGTGCAAGCCAATAACAACCCCCGAGTCCAGATATCACGTACCAAAGATCCCAGTCGCGCAATCCCTCACTCATGCCACCCTGCAGGACCACGTCGGCATCCGGCCAGCGTCCCACGAGCCCGCGCAGGTTGCGGCCGAATCCAGAGGCCTCGCCTCTTTCAGCATCGCTGATGCCACTTCCACCACGCTGCATTATACCGCCCAGCAAGTACTTTGGGTACAGCACCTGGCGCATCTTCTCCCACACGGCGACCAGGTCGCGCGACAGGGTCGCCCAGACGGTCTCGTCGATGGTGTTTTGAGTTGAACGGCGGTCTTCGCCTGGGATGGAAGAGGTCAGGTAGTTGCCATATCCAGATCCACGACCCCTGGAGTTGGAGTCTTCAATGTTGCCGCGTAGAGGGGCTGTGTCGGAGGTGTCGTGCAGGGGATCATCGGCCTCGATGTCTACAAGGCGAGTAGCAGGTTAGCAATGAGGAGCAGACGCAAGCGACAAGTAGATAAGAATTGTAGAAAGAACTGACCATGGTCGGCCTCTATCAGGTCATCGTCAAGAAGCGACTCGTCGTCATGCAGGTCGACCTGAGAATGGCCGTATTGCACGCTCGCCATGGTTCGGGTGGTGTGTTTGTTGACGCGAGTTAAGAAAGAGTTTATTGCAGGAGCATCGCCTCCTAAGCGAGGAGCAGAGACACAAAGCCCAAAGTGTTTGGAGGAGGTTGAAGCAGTTGTTGATGGCCAAGCTGTCCCGGAAAGGCTAGAGTGGCACTTCGCATTGCACGGTGGGTCACCGCCTACGGGGCGTGAAACGGCTGTTTCAACCCTTAGATCCTTTAGATTCTACCAAACATAGTTCAATTTATCGATCGATCGAGCTGTCGGTCTCATGTAATAATATCTAAGCAGCTTCGAGGCCCTCGACATACGGTGCCTCTTCCTGGTACACGTCATACTTATACTGGCTGCCCGGGTGGTCTTCTCCAAGCACCTTTGGGCCCTTTCCATACACCTTCTCCTGGAGAGAAAGCGGTGCATCCGATGAATCCGAAGGCTCTAGATAGAGCCCACGCTTCCTCAACTCCGGGAGTACGAGGTCAATCAAATCCTCAAAGGTTCCTGGCGTGGTGACATAGCCGATATTGAATTCATCCAGGTCCGCACCACGGATCCAGCGCTCCATCTCATCTGCAACAATAGTAGGGCTTCCAATGGCAACGGGACCAAGACCACCGATAGCCGCCTTCTCAGCAACCACCCGGGGTGTCTACTTGGGGACGACTTTGCTGGTTTTGAGCAAGGAGTCTAGGAAACGAAGGTGGGTTCCGCGTGGGTTGACGCAAAGGCTGATCCGGCAGGAGAGGTACCTGCTTGGAGTATGAATGGAGTTCTCTGGGACGAAGCGTCGACGATATGGCGTGTATTCAGGGTGTAGAAATTTACCTGGTGGTTGATCTGACGGACTTTGTCTGGATCAATGTACGAATTGGTCTCGGGGTTGGGAGAGAGCGCATCCGACGCCAGGAGCCTTCCCGGAGCCTGTTTGTAAATGGTTACGGCCGCTCTGGCATCGTGGTTACACTCAATCGTCAGATCTGGAGAGAGAATTTAAAAGTAAAACGTAGATTTCCAATGTTCTATTATGCTCGTAGAGGGGAAAGGCCCAATGCTCTTTTGTACAAAATGCAAATGCACAACGCCGTCTAAACCAAATGCCTAATATACAATGTAGCCTATACATAATCAGGGACCGCAGAAGACCTCAATATCGTGCAGCAAGTTCGGCGCTGTTCATACCAAGTCAAAGCTTGGTTTCTTCACGCGGCGAGGTAGGCTCCGCATGCTCCTCGGATTGGCCTGCGACCTGCTCTTTCGGCTTGTCTGCAACCGGTTCTTGGGGCTGGACCGCCGCTTGTGCTTCGGTCTGGTCTGCAACCTCTTCAGTACCCTGGCTTGCCTCTCGCTCTTCGGGCTGGTCTACCGCCAGGTCTTGAGGCTGGTCAGCCACCTCCTTCTCAGGCTTAGGTGGGCCCCTAAGCGCCAACTGTCCTAGCCTGAATTCATTGCGCTGCTCAACCGTGGGCTTGACTGCCCGTCCAGTAAGCTTCTGAATCATCGTCTGGTCAGAATACTTCTTCAGCATCTTCGACTCTGATGTAAGCATTTTACGCTCGTCCTTGGGGACGAAGAGCGCGTATTCAGTCTTCAAAGTCTCGTCGATGATTAGGCGCACCCAGGCCATGATCCTGGCACAATTCTGGCCAAGGATCGGCTCGGTTCCGGTTTCGAGCTTATTCCAGCGGCCCTTATGGCCAGTGCCAGAATCCCCATTCTCCATAGCCTCATGAAGTTTTGCGATATGAGGTCGTAGGGTGGCGAGAGCACGCAGGCGTAGCTTGGTTTGCAGCTTTTTGCCCAATGTTTGTAGGCTGCGAGAATCGCGCCCTGCATCCATGTCCAATCCTACAAGATGCATGAGAGTATGCGGATTGTCGGAGAGTTTTTGGACCAGTTCCAAGTAGGTGCCTAGTGAGCGGGGATCGGGAAGAAGACATGATTGAGACATCAAGTCGAGGAGCTCGTTCGCGTGGACGAGAACTTTGCGGTTGTTGCGGTCACGGCGACAGGACGACAGAGCAACATGGAATGCCTTCCCGTTGGCCAGGCCTGCAGGGACCATCTGCTCGCGCATGACACGAGTGGCAGTGTTGCTCGACCGCGTGACACGGAGCAGACGGAAATATTCGATAAAGGAGAGATTGTCGGGCTCGACACGGGCTGGATTGTCTTCTTTGGTTAAGTGATCCCAGTAAACAGTGCCAGTGGAGACACCTTGAGTCATTTTGAGGCAAGCCTCCAGAATCAGAGTAAGATCCTTGTTGTCGGGTTGGAGGTAGGTCAAGTTCTCGGAGCCTGGGACCATCTGATCGAAGAGAGAGTCAAAGTTCTCCTCCTCCTCTTCCTCGACAGATGTCTCATTTTTGATCCGTCTCAGCAACTTGTTATCCTCGTCGACGAATGGGACATCATCTTCCATCTTCGAATCCAGCTCTGACTTGGACCTTCTGTCAAGTTCTCGCTCGACCCTACGGCGCGCGCCGTTAGGGATTTCGGCTGGGACCTTTGCAAAGATGGGAATTCCCATGGTTTGGTGATAAAGAGCGAACACATCGTAAAAGTCGCGATCATGGGCACCCTGCAGAAGTAGACTGGCCATGGAGCCAACCACCTGATTATCGATGGGCAACGGATGCGTCTGATCCTTTGCCCAGCGATAGACGACATCGGCCCAAATTCGCTTGCCCTCAGTGACCATCTGAGCTTTTCGTGAAATAATTCGTTCAATTTCGTTGCGATCCATTCTCAGGACGTCGGTATGGGCTGCGAATTGGATAGCGGTCAGGATAGTGCTGTAAGTCACCATGTCGGGTGCCTCTGGTCCTTCTTCCGGCAGTTCACCCGCAATGCGCCACAGCGTGTCCATATCACTGTGTCGCTGGCAGACCGAAAGCATCGCGTTGGTATGGATGATGCTGGGCTTGACTGGGGAGTTCTCGGCGAAAATCGAACGATAAACACGGAGCGCATCCTTGACTATGCTCGGCGTACCCTCCGGGGCTTTGCGGAAACCCGTCAACATGATTGTGTACGTTCTCGAGTTTGGCATCCGGCCTCGTTTTTTCATCTGTCGGAAAGTTCTTGGTCAGCAATGTCTCCATAGCAAAAACTCCGGCATCCCTCCCCTGAGCGAGGCACAAGATCAAGGATATACTTACATCGTTATAAAGCTTGAATGCTGCCGCGGTACAGCCTCGGTCCATAAAATATTGGAGCAAGTTATTCCACGCAACACCGCAACTCATCCCGTCCCTCTGTGCTTGCCGAACTAAAGCGGCCGCTTTTGCCACATCACCGCTCTGCAGGATACGCGCAACCCGGTCCGCCAAAGCCCGAGGATCCGCGAGCCATTTTAACTCTAACTCAAGAGTCTTGCGGGAGGTGCTTTCTTCGCCGTCGGGAGCTGAGCCGGAGGCAATCGCCATCAACGAGGCCCTTTCTGCCTTGGACGCCTGTTGGCTCCAGGACAGGCCACCATTAGATTTTTTGCGGCCGGCAAAGTGTTCCTTGTGACCTTTCCAGCTCTCGGGGATGACATTGTCTGCTACCTTCGGCGGTGGTTTGGGCGAGGTCTCGTGCTCATGATCGGCGGGTATATCTTCGGCGGCGTTGGTGGAGTATGATCGGGACGCATTGGAGGGTAGATTTTGACTTAGGGTGAATGCGCCTGTATTCGCAAGTCGTTGCTGGATCAGCCGGCTGCGCAGAGTTCTACTCAGGACCGACCCTGGAAGTTGGATCGACATCACCGGGCGTCTGATCGCGACAAGGCGGGTGGTGCTTGTCCCGATGCAATAGTCGTCTATATGGAATGCGATAGGTAGATTTGGGCTTGTCTCCGGTGTATGGCCCGATAGCAAGAAAAAGATGGGCGTGAAGGTGAGTTTTGGATCCTCGCGGAGTCGCAACAATTTCTCGGAGAAAGAATCGGTCTATTCCTTATCGGGCTAGATCTGGATCCTGGCCGTTCAGGCACCCATTTTCGCCTGAGGCGTAAAACACATGGCCCGGCAGCACTAGGCCTCATGCAGTGTGGCTCCTCGATGGAGCGGGCCGCTAGAAGGTCCACGGATCTCTTGCATTCTTACAGCTCGTAAGGACTAGTTCCGCCTCAACTTTGGTACGCCAATGCCGGTTTCAGGTCTGCATACGCAAGGGCCATGATAGTTCGCCTTATTCTTTTATGCCAAGAACACTAGTCTTAAAAACTATGATCTCTATCTACTACCACTCATAGTATGCCTGTTCCAGTCAAATTACCGCTTTGCAACGGATTTAGACCTTTTCCTCGGTGCCTCGTCACAATGGTGTAGGGCGTAGATCCCAACAGTACGCCAAACGGTCTGCAACCGGATCCAAACCCCCAAATGAGGTATAGAGGGCGAGAGTAAATGACCGCACCGCATGCAAAATCGCTGCGAGTGAAGCCGGCAACGGCAAGGACGCTCGCTGCATAGTGTAGATATCACGCGAGGATATAAAGTGAAATAGACTGCGTCAAGATGAGAATGCATATGCTGGACAGACGACAATCCCCAGTGTCAGCACGATCCGAGGCACCTCGGCCAAAGAGGGACAGATCAAGGGAGGGGCTGACGCATGCAAAGAGCTCTGGGAGAGATTTTCTGGTTTCGCAAAACTCATTCGCGTGACCTGGGGATGAAGACTTTGTAAATGTAAAAGTTGTAGATAACTGTGATAAGTGAGCGGTATATAGCAATTCAAGAACGGAATTGCCGGATCCAGATAGGTGGTCTTGGACGGAATAAGCAGCGACTCTCATACCACTGTGCAAAAAGATATGTCCTCTCGCGTAATTGCAGCAGCAGATATACCCTAGCAAGTCGTGGCCGTGTCCAGTTTCTCTAGCCGTCGAGCACGTCGACATAAGATAGTGCCAGGCCTTGACTTGGGCGGGAGCTGCATGATGGGAGCTGCTACCATCAGAATCTACCACATAGAGAACCGCCAACAGAGTGCCAGGCCAGAAGCAAGCACGCCGATAGCAGGTGTACAAAAGCCGCTGAGAACCCAACGTTGTCGTGGCATGCGGCAATACATCGGAGGAGTAAACACCACCGATCAATTTTCTGGATATGGAAAACTCACACGTACCAGTCGGTTCTGATTCTCATTTAGACAGGTACGAGAGGATCAATATGCATTGGGTTTCAAATCTTCACCTTCAAGCCCATGCTGCCAGAGTGGAGGCATGGGGATGTTGATACATAGCTTTGAAGCTCAACCTAACTCCCCGGCATATTTCAAAGGCCCACTCACGATCCATCCCACCCATTATGATAAGTACTATACTCTCAATTAAAACAACCAGTCAGTCTCTATAGAAAACAGCAAATCAAAAAGACGTGAAGACGTAGTAAAAATGTTGGAGGCGCTTCCAAAACGCCAAGACCCGTCAATATGTCAGGGTCTCAAAGGTTTTGGACTGTGCGATGGGGCCGGCGCCAAGTAAGCGCCAAATTTAAAAAGGCGCGACAGCACTAGACTCTAAGCAGTTTGGCCGTTCTGAGACGGAGCGGGCCGCTAGAGCAGATTTCAAAGGCGTACAGCCCAAAAGTACTAGTTCCCGGGAGCTCAACTTTGGTACGCACGGCGGTTCCCGATCTCCGGTCGTCCGAGTCTAACCTGCATTGCGTATTGCATGCGCGCATGAACGTGGAGGGTTGAATGATTTGTGGCTTTTCTTTTCTCATTTTGGTCTATTCTCTTTCGTTGACTCTTCATCGATACACCATTCACTCATAAGTTGCAAACGCCTATGAGGAAAATTGACGAAACCCAACGGCCAGTGAATTTTGATGTTCCTCGCATACATTCAACAACGGAGAAATGACGGGATCCCGGGACCAGGGCAGTGTTGTGATCACGTCTATTTGAATGACGATTTGCTTTCGCATACTCGGAGCTTCTCATCTGAGTCACTTACATACTCGAAAACCAAGCAACCCCCTTCACCTAAAGCCTATTCTAAAAATGATACAAGGGGCCAACCCAACGCCGTTAGGCAACGAAAGTCCCTTGTACCATATCGTGCACTTTCCATTCTCACCATGCAACTCATGATCAAGCCCTTCGACATCCGTACTCAAAACAACAAAACGCACCAATGACAACCACGACTCGATGCATGAATCCCAACCCTAAATCCCAATCGCATGAAAATTTCCCGATCTGCAGGGTCAAGGTACACTCGGTTCACGTGGCCAGAGCATCAACACTAACCCTAATACACCCGAGTGCAGGGATCCCCGGTCACCGGCAGAATACATCTCAAGTACAAAGGTACCTACCTCCAAGTACTAACCCAGTGCACCAAGTACACAGACACCGCACCCAACCTAGTGACCACATCCCAGCCCATAACCCTCTATCTACATACCCGTCGCATCCAGGCAACCGCCAAGCGAAAGGCAAAAAGGCAAACAGAAAAATACCAACCATAACGTTAAATCCGCCAATGTAAGGAAGGGTACTAGCCACTGTACCGCCTGGTGCCATCACATCAGGATCAACGCTAGTAGGCCGTACCGTCAGGTTCGACCCTGTACTTTTGCCACGCTTAGCCCGGTAGGTCTCCCGCTAGTTTCGGCCAAGGGTCTTGTGGGGAGACGGGATGACCCTGGCCGGGTTCGGCTTAACCTTGTTCGATAAATTACTAGGCTGTACCACGGGGTGGAAGTGTTAGTGTAAATTGGGTTTAGAGACTATTATTGGGATTACCCTTTGAAATGTAACCGAGTTTGTATTTGAGGGTTTAGTTTGGTTTTACGGATTAGAGCTATGTTCAGTTCCCAGTCACCGCCATTGAATGGAGCAGCGGAGCAAAATGGAATGAGAAAATTACAATCATCGACCTGGGAGCGCATACAGCCTCTGGGGGGTAACCAAGACACCAAAATAAATCAGACAATGCACAATACGTTGCAGACCATTGGCCCTGCACGGTATAATATACGTAAAGAGGAGAGAGACGTATCAGGTGCAAAAAGAACCTGCATAGCAAAGAGTTCCATGCAAGCAGAAACATGAGACAAACGTCAAAACAACCCCCCCCCCCCACCAAGAGTAAAAAAAAGAAAAAAAAAGAAAACCATGTTGGGAGAATGCCCGTAACAGCAGAATAAACACATGCAAGAAAAGAAAAGAAAATCCGCCCACCCAACCAATTCTTGAAGCCACAGCTCCGGCAGACTCGCAACTCAAGCTAAATCAGTGAACCCCTTGTAGGAAATGAAGAGATTCTTTTGGCGAGGCTGGAATGCACAACTCTAGTACAGGAAGAAAGTAGAGAATATAGTGGGAAAGCCACTCTTTGACTTGACTGGATTAAAGCCACAAAAAGGTTGGTATCATCGAGGTGAAAAAGACTTGGAAGGGGTACGGATCCGGATCCGGGAGACATGAGGGTCAAGTCAGAGAACATGGGATATCGTGAGTAGAAGACAAGCAAGACCGAAAGGAAAGAAAGACAGATGCAGGCTCCGTGCCACGGCGTAGAAGTCGATTACGTAAATTATTGCGGGTAGCTGGTAGATTGAGTCTCTGGATTTGCCGTAGCGAGGTAGGTCAGCCGACCGATCCTGGGGAGAGTTGTGGTGGCGATGTGTTGGATCGAAGAGGAGAAAATCCAGTGGGGTCGATTCTGGCAGAGAAACAAGACGGCGATGGTGGCTGTATTTTACTCACGTTGCTGGTACACGGGACCGCTCTGATAAGGGGAGTGAGGGTAGTTGGGAGGGTAACCCATCTGTCCGTTGCTCTGATAGACCATGCCACCGCCAGGGGGGCCGTATTGGCTGGGCACCTGGCCATCAGCGGCCTGGTAGCCGATGGGAGGCAGTTGAGGGCGAACACCGCCAGCGTAAGCGGAGGGCTGACCCTGAGAGGGATCTGAGGGACCAGGAGCGTCGACCTGGTTGACCTGCGCCGCCTGGGCAGCAGCACGCTCACGTTCCTCAGCGGCCTTGCGCTGGGCCTCTTCCTCCTTCTTTCGGGCCTTCCATTCTTTGCGGATCTCCTTGAATTCTAAAGAGCAAATCAGCAACGGGGTCAAAACAAGCAATGAAAGGTATGTGGTTGGTGCCAGGCTAGGGGCGGAAAGGGATAGGCTAGTATGGAACACGCTTAACCTCCACGCCGGTGAGCCACTACTGCGGCCCCGCGAAATCTAGTGTAACTCACTAGCGCGCAGCTGCCGGCGCTAACCCAATCCAGCCATTTGCGACAGCCACTTGAGACAAGCATTTTGAGATCGCGATCGCGACCGCGAACGAGATAAAAGAAAGATTCGAACTTACCCTCGGGAGTGCGCTTCGCGCCGTGCGACTGCATTGTCACATGCGCGTTCAAGTGGTTGAGAGTACCATACGCCTTTTCACAGCCCTGCCACCCACACTTGTACATGCGCTCGATTTCCTCGTACCGGCGACGGGGGCGCTTGTGCTGCTGAGCCCCTGGAATGGGGACGAAAGAGTAGACCTGTAAGAGAGAAGAGACGCAAATTAGCACACAAATTCAGCCGATTGGCCAGGTATGTTTTCGTAAGAAACGAAAAGAAATGCGCTGTTTTTGACGATCCCTGGGAGGGCGGCTTCTTTCGCAGTAGGCCGAGCCCAGAGGCGTCCAAGACAACGGAAACGACAGAAGCCTCAGGAATCATCAAAAACATACCTGGCCAGGGCGCGGCCCTGCGGCCGCAGCGGGAGAGGCAGAACCAACCGTTGTAGCAGGCGAGGCATAGGGCCCCGGCATGTGGTGTTGCTGTCCGTAGCTATGCGGCCACTCCGGGCGCGAGTACATCTGGTGAGGCGGGGGCGGGTGACCCTGGTACTGAGCCATCTCGTGTCCCTGAGGCTGGTAAGGGGAGTAGGGAGGAGGGTAAGTGGGACTGTTGGCCGGGAGAGAGGGATCTAGCACGGCGGCGTCAGAATTGAAGTTGGGAGAGGAACGGGCCTCGGGCACGGGCAGGAACTGACTTGTTGCTTGAGCCATACCGGCCGGCGCGCCACCGGGCTGAGAGTTGGGAGCGTAGGGTTGCGGGCGCGGAAGGTAGTCCTGGTAGGCGGGCGAGCGGGCGGGCGGAGGGTTCAATCCGTACTCCGGCTGCGGTGTGTTGGAGGACGAAATATTGGCGGGTCGAACCTCGGGCTGCGGCGTGTACTTCACGTCGGGTGGGGCGTAGTGAGCAGGGGCAGCAGCAGAAGTTTGTTCTGCAGGCGGATGTTCAGAAGGTGCGTCGGTGACGGACGGGTGGTTGTGCGAACCTGACTGTGCGTACTCGGAGGCGGGCCGGTTGTCCATATAAAATTATGGACGAGTTCGCGCCAAAGGGGCAAGGCGACACCTGACGCGTCGGTGACTGTCAGTTGTGGAAGTAGGAGGAAGTGATAGGAATGATAGGAGGGAAGGTTCGGGGAAATTAGACGTGTCGGGTACGTATCAAGGGACCCGAGACTAGGTCGCCACGTTGGAATCGTGGCTGATACACTCTCCAGGGGGGAAACGTATAGGAAAGGTGTATGAGAGGAATGTAGGGGAATTGACGTACTCTTCGGCCAAATGTGCAGATCGTGGATTTTGTGGAGATAAAAAAGAAAGGGGATCGACGCGTCTCTGTCAAAGCGCGTTCAGCGAAGGCCCGATGCTTAAATCTTAGTTCGCTTTTTAGGACGAGGATGCCTTGCAGGTGGCGGCGTAAGCACGAGGCACCGGGGCGGGTAAGAGTGGGAAAAGACGAGTAGGGGGGGGGGGGAATAGCGCAAAGACGATGCCTCTTTTCTTCCTAGTCAATGGGAAAAAAAAGCAGGGCAGGTCAAGAGGGGTTGGAGCAGCAGGCGTCCTAAAAGGCCGATTCGGCGTCCTCGTGGGATCCGAGGATGCGGTGGACCCGGTGGAGTGTATTTTTGGTTTTTGGTTTTCCGTAATTTTGTTGCGATATGCGATATGTTTTTCGACGATTATTATTTTCCCTCTCGATTACTTTATTCTATCTTGGGCGCTCTCGGACCATTCCCTTTTCCACACAATACTCCGGTGGGTTTGGCCCCTTTCCCCCTCCCGGCTAAGTGTGCCTTTTTGCCCGTGTGATGGGGATGAGGAGAAATTGTGTCCTTTGGGGGAAAAAAGCGGATCCCCTGGTTACTGAAAAAAAAAGAAAAAAAGTGGCGACATAATTATGATTCAATCTCCTTTTTTTTTCGTGAACCTTCCACCGCAGAGTTGGGTTGCCTGGGTTGCCTGGGTTGCCTGGACGGAAAGAGGGAGTGAACGTTGAGATATAGAATGTAGTCGAGTAGTGGTTGCTCTAGTGGCTAGCTCCGAGCTGGAGGACTAGTCTACCCGCAAACTCGGGGCGCGTCTCGAAGACGGTGAACCTAGCGTCTACGCTCCGTGGGTACCAACCAAGATCGCAGCAGGAGGGGGGAAATGTTTGGGCCAGGCGGGAAGGAGGGTGCTAGCAATGGCGTGCCCGAGGAACCTCAACCGGGGGAGATGCACGCGAGCCTGAACGGGACTAGGAGTGCGAGAACTAGCCCACAAAGGGGCAAAGCGCAAGCCGGGGGAAGCAGAAGGGATGGAACTCGGGAAGACCAGGGCTAGCGTGGACGGCGTGGGTGTCTCTGAGATCTGAGGGCCAATCGGCGCGTACAGGGTCCACCCGCGGTGGAGCGGCTCGGTGGATGGCCGGCTACACTAGGACTAGTGCCAAAGTCTGCGTGAAAGTTTGAAAGCCGATGGGGCGGTTGAAGCCGGTATGTTCTTTAGGGTAGGAGTGCTTTTGTCGTGGAGATGATTCTCCGTTACATTGAGTCCCCTGGGTAGCAGGTACCAGCGACCGGATTCTGTAGCCACATGGTAAGTAGTCATGAACCCAAATAACCCCCAATACGACGTAGGTACACAAGTTGATAGATATGCACAGAGATCTGTACGGAGACAGGTACATTTAGGTACCACTCAGAAAAGGGGCTACTGGCCTGCACCCTCGACGGAGGAGATGGCGCTCTCGTAACCGGCACGATACCTCAGGAACGCGTCGGTGGAGAGAACAACAAAACCCCACCGTCCGTGACCGGAGAGGCTCCTCCTCATGACATCTGCAGTATTTGATTTATTTCATGAAAACAGGAAACCAGACGAGGCCGCGGGGCCAGCCGACTCGAGGACAAACTGTTCCCCCCTTTTCCCTGCGTTGGGCCCCCACCATTGATGTGGGAGGTCGTGCCGCTGATATGCCCAAGGCTTGGAAGCTACCGTGGTTCTCCAGTACCAATGCTTGCTTCATTATACGACTGTTAATTATAGCATCTCTCGATGGCCAGTCCATTTTTGCGCCGGTCCGTGGTACGTGCTTTGTTGTCCCCCGGCGGAGTATCGGCGGCTCTCCGGGCTTTTTACCCTCCTCATCTACTTCCAGTGGAGCCGATGCACATGATAGGGAGAAAACGGACGGCCATCAAGGTGCAGAGCAGAAATGCAAGGCTCCCACCTCGGAAAAGTACCTCTCCTGTTTCGCATCGTGGGTCGTGATTGGTTCCGGGGCGGGACTGGATCTCACCCCGCAGGCGGAACCTGTTCTTCCAATGCCGGTGAGGGAAAAAAAAAACAACTCTGTCTCCATCTCCGTTCTGTAGTCTGTTCTTTTTGTATTATTTTTTTGGCGTTTTGCCATTTTGTAGGCAGAAAGTCACCCCGGGTAGGTAGCCGGTGATAAGGGACACCACTTCGGCTATCAGGCGCACAGTGGGCCCCGGGCGGAGAGCTCCGCGAGAGGCACAGGGGGGCAAAACGAGTGTACGAAGTACGGGATATCCGGACTGAAGCCGGAATGATCGATATCAAATCCATATGACGCGCCAGTCATTGGACGCCGCAACCGCAAGTCTCCAGTACGCGGGATACGGATGGGCTCTGTACATCCTGGTATTTCCCCCCTCGGACGATCACTCCGAGCAAAAGTGGGTTGGGCTCCAGCTTCGTCCCCAGTTTTCATGTCCTTGTCGACGTCCGTAGATCGAATAATATCTCGGAGAAGCTTGGCAAACACTGGGTAAACCACAAGGATATGCACCGAGACTGATTTACTTTACGCTCGTTAGCTATTAGTCAAAGTCTTATGAGGCGGTTTCCGCGGCTGTGGCTGAATTGGGGAGGAGGGGCAGGAGCAACAGAAACACCAGATACCGTGGCGACGGTATATTGCACTGGGGAGCACGTGTGTAGGGGTAAACATGGACGCGAGCTGGACAGAAAACGTGGGCCGGTCGAGGCACGCGGGTATATTCCGGCGGTCACGCCGTTCCCCGGTCTGGTACCAGCGCGTACGGCGTACCCTCTACGTAGCACCGAGTACTCCGTACCCAGAACCAAATGGACCAAGGGCGATGATCCTCATCGGGAACCCAACCGGCTGTCAACCCAGGTTACCTCCTCGACGTCCATACTCGGCAAAAGGCACGAAATCAGCCAGTGGCCTGTGCTCATACAGACAATCTCCCATGGCTCCACATCGTGGACAGTGCGGAGCCCGAGAGTCGCTGGCTCAGGGCATGCTACGCCGGACGCGGTAAGTGTTACCCGCCATTCGGCAGATCGAGCGCGACTAACATGAGTCGTGATCGTTGTCCAGCGCAGTCTTGATTTGATTCTCCGATGCCTTGTTATCCGTTTCTTCCGCGGAATCCAACCCATTGCGGAGAACCCCTCAAGGGCAGAGCGGCAACCCAATGACGAGACGAGAGCGAGAAAAGAGGGGAAAAGACAGGAAGTTGAAATGTGCAAATTGTGCAACCAATCAGGCCCGTGACAGGGGTTTCAATCCCGCCTGTCTGAGAAAGAACAGTCCGGCCACAAAACCTTCTTCGTTATTGACATCCTCCCGCGCCAAGCTCAGCCCCAGAGTATAATAAACCTGGGAATCGTGTGGCTAGGATTCACTTTCACGGTGGAGTCATTCGGTTTGCGACCATGTGAAATCCCACTTCCGAGTAAATGCGTGGATTGGAAGCCCTAAGATACACAGCCGAGTAGAGTTGCATTCCCACGCAATTTATACTCCCGCTCCAAAAGGCAAAAGGTGCATGGGTAGCCTAGCGCGAATGGGATCTTTTGTTCGGAAGTCGCGGCTTCCGCTTTAAGCCTGACTTCTCCGCACCGGGGACTCGACTGGGTCTGGGATTGGGACTGGATCCTACTGGAGCACCGGCCGTGTTTCATTGTCTTACCCAAAAAGCTGCGATCTCATTTGTGATGGACGTGGTCCTCAACGGCGCACAGGTTCTCCGTGGTTTGCCGGAGAATTTGGGTCGCGACGAGGCTACTGCAGGTGTCTGGGTTGGGGAAAGCGGGTGCATGAGCAGAGAAGCTTTAGGCCCAATGCATGAGATGCAGCCACTCGGCTGGACATACGGAGACATCGTTGCGAATAGGCCTCCGGTTCAGGGGGTGAATTGACTCTCCGTCTCGGTTTTGGTTCCCTTGGCAGTCGTGAGGTGTCAGTCTGCGGTTGGGTCTTGAGTATCGCTCTCGGCGATCTTAATTCCTTCATTCCTGGTATTGACGATTTGAAGGACCGGGTAGTCGGGGTCGGGTCAATGTAACAGTATCAGGGTGTCTATCTTCGGTCATCGAAATATGGAAGACGATGGCCTGAATCAGTAACAACCTAAAAGAACTACATCGCTTCTCATGGAAAAGCATGGACCAAGACCCCCACAGCCGTCAGTTCGGCTAGCGCACGCTTCTTTCTATGGTGTATCTGCTGTGAAACATACTAAGCTTCGAACCCACTAGCAGTTGCACCGCCTCCTTGTGGGCCATTTTAAGCATAAATCCTAACACCTCGGCGAGATACTTTCTCTCGTTATCAGATCACTCCACTAGGCTGTTTACGGGTGTCATGCGGCGGAACGTGAGTGACGGGTTGATAGATCGAGCGCTTGGTCTCAGTGTACCCGGTGTGGTTGAGGCATTCGCATTGAGGCTGTATCACGCTCTAACCATGGCCGCTGTCTCTGTCCGGGCACAACAATCAATGTCACTATTAATTCATCCAGTGCATGTTAGTTCGTCTGGCATTCAGAGGTAGAGCAATAGTGATTCGCCGACATTGTCCAAGCCCGATGCTTTCCTTGAATATCGTCATTCGAAGCTGTCACTGTCACCCCTGCCCACCTAGGCACGGAACTCCACCCAGAATGTCGATCACACTTGAATTGCTTGCCAGTGTTCTTCCTTGATGTGCAGTCTTCTCTGCCCAGGTACGCTCGGTCCGTCATAACTGACGGGAAATTATATTCCGTCTGCAAACGTTACCCCGAGCACAGATCGATTGCGGGGTTGAATCACCGGCCCTCGAGATCTCTATATCAAGTAACTAGGAACAATCAGTTAATGAAACACCAGACCTCTTTCTCTTGAAAACTTTGGCAGGAAGTCAGAAAGTTGAGACTAAACCTAGAATCGCTTTCGGCGACTCATACACCTACGTGCAAGGAACGCATGGCCACCAGAACTACAGTTTCATCGGTGACCAGTTCAACTATGCATACGATGCACAGACTTTACCCTCCGACATGATTGTCCAAAATCAAGTACATACCCGATCTCATCAAATGATCCTTCTCATACCTAGATACCGACCCTCGCTAACACCCAACCCAGACCGCAACCGCAGAAGGAGGTCCAAACTGGATCGAATACCTCACAAACTGCGGCGTCCAGCCAGGCATCACCTCACCACTCAGTTGCAAAAAGCAGCTCTGGGACTTTGCCTTTGCCGGCGCAGACATATCAACCGAATAGTGCGTCAAACCACCCCCATACCTAAATGCTAACCTTGACACTTGTCCAGCACACCCCTCCACCACAACTTCACCGTCTCCCTCGTAAACCAAATAACCCAATTCAAAGAATACGGCCACGCTACCATCTCCCACATCCTCCCGGCGACAGACACCCTAATCGCAACCTGGATCGGCATCAACGATGTCGGGGATAGCAGCAAATACCCGGTGCATTTCCCAACATTCTACAAAAACCTCACGAGCACGCTCTTCACCTCAATCGACGGCTTATATACACTAGGCTATAGATCCTACCTCCTCCTCGACCTCCCGCCACTAGACCGCACACCGGGCAACCGGGCAACGAGTACACCGCACCCGAACGCGACGCAGGTGGACTGGTACAATGACGCGTTACGGTCTGGCGCAGAACTATTTGCTAAAAGGAGGGATGTCGAGGTAAGGGTATTTGATGCGCATGCGAGATTGAATGGGATTATGGATCATCCGGGACAGTATGGGATGGTGAATATGACGGGGTTTTGCGCGGGTTATGATCAGCCTGATATTGAGTTGAATTACGAAGATTATGGCTGTCCGGTGCCGTTGGATGAGTATTTCTGGTTTAACTCGAGGCATTTGACGAGCCATGTGCATCGGATATTGGCTGAGGAGCTTGATGAGTGGTTGCAGGGGTAGAAGTCGGACTTATGATGCTACGATTGAATGATACTACGTTCGAGAGAATGAAGAATGGAAGATGGAGAACAATAAATAGTCAATAACAACTATGGACATACACTGAACTCACGGTCGGAGTGAACCGAGATAAAAGACTTTTCGAATAATCAACATGTATGAATTGGCTGTGAATCCAAGCCTCTAGGTTTGCCGAGTGAATCCGCAGACAAAAGAGGCATGAGGTCTCGTCGAAGGAGCCTCAAAGTACCGATAAAAGCAGGTGAAACTGTCTATGACATCGAAAACGCCGTCCGTACCGAATTACGCAGGGAACCGAAGTGAAGCAAAACAGAAGAAAGTCTACCGGGAACGCAAAGCAGTCTGGAGGGCGTGTTTACCAGCCACGGCTGCCGCCGAGGCCACCGGCGTTGGAGCCAGTGTAGCTACCGCCGCTGCCGCCACCACGACCACGACCACCCCAACCACCACGGCCACGGCCACGGCCACCCCAGCGGCCACCGCCGCCGCCGCCGCCACCACCGTAGCGGACCATCTCGGCGAGACGGGGGTCAATCTGCTGCTTGGCCTCGGTGAGGATGGTGACAAGGTCACGAGCCTGCTTAGCATCTATGGGAAAAGAGGTTAGATATGTTGCCATGGGAGAAAACGGGAAACGGAGAACGTACTCTCAGTGGTGAAGAAGGTAATGGCGGTACCCTTGGCACCGGCACGACCAGTACGGCCGATACGGTGGACATAGTCCTCCGAGTTGTTGGGGTAGTCGTAGTTCAACACGTGAGTGATATCACGAACGTCTTTTACAAAGGTTTCGTTAGCAAAAACAGGGTATTAGTGGGTAAAGCAACGTGGCCATAGAGGGCCCTTTCTCAGTCGTGCAGGACTTAATGCATCACTGCTCTCTGCTTGGAATTCAAAAGAAAATCCCGAGGGAAGCGGGTCCATGGGATGGCAGTGTAATCGCGGTCCTAGAGTAACCTTGGATAAATGCAGCTTTCAAACAGTTCAAGAACAACGTTGAGATGCGAAAGAGACTCCAACTCGATCATGAGTTTCAAGAAGTCGGACAATCCGATCAGGACGGCTGTCTGCTACGCTGCACTGTGAGTCTCCAAGGTCCTCCTGGTATAAGAACCATAAAAGATGACGCGACTTTCCGCCTGGACGAGTCGTGTGGGTACCAACACGCTTCGGAGAGAGTTGAGCACCGTGCCAGTTGTGTTATACCACATTCAACACGGGTGAGTATTCTCAAGGGCCCCTTCAGGGAGAAGGGTCGGGGGGAGGGGGAAGGGGAGGGGGTTGCAGTTTGATCATACCGATACCACGGGAAGCCACATCGGTGGCCACCATGATGGGGCTCTTGCCCTGCTTGAATTCATTCAGAACCCAGTCGCGCTCGTTCTGCTGCTTGTCACCGTGGATGGCTGTGTCAAGATGTTAGTAAAATACAAGAGAAAAGGTCCTGGGACGGGAAACATACAAAGCGCGGGCCATCCGTCCTGACGGAGGAAGCGAGTAATCTCGTCAGCGATACGCTTAGTACCAGTGAAAATGAGGATCTTGTTGGAGCGGTCCTCCATGACCTTCTCCATGTGCTTGATCATACGGTCGCGCTTCTCGAAGTCCGACATGACCTCGACAATTTGAGTGATGCGGTGGTTGGCGGACAGTTCCATGGAACCGATGTTGACCTGAATGTAGTCGTTCAGGAAGTCAGAGGCCAGCTGGCGGACCTCCTTGGGCCAGGTAGCGGACCACATGCAAGTCTGACGGTCAGGGCGAATCTGGCCAATGATCTTGCGGATTTGGGGCTCGAAACCCATGTCGAGCATGCGGTCAGCCTCGTCGAGGACGAGGTAGGTGACGCGGCGAAGGTTGGTGCGGCCAGCCTCGAGCATGTCGATCAAACGACCAGGGGTGGCAATGCACACCTCGACACCGCGGGAGAGGTCACGGATTTGGGGGCCCTTGGGAACACCACCGTAGACACAGGTGTTGCGAATGCGAGAGGACTTGCCGAACTTGGTGATCTCGGCCTGAATCTGGACAGCCAACTCACGAGTGGGGGCCAGGACAAGGACGATAGGGCCATCGCCGGGAGCGAGGAGAGGCTGAGCGTTGATGTGCACAATGGCGGGAAGACAGTAGGTCAGAGTCTTTCCGGAACCGGTCTCGGCGATACCGACGACATCACGACCAGAGAGGGCCATGGGCCAACCCTGGGACTGAATGGCAGTAGGATGGTCAAAGCCCTGCTGCTTGACCTCAGACAGAACGTACTGAGGGAAACCAGCCTCGTCGAAGGTCTCGACGGGGCGGGGGACATCGTGGCCCTTGACGGACATCTCCTTCAACTTGCGGAAGGCATCGACCTCCTCCTGGGTGCGGGAGGAAACATTCTCGTGCTCCTTGTAGAAGGACTTCTCGAACTTGGGGAGAGTGCTCAGGTCTAATGGGTTCAACCGTTAGTATTCTGTGGTCGGAAAAGGGACATGCTTGAATGCGACTTACCCCAGTCCTGGGTCTTCAGGTTCTGGCCAAGGTTGGACATGCGGTCACCGCCGCGGTCACCACCGAAGCCTCCACGACCGCCGCCGTAACCACCACCGCCGCCGCCGTAGCCACCACCGCCACCGTAGCCGCCGCCGCCGCCGCCGTTAGAGTAGCCGTTTCCGTTGGAATAGCCGTTGTCGTTGCGGGAGCTGAAGAGATAGAAATGTCAGCGAGGGGTTCAACTTTCGTGTGACAAGAGTGCAGTGTTCCCGCTTTGGCCGTGGCAGACAAAGTCTGCAACCTAGCCCAACAAGTCCCGAACGTGATCGGGCATCCAAGTTGTAGCCAGGCACGTCCAATAACAAAGCAAACACGAGGAGGCACTCCGGACGCAAGATTACGTCGTAGAGGGACCCCCTTTGCAGGAGAAAGAACTTACCGATAGGAATCGCCACCGCCGCGCTGGTAACCACCACCGTAAGACATGATGAGGGTTGTTTTAGATCGGTTTCTTTGGAGATAAATCAAAGAGGGAGAGAAACCGAAGATAGGGGAAGAGAAAAGAGAAGGGACCTGGGTGAAAATGGGTTCTCGGAGAACTTGAAGAAACAAAGGGGAGGCGCAACAAGAAAAATTTTTTGTTCCAACTTGGAAGGAGCGGACCCGCTCGCTGACTCAGCCGGCGATTCGCCCCTTCCAGATTTTAGTCGTTCGACCGTGGTTCACCGGCGATAACAATTGCTTTGGTGAAAGGGGGCGAAAGTATAATTTGGTGGGCAAATATGTGCTAAGAAAATGGTTTGTTTTGTCTCACGTAACCCTAGGTATGCGTCTCCATCTTTTCATCCCAGATACCATGGGCTTGTTTCACACCTTCTTGTCACTCAGGCCCATGTCCCAGAAACTAATTTCCAGCTCCGTGGCCCGGATGAAAATCCGGATCAACTCCTCCAATCGACTCGGAGATACCCGCTGCATGTGGCCTTCTAGCAGTTCTGTAGCAATCTTGAATTAGCCAAATCTAGAAATCTATGTTTATATAGTGGCTTCACATACCAGATCCGAGTCGCACAGCTTCGGTATAGTCCTCGGCGACATAGTTTTCGATCCACTTCCAGTACTGGTTCCCTTCGCGGAGGGTTCTGGAATCAGAATAGAGTCGCTTGGCGATACTACCGTACCCGATGAGACAAGGTGCCAGTGCCACCTGTAGCGCAAGCCAATCTTCTGATTGGCCCACGTCGAGAATGTATCGGCTATATGCAGTGCATGCTATTCAAGATCAGATCAGCAGAAGATCCAATGGATATAAGAAAACAAGTCTTACCGATGGTCTCCGGGTGGGCCTCCATCTCCTGCTTGGAGAGGCCGAAAGAAGCGCAGTATTCGAGATGCAGGTCCATCTCTCGCTGGATGTGCAGAACAATTTGAGCAGACTAAAATCCGAGTTAGAACGGGCTAGATAAAAACTGTGGGGTACTCACCGCTGCTATTGAGTCCATATCCTTGGCCTTGTACGATGCAAGTGCATTGCTCCGAGCAAATTGGACCTGCAAGACCTGATTAGCAGTGTCTCAAGCGTACACCTAGAAATAGAACCCACCAGATAGAGATAATCCTGCACGAGATACTCCTTGAATCTCTCCACAGGAAGCGTGCCCTGACCTAGACCCTCAACAAATTCGTGGTGGGTGAATTTCTGCCACGTTCGCTGAACGTCAGGTCGATCCAAAATATATTCTAAGAACCGACCACTGGGGATGGTCAGCCAAGTTCTTTTTCAGTTTCATCGAGTATGGAGTCACATACGGCGCAAAGGGCATGTTGTAGATCGAGTGGAAATGGTTGATAGGCCCACTTCCTCGACCCAAGTCGGTGCTGGTCTTGATTCCTGCCTCAACAAATCGTACGGCACTGCGAACAGCTCGTACCATATCCTTTCCCATGGCCAGGTTGGCGGCGATCGCCGAGGCGAGCGAGCAGCCGGTACCGTGCGTGTTCTTCGAGATTATATAGTCTGTCTCAAACAAGGTTGTCTTCTCTCCATCGAAGAGAATGTCGATAACTGTGGTTGCTTCTTGCGGGTTCTGAGCAGTCTTGTGGTTTTTGGTAAGAGGGATATGGCCTCCCTTGAGGAGTACTGCCTTGGGGCCTAGCGAACATATTTTCTTTGCCAGTTCAATCATTCCGAGCAGGTCAGTAGGCTCGGAAACTTCTGCACCGGCATCCTTAAGCAATAGCTGTGCTTCTGGGATATTGGGAGTCAAGATTGTCGTAAGCGGGAGCAGTTTCGTGCGAAGCTCCTTCACGGCTTTTTCTGGGAGCAGCTGCGATCCACTTGTGGACACCATGACCTGGTTGACGATCAACATGAGCCTTTATTAAGCATCGAGTTGAAATCTACTTACCGGGTCAAGGACAATCGAGGGAACTCGATGAGCTTGTAATGTCTCCGCGATGACATCGATCGTCTCGGCAGACGACAACATTCCTGTCCAGGGTCAGCAAAGGAGCCCATGCATGCACCGGGTCTCAAATGACTGACCGAGTTTGACGACGTCGGCACCGATATCCTCCAAGCCTGCATTGATTTGCTTTCTCACAAACTCCGACGGGACGATGAAGATGTCTTGCACGCCGAGCGTGTTCTGGGCCGTCAACCCTGTGGTCGCCGTGAGAGCGTAGCATCCATGGGCGGCCAAGACCCTTTGATCCGCTTCCAATCCCCTTCAGTTCAGTTAGCGTATATTCGAGCGTGTGTACCTGGTCCCTGACGGACGGCACGAGGCGGCATTGCAGATATGTACCAGCCTTGTTTCGTGGATGGCCATCGCCGGAGAACTTACGCGCCACCAGAACTGTCGGAGCCCGCAATGACTAGAACCCGCTTGACCGACATGATTGAAGGAGCCAATCGGGAAATGAAATCGGACGCAATGGAAGTGGAAAATGAAAGACCGGGGTGGGGATCCGACAAAGGTTTTGATAAGAGATAAGATGTCCACACCGGCGGGGTCGACCTCCAGACGGCTTCTACGGTACGGAGTACATGCAACGAAAGCTATAGGTCGTAGATTTGAAAGTGCCCTCAATTCATGCAATAAAAGCATTATGCAAATTTATTACCGTAGAACCATCCCAGGACGCTCATTATTTACAAATTTCCAACAGTCGTACGCCACCAGGGCATTTATTGTAACATGAAGCGGAAAATAGTGTCCATCTCGACCCATTGCCGACCGCACTTCTTCAGGTAGCCGTCCACCACCGTCTTGATAGTGGCAAAGCGTGTCCGGTTGAACTCGGCCAGCGCTGCCACGCTATCTTTCTTCTCCCCGGCTTCCTTGGTGGCGGCAGCCTTGGCCTTGTCGACGTCCCAGAGGCCGGCAAAGTATAGAAGCTGATTGTATATCTGCTTCTCGGTGTACTCGTACGACATCCGACCCAGACAGCCCTCGGCGCGGCCGCGCGGGCCTAGACAGCGGTGTCCGTAAACGCTGATCTGGCGGGTGCGGTTGCCACAGGCCGAGTCATCACAGACAAGCCACCCTTCGTAGTAACGGGCGGTCTGTTCACGGATCTGGCTTTCCAGCTGGGCGATGATGGTCAAGACTGCGAAGGGCTTCTGACAATTCTGATTCGGGCAGACAATGCCACTTGCAGAACACATTTGTGACGATCCCACCAGACCCTCGAAGACTGACTGCTCCTTGCAGAATCGGCACCGCAGGGTCAACCGCGCAGCCTCGGCAAAGCGGACGGAGTCTGGGATCTGGGACTCCAGAGGGAAGATCTCCGCATTTTGCTGGTTGCTTGCACTGGAAGTGTTGATTTGGTACTTGCGAACATCAAGTCCAAGACACTCGGCAAGACGGACAGCATCGGTGCCAGGGATCGGGGCACACAGACGCTCGATAGGAGGGAAGATTTGCTTGAGCAGATAGAACTCAACATCAGGCTTCAGCCCCGAATTCGACTTCAGCACGTCTTGCGGGCTGTAGGATCGCTTGGCGGGAGGAAGAGATGCTGTCTCCGAATCTCCACTTGTCACAATATACGAAATGACATCGTTCGGTCGGACGTTCTTGCCACGGGCGATATCTCGGAGGGCAACCTGTGCTGGAGGCATGCTTTCTTTGTTGGGGTATTCATCAGGTCGTTTCGAAAGTTTCTGTTTGGTGAATGTTAGCACTTTTAATCTAGCTCTCCCAGTGGGCTTCGCATACCGTGTAAATAACATATTTTTGAGCCGGAATGGTAAACTCCTTCATCTTCTCAGCGAGCTCTCGCAGGTAGTCATGAACCCTGTTGAGAACAACCTCCTGATCCTCCCCAGACAGGACTTCGTTCAGAAGTCTCGCCGAAGCTTCCTTGGAAAGAGCACAGTATTCACGGCGCTTCATGTCCAGACCCTTGACCTCCAGCTTCTCGACGTACTTGCCGTCGACCTCGGTAAGGTTCACAGCAGCATACTTCTTCTTGGCATGCAATAGAAGCCGGCGGAAGACATTATCAATATCGATCTCCAGCAACCGATACCGTTCGTTGACAGCCTTCTTGAACTCTTCGCCGACCTTGAGCGCATCGCTGATGGTATCCATGTTGGTGTTGATCATGACGGAGTCAGTATCACCGTATATAACACGCAGATCATTGCTTTCCGCCAGCTCCTTGGTACTTCTCAGAATCTCACGACCCTTGAAGGTGGTAAGCATGGCCAAAGGCCGAGCGTAGAATCGACTCTGGGTGTAACCCAAACATCCGTACATGGAGTTGGCAGTGAGCTTGAACGCAAGCTGCTTCGTGTCCCACAGAGCAAGCTGCTCAGGCGTGGCACGCTTATCCTTCATCAGCTTCTTGACCTCGCGTCGACGACCGACCAAAGTGGCAATGAGTCGCGGAAGAATGCCTTGTTCCGAGTCTGATGAGGGTACCTCAGGCACTTGCTCCTCGTTCTCGTTCTCTGCCTGAATAGAGACGTTAGAAGAATTCCAAGACTTAACAGAATGGTCGTAAATTACTCACTTGAGAATGTCGATCGACTGTTGTGAAACAAATGTTGTACTCCTGGATGATACTAGGGTACAGACTGTTGAAATCCATGACCAGAACGAAGCGGTCATAGAGGCCCTTCTCGGGCTCGAAGACAAGACCACCCTTGTACTTGTCCTTCTTTTTCTTGTCGACGGTCTCATCGTCATCGCCATCCTGCATTAGCTTCTCCTCGGCCTTCTGCAGACGCGAGGAGTACTTGTCCGGGCAGATGTATTTGTTGCGGTGGAATTCGTGCAGCAGAATGTACTCGTTACGCTCGGCACGGGTACCACTCAGAGTACGCGCCCAAGAATTACCGGCAATGTTCGTCAGCACCTTGGTGAGCGGCAGCATTTGCAAACGCAGCACCAGGGCAGCAATGAAGTAAGTGTCGGTGTCAGCATGGTTGACAAAGTTCATGAGTCCCTCTTTCGTGGACGCCCATGTCTTCAGGGCCGCTTCAACATCCAGATCTTGACGACTGTTGCCCTCGCCAAGATATAGTTGGCACATTTCGGTCAAGCTCCACGATTGACATTTCATCATCAGAGACTTGCCCATATCATTAGCAGTATCACAGAGCAGTCGCCCGGCGATAAGCTGCCTCTCGGCAAAGAAGCTACCACCCCTGTTGAAGTTCTTGGGCCAATCGCCACGTCTGAGTCGGCCAATGCGGTGCCACCCAGGAGTCTTCTTTTCTCGCATGCGGTTAAGGAGAATACTGAGGTCAACATCTTGTAGCTGGTGACCCATGATGACATCGGGATCCATCTTCTCAAACAAGGCCAGGAATTTGCTCAGCAGGAACTGCTCGCTTTTCTCCAGCATGAAGGTACCACGCTGCTTTCGGGTCTCTGCCTCGAAATGCATCGGGTATGAGGTACCAGAAGGGCGCATCACAGTGAAAGTCTTGCAAGGAAGCTTCTCGGGCGGAGTTGTGTCTGTCAAAGAGATGTTCTCATACACCCGAGCACTGGCCAACAGGATTTCCTGTTTATTCTCCTTCACGTTGAGCTGGGTTCGGAAAGACAAACTCATCAGGGTCAACGGCGGCATCTCCAGGTTCTCAGAGTCTGGGACGGAGGTGATGAGCGCTGGCTTGGATGCCTGACACTCGAACTTGCACCAGGAGGCGTTGTTGACCGCCGAAAAATCAGCCTCATCAATCCTCAGCCAGCAAGGGCCCATGATATTCTTCCACAGAACAAATTGTTCGAAGAGGGAAGTGTTGGTGCCAAAGACGTGCGAAAAAGTCTCTCCCTTGATTTCCATGGGAAGCGCGGGCTTGTTATATGGATACAAAAGTTTCAAGTATTCGGCGTCTTTGGGAACACCGGGCATCTCGAATGCGTACTTTCGAGTGCAAGGCTTGATTTTGTGCATGCCGACCTTCATCCGCGACATCGTCTCGTCAACTTCCTGGTAGACATCTTCCATACCGACCTCCTCTTCAGTCTCTCTTCCATGCTTGACTCTGTTCTCACGAGGGAGGAAGTAGAGCTTTCGCAGGACATTGTCGACCTTGACGAACGCACTAACGTAGGAACCATTCTGCTTATTCTTGACCTTTCCAAACAGACAAAGAGCCCCATTGACCTCAGTATAGTCCAGCCAGAAAAAGCGTAGGCTGCCGTCTTCCTCGACAACATCCTGAGCACCCAGCTTTCCGAATGAGCGCATCTCCGGTGCAGGGCTGTTGAGAACGTTCAGCTTGCTTCGCACGTCATTCCAAGAAGGATCCATGACCTCCGGCGCAGCTTTGGCGGGTGATGAGCTGGCGGGTGTGGGAAGGACCTCCTTCTTGAGCTTGGGAGGTGGCCGACTGCCGGTCATGTTGACACTGGCTGTCTTGATGTTTGAAGAGACAGTAGCCTCCGCAACGTCCATCATGTCAATGTCATCTTCATCCGGCTCTTCGGCCTTGACCGGAACTGTTACGTTCTTGCGCTCGACAGCTTTGCTGATGGGGGACGAAGGCATGGGGTCGCCCATGTCTACGTCGTCGTCGTCGGCCATGAGAAGCGGGTCATCATCGAGGTCGTCGGAGTGAAGGGGCTGCTCCTTTACTGGCGGAGAGCTAGGGGCATCGTTTTCGTCTCTTGCGTGGGCCTTTTGTCGACGTTTCTCTGATAAGGGCGGGGATAGGACGCGGACCTTGCGACGGGCCTCGGATTTAACAATGCTCGGGGTAGGGACTTTGTTGGATACCACGTTTGTATCGACCTCGCCGAGAAGATCTGCCATGAAGGCATCATCCTCAGCAGTAGCAACGGGCTGATGGTGGCATTGTCAGCACAGAACATGATTGCAGCAAGAACGAGGAACTGGACTCACCTTGGGCTTGGGTGCATTTGTCGTGGCTTGACCGGCATTGAAGTACTTGGAGATGCCATTGTTGATCTTCTCCTTCCGTTGCTTCTCTTCTTCGCGCTTTCGCTTGGCTGCTTTGCCACGGGCTGGCAGTTCGTCGCTGTCTTCGCTGTCGTATTCCTCCGTGCGTTCGTTCCATACTTCACGGCCGTCGTCAGCATAGCCGGCACCGTTGTCGTCGACAACAAAGTCGTCTTCATCCAAGCGACTGCGGATGACTTTTTTATAGCCGTCGTCGTCCACCTCGTCGTAAATGTCGCCCTGGTCCTCGATCTCGTAAGTGGAAATACGTTTCTTGCCAGAGGCACGAAGCGCCCTCAGCTCCGCCAATCTGTCACGAGCAGAAGGCATGATGTGTGGTGTTATGAGCGAATGCCCATCAAATCCGTGGGACTAGAAAACAATGAGTGGGGAAAGGGAGGACTGAAGAGAGTCGCGCCCTGGATCCAACGCGAGACGCGATCCGCGTGTCGCGTCCGCCCACTTAAAGTGGTTATGTAATAGCCTCGCGCCTTGCAGCAATTGGTCAGGCGGGTACCGCGAGGTCATGTGACCTGGACTACTATATCACTATATCCCGATCTACTTCTATATTGACACGAGCGATTCCTTTTAATATCACTTTTCCTCAATGACTGTACCATTGAATACTCCTCAGGCCATATTCTATAAAAAGGGTGGCGCGACCCTAAGTAATGAGCCTCTGGTTTGCCCCCGAACATCGATCACCAATCACCATTTTCAGTTTATGGATAGCAACAGGTATATGACCAAAAATTTCATTTTTTCCCTCAGCTTCCTCGCTTGGAGAGCGACTCGGGTTCGCCGGGGCTCTTTTATGTTTGATTATCTTGGTAACGCTGTCGATGGAGATGTCGATATGGAAGAGAGGATTGGGGCCCTCAGCAATTACGACATGGGTTTGTTGTGATGCGTATTATCATGGTGCATACCACGTTTGAGACTGCCGCGAAAACGGACTTATTTGGACTCCTCGGTGATGCCTGCATTCAGCTTGTCGATGTATCCGACGAACCGAGACTGAATGCTTTCTTTGGTTTTGCAGAAATGTGAATCTGCCGCCCAGGGAGTTACCAGGAGGCAAGGCTTTCACAGGGAGTCTTCGGTAACAGTCAAGAGAAGCCTGAAAGATAAGCTCGCCGACTCATTCGGAGCCCAAGCTGCTCAGAAATTACATCCAATGTGTTCAGCCATCATGTTCAGACTTTTGCAGCCATTGGTGCAACCATTCCCTCGGTCTGTCCTGGTTACTTCCTCCGTGAACCATGTAAACAAGCTCGCTAAGAAACTCAAGGAGTTTACTGGATTATGGAACAAGAAAGGATGACTCCCATGATAGCTGATGACGAGGCCTCTACCGACGAAACTGAGAAAGCGGAGCATAATGGCTCCTATAGTGATACTAAGGGAGAGATCCAGGATACAGAATGGATCTCCTGGTGTGTTGTGCTCCTTGAGATTGAGGGGATCCCAATGATGGTTGCGAGGATGTTCCATTTCTTAATTTGCACCGATCTACACATTCTACGAGATACGCAGCATAATAAGCAAGATTTTCCATTCAAAGTGATCGTACTAATCGTAGTAATTTTCTTATATTATCGCCCAATATCTGTTGAAAAACGCATACTTTTAAGGGCACTATAACCGATTAGACCGAGATATCGAGAATGGTTCACTTTTGTTATCTCGCATTGAGCCATTATCTTATTCCCGTCGGTGCGTGCTGGCATATCATGAGAACTCGGGGTTGACAAGTCGTTTGGGAGGTTCAATTGCGTGGCGTTTAAATGTAGGAGGACCTATGTGTACAGCTGGGGCAAGTAGTACTCGGACAGATGCCATGGCCATGAACGCAACGAGATGTGTCAAGACTGTCGAAGCATATAGCACGTGCTTGTCGACTCAAAACTGACGATAACTTCCAAGTATATAGAGACCCGGTGTAAGCCTACGAGTAGAGTACCGCAAATTGAACAAAGATGAAAACCCGGTGTTATTTGAGCAGATTTTCCTGGCCTATGCTAGGGATATTTTTCCAGCCGTGAAAGACAGCGCCAGTAAAAAACATAGGATATGCAAATCCCCTCCAGCAACCGGCACCGGGAAAACCGGTCCTGTTCTCACCGCACGAGCGGTTTCATTCTCCAACCGCTCATGCCAACAACCAAATCCTCCCAATACCCAGTCCACCTAGAAGAAATCCATGAAAACAAGTCGTGAGATGATAGAGAGACATAAGTTCCATGGACCACCACCGTTTTTTGGTAAATTCCTTTCGCCCGCAATAAAGAGAGAAAGAGAATTTAACGGTAGGACTTCTGGTAACGGGAGCGGGCACCGCGACCACCGAACTTCTTGGGCTCCGCGCGGCGGTTGTCGGCAACGAGCAGGGTGCGGTCGTACTGGACAAGAGCCTGCTTGAGCTGGTTCTTGGAGTGCTCATCGACGTACTTCTGGTAGTAGGCGACGATGGACTTGGCGATGGCCTGACGGATGGCGTAGACCTGGGAGGTGTGACCACCACCGGTGACGCGGACACGGATGTCGACACCGGCAAACTTGTCAACGCCGACGATCAGGAGGGGCTCGTAGACCTGTTGAAATTCATGTCAGAAAAAAAGCTTCCAATATTGAACCCTCTGCATTGTCTCTTGTCTGTTCCCTTCTCTTGCGAAATGATTTCCATCGATATGCAGAAGAACTTTGCGGGCGGGTGCGAGTGTGCGTACCTTGAAGCGGAGGATCTCGGGCTGGACCAGGGAGAGGGGCTGGCCGTTAACCTTGACGAGGCCCTTGCCTTGCTGTAAAATCGAGAAGTCTCAGCGTGCTATTCTTCCAAGTGTTGTGTAGTCCATGCGCCGTATGTGTCTTCAAAACCGCCCTTCCGAAAAACCCGAACCCAAATTCCAACATCTCCATTTTTCCATGCGCGACAATTCCCTCCGGGTTTTCTTTCCAGGTGTAACCGACACAACGAGCGTAGGGAGGGGGAGAAGGTTCCGTCTTCATACCTTGCAGTGGGCGACAGCGGTGGCTATTGAAGTCGATCATCAGTAACGAACTTCTCACGATTCGCTCGAGGCCAGGGGAACAGGCAAACTCACCCGTCTTCTTCTTGCCGAAGCATTGCACACTCGGGACGGAAGCCATGGTGTATAGATGGCCCTTGTCGGTGTCGATAGGGGAGGGAGTGTGTTGTCGTGGGAGATGGAAAAGAGTCGACCGCGAATTCCCACACTGCAGCGATTCGCCTGAATTGCCCTTTGGTGCGGGTTTCGCTTAGGGTACACTAGTCCCACTTGGGTTAGCTCCACGCCTGGCTTAGGGCTCGGTCACATGATGGTTGTGGTCACGTGCACGGACAACATCGGAGTCTGGAGGCGCAAAGTTCGGGGTTGCGCTGTGAGACCCGCGTGCTTGTTCTGCTCTCCGTCCCTCCACTCATTACATCCGACATCATGTCGCAAACAGTTGGCAAGGTATGTATTGTCTCATTGTGCCATGGAGCAGCACCCAACCCCCCAATCGCAGAGCAGTGTCCCTAACATTTGTTGATCAGACCCGCCTTGCCTACTCCCGGGCATGGCACTATGTTGATGCCGGCTCCGATCCTCGTTCGCTCGGCCGCCTGGCCTCCGGCATTGCCCTCGTTCTCATGGGCAAGCACAAGCCTATCTACGACCCGTCCACAGACTGCGGTGACTACGTGGTGGTCGCCGGCTGCCACGACCTGCGAACGACCGGCAAGAAGCGGTTCCAGAAGAAGTACTACACACACAACACACGGCCCGGTAGCTTGAAGAGCATGACAATGGATCAAATGTTTGCCAAATGGGGCGGTGGTGAGGTTTTGCGACGCGCCGTGAAGGGAATGCTGCCCAAGAACCGGCTTCAGGATCCGCGGTTGGCACGGCTGAAGAGTGAGTCTCGCTATAATTATCATGCTGTGCGATCAATTCTCTTATGAATTGCTATTTGCAACGGGCTATACTTTCCAGGATGGTTGACTGACAGTGCATGCAGCTTTCGAGGGTCTCGCCCATCCATATAAGGAGAACATCGTCAAGTTCGGCAACCAATCCGTCCTGGGTAACCTCCCCGAAGTGCAGGAAGCCCTCAAGGAAGCCAAGGAAGCCGAGACATCAGCATAAACCATCTGCTTTTCCTTTTCTTTCGCATTGTCTTTAACCCTCCGGGGTCCGTGTAATCTATTCCGCGTTTATGATCCAAAACCGCAAGCGCATGGGTGTGGAGTCCATATTTTTCTGGGAAATGTACCATTCTGATTCTCTTTTCCGTTTGTCTACCTCGAATCTGCTCTACCTAGGGTATGGTTTTGAGATCTCTCCCACTGGCATGTACTTATATCGCAGTGTATATGGAAATACAAAAGAGAAAAATTGTGTACCAATTTCCATAATTGGGGCCGTATCATCATGGCCGGTGGTATATAATGACAGAGATTTATGTACAATAATGAAATATGCTTGAAAAAGTGCAGACAAGCCGTTTACAACTTGGCCTTCTGGCCGGAGCGGGCCACCGTGCACTTGATGAGGCCGTTGGGGCCGGACTGGGGGGCGTACACCTCGGCGTCCTTGCCGGTGTTCTTGAGGCCCTTGTGCCAGCTGAGGTCTATTAAATGGTTAGTTCGGTGATCCCTTCATCTTCAGTGGGGTTCAAAACATACCGATCTCGAAGTAGTGGATGTTGGGCAGGGAGTATGAGACGGTGTCAAGGTCCGGCACAGCAGCAAGAATCAGCTCGCTCATCTTGTACATGGTGGCCTGCACACTGGCGCTGTTGTCCTCGGCGAAGGTCTTGAGGGTGATGTTGCGGGCAGTCTCCCAAGCGTGATTGAACTTGTTGACGTTGGCCTTGACCTCGGACAGGCCGCTGAAGCGGCGCCACTGCCAGCTGGCAGCAACATCGGTGCTCAGAATACGGTCCAAGGTCTCCTTGAGAGTGGTGTACTCGTCACGGACGAAGCCCCAGAATTGGGAGCCGGTGCTCTTGAGCACGGTCAGGCCGTTGATGGAGGAGTGGATATCGATACCCTTGCCCTCAATCACATCGACCTGGACATTGCGGGTCTCGCTGCCCGGCTTGACGAAGGAGTGGGGGTGAGGCTTGCCGTCAACGTCCATGCGCACCCAGCGGTGGGTGATGATGTTAACGTGAGCGGCGTGGATGTGGCTGTACTTCTCGATGAAGTGGGTGCCGAGGATGGAACCGAACAGCTCGGGGGGAGTAACGGGCTGCTGCTTGGCGGTGATGTAGATGGTGTTCTTGATCGAGTCGGTGGCCACGACGACGCTGTTGTCGGCCTTGGTGTACCTGTTGCCGTGATTAGTCGTGCTGATAAGGAACTCGAATGCGCGCCGACTTACGAGGTATCGATCTCGCCCTCCAGCAGAACACAGACGGTCATCTCGACGACGGTCTGCACACCGGTCTTCTCATCGCGGTGCACCTTGTACACGCGAACATTGTCCTTGCCGTAGCGGGCAGCGGCGAGAGAGGTCATGATGGCAGAGATAAGAGGACGGGAAGTTTAAGAATGGTGAGCGATGGCAAGGGCCGAGAGTCTAAGATTGAAGCTGTAGAGCGTAGACGGTAACAGAGGGCAGAGCCAGTATTTATTCGAACGCGAAAAGGCGAGCATGGGTTGATGCGGCCAACGAGTTCCAAGGGCATCGGGCACCTCCGATGGCCGCGGCCGATCCCCACTATCTTATCGCCCTGCAAACGGGTGCAAACTTCCCCAGATTGTGCTTTCCCTCTCTTTACCCCGGCACTTCGAGGGCCATGCTGCAAGTAAGACGGCCCTTAACTGAAAGGAGCGTCCATTCACTGTCCGAGAGGTCATTGCTCCCCTTTCCCCCAAGCGTAAAGCTGCTGTGGTGGAGCAGCCTCAGTCTTCCACGTCCGAATTCCCGAAAACCCGGGTCCCGAACCCACTCTCGTCCGCCTCTCAGGACCTTCTGTTTCGCGGCTCCTGGACGTGGCCCTCTCCACTCTCGGCGACCTCCACCCGAACATTCGCGCGGAGAGATGCGCTCTTCATCATGAGAGACATAGTGTCACCGGGATTTGAGCTCGGGATCTGACATGCGGGGGAATAAAGTGTGAGGAGGCTGTAGCCGAACCCCGAGTCACTTGCAGCTGCTTTGTATTCCCATTAATTCAGCACGCGCTACTGACGATATGTCATTTGCATGACACCAACTGCTCTGATCAGAACTCACGCCGTCTACACAAAACATTGTATGCGCAAGGTTTTCCAAGGCTGTTCCATTGAAAAATCGGATCCCGTTATTGAGAGAAATTCCCGATGCAGCTGATCTGCGGCGCCGTGTCTGCAACGTTGACCAGATGAGAGCTTATGCCGGAGGACGGACGTCGGTGCAGGGCCATGGGGCCGTAGAATGTAGATGTAGAGTCCGATTATGAGGGCATTCAAACTCGGACTGATGACCGTCTCTCGTCGTTTGTATTCATACCGAGAACAAGAAGCTTTTTTGCTTTGTTTCTATTCTCAGCCTCTAAACCTGTATGCCGGTCATAGTATTAAGACTTGGGTTGGCACACGATCATCGTCGTCTATCAAGTTCGAGTCTCAACCTTGCAGGCATGAGGGTATGCTTGACTACCGAGGCAATTCCGTAGAATAGGCGGCTTCCATGGAGATTAAAGCTGCGCTCTTCAACGACATTCATGGTCGCGACGGGTTGGATCTCCACATTCACGGTACGGACAAGCCACATCCGGGGTGTCTCGGGTAGATCGCTGGGAACAAGGACGTTCTCCTCTATGCAATGGCAAGTCATGCGCACTACAGCCGAGAAATAGAGAGTAATGTCGAGTAGATCATTCCTGTGATGCCCATGGCACTCATGATCAGGGCTGCTGTCGAACATAGTGATCATAGGTTTCCCTCTCAAGGATAGTCAATGGCATATTCACGAGTATCGCAGGGGAATAATGGGTCAGCGGTCTTCTCATGTGCGATGCCGGTACGGTCCTCATTTTCTGTCCGATTTTCGGGTACCTGGTCGACGGAGCACGCATCCACCAATTCGCCTTCCTCTGTGCGCTCGTCCTGCTAGCCGGGTGTATGTTTACCCTGCACATGTCCCATTCACTGGAGATGTTTGTCATGGGTCGGCTGCTGCAGAGCCGTGCGGATGCTCTGGTCGTGGTTGCCGCCTTTGCCCTGCTCAATGACTCCGTGCCACAGGAGCGTCTCGGCCATTGCTTGTGGGGTTCTGCTTGGACCGTTTCTGGATGGGCTCGTGTATCAAGGTGGCGGTTACGACGCCGTCTTCTATGGTGCGTGTTCCATCATCGTGGTTGATATGGGGATGCGGATGGCCCTGGTTGAGAAGAAAGCTGCGGAGAAGTGGGATCACAGGCCCAGCGGCGAGGGATCAAGTAGGCACTCCATAGAGGGAAACGCTTTGTCGAGGTCCAGATCCTCAGGCAGCGGCGGGTGTTAATTTCCTCGTGGGCCGTTCCGGTGCAGGGGGTATTCCAGTCTGCATTTAATACCGTGCGTTAGAACTAGAGCCGTGCCGTCAATGTCGGCAAGGCTGACTTAGGTTCAGACACTATCCATCTTCGTTGAGTCACGATACGGATGGTCGGCACTCGGAATGGATGTCGTATTCCTCCCGATGACAATTCTAGCCATCTTCGAACCATTCTTCGGCGGAGTGGCAGCATGCCCTTAATGAGCATGGCTGGTGGTTTGACAGGCTTCATCACGGACCGATTCGGAGCCCGTTTCGTGGCCTTCGGCTACTTCCTCTGTCCGGCAATCGTCTGTCTGCGATTCGCAGAGACCAACTCCACATCACACATAGTGATATTGATCACTCTACTCTTCGTGATCGACATGTTCACGTGTGTGCACCAGTCATGTATGTGGAGACGCAGCCGGCGCTCACGGCGATGGATTCCGCGGAACCCGAGCTGCTGGGGATCACTTCAATTATGTCCGCGGATCCCGAGCTGCTGGGGCTCAAGGTATGTGTCAGTTTGCGGGTGTCTTCTTCGTCCACTCGGCGGCGGATTTGTGGAGTACCGTTTTGTGTGGGGCGTCATGTCTGCTGCGCTGCGAGCGTTGGCTGCATTCACGGCGATGCCGATGCTGTGGTTGGATGAGAAGGAAGAGCACGACGATGAGAGACAGCCGTTGTTTAGCTGCTGATCATGTTGATCATGTTCCTGCAACAGCAAGATATCTACCATATTAGTCTATTCGCTAGCAATGTTAGGTTGCAGCCTATTCGGGTGAGAGGATTGAGTTCGGATCCATCGCGTGGACTATCCCAATCGGGGTATCATTCTACAACGTCAGATGGGATAGGAAGACTCGCGTATGTTAAATAGTCCCGTCGCATTGAACTTTGCTCTTCAATATACTTCGATGTCTCTTGCTATCTCACGTTCTTTTGCGCGACTGGCATCTGGACGTCTATACAAGGCCAGTGAAAGCAGTCAGGTCAGTAGATCGCAAGACTCTTTCTGTCCCACCCACCTCAATCTCAGTAACTGACGTCAAGTACAGAGCTGTCTGAACTTCTCAAATACTTCAACTTTCTCAACTTTATCCCAAGCTTTACTTCCTCGGAGACCTCTTCTCTTCCAATCTACCCAACATCGCAGCAAACCCTCTGCTCTCACCACCTCCACCACCATGCCTCCCACCAACAATCTCTGGCACCTCCAGCAGCGAGGCGAGCCAATCCACACCTTACCTGACCAGGGCAAATACATCGCTCCGGCTGAAACAAGCCCCCACATCGCCACAATCCTAGGCTTCCCCTCGCGCTCCTCCACCTTCCCCAGCCTCTACGACCGCACCTGCGACGAGATCATCGATCTAGCCGGGACAATCGCGCACTTCGAGCCCGTGCGCCTGCACGTCCGGCCCGAAGACCAGTCGCGCGCTCAATCCCTACTCGACAAGCGCATGCAAGACGCGCCAGCCGAAGAAAAGGCACGTATCACTTTAATCCCGGTCGCAACGAATCACATCTGGGTACGCGACACGGGTCCCGTGTACGTGCGCGGTGCCGAAGACAACAAGCGCTATGCGATTGATTTCCAATTCTGTGAATGGGGGAATAAATTAGACGATCTGATATACAATAGCAGCGCTGACAAGGTCGCTGCCTTGAAGATCGAGGAGGAGGCAGAAGACTGGCCCGTTCTGGACGCGAGGGAACGGAATGAGAATAGCGAGTTTGCGCGTCGTGTTCTGGAAGCCGAGAATGCTTCGAATCCCGATCAACCTGTCACGCGGGTTGCATCCTCCGTGCGCCTGGAAGGCGGCGGTGTTGAGATGGACGGCGAGGGAACCTTTATGGCTACGGAGAGCAGTGTGCTTGTGTCGTCTCGGAACGAGGGCCTCTCGCGCGCCGAGATCGAAGCCGAGCTGCGACGACTTCTCGGGGTGAGCAAGTTCATTTGGATTCCTGGTCGAGAGGGTCTCGACATCACGGACTGTCACATCGATGCCGAGGCAAGGTTTATCCGGCCTGGCGTTGTGGTTGTCTGCAAGCCGCATCCATCATGCGAACAAATCTACTGGGACATTTACAACGAGGCACGAGCGATTCTGGACAATGTTACGGATGCGCAGGGCCGCAAGCTCGAAGTTCACGATATTGAGGAGCCGGATCCAGCTCTGGTCAAGGGTGATATTCCCGGTGAAGAAGATGCACCCGCGGCGTCATATGTGAACTTTTACTTCGTGAATGGTGGGCTGGTCGTTCCTGCGTTTGGAGATCCCGAGCCGGATCGCAAGGCTTTCGAGCTTCTGCAGAAACTCGTTCCTGAACGTGAGGTTCGACAGGTGGCTGTTAATGCATTGCCCAGGACTGGAGGTGTGTTGCACTGTACCACGCAGCAGGTGATGTAGAGTGGGGTTTCTCGAGGGCATTCTCTTGTCCAATGGAGATCTATCTAGCGATTTTTTCAACGCAGCATCTCTCTTCCTGTCATGTACTTTACGAACTTCATACCCGTCTTTGAGAATCCAAGTACTATCCATTACATTCCAGTTCAGTCTTCCCTAGCCGTAGGATAAAATAGCCACCAGTGATCTCTGTAGGCTCTAGACGCCAGACATTCCATAAAAAGTCAAAATGGTCTTCAGACCAAGCTATCCGATCAACGGTGCGAGCCCGACTTGCCGTCGCTGTGGAGTCCGGTTCTTCGGGCACGCCGATCTTTCGCAATTTATCAGATCTGCGGGGCTGATCTTCTACCGTAGATGCATTGAAATTGAGGCTCAAGTATCTCAAATCCAGAGCCATTATCTACAAGGGCCGCATGAGGTTTCGGTATCTCCATTCTTCATTTTCTGCAGTCTCCTAGGTCCAGGTCTGGCAAGCTACATGGCTAGATTCCAAACACTCAATGAGAACAAGTCGTCGTCTTCTCAACCAGACTGCACATCCATATCAAGCCACACCATTCATATCTCCAAGTAAAAGAGAAATGGATACACGGCAAGACAAGAGTAGAGAACGGGTCTTCGTCAAAGTACAACCCTCCAAAGTTAGGAAAAGAAATGCCCCAAAATCACCATGTAGACAAATCTGTAAATGTATGTCTTTTTCTTTTCGAACCCAAGATCCCAACCCATCTGGGAAGGTCCTAAAAATCAAGTCCCACACCGCACCAACGCCACAAATATGAACCCAATAAAAAGAAGCAGACATGAAAATCGTCATAATCGTCGCCGGGACGTGCCTTTAAGACACACCCCAGATTTTAGTCCTCAAAGACTCAACTGATCAATACTCCCAACCCGTCCACTGCCTCCCAGTCTCCCACCTCCTTTGGTCACCATCCCAAGACGGTAAAACCGTTCCTCGCCAGCCGGCGTGCGGCCCCCTATGTACCATTTCTCGGGCCCTAACGCATCCCGGAACCCGCCCGAGCCCGAGGACGAGTCACTCCCGCGGCGCTGGCGGTCCGGGCCTCGGGTGATCGGGATAGGGTTTGACGAGGAGGGAGTTGGAGGCGGGGAAGCGGCGGTGGGTGATGTTTCGGAGTGGTAGTGGTGGGAGTGGTGTGTCGATGTTGAAGAGGGGTGCGTGGGAGCCGGTGCTGAGGACTGGGCTGTTTGTGATGTGTGGGTTTGGGAGGAGCCGGAGCCAGCGGCTTTGGAAGCGATGGCGCGGGCAGATTGGGAGATTTGGGCTGAGGATAGAGAAGACGTCCCCGTCGATGAGGAGGAGGCTTTGTAGGTCGACTGGGCGCGGAATGCGGCCAGGAAGTTGGCCAGGAAGGGCCGGTTGGTCGACATGGTCACCGGTGCTGTGATAGTCGACGGGTGGTTTGATGATGAGGATGGTGTCGAGAGGGGGATCGGCGAGATGGGGGGAAGGCGCTAAGTAGACGGCATGACAGGGTGGGTTTAATCCGGGTCTCCAGAAAAAGCGGAGCAGGGTGGTGAACGGCGGGGAGAAGGATTCCGACTTCAACTCTCCCGAACCCACGGATCCAATCAGGCGCGGGGGATTAGGGACATGACGTCGGAGCAGGAAGATTCCGGCTTGTTTGACTTTGCTTTTTTACTTTATATCGGGAACTTGTCGGGTTCTTTAATTAGTCCGCGACAAAGTACCTCGATACCGAGACTCGTGGAAAAGATAACAGGGTCTATTTCTGATGCTTTTCGAGTAGAGATGCCCTCCTAAAGATAAAACGGAAATGATAAAAGCACACCCTAAATCACACCACAAGCCCGAAGCGCACATATGTCCGTGCCGTGCCGATAGTACTTACAGGAACGAGGCCATGCAGATGCACCGGGGGAAAAACAAAGCATAAGAGCCACAAAGAAAACTGATAATTCGACAGTAGCCTTCCCGCAAAAGCTTTTCTCTTTCTGTTGTCGATTTCGCAAAGAACACATGCCCATGTCTATAGTGTGGACGCCGAACGAAGCCACCAATACCGTCTGACCACTTCATGAAACAAATAAAAAAAAAAACACAAGAATCGCGATTCAACGGCCGTAATCGAATAAACCCTTGCCGACGTGAAAAATGCGATTCCCACACCGGACGGGAAAATTGAAGCAGACGGAATAAGAGAAAAGAAAAACCCATCAAAGATTCGCATACAAGAAACAGATCATCGGTGTACAGATGCAGGAAGGATAAGAGCACTGCAAAACTTGGTCGAGAAACCAGATAACAGATAAAGCGTAGGTGATTTTGATCGGCAACGCACTCGAATTTTTGGAAAGAATCAAGACTGGAAATGGATCTTTCTCACCATCGCCAAGACTGCATCGTCGTCTTCGCCAAGAACTCAAACGAGCTCTTCATTTCTTCCTGGTCACGTCGTGTTCCGATTTGAACGAGCCGTTTACTGTCTCGCGGGCTGAACGGTACCTGCATATGGAAGTCAGCAACGAATATGCATAGGATCACTTGGAATCGAACTTACCATCACCGCTCATGGTCGAAGCCATGTACAGACCGTTCATTCCGTTCTCGTGGCCACCCGCGGTCGTGGCGGGGTAGAACTTGCGATCGGCATCGACGGGGGCGTGGATGGACTCCTGGCCGGCGGCCATGGAGTGAGGGAAAACGGGATTCATGTAGCCGTCGGAGGCACCGTGCTGAAACATCGAGGTCCAGTCAACACCGTGCTGATTGGAATGGGGGCCGGGCATGACCGGGTGTTTAGAGTCAGGAACGACTAGGGGCTTTACCTGTTCAAGAGGACGATCAACACTCAGTTGCTGCGCATGGGCGTCGGCACCAGGGTGCATGAGGTACGGATTCTGCTTGGGCGCCATCCACGAGGCTCGCGACGCATGTCCGTTGAACGAGTCGTCACCGTGGCCACGGTTCATGCCGTTCACGGACTGCATTGTGAACCCGAGAGGCTGTTGGTCGGCATAGCCGGGACGGCCTGCGGCCATCCCATTGCCATTCACCGCCCCATCGCCGAATTGCGCACCCATCACACCGTTGGAAGCCTGGGCGGGAACGGGATTACTGACTTCATCAATAGGCTTGGCGGGGTTGGCCGCCGCGGCAGCCGCAGCTGCCTGTTGAGAGCGCTTCAGATGGGCTTGAGGGTGCGACAGGTGGGTCGCGCCAGTGGGGTTACCCCGACGGATCGAGCACTTCTGGAAGTGACGCTTCAAGATATCACTGCGGGAGAAGGTGTCCTTGCAGAGAACACACATGTAGGGGCGGTCGCCGGTGTCTGTAGATTCATTCGACGCGTCATTAGCCTCGTTCTCCATGACCTTCGAAAATCAAACTTACGTCTCAGAAGATGGCGCTTCAGGTGCTTCGCGTGGAGGTAGGTCTTGTTGCAGTGCGGGCAGGGGAATTTGCCATCGGCATCCTTGGCGGGGATGGTGGTGCTCTTCGCAGTGCCATTGACACCGTTGGCAACAGGAGTCGCGCGGCCCGGAACGCTCGGCAGGATGCCACGACGGCCCTGAGAGCCCACGACCTGCGTGCGTGGCGGTTCCTTGGCTCCGTAAGGGGAGCCATTGGCGCCGTTCACATCAGGGCTCATCCCCCAGGACTTGCCATCGGAGTAGCTGAAAGCACCGGAGGGGAGGCCGTTGAAATCGCGGCGGTCGCGCGGGGGAGCCGGAGCGATGGGCTGCGGGTAGCTCTGCGCGCTTGACGCGGGAGGCAGCACGCTCGGGGGCGGGGGATAAGACTGGTGACCCTGGGGGGAGTGGTTAGGGTGCGACATATATGACGGCGGTTGGCCACCGACGGTCGTGTGCGGCATGATAGGAGCCGTCGAGCCCCCGTACACGTCGTGTGTCGACGTGGGATACCGACCCAGATCCGGCCGGTAGGGCTGGCTCATGTAGGGGTGCGGCGCGGGCGACTGAGTGTGATGAGGCTGGAGGGGAGGCAGCGTGTGCGGCTGCGACACCGGATACTGAGGCTGCATCGAGTACTGAGGCATCGGCATACTCGAGGAAAGCGGCGTGGAGCCCTGGGGCAGGCTGGTGGACGGAGGCCGCGAAGGGTGCGAGCGGGGATCCATCACGGATGTGGAGAGGGAGATTGACGAGATTGGTGTGAGAAGGTGTAGTTGATCACGAAGCAATCATCGAACGCGTCTCTCAAGTCCTTCACTCGATTTTTCTGTGGCGAACCTCAAAAGGACAGCTCCTTGTTTGACTGAAAATTTTCCCAAAGGGCAGGTCACAGGGGAGAGCAATTGAAGATGTGATCTGACTCCACTCAAGAAACAATGTTAGAGGAAGAAGCAAAGGATGAAGAGAAAGTAGTATTCCCCACGGCGTCACCCACCAGGAAAAGTCGTGTGGGAACTGTGTTTTATCCGCACGTTGTCAGCGTCGATGGGTTCTTGTATCCACCAGGCGAGCGTGCAAGTGGGTCTCGCAGCACAACACTAGTTCAGATCTCGCGTTTTTCAAGTCTCTTCGACTTTTCAATTCGAGTGAATTCGAGGGCTCAAAGATGGGTAGTCCTGATGAACCTGTGAGATGTGAAGAGGTGAAAAGTGAAAAAGTGAAAAACTCTGGAAATGACCCTCGATCGCAGACGGGGAGAGAGTTGAGGGAATGGGCGAAAATTGGGGGGCGGCCAATTCAGATTAAAAAAAAAAAAAATGAAAAAGAAAAAAGAAAAAAGAAAAAATTCACGGCGTGACGGAAGACCGGGACAGCGAAACAGACGATCGTTTCTCGGGGGGCAAGAGGCGAGGGCGAAAATTGGTGGAAAAAGGACGAAAAAAGGCTAAAGCGAGTAAAAATACCACCCAAAAACGAGAGCCGAACAAACGGTGGTAATTCGATTTCCAAAGTTACCAGCAGTTTGGGCGAACCAAAAAGGCCTCGGGCAATGACGATATGGGCGGCTGTCTTCCGAGCCCGGAGGAATGGCCGCGAACGTAGTCACTATTTGGATTTCTATGACTATCTGCACAAGCGAACGCTCATGAACGTGCAGTGATCATGGTCTTATGATTTCTAGGTAGATAGCGATCACTAGATGTCGAGTTTATTGTCTGTGGATATGGGTTCGAATGGCAGATGGAGCCTTTTCCTGGGGAAAGGCTCCATGAGTGTCCACCACATACTCCAGGGCTGCGTTCAGATCCATCTGCTCTTATCTTCTACCCCGATTGCGGCGCTGCGTTCGGACCGTGACTCAATTATTGGTGCGTCCGGCTATCCGATGCTCGACTCGGCTCTGTGCTTTATACTACTTCGCCTGGTGCCTTTGATGATGAGCTCCGCAGTGGCTTGACAAAGCCCCGCAGATAAACAGATCATACTCCTGCATGCTGCACCGTACCACCACTCGGTCCTCCCAGAGCTATAAGAGCTATGATCGATAATCAGGCCTCGAATGGGCTTCCCGTTCGCACTGATCTCCACGGATGCAAAGCACGTCATTTCCGCTGACTTCAGCGAAGCCGGACCTCATCGTGCATAGCCTTCCCGAATTCCCCCCTCAGCAGCATGTATGCAACACAGTTCAGCCTGCAGGATTGAGGGGAGGAGAAGAGGGGATGTCATCCTATCGAACGCCCTCCCAGACCCCGGTGTTCTGCGGCGATGCATCGTTGCTCTCTCCATACTTTAGTGGATGCGCCGTAGCCGCTACTCCCTAACTACCCCAACCGTAGGGTACGGAGTACGGAGTACGGACTACCATAATTCTCCTAACTCCCCCCTAGGAGGGGCAGTCCACAATAGACGGCGTGCAGACTACTGCGACCGGCTGAGCCTAAACGGCTTTGCCCACCCGTTCTCGCGGATCGCGACACGTCGAACCACACACGGTCCGGCTCCCATTGGACGTGGTGGCTACTTTCGGGGACTCTGGTTGGTGCCGGGCAAAAATACCTCGCTCGCCTTCTTACCCGAGGTTTCACAGTGATTCCGCAGGGGGGAGGAATTTCAATGAATGTCTCAGCTTGACTTGGATTCGTGTTCTGGACCTCTATTTGGCTACTGGTAAATTCCGAGATCCGTTCCCAGCTCCCGGGTACCTGATAGACAGGCAAAAGTGACGGTGGCCCCTCCGTCTCCACCGCAGAAATTCGCAAGAGCTTCTCCCGCTTCGATTGTGGACCTGAAAGTCTTCGACCAGGGTTCTGCAGAAATCAGCGATCGGGGCCTTCCAACCCCCCTCCCTCGTGACTTTGCGGATTTTCACGACTGAAACTATCTGATCCTTGGCGGGTCTAGTGAAATTCTAAGGGCTGAACTACGACGTAACAGGCAGGTTAGTGGCCAGATTGGGCCAAACTTGGGGCGCTCGCTTAACCTTCTAGTTTCAATCGGCGGTATGGGACAGAGCGTTCTCCGGGACGGCAAATATTTCACAGCGTGGCTTGACTGCCGCACGATCGCGGTATGTTGAATTCTGGAAGGTCGGTTTCCTCGGAAAAACATTCGAGTTGAGGTGTCGTGAAAGGGGTCGGCATCGGCGAGATCCACAAGGGGTCCCGAGACGGTTCGGTCCACGACAAGAGCAGAAAGCGGCGGATCCCACAAAATACGGTGAGGCTGTTCCGTGCCCCCTTGTCCTTAGTTTGAGTTGCTGAGATCCAATCCACAGCGATCGACAGCGATGGGTAGTGTATTGTCCTGCGTGCAAAGCTTGATTCCCGGTACCGTCAGCAACCCCCAGTTACCGTCCTTTGACCCCGCCAGTAGGGCATTATGCATTGTAGTCTCTCTGCGTTATACGCAGGTTATTGCAAAATAGATGCTGCCGAGAGATCTGTAGATTCCACCAGCCTCCCACAGCCACCCTTACGTGACCGTGCGACCGTGCAATCATGCGATTAAGGTCGTTTCGGCCGAACAGTCCAGACAAACAAGACAACAGCGGTGATACAACGACGGGCCAACCTGCCCAACGTGGAGCCCACCGCGTCCGACAAGACCATGAACCGGCACAGGCCGGAAAGGACCTGAAAGCCAAGTCCGGATCGCCGAGTTTCAGGGTGCCACCCACCAATCACGCTCTTGAATCCTGCCCGGCGGATGAGAGGATCGCGCGCGCCACCCACCTCATACGGTCGCCGTGCGTGGTTAGTCCATTTTCCTCGAGGTCCTCGGATGTTTGAACCGACTCTATGCCGTGAAATCTCTGTGAACCGGGACCTGACACGGTGGGGATTCTCTGTACACCGCGTATGACCGTCTACAACCTACCCAAAAAGGCTATTTCGTGAACGAGGAATACTGAACACCGTCCTCGGTGATTTTTCTTCGGATTTCCGTATTGCTAGTGTTCCGTGGACCTGGGACCGGTTGCCTGGGACAAAGTCATTTCCCCCTCCTTGGCTCAGCCGCGTAATTGGCTTTCGTAAGAGATGGGAATTGTAAATTTTACTTCGAGCATGATTTTTTCTATTAATATTCCCTTATTCGACTTCTCCATGTGACTCGTACCAGAGGACGGCCGACCGCGGAACGCCGGTTGCAGTTGAGTAATACACTGTAAGCGAACATGGAATGCAGGCGCTGCACCTCTTGGCTGCCTGAAATGTGCGTGCCGACCACGGATGATTGGGTCGAGAGGCCGATGGAATAGGTGAACAGGGGCGAGACATTTCCTATTTCAGTACACATTGCAACTTTGCGACTTACCATTACCACGATTTTGGAGTAGTGGCGGAAAGGTAAAATTGGAGTCGTTCCGAATTACGGAGTTACATACACTACACTACGCTATGTACACTACGCTAGACCACATTAGACTATGGGCAAAGTACAGTTTCCGTACACACCGGCTTCTTTCCGCAGGCTTTTTACGTGGCTTTTTTTGGGGCACTTTGGCCAAGATTACTTTTGCCTTGCTCGTAGAAAGATCCAGGAACGGCTCAAGCCGCGACATAAGGAACCCGGTGCATCCTCGGCAGAACCACCCAGTCGCATCCCTTGACAGGTGCCGATCGCGCAGTGAGCCGTCTCAGCGCGCGGTACGGTGTATTGGCCAAGAAAGAGGCTAGTTACATCATGAGAACTAGTAATCTTCCCTGTCGGAGTCTAGAAATTTGACTTTCGATCGTCTCCCCCGTACGAAAGAAAAGAGCGCATCGAAGGCTGTTTTGGAGTTAAAGTTCGCTCTCTGGTGGAGCCCCTCTCGTGTCGCGCTCCTCGTGTCAGGCAGGGATGAGGGGGGGTGAGTGGATGCCCCCATCTGGAGTCAGTTTAAGCATATCTGTGTGTCCCATAACTATTTCTCCGTTGCATCCATGTCGTGCCCACTGGTGGTGGGGACGTCCTGGTGGATCTACAGGAATCGGGGATCCCAGCGTGGAATGGTACTGGTACGTAGGGGCGGGCGTAGTTTGCGTGCTCGGGGATTCCTTCACCCCGAATGTTGTTTCGTCGTACGCTCGCTGTCTTTGTTGTCATTTCTCGCATCGTGGGGAATTGATTGGTCCTTGTACTCACTCTGCCGTGTTGCAACGGGCTGTCTTGCTGCGAGGTCGAGGTACCCGGTACTTGGGTACATGGGGGCGTGATCGACCGCGCTTGTTACCTGCATTTGGTTGGGTATAGATGATCTAATTACGATGATTTCTTATTCTAGTTGACATTTTGTTCTTTAAATCGGGCTTTTCTCTTCTCGGGCGGTATTCTGTTGGGTGATATATATGGTGCGTAGCCCTAACTGTCCGTCCAGGTGCACCTTAGAACTTCCGGGACCTGCCCGGTTGACTCTGTGAATACATCTCACAAAATGAGCCTAATAATGTCATTTACAATCTTCGATACTTCCTCCTGGGTAGTCGCCCTTTACTCCACACCTCCACACCATGTGGTCCTATGATACAGATTAACTACGATATAAGCATCCGGGGCCGGTGGAGCTCTGGAGAAAGCCCACAACTCCATCACGGGAACCACATCCCACCATAACCCAATTTTATGTCCGGATGGGGCAATGGGTCTGGTTCCAGAAAACATCTTCTCAAGTGGTCCATCTGGGGAACGGTGTCAAGCCGAACCCACATTGTCATCAACTCCATGTTGCGTGCACCTCGCCGCCAACAACGGATATCGCCATGTCTACCCAAAGTGGTACATGGACACCACAGGGTTAGTACGGGCGCAGACTTGGCAATTTCTACGCAGTGAGACTCGATTGACAAAAATTGTGGCATATTCGGCCCATTTTTGTCAACAGAAATATTAGATATGGTACACAGTACCCGCAAGAAAAACGCTCAACCAAAAGACCCGTAACTCCCCCGACCCGTTAAGTCCATCCAATGACTATATCTCAGCCGCCTTGCCCGACACAGTCGTTGCCTCCGTGTCGTGATCTTCCTCAGGCTCCACACCCTCACTAACAACCGCATGGATAGCATGCTCAACATTAACTACAGGGCCCGTAAACCAGCGTCGAGCATCAACAATCCACCAAACCGACACAGCAAGCATCGGACCACCATACACGAGACAAGTCCAGTTCATGAGATCGGGAGTCAAGTCACCCTTGGTAACACTAGGCAGACACAAGATAGGAACCATGAGGATGACGAACGCAACGCCCAATCCACCGATATAAGGACCGAACGGACCCAAGTGCCACGGACCCTTGCGGAAGCGGTTCCCAACGAAGAAAACGCGGATGGCGATGGGGATGGCGAACGCGACGAATTGAGCGATGGCGCCGATGGAGAATAGCGCGCCGATGGCGGTTGTCCCGGCCAGGATCAGAAGACACATGAGAGCGCCCAGGACGGCGTTCAGGATGACAGCGTTCACCGGGGTGGAAGTGGTCTTGTTGACTTTTTTCCAGATGTTCGAGTAGGGAAAGCAGTCGTCGCGTGCATAGGCATATGTCACGCGCGACGCAGCAACCATACATCCCTGGCCCATAGAGAAACCGCAGATAATCGTCAGACCAAGGATACCCAACGCGGCTTTCTGCGGGAGGACTTGGAGCAGGTAGGAAGCCCAGGGCTGGCCGAGGTCCGAGCTCATCACGGCGCTGATGTCGGTGACTGTATAGGCGACGACGAGCTGGAGGAACCAGCCCATTATGCCGCCGACGCCGGATGTCATGACGATTGCGCGAGGGGAGGCGACGTTTGCATTGGAACACTCCTCTGACAGGTGGAAGGGTGAGTCGTAGCCGGACATTGTCCAGATGACGCCGACGAATGTCATGAGAACGGCGACGCCGTTGGGAAAGTCTGTTTGGTTGGTGATTGTGTTCCAGACCTCGTGGGAAGGTGTGAACTTGGGGTTGTTTGTTGTTGCTGTTGGGATGACGATGATGGTTACGACGAGGGCGAGAATGTTGAAAGTCGAGCCGTACGAGTTGAATTGGGCCACGCGTTTGGTCGGGAGACTGCTGATTATCGAGTGCAGGATAATGATCAGCGTGGTTAGCAGAAAGATCTGCCATTTCGTCGGGACGTAGCCCGGGTTGGTGATCGAGCCGGCGGCCAAGATCATCGCCGATAGAGCGTAATCAACGGATGGTGCTCCAGTGATCTGTCCGATCCAGTTGGACCAACCTGTTAACCAAGCAGCCAGAGGACCGTATCCTTCGGGTGCGAGCACTGCGGCAGCATAATAGAGACCTCCGCTGGAGACAGCATTGAATTAGCCTGCGTTCTCGGGGAGGGATGAGCCGACTAGGGCTCGTACCTGGTAGGCATGGCCGAGCACAGCTCTGCCATTGCCATTGCAATACACTGGATAGGGATCATGGCAACGATCCAACCCCAGACCATACCCGCGGTGCCGGCGTATCCCATTCCTTCAATAGAGTCAGCATTGTGCATCGCCGTAGGGCGGAGATCACCTACCATAGTAGAGAGTACTTGCAAAAGATGGCAGTAGACCGAGAACAGCGAAACTGACACAAAAGGTTGTCCACAAGGAAAATTCACGCTTGAATTCCTGTTTATAACCCAAGGCCATAATCACCCGCTCATCGGCGTCCATCTCGTGGTCTGTATAGGGCACATCCCCATCCGGAAGAATGGAAGTGACAGGCGCATGGTGATCATCGTATATGGCGTTTTTGGAGCCGGTGGAGGTTCCTGAATCGGATGTTTTGACTTCCATCATTGTGCCACTATGACGGGCTGTTTGGGTTGTCTGATATAGGAAAAGGTAAGAGGCAGGGTAAGAGAGATTAAGGAATATACAGCCTTCACCTCAGATCTGTCAGAACTAAACAGGATCTAATGGGGCCCCTGGCTGATTTAAACATGCCATCTTGTCACAGAGGGGAGAAACTAGGGGCACAGCTCGGCAAGAGTTATCTACAGGGTGGAGATTATTACCCCCTCAATGACGAGAGAGCAGTGAACCTTACCAGTGAGCTTCGATAGAATTAACCAAGCAATGGACCTATCTGAGTTCCGTGCGACTGCCGAAGGCCGCTAGAAAGAAGCCGCGACGAGAGGGTCGAGACAGATACAAGGGGGCGTCAGCGTCATCTCCGCATTAAGGGATCCGGTGATAGCGGACAACGGAGCGTATTCAAATCACGACAATCATCAGCATGATATAGACTTATCGGCTGTGCCGAATCGCCGCGTTTGATTCGATGATTCAATCTGTGCCGCATGGCTTCTCCGCACGACGGGTCCTGTGATTCGTAGGATCCGAGACTCGGATGCCGTGCAATTCGAGAAACTTGGGATCCGTGCTACCCCAGTGAGCTTGGCAGGAAGCTTCCATACCCAGCAGGGAAGTTTCAGGCGCCGTGACAGAGAGGCGAAAGCGTTGTCTCTTATCAGTGGCATTGTAGATAGCAGAGATAAGCCAAGCCTCCGTGCGCTTGGAGGATGATTCCGAGCTCAGCGACAAGAGGCTTATCTGCATGGGTAGACCTGCCCAGATGGGAGAAGCGCTGCAGCCTTATTTGACCAGATGCGTGGCGCTTTATAGCATAATATCCCTACCGTGTCTCTACCCTAGGGTGCTCTAGGTATGAGCAGGGACAACGCATTATGGCATAGATCACGTTCACAAAGGAGATCAATCCAGATTTGGTTGGAAAACGGTTGCTTCTATGCGCTATTCAAAACATAAAAGTCCTCTATTCTACACTCGGGAACCCCTCATCTCCAACGTCGGGGCGTCCGACATAGCCATCCAGGTATAAACCAAGATCATTTAGAAGGGCTGATACAGTGTTAGCATCGAGTTCAAGCAAGCCACAGATGCACAACTTACGTTGTCCTCAGGAGCAACGGGGTTGTCGTAGTATCTGTCCAGGAAGGGGATCTGGCGGATGACGTCGCGGTTGACACGGGGGATATCGCCGAAGAAGAACAGGGCGAAGGTGCCGGCGGCAACACCGAAACTACCGGCGACGGTACCACTGACATTGATGTCAGTACAATTTGCTGGGCAAGATCCTCGACAGGCTCGGGTGTTATATTGTTAGGGGTCGACTTACGCCTTGACAGCAGCGGGGAGAGTGAAGCCAGCGACAGAGCGCGGGACGGAGATCCTGCAAAAACGAGCCCTGATTAGCTAGACATTCCAGTAGCCCCAGTCGCGTCATTGGAAATATCTCGGAGAACTTGAAGTTTCGCACTCCCCGAGATCCCCGAATCCCACAAGCCGAGCCATGCTCAACCGTGTCAGACGTAGGACCACGGGGTCGAACAGCCACAGCAAGCCTCCGGATCCGACACAAAGAACCTCTCCAATCAACCTAAATCTTCATGATGTTTCCGTCTTGCATATCGTGACGGAATTGAAGGGTCATAGTCCGGGGAAGGCTTACTTGGGGCCAAAGGCAGAGGGGGCCTGGGCCGCGGCGCGGCGAAGAGTGGGAGTGAAGGCCTATCAAGGAAAGAAACATGGTTAGCCGGTCATTCCACTCAGGTTCTATTGCATCTTCCGCGCTCATCCCATGTGATCTGGTGACGGCTATCCTTGACGCGATGGCATAACCGGACCCCCGGCCGCGGCGGAGCTGGAACGAGACGTGCGGATGTAGACGCAAGATCATAAAGTGTAACGGCGCTGCATTAGACGTACCATTTTTGTCAGCGAGGGCAGGTCGTGGGACAATTGCTCAAGAGAGGGAGTTCGAGCTGTGGCAGCGTGGTCGACGAAAACCGGGTGCGCCCGAACTCATAGCCAATCAGCGTCTAGTATTGCCAACATCACGTGACGCGAGAATACAGAACCAATCAACGAGTAGCAATTACCTCACATAGAACTAGAGGAGTTGGCAGTATAGAACGAGCGCGCTGCGACATATAGAATATAGAAATAATACAGGAATAGTCTCTAATAACGTTGATTCAATCTAGAAATACGGAAACAGAAATGTGGAGATATGTGCTTCAAAACCCCAACTTTCGGAATCCGGAGATCAATATGGAACCAGGAAAACAGCCTGGAATCAATCAAATACAGTCGAATAGGAAAAATTATAACAACCGTGTAACCAAACACCTGATCTGTTCTGTACATGCGTCTCATTAGTCGACCTTTCCGGTCGAGCCCCCGTTCAAGAGTCCCTCCTTGCCATCCAGGTGGAAGAAGCCTCCGCCGTTGTTCGAGTTACCCAGAATGCCACCGCGGCCAACACCGCGGCGCAGCAACCGTCCGCGGCCAAAGATGGCAGCCACAGCCACCGTAAGTCCCAGGAGAATGAAGAAGAGGATAGGGTGAGCGTTGAGGAAGGAACGAGTGAAGAAGAAGAATGTCTCGATGGTGCCTACGGTGGACTTGGGAGACAGCTTGGGAGGGGAGGAGATGACCAGAGGAATGGTTTCAAGAATCGAGGTACGCGAGGCCATGATCGGGGCGCCACTCGAAGCGGTATCCCAGTAGCGACGATTCTGTCAAAGGTTAGTTTCAATGCTAGTATGAGAAATATGAGACATTGCAAGCTTACATCGTCATCGTTGATGATCACACGGTCGCCATTCTCAACATCAATACCGTAGGTGGTGCGGAGCCAGCGCTCCCAGAAGTCGCCATCCACCCAGGCAAAACCGACGGCTTTCTTGTCATCCTCACGGATGGTGATGCGCATGTTCTTAGCAGCCCGCAGAGCGCGCTGGTCGTCACGGTCATCAGCTTCCTCAATGCGTAGCTGCTTGGCATCGCGGAGTTCCGATCGCTCAAGGCGGAAAAGCTGGATCTGCTTGTCCATCCACTCAAAGGCGGCCTCCTTCAATTCACGCCTGGACTGCTTGAAATCGTCGGAGCGGCGGCGGCTAAGGATGCCGAGAACAACGAACTTTCCTTCCATGATCTCTCGAGCATTCGAAGCGGTAAGCTCAGGAAGAATCGGAAGCCACACAGTTTGCATCCAGGACAAGACTTGCCGGAAGTCTCTCATATCTTTAGGAGCAAGGGCATTATAGTAGTTGGGACGTCCTTCACGGACCACCAGAAGACGCGGCCAGGTGGAGATCTTGAAGCGATCGGCCAGGGCGGCACTGCTGGTCTTGACAATCCGAGCATGACCGACAAGGCTGAGAGTCAAGCGCTCCATGGCCTTGAAGTCCTCCGAAGTGGTTGCCTGGTCATAGAAGTACAGGAACAGGACCTCCTCGGTCTCTTCCAGCTCCTTGAAAGTATGCGCATCCACATCTTCAATGCTGGAACCAACGCCGATTGCCTTGTTCGTGTACGAGAGTAAATCTCCAAGGCCACGCAGACCAGTGTACTCCACTCTCTGGCCGCCGCGGAAGAAGTAAATGGTAGGGAAGGCATCAACCCGCGCGTCTTGGCAAAGTCGACTTTCAACCTCACAGTTCACCTCGCCAATGTTCAGGGTATCTTTCATTTCCTTAGCCATCGCCTTCCAATTGGGAGCCATCGCCTGACAGTGGCCGCACCACGGGGCGTAGAACTTGATGAACCATGAATCTTGGGTAGTTGTCACAAGTTTCTGGAAGCTCTCGGCAGTAAGGGGAACGGAGATACCCTGAGGGTTGGCGGGTGCAGGCGGAGGCTTAGACTTGGTCTTGGAGTCCGTCTTGCCCTTGGCCGCGGCCTCATCCGCTGCCTTCTGAGAAACCAGCTCGTTTTGCTTCTCGCCGGCCTTGATACCAGCCTCTATGTCTTTGTCTTTGGCAACAGGGGAATCTGGTTCCGCAGTGGAGTCGACACCTGCCGCGCCAACTTCGGGCAGCTTGACACCCTGAGGGGGTCGAGACCCAGGCTTGATCGACTCGAGCTTCTCTTCGATAAGTTTGCTTAGAACCGGAATCGATTGCACACCAACATGCGGGTCACTCTGGACGCCGTTGTCGTAGAAGGCAAATGTTGGGTAAGACAAGACTCCAAGTTTCGAGCACAGGTCACCGTGGGCCAGACAGTTCAGGGACGCGAAATGGAAGTTAAAGTAGGCGGTAAACCCGTTCGCAGATTTCGGGTCGGGAGACTTTGCGGAAGACGGCGCCAAGGGATTGGAAGTCTATAGGTTGCAAATTAGCACTGATTTCGGCCGACATTTGACAGTTAGGGCAACGCACGTAATAGTACTCGTATGCGGTTTGGTAGTAGGGAGCGGCCTTTTGGCAGTGGTGACAGGATGGCGAGTAATGTTTCACGATCCTGAAGTCGTCAGAATGTATGATTCTAGCGGGGCTCGGTCAGTACTAACCAAGTGCCATCCTTGGTGGCCTCCTCAAAATTCTCCTCGGTCAGTTGAAACAACGGAGGCACATCGAGGCCATTAAACACCGAGGGGGTATCTGGATCGACTACGTTCGTGAAGCCCCATCTCTTTACGAGGTTGTTGTCTTCTTCCGATTCCGAGTCCGAAGGTGTAGCCCATGTAGGGACAGCCAAAAGCGAAAGGAGGGACAACCCCAGCCAAGAAGCCTTCATTGTGGCGATTGGAAGATGCAAGGAAATAGGGATGTCGGATGAAAGTATAGAAGGCCTTGGAAGGCCAGAACCGAAGGTAAACGAAGGACACTGGTCGAAGGGGGAATGCGAAATGTCACAGGTGGCACATTGAAGTCGGGGGCGAAAACTGGCTCAGGTTGGAGTTGAACAGCCAGTCAAGAAGGATCAACGGGAAGGACCACCAATCCCGAAGCCTTATAAAACAGAAGCAGGCCGCACTCTGTCCGAAAGAGTCGAGACTTCGCGCTCGCGTGTAGATGAGGAAGACCCGTTGTGAACTGCCCCTGCCTGTCTATTAGGGGTGGAACGGCAAGTTAATCCGCTCCGGTCCGACTTCAACTTCCCGCTCTCCCTAACCGTGAGAGTGCTGCGCCCTCACATTTACAACCCTGCCACCTTCCAAAATGCGTCCTGCACTCCGGCTGTTGGCCAATGTCAAGCCCCGGTACTTGGAGCCCTTTGCTCCTACCGGATTGACCGGCCTCAACACCCACCCGAGTCCCCGTCCGACTTTGATCTACTTGTACACCTCCACCCTTCAGAAGCTGCAGGCTTTCCCCGAGACTTCCGCCTACCGCCAGTCCGTCGAGGCCCTCACCCGCCACCGCCTTCAAATTGTCGAGTCGCAAAAGCCCGCCGGCTTCGATGCCTGGTTGGAGCGAGTGAAGAAGACGGTGGGCGCCGAGCCCGAGCGCTTTGCTCAGCTCCAGCGCCCCGACGGCTCTTTCTCCTTCGTCGCCAAGCAAGAAGCCGATTACACTGATGACCCTCGCGGTAGGGAATGGGATGGCGAGAAGATTGCCCCCGGTACTGAGGGTCCTGCCCGTACAGCACAAGAAGCCGCCGAGTGGCAGAAGATCATTGAGGAGTCCACCACAACGGCCGAGAAGTCCGAGGCGGATCACCATGAACTTTCTATGAAATGGGAGAACGAGCCTGCTCTAAACGCTGACCAGTAAGTCGACCTATCTGTTCCGCGGGGAAGCAACAGAAAGACTAACCTTTCACACAGAATCTCTGCCATTGAGAATCAGATCGGCGCGGGCCTCATTGAGGAGGTTATTCAAGTCGCCGAGCACGAGCACGAGCTTGTTAACGAGATGCACAAGCAGAAAGTGTGAGTAAAGCCCAAGACCTGTGGTCTTCTATCTCAGACTGCTGACGCGATTACAGGTGGGAGGAATTGGAGGAGAAGCCCGCTCCCGGCCAGTGGACCTACTTTGACCGTGGTAACTAAGCTATATCGGAAAAGGCTAGATGCCAATTTCTGTAACTATTAGAGGACGGCTTGTTCGAATACATTTTTTTACGATTCCAATTGGTTATCACGTCCTCTTCTTATTCCTTGTAGATATATCCCTACATCAATCGGGCATTTTCATTTCTATATATTAACGCCTTTTTATACCATCCCAACCACATCGTAGTTAGGTCTAAATTTGAATTAAAAGTCGGAGATGCTCCCAGGACCGCGAGTCTCCAAGAGAGCAGTTTTCTCCAGTAACATCGAAATTCAAATACGAGAGGAACCCAAAAAGCAAAAAAGCAGCGACTATTTCACATTTGGGACGCTTCCTGTGCTGTAGTCAGGACGCGGGTGCCTCATCGGAAGGCGGTGAGTGTGGGCGGGAATCCCTTGTGGACACATACATTGTCCCTGAGCGCCCTCCAGCTCTCTTCCAGCAGGGAATTCTCTGTGCTTCTTGTTTCATTCTCAGCTGATCCCGTGGATCGTTCGTCCCACAAACCTTGGGCTGTCTGAGCGGCTCGCGGAAACCTCCCTCGCTCTCGCAGGCCCGACGCCGCACCACACAAACACTCGTCTCATCCCCCACACACCATGCGGCTTGACGTTAAGGTGCGCAGACCCCCTGAAGCAATGAGTATCGCTTTTAGAAAGCTTGGCGACACCATTGCAGATGAATAATGGTGGAATTGGAGAGATTGCTGACGAGAATGGCATTCAACAGAGGCAACTCTTTGCCCGCTCGGAGCGGGTAAAGGGTATTGATTTCCACCCTACGGAGCCATGGGTAAGCTTCTATAACGATCCTCAAAAGGATTTGACAATGCTAATATTGTACTAGATCTTGACGACCTTGTACAGTGGTATGTCTGGATAGAGGTAGCCCCCGCGAGATGTCCCAGCTGCTAACCGGCAATAGGTCACGTCTACATTTGGTCGTACGAGTCGCAGGTATGTTTTGGACGGCAATTAAAACTCTGGGACAGCTTAGCTAACGAGTCATGTCCACAGTCCATCATCAAGACGTTCGAACTCACCGATGTCCCCGTTCGTGCCGGTCGATTCATCGCGCGGAAGAACTGGATTGTTTGCGGTTCAGATGACTTCCAGCTCCGAGTCTACAACTACAATACCTCCGAAAAGATCACCTCCTTTGAAGCACACCCCGACTACATTCGGTCGATCTGCGTTCACCCGACCCAACCGTTCGTCCTCACCGCAAGCGATGACATGACAATTAAGCTGTGGGATTGGGAGAAAGGCTGGAAATGTGTTCAGGTCTTCGAGGGCCACAGCCACTACGTTATGGGCATGTCCATCAACCCCAAGGATACCAACACTTTTGCTTCGGCGTGTTTGGACCGGACGGTCAAGATCTGGAACCTTGGCTCTCCCCACGCCAACTTCACCCTGGAAGCTCACGAGACCAAGGGTGTCAACCACGTCGATTATTACCCGCACGCGGATAAGCCGTACCTCCTCACGACCTCGGACGACAAGACGGTCAAGGTAAGATTGGCATTGTATCTTTTTGTTGCAAACTTCTGGATACTGACGCACAATAGATCTGGGATTACACCACCAAGGCGCTCATTGCCACTCTCGAGGGCCACACCAGCAACGTCTCTGTAAGTATTGCGAATGCTGTTTTCCTATATGCTCTGAAATCTAACACTTGCTCCCAGTTTGCCGTGTACCATCCCGAGCTTCCTATTGTGATTTCGGGTTCTGAAGATGGAACAATCAAGATCTGGCACGCCAACACCTACCGGCTGGAGCAGTCACTAAGCTATGGCCTGGAGCGGGCATGGTGTATTTCTTACCAGCGGGGTCGGCAGGGAATCGCAATGGGTTTCGATGATGGTGCTGTAGTTGTGAAGATGGGCCGGGAAGAGCCTGCCGTTTCGATGGATGGATCCGGCAAGCTCATCTGGGCCAGACACAGTGAAGTTGTTTCGTCGGTCATCAAGGGCGGCGACGCCAGCATCAAGGATGGCGAGCCCCTTTCGCTGCCGACTAAGGACTTGGGCACCTGCGAGGTCTATCCGCAAACTCTTTCCCACTCGCCCAATGGACGCTTCGTCTCCGTCTGCGGTGATGGTGAATATATCATCTATACCGCTTTGGCTTGGAGAAACAAGGCTTTCGGTCAGGCTCTGGATTTCGCTTGGGGCTCCAAGGATAACAGCAACGATTACGCTATCCGCGAGTCCGCCACAAGTGTCAAGATCTTTAAGAACTTCAAGGAGCAAAGCGGCGGCCTTGATGTTGGATTCCAAGCAGAGGGCTTGACTGATGGTGTTCTCCTTGGTGTCAAGGGTCAGGGTGGTATTGGTCTGTTCGACTGGGAGAGCGGCTCGCTGGTCCGGAGAATTGAGGTTGATCCTAAGAACGTGAGTTGTACTCAGAAGCTTCATTGGGGTCAATGACTGACTGTTTCCCTACAGGTTTACTGGTCTGAGTCCGGAGAGTTGGTCACACTTGCTTGTGAGGATGACTTCTACGTCCTCCGCTACTCTCGCGAGAACTACATAAACGGCCTAAACAACGGCGAGGCCGACGAGGATGGTGTCGAGGCAGCCATCGAGCATGTTGCTACCATTAACGAGTCTGTCCGGACTGGTGAGTGGGTTGGCGACTGCTTCATCTACACCAGCTCCACCAACCGCCTGAACTATCTTGTCGGTGACCAAACCTACACCATCTCTCACTTCGACCAGCCCATGTACTTGCTTGGATACCTTCCTAGGGATGGCCGAATTTATCTGGCCGACAAGGACGTCAACACGGTTTCCTTCGGCCTGTCCCTTAGCATGGTCGAGTACCAGACAGTCGTGCTGCGTGGGGACATGGATATGGCCGCCGAGCTGCTTCGTGATGTTCCCCAAGATCAGATGAACAAGGTTGCACGATTCCTCGAGGGCCAAGGTTACAAAGAAATGGCGCTTGAGGTCGCCACGGATCCAGAGCACCGTTTTGATCTGGCTCTATCGCTAAATGATCTCGAGACCGCCCATCAGATTGCCCGCGAGGCCAACCTGGAGCACCGCTGGAAGCAGGTCGGCGACGCCGCCCTGGCCGGATGGAACCTCTCCCTGGCCGAGGAGTGCTTCACCAACGCCAAGGACGTTGGCTCCCTGCTCCTGCTGCACACCGCCAGCAACAACCGGGCAGGCCTCCAGGCCCTTGTCACCCAGGCCTCCGAGTCTGGCCTGCACAACGTTGCCTTCTCCACTCTCTGGTCTCTGGGCGATATCGACGGCTGTATCGACCTTCTCGTCGCAGCCAACCGTCTCGGTGAGGCCGTCCTTTTCGCCCAGACCTACAAGCCCACTCGTGCTCCCGAGCTGGTCGTCCAGTGGAAGAGCGCTCTTGAGCAAGCTGGCAAGACCAAGGTCTCCCGCCTGATCGGTGTCCCTCCCGGCGCCCCCGACATTGTCTCGACCGATGACGACCTCTTCCCGGAGTGGGATGAGTACATCCGCATGGAGAAAGAGGGCGTCGTCCCTGAGCCCCCGTCATCCGAGTCTCTGATCGACATTGACGGCGACAAGGAGCCTGCGAGCGCGACCAACGGCGGCCCCGAGATCGAGGCTGAGGCCGAAGAAGAGAACGATCCCGAGGCCGAAGTCGAGGCTGCCGCTGCCGCCGAGACGGAGTAAAAGATCAAACTGGTCGGGTTGTATTGAGTACATGCTCGGAGATGCGTGGATAGAGCATTTGATTTCCGATTGACAAGTCGGCTGATTTGAATTGCGAGCGGCGTCTTAACGTGTTTCCGACTTCATTTTTCTTTGTTTTGTTTTCCTGGTACTTTAATTCCCTTGCGACATGTCTCGATCTTGGGGATGTCTGAAATTGGGTTATAGATACAATGACAAGGAGCTGTTCTACTTCGTTTGGTCCTGAGTAGTCACGACTTCACCCGGAGAATATATTATTTTATCGAGGCCTACCTATACCCTCATGTATTGCTAAGCGGTAAGACCATACAGTGGAGTAGTTATGTTGAAATGGCCGATTCATGTTGCCCGGGGAGCGCTGCTCTCTCTATGTCTACGGTCTAAAGGGACGACGAACCAGGAATAAGAGACTTTTTTTAAGATCAGAGAAAATCTGCTTGGCATTGTGCATTTGAGTTTTTGTCAAGGATACAGGGAATGAACACCTCGCACCCGAACCGAGCGGATACGACAAAAGAGATACGTAGGTAAGAGGCAGGTAAAGACCGCTTGAGAACATCAAACGAAAACAAGGGTTTGAGAAGGAACCTGCCTGTCGGGTTGGGTCGGGATGACGCTGAGATAGATGACCAGAAACAAATCAAACCGCTCAATTGGAGAGGGCTGGGGGAAGAGATAAAGAAACAAGACGACGCACAACTGTAGCCTCGGGGGACTCCGAGACCGAAATGCCACGGACTCCTTGGGATGAAAAAAAGAACAAGAAAACAAGGCAAGAAAGATGAAGATGATCAAGATTGGTGATATGTGGAATCAAGACAGACAGTACAAAGGGAAATCGTCTCTATGAGCCTCATCTTGCACATCATTCTCGATCTAGGTGTTCATGAATTGTCCCGGTGGAGGTCCTTACTCCGCTATGCTTCCAAATGACGGGTCTTTGACACTGCCGCCAGCATCACCCAGTCCAGCAACCGGTCGGTTGTACGACCAGCCGGCGAACTGTTGCTGCATGGTCGAGGACAGGGCGGGGCCGTCGACGTAGGAGTCCTGTGGAGCCTCGGAGGTGAACTCGGTGTCGAAGTTGTCGGTGTCACGAGCATCCAGCTGTAAAGCCTTGTTAATATTTGGATGAAAAGAGAACGGCGGAATAAGACATACCACGTTGGGACGGAAGCTGGGCTCGTACTTCCGCTGGAGAAGCTTGCGCCAGTCGATGTTGGCGAAGAAGTGGTGCGACTTGATCTCCGCGGCACCGTTGGCACCCAGACGGCGCTGGGGATCACGGTCCAGCAGACGGGTGAGAAGATCCCGGGCGGCCGGGGGTACGATGTCACTGCTGGGGAAGGTCAGAGGCTCCTGCAAGATCTTGCGGTACATCTCGTTGGTGTTTTCATCATAGAACGGTGGCAAGCCTGTCAGCATCTCATAGAGCAAGACACCAAGCGTCCACCAATCCACGGACTTTGTGTACCCGTTGCCAAGCAGCAGTTCGGGAGCAAGATACTCGGGAGTTCCGCAGAAAGCTGCAATTCGTCAGATGAAAAGAAAACTTGTCAAAGTCCAACAGAGGGATCTTACTGTTTGTTCGGTCCTCGTCCTTCATATCTAGCTTGCAAAGTCCGAAATCGCACAGAGCGATGTGACCAGTATAATCGAGGAGAATGTTCTCGGGTTTGAGATCACGGTAAATGACCTTGAAACCGTGAAGACATTCAAGTGCGCACAACAGCTCCGCCGTGTAGAATCGGGCACGGTTAATGTCGAATCGCTGCTCTCTTTGCAGGTGGTGGAATAACTCTCCGCCGTTGACGAATGCCAGAACCAGATATAGCTTTTCGGGCGACTGGAAAGAGAATTTCAAGGGGACAATGAACGGGTTATTGATCTGCGCCAGCACCGATCGCTCCGCGAGGGTATGTGTGACTTCGGACCGCGAGATGATGTGAGCCTTGCGGATGGTCTTGAGGGCGTAGATTCGGCCGGTATCCTTCTTCATGACCTGCATGACCTTGCCGAAACTGCCCTTACCCACGACCTTCAACAAGTCAAAGTCCTCCATCTTCAAGCTGCGTTGCCGGTTCTCGACGAACGAGACACCAATCTTGATCGAGCCACCGCCGAACTGGAGATCCAGCCATTCGGCACCAAGCTGACCCGCCTGGCGCTCTTGTTCGGCGTGAGCGGCGGCGGCCTTCTGGTTGTCCTTCTTGCCCAGCTTGGGGTCCTCTACGAACGGTTGAGCTTCTTCGAACCGAGGGTTTACCTTGACCGCCCCCAAGAAGATATCCTCACTCCGGCCAGCACCAGGCCGGGCCGCAGGGTTGCGCAGATACAACTGAACATTCAGTTCAGTCTTTCGAGACACATCGAACTTGAAGGCTGTGCTGTCACCCGCCCACAGGGGGTTCTCGGGAGAACCCGAGACGGCATCCACGAAAACCTGGTTCTTTTCGAAATCAAGAAGGGCGTAGGGGAGATATTTGGTGGAATAGCGGCCGTGGGTGGTGGGGGCAGCGTTGATGCCCCCGCTGGTGGACTGGGGCCGACCGGACTGCACAAAGGAGCTCGCTTGAGCATGGGAGGAGTGTGATGACGAAGAGGTGCTGGGTCGCAATGACGAGGGTGCGTAGGAATTGTTCTGGAAGTGAGAGTTGAAGATCTGCTGGAAATGGGGAGACAAGGCAAAGCCCTTGCCCTCATGGAGGGTGACAATGAGAATACCCGGGTTCACAGGGTTCACTGGGGGAGAGACGAGACACTCTGACGCGGCTATTCCTCGTGGGATTAGTCACCGTACATCGGATTCGCTAGACGACAGGAGATCCATACCGATGCCGTTTGACGAGGCAGTAGGGGTAGAGGCGATACTGGGGGGTTGCGAGGTCACGGGTGTGTCAGCACCATCACCAGCGCCATTTGAATCGCCCTTGATGGTCGACGTGGAAGAAGATCGGCCAAAAGAGTTCGTCAAGGGCGCGAGATGCGTCTCCTTGAGTTCTATAAGAACACTCGGTTAGCCATTGCTGCGGAGGTCATCACCGCCTCATCTGCACAGGAGAGAGGGGTGACCCTGACAAAGGAGGAGGGGGGGGGGGGATCAGGGAGACCAACTGAACATACTTTTGGTGAGCTTCCAGGACATGATGGCGGACTCAGGGCCAGTGCGAGTATCAAGGAGTAAAGACAAAGAAGTCAGAAGTCCAAGATGCGATGCGTATAGCAAAGACTGAACCACCAAGAAGTCAACATCGAAAGTTCCCAAAATGAGACGGCCAGGATCAACGCCACACCGAGACGAGCCACGCCGAAGCACCACCCTTACCTTGAATCGCACCGAAATAAGAGAATGAGAATAAAAGATACACCAGGGTCCACGAGAGAATCAGCGACCCGGTTGTTTCTGGTTGACAGGAGGAGACGAAGAGGGGGGCGAAAGACGGTCGTGCCTGTGTAGATTACCCGACACCTAGGGGGGGGACGTGACCAAAGTTACACACGTTAATTCTCTTCCGGGCTTACAATGTGTATGTGAAATACGGAAATATACGCTGAGTCAGCACCGTAGGGCAGGGGCCGCGCCACGGGTGGATCTCGATTGAGGCAGTGCCTGTGGCTCCCCGTGAATAGACGTCGCGAGGCATTTCATGTGTATTGGATCGAATTGAGGAACGACTCGGGCCTTTGGTCTGCAACTGCACGCACCTTGCAATCCACGCAACTCGGATTATCTCCCCACCCGATCGGCGCTGATCGTTACCCCGGAGTCTCACCTCACCTCACCTACCTCACCTCCTCTCTCGACCACCAGCATCGATAACTGCCCTCTCAGACCTCTGGAGGGCGATTTTGGGCTTTCGCGACGACTTTGGATTCAACAGAGGATGAACGGGCCCAAAAACCAATGGGTGTAATACGCAAGAAGACCGCCTCGCGCGGCACCGAGGCTGGCACCAAGTTCCACTGCGACGTGTGCTCAGTCGATGTCACCTCCACCGTAAGCTCTCATCGCTTCCAACCGTGGCAACTGACTAACTGATGACTCGTGTAGGTTCGCATCTCCTGCGCTCATCCCTCTTGTCCTGAATACGATCTCTGCGTTCCCTGCTTCGCCAATGGGGAAAGCTCCAAGAACCACGACCCGCAAACTCACCCCTTCCAAGTCATCGAGCAGAACTCCGTTCCGATCTTCAAGCCCGACTGGGGTGCCGATGAGGAATTGCTTCTACTCGAGGGCGCCGAGATCTACGGTCTTGGCTCTTGGGCCGATATCGCCGACCACATTGGCGGCTACCGCTCCAAGGACGAGGTGCGCGACCACTACATCGATACCTATGTGAACAGCTCGCACTTCCCGCTCCCCGATCATGCAGACCCGGATGATCACAGCCTCCAGGAAGAGATCTCGAAGGAGGAGTTCCAGACGCGTAAGAAGCGACGCATCGAGGAGCGCAAGGATGCGGCCAAGGCGGCTCCGCCCACCACGCCTAAGCAGAAGCCTACTGCCAGTGTGCCGGCTTGCCACGAGGTGCAGGGATATATGCCGGGTCGATTGGAGTTCGAGACCGAGTTCCTCAATGATGCGGAGGAAGCTGTCCAGCACATGGCGTTCGAGCCCGGGGCGGGCATTAGCGACAATGGCGAAATGGACGCGGAGGCAGAACTTAAAATGACCGTGGTGGATATCTACAACTCCCGACTTACAGCGCGTACAGAGCGCAAGAAGATCCTCTTTGAGCACAACCTTTTGGAATACAGAAAGAACACCGCACTGGAGAAGAAGCGCTCGAAGGAAGAGCGGGATCTCCTAAATAAAGCAAAGCCACTTGCACGGATGATGAGCCGCAATGACTTTGAAGAGCTGAACAAGGGCCTCGAGTACGAGCACAATCTCCGCCTGGCCATCTCACAACTCCAGGAGTGGCGGCAAATGGGCATCGGCGACTTGAAAGCTGGTGAGAAGTACGAGCAAGATAAGCAGTCGCGTGTACAGCGCATGTTGCCCCAGGGGTCCTTCGATCGATTCGCCAGCGCGCGACCCAATAAGGCCCAGATGTCCGAGGTGTCCGCCGCAGCTACCCAGCTGACGACACCCGAGCTGCCCTTGCGACTTCAAAAGGCTGCCAATCCCCACCAACAGTCAGATCCCGAGCCCTTGAATGATTTCGACCGTGCTTTCGCCATTAATGGCGACCAGGCACCCACACAATCGACCAAGACGAAATTCGTGGTGCAGCCGCTGAGCGGAGTACCAGCGTGGAAGTTGGACACCGAGGGTGCTGCCGACCTGCATCTCTTGACAAAAGAGGAAGTCGATGTGTGCAACACGCTGCGTATAATGCCGAAGCCGTATCTCGTGGTGAAGGAAACATTGCTGAAAGAGGCAATGAAACAAGGCGGCACCCTGAAGAAGAAGGATGCCCGAGCGATCTGCAAAGTAAGATTCATCGTCAAATCTTTAATTGGGCTTCACTAATGCTGGCTACAGATCGAGGGCACCAAGACCAGCCGCATTTACGATTTTATGGTGCACAGCGGATGGATCAACAAGGGTTAGCACTTGCTTTTTGAGCTTGCTTTGTCTCTGTTTGGTTGATATCCACATCTGTCTGTGATTATGCTCCAGCGTGTGATTTTCTGGCGTTTACTATGGGGGAGAGGGCGGTGTTGATCTGACCGTGTTCATATACTGAGCGTACTAGGTGGTGTACACCAACATTGAATTTTGAGAATGATCGTGCCTCAAGTGCTTGTAGATATTCACCCATGCCCAAAGGTGGAGCTTAGATCTAAACCGAAGAGAAAACAGTAAAAAAGTACCTCGAAAAGCTGATTACTGAACACGGCCGAGCTCTTTGTATCGGCCCTCGGCACAACTCCAGCTCTCCCCGCGTTTCGAATGCCGAGTTCAACTACCCCGACCCCCATCAACCCCAATGGACTCAAACACAAAGCTATATTTAAAAATTTAAATAGGTCTATCGTTCATAGACTCAACCTATTCACAATGCCCAGCTTCGCTACACAACCTCCTCAACCCCAGCATTCTGTTCTCTCCTTTCCAGCACGGCATGTCGTTCTCGTCACGCTCAACCGGCCCCGCGACCTGAATTGTATCAATGCACAAGGCCATGCCGACCTTGATGCCGTCTGGCAATGGATGGACGAAGAGCCCAGTCTGCGGGTGGGGATATTGACCGGGCAGGGAAGGGCATTCTGCGCCGGTGCGGATTTGAAAGGTAATTAATGATCTTCGGATTCACGTTCCCCCCCCTTCACTATGGACCTTGACTGGGCCATTAAAAAGCATGAAATGCATCGAGAGACCTCATGGCAAATCGGACGATATATCGGATCTCGAGCTAACGCCCACCAGAATGGAACTCCAGCACCAGCAACAACAAGTCCCGCGCACCAATGCCAGCCTCCGGCTTCGGCGGCCTAGCTAGACGCAAGGGCAAAAAGCCCGTGATCTGCGCCGTGAATGGGCTGTGCTTCGGCGGCGGGGCTGAAATGATCATCAATAGCGACATTGTGATCGCTGCCTCGCGCGCGCTGATCGGGCTGCCGGAAGTCAAGCGCGGCGTTGTTGCACTGGCGGGTGCACTGCCGCGACTTGTCCGGACAGTTGGCAAGCAGCGGGCAATGGAGATGGTGTTGACGGGGCGGTCGTTGAGTGCCGCGGAGGCGGAGAGGTGGGGGCTCGTGAATGAGGTTGTTGCGGTTGGCGAGAAGGCGAAGGATGAAGAGATCTCGGAGAAGGTTGTGCAGCGGGCTCTTGCCGTTGCGCAGGAGATCGCAGGAAATAGTCCTGATTCAGTCGTGGTTAGTCGGGAGGGGATTAAATTGGGTTGGGAGGGTATTGGTGCAGATGAAGCTACGGGGATGTTGAATGATACTTGGGTGAAGAGGTTGTATGAGGGGGAGAACATCAAAGAGGGCTTGAGGGCTTTTGTGGAGAAGAGGAAGCCTACTTGGGTTGATAGTAAGCTGTGAGGTACTGTGTTCAAGTAGCTTGTTCGAATAAAAGTGTTGAATGAATTCTACAGAATTTCAACTGGGCCTATAAGAATTAACAAAAAAGGCTACCATCAATTTCAAGATGTGAATTCTTTTAACCTCGAGACATGCGTACATTTGCCAGATCTAGATAGCCGCCACTCGGGCATCGATAGTACCGGAGATGTTCATTTTGTGTCAGTTATCACTTCTTGCCTGGAGATATGGCTATGCCTAAGTGATACATCCGCGATACCCCAATATCCCATTGGCCCCCAAGAAAGGGAATTTGACCCCATCAGTCGAGGATTAAGACGTCAAATGCATCGATATGATCGCCGACAGAAACTCTGATCGAGAGTAGATAGAAATTGTTTAAGGCGATGGAGATGGATCTCTAGAAAATCAAGGAAATACCCTAGTAAGACCACGAAAATGTGATAACTAGTATGAATAGCGGCCACTAGGAAAGAATGTACTAAGAGAACCTGCCATCAATCGGGATAGCTTGAAATTCTTCTAGCTATGAAGTCTTTTATGAGAAGAGAGGCTTTACGCAAGGACTCCAGACTTGTCAATGGTGACCTTCTTCTTCGGCTTTCCACTGCCGCTACCGAGCTTCTCAATGGCCTTGACGACATCGAGACCATCGGTAACCTCGCCAAAGACGACATGCTTGCCATCGAGCCAAGATGTAACGACGGTGGTGATAAAGAACTGGGATCCGTTGCTATAGAGAAATGGTGCGTTAATAGGCACTCAGTATAGCGTGGGGAGAGGAAAGGTGTCCGGTCGACATACGTGTCGGGACCAGCGTTGGCCATGGAGAGCAGACCAGGCTTGGTGTGCTTGAGAGTGAAGTTCTCATCCTGGAACTTCTCTCCGTAAATGGACTTGCCGCCAGTGCCCTAGATAGAGTGTTAATTTGCAAATTCGCCCAGGTCCGACTTCCGCGGATTGCATCAAGCAACGCTTACGTTGTGGTTGGTGAAGTCACCGCCCTGGAGCATGAAATCGGGGATGACACGGTGGAAACTGGATCCAGCGTATCCGTATCCCTTCTCGCCAGTGGAAAGGGCACGGAAGTTCGCGGCCGTCTTGGGGACTACATCGTCGTACAGCTTGAAGCTGATACGGCCAAGGGGAGCTGTTCAAGGGCAACGTCAGCGTTTGGACATGGAATTCAAATTGAGCTGCGGCGGTCATCCAGCGATCTGGGGGCCGATAACATACCGCCATCGGCAGAAACGTCGAAGTAAACCTGGCTCATGGTTGCAGATTTCGGGGATGACAGATTTTGGAGATGAAAGAGGGAAAAGGAAGTGAGGGATAGAGTCAAAGCGGTGATGGAGGGGTTAACACGAACATTCCAGCCTGAGGCATCGAGGTTGGCGGGGTCGAGCGGAGAACGACGTAATCCACCCTCGACACCTTGCCGAAGCGATATGCAGGCTACAACTATCTAGGGGAGATTACAGAACGGTGCATTCTTGACACTCATAAACCGCAAGCGGTAACACTAACCACAATAAGCAATTCACATGTCCGCCACAATTTAAACGAAATTCGTTTTGTCCAAAGTGCCCAAAAAACCTACTGCGCATTACCGCCGTACCGCCAAATTGGCAGGATCGATGTAACGTTCATGATGCCGGTCCTTAGTCGATGGGCCCGGCGCAAGCTAAAGTGGAAAGATCGCAGGTGAATTGGACTAGCGTGTTGTGTTTTTTTGAGGTGAGTTTACTCAGGCCGCTCATCCATTTCTCAGTCCCAAGAAGCCGACCAAGACTTGTTTCAATCCCATCGTCTCCTTCATTGCATACTTGCAATGAACCCTTGATGAAGAGCTTCAAATAACCGACGACAATCCGAATTCTGGTACAGTACAAGAAGGGCCTACTCCCGGCTATACGACATCATCCTTAACCCAAACACCCAGTTGACTGTTAAAATAAGATTCTGGTATACATATTCTCAAACAGTTAACTAGAGTTAATCAAAAGCAGGGAAATCTCAAACAATGGCGCGAATCACCCCACGACACTGGTACGCCAAAACTCGCGCCAGGACTTAGCCTTTCCTTTTGACTTGTAGTTTTTGGAGTGGGATGAAGTCATGCGTACTTTGATAGAATACAATTGCAGGGTTTGTTTAATAGGTTACGTAGAGAATGAAGAGTACGTAGAGAGTAGTCTACTTGTTTCTGTGTTGACGTTGATGTCATCGGAGCTTAATCCAGACAAGGGTCTAGAACTGAATAGCCCAGAGGAGGGGAAGACGTCGGAACGTTTTGATCCGATACCCGGCTAGAATAATCCAACGGCGGGATCTGTGATTAGAGATTCACGTCTGCACATTTAGAAGGATGATAGTAAAAATTAAATAAGATATTGAGACATTTGTTGCTAGTAATAGCTATTCATACTACAGGGTCGTAAGTCATGCAAAAAGAAAACACCGTTTCCGAAACACCCCGTATTCGCCGATCCATGCGACTGAAAAAATACTCGTACGCACAGTGTGACCCCGCTTAGATACGCGGCTGGCCGGTTTCCCTATTGACAAACGGTTAGTACGGGACCCATCAAGATTAGGACAAAGGACACATACTTAGCCTCGGATTGTACCTGATCCACCACCTTCACCACGGCCGGGAACAGAGGGTGACTACGCTCCAGACCGGTAAGCTGGACGGTAGCATCGCCGGGGGAGTTCTCCTTGAGGATGGTAGCCAGCTGGGCACTCTCCTCGTCGCCGGGCACATTCTGGAAACGCAAAGCCATCTCCACAGATCCAAGCAAAGAATCGTACTTCATACCGCGCTCAGCGAGGTGAGCAGCCGGCCCGATAAACCGCTCGCTGCGACCCAGCTTGCGCATCGGGGCACGGCCAACTCGCTCGACAGTGTCTTCTAGGTATGGGTTGGAGATACGGCTGACGATGGTCTCGACGTAGTCCCGTTGCTCCTGGGCGGAGATCTCGTGCTTGTCAACAATGAGCGAGGCAGTCTCCTCGAGGACGTCGTGAACGACACCCCTGATGTAGGGATCTTTCATGGCCTCCGCGATGGTCTTCTTGCCGGCGTGCTTGCCGTAGTAGGCTGCGGTAGCGTGGCTGGTGTTGACCGTGAACAGCTTGCGCTCAATGTACGGCTCCAGGTGGTCAACCCAGTGGATGGCGGCAATGTCAGGGTGGCCGACATTGCCGAAGGGAGTCTGCTCGACAACCCACTCGTAGAACTTCTCGATGCGGACATTCAACCCGGCGTCGGGAGCCTGGGCAGGAACAATGCGGTCGATGGCAGAGTTGGCGAACTGAGCTCGCTCGCCCATGGACTTGAGACGCTCCGAGTCGGTCTTCTCCTCAATGTATTTGCGTAGCTGATCGGTGCCGCCGATCATGTTCTCGCACGCAATGACGGCCAGAGGCTTGGGATTGGAACGCATGTCGATGCCCTTGGCAATGACGGGGGCGATGAACTTGAGGACGTTCGGACCAACGGCGCAAGTGACGACATCAGCAGTGGCGATCTCCTGGACAACGTCCTGCTCGTTGGTCTTGGAGTTGATGGCACGGTAGTTTGTGATGGTCTTGGTGGTCTCACCGGCTTCACTAACTTCGGTGACCTGGTAAGACTTGGTGTTTTGTAGGGCGGAGATGATGTTGTCCATAACATCAATGAAGACGACCTCGTAGCCGGCCGTGTGGAGGAACTCGGCAACGAAGCCACGGCCGATGTTGCCGCCGCCAAAGTGAACAGCCTTCTTGCCCATGATTGGAGGAGATAACAAGGATGTAGATCGGAGTGGGGAAGAAGAAGCAAGATGAGGTCTTGTGATGTACTAAGGAGCGGGTGGCTGATGTTTAATGGGAGATTGGTGGAGAAGAAAGTGGGAAGGAGAGAGTATTTAAGTAAAACAAGTGAGAATGAGGGGGTTTCCGCCTTGGAATTTCACGATAGGAAGCAGGCGCATTCCCGTATTATACTTCGTGGCTGCCGTACGTGGAGGACTGCTGAATGGTCGTGATGACTTCATCGACTAGGGGGCGCACGGAACTGGGCTCCGCCTTGTTTTCCACCCATGGATAATGAGAACATGAGAACGCCAGAACATGACAATATTGTCCCATTCTCAGAACTCGGCTTTCGAAAGAATTCTACTGATGTCCTCAGTGTAACCGTGTAACCCCCGCTTTGCCGTGCAACCTCATAGTCTGTCCTATAGTGCGCAAATGGCGATTCACGACGGAACTAGGCCCCTTCCCCGTTAACCTTTTTGGGACTTGGAGCACTTTCCCCCCCTTACGCCGCCTTTTTTTTCCCATCTCCGTCCTCAAAAGGTTTCACCGGCGCAAGGTGTGACTGAACCCGGGAAGTCCCGTGGACGCACTCCGCATTCCGGGTTTGAACCTCATTGAATGAACCCTCTTGGCGTACCTTGTGGCTGAGCGGGAGACCAATCCCCGGCAATAGCCACGCCGGAGTACTGTGTTCCTAGGCCCCCTAGCCTAATGGGTGAAGAAAAAGCGCCATCTGATACGCGATACTCGCAGTCTAGACAACCTACTTGATCGACCAGTGATTTTCTCCGCAGTGACGTCTTAGAAGGACGGGTGACAGGCTAGACCCAGTTTTCTCCCGTTAGCTCACATCTACTATGCCGAGGTTCGAACCATCTCGAATCATCTTCTATCACTTTCCAACCCGCCCGGGCTCACCGTTTCCTAATCGGTCCTGCCGCTGGGACGATGCCCGATGTCTCCGGTACGATTGGTTCCACGAAGTTCTTTCCTGCCGCTGGGACGATGCCCGATGTCTCCGGTACGATTGGTTCCACGAAGTTCTTAGCCCTCCGTTTGCATGTCGCCGAGTTGTCAATTTCGCTTCCTCGGTCAGGCGAAACCCGACCTGCAAAGGGCCGGTTCTACAGTCTCATTGGTCATTGTAGTTCATTCAGGTGGCATTACCGGTCATATAATATTCAAATATTGAACACATTCCCTCGACGTGCGTCCGGTGTTCGCGTCCGTTTCGGGGCCCCGCGCTCGAGCATTCTTTCTTATTCCCCCACCGACCCCTCTTCAGCCCTCTTCGTCCTTCGGAGCGGGCATCGCCGGCTCCTCGTAGTCCCGGAAAAAGACATTGACGAAACTGCTTAGGCTGCCCACGATGAGCAACCCTGTCGATGCCCAAGTCATGCCAAGAAACTTCTTGCCGTATTGTGCCGACACGTTGAAGCCGTCGCCGTGAGCATTGATAAGAGGAACGAACTCGAAGGCAATGACCGTCGCGATGATGGAGGCGATGCTGATGCTGAGAGCGCCGAGCTACATGACCCAGGCTATTAGAGGGTGTAGAGATGACACGAGACCGAATGACTTACCACCAGAAACCCAAACTCAAACAGGCCCGTCTGTTCTTTGCCGGTGATGAATGACCACACTCGCGACAGAAGGGCAAATCCGATCGCTCCTACCCCGATAATATAAAACACCGCCATCGACCGGCTCGTGAGCGTGAAGGCGTTGAAGTCGTCGCTGATCACTCGCGGCCACTCAAGCGTCGGTCCGTGTGTGATCTCTTCGGGCCATGCGTCCGTCGGGTTGAATGCGAACAGAATCTTGCGGCTCGAGCATTCGGTCACGTTGCGCGAAAAACTCATCTCACCCGGCTCTACCTGTGCCAGAGTGCCCTGACAGTATGACATGACATGGATGGAATAGAAATTGTTTGCCGTGTTCGAGCTTCCCTCGGGGGTGTATAGCTGTAGACCTCGGGTCAGCATCGTCTCCGTAATTCAACGCTCTTAACGTACCGTCAGGAGGTCCGCATTGTCCAAGAGGTTCCTCTGAGATCCCGCAAACAGGCACAGAAGCGTCAAGATGAATGCAATTAAGGCGGTTAGGGCCGGGAAAAGACTCTGGAAGGCGACTTTCATGGTGGCCGATGCTGATGGGGTTGTTGGTCCTAAGGACTGTGCAAGTGCCCGTTGCTGATGTCGGGAACTGACCAACAGCCCGAATGGATCAGAGCTAGACCTGATCGACAAAGAATGTTAGCATGGTGACGGCTGGCGATGAAGGACTAACTCACCAGAGGTTGTTGGATATTTACTTTATGTAGCAGATCACACGAAATTCTCCGGATCCCCCGATCCCCCGATCCCCAGTCCTTATATACGGACGGACCTGATAGCACGTCGGAATAGTTCAAGCAAGCCATCATTTCCAACGTGGGCTGCGCGGAAGAGAGTTTACGGCCAGGAGTGCGAGGGAGCATATCGAAGGTGAATCGGGCATGGCATGTGACCATCACTGAGAATTAGCCATCATCGTGTGCAATAATAGGCGACTTTGGCTTTTGCAGGGCAAACCTAGATGCATTGCTGGGTGAGTTGAGTGGAGAGTCGGCGTGTTGACTTTCCCGGCCTGTCTCTGGAATGCGGCCAGCCACCGGTGATTTTGTACACCAACGAGTTGTAGCTTGCGCCATTGATACCAGGTCAAGTCAGGATTGAAGGGGCTCAGAAATACAATAGTTAATCCTGAGTCAGTCATATTTTCTTCGCGCTTGTCGCCGTTTGGCATGGTGGCTTTTGATGCCCTAGTTTGCGGTTGTGGATCCGGGCGCCCGAGTCAGCCTCGAGTCTATGAACAACACATTGTTACTTTTATTTTCAAAATTCCGATCCAAAGTCAAAAAGCTTTCCAATGATTTCCATCTTGCTCGTCTCCTTTACTAAAGACATGACGTGGACAGTTGAACAAGACTGCCGGCCGAGGTAAAACCCCCGGTTCTGTCTGGAATGAGACTTTGCCCGACCAATTCAACACCACCGGAAGCCAAGAGGTATCCTTCCCAGGGAATCTGTCAGTGGAGAGTGATCCTGCAACATACTATTTATCGTGATTCTTGAGTAGTGTTCTTGATTAAATGCCATCAAGTATATGATTCGACATGCGATGCGATGGCCAACTCACGACCTCAACCGGGTCAAACGGATGACCTCAGCCCGCGCGATCGGACGAGCTTGGCATGAAGTTAGTATCGCAGGCCCCTGAATCCGATTTCAATGAAAGACCCGCTGCTCTCGGCTTTCGGGATATTCGGACATGGCCCAAGTACACTACGGAGTACGTGAGGCGTCGACGGGCACGGCAAAGCCGTCTTCGTTTCAGATCATTATTTCGGCAATGGCTAGCAGACCAGAAAGGGTATATGCACCTTGCATGGGCCATTGTACTACGTAGCAGATACCCTGAGGCTGAGGGGGCTGCCTAGAACGTGCCGCGTGTTCTAGGTGCCGCGTGTTCGCAGGAGCAAGGATCGCACCACTGTCCCACACGACCTCGTCAAAGCATCACAATGGTCTGCGCAGGGCGCAGGAGCTGAATTAGAGTATTCCAGCAAGGCAGCCTTCCAGAGGCCATGCAGCGTTCTAGACAGCCTTTGGCGCAACGGCGGCGGTTCTTTCAGCTCCGACTTGAAAGGAAGGCTCAGGCAACGGCATACGAGCGCATTGTCAGCCTGTCTACCCTTATTGGCCGGTGGATCTATGCGCCCTCCCGACGACGGTTTCTCGGGATGGCGTAGATGTGGCCCTCGGCGATCGACGAGTACCCACGCCGTGCCCCTGAGCCAAAGTCTATGTGAGTCGCGTGCCATGCACCAGAACCCTGCAGTGGCTTCCAAGGTGGATACAGCGTTTCTGAAGTAGGAAGCTCGCGACGGCACTGGGGCATTGTAAGGGATGGTTCAAGACTCGAGGCGCCGAAACAGGTATTGATTATCCGACCACGTGTTGCAATTCAAGCATTGTTAAGCATTAAAGACGCATCCAGACGTTGCTTGGATATGCTTGAATACTCTTGGATGCAAGGTTATCACGGGTAAACCATGGTCAAGTACCGACATGCCTCAGCCGAGAAACAGATACAAGGGATTCGGAAGGCACCGGGCTGGGCGCATGCCGTGGTGCAATCCGCGGCATATATTTTGCAGCGGATTCTCAAAATGGAAAAGAAAAAAGAACGTTCTGGTGATGCAAGGGCCAAGTGCCGGGCAGAGGGACACAACAGGAAGGCCTGGAAGAGACGAGTGGAGCAGGATGTCAGAATGAACAGGGGTGGGCGAGCACATGGTCGCAGCGGGGAATCTGACTGGCCCGCCGGGTGATAATCAGTGCGTGCGCCCCCAGATATTAGCGTGGAAGTCTATCACTTCCAACCGCACTTCAACATCAAGCCGGTTGATTACGACGGCATTAGCCTGCGTTCGCCTGGTTCGTGAATCCGCCCAAGCCGCGCGGGTCGAATATCTTTAATTCACGGCGTGCGGGAGCCATCGGATTAGGAAGGACCACACGTGCGTCCTCGCGAGGGCTGATTTGGGGTCATTCCGGAGTCGGGAGACACCTGGACCCCATGCCGATGTATATCAACCGGGTCTCCGTCCTCAATGATCTCGCTTAGCTTAGCTCATGAAGTCCAGACAACGTCTCAAATGCAAATCAAACGTAAGGCCTCTCTCGGGAAAACCACTGAGAAAGACGGTTGGGCGTCGAGTCGTGAGCTAGAGCGGCGTTGCGACGCCCCACCCTTGGCAGATCGCGCGAGTATCTGCGGGCGCCGTACGGGCGGTGAACCGGTTCGGGCGAAAACGAGACCGGATTCTGCCACCACGTGCACCGTTGATTGGGCGGCGGCTCTTGGGACGGGGACTCGCATCTGTTTTCGTCTCCCGAACCTGGCGCAGACTTTTTAAATTTTATGCGGGAAGGCACCGAGGTGGATCCGCCACTCGAGTATGGAGCATGGCCGGCTCAAGCTGCTCGGTTGCTCCGGGCTTCCCTTCTTTTTTCCACCCATATATAAAGTCTGGTCGCCGTATTACTTCGACTGCTACACCACATCTCCCTCGTGGTCGTGTCAGTGACGTTCCTTCCCTTCCCTACCCCCCCAATCCGGCATTGCCTTGTCCGAGTCTTCTCCGGTCTTTTAGCTCCTAGCGAGCCAGTCTCATCATGACCGACTTTGGACCCCGCGCCCCTCATGGGCCGGACATGACCGGCACTCACAACCCGCTGGAGGACATGGATATCCATGAGAAGGGTGCCTTCGACCAGCTGATTCGTCCTGAGGACAGCTACAACCCCGAGGGCGTCTACTGGGCCGATCTGCCCATTGCCCAGAAGATCAAGTTCGTCAGCTCCTACGATGCGGGCGAGGCCAAGCGTGAGCTCGCCTCTATCTGGGCCATGACGAAGAAGGATCCTCTTTCGCCCGTTTCATACTACTTCCGCAACATGGTTCTCCCTGGTGCCGGTCTGGGTCTGGAGGGTTACGTGCTCTTCTCCATCGGTAACATCAAGCCTCTGTTCCAGAAGACCTTCCCCACTTGCTGGAAGACCCACGAGATTTGCGACGAGCAGTGGACGAATGCCGTGGATTATCTCGAGATTATCGGTATCATCTGCGGTCAGATCTTGGTCGGTATCATCGGTGACTGGTAAGTTCCCGCGCAGCCAACCTTAATAATACCGGAATCTAATTGGTGCGCAGGATTGGCCGTCGCTGGGGTTTGATCCAGGATGCGACTATCATGTTTGTCGGTCTGCTCATGTTGACCGCCGCCTGGGGTGTGACCCAGAACGGCTGGGTCATTTGCTATGCGTGGTCGCTGTTCTTCTACAGTGTTGGTGTTGGTACGTTTCCCTTTTCTAGAACATTTGGTCGAGTGGCCTCTAACGTCAATCAGGTGGCGAGTACCCTATGACTGCGACCAGTGGTATGGAGAACGCCATCGGCTCGGGTAAAATCTCAACCAAGGAGGACCGCCTCCACCGTGGCCGCAAGGTCACCAGCGCCTTCTTGATGCAGGGTTGGGGCCAGTTTTTCAACCAGGTTATTCTGATTATACTGCTGCTGTGCTTCCACCACGGCAGCGGCAACGACCCTTACTCGGCGGTGGCCACCCAATGGACCTACCGTATCTCCTTCGCCATCCCCGCCGTGGGTACCCTATGGCTCGTCTACTACCGTGCCTACCACATGAAGGCGGCCAGCAAGCAGTTGACCGCGGCTAAGAAGAAGGCCTCCGTCACCGGCTACGATGTTGACTCCCTGCGCCTTACCTTCAAGTACTTTGGTCCTCGCCTGCTGGCGACTGCTGGTGGCTGGTTCGCCAACGACGTTTTCTTCTACGGAAACAAGCTGTTCCAGAGCGAGTTTATCTCGGTCATCAGCCCGGCGACTAGCTCGGTGATGCCCACCTGGTTGTGGAACCTCGTCAACGTCGGCGTCTCTCTGGTCGGCTACTACATGGCTTCCTTCTTCATTGACAACAAGCTCTACGGACGCAAGTGGATGCAAACCTTTGGCTTCCTGATGTGCTTCGTTCTGTTCGTCGTCCCGGCTTTCCACTTCAAGTACTACACCTCTGGCGAGCACATTAAGGCGTTCCAAGCCATGTACTTCCTGAGCTCGTTCTTCAACCAGTTTGGTCCTAACTGTGTGACTTTCCTGGTCGCGGCCGAGGTCTTCCCGACTCCGATCCGTGCTACTGCTCACGGTATCTCTGCTGCGGCCGGTAAGTCCGGTGCCCTTCTGGCCTCTGTCCTGTACAACTACATCGACACCCAGACGAAGTTCTACGTTGTTCCCTGGTTCGGCCTGGCCGGTGTCGTTTTGACTCTGGCTTTCCTCCCCGACACTACCGGCCTGGATCTCAAGGAGCAGGAGCGTCGCTGGCAGTTCCTGCGCGAGGGTCGCGAAGAAGACTACCACGGCGCCGCTGTGCACCCTGCCCACCTGTCGTGGTTCGAGCGCTTCGTTCTGCGCAAGTGCCGCTTCTACAATGCGGAGTTGGACTACCAACAGAAGGTGGAGGAGTACCGCGCCGAGTGGGAGGCCCTCATGGCCCAGAAAATCCAAGAGCAAGACAACAAGGAGAACTTCGACACCGACGACTCTCTGCTCGAGGGTCACGTCCACACCTACTTCCACCGCACCAGCCCCATGTTCAAGGGCCAGGAGAAGCTCGGTGGAAAGCAGGACAACTTCGCTCTGCCCCCGCCTGCCAAGGATGGTTCATCTCAAGGATCATCCTTAAATGAAAAGTCGCCTTAGATTGGGCTTGCACATAGAAGATTATACATTCGCATTTTTGGTTTGGGGTTTGCTTATTTTTGGTGTTCCGGATATCCCCATCGGCCAGGTTGGCTTTGATTGGACATTTTGCATGAAATGCACGACGCATGATGCGGGCACATGCCTGCTTGTATTTAGCTACTATTACATACCCATGGCTAAATGACCATTGCTCTCTGATACTCAAACCCCATTTCCCTCATAACCACGTAAGCAGCTCCTACAAGGTAGGACCTCGGGCGAGCCTCAGTCTAGATAAACGGCGGTCACTCGCGCGGTGACATACTGCCAGACAAATATCGATAACATGGAAGGTGCACTTACTTACCTTCAACACACAATATTCCTCAGAACAAATGAACCTCTTCGCCTTCGGTTCCAACGGCTCCGGCCAACTAGCCTTGGGCCACAAAGAAGACGTCTCTTCTCCAGCAAAATGTCTCTTCTCCTCCCCCACCATTCCAGACGATGAGATCGTCCACATCGCCGCTGGTGGGAACCACACTCTCCTTCTCACAACGCGGGGTTGTGTCTATGCAGCGGGGTGTAATTCCGACGGGCGATGCGGACCCGAGCCCCCAGCCTCGTTCCAGAACGAGAATCTCGAGGGTTCCATTGACGGCGACGATCTACTCCGCTTTCGCCGGGTTATCCTCACAGACCCAGAGACTGGGGTCCCCGTTGAACTCTTCAAGTGTATTTCTGCGACGTGGGAAGGGTCTGTTCTTGTCGCCGTGAACCCGTCAATTGCAAATGAATCGGATATAGTCTTCGTTCTGGGCTTGTCTCCAAAGGGCGAACTTGGTCTTGGAGCTGACGTTTCTGCGACGCATGGTACATCTCTTCCACAACTGCGGGGAACTAGTATTAGAGCTCTAGCGAGCGGGATGGGCCACTCGGTGGCCATTCTTTCGAGCGGAGATGTCTTCGGCTGGGGCGGGGCGCGGAAGGGCCAACTTGGTGATTCTCTCAAGAGCCAGAAGATTGCATGGACGCCCACAAAAGTCGAGGGGATTCCGTTCCGCGCGACGGCAGCTGTATGCGGACGTGAGTTTACGGTTGTGTTTGGACAGCGCGAGACTGGGGAGTTTGTGGTTCTTGGGGATCGGGCGAATCGGTGGGGTGTTATGGATGTTCCTTCTTTGAGTGGAAGGGGGTATAGTGATATTGGGGCCAGTTGGCATGGGATCTATCTACATGCTATTTCGAGGGAAGAGAAATCTGCTCCTCCTGTTATTGCTTGGGGCCGCAATGATCGTGGTCAACTTCCACCTCCCGGTCTGCCTGAGCCTGTCAAGATCGCTGTTGGTAGCGAGCATGTTCTTGCGCTTTTGGAGGGTGGTGTGGTTGCGACGTTTGGTTGGGGCGAGCATGGGAATTGCGGGCCTGATACGGATGAGAGTGGGAATGTGTCCGGCACGTATAATGTGATCTCGTTGCCGGATTCCGTGCGCGCCGATGGTGCGAGTGTCACTGGTGTTGGAGCAGGGTGCGCGACAAGCTGGTTGATTGTGAAGTGATGGAGCATATCAGGGTGTTTCTATACACTTTCTGACACCCGAAACGATCTGGATCATCGGGATACCATCTTCTCAATCGAAGAGACCAAGCCCACGAACCTACACAGCGTTAGCTGGACCCGACCAAACCGAGAGGTATGCCATACCTGTGACATGCGCTGTGTCGGCGGAACGCCCATTTCATCTTTGGGAGGTCGACGACGCATATCAGCCATCTTGGGGAAATCAGGCTCCGCTTCTTGGAGAGTCGGCTCGGAATTATCCTGGATTTTATCAGCCGCCAACCTTTGGACAGATCCAGACGAGTCACAAACCTGTCTGCCCGACGCATCCCATCCAAGAATATCTTGCGGCTCCTCCTGCTCCTCCATTTCATCCCACTGCCGATCATCATCGGCCGGCACAAACAGACTATCATAGTCCATGGACACCGACGATGCAGAAGGCCGATCTGACGCTGCAGTGGGAGCAAGGTGCTCCTGTGTGGAGGACCCATTCAGCGGACGAATAGGTCGACTCCGCGGCGGGGGCGGCGGCATCTGCGTACTGGGCGTCACGCCGCGAGGAGTATTTATTCTACTCACAGAGATGGGCGCAGGCGTCTGCCGCTGCGAGAGCTGCGGCATTCCGACTCGAGATGAAGCTGGTGCCGTCTCGCCTTCTACCTCGCCCCTTGTCATGATAGTGAACTCGGCATTGACGCCTTCGAAGTCGTATGCCAGCTGCAGAGGCTTGCAGGGCTGTGTATAGCGCGCTGTGACTGTGGCGTTGGCCGTCTCCGCGTGCGCTACGACGGCTTTGAAATCCTTCAAGTTGATTGCGATGTGCATGTTGTCTTCGATGAGAATCTCTTCGAAGTCTCGTTTGTCCGCGGCCACGGAGGTGTGCACAGGGTATTTAAGGACCTCTGAAACGTTGTCAGGTACGAACTTCGGGAAATTCAGAGTCTGTCATACCTTTTCCTTCCATAATCTTTGTCGTAAAGCTCGTAAACACTGCCTTGCCAGAGTCGGAGTACATATCCAGTTGCTCGGCTGATAAGCTAAAATGGTCAATGATCTGTCTCAGAAAGCGTGGATCCGCAATCCATTGGTTCGTTGCCCTACTCCTGTCGAATACGGCATGCTGGATTGACGCCGGTTCGTAGGTGAGCTTATAGGATTTGATTACACCTAATGAGGTCAGATATCGAGTCAATGATGGAGGCAGGCGAATTTACCAAGCCCACAGATCATTTTGACAGTTAGCCGGCACTCCGTTTCCTGCGGATCTTCGTGGAGTTCCATGTCGCAGCGCTCCACGGCCGTGTCCTTGTTTCGGTCAACTCTTCCTCGGAAGACCGACAGAAGCGCCTGAGTAGATAGTCAGATGAAGCAATCACTGCAGAGCTTCGGGGATAGTTACCTTGAGAAGAATTTGGCAATAGAACCGGTCTCCTGCAGTACTGCTGCTCGAAGACCGAATGTCTCTGCGGACATTGAACGAGTACGCCTCGAAAAACGGCTCTCTCTCACAGACAAAGGAGGCGAACGCCGTCTTGGTCGAGTTGAGGGCACTGAGTCGAAGCTGCACACGTTGCATCAGCGAGAGTATTTGAACTGCCCAATTACACAAGCCATACCAGATCATGCTCGGCCTCAATGGCGACGGTGTCGCTGAACTTGGACAGGCATATCAGCACGTCGTGCAGCCGCACCAAGGCTGGCGGCGCCAGGGATAACGTCAGAGATGACATGACAGCTGGAAACGTGGGATATCCGGTGCAAGTCCCATCTACCTGGATAGCTGTAGCACAAATGGACTCGTCGCTCGAGAATCGCGTCGCTGGGACGCGGTCAAACGCGGGTTACATAAGCCACTTATCTCTAAAATTGGAAGTCTATTAAACTCCTATCCAAGTTGTTGGATGATAGGGTCATAAAGTCTGATCTCATTGGAAAAGCTATCTATGCGGTGTCTTAAGCAATCGCTCTGGTCACACGTGTAGTCATCATATGCTTCTGTGGGTGCTAGCCACCCAACACCAGTAGTGTGGTAGCGATACTAAGCCGTCCATCACCTTCCCTCCCCTTTTTCCTTTTATTTGTCTCAAAATTTTAGAATTCCTGGACCGCCCAAATCCGTTCAGCAATGCCCTTTAACTCTTGTTGTCCGATGCGAATATCGACTTCAGCTGGGGATGATCTTGGTCGTCGAAATAAGAGGTGAAATGGGAGAATGAGTGGAAATGCCGAGACTGTAACTCTTTCTCCATTTGGATCCTCCGCAATAGTAATCTGCTGGACCCGCTGGGATTGCTGGTTTCGCCGTTCCCACTTATCAATTGTGATCAATGGCTTTTTCCGATTGACCCTCAGAGTTATCACGATATTGGCATTTCCTCTATTCGGATCAAGCCAAAAGTCCACATCTTGCTGTAGCTTTGCTGGCGTCTCTGATACTGCAACCTCTAGGGCGATAGTGGGCTTGCGGGCATAACCGGGGGGCGGTCTTATAGGACCCCATCCATGGTCTGGCTCCTTTCCCCCATCGCCAGCTTTAATTGTTACCCCTGAAAAGGTCTGGATGGCTTTGTGGAGATTCATTGGCTCAAGCGCCTCAAAAATTGCATCGTGAAAGGCCGTGGCTGCTTGAGAATGCTCCAGGGTAACCATCTTGACCAGGAGAAGGCCCTTTGTGATATCAAAAGAGGAACAACGAAATGGAAAACGCTCCACGTTCGGATTGAGGATGTCGTGTTCAAGAGTCGACGAGTCGATGTCGAAAAGTACGTATTCTGTGGCGTTATCATCTGAGTGAGATTGTGGATGGTCTGAATGGAGAAGGCACGTGGAAAGTTGAAAATGGTCGAATTCAAGGTCCATCACCCGACGGACTTGTTCTCTCCCTTCATATGAATACCTCCTGATTGATGAAGGTAGATTCTCAAGGAACCCTGGGGAGCTATCCCTATCATATTGGGTAGAATAAAGACCGTTCGACATTTTTACGTGGCCAGCACTTGATGGCAATCTCGAGGAATTAATGGAAAAAGAGGTTTCTAGGTTGATAATTGCCTTTTAAGAGCTTCGGTTATCTCATCGTGACAGCACGGCACTTGAAAGAAACTCTATCTGGCATTGCATTGCCGGTGAATTAGTGGGCTGTTGCATTGGTCTTCTCCACACTTGGCCCAGTAACAAATCGTCACAATATCGTCTGTGTTGACCCGCATATGGGCAACCTCATAGTTTATTTGCTAATTTAGCTTCATCAGGCCATTTTTGGCGTACGCGTCTCTTTTATTCAAAGGCACGGCTATCGTCGGGAACATTCCAGCGAAGTGGATCCCGATAAGCACTATCAGAGTTTCACCCCTCGCTGTCAATCGCAGGGCGCAAGGCGTAGGAAGCACAACATCGAAACAAAGCTGTAAATGGCGTTGCGCAATTATATCGTAACGAGGAATATGCAGTTAGGAAAATATGCAAGATTTGCATTTAGTATATTCTCCCAAGGGAGTCGTTTTCCTTATGTTCATTGGCTCCATGCCCGATGGCAAAAAAACCTAGAAAGCATTCCCGCTCGGCGAAAAACTTTTTCGGACCGGGGCTCATAAAGGAGGGTGGCCCGGGGCAAACCGCCAGAACTTATAATAACCTGGTCTTGACCTCTTCTTCAATTCTCTTTGGTGGTTTAATACTAACAACAATCAAAAGGTATGGCACATCCCACAATTCTGTTAAGAAACTCCAATTCCGGAACTCGGGTTAACACCGTGACTCATACCAGATCATCTCCAAACACCCTTAATCTATAAAGAGGGAATTGTTGCAACTAGCCAATTCCGTTGGATTTATCTGATTATTTTAAACCCTACCATCAACTATGGGTTCCGTCTCCCCCAATGTGGCCGAGCTTGATGGCTCCAACTTCAACGTCACCCGCTCCACCAACCTCCGTGATGTGCCTCTTCCTGGCTCTCCCGAGGAGATGAGCCACTCCTACTGCACTGACCACATGGTCACTGTGCGATGGACTGTTGCCAATGGCTGGGAGACTCCCGAGGTCAAGCCGTACCAGAACCTCAGCATCCCGCCTACTGCATCCGTCCTTCACTACGCCACCGAGTGCTTCGAGGGGATGAAGGTGTACCGTGGCTACGATGGCAAGCTGCGCCTGTTCCGCCCCGACTGCAATGGCGAGCGTCTGAACAACAGTTCCCAGCGTTCTTCGCTGCCCGGGTTCAAGTACGACGAGTTGAAGAAGCTGGTTGCGAAGCTGATGCAAGTTGACGGACCTCGTACGTACCACCATGATCGGAAGTTGAAAAGCATTGTACTGACTCGCAAATAGGCTGGCTTCCCAAGGAGCGTCCCGGCTCATACCTTTACATCCGCCCCTCCGTCATCGGTAACGGCCCTCACCTCGGCGTCCAGGTCCCCAAGGAGGCGCTTCTTTTCATTATTGCCGTCCCCTGGCCCGATTTCACCAAGATGAAGAAGGAGGGCGAGACTGAGCCCAAGAAGGGCTTGAAGCTGTTTGCCTCCACTCCCGACTCCGTCCGTGCCTGGCCCGGTGGTTTCGGTTCGGCCAAGCTCGGTGCCAACTACGGTCCGTCCCTGCAAGCCCACGGCAAGGCTCAGGCTCAGGGCTTCGACCAGATCCTGTGGCTGTTTGGCGAGGACCGCCAGGTCACTGAGGCCGGTGCTAGCAACTTCTTTATTATTTGGCACAACGCCGATACTGGCCGCCTGGAGCTTGTCACCGCTCCTCTGGAGAACCAGCTCATTCTGCCCGGTGTTACTCGCCGCAGTGTTCTGGAGCTGGTGCGCGATCGTCTGTCGAAGCAGTCTGTGGGAAGCTTGCAGCCGCTGCAGGTTTCAGAGCGCACTTTGACTATTTCGGAGATTGAGAAGGCTGCTAAGGAGGGCCGCATCGTTGAGTCTTTCGTCTCTGGCACTGCTGTATGTTTTGCTGTTTTTCCCCCCCTTGATCATCGACATTTATTAACATCCTTAACAGTACTTCATCACTCCCGTTGCTATGATTCGCAACAACGACACCGATATCAGCACTCTGGGCAAGAACGGCGAGCCTGCTGGTTATGCTGCTCTGATCAAGTCCTGGTTGGAGGCCATCATGTTTGGCAAAGAGGAGCACGAATGGGCTTACGTCGTTGAGAACGAGGAGAAATAGACGGCTGCGACTGCATTTTTTTGATGATTTATGGGATCATGTATATAGACTTCAGCTTCTCATAGAAACAGGCTTGAGCTTGTTATTTACCTAGATATTTTATAGCCTATGCGGTTTACTCTTCCTTGTTTCTTTTTGCTTGTAGTATGTCATGTATTGGTTTCCAATTATGCGGATGGGGAATCATCTATTATGTACATCAAAATCATTAAAAGGAATAGATCCGGATCTTAGTATCTCATGTCGTCGATGTCAGGTGTGCCTTCATCTTCAACCTCTTCTTCCGGCATGGTGTTGCCTTCGTCCAGATCAACGACGAGGGGGGCATACTCGCCCGTTTCCTCATCCTCGTCGTTATCGTCCATTTCCATTTCGACTTCTTCGCCGTCCTCCAGTTGGAGCATTCCCCGTCTGACAATAGACTCGCGCTTCAACTCCCAGTCGTACTCTTCCTTCACCCATGCCTCCAGCTTGTCGAGTTCGGCCTTGACTGTTGAGCCGGCTCCATTCTCAACAACTTCATCCACAGATCGTCGAAGCTTTGTGAGCAGGTTGCGCAAGAAGGCTCCACCTTCATCGCCGTCAATCTCGAAGAGACCGCCTTCGACATCATCGCACCGCTTCAGCTGCCGCAAAAGTAAGCGAACCACCTCGCTCATGAATTCTTCTCTGTCAACAATCGCTCGACGACAAGTTAGGATAAGCTCCAGAAGCCGCTTCCACTGCTGGAGGCATGAAAAGTTCATCATGGTCAGAACCATCAGGAAGGTGAACTGTAGCTCCCCCAGAAGCTGTGATTCACCGGTTCGCTCATCAACTGTTATCTCGCCAGTGACCGAACTAGAGTACACGAGGATCAATTCTCCCAGAGCCCAAGAGCGGTCCTGGGCAGCTTCGGTCCTTTCGCGTCCAATGGCTCCCTCTCGCCAAGTTCGCTTAAGATCAACCGGAAGGAAACCAAACTCCCTTTCTTGTTCTCCGCTGGTCTCTGCTTTTCCATCTTGTCCTTCCGCTGGTTGATCGAGCCCAGGGATATGATCCGCATCACGGTTGGCAGTACCGGCAGACGTCACCATCCACCGCGGATGGCCATCGACGTCCAGCTCCGCATTGCCAATAACGCGAGACAGCAGACTGGGCGATATCCGGTCGGTAAGCTGTTGCCAATCCCTGCGTCCGCTTTCCTCGGGTTCCGTATCCTCTTCCATCCGGGGTGCCTCATTCTGCGTTGAACCGGATTGATTAGACAGCATGGCCGGCGACACGCGGCTTCGGTATCGGAATAAGCCACCATTCTGCCAGACCGCACCCAGGTTCGCCTTGTAGCGCATGGCGGCCTGACTGTCTAGATCGCTGTCGGCTTTCAGCGAAGCAAGTGACTCAGTGTCGGAATTCCATTTCCAGATATAGATCTCCGGCCCTGGTCTTTGGTTTCGTGTCACGAGCGCGTTGTCATTGCCTCCTATCCCAGCCTTGCCGATATCACCGACGTAGAACCATGCTCCACAGCGAAGGGAGAGGCTCTCTGTTGTACCGGTGTACAAAAAGTGCCAACCTTCGGGTAAATCCCGGATTCCATGGAAGTTGGCCGTTGAGGTGAAGGTGATTAGGTCGATCCCGACCAGCGTCTTCGGCGGTAGACCGGGGAGGAGGATAGTCGGAGACGGCTGGAGTGGTGAAGCCATCATCCCTTGTCGAGATACTGGATCTTTGATTGTTGCGACTGATGTAATATCGGAGGCTATGGAAGAGCCGGATTGGTGCAAGCAGGGTTCAGGAAGTCAGCTTGAAAAATTGCCCGGCGGGAATGGTGCGGAGCTGATGTGAGTCCTTGGCAGGCAGCTGCAAATCCTTAGGATTGTGGCATGTTATTGCCTATTTGACAAGATGCTTATGATGGTATCTTCGCGGGCTGTGAGCTGAGGTGGTGGAGTTGAAGTGCGGTGTTGAAGCAGCTCACTTTTCCATCCCCGGGATAGCTCCCCGCACCGGCTTCTTGCGGCTACTGCCATGGGCACGAGTTTGCAGTATTCACCAGATGTATTGCATTATCTTGGTCCTTTGTTTGCACTTTCGTCCGATGAGTCTAATTGAAATGGTAATTCAAGGTATTAATCTCAAATTGGTCAACTACAAATGCTACAATCAAATATCAAATGACGGTTTACGAGGAAAGAAAACCAAAATTAACTCAGACAAGTCATTGATTGAGTCGTCACAAAAGACTTCCTAATCCATAAACTAAAACTGAGCACGAGCTTTTGAGGGCATTGAAATATCTGAAGACCAGGCGATAAAGGCCGTTCCTCGCGTTTATTCCATCCACAGTTGCAGGTAGACCCCGCTGGTAGCCTCCAATCCATCCACGCAGTATCGCAGGAGGACGTGAAAGACACACCCGCACACGTCTACAGACGGCGACCACGGCGACCACCCTTGCGACGAGTAGAGTCGGAGGGGGTGGGGGTGACATCCTCAATGCGACCAATGCGCATACCGGCACGGGCGAGGGCACGGAGGGCAGACTGGGCACCAGGACCGGGGGTCTTGGTGCCGTTACCACCGGTGGCACGGATCTTGATGTGCAGAGCGTTGATGCCAAGCTCCTTGCAGCGGGCAGCGACGTCCTGGGCAGCCAGCATGGCGGCGTAGGGGGAGGACTCGTCACGGTCAGCCTTGACCTTCATACCACCAGTGACACGGGTGATAGTTTCACGGCCGCTGTGTAAGAAAGAAGTTGTCAGCAAACGTAATCCAGACCCTGGGTTATTGAACTCCCCGCGGCTCCGAGTCTCGTCGAATCGGTCGTGAGAGCGCAGAGGTTCAGAAGCAATTGCAGGGAACGTACGAAAGATCGGTAACGTGAACGAAGGTATCGTTGAAGGAGGCGAAGATGCGGGCAACGCCGAAAACGAGCTTGCCTGTTCCATGCGCACACTAGTCAGCCTCATGATCACGAACAGGGAATATTTTTGTCCAACATACCATCACCGGCGAGGGGGCCGAGGGAGACGTTCTCCTTGGCAGCGGGAGCCTTCTTGGGGGGGGGCCATTGCGACTGTGGTGTTGGGGGTTAGTGGATGGAATATGAAAAAGAAGAAATCAAGTCGAGTCCGGCGGTTGATCTTTGATCAAAAAAGTGGGTGTGTGCCCTAGCGAGTATTGTCTGTGATTGGCTGAGTGGGGGAACAGTAAGCGAGTTGCCTGAGGCACGAGTAAACCCGGGATCGCGGTCGGTCCGCGGGCGGTGAGCGCTCCTGTTTCGCTCGCCTATTTAAATTTTCTTCCGTCGCCCGTCACCACTACATTCTCAGCAATGCGATTGATCTTCCAGAACTCAAAGGATCCAGTGGAAAGCTGGGGCGTGACGTCTGAGAAGTCTCATATCATCGACTCATTCTATTATACTAACCACACTCTGCTGTGATCAGCTGTGAGAGCTTCGCAGTAACTGCCCGAGAAGTGGGCGTGAGTGGTTGCCGGAATGGGACGCACCAAAGAAGATGCCTCGATTGGCATCATCGGTATGGGTGACATGGGCAAGATGTATGCTCAGCGCCTGAGTGACGCCGGATGGAGGTAAATTCAGCCTTGTTTCTCCGTTGTCGATCTGCATCGTCAGTGATGCACGAGAAGGTAAGCTTTGGACTCCTTTTCCCCTCATTCCCACCCCTTTCGAATGATGACTTGAGTGCATTTGGCTCGAGTACGGCCCGGGAGGAGACTGCCTAACCATTCTGGCGGTGGTCGAGCTCCGGACTGTCGATGATGTGAAACCCTCGCTACCTTACTTTACTTGTCTGAAAGTTCTTTGAACTTAACCATTCTGTCTCGCTCTACCATTGCTCTTTGGAACATATGCTAATGAGTGAATACAATAGTAACAACGTAACTGTTCTTCTCGTGCGAAAAAACTCGAAAGGAATACATCTTTACTAACGTTATATTATTTCAAGAATCAACGCGTGTGATAGGCCTGAGAATTATGAATCTCTACAACAAGAGTTCGCTTCTCAAGTACGTCTCCCGCCAGGGCCATATCGCCCAGAAACTCATCGTATATAGCAAGGAGTCACCATATTCCCGAATGGCCATCTCGTTTCCAGAATTAGCGATTTCATTCTTTACAGTGTAGAGGCCGGCGTCATCGACCGTGTCGTGGCACAGTACGGGCCCTGTATGTTTCGACCCATTTCAATTCAGGCTGCTGCCATTCTACACATGACCAGTATATCTGACTCGTTGAAAAAAAGCAACCAAGGTCGGCGCCGTCGTCGGCGGCCAAACCTCATGCAAGGCCCCGGAACTTGCAGCATTCGAAAAGCACCTCCCTCAGGATGTAGAGATCGTATCATGCCATTCGCTGCACGGCCCCAAAGTTAACCCGAAAGGGCAGCCACTGGTAGGAGCTTACCCTCCAGTCCGATTTCATGCCATCCCGGTCAGCCCTGAATAACGCGTGTCATAGGTCCTGATCCAACATCGTGCCTCGGACGAAAGCCTTCAATTTGTCGATCGGATCCTCTCCTGTTTCGGTTCGAAGCATGTCTATCTCACCGGTGAGATGCACGATCGTATCACCGCGGATACCCAGGCCGTTACCCACGCTGCCTTCCTGAGTATGGGAACCGCATGGCAGGCAAACGAGCAGTTCCCATGGGAGATCTCACGGTGGGTTGGCGGCATTGAAAATGTCAAGATCAACATCACTTTGCGCATTTACTCCAACAAGTGGCACGTCTATGCGGGTCTCGCCATTCTTAACCCCCCGGCCAAGCAGCAAATTCGCCAGTATGCCGAATCCGTTACGGAACTTTACAAGCTCATGATCGGAGGACACCGGGAGGAGCTCAAGCGGAGAGTCAAGGCCGCCGGGGCTTCGGTTTTCAAGGAGGGCACAGCCGGTCAAGATCTCTTGCTGAAGGATGAGGTTCTCGATAAGTTCTCTCTATCCAAGAGGTCCCGCGAGAAAGCGCCTCCAAACAGCCATCTGAGCCTGCTTGCCATTGTCGACTGCTGGTCCAAGCTTGGTATCGTTCCCTACGACCATATGATCTGTTCGACTCCAGTAAGTCTACTATCTAGAGATTTTATATTCTCTGGCATACGTTCTAATATGAACCAGCTCTTCCGCCTGTGGCTGGGTGTGACTGAATACTTGTTTCGCAACCCTGACCTCCTCGATGAAGCGTTGGACACCGCGATTGATGACAATAACTTCCGTTCCGATGACCTGGAGTTTACCTTTGCTGCGCGGGTAGGTCTCCACACCTCTTTTACATTGCTCCATATCTCTAGTATATACTAACGCATACCCAGGCATGGTCTGACTGTGTTTCATTTGGTGACTTTGAGTCCTACCGTGATCGCTTCGAGCGGATTGCATCATACTTCGCTCCTCGCTTCGCCGAGGCCTCGACGCTTGGCAACGAAATGATGAAAACGATCCTGGAGAAGACAAGCAACAATCCTTAAGCTACCTGTCTAACGGGGGTGTATGATAATTATAGTCCCTTTTCTTCTTTTTTCCCCTGCGTGTGATATGTACCGCTGTATGATAAGATGCCAGGGGCGTGAGGCGTACAATGCTTGCTTCACTATCGAACATTAGGTGCGAGTCGGAGTTTATTCAGGATATGAACGCTGATTAAAAGGATTTTCTTAATTTGGGGGAAGGTTTCCACCTTGTCTAAATTCGATATTTGGTTCCTATGAATCTAACCTTCAATTCAAGCTTGACTCGTGTTGTTGCACCTTAGCCTAGAATTCACAGTTTGGTTAATCCCTCATTCAAAGCACTTGCTGCATAATCCTGTATATTTCCATACCATTAATTGATAGATTAGTCAAAAGCAACCCTGGGAAGGTGAGTAAATGCCATGTAACATGGCAGGTATGTTGTGTGAACGCTTCTTGGAATGGATCAAGGCACCTTAGTCATCCACGTGTTTCGCGATCAGGCTGAACCGAGCCAAGTGGGACAATCGACAATCGCGCTGATCGTGTGTCCTGGTGATTTTCCAGGGCTTCACTTTTGTCAAGTCCCGGTCAGTTGTGATGGCAGTTGCTGTTGCTCTCTGATCATTTGTGACTGCAACTCGTGACTGCGGAGAAGCACCCCCTCCCTTTACGCTTCTTCCCCATATTCGAGCCCTTGCTCCGCCGACCTCTTCCACCCCAACCCCAATGCAGCCCCTCGATACCTGGGACATTTGCCACAGGTGATAGACAGCCCCGTGGCTTGATGGAGCTCCATGGCTTCCGGACACAACTCAGCGTTCTCCGCGTCCCTCCAACACCGCGTCTTGGGTGATGGGCGCTCTTCATTCAGTCAGGACGGTGGCTCGGCGGACGGGAGCTGGAACGATGCGGTCCCCAGATCAGGGCGCAATGGAAGATCTGGCTCTGGAGGTAGTGCCACTACGGGCGGGCGAGGAGCGTCGCTAGCCCCGTCCTTTGGCGGGCCTGGTAGCTTCAGCGCGGAGCTCCAGAGCATGAGTTCACGGAGTGTCACGCCGCGCCCCGACGGTACCTACACGAGACGAGCCAGCAAATCGATTGGCGAATATGACCTACATACGACCGAAGAGCGACAAGCGGTGATTCGAGATAAAATCGCGAAGGAGATGAAGATTAAAACTGGAACGGAAAACATGTTGGAGGCACTGTTGGCAAAGCCCCCAAAGCAGACCAAGGATCAGCGTATACGAGTGGAATCGGAACTGAGCACATCCAACCGCAAGCTGGCCCAGCTGCAACATGAGCTGGAAGAGGAGCTGCTTCGTGCGCAGGCGCCATCTACAACGCCCCCGCGCAGTCGCATTTCAAGCCTCTTCCGAAGTAGTCCTATGCGCTCGCCATCGCGGAACAACAACTTCCCAGAACCTGTTGACGAGGAACAACAGGAGTACGAGGAGGGAGATATGGAGTCGCCAACCTATGTTCTTACCGAAACACTCCAGGCCCTAGAGATCGAGGGCATGTCTCCCGATTTCTACGTCGAGCGCGCTAACAACTTGGTTGAACTGTTCAAGCGGCATCCTACGCTAAAATACGATCTCGCATGGCCTGTTTTTGGCTTGCGCGTTCAAGTAATGCTTCTCAGCGACAGCAAGGAGGTGGTGGCTGCTGGTTATCGGCTTACCCGCTACGCCATAGCGGATCGAAAGTCCCTCCAAACGATTCGAGCATTGCATACCGATGAGCTCGTTATTTTGTCTCTCGTCAAAGAGAGCAAAGCCAGCATTGAGAGGGAGCAAGCTCTCAAGTTTGTTAGAGCCTTCCTTGATGTCAAAGATGGCGTCAAGGAGATATCACATGCTATTGTGCGCACAATAGTCTCCATTGCTGAACATCACGAAGACCGTCTGCGGAACATATCAATCATGACCCTTGCGGAGATGCTGGTCAAAGATCCCGAGCTCGTTGCTGCGGCTGGCGGTTTTGCTGCTTTGCACGATGCTTTATCCGAAGGCACATTTGGCGCTTCAGAGAGTTTAATCTCAAGCTTCTTACATGTCCTGGACACTCCACGCAGTCGAAAGTACCTTCAGGGGTGTGAACTAGAAGCCGTCCTAGCGCCCTTTACTGACTCCTTGGCTGATTCTCTGCGTCATGGCCGGTTAAAATCTGCAGCGCGTGCGATCTCTGCAATGCTCAAAACGTGGCCGGGCCTTGTGATTCTGGCAAGAAATGGGGCGCAACCACTCAAGTCTCTTCTTGAATCACTCCACTACCCTGATCCTCAAGCTCGCGATCTCCTTATGGAGCTCTTATTCGATGCCTTGCGGATAAAGCCACCATCCTGGTCATCGTCATTCCTTGCGGGTAGAAGACTCACGACATACGGAAGAGTCTCAAACCTGCGCGCTGAAACTGAATCGAAACTTACCCGCGAATTCTCCGACGCCAGTAGTAACAAATTCGATCTCACAGCACACTTCTCGACCCTCATATTGGCAGCTTTGATCGCAGCCGGGCTTCCAAAGGTATGCGATATTCCCAATCCCGGATAAGAAACAGACGCTAATCAGGTGCAGGCACTGTCGGATCTCATTGAAGATGAAACGGATCCCTCCCTCCGACGCAAGGCCACTCTCCTCTTGACCGAAGTACTCAAACTTGCTCATCACTCGTTGCCGTCAAGCGTCAGTGCCAAACTTCAAGTTCTTCCCCATCTTCTTCCTCCCGCAATCCAACATGACTTCGAAAATCATGACGTCTCTACCTCGACCATCTTTCAAATCGAGAGCATCAACCGAACACTGGCACGCTCTGGAGGCCTTTCCAATGGTGCAGGCCGATACATGGATGCCGAAATATCACTTTCTCTGCTACCTGGTGAGCAAGGCAAAGACAAGCTGAGCCCATCCATGGACGAGCAAACATTCCGTAATGCAATATTGGAGACCCATGTGTTGAACACGGTCAACTACATCAAATGGAAGTGGGACCTCATCCATCGCCTTGTTGAGGGCCCTCTCACAAACCCCAAACGCATGGACGAGGCCATCAAAGGTTCCAAGTTCATGAAGCGTCTCATTGGGTTCTACCGACCTTTCAAATATCGATTTGCGATGGTCCCGATTTCAAAGGCGAACCAACGCTATGTCCGAACAGGTTGTGCGTTGATGCGGACCCTGGTCCAAACATCCGAGGGTACCAAGTATCTGGCCGAGAACAAGTTTCTGCGGCAAGTAGCAGAATGCCTGGCGCAGCTTGACCGCATGAGCGGTTTGACATCTACTTCGCCCCTCTTTTCGCGCGAGCAAATGGCCAATACATTGAGTGGAGGCTACTTTGCGATGCTGGGGACGCTGAGTGCCGATGCAAATGGGCTTCTCATGATGGAGAGATGGCATATGCTGAACATGTTCTATCATATCATCGAGCTTCAAGACCGGAATGATCTTATCCAAACCCTTCTGGGGAATATGGACTACAGTCGAGACAGCCACCTCCGAGTCATGCTTTCCAAGGCTCTCACAATTGGCTCGAAGGATATTCGCATATTTGCAACCAAGCTCCTCCGAAAATATGCCGTTGGAGACGTTGCCGTCAGTCCACATGTGGCTATTGGCAACGCTGAATGGGTCGTGAAGCTCCTCGTGACTCAACTTTACGACCCCGACGTCACGGTCTGTCAGGTAGCTGTGAAGATCCTCGAGGAGGCATGCAACCAGCGTGACTACCTAGAGTTCGTGGTCAAATGCCGCCCTTCTCTTGATCACCTCGGGGAGATCGGCGCACCGCTACTCCTGCGCTTCCTGTCAACCTCCGTCGGCTACCATTACCTAGATGGCCTGGACTATATTACGCAGGAAATGGATGACTGGTTCCTCGGTCGAAATGACTCGTACGTCGCCCTTGTGGAAGCGGCTCTGTCTCGAGCCTACATCGATCAGCCACGACGGAGCAGTCTTGCACCTGAGGACTTGGTGGATATGCAGGATGTCGGAGTCGTTCCACCCCATTTCTACCGAGAACTCGCTCGGACAGCCGAGGGCTGCAAGCTGCTGGAGCAGTCCGGGCATTTCAATGAGTTTGCTTGGACGATTCGGGACTTCCGTCTGGAAGAGGAAGATACTGAGGTGCTTCTCAAGGTCAAAGGATGTCTCTGGGCCGTGGGCAATGTCGGATCTATGGAGCTCGGTGCGCCATTCTTAGAGCCTGAGATCGTGCAGCGAATCGTGGCGATTGCCGAGAGTGCCGGTGTGCTGACCATGCGAGGCACTGCCTTTTTCGTCCTGGGATTGGTCTCTCGTAGCAAGCATGGACTGAAGGTTCTGCGGGAGCTGGGATTGGACTCTGCTATTGACTCGGAAGGAGATTCGCTGGGTCTTTGTCTTCCTACCGACTTCCGCACTCTGTTTTTGGTATGTATCTCTTTCTATCTCGGGTATTCCCAGCGCCGACTAACCTGTTTAGATTTCCTTTCCTGGCTACAATTCCGAGGCCAAACGAACCCCACAGGACAAACTAAAGGAGGCCACCACAGACTCGGACCAGACCAACCAGAAGATCTTGAAACTGATTGTGGATATGGGGAATACTGTTCTATCGAAGCGATCGGCAGCAGACCTGCACAGGTAATATCTCTCCCAAGTACCTTTTCTCAACACAAACGCTGACTTCTGATAACTATAGCATCAAATCCAAGCAGCCTGAACGATTCCACCAAGTCCATCTTTTCCGCAAAGCGCTCTGCATCCTTGAGAGTCATCATTTCCGGTTGCCAGCACGACGTTTTGCTCTAGACCTTTTCGACAAGAGCGTGATGCGGCGAATCGTTCTCGAGGACGAATCCGATAGCTCGGATTCGGACTCGTCAACATGAGTCACAATATAACTCCTCCTCTTCTTCTTCCCTCCTGCATCTCGCAATGCATTACCACAAACGTGACTCATGCCATGCACCGATTTACTTACACAAGGTCAATCTATCGCGACCATGGGATTGGAAAACTTGGACCCTTCGGTATGACAAGCAAGTGACGGTGCAATCTGGCTTTTTCTTCTATTTACTCGAGCATCTGTACCTGGCATGGCGGCGAATCTTGGAAATGAGACATGAATGATATCAATTGCATGCTTTGCGTAACGATAGTGGCTGTACTGTCGTACTGTCTAGAGGGGCCGTATTGTAGAATCTTGGAGCCAAAGAGTATGAAAGCCACATCCACTCGGGAAATGGTGAAGATATCCCTGTGCACTGAAACTTTTCGCTCGACTAAGATTTCAAGGAAGGGAAACCATCAATCGGGGTATCTGCATTTCCTCACCGTGTTCTTATAGGCGGGAATGGGATGAGTCCACTGGACTAGGGAAAGGACGGCGAGGCTGGAGGGACCGAAAATCGGGGTTTACAGACTCACTTCACACTGACCAAGTTATTGAAACCTTTTCTCTTGTTTTTCAGGTACAAAGTCGAGTCCCTCAAGTAATTCTGTTTCCCTTTCCTTTTTTAAACGCACGCATTCTGCTGATGCATGACGTTCGATTATCTAAAGTTAGACCCACTTTCGATCTCCGACCCACTCCGACAGCTTGACCCGACTCCCCTCTTCAATACTCGATCTGTATCCTATCCTATCGGTCATGGAAAGTGATGCTGCACAGATGACAGACCAAGTATCCCATGTGGAGAGCTCGGAGATGCCCAGTCCCGAGGAACACGGCGCCCGCGATCTCAATGTCCCCCACCTCGTTATCCGCTTGATCCAATGCCAGCACTGTTCGCACCCGCTACATGCGCCGCTCCGTTTGCCATGCGGCAACTCTGTGTGTCGCGCGTGCCTCCCACCGGTCAGGCCTCGTATGGGCATTACATATCCGGTTGCAGAAGGTCGAGAAGAGGGGTTCACATGTTACTGGGAAGGAACGAACAACTGTGTTGGGGAGCATTGTGTCGGAGACTGCGGCGTTGATGTCGTGCTGTGTAATATTGTCGGCATCTTTCAAGAAGAGCTGGCGTGGGATATGACAGCAACCGAGTCCCGCGACCAGCAGGATGATGCGCGAGTCGTTCGCTGGAAAGTCAAACAGCCGGACACAAAGTCTCCTGAACTGCACAACGCTCATATTACCCAGCGTGGCTGGCTACAGGGTCTATACTTGCTGGCGTGGGAGGGCCGGCTCCCCTACAATGCGTATGATATCGTATATGAGAATCCGAGTGCATCTCACGAAGTTGCCGAGCAAGACGGTTCCATGACGCAAGATTGCATTCGCTTCCAGAAACTCAGTGACAGGCTTCGCGCGGAACTGGACTGCCAAGTCTGCTACTCGCTCATACTTGATCCTCTGACAACGCCCTGCGGTCATACTTTCTGTCGCAAATGCGTCGCACGGGTCCTGGACCACACAGATCTATGTCCAATCTGTCGCCGCAAAGTCGGGATGCCCGCTGCAATACATTCTGAGCCGTTGAACAATACCCTTGCATGCCTCATTGACCACTTCTTTGCGGACCAGGTCACAGCTCGCAGAGCGACTCTCGCAGAAGAAGAACTGGGAGGAGATCAGGAAAAGAACCTGCCGCTTTTCGTGTGCACATTGTCTTTCCCAACTATGCCGACATTTTTGCATATTTTTGAGCCTCGGTATCGACTCATGATCCGCCGTGTCGTTGATAGTGGAGATGGTAAGTTCGGCATGGTCATGTACAACCGACGTGGCCGAGCACAAAGCGACGATTTGGGCAGCGTACCGTTCATGGAATATGGAACACTGTTGATGGTCGAGCGCTATGAGCTACTTCCCGATGGGCGCAGTCTCGTGATTGCAACGGGTGTATCGCGATTCAAGGTGCTCGAAGCAGGCGAGTTGGATGGGTACCATGTTGCCAGAACAGAGCGTGTAGACGACCTTTCGCTGGCGGAAGAGGAAAGGCTGGAGGCGACTGAGACAGCAGCGTCTGCAATCCCCGACCCCACGCAAGCCGCAGATGTCGAACCTCCCTTGGAGTCGATGTCGACCCAGGAACTTCTCAACCTGACTAGGGAGTTCATTCGCAAGCAGCGACAAGCAGGGGCACCGTGGCTTCATCCGCGCGTAATGCTAGCTTATGGCCCTGTTCCGACCGATGCAGCCCGATTCCCTTGGTGGTTCGCCAGCATCTTGCCTATCGCCGAGGAAGAGAAATACCCGATTTTATCTGCAATTAGTGTACGAGAGCGACTCAAAATCTCGGCTCGATGGGCAAGGGAGCTAGAGGCTCGAGATTGGTATGCTTTCCCCTTTCAAGTTTGGCGAAATCAGACATCTAACGCCGTTCGTCAGGTCCGCCCGCTCGTCACTCAATTCTGTCTTATGACTAGCCGTACCTCTCCTCGTCCTCTGCATCATTCCGTTGGCATTCAATCCGCTGTCGTCGCTTTTGTCATCAATGACACCCAATGTACTCACGTCACTTACGCCATTTTCCTTTTCGATATCCGTGTCCTTCGGAAGCTCGCCTATGTTCCTGGAAAGCAGCCAGCAGCCACATGAACAAACACAGCCCCGCTCAGACGAACCGTCCGAGACATACATTTCACAAACCCTGGTCATCGGAGTCTTCCTCGCGATTTTCTGCGCGCAAGTGGGGATCAATTTCTTGCAAGTTGTGCGAACAGGGCGACGGAGGAGACAAGCAATGGAACTACAGTTTCCGCAGCCGGTGCCTCCGCAGCCCCGGCGCCAAAATGAACGACCAGAGCCTGTAGCAGACGCTACACCGGCGGGAGGAGGTGATGAAGTGGGCATTCCAGCTCCGGGATCTACGCATGATATTGGATAGTGGCATGCAATATCGTTGCATGCTAGGGGTTCATCCTCAACTTTGCCCATTATCTTGAACATACTATGTTACGCTCTTTACATACTCGATTCCCCTGAGCGCTTTTCTTTTCTGGTACTACAGTTACTTTTGCAACCCTTATGGAGAACTACAGGATTGGTACACAAGAAAACTATTTAATACCTTGCTGGCATACCATTACATTAGAGGAATTACTCTTGACAAACAGCAAGAGCACTGCAGCCTGCATTGTTGGGCTGCGACCTGCCTACGTCTCTCAATTGCTCTTTCTGCCCTTTCTTATTTTCTTCCCACGTGTACAAGTTTGATACTCCAGGTGCAAATCAAAGCGGTTGAACTCGAAGTCCCAGCCGAGGTCCAAAGTCCAAATCCAAGTCAAGGGTCAGGGTCGCAGCCGCGTTCTTGCTACTCTGCCGCGGTCGACGAGACAGAACAAATCTGGAATCACCACCTGGACACGAACGCTTCGACGGTGCTTTAGAATGAAAGAGGGAGAGAGTTTCTTATTTCAAGCTACGGCATAATTCTGCCATGAGAAATGAACATGCAAACCATGAAGATAGGACACACAATCGAGCAGTCACAGGAACCCATTTCCACCAACAGCACCGTAGCGTAGACTCAAAATAGGTATTGAACCCAATGCATGTCGCCACACCACCGCATAATGCTGTGAGAAAAGGACTATAGTGCGCCGCAAGGAAGTAAGTCTACTGTAGCATGTATAAATTAACCCTAAGAGTCAGGTCACACCGAAGATTAGTGGCGCTACGGCAAGGTGGCTTTGCTTTTGCGAATCAAGACTTCCGGGGGCTGTAACAGGTGAATGGTCGAGGCTAGTGCGGCGAGAGGTCGATCTGCCGCTGTTAAGGTTAAGTATTCCGCTAAGCCCCGGCGCGCTACGTTGCGGTCAAGCGCGTTGACCGCATGGGCGGTTGGAAAAGAAGGTTGGAGGGTGTGGACTGTGAACTGGGCGACCAACGTTCAGCGACAGAAATATCCACCCAATGGTCTGATTGTAAAAGCAACAAAGATACGGAGGCGGACAACATATTTGACCCGCACAACATGCGCCGCTCGGATCTGATGGCTTGACAAGCTAATGAGGTGACGTGGATAGGTTTCGGCTGCTTTTCCCGAGCCACTCAGGGGGTCGGGGTGACATCAGCCTTCTCCGACTCAAGTCAAACGACATGGCACAGGGTTGCATGCAGATTGCGATCTGCGATTTTTTTGAGCGCTGGGCCTCAAATCCAGGGCTTTGGATTTTTCGCCCCCTTCGCCGAACCCGGCGCTGCCGAGGGTTCTGGGTGGTTTATCATCTGCGCGATTAGTTACTGTACGATACCATGCATGTTCGCTCGGGATTTGCGAGGTACAGTACAAGGCCCACATCAGCTGCGCCGGGCTCCGATGGCGCTCTTAGCTTATGTAGGCCATCGCCCAGGGCCACAACAAGAACAATATGACGGATGGAGCGGTCATAAACTGCGGCTATGTAAGCTATGTACATACATACAGCGAAGTCCCGGCGGAGCCCCACACATACAGACTAGGGGCATTGAGACCATTGAGACGCAGGGCACTAAAAAGCCGGGAGAATAGCTAGGATGGAAGTGGCAAGAGCTTTGATAATGTCTCCGTGGCGCCGGAGGTGACAAGCCACATGTGAAGCGGGTCTGCATGATATAGTACAGCCACGTACGTCGAGAGAAACATCCCTGTTGACGAGGGCGGTAGCAACCTATATGATCAGCGTGTCTGCTAGGAATAAACGGCTGCTATACAGGGTACCAATGCAACTGCGACGGAGCGTGTCGAGATATAAAAACATCCATTTCGCCAAGATCGAATCGAATAAGCGATGGAAGCATCCGATTGGTCGGAACTGGACCGGCCACTTGACAGCATCAGAAGAGGAATGAAAGGTTTTGCGCTTTTGCATATCTTGCCTTTTTACATTTCTCTTGTGAGTAATGGAGAGTGATTCATGATTCCGCGAATAAGAGAGGCCATCACACGCTGCCGAAATAATAGCGGCGTAGATCGCGGCTTTTGGTCGAGGATGATTTTCCCCGAACGGTCGCCACGCACCGGTAGGCCCAAACCGTCTGTACTGTATCTCGCGGGTGATACCTGAATACGCCCGATTCTATGTATCGTTTGTATCGCTCCGTGTAGCGGCCTGACTCGTGGTGGTTCCGTCAACCAGGGAACTGGGATTCCCCCCCCCCCCACGTCTGCAAGATGGAACACATCTCAGATCAGCCTGTTTAAAAGGAAGGAACAAGCTCCAGTTTGCCACATCGTACATAATCGATTCAATGTTCGAATGTCAATGGTTCATTGAAAGATGAATGTAAATGCGGCAACCGTCTTCCGTCAAATGAGGATCCATGGAAACGGGATGTTCATATCGCACCACATCTCTATAAAAATGGGACTTTTGTTCCGTGTGGCGAGTTGTCAGGCACCGGCCTCGCGAGGACGCAATCCAAATGCGCAAGTCTATCTGATTCGGGAGAAAGACCGCGAATCCTGTAACAGAGTAGCAAATGCGTCTCGGTCTGATCTCTGCAGGGGGCAAACACACGGACAGAGATTCAAACCCGCTCATAATTCAGGCGAAGAAAAAAAGGGTTCTGCGGCGGGTATCAGTTTCTCAGGTTTCAGTGGGCCGTGTGTAGGAGCTGCAGGCCTCGCCCGTGCTCTCAAATGGATTGAGGATCGGCGGGCGCGCCCATCGGAGTGGAAATGACATCGATGCTTGTCCCAAATATCTCTGGGTACCGTCATACAGCCTTCCATCCCCTCCCAAGACCCATCAGGCCCTTGTTTTGGACCGGTATTTCGGGTGTTTCCACCTATAGCGACCACGGTCCAGTGGCTCCTCTCTGGTGCACACCATCTTGCACTGACCGAGCTTCTGACTAGCCTTGTCTCCATGAACACCCTGCCCCGTTCCCTGTCCCGTCCACATGCCACCAACGGCTCCCAGACTGGTAAACTGCTGTATCAACCCTTCCCCAATCACCCGCGACGTTCAATCTTGGGCCACCTGGATACCCTGGTTGTGTGACAATCACCTGGGCCCCCTGCTGTTTGTCACGGACGATACCCCCCTCAGTTGAAACGAATTTTCATCATCTGCATGTCGAGTTTGAGCACCACAATTGATCTCGCGACTGTCGTCCCCGTTCACGTCCCACTCTCAAACACGCAGCCCAGCAAACGGAGCACGACGATCCACAATTGAACGACATGTACATTTCTGCTCTCGACCTACGAGCCCGGTGAGATTGTGAAGATTTCATCCGATGCAATCCGATGGTGTATGTGTGATATAGAACCATAGGCGGAGTGTGTTGCGATGCTCTTAACGGTCCGCTTGTATCTCGCTCCTTGCAACTCATGAGGCGATGAACACAAGAGCTGACTCGTAATTCCTCAGCTCACATCAACATTAATAGGGACTAGATGGCGGTGGATTCGCAATCAGCTGGAAAGGTCACGACGAGACACAATTCCGCCCTTCGCGAGGCTGATCAGTCAGCGGATGAGAGGATGAGCCATCACGACAACTCCAAGCAGTTCCCTGCACTGGCCCCTGGTCCATCTCGTATCTTTGCGCCGCAGCCCGCGATGGCGGTCAATCGGCCAAAAAAGAATTCCACCGCATGTCAAGCATGCAAGCTCGCAAAGAGGAAGGTACGTTGCTCGCCACCCTCTACCTTCGCCAGTTGGCATGACTCGGGGCAAGGTAATATCTTCACCCCCTGAAGAACTCGGCTGACCGTGTTTGTCTGTATGATACAGTGCTCCGGAGTACCCTCCCCTTGCAAGGCGTGCGTGAGCGCCGGCGCAGAAGCCGATTGCCATTTTGATCCCAGTCGAGATTTGCGGCGCAAAGTAGCTGTCAAGCGCACCATAAAAGAGCTCAACGACTATAAAGACTTGTTGGAATCCTTATTGGCAGCTATTCGATCGGAGCCTCTGGACAAACTCAACGATCTCATGGTCTTGATTCGAAGCAATGCCTCGATGAGGGACATCGCCTGTGCCGTGGGAAGCCCCGTCACGAAGTTCACGGATTCAAAGACTCTGTCGACGGCGAGCCTCGCAACGATGTCAGAGGACGGAGACCAGCATTTTGATTCGTCATATATGGAACAACTGGAGACAAAACACCGCCGCCCATCAGGGCCCGATCAAATTCCTATCTTGCCGGAAGAAGACGATCCCAAGGGATCGCCTCGAGCTGCATTTCATCCCTATGCGCGGGTAACCTTGGAAAGTCTCTGCGACATTCCACTATACAAGGTGCCAGCCAGGCCATGGACAGATGTGACGGATGACGATGATTTTGTGTCGCACCTTGTCTCGCTGTATTTCACGTGGGACCACCCATGCGCGCAGTTTCTTGACCAGGGAATATTCATTGACCATATGAAACGGGGTGATCCCGGCTCTCATTTCTGTACACCGCTGCTGGTGAATAGTCTCTTATCGGTGGCAAGCGTAAGTGACTCCTGATTACCCCGCCCTTCGATACCTTCTGACCCAAGTACAGGCTTATTCCGATAGCCCGGATGCATTCTCCAATACTGATGACACGTTTTCACGTGGACAGCATTTCTTCCAAGAGGCAGAAAAATTATGGACTGCCCAAAGAGGCCGTCAGACGTTATCGAACATCCAGGCTTTACTTATGATGTGCAGTGTGTACGTGATCCGTTGTTATGTGTTGATCATGTTTCGTGAATATGGAGCTGAGTCATTTTCACAGGCTATTATCGCAAGGAAAGGTTCGCCAAGGCTGGTTTCTGCTCCGACAGGCGGCCCAAATGGGACAGGACATGGGGTTACTTATGTTGCCGAGGGTCATTCAGCCATCCAGGAAGGATATGGGGCTGTTTGTACTGCCAGGTGTGGCTTGGGCATCCGACGACGAGATCAAGAACGAAGATGAGGACGAAGGGATAATGTCGCCTGAGATGGAGCGTATTCGAACAATCACGGCCTGGGGCATCTTCAATTTGAACTTGTAAGTATCGCCTCCGGGTGCAGGACGGACAAGTTACTTACATGCTGTTAAGACAAATGTCAATGAAGTTGCGCAAAGTCACCAGCTTGCCACCACCGATATACAATGTGCTGATTGGAGGTGATGCCGACTTTGAGTGGACACCATATCCGCGGTCAAACCAAATCATCTATTCCACAAAGCTGGCGCATTTGCCTCAGCTCAGACAGGGGATGGCCGAGCTCACGGATATCGTGGCTCACGTCCAAGAGCTCCTGTACGATCAGAGCTTGACGACAAGTATTCATGATTTATCCGAGAAAGCAGAAGACCCATATCAACGTTTGCAAGGGTGGCTAGCAAATTGGCCTGACACCCCACAGATCGAAAAGGAACCAATCCCACACGTTCTCATTCTTCGGTAAGAGGATTACACCAGTCATGTGTTCCCCATTTTGGTCGACGAGTTCCTCGTGCTGACCGTTTGTAAAGCATCAAGTGCCACCAGGCCATCATGAATCTTCTGGAGATGTTGATCCAGCGGGATTTTCAAGGCTCAATGACCAAAGCACTTCAACAGAAGTGGGGTCAGGAGGCCGAAGAGATGGCTCAGTGCCTCCGAATTCACCGCCAGTCATATGGCCTCAAGTACATTCCAAGCCAGGTGGTTGACGCGGTCCAATCCTCCCTTCGGGTCCTGGTCCACCAACTGGACACCGAGGAAGCAAGCCATGCCTTCATCGAGTTTTGTCGCTTCGGGATGGCGATGAGCCGCACGTTCAAGCCAACTGCTGACGCGATCCATGCCATTAAGTCACTATTGCAGCGTGGAACCGTCAGTCTGCCCATCGAAGCCATCGCAGTCCTTGACGAGTCGGAGCTTCGCAGGAGCCCGGAGGCCTAAGCGCGACATGTTGAGCCTGAAAGAGGGGGTTTGAAATCACTTCTCTGTGCAAATCGGACGGTCGGGACTATTATGGGTTACGCCTCTTGTGGTGACGAGAGCGAAGACAAAAACACACAAGGCGAGGGTCATAAACCTCTCGCCGCTGTTGTGGAAAGACCATTGTCGACACCCAGTGTATTATTCCCCGGCTCGGTTATATCGTTTTGTCTCAAAAGCGAAGCAGACATCGATCCTGGCAAAGTGAGTGAGTCCCCAGGCCACTGAGGCGTTGGGGGTTGAGTACAATGTGGGGATTTTCGGTCAAGAATTTCCATACTATGCCACTCTATGATGGACTGAAACGGAGGGATCAGGAGAGACGGTGTGATGAGTAGGGTCCGAGGCACTCAAGGATTGAAGTGGCCCGTGTGCGCCACTCCTTCCCATTCAGGCCCACGGCGGCCGGGTCTATTTTCCGTCAAATGCGAGACGGGAGACGACGCACATATATCTGAACCACCAAAGCCCTTTGGAATTTTGGGAGAAGGGGGAATCCGATGGACTGCCACATATCAAAACGTCCATGCCTCATCGAGTTTCCCGTGTTTTGGTTGTTCATACAAGTCCCTAGCTATCTACAATGCTGAAATCCGACCAGCGACACAACGCTTCCTCGAGGAGTCACTAGCTGATGGGTCTTGAGCTCATGATACCATTCTTCATCCTTAAATCCACGTAGTGCATGTCCATTTTCATGTTTCTTATATTCCCTATGTGTTCTGTAGACCACAACCTCGACCTTTTGATAGATCCACTAGGGCAAGGTCAACCATGACGAGTGACTAGGACGGTCTAGCCTTACTTGAATCCACTATCTTTTCATCGTTCATCTACCTACCTTGGTTGTGTCTGCTGTGGTCAGCGGGGACAAAATTGCAAAAGTACTCATGACTAGCTACGATTGGTTCCTGTAGATATGGGCTGACGACAGTTATGGAGGACCTCTTAGATATGGGTGTAAGGCTGATTTTCCAGTTTTATTCTCCTTCCCTGTGCCTTTTTTACCTGCACTGAAGTTAGACAGAGTTGGTTCCCAACGTTGTTTAGCCCAATGATCGTCGTAGTTGGAATTGACTGGATTTAAATAAAAGTACTGTACCGTTTCTGCCCGCATCCTCAGGCAACAAGAGTGCACAAAACATTAGCTGAGTCATCATCCACTTCATGCGCAGATAAGATAAGCACAACACCCAAGCGAAAACCCTCAAAATTCAACTTCTTTGGCCAAATCCCACTCGCCGACGACGGACGTGTACCCCCACCAACCCCCCATCCGCCCTTTGCCGTCTTCCCGGCTCCTCGACCGAAAAAATCACCAATTCCCCCATTCCTCCCCTTTCACACCCGCCCACAATGTCGTACGACGACCGCGCCAATGCGCGCCCCAACTTGAATGATGAGTCCGATGTTGAGGAGGAGGCTATGGTCAACGACTACCGTGAGCAGGTCAACTTCGACGACAGCATGAGCGAGCTCGACCGGACGACATCCCTCGGTGGCTCTCAAGCCCAGGACCTTCAGGCACAGCTCACCGCCGCTGCTACCCCGCTGGAATACCAAGCGACTTTGGAGACCAAGTTCGCCAGCTACGACAACTACTGCAGTCTCTTCCACTACATCCTGAACTCGGAAGGCCCCGTGGATCTGGAGGTTCCCTCGGTAGGTTATCTGTCGTGTCCATTGGTTGTCTTTGGACAATGAAAGAAAAGGTTTGGCTTGGCACATTCGTGGGATTGGCCAAGCCGGCGACATGAGAGAGAACAGCAGAACTAACGGTTGAATATCTTAGTACTACTGGGCTTGGGAAGTCATTGACGAGTTCATCTACCAATTCGAGTCCTTCTGCCGCTACCGCAACCGTGTGGCTCGCGGCGGGTCCAACGAGGAGGAGGCTCAGCTTCTCCGCGAGAACCCCAACACCTGGGGCTGCTACTCCGTGCTGAACGTTCTGTACTCGCTCATCCAGCGATCGCAGATCAATGAGCAGCTGGCCGCCATCAAGCGGGGCGAGGACCCCGTCGCCTTCGCCGGTGAGTACGGCTCGCGCCCGCTGTACAAGATGCTCGGATACTTCTCGATCATCGGCCTGCTGCGTGTGCACTGCCTGCTCGGTGACTTCAGCTTGGCCCTGAAGACCCTCGACGACATCGAGATGAACAAGAAGGCCATGTTCGCCCGCGTGATGGCCGCCCACTTCACCACCTACTACTACGTGGGCTTCTCCTACATGATGATGCGCCGCTATGGCGATGCCATCCGCATGTTCAGCCACATTCTGGTGTACGTCTCCCGGACGAAGAACTTCCAGAAGGGCGGCAACAACTACGACACTATTGCCAAGAAGAATGATCAGATGTACGCCCTGATCGCCATCTGTGTCGCTCTCCACCCCACTCGTCTGGATGACACCATCCACTCGGCCGTCCGTGAGAAGTACGGTGAGCAGTTCCTGCGCATGCAGCAGGGTGGCCCCGAGGCTCTCCCCGTCTTCGAGGAGCTGTTCCGCTCCGCCTGCCCCAAGTTCATCTCCCCCACTCCTCCCGACTTCGAGAACCCGGCCTCCAACGTCGACCCCATCGACCACCACACCGCCATCTTCATGGACGAGGTTAAGAACACCCTGTTCAACCCCACCATCCGCTCCTACCTGAAGCTCTACACCACCATGGACCTCAAGAAGCTCGCCGGCTTCCTCGAGGTTGAGCCCGAGAAGCTCCGCGGCTGGTTGCTCGTCAACAAGCAGCGTAGCCGCCAGATCCGCTGGGTCGAGGGTGCTCTGCTTGAGGGCGAGCCCGCCATTGCCAACGACCTCGACTACGCTCTGGAGAACGATTTGATCCACGTCAGCGAGACCAAGGCCGGCCGCCGTCTAGTGGACTGGTACCTGCGCAACCTTGCCCGAGTTTACTAAACGCAGACATGTGAAATCATCTTGGGTTTTATTCTCAACCACGACATGTTCTGCGGGTGTTTGGAGAAGGGAAAAAAGTGAAGGATGGACTCTGCATGCAAGAAAGAAACGGACATGACTCGAGATGATTTTTTCTTTCATATTCTTATCCCGCTCCCCTTGTGTTTCTCTTTTTTTTCCATATTGCCTCCACCATTGCTGGTTTCTATACGCTTTGTTTATTTTCATGTTCATTTTTCCTTTCCATGTTTTGTCCCTGGCCCCTTCCGAGGGTTTCCATGCGGATTCAAAATCAAGTCGGGCTATCGCGATATCTTTGGAGGGCGTACGATTCACATTTGCCCCGGTCTGTTGTTCTGCTTCTTTTTGAGCAGGTGATTTACTCCATGTGGAGAGTGTTGGTGTGAGGTAGAAGAAAAAAGAGAGTTGATGAAATGCATAGATCTACGATATTTCTATTGTTCAATATCTTGAGTAGCTTGGAGTGCGGGCTTCGCGTAGAGAGAAGAGGGGGTATAACATGCAATTAATCTATCTTTCAAATGTGCCGTATGCCATATCTGTACACGCAAAAGAGAAAGCCTCCAGTTCCCTAGAACGAAATCAATCCATGACATCAAAGCTCGTGCCACAACCGCAGTTACTAGTTGCACGCGGGTTGTCCACGATCTTAAATTGACTGCCGATCAACTCGGTGGTGTAGTCGACTGTGCTTCCGGAGAGCAGCTCCAACGACGGCTCATCCATGACAACCTTTGCTACTCCAGCGGCATTCACCATGTCGGCACCGTCCATATCACCCTCGAAGACCGTATCTTCTTCAGCGTCGATTTTCTCCGCGGATTCAAGCGACATCATGTATTGGAAGCCATGGCAGCCGCCACTGGTCACGGTAATGCGGAGATGGTTGTAAGGGTTTTCTTGTTTTGTAGCGGAGGGCGAGGAGGTTGGGTCGGTGATTTCGCGAAGGCGCTGGTATAGTTAGCGTCTGCTATGCGTTGAATTTCCTGGAAAACGGCCATGACAAAAAAAGCAAAAAGCAAAAAGCAAAAACATACAACAGCAGGGATTCGCTGGTGGTCACCCACCCAACTACTAACCTGCCGGCGTGTGGCTTAAGTACGGCTGAGCGGACGGGAAGCCCTGTTCTCCACACCCTATGGTCGTATGTGATAGAGACATTCTGTAACAGGCTTATGCTGGGTCCATGGGATCTTTCAGGTGGTTTGTTGAATTCCCGACAGCCGCGCATGGTTGTCCAGGTAGAAGCTTCCCGATCATCACACGCCAGACAAAGCCTCGGCATAGAACAGAAACAAGAAGACCAAAAAGGACGAATGTTAACCTACCTCGACAGCTCTTGGCGAGATAGCAATCATAAGTGTCTCCCCATCATCTCCGGTTCTCGGGTTTTGCGTAACCTGGGTGGCAGGACGGACAGAGGAGGCAGAGAAATAAGCGCAAGGCTGACGGAAGAGGGATCGAGCGAGCGATGATTTCGGTACTGAATATCTGCAAAAAGAAGTGCCGGCTGCAGCTGCAGCAGTTGCCCGGCGGGGAGCGAATTCGCCGACTGAGGATGCCGAGAGGCGCAAAACAGGTCGGGAGGTCGAGAGGACCCGGCGGGGTTGCTGTGATAACCGCCGGGCGGCTGTAGATGTGATAAAGGGCCTGGACATTTTTGTAAGGAGTGCAGAGTCTCAGGATTGGAGATATGGCAAAGAGAAGGTTGACGATGGCATCACTCGACTCGATATCGTCGCGTTAGTCAGCTGGGCAGTGGCGTGGTTGGTCATCTCGGGCGGTAAGTGGTGGCACAATATGACGAAAATGGTAGGGATCGTACACGGCGGGGTGAAAGTTGAAAGTTGGCTCATTTTGATGCTCTTCGGTCGGATTCTTTATATGCATCAGGAGGTGCCGCATAACTGTAGGAGTCATTGATCTGGGAAGATGGGCTCACGACAGCATATCCGGGATATCAAAACCGGACCTCCGCTTCCATACCAGGATGATATCAGAGCTCATACCAGAGAGTATGCTGAGGCTCTCGATGCCCAGGATCCTCTGCACCAATTCCGGGATGAGTTTATCATTCCCTCGAAGAATGACCTGAAGAGGAAAGTTCTGGCAGAAGACAAAAGTGTGTTACAAAATTCTAAATGTTCCCCGCACTGTCATAGCAGTTATATATTGACTGTTGACCAATAGACCATGATGAAGCATCCGACTCAAGATGCATCTATCTGTGTGGTAACTCTCTGGGCGTGCAGCCACAAAGCACCCGGCGGTACATTGAGCAATATCTAAGAACGTGGGCAACAAAGGGTGTCACAGGGCATTTTGTCCCGCATGACGACCAATTGCTTCCTCCTTTTGTCGATGTGGACACCGCTGGCTCCAAGTTGATGGCGCCCGTTGTAGGTGCCCTTCAGAGCGAGGTTGCAGTCATGGGGACCCTAACCGCCAACCTACACTTTCTGATGGCAAGCTTCTACCATCCAACCAAGGAGAAGTACAAGATTATCTTGGAGGGCAAGGCCTTTCCCAGTGACCATGTATGTCATCTACTTAGAGGCACTTTATTGAAATTGATGATCATACTGACCAGTTGTAGTACGCAATCGAGTCTCAGATTCGGCACCACAACTTCGATCCAAAGGATGCTATGGTCTTGATCGAACCAGAGAACCAGGATCGTCCTATTCTCAGCACAGAGCAGATCATCAAAACAATTGACGACAATTCCTCCAGTACAGCATTGGTTCTTCTTTCCGGAATCCAGTTCTACACGGGCCAGTACTTCGACATCGAACGAATCACCGCACACGCCCACTCCAAGGGTATCCTCATCGGATGGGACTGCGCCCACGCTGCCGGAAATGTGGATTTGCGTCTGCACGACTGGAACGTCGATTTTGCAGCATGGTGCAGCTACAAGTACCTAAACAGTGGCCCCGGTGGTATGGCAGCACTTTTTGTCCATGAACGTCACGGCCGTGTGGATGAGAAGCAGCCCGACAGTGACGAGACATTCCGTCCGCGCTTCTCCGGCTGGTGGGGTGGCGATCTCAAAACCCGTTTTAACATGGAAAACAGTAGGTGATAATTCTTCGGCACAGTATTTGCAAATCTGACGGACTCTAGAATTTATCCCTCAACCCGGTGCTGCTGGGTTCCAGCTTTCGAACCCTTCTGTCCTCGATATGAACGCCGTCGTCGCCTCTCTTGAGATCTTCAACCGTGCCACCATGCAGGAAATCCGGAAGAAGTCACTCAACATCACAGGATACCTTGAACATTTACTGCTCAAGTATCCTCTGGATGCTCCGCCGGAGGATAAGCCGTTCACTCTCATTACTCCATCTAACCCAGCCGAGCGGGGTGCCCAGCTCAGCCTGCGGCTTCAACCCGGGCTGCTCGACCACGTCTTGCATCACCTAGAGGAACATGGAGTGGTCATTGATGAGAGAAAGCCAGACGTTATTCGAGTGGCTCCGGCACCACTCTACAACACATATGCAGAGGTGCGGGACTTCTGTCAAATATTCTTGGAGGCTTGCCGTGAGGCAGTCAAGGCACGTCGATGATATCTTGTACATTAAGCCATTTCCAATCATTTATCCCGGCGCAGGAAATGTATGATTTGAATAAAATGCTAAGATTCTCGAATATGTAAAAATGCTTTATTAATAAATCGTGTTCGATGTAGTTCGGTACTCCAGGGTATCGACAAGATCGCTTAACTACAAAGTGGTATCATAGCGGCGTAACAGGCCAGGTAACAACTACGTTAGAGATCAAGCCTCTGTGGTAGACTTCTCGTTCTGGATTGCGTTTACAGAATGTGAAGCATTCCCAAGCTTCTTCGCTTCTTCCTTCAACTGGCGCTCTTCACGCCATTTAGGTCCCATATGCATCTCGAACAAAAGCAGTGGAGAGGTAGCGAGCATAACCAGAGAAATAAAGGTGAAACACCATCCACGGCCCATGGCCGAGAGCATAGGGTCGATAAGGGCCGTTGCGCCAGCTCCGAGCAAACAGCGGACGAAATTGTTGGCGGCTGTAGCTTTGGCTGCCTGCATCGGGTAAAAGTCTACCAGCAGAGTGCTAACTGTGTTGAAGGCTCCCGTGAGGGAAAGACCCATGACGAACAAAATGGTAGTGGGCGCGGCGAGATGAACGCCGTAGTTCAAACACCAACCGAATGCGAGGATGCTTAGACTTCCGATAGATAACATCGGAAAGGCGATCTGAAGACGGGCCTTCTCGATTGGGAAGTACCGAAGGTCTGTGTGACGGTTCTTAACCAACGGGAAGTTCATGCTCTTTGCAATTCGGCGATAGTTGTAATCGAGGAATTTTCCGTTCAGAATAGAAGCGAGGCTGGCACCGAGTCCAAAGGGGATATAGCACAGGCCAATCTGTAAATCGTCCAGGCCGTAAAGTTCGTTGAAGATCGAGGGAATGGTCGCGCTGACATCGTAGAAACCGGCGAAGAGGATTGCGTTGCAGAACAGGATGATGCTGGTATCCTTCTGGAACACGATGGCAAGTGTCTGGAACGGGTTTGGAAACCGGAGCTTCTGCTTTGTTGAGTTGGCTGGCGACTCGACACCTTCGCGGGCTTTGCGGAACTTCAAATAGCTCATCAAAGACATGTTCCATTTTTGAGGCGGCAAGGATCCATCTCCAACGACGCCGCGGGCAGTTTCAGGGAAGAAGATCAGGAACGGAACCATGAATGCCCCGGAGAAGATGACCAGGAACCAGAAAATTGCCCTCCAACCAAGGTACTGAGCGAGCAGGCCTCCGATGACCGGGCCCAGAGAAGGGCCCATGAGAGAACCCGCCGTGACAAGGCCCATGTATGAACCACGCTGAGATGCAGTTGCCACGTCTGAGACCACACCCGACGAGAGCGCAATGGTGGTGCTGCTTCCTGCACTTTGCAGGCATCGGAGAACGAAAAGTGCTGCATAGTTGTTCTGCAGGGCCAGGCCAATATTCGCAGCGATATAAATCGTGAAACACACGATATAAGCCGGTCGTCTCCCAGCTTTATCCGCAAAGTCGCCAATGAACATGGGCGACAGACCTTGGAAAATCTGTCACGGAGTCAGTCCTGTAACGCACACGTGTAGCGCGTAGCTAAGTATCAACCCACCATGTAACTAGTCAAGGTCAAGTTAATCAATGAATTTGACACATGAAGGTCTTTAGCCAGTGTATTCAAGGCCGGGAAATAGATCTGTGACGAAACCGGCGAGAAGAACCCAGCCCACGATGCCATGAAGACGATATATCGTCTTTGGCTAACAGTGAAGACCGAGTAGTCGACATCAGCAACATTCCCGCCTCGATTTCCCGCATGTTCATCGCGTGCTTGCTCTAAGTCGGCCACAGTTGATTCCGGTGAAGGACGTATTTCTGTGGTCATTCTGGCATCGCGGAGGATGGAGTCCCGCACCCTGGCCAGAAAAATTCGGTGTAAACTGGAACATGGACGAGCGGATCAAATCAGGATATCTTCGACCATGACTAACCCATCCCGGAACGATCCCCTGGCTTGCTATTGCGGAGATACGGACTCGTGCCGAGAAGCCGAAGCTTTTTTTTACCGTCCCTGTCGTTATCGGCGGTTAAGTCCGACTTTAGCCAGAATTGTGACTGCAGTCCTTCGGCGACTTTTCAACCCCCCCGAACTTCATGGTAATCGCTGGTTTCATGTATACCTTCCTGGTTAATAGAGTATATGGGTATAAAAACTATGTGGGGGTTTTCTGGAAATGTATCTATTTCCAAGATCGTTGCTCACGGGTGCCGCAATAGGAGATAATCTGGTTCCAAGGTTGCAATGTTGACAGCCTTTCAATGTTCAGGCACCATGGCATAGATAACCTTAAATAACCATCTCTGGATCAATAAAATACTCTCAAAATGAAATACCAACCTGGAAAGGCTGTATCATAACCAGCGCCCATATCTCCACTTCACTATGGGAAACCCAGCCCGGGAAGCACGAGACCAAGCAGTATTTGAGCTTCAAGACCTAGAATGGGAAAAGACCAAAGGAAGACTAAATCACTTGCAAGGTTGATCACTGGAAAGATATAACAGAGATTCCTCGCACGGTAGCACAGACTTCGCGATCCTGGGATTTTCCGCCTGATGCGGGATGCATATTGATTGTATACCGAATTACTTTACGAGTAGATGTCTGATGGTCAAACACGCAATAAAATTGTAAACTACAGCTGCATGATTCTCTTTTATCAACGGAAGGCAAAATAAGCCCGCTCCAAAGGCTGTCGTTCCGATTCCCACGCGAGCCAGTCCGATCTCGTAGTCCTGCCAGATATGTCAGTGCCAAGTAGTAAAACGACCCATCCAGTGTGTAAACATACGGCAACAGTCCCATGCCGTTGACTTTCCAGATTCCCAAGGCCAGCAATAGCAGCTGCATCAGCACGTAGACCGCTTTCACTGCAATCAGGCGCCCACGGGTTGTCGGGGTCTCGTATTTGGCAAAGGCCGCATTGGTGTTGATCAGACCTTGAATAGGACCCTTGAACAGCATGAAGACCATCATAATACTGAAGATCTGGAGACTGTTGCCGGACATGTACATCATGATGCCGTTCATGGGGAGCTGCTTGGACGGGGCGATGGCGATCTCCCATGCTTTCTTCATTTTCAAGTCGTCGGTCTCTCCGCGCTTCATCGCGGCGGGTTGCTGTTGCTGCTTCTCGCGCTGAAGGTCAGGGTCAGCACGGTACTAGGACAGCTCTGTGGCTGAGCTCACCTGTTTACCTCCACGGCTGCTGGAGAAGCCCGGTGGATCCGGAATGCTGGAGGCCGCCTTGGAGGGCCGCGCCATCGGTGAGTTCATCGCGACGACCCATTGCGGCGGAGGGGGAGGTGGAAGAGGCGAAGACATGGCGTGTGCGTTGATGAGGAGGTCAAGGATGGCGGGTGAGACCTGAAAAAGTGGATGACGGGGGATTCAACAGGGAGGATCCTCCGCAGCTTTCCCACTCCACTCCGCCTTTGGATTCTCCTTTCCTCGACCTCATCCCCTCGACCTCTTCTGATCCTTCTAATTGTTCTCAAATATGTACAATCCGCGATTCTAATTTCCTCCGATTCCTCCGGACGAGCCACAATTGTGGTGCAGTGAAGCGACGGCCTCGCCCGTTTGTCTCGACCATTCCTCCCTCCAGATCCCCGATCCGGTCCTTTTTCCACTCGATTTTCGCGCCGTCCTTACCCTAACCTCCTCTGCTCCCTCCGATCCTCGACTGCCTCCCGTCCAGTTGTTGCAATCGATCGATTGCACGCCAGCCGGCCTCACCCAGAGCCCACGAAGAAAAAGACCCGCCCACTAGACCTTGCGATTCGTCCAACACCGCAACCATGAGTTCCGGGGGCGATGCAAAGCTGTTCGCTAGGGTACGTGCTATCTATGATCGTCTGATGTGCCCGTGGTGGCTTCTCCCTTCCCCGCACCTGGCCATACCTTTTGCAACTTTCGGCCTCTGTGACCGGCTTTCGCAGCTACCCTATTCCTTGCACTCTATCCTTTGACCTGATTTATACCCTACACTTAATCCTAATGTTTATCGGCTTCGCCCCTTATGCTCCGTCATATAACTCACGCTTTGCGCGAACTACACAGGGCAAGGTCGCCGAGTTGCGACAAGAACTCAATAGCGGCGGCAAGAAGGACAAGAACTACTCCGCCAAAAAGATCGCCTTGAAGAAGATCGTCGCCAATATGACTATGAGCAACAACGATATGGTTGCGCTATTCCCGGACGTTATCGACTGCATGAATTTGCCAAGCTTGGAGATCAAGAAGATGTACGAGAGTCTCGCAAAGCGGCCTGGGGGTTGTCGCACGGCGCTCGGAACCCACTTGCTAACCCCGATCCTAGGTGCTTCTTGTTCCTCGTCAACTATTCAAGAATGAAACCGGAGGTTGCATTGAAGGCTCTGCCCATTCTAGTTGATGTATGTCTTTGCTTTGAGGTTGCGGGAGATACCCAAGAATATGCCTCTGACCGGTTCACAGGACATGGCAGACAACAACCCGCTCGTGCGCGCGCTTGCTCTACGGACCATTTCATACGTTCATGTGCGCGAGTTCGTCGAAGCGACTTTCCAGCCCCTCAAGCGCCTCATGCAAGACAATGACCCCTATGTCCGCAAGACAGCCGCTTTCTGTGTGGCCAAACTCTACGAACACGACAAGAAGACGGTTGAGAACTCAGATTTGATCGACCGCCTTAATAAGATGTTGAAAGACGAAAACCCTACCGTCGTATCAAGCGTTCTGGCCTCCCTGGTAGATATCTGGGGTCGCAGCGAATCCATCTCTCTGACCATCGACTACGTCAGTGCTTCAAAACTAGTTTCTATCTTGCCGGATTGCTCTGAGTATGTACCCTCCGTCCCTTGTCGAACCCATGAGAGTCTGAACTAATGACTGGGATAGATGGGGTCAATCTTATATCCTCGAAGCTCTGATGTCTTATGTACCCCAAGATACTGCCGAGGCGCTTCTGCTGGCAGAGCGAGTTGCACCGCGGCTATCTCACTCGAACTCTGCGGTCGTATTAACTTCCTGTCGGGTGATCCTCTACCTCATGAACTACATCGCCGAGGAGAAACACATCACCTCATTATGCCGGAAATTATCACCACCCCTTGTCACCTTACTTTCCAAGCCGCCGGAGGTTCAATATCTTGCACTGCGAAATGCTATTCTAATTTTGCAGAAGCGGCCGGAGGTTCTCCGCAATGACATTCGCGTGTTTTTCTGCAACTACAACGACCCGATTTATGTCAAAGTGACCAAGTTGGAATTGATGTTCATGTTGACCACCAAGGAGAACATCTCAGTGGTCCTGGCAGAGCTCCGAGAGTGAGTGTCCTGCTCCGACAGGTGTCCACTTACCATGCTGACCTTTCCCCCCAAGATATGCCACCGAGATCGACGTGCACTTCGTGCGCAAGGCAGTCCGCGCCATTGGCAAGCTGGCAATCAAGATCGAATCCGCCGCAAAGCAATGTATCGATACCCTGTTGGAGCTGGTCGACGCCAAGATCCCGTACATCGTTCAGGAGGCAACGGTCGTGATCCGCAACATTTTCCGAAAGTATCCCAACCAGTACGAAGGCATCATTAGCCACGTAATTCGCAATATCGACGACCTCGACGAGCCCGAAGCCAAAGCAGCCATCATCTGGATTATCGGCCAGTATGCGGATCGGATTGAGAACTCGGATGGCTTGCTGCAGGATTACTTGGCTACCTTCCATGATGAAACTATCGAGGTGCAATTGGCCCTGCTCACTGCCACCGTCAAGTTCTTCATCCAACGACCTACAAAGGGCCAACAGATCGTCCCCCAAGTTCTCAAGTGGTGTACGGAGGAGACAGATGACCCTGACCTCCGTGACCGTGGCTACATGTACTGGCGTCTTCTGTCCACAGACCCGGCAACAGCCAAGCAGGTCGTCATGGGCCAGAAACCACCGATCACCGCCGAGAGCGAGAAGCTGGACCCGCACACCCTCGAGGAGTTGTGCTTGAACGTCGGCACACTGGCCACCGTCTATCTCAAGCCCATCCACCAAGTCTTCCGTGCCGCACGCCCCCGTCGTCTGCAACCTAGCCCGGCTCTGCAACGACCACGCATTGAAGACGGCACTGGAATCATGCTCGAGTACAACCCTCCCTCCGCCAACATGGCCTCCGCATCGACCAGCAACAGCGGCCTCGCTACCATCACCACCACAGGAAATCCCATCAGCCCCGTCAACGCTCCTCCCCCTCCCTCATTTCTCGGTCCCACCCAAACCGGAAGTTTCGCCCCAGGCACCAATACCTCTGCCGATGCAGTCAATGCAGCAGACTCGTACTTCAACAACATCGGCTCGCAGCAGATGGCCTCGTTGGACCTTGGTGGCCGAGATGATGGTGCGGGTGGCGGAGGCGCACCTCAATCACAGTTTGTCGTCACGCAGAACCAGCAGCAGGTGTACCAGCCTCAGTTTGCTGGCGGTGCAGCTACGGGGGAGTTGTTGTTGCTCTGAGAGAGTTTACTTGGTTCTGGGTTGTAATTGTAGATAGAATTGATATCCGGATAAACAGCCCAGGAAAGAATGTCCATTCATACGAGCCTGCTTCATTTTTCACTTCCTATTTACAATCTTCGACGGTGTAGAGAGCGGAAAGGGATTCGCATTTCTAATCGGGACATGACGCTTGGGTTGATCTGGCGACCAGTCTTGCACCCTTTGGGATCCGGAGTTAGGGCTAGTTTACTTTGGTTGCTCTAGCTGCCTGCATATGTCGATAGGGAGCATGTCCGTGAATATAAGCCTGATGTCATTGTGTGCTAGTGAACAATACTAGGGAATCATCGCTAAAAGATGTAGGTAGTCGATACATGAAAACTGCTAAGGCCTGAGCCTCAATCCTCCTCCATCCTGGATAGCCCACCGCGGCTGCGCTTGATGCGCTCATCCAGCGTATCCTCTTGTGCACGTTTGTGGATCTGGGACATGAATTGACCACGGTCTGAACGTGTTCTGTTGTCTGCCTCTGCCTGCTGTTCTTCCTTTGTCGTGATCTCTGCAATGCGCTGGCGACGATCTGTCTCGAGATCGTTGGCGTTGGATTGCATCTCGGCCAGCTTGCGGCGGCGCTCTTCTTCCTGTTCCTTGGGATCGGGCTTGTTGACTACGGGGTGGGGAGGCGGTGGGCCACGGTCTCGGCCGGATGCACGACGGCCATTGCTGTAGTCTCGTCTAGGATAATCGCGGCGACTGTCCTGGTTACGGCCGCTGTCCTGTTCACCGCGGCGGTCACTGCGATCTTCTGTAGGGCGTGGAGATGGAGAACGTCGTCGGGGAGAAGCACGCGGAGATCGGGTTCGGTCATTGTCTTGATCACGCCTATCATGACGATCTCGACGGTTGGTATAAGAGTTTCTTCTCTCCCGGTCGTCGCGGCGGCCCCGGTCACGATCCCGATCCCTGTCGTCTCGCCGAGATCGAGTATCCTCGTCTTTTCGATCACGGCCATCCTCACGGCCATCCTCACGGCGTCTGTCTTCCCGGCGATCACGATCATCGCGATCACGTTCACTGCGATGTCCACGGTGGGAACGTCCAGGAGACCTAGACCGATGACGGTGCGAAGAGCGATGGTGGCGGGATCGACGCTCATCCTCTGCATCATCACTGTATCTTCGGCGCTTTGAATCTCGATCCCGATCTCCATCGCGAGCACCGCGCTTCTCCTCCCTCTCTTTCCGGCGCATAGTCTCCTTAACCATAGCCTCGTACGCAGCTTGCTCCCTCTTCTTGACTTCAAACAGGGGGTCAGCCATGACCTTCGTCATGGTATCACGCTGAGATCCAACAGATGGACCCGCCGCAGCTGCCGCCACCGCATTCGCGCCAGCAAGATCAGCGCCCTTCTCCAGCTTCTGGTTGTCGGTATCGTTCTTCAATAGAATTCCATCAATGCGGCGCTTGCCCAGCAGGTATCCCTCCATCTCCTCCGAGTACTGGCCTGTTGCGCTAGAAGGTGCTTGGTACATCCAGTCGACTCGGTTGTGCTGCTTCGGTTTGCCGGAGGCCTCGTGGAGGCGCTGGATTTCTTGCATCTGGCGCTCTTCATCGCGTTCACGGCGCAGTTGATCGATGCGCTTGCGTTCTTCCAGGGCGCGCTTCTCCTCCGACCATACACGCTCCTGGTTGCGCATCAACCCCGGGTGCCATGATCTGTGATCTCGTTAGCATTTGAGGTTCTCCCGGGGATGTCGGAATTTCGAAAGCCAACGTAGGCTCTCGGATCAAACTTACTTCTTCAAGTTCAAATCGCCACCCATTTTGACGGCTTCGAGACGAGCTGCGGAGGTTTGGGAAGAAGTTGAAGAGGAAGGTGGATGCCCCGATATGGAAATGGCCACTCGACACCTGAGGCACAAATATACAATATGATCACGTGGTTGATATACTACTCACATTCATATGGGACATGGAAATGGATACATTCCAAATAGATACAGGCAATGGTAAATAAAAAAAACAATCATAGCAGAGCTGAAGAGGCATTGATAATGCCGAATTTATCGGGGACACGAGGAAATCAAAAGGGTGTGCACGCTCGCTCAATTCTCCATCAAAACTGGCCATCCGGCTCTCTCATTACCACATAAGCAGGATGGCGTAAGAAAAGGGGGGAAATATAGGGGGGAGGGAGTGTTGGTCTTCTCGCAGGCACAGTCCCATCGAATCTAGACAAAAGAACAATCATCCAAATCGCCTCTGCTGGTAGGGCTTGGAATCCTTTATTTGGAAGATCCCCAGCCAACCCAGCTACGAGGCATCACTCGCCAGACCTTGCATTCACCACTGCGCATGTCATTCAGCTTGAAGCTCTCCATCTTCACCTTTTTGCTCTCACGTCCTTGCTCCCAGGCGCGAATCTTCTTCTTGGTGCCGTCCCAGTCAACCACAACGCCAACGTGGTCCGGCTTGCCTACTTCAGCACTATACTTCTGGTGCATAGTACCTCGGTGGCCTTGGAAGCGGGCATTGCGGAAGCTCACAATATCACCGGCGCGGATCTCATCATTCTGAGAGACAGATGCATTGGCCAGATTGGAGTAAACCAGAGCACCATATGCCCGAGTACCAACAGGGAGAAGCGCATTTGAGAGCGGGTTCAGAAGATGTTGGACAAGCCCAAATGGAGTGCCGTCCGCGACGGTGGAGTTTTGAATGGCGTTCACGGAGTCGGAGATTCGAGTTCCAAGCTGAAGGTGGGCCTGCTCCAGCTGATCTTGACGGAGCTGGAGCGGAGGAGGTTCATGACGCTGCTCTAGTAAGGCATCCGCAGGGTTCTTGCTATCAAACTGCACAGTCACAACGGTCTGAGAGTAATCAATGAATAGAACATAGACGTCCTTTGACACTGTTGTCTTGCCACCTCGCTTCGACGATGTTGACTCTTCAACCTCGAAAAGAATATCCTTTCGATTCTGGAAGACGGGCGGCGGAGTGTTGGCCTGCGTCCACCAAAGAGTCGTCTCCGCAAGATCAACGTCAGCAGCGATGTAACCCTGATCAACAGAGGGACGAGGAACATCCATGGAGCGCCGAACGCTACCTCCTCTCAACATGTCCATGGAAGCTCGCTGGCTTCGACTTGCAGACGGGGACGGCATAGCGGAGGCCTGAGTCGGGGGAGGTGGTGGTGCCAGAGAAGGTTTCTTCTCATGCTGTGATGTAGGCGGCTTCTCGCCTGATTGAGTTTGGACCGGAGATGCGTCATACAGATCATCGTATTCTTCAGTCACTGGCTGCGGAGGTGGAGGAGGCGGTGCCTCTGGGCGTCCACTGGGAACAGGCGGGGGAGTGGGCAGACCATGCTGAGGGGTGGCATAGTTGAATGGGTCGTACTCCTCATCATCCGCATCACCAGACGGCTCTTGGTTTGGCGGGGGCGGAGGAGGACCCCTAGGTGTGTCCATGGATGCTCTAGCATTCCGAGGCGGCTGGCTTGGAGGCGGCGGCGGAGCTCCCCTAGGAGCGGTAGAAGGGACAGGTGGAGGCTGTCGGGGTTCCAAAGGGCTTCGTGGAGACTGAAGCGAGTGGTCATCAGTCATCGTGCCCTCATCAAAGCTGGAATCACGCTCATGGGCCCTCAAAGCGTCCTTGAACTTAGCCCCTGACGCGATGTCCGTGTCGTAGTCTCCATCGTACTCGGTCACCTCTCCTTCAACATCCTCACCAGCCTGTCGGGGAGCAGACATAGCGCTTCCACGACTATCCGCAGTAGATCGTCGGCGAATTTGGCCTGGAGGCGGTGGGGGTGCGGCGCGGCTCTGAGCCGGTGGTGCAGGGGGATTTGATGGAATCGGAGGAGGTGGACGGCTTGCTCTCTTTTCAGCGGTCGGAGTGGGTACGGGCGGCGTAGAGTCGTATGTCGAGGAACGACGGGCATCAATGTGGTCAGGAAGCGCAGGGGCAGGCATAGACGGTCGTCCACCTGCTGGCTGGCTCAAAGACAAGTTCCTTGCATGCACGGAGAGTTCATCATCGGATTCATCGCCCATTAAGGGTCTCGGTGGAGGGGCCGGTCGACCTAATTATGCTCATTAACAAATTATTCCAACAGAAAACTGCATGCAATTTACCTCCTGGGACTGATAGAGGTGAAGTAGGCTGCTCGACAGGCACAGGGGGAGCCGGAACAGGTCGGGACGCTGGAGGCGGTGGTGCAGGAGCTGAGCGATCTCGAATGTCAGTCGAAAAAGTCATCAATGGTTAATGAGCAGGTTTCTCACCTTGGGTAGATGGAACAGGACGTGGCCTATCAGTAGAGCGACGCGGAAGAGCAGGCGGCGCACCATCATGGACGACCTCCTCGACGTCTGGCACGTCCCGAGAAGTGTGCTGTTCGGTGATAGGAGTCGCCAGAGGTTCCTCGTCTTCTTGCTCCACACCGGGAGGAGGGACGGGCTTAGTGTTGATGTTCATTCCCGGCAAAGGAATCATTGGAACAGGGGGAGCATGGCCTGGTGAAGTCGGCTCTGGCTCACCAAGCCTCTTCTCTGACTCGCCAGGAGTCTTGGGCTTCCGGGCCGCAGGAGCAGACATACCCGGCATACCACCTGGCGGGCCAAAGAGGCCCATCATGCCCATGCCACCACTCATCTTGGCCATTCGGTCACGAAGCTCCATCCGGCGTCGGGTCTCGGGATCCATCTCCTCTTCCTCCTCGTCTTCCTCGTCGGCCTCTTCTCCCTTATACTCAACTGCGTGGGTCGAAGGCTGTTCTATAGGCTCCTCCTCCTCATCCTTACTAGTAGACGTTTCTCCTGCGTCTTCGGAGTCCGCAGCAGCAGAATAATCGGCATCATTTGCATCACTAGTAATTTCTTCTGCCGGCGAGAAGGGGACGGGGGGAGCCGGAGGCGCCTTTGCGCGTAGAGTGTCGACACTTGGATCGCGTACAGATCCCGACGCTTCAACGGGTGACTGTAACTCATCTTCGGGCACCTCGGCCGCGGGTTCCGCGGGCTGGTCAAGTGATTTCCTTGGAGGCTTGGGCTTCTCCTTCTTCTGAGCAGCTTCAGCATGACGCTGGGCCTGCTCCAACTGCTGCTTCTGGAGAAGAGCAATCCTATCCTTAAGACTGGTAGGCTTGGGCTGATCCTCTGCGCCTTCCTCCGTGGTTTCTTGTTGTGGAGGGGGTGGCGGTGGCCGGCTCTCAGAAATCGGTGGCTCACGAGCAAGCTGCTCCTTTACTGCGGGGTCCTCCTCTCTCTTGTAAACCTTAGGGGCGGGATCCCTTGGAGGGGCAACGAACGAGTCTTTGCTCGGAGGAGGAGCGACAAACTGCTTTTTGATGAAGGAACTCGACTGCGAGCCACCGGGCTTCAAAGGTGCAAGTGGCGTTGCAGCGGGCTTATTGAAAGCGGCAATGCGGTCTTTAAAGGACGACCCGGATGGTTTCTCCGCCACGGCCGGGGGCGGGGGCTTCGAGGATGCCTTGATTGGGGGAGGGGCAACAGCGGCAGCGGCAGCAGGTGCTGGAGCAGGCTGCAGGGGCGAGGTCGGGGATTCAATAGCAGGATTCGAAGCCACAGGTGGAATTTGAAGTGGAGGTGGCTGCGGAGTAGCTATTTCCTGGTCGTCCCCGGCGCGCTGCTCCGCAACCTCGGGGTCCGCTTCGGGTTGAGGTTCGGTCACGGCCACAGGGGATCCCACCGGCGCCGGTTCAGCTTCCTTCTTCGGCCTACTAGGGCGCGTCGGGCGCGGAGGAGCCGGAGGCTCATAGCGCTCGACAAAGTTCTTGGGGAAGATGCCCTCTTGTTTGTCCCCGGAGCCGTCCGTGTATTCACCGTAGTACCATTCAGCATCCTCCACAGCGGTGACGGTTAACACTTGACCGATTGGAAAACTGAGATCATCATCATGGCCCGAAGCATACTCGAAGACCGATTTAACCGTGAAAGGCGGGTTGGACATCTGGCAAGTCGGGCCCCAGATTTCGGAGGGACGGGAGTAAAGACGCTAAAGCTCAGGTGTGTAACGGCAATCAGGCTAGGACTGTACAGGACAATTCACCAGATCTGATACCTCCAGCATGCAGTGGTATACTGATAGGAAGTGGGAGGGAAACCTTGGTCACACCGAAGTCGGTCAGCTCGGGATGACGACAGTGTTGTTGAGTGATGCCTAGGGGAGATGAGGGGGAGGGAGGGGCCAGGAAGGACTCACGGTGGAACTGGAGGAACGATCACACTAACGGAGGTCAGGGATTGAGGATCGAAGTAAGTAGGGTACCAGCCGTTGATTGCGACACAAGATGTGGGAGGGAGCCGGGAGTGTGGAAGAGAAGTAGTGAGGTGGTCGTCACTTGGCGGGATGAGGGAGACAAAGGCTCCACTGGACGATCGGCGGCTAAGAGGAACCAAGGTAGACGTAGGACCGCATAGAAGCTGTTACAATTGTAGATTTATTAAACATGAGCATAATAAGTCTCTTCTGGTTTTTACGTGTCTTGCCTTGGATATCTACAGCTCCCTAGGTAAGCTACGCGGGGGTAAACCTTCGATAAGCCGAACCGAGCTGCAGCCTGTAACGCGTATTCCGAACTAGCACGGTCACTAAGTGACTAGCATGGCCCTTGGATAAATTTTAAAACAAGTCAACAGGCCAGAGCAAAGCCTCATTTCCAACTCCTGCCCAAAAATACCTACATTAGAAATAACCGGGTGTGAAGTATTGCAAATCCTATTGGCGACATCATCGCCAGCAAACCCCGGGGCTTTGCTTTTTGCCTCCGCCGCTTGGGACCGAAAATCGCGAACCATAAAATTCCGAGTTACTTCTCCTCTCCTCTTCCACACCTTGCCACACGCAAGTACAGTCAGGGATTTGAAATACCAACCCGTACAAACATGTCTACGCAGCAGAGGTCTCCTGAACCCGCGCTTAAAACTTCTCTCCAAGCTGCATACGCCGCTGCCAGCGCCGAACAGCCATCTTCGCTCCCGACCCAGGAAGAACAAGACAAGTACCTTGAAGGTCGCCCTCGCGCCACCGCGCATCACCTAGGAATCGCTCTTCAGCATGCGCACCAGATCCAAGCACAAAAAGATGCAGAGGAAATGATCCTTGACCGCATCATCGAACTTCTAGCGCTTCCATCCTCGCCGTCCGCCGACCCTGCTACACCCTCTCCACAAGATGCACAGCTCTTCAAAACAGCACTCTATCCTTTCCGACCAAGCGACTACGACAGTCTCGTTACGGAGCGAAATAACGAGGACTTGTGCGGCTATGGCCTCTGCTCGCGCAAGAACCGCAAAGACAGCTATGCGGGGGGTCAATCTTTCCGATTCAAGTACGGTGCCAAAGGAAGTGGACCCGGTGGCCGAGGGCGCAGCATGGATATTGTGTCGAGCGATAACATAGAGAAATGGTGCTCTGACCAGTGCGCGGAGCGCGCTCTTTACATCCGCGTGCAACTAGGTGAAAAACCAGTGTGGGAGAGACGGGCGAACGACACTCAGGCCAAGAAAATCCAATTACTCGAGGAGGGTCGCGCTAAATCACGAAGACCCAAGGCCGAGAGCTCGAAGGCTGCAGTGCGGACTTCTCATCTCGACGGGGCCGATGTGACGGCCGGTATGAGGAACCTGGATATCCAGGACAGCGAACGCTCACAGGAGCTCGCTCTGGAGCGCGGTGATACAAGTCATGTTCACCGCCACGGGCGCGTCGGTGTTCATATCAAGGAGAAGGAACATGGCTCGCTTTCTCCTGCCAGTGCCCCGCAGCCGCGGCCAGAGGATGCCACTGGAGGATCCATTGAAGGATATGTGCCGCAGGAACGGCTGGACAAGGATTCGTCCAGTCCACCAAAAATGAGGGAGATCTGCTTGATCAGATCTGAGATGGACCAGGCCATAGCATAATTTGCGGCGTTTCGGGTGTTTTACAATGCATACCCTGGAGGCATGTAATGACTACGATACATAAAAATCTACGAATGACCATGAGACTTTCATCTCTGCAAGATGCGGGGCATCCAATGTAGCAGTGATCGAACCTCAATGGCCCTGAGTCTCTTCGAACAGTGTTCAAGGACTCCTACGTAGTTGCACCTGGGGATCAAGCCCCACAGGCAAACACACGAGGACAAGTGTTGGCAATCAAGCGTCATCCCCTGTTGGAGAATCGGCGACACCTTTGTCAAGGGGAATCATTTTTTTTCATTCCTCATCCATGGATAACCTCCATTCTTTAGCTAAAACCGTAATAGCCGGGAAGAAAGCCAGCCCGGGTGAAGTATCGTCAGGGAACGCCAGGAGTCGACCAAGACCATCAATGAACTTTTGTATTCTCCCGGCAAACCACCCAGGGTGCTGACTTTAGCGGGGACCGAAGCGGCGGGGGCGCTCGGCCTGCTGCTGCTGGCTGACAGCGACGACGTTGACCTTGAGGTTGTCGAACTGGAAGAAGAGAGTTAGATCAAATTTCGTCAAGATTGTAGACAGAGCAAACTTACGCCCATGGACTTGAGCAGCTCCTTGGTGTCGGTGTCGACATCGAGCTGGCCGGACTCGGTCTGGGAGACATCCAGAGCAGAGACCTCAGGGACGAACTGATCCTTGCGCTCACGCTCCTCCTCCTGGAGCTTGAAGGAGATACCGCGGACAGGGCCACGCTGAATGCGCTTCATCAGGTGGGTAGTGTAACCGGCTAGAATGATCGAATATTAGAATAAAATGCTAATAACCAATTTATTATGTTCAAAATCACATACCGATCTTGTTGCGAAGACGCTTGGAGGCAATGATGGCGATCTCATCGCAGATGCGCTTGTTGGTCTCGAAGTCGAGGGTCAACTTGGGGTAGTAGCGCTCAATGATGACCTTAGCGGACCGCTTGACGGTCTTGGTACGGACGCGACCCATTTTGGCGGATTGTTGGCTGGACGGATGTTCGGGGAGGGAAACCAAAACGATGCCGTTTTGGAAGAGTCGGGCGGTTGCTCTCGCTTATCCCTGTGCGGGTCCTTGCCCTACTTCAACCCTAGGGTACCACGTGATTTAGCGTGGGCATTCTTACGTAATATAGACATATTGATGCCTGAGGCCTGAGAATTTCTTAGGATCTTCGACGCTCACTGATGAGACCACTACAGAGCCTGTAACGGGGGTTGCTTTTCCAGCTGAATAATATGAGATTGATGCATTGGCTTATATCACATGTGCAGAAGGGTAATGAGAGTAGCTTTACACAAGCCCTAGGTCTAATCGTACAATTCTGTCAAAAAATTCCATCACTTAGGACATCTAGTCCTTTCTCTATCGCGACGAATTCAAGTCCTGCATGAGGCTATTGACAAGGTCCTCCTTAGACTTCTCAGGCGACCTGGGCACATTATCGGGCGAAGGTCTGAAACGCGCTTGGTTGTGTCGGGGTCGATCCAACCGGGGGACGAGGTTGGCGTCCCGTCGCGCATTTTCCGAGATGCTGGTGATGCTCGGCTTCTTGAAGTCCTGAATACCGTAGGGTGCTTTGGCGGTGGCACTGGCACGGTAAGACGAAAGGCCAATTCTGCCGACAGCATCGACAGCAGCTCGAATCGGAGTAACCCAGTACTTGGCACCTCCAGGGAGGGTCGCGTCGAAGAATGTCAGACCGGGAGGTGTGCCTTGGTCGATGAAGGTCATGGCATTCAAGTCTTCCACAGCAATACCACCAATACCGGCAATCGCCCTAGAAACTCGTCCCTTGAAGCGGCCCTTCGGCCGCAAGATGCGGGCCTCCACGGGGCGCTGGTAAGCCTGTGGTCCATGCTCAGGGTGGTTGTATGTCAAAGCGTGAGATCGTGTGTAGGAGAGACCAGCAGACGGATGTGTCTTCGGAGGGCCGGTCACAGCGTATTCGGCCGCTGACAGCTTGGTTCCAGGGGATTGGTAGTACTTGCGCCCAATCCGCTCGCTGGGGACCGCGGGCGGCGACGGAAGATCCAACAACTCGAAGACAACGGGACCGAGAGCAAACGGATCATCTCGAAGAGTCTTGATATATGTGTTGAACTCCTCGTCGGTGACCTTGACAGGCTCAATTGCTTCAAAATCCTCCCCATTGTCCTGAGCCTGCTTCCGAGCCTCGGCAAAGCGTTTGGCCTCGAACCGCTCCCGCAACTTCTCGAGCAGTTCTGGCTTCTGGCGCCGCACCTGATTCAGGTAATCCACGAACTCTGCCTGGGTCAACCCGCCAAGCCAGGGACCAGTCTGTCTATACTGTTTGGCACCGGGTTCTGCCAGGCCCTGGCTGCTTTCGGTGTTATCGACGTATGTTTCGAACGGACTCTGGTGCCTAGGAACAATGCTTGTCGCGTAATTGACTTTAGAGGGAAGCGACATGGGCATATGCAGCTCCTGGAACTTCTCCAAGGTCAGGGTGTGATCGGCCGCGGACTCGAAATCGGTGACATGTTCGTAAGTATCCAGGGCCTGTAACCGGACCACGGGTCTCGATGACTTTTCCGAAGTCGACTTGGCAGGTAAAGGCCTCTTTAAACCCCAATCTCCCCTTGCTAGGGACTTTTGCGGCGATACGATCGAAGCGCGGACGGGGTGAGGGAGCGTGGAAGTGTTGGATTCGAACACGGGTTTGGATGACGGTGGGTCCTGCGGAGGCTGCAAAGCCTGAGGGAGTGCGAATAAACGAGACTTGCGCAGAAGATTCGCCGTTGGCGACAGCCTGGCGGTCGCCATCTTGTTCAATGGTCGATGGAAAGCTGGACGGGGTCCGCGCAAGAAAAGTTGGCCGAAGAGACGGGCGAAGCCGATACGGCGCACAACAGCGACCAGAGACGCGGTGGCCTATCACGACCCCGGATTTGTCCTTTACAGCGTCGGGAGGGCATTTTAATTAGAGGATTGATACTACCAACCCCCCCCCCCTTCCTCCTACCAAGTGGAAGAAGTCAACTATTTCAAGGGCAGACCTGAACACCTCTCCCGCTGGTGGAACCTTCGAACTCTTGGGATCGACGATATCCCTCATAATGAGCTGTAGACCGTGGCAGTGTCTGAGCTCTGGCGTTGCCCCTAATTTCTCCTAGACTGATTTCATGACACGATATGTGTCAATCGAGATAGAATTGATTAGATCTGTCACCGAAAGAAAAGTAAAAAAAATGCGACTCCCACTCTATCCATCTGTTTCTTTTCTCGAAACGTATGCTGGATCGCGGTCGAGCACAATATCGTTTTTCCGCATCCCGCAAAACCAGTGAACCAAAGGAATGAGTTGACCCTCTTCAGCCAATTGGTGAACTGGGAACCCCTGGTGAACCAGAGACCTGTTCTTGTATGCCGCTTTGAGCATGCAGCATTGTGATCAACAGTTGTATCAGGAGCCGTAAGCCACTTGTGAGCTTGTGAGCTTGTGAAACCCCGGCTTGTATCAACACTTTGAAGAGTTGATCGTAAATCTGAGAATCTTTCCTGCAGATCATTGTGGTCCCTGAGTTGAAGCACACTCAGTGCAAAGGAAAGATTGTCGCGTATCTCACTAATGTTTTCTTCCAGCTTCACTAAAGTACTCCTGCGAAATGGGCATTGCAAGCGACGCCTAGTAGATTGGATGCCTTGGAACTTTGCACATTCATGTTGCAACTCTCCAATGGCTTCATGGCAGTTCTGGACTCCTTTTCCGATCTGATGGACCACTTCCTGTCCGTTTGAATAAGATTCATGATCCCGTAGCGTATATTGGAGGGCTTGAAGAGTATCACAAAGATTTTTCAGTTTACGAATGGTGTTGCCCAGATCCGTAGCCCGGTCTTTATACGATGAATAGAAATCAACGAGACATTGCGTGACCTGGATACCAAGTGAGAGAAGCCCTGCCACCCCTGATGCAACTGACAATGGATCTGATATTGGGGATAAAGTGGTTTCTTTATTAAACACACAAGCGACTCAAATGATAGACTTTCAGTGAATGAGTTAAAATCTAGGCGATGAGGGGTAGAGGTGGTGGCAGCCGTCTGGTTATGACAGGTAACAAAGTTTCCTACAGTAGGTTGCATTAGATCGCCAATGAAATTACAAGGCAGAGTACTGTAACTTATTATAATTATGTAGGGTACAAAGTCACTGTATTGATACTGATCAAGGAATATTGATATTCCGGGATCTAGTCCTAATATAGACTAATGGACCTTAGCATTGGGGTCCAAGAACAATTGAGAGAGCGCAGGTTGTGGCATCAGTTTCGAGACGTACTGTACGAGGTATAGAAAGGTGAGACTAATTTCGAGTTTGATTGTGCTACGTGGCGAAGGTATCGACTTCCGGGATTCGCGGGATTAAGAGCGTTAGATTCATCTATTTATATTCCTTACTATACTAGCCAATCAGAGGCCAGGCTTCCTTTATATAGGGTCTGGTTCTACGGACACGGCGTTTAGGATACCAAGTTCTCCTTCGGTTTGGACAAAGCGCCTATATAGCCTCGACGCAACTAGTTAGGCTCCATCAGGTTAACTGAACTTTGATTATTGATTGACCAGCGGAGTTCAACGTAGACTAACTTCAGGGTTGGGTTGGGTTCTAGGTGCAGAACCCAAAGCCCGCGTTGGGTTAGGTTAGGTTTTGATTCCAGAACCTATTCGCGGGTTATGGCGCAGTCTAGGCGAAGTCTACCTAAAATCCTGATAGCATCATAAATATAATGAAATTTTCAATCTAATTATAATCTGCCCCCTAGGGAAAACCCCCCTTTTTTAAAAAAGCCGAGTAGAATATAATGCGCCTCACTAAATTACCCCCATAGGTTAGCTATTATATACATTCAGCTTCGAAGAGGCCTGGTATGTCGATAAAGATAAGGCCAATTATGTTTCCCCATATCCTCTCGTATCTTATATACAGATTCTGCTTCCTCAACAATACTCATATCCACTTCAATGATTCTCATGCCCTCTTCCGGGGTAGAAAACTTTTCGAGACAGCCCATGAATGGCATAGCTATTTGGGAGTGACCCATATACCCTTCTTCAGCTGGGCCTGCAACGTTACAGAAAACAACTGCGCAAGTGTTCTCAAACGCCCGACTCACGACCGTGGCGTCGATAAACACCCGTTCAGAAAGAGGGTTTCTCTTTACTCCAACATCGTATGCGTCCGTCAACCTCCAAAATGCAGGAATGATGATCAGCTTAGCACCCTGAGCGATCAGCTCCTTGAACGCTTCTGGAAAGGCCAGATCCCAGCAAATCAGCATCCCCACCTTACCTAGTGGGGTATCAAAACAAGGGTGAGCGTCGTGCATTGAACCGGTGACAATTGGCCTTTCAGGATGCCACAGATTCTTCTTTTCATATCTGCCAAGAATGGCACCATCATGGTCGATGAAATAGGTACAGTTGACGAGCCTCTCTTCTTGAGTTTCCTCGTTGCAATGTAACTCTGCAAAGGACCCGGGTACAACACAAATATGACACTCTTTGGCCAAAGCGCAATACGCATCCAAATATTTCTCATAATGGACGCATTGCTTCCTGAAGTTCTCATTTTCGGGATAGAAGTCCCCCAGGTGGTATTCCGGAAGAACGACAAGGTTTGCTCCGGCTGTGGCAGCTTCTCGAATGAAGGATACTGCGCGAAGATGGTTTTGTTCTAGCTCCCCAGGCTGTTGAATGTAAGTAAGCACTTCGTGCGGTTGATCTAGGACAGTGAGAGACACATACCCTGGGGTGCATTTGGACAACAGCGATCTTGTGCATTGTCATGATCGATTCGGCGTAGGTTGCCACAGTGCGAACTTCAGGCTAGTATTGAATGGTTGAACACAAATAGGACCCGAGGAGTGGAAGTCAAGTCTCTTCCGATTTTCGAACCGTGTAAGGGATTCTCAACTAGTTAATTATCATTGCCATGTCAGCGTTGCCGGTCCAATAGAGCCGCGCTCCGATCGTCTCATACAACAATGCGCTCAACTGAAAATCTCGATTGGACGAATTATCGCACCAATCATGCTAGTCCTTCCCCGCTCAGTCTGAGTGCCAACCCTGAGTCTTGTACGGAGTACCCGATTTCCAATCGGCTCGGCCCCACTAGCCCGGATTGACTCCTCGAAACTGAGCGTGAGCTTTGACCACCTATACATATTGCTGAGCGGTCTTATTCCACGATTGGCTTGAAATTCCGACATGCCGCTAGGCTGGACAACCGGACCGCCCGGAGCGCGAAGCCGCCAAGATAATCGTGAACTTGCCACGAGATGGCAAAGCTTGGCTGTTGAAGCCGCCTATCAGAGCGTTGGCAGTGTATCTGGTCGGCACAAGCCGCATTAGTGGAAGAAGTGCGCTGCTCACTTGTCTTTCTACAGCATCACTTCTGACATTCAAATCCAGATTTTCGATTAGTAGGAAGAAAATTCAGAGTATCACTTATATTGCCGTTGTCATGGCTATTGGACGGAACCTATCCGGTGGCGCCTTTCGCGGAAGTTCCTAAAATCGGCAGTATAGGAGTTTGTTCGGGGGATCCACCATACCCAAGACCATCAGTACGGGGTTAACCGGTTGGCATTATTACCATTCTCCTCAGCACCAGTCAAATATTGCAGATTGTACGAGACAATTCCTAATTAGGAAGGTCCACGCCTGAACTCTATTCACCAGTTCTTATCGTTCCTGGTACTCTTGATAGACTCAAGACGATCTTGTTTTTCAAGGAAAATCTTGGCCCTAGTGTGAAGCTTATGATCGCCCCCTCCTTCATGCGCGGGGTTTGTATTGCCTATAAGTCTGTGCGGCAACTCTATAACCGCCGCGGTCGCGTGGTTGGTTGAGATAGCTGTTACGTCTTCTTCTCTAAACCTCTATAGCTTCGATCTGGCTTAGGATAATATAACTGTGAACGGCGTGTCAAATGCATGGGTTTTTTCTTCATTTTCAATCATCTTGGAACTAGTAACAAGCAAGAAGTCAAAAATGGCACCCAATTCGGATTCGGATCTTATGTGGCCACCGGGTACCGTTCGACTTGAAGGTAAAATCTCTCCTCTCCCTCTTTCCAAGGCCAATTCTATACCTTGATAGTTTCATGAGCCTGCAAAATCTTCAGTCGATCAGGTATAGCCCGCTCCAAATTGAGGAAATTTTCTAATCGGTCAACAGTTCTTCAACAGCCAGGTGCAGATGATGCGGTTATTCTACAACCACAGCCGAGCAGAGATCCAAATGACCCACTGGTGAGTACGTCTGGGACTGTCAAAACATGCCTATGTCAGTTCTAAAAACGAATAGAATTGGTCGCCATGGCGCAAGCATCTCAACTTCGGTCTTGTTTCTCTCTACGTATTCATGGTTTTTGCACTGTAAGTGAAATAGACGGATCACAAAGAGATTTACTGATAGGAACCTTGCTTCAGAATTGATTGTGCCCCTGTCACTTGGGGCCCCATGAACAGACAATTGGGCTTCAGTTACGAGATATTAAATGACAGCTATGCTATTGGCTGTGGTACTCTTGCCCTTGGCGGTCTTTTGCTAATTCCTTTTGCGCTGAAATACGGCCGACGTCCAGTATACCTGATGAGCACTGCGATTCAATTAGGGATGAGTGTTTGGACCGCCAGAATGCAAACAGTAGCAGACCTCCTGCTTATCAATGCCTTTAGCAATCTAGTGGCTGCTCTAGCTGAGACAATGGTGCAGATGACTATTGCAGACGTCTATTTTGTTCATCAACGTGGGCTCATGAACAGCATTTACCTCCTGATGTTGACTATGGGGGTGTCGGTTGCTCCTATCGCTGCCGGCTACATCACCATCTATGAAGGCTGGCGTTGGGTCTGGTGGTGGATGGCCGTCTTCTTCGGTGCTGCATTCCTCGGTTTTCTTTTCTTCTATGAGGAAACGAAATTCTCATCTACTCCGGTCGAGAATAATGGGCCGTCCGGAGGCTCCGAATCCAAAGACAAATCTGGCTCCAACACAATACATTTTGACGGAGTTGACTTGGAAAAGCTCAACGGGATATCCGGACCAGAACGACAGCTTACTGCAATCAGCGTTGACCATTCGATCCCAAAAAAAACCTACAAGCAAAGGCTTGCACTCTGGTCCGCATCGCCCAGCTCACTTTCACAGCTAGCCAAACATATGTATGAGCCACTTTTCATGCTGTTTTACTTCCCTGCGGTGGGCTATGTTGGGCTCATGTACGGGTTCATGACGGCCAGTATTACCGTGACGATCACTACTTACTCAGACTGGATGACCCTCCCACCTTACAACTTCAGCGCGGCTGGGATTGGCTTGATGGGTCTTCCAGCATTTATCGGGACAGCTTTGGCAGCGGTCATTTGTGGGCCACTGAGCGATTATTTCATCATCTACCTTTCCAAGCGAAATAACGGGATTTATGAACCAGAAATGCGGTTATGGGTCATTTTAATGTTCGCCCCATTTGTCCCTGCGGGTCTCCTGATGTTTGGTATCGGATTGAACAATGGTCAACCTTGGCCGATTCTGGCTGTTGGGTTGGGTCTGGTTGGATTTGGCACGACACCAGCCTGCAGCATAAGTTTGACCTACCTCACGGATGCATATACAGCGGTACGTATGAGTGCATTCCGGCATGTGTTTCCTTGGTCATTTCTCTGGCGAGATATTAATTTTCCGGGAACAATACAGATTATTGCCGACTCAATGGTTGGAGTCACTTTCGTTCGAAATGTCATTTCTACAATTTTCGTCTTCGCTCTGTCTCCTTGGATTACATCGGCTGGAATAACTGGATTCTACATTTCGTTTTCGGCTATTGTCAGTGCCATTTTACTGGCACTTTTGATTTTTGTCTTCTTCGGTCGAAAATTCCGGGTGAAGTTTGCAGAAAGGTATCGCTTTTTTGCTAAGAAGCAAATTGACTCGCGGAAAGCGTAGCTCCAAAAATTTCTTAACACGATGATATGGAGAATTACAAATTGATACTCAGTTTTCTTGGCATGCAGGTTTCTTTGCTTCGCGTCCCTTAGAAGTTCACTAATAAGTTTCCACACCTATTTCGTTGTCAACCTAATTTTTAATATTTAACTTGGTGTAAGTATATTAAGGAAACCTAGGTCCTACTCACAACAACAATCGTTATTTTCTTGTAGAAACTATCCTATAGGGGTAAGCGGGATGAAGTTTATCCTAGTAGGCTAGGGTTTCGTTAACTATATAGGAGCCTATTTGTAAATACCAGTAGACTGCGCCAAGCCCACGTTTAGGCCTGGACCCCGGGCCTACGGCCAAACCCGCATGAGCTTTGGGCTTAACCCTCCGGGCCCGACCCCAACCTACAGCTCACAAGAGCCCAACTTTTCATAAAATCCGAGACATTCACTTATATTTTAATATAATACATTTAGTAATGTCGGAAGTGGTAGTATATAGATAAGAGAGATAAATGCCTAAGGGTCCCGTATAATACGCTGTCCTAAGAGCAAATATTTAAAGAGGATTGATACTACCAACCTCTCATGCCTGATTTGTCGGGCCACTATGCCCTAATAGGATTAGCTTTAACAAAATCCTTACCGCATTATTCACCGCTTTTAGTTCTAGGACGCGATCGCGGGCGCGAACAAAGAGGAGAGGGCGGGTAGAGTTATACGACGGTCTTGAAGGATGTAATGGCTAATAGAGGGCGCGGAGGGTATAGAGGACGTAAAGGCGCGGTTGCCACCGCGGTCGGAGATCAGAAAATACTACGTGGTAGTTAGCGTGGTTATAGGGGTATCAAATAATTAAGATAGACATATATTAGTAGAGATTGATGTAGATAGCCTAGTTAAATGAATAGCGAGCGATTTATCTGCGCAAGAAAAACTAAAATTCAAAATCTCTGTAGCTAAAGAGAGTAGAAATCTTAATGACCACGCTGAATTGAACCGGCAGAAAGTCAGGTGCCTAGGAAATCAGGCAGGGATCAATCCTCTTTAATTAACATTAAGACTTGAGTGGTATCTACAGACAATTCAATCAGATTCATACCTCCCGAGAAGCATGATACTGCCGCTGTATATCAAATTACGAAGGTCAGTGGACCGTCTTGTCTCTACATCCAGATATCACCTCGGGATATCTAGCGCCTTTCTCTCATCCCTCTACTTGCCGGATCGACACTTCACTAAAAATCCGAAAGAGGTATCATAGTCCTGTTTGTTATTCCATTCCAATCTATCTTTATCTCAGAGCCAGGTTTGTTGTGAAGCAAGCCCAGCAGCTTAAGCACCAACAGCCAGCAACGAGTCAATAGTGTCCGAGACAGACTCCTTAAACGAGTGATACTTCAGTCCCAGAATCTGCAATGACTTGCTGTTGTCGATGCCGTAGATATTTTCTGGGAGATCATTTGGAGAATCCTTGGGGGGAAGCTTCGACTCCAATTCCGGGTGAGTCTCACGCACAATATCAACAAGGTCCTTGTTGGAGAAGTAGCCAGCCGTGACAAAGAATCTCTGGCCACCTGCCTCGGGAACCTCAATGGCCTTAACGTGCGCCAGTGCTACATCGCGGACATCGACCCAGAGGAAAACACCGGTCGGGGCAAGCTTTTCCTTCATTTGTCCCTGGATGATGTTCCGCATTCGCTGATTCGAAGTGTTGATGGCATCGAGGGAGTTCAGGTAGTGAACAACCGGGCCAAATACCAGCGGAGGGTTAATAGTAGCGATATCGAAATTGGGCTTCTCCGTCTTAACAAAGTCCCAGGCAGCCTTCTCGGCAAAGGTCTTGAAGGAGATATCGGTCAGCCTAGAGTGCTCAATGATGGGAGTAAATGCTGACTGACCTTACTGGCCCGGTAAACGTTGGAGGGATCCATAGCCTCTTCCCATGTCACCGGGTTCCAGTTTTCTTCACTGTAGACCTTAGGGTGTTGATTGCCATTTACAATGGCAGCGAAGGATGACGTAATAACAACGCGCTTTACCTCGGGTGCGTAAGCTTTGATGGCCTTGAGGATACCCGTAGTGCCCTTGATCGCGGGATCCAGGAAATCCTTCACGGGGTCTTCAACATTAAAGTGGAAGGGCGATGCAGTGTGAAGGACATAATCGAACGGCGGGTTAGACTTAACGGCCTGTTTGAAAGACGTAAGTATCAGAGTAGCCGGAGAATCCGGAGATGAATTAAACCCACCTCATCAAAAGCGCCATCTTGTGCGACATCTTTGACAATCACGTAAGAGAGCTTATGTTTGGGAGTGTCGGGATGGGCCTCCAGGATTTTTTTACCCTTGTCATCCGATCTGACCGTCACCACCGTGTCAAAGCTATAGTAGGGATGTAAATCATTAATTGAAACATTTATGAATCAGTGATTAAGCCATACCCATGCTGCAGAAGGATATCAACGATGTGGGCGGCGATGAAACCGCTACCGCCTGTTGAAAACGATTAGTCTGATGTTGACGGCATAGAAGCATGTCCAGATATCAAGATTTAAAAATTGCATACCAGTCAAGAGAACTTTAACCATTTTTACAATCGAGATGAGATGGTCTTATTGCTGTGGTAAGGGAGGGAGGGAAGGAGGGAGGGTGTATACTGCAAGGACGGGGATATCCTTGGCTTTTATGGTCCTCAAGCCCCTCGATCCCGTCATTGCTCCCCCACCCGGCCCACCAAGTCGGGAGTTAAGAGGTCGATTACAAATAAAAGTTCAACAGGCTCACTGGTTCTTTGGGGTTCGATACTAGGACTTAATGGTGCAATAAATCCGAGTAACTCCGCCTTGCTTTTTTCTTTTCTTTTTTAGACACTTAATGTGGCGTGGCTGCGGATAAAATCGCTCGTATTCGCTGTTTACCATCGGAGACAAGGAGTAATCCACCAGCGCTAGCATATCAATGCGGCGATAGCGTATGCATTTTAACGTATCCTCCTTTGAATGTATCCCCCTAATGAAAGCTTGTAGTCATGTGTTAGCCCCATTGCAGTATATTACCCCATGCAATATTGGTCTGTCGATGGTTACGTCGTTCCTTAGCTCGTGCGAAGGCCTTGGGCAACCTGGCAGCAGATCGATTCGGACATATCCAATTTGAAGTGAGGATATTAGATAAGAGGCTCCAATATCTTCAGTGATTTGCAAGGTATGGAGCAAAGCACAGTACTTGTTGACCGCATCTTTGTAAATTCGTAAATGACTATGCGCGTGTCGTGGAACCTATCATCAGGCTGTCGATCACCGTCACTGGCTTCATTCCATTCTTGGCAACCTGCACGCTAGTCAACGCCCAGGACCATACATGTTTGCAATTGCGCTAGGGGCGTCCTTATGATTAGGCACTTTTGTCCAAGGAGTTTCCAGGTCTTCGACCGAGTTCAGAAGGAATCTCCAGCCTCGTACGGAGAGTGCCGACGGGCCTATAGGCATGTACCTTTTATGGCTGAGAGTTCATTTAGATGTACCCATGAGTTCCAAAAAAGCGAACGACTCCAGTTCTAGGTTAATTAAGAAGTCCTGTAATTCGGTGGTGCCCAAGCCAAGCACCGCTGGTATAACTGTGGCTGCTGTTGCTCCAAGGTCTTTAGCAGACCAGAAGTATCGCTATCGCCAGATAGGACAAACAGGTTTACTGTAGAAGAATATAGAAGTACCACACTCAAAAGACGCAAGATCGAAGAGCTACTGATAGTTGCGGAGAAATCAAGGGCAACTGGCGTGCGGGAAGGGAACGTGGTCTGTGCACCGCCGTCTTCGACCTGAGGCTCACACATGACCATCTCTCCTCCACCATCTTCAACTCCAACTCATGCGTCCTGCGCTTCTGCTCTTCCGAGGTCGGCTTCCAATGTCCACCCGGAGGTGCGTCTCGCAATAATGGCGCAACCAAGCCCTATGACCGATGTGACGCAGCGATTATTCGTGGAGTTGAAGTCCAAGAACGAGGAGACCCGGGTCCGAGCTGCCTACGAGCTCTATGACAACGTCCTTTCAGTCTCACGAGGTATGACTATATCTCTGGCCTTCTTGTAAGCTCCAGTGCTTAGCTGACACTCTTACTATCTCTGCAGACTGGCCCTCCGAGAAATTCGTCGAGTTTTACAACGCGGTCAGCCAGCGGATCGCCCAGCTGGTGGTGACCGGCAGCGATGCAAATGAGAGAATCGGCGGTCTCTTGGCTCTCGACCACCTAATCGACTTTGATGGCGTCGACGCCGCTCAGAAAACAACACGTTTTGCAAGCTATTTGAGAAGCGCCCTTCGAAGCAACGATAATGTGGTATTGGTGTACGCGGCCCGATCGCTCGGCCGCCTTGCGAAGCCGGGCGGGGCACTTACTGCAGAGCTCGTGGAAAGTGAGATCCAATCAGCTCTGGAATGGCTACAATCTGAACGTCAAGAAAGCCGGCGTTTTGCGGCAGTGCTGGTGATTCGGGAACTCGCAAAGGGCTCGCCGACGCTCCTCTACGGCTTTGTACCGCAAATTTTCGAGCTTGTCTGGGTGGCACTTCGAGATCCCAAAGTGCTCATCCGAGAGACTGCTGCGGAAGCTGTGGGCGAGTGCTTCGAAATTATCGTGGCTCGAGATGCCCAGGTCCGCCAGTCGTGGTTTGCCCGGATTTACGACGAGGCATTGCTGGGGCTGAAGTCCCACAATGTGGACTGGATTCATGGCTCGCTCTTGATTCTTAAGGAACTGATCCTGAAGGGTACCATGTTCATGAAGGAGCACTACCGGAATGCTTGCGAGATTGTGCTCCGCCTCAAAGACCATCGCGACCCCAAAATTCGCACCCAAGTCGTCCTTACCATCCCTATCCTCGCATCCTACGCCCCCACCGACTTTATTGAGGTCTATTTGCACCGATTCATGATTTATCTGCAGGCACAACTTAAGAGAGACAAAGAACGGAATTCTGCTTTCGTGGCTATCGGCAAGATTGCAAATGCAGTGGGGCCAGCCATCGCGCAGTATCTTGATGGCATCATCGTCTATATCCGTGAGGGGCTTGCGATGAAAGCCAGGAACCGTGCGGGTATTAACGAGGCTCCCATGTTCGAGTGTATCAGTATGCTTTCGCTGGCCGTGGGACAGGCCCTCAGCAAATACATGGAGGCCCTGCTTGACCCTATCTTCGCCTGCGGTCTTAGCAAATCATTGACACAAGCTTTGGTTGACATGGCTCACTACATCCCTCCGATCAAACCTACAATCCAAGAGAAGCTTCTCGACATGTTGAGTATCATCCTTTGTGGAACACCATTCCGGCCTCTCGGTTGTCCCGAGAACCGTCTTCCTCCTATGCCATCATTCGCCAAAGATTTCGCACCTCATGAGCTCCATTCCGATGCTGACATTGCATTGGCTCTTCATACCCTGGGAAGCTTTGATTTCTCCGGTCACATTTTAAATGAGTTCGTTCGCGATGTGGCGATCAATTATGTGGAGAATGACAACCCCGAGATTCGGAAGGCATCGGCTCTTACGTGCTGTCAACTGTTTGTGCATGATCCAATCATCAATCAAACCAGTGGACACTCAATCCAAGTTGTCAGTGAAGTTATTGACAAACTGCTGACGGTCGGTATTGGGGATCCTGATCCAGAGATCCGGCGTACTGTTTTATGGTCGTTGGATCGCAAATTTGATCGGCATCTGGCTCGACCAGAGAACATCCGATGTCTGTTCCTGGCCGTGAACGATGAGGTCTTTGAAGTCAAAGAAGCTGCCATCTGTATCATCGGCCGCCTCTCCAGCGTGAACCCCGCTTATGTCTTCCCACCATTGCGGAAGTTGCTGGTCAACCTTTTGACAGGACTTGGATTTGCCAACACGGCTCGCCAGAAGGAAGAGACCGCACAGCTCATCAGTTTGTTCGTTTCAAATGCGACAAAACTGATTAGATCATATGTGGACCCCATGGTTACGGCATTACTACCGAAGGCGACAGATACAAACCCCGGCGTTGCTGCTGTCACTCTGAAGGCTGTGGGAGAGCTTGCCAATGTTGGCGGAGGGGAGATGAGAAATTACCTCTCACAAATCATGCCCATTATTCTTGATTCGCTGCAAGATCTTTCTTCTCACGCCAAACGTGAAGCAGCGTTGAAGACTCTGGGACAACTGGCCAGTAATTCTGGCTACGTCATTGAGCCATATCTCGAATACCCCCATCTTCTTGATGTCCTGATCAACATTATCAAAACTGAGCAAACAGGATCTCTACGGAAAGAGACCATTAAGCTTGTTGGTGTTCTTGGTGCTCTGGACCCCTACAAATACCAGCAAATCAGTGATATCGAGCCTGATGTTCACCACATCAATGAAATCCAAAATGTTTCGGATGTTGCATTGATTATGCAGGGTTTGACCCCGTCGAATGAGGAGTATTATCCTACGGTTGTGATTCACACTCTGTTGCAGAATATCTTGAGGGAGAACTCTCTGGTCCAGTACCACTCGGCTGTGATCGACGCCATTGTCACCATCTTCAAAACCCTGGGCCTGAAGTGTGTGCCATTCTTGGGGCAGATCGTACCCGCATTCATTTCGGTGATCAGGAGCTCTCCTGCAAGCCGCCTTGAATCTTATTTCAACCAGATGGCTATCCTGGTCAACATTGTGCGGCAACACATTCGGGCGTTCTTGCCAGAAATCATCGACGTGATCCGTGAATTCTGGCATGCATCATACCAAGTACAAGGCACAATTCTGTCGCTGGTTGAGGCCATTTCTAGGTCATTGGAAGGAGAATTCAGAAAGTACCTTGCCCGTCTGATTCCCCTGATGCTGGATACCCTCGAGAAGGACACTACACCTCGTCGTCAACCTTCTGAGAAGATTCTCCACGCTTTCTTGATCTTTGGATCGAGCGGCGAGGAATACATGCACCTTATCATTCCTTCCATTGTCCGTCTTTTTGATCGTCAACAGCACCCTCAGAGCATCCGCAAGTCTGCTATCGACAGTCTCACCAAGCTTTCGCGACAGGTCAATGTATCTGACTTTGCATCTCTCATGGTTCATTCACTCTCCCGAGTTGTGACCAGTGGCGACCGTATATTGCGTCAAGCTGCGCTGGATTGTATCTGTGCTTTGATCTTCCAGCTCGGCCAAGACTTTACTCACTACATCCACCTTTTGAACAAGGTTCTCAAGCAACACCAAATCACTCATACCAACTACCAGATCCTGGTAACGAAGCTCCAAAAGGGAGATCCGCTTCCACAAGATCTGAATCCGGAAGAGAACTACGCATTCCCTGCCGATGATACCAGTTTTGCAGAGATTGGTCAGAAGAAAATTGTTGTGAACCAGCAACATCTCAAGAATGCATGGGATGCTTCACAGAAGTCTACCCGTGAAGATTGGCAGGAGTGGATCCGTCGATTCAGCGTTGAGCTTCTGAAAGAGTCACCATCACCGGCCTTGCGAGCTTGTGCCAGTCTGGCAGGAATTTACCAGCCTTTGGCACGGGATCTTTTCAACGCTGCCTTTGTGTCGTGTTGGACCGAACTCTATGACCAGTACCAAGAGGAGCTGGTCCGTTCCATTGAGAAAGCGCTCACTTCACCGAACATCTCTCCGGAAATCCTCCAAATCCTGCTTAACCTTGCCGAGTTTATGGAGCACGATGACAAGGCTCTCCCCATCGACATTCGTACTCTCGGCAAGTATGCAGCCAAGTGTCATGCATTTGCCAAGGCTCTTCACTACAAGGAGCTCGAGTTCGAACAGGACCAGAACTCGGGTGCTGTCGAAGCTTTGATTACCATCAACAACCAGCTCCAGCAATCTGATGCCGCTATCGGTATTCTCCGGAAGGCGCAAGCGTATCGTGACGTTGAGCTGAAAGAAACTTGGTTCGAAAAGCTCCAGCGATGGGACGAGGCTCTTGCTGCTTACAAGAGGCGCGAGAAAACCGACCCAGATTCCTTTGGCATTACAATGGGTAAGATGCGTTGTTTGCATGCTCTAGGAGAGTGGAAGGTCCTTTCGGATCTTGCACAGGAGAAATGGAATCAAGCGTCACTGGAACACCGTAGGGCTATTGCCCCTCTTGCTGCCGCCGCCGCCTGGGGTCGCGGCCAGTGGGAGCTGATGGACTCTTATCTGGGTGTTATGAAAGAGCAGTCTCCAGATCGATCTTTCTTCGGCGCTATCCTCGCCATCCACCGCAACCAGTTTGAAGAGGCCAACATGTATATTGAAAAGGCACGCAACGGCCTTGACACAGAACTTTCGGCCCTTCTTGGAGAATCTTACAACCGGGCCTATAATGTTGTCGTTCGTGTCCAGATGCTTGCTGAGCTGGAAGAGATCATCACATACAAGCAGAACGTCGGTGACGCTGAGAAGCAAGAGGCAATGCGCCTGACTTGGAACCAACGATTGCTCGGCTGTCAGCAGAATGTGGAAGTGTGGCAGCGCATGCTCAAGGTGCGGGCACTCGTGACCGCTCCTCGCGAGAACCTTGAAATGTCCATCAAATTCGCTAATCTTTGCCGCAAATCCAACCGCATGGGTCTTGCTGAGCGGTCTCTCGCGTCCCTTGAGACTGTCGTCACCGACGCTACTGGCACACACACAGTCGCACATCCAGAAGTGACTTACGCCCGATTGAAGTTCAGCTGGGCGAATGGACATCAACTGGAGGCTCTTGAAATGTTGAAAGATTTCACCTCTGGCTTGAGTGACGATCTTTCTAAGTTCAACACGCTCATGGTGTCGCACAATGAGCACCACGGAATGAACGGCGTGAATGGTATTGCCGACCCGAGCCATCCTGATGCCATCAGCCTGCGTGAGCGGGTTGGCGACGTCGCGAAGTTCCGAAAGCTTCTGTCCAAGAGCTACCTCCGACAGGGAGAATGGCAGACAACGCTCCAGAGAGGTGATTGGAGACCGGAGTATGTCCGCGAGGTTCTCAGTGCGTACTCAGCGGCCACCCAATACAACCGTGACTCATACAAGGCGTGGCACGCTTGGGCTCTTGCAAACTTCGAGGTCGTCACAACAATTGCGAACCAGGCGAGCCGCGACGGCAAGCCGGCACCAGTACCGCCACACATAGTGACAGAGCACGTTATTCCTGCCATTCGTGGCTTCCTGCGGTCCATCGCCTTGTCTTCTACCTCCTCGTTACAAGACACTCTGAGATTGCTGACGCTGTGGTTCTCCCACGGTGGTGATCATGAAGTCAATACCGTAGTCACTGAAGGGTTTACCACGGTGAATGTGGACACTTGGTTGGCTGTCACCCCTCAACTGATTGCACGAATCAACCAGCCCAACATCAGGGTCCGCGGTTCCGTTCACAGGCTGCTTGCGGAGGTCGGCAAGACACATCCCCAAGCTTTGGTCTACCCATTAACCGTGGCCATGAAGTCCAATGTGGCTCGGAGGTCTCAATCTGCTACCAACATCATGGAAAGCATGCGGCAGCACAGTGCCAAGCTCGTGGAGCAGGCGGATCTCGTAAGCCACGAACTTATCCGTGTTGCCGTGCTGTGGCACGAACTGTGGCATGAAGGCTTGGAGGAAGCTTCTCGCCTCTACTTCGGTGACCATAACGTGGAGGGCATGTTTGCCACCCTTGCGCCTCTTCACGATATGCTTGATAAGGGGGCCGAAACACTTCGTGAAGTCTCGTTCGCCCAGGCCTTTGGCCGCGACCTCGCCGAAGCGAAGCACTATTGCATGCTCTACCGGCAGACAGAGGAGATCGGCGATCTCAATCAAGCTTGGGATCTCTATTACACGGTGTTCCGCAAGATCAACCGCCAACTTCCGCAGCTGTCCATTCTTGACCTCAAATACGTCTCACCTCGCCTCAAGGAATGCAATGGCCTTGACTTGGCTGTGCCAGGAACTTACCAGAGTGGTCGACCCGTCATTTGTATCATCAGCTTTGACCCGATTCTGCATGTGCTGCAGACCAAGAAGAGACCTCGTCGGATGACGCTGAAGGGCAGCAATGGAAGCTCTTATATGTACGCTCTCAAGGGCCACGAAGATATCCGTCAAGATGAGCGAGTCATGCAGCTCTTCGGGCTGTGCAATACGCTTCTTGATAATGATGGCGAGAGCTTCAAGCGTCATCTCTCTGTCCAACGCTTCCCTGCTATCCCGTTGTCCCAGAGCTCCGGTCTTCTCGGGTGGGTGTGTAACAGTGATACATTGCACGCACTCATCAAGGAGTACCGTGAAAGCCGACGGATTCTGCTCAATATCGAGCACCGAATCATGCTGCAGATGGCACCGGACTACGACAGCCTTACTCTCATGCAGAAAGTCGAGGTCTTCGGATACGCCATGGACAACACAACCGGCAAAGATCTGTATCGGGTGCTGTGGCTCAAAAGTAAGAGCTCTGAAGCCTGGCTTGAACGACGCACCAATTATACCCGATCTCTTGGTGTCATGTCCATGGTTGGCTACATTCTGGGTCTGGGTGATCGACATCCTTCGAATTTGCTGCTCGATCGAACAACGGGTCGGGTGGTACACATCGATTTCGGTGACTGTTTCGAGGTGGCCATGCACCGAGAGAAGTACCCTGAACGTGTGCCATTCCGTCTCACGCGTATGTTAACCTTTGCGATGGAGGTGAGCAATATCGAAGGAAGCTACCGTATTACTTGCGAGGCCGTCATGCGTGTCCTGCGGGAGAACAAGGATTCTCTCATGGCGGTATTGGAAGCCGTAAGTCTCATCAATGCTCTGCCCTCCGCTCTCGTGGCTACTAACAATTCTCTAGTTCATTCACGATCCCCTGATCAACTGGCGTCTCGGCGCGCAGGAATCTCCGGACAGAGTGTCACTTACAGCGGAACGCCGCCAGTCCATTATCGAAGGCATCAACTTCGAGCACGGCGTGCAACCGAGCAACTTCTCCCGTCATCGCCGACCTTCCATTCTCGAAGGCGGCATCCTCGATACCCAAGAAGGCGTCCCCGCCGAAGCCCGCGAAGCACAAAATGCCCGCGCTCTCCAGGTTCTCGCCCGGGTCAAGGAGAAACTGACCGGACGAGACTTCAAGCATTACGAGGAGCTCAACGTGAGCGACCAAGTCGACAAGCTCCTGGCACAAGCTACCAACGTGGAGAACATCTGCCAGCACTGGATCGGATGGTGCAGTTTCTGGTGAGCCCGGTCACGACACTGTGTGTTTCGTCCGGAGTTTCTTGGTGGGGCTTGATGCGATATGACGAGCTTTTCTATCTTTTTCATGCGAGCGACTTTCATTTTCATTTTCGTTTTCTTCTACTTGTCACTAGAGTTACCCCGCCATTGCTGTCTTAATACTTCCTATCTTGCCCTGCGGGTGTCGTTACGTTGCTCGCGGCATCCATTTGGGAAGCTTTGTTTAGTTGCCATGGAACATTGAGATATCCAATTTTGATCCGGGTGTACAGTATTATAGTAATCCGCTGGATACATACAGCTCGACCGGGCCAAGCCTTGTTAGGGTCGTCTATCCGTCCGGTAGACCCCGAAGCCTAGCAATGTATGATCTTAAAGAGTGAGGCAGTGATCACGAACTATGTCGATATATTCTGGTCTAGAGTGTTTCCAAAATTCATTCCAAGGTTGGTCATGGCATGCTTTGGCATGATGCATATACCGGAGCTCCCACGCTATCCAACTGCTCCCGATCCTCACATGTGACTGCTGTGGGGAAATCCGGGGAAATACACAAGCACCACGACCCTAGAATTTCCAATCCTGTCTTCGCTCATCCCAAAGTTGCTCCCCCGGGCTTCTTAATCCGTGGTAAAAAACCATTAACTTACCCGTGGAGACTGTGATCACCACTGCAAGTAGTATAAGTAGACAAGGGCCGCGGCAGCCGAGGTCGGTGTGGAAGTGGAGAACTCCTCACCTCTTCAGCTCGTCTCCCATCACCTTGTCATCTCCCAAGGCCATGGGCAGTTAACCAAGTGTACTGGCCCAACAGACACCATGTCAACCTCAGATGCTCCTCCAGGGCCCCCCCGCGCCCGCTGGGGAGGCAGCGACCATTCACCCCATCCTCCGTAATGCATTGCGCATTAGTCTGAGCGTGAAGGAGTACCGAGCCCTCCACGACGCCGCCGTCAAACGCGCTCCGGCCTTGAAGGACAAGCTCCCCTCTCCATCCGGTTATGAGAGGATGGCGAGCCCGAAGAACCGGCACACTGAGGCCGCTCTCCGCACGTCCCTGCGCGTATTCGTGGGCTCGGGCATCGCGCTGAAGGTGGTGGAGGTGGTGATGAAGCGGGTTCGAGGCGACACCACACAGTAAGAGCGGCCTGTTTCGTTGATGCTATCCAGATGCCTTGCTAACGATGTATCTCTCCACTCTACACAGGAAGAAGACTCGTACCCCGCTGCACCGAAACCCCATGTTCCGACTCTCTGTGTCCATGTCCCTCCTGCTCTTCTTCCACCGTCTCCTATATCGCTTCTTTGTCCGACTCCGCGCAAACCTCCGCACCGATGACGCGGGTCCTTTCCGCGAGCGAAACCCGCGGGTTTCGCGCGCGCTCACGTCGCGTTTTGCGCCCGCCGTCGGCGCCAGTCTTGCGGGCTTCGCTCTGGCGATCACGCCCCAGGACCAGCTACGCTTGACGGCGGCTGTCTACTGGTCGACACGAAGCTTGGAGTTCCTGTACAACGTTATGGATGAGAAGGGATGGCTGGCTGAGCGCCCGTGGTGGTTCGGGAGCTGGCTGCTCATGCCGATCTCGTGTGCCCAGCTCTTCCATGCCTTTATCTTTGACCGCGAGACTACGCCCACGGTTTGTCGAATACCCCCAACCCCCCAACCCCCCAACCCCCCAAGTCTCTGGGAATAATGAGGGATGAATGGTTAATTTGATTTTTAGTGGTTCGGCAATGCCATCCTGAAGCTCTCGCCGAGCTATATCCCCGGCCGACCGGACTCGCTCCCTGCCAGCAGCGACTGGCCCGAGAAGGAGCAGATCGTAGATTCTCTTGCATCTATTGCGGATCTGCGCTGGCCGTAAGTTTGGTTGGATGTTTACCTGCGTTCCCACCGCTGATCGCCTCTAGCAAATTCGTGTCGCCCATTCTACACCCGACCGACCCTAATACCTTACCGTCAGTAGTGAAGTCGATCTCTCCGATAACTGGGCCTGCGCATCCCTCGATCTCGAGCTTGTCATGTGCTCTGCTTCACCCAAGTGTGCCGAACTGCAGCACCGCGTTCCTGCACCACATTCTACTCTCGGTGCCCCCGCTGGCACGGTTTTTGACCACCGTGACGCTGGCACTGACGATCCCTAAATTCAAGAGCGTCCTCACTCAGCCAATTACATCTATCAACAATCTATCTAAGCGGATCATCATGATGACTGCCGTGTTGTCGGCCGCCATCGGATCCGCGTGGGGCAGCGTCTGCCTCCTGAACGGCACCCTTCCCCGCTCGACACTCCCTACCAAGCGCTTCTTCCTTAGTGGTGCCATCGGTGGACTTCCATTCATGTTCCTGGGTAACAGCCGCAGCGTGTTCATGTACTTCTTCCGTGCTGGGGTGGATTCGGCCTGGAAAACCGGCGTTAAGCGTGGACTATGGAAAGGTGGCCGTGCCGGTGAAGTTTGGCTCTTCGTGCTCTCCTGGGCTCTTATCGGGTCCATCCTCGAGGCTCACCCGTCGGCGGTGCGAGGCCCAGGCATTCGCAAGTACCTGGCGTGGATGCGGGGAGACGGGTGGGTCGACCCCGAGGAAATTGCGAAACGCAAGTTGCGACGGGAGACGAAGGAGGCAAAGGCCGAGAATCCGTAAGTAATTAGCCAGGAGTTGCAGTTCAAACATTGTTATGGGTGTAATTTAGTGAGTGGAATCGGAAGTCAAGTTCCAGTCGGCCTTTGTACGTCCGACTTGATTGTTGGTCCGCAGACCCACTTTCTCCGCATTCATCTTTAAAAGGCCGGGGATCTCGCAGTTGTAGCAATGGACCTTCCCCGCTCGTACAAGTGCATTCAGATACACAATGTCCGCCCAGAGAATGAAAATCGGCTGTGCCGGCCTCGGTCGCATGGGCAAGCGCCACGCCCTGAACTTCCTGGAGCGTACTCCCCGCGCCGAGCTGGTGGCCGCCAGTTCGCCCGACCCCGTCGAGCTTGAATGGGCCAAGACGCACCTTGAACCCTTCGGCGTGCGTCTGTACCAGAACTACGACGACATGTTGAAGCATGAGGGCCTGCAAGCTATCGTGGTTGCATCGGCTACCGCGGTGCATGCCGAGCAGGCGATCAAGGCGATCAATGCTGATAAGCACGTTCTGTGTGAGAAGCCTCTGTCGACCAGTGTGGAAGTGGTAAGTATCTTCTTCTCCAAACATCGGGGACACGCATAATAATACCTCGATAGTCCCAATCCGTCGTCGACGCAGCCAACAAGAGACCTCACCTGAAAGTGATGTGCGGATTCTCCCGCCGCTTCGACAACTCCTACCGCGACGCCTTCAAGAAGATGAGCGCCGGCACAATCGGCACACCCTCCGTTCTGCGCAGCCAGACCTGCGACAAGCTCGACCCCAGTGGCTTCTTCGTCGCATACGCGCAGTTCTCAGGCGGTATCTTCGTTGACTGCTCCATCCACGACATCGACCTGACACTGTGGTTCTTCGGTTCCGGCAGCAAAGTCAAGTCCGTTTCAGCGGTTGGAATCACGGCCGTGGAACCGGATCTCCGTAAGCACAACGACCGCGACAATGCAGTCGGTCTGGTGGAGTTCCACGACGGCAAGATCGCGTACTTTTACGCTTCGCGCATGATGGCTGCGGGCCAGGAAGATACCACCGAGATCATCGGTACCAAGGGCAAGGTGACCGTCAACGCGCAGCCCCAGTTGAATCTGGTCAATCTGTTTGATGATACCGGTGTTCGTCGCGAGATTCCTCAGAACTACTATGATCGCTTCGAGTATGCTTTTGTCACCGAGGCTAATGAGTTCACGGCTTGCGTCCTGGAGAACAAGGCTTTGCCGTTGGATTTGAATGCGGCAGTGCAGGCGGTGCGGATTGGCGCTGCTTTGCAGGAGTCGTTGGTCTCTGGCAAGAAGATCTTCTTTGATGTTAATGGGGACCGGACGGAGGTTTCGAGGCTGTGATGGGGGATTTAGATTTGTATAGACCTTAAAAAAGAGAAGATATACTCAGAAGATATACTTATTCAGCGCTGCAATATGAAGGGGTTTACTTGCCCTTTCTTTCGTTCAAGAATAGAGTGGAGGTGGTTAGAGGGTTGCTTTGGAACTTCTTCGGGATTCTTTCTAGAGCCGGAGCAAACACTGGCTTGTTTCTCTAAGCCGAGATCGTTGTGACGGAGAAGAGGCGGCGAATATCACACGCTTATTGGCGATGACCGAGTCGTCGGGAACAATGTTCCAGGTGTCTAGTATGCACAATAATCCCATTTTGAAGGTATGCCGCCGTCCACAATGTGGGGTACGATCTGTTCTTTGTGTGGCGAGAGAATGGGAATTGCCTCTCCGCTCACGTTGAGTTCTGGATTACTGGGGGAGTGGTGTTCGCCCTCTCAATTTCCATTTTTATTAGAGATTACCTCAAGGCTTAGGGTGATTCCATGTCCTGCTTACTATTTACTTTCAAGTGGCCTGGAGTGTGGGGATTTTGGAATGACATGTTGCTACATTCACTCGATCTTAAGATATAGCAGATCATGAATAATATTGTGCAGTAATGTCCAGTCTGGACGGAATCTATTCGTATCGTGAAGTATTTATAATCGCTTCGTCATGACAAAAACAAAATAATGGGAATCTCATAAAACAGGGGGTAAAGAACGCAAATTTCTAGTCCAATATGTCTTCTGAAGAACTCTACCAACGGATAACCTTGTTGGGGAAGTACTCGTTGATGAGCTCCATGTAGTAAGGCTTCAGCTCCTCGGCACTGGGGATACCGTCGCTCTTGCTGTACAGGTCATAAGGGTTGAAGGCCTTGACAGCGCGAAGCATCTCCTTGTCATGGTCATCCATGAGCTCGTGGTAGGCACCGGCGTTGTGCCAGGGGTAGAAGGAGTGGTAGCGGATCATGGCGAGCGCCTCGTCGGGCAGAGTGGACTGCTCCTTGGCGATGTGGTAGAGGTACTCGTCATGGCCCCAGGAGAGCATGACCTTGTCGAGACCGCATCCCGGGCTGTAGATGCCGAACTTGGTGTCGTAGATGGGGTGCTCAAAGTCTTCGTTCTCCTTGAACGATTCGCGGCCGTAGATGATACGCTCGTCAAAGCCACAGCCCACGGGGAAGGTGTCGCCGACCACGTCCCACTGGCCCTGGGCATCGAAGAAGAAGAGGAGCTTGCCCAGGTCGTGAATCAGACCGGTCAGTTGCATCCAGCGGGGCTTGCCATCGCGGCGAATGGCCTCGGCGGACTGCAACAGGTGCTCGATCTGGGAGAGGCTGGTGTCCGGGTCGGACTCGTCAATGAGAGTGTTGAGCTTCTCCATCGCCTCCCAGACCGTCATCTCGGCGCGGGTCTTGCTGTGGAAGTCATGGCGGGCCTTCAGGTTGTAGGCGACGGTTTGCTTGGTATGCTGCTCCTTGTAGAAGTTCTTGACGCGGTCACAGGCATCCTCGTACTGGCGGAAGCCGGTCTTGTCCTTGTTCTTGTCGAACTCGGACTCCTCATACAGGCCCTTCTCCAGCAGCTCTTGCTCCTTCTTCATATTGGCTTTGAAGACGTTGACCTCGTCGATGGCATCGGACATCTCCTCCAGAGCCTGGCCATCCCGCTTCTTGTTGAAGACGGGAACCGGGGTCTCGGCGATGGCGGCAGGTGCCATTTTGAATGTATGTGGTGAAAGAGAAACTCGCAAGGTCTGTACAGAAGTGTCTGATGATGGATTTCAGGGCGAGTTCGGATGCCTATATATGGGACCAGTCTCCACGCGGTACACGAATCGCGTCTAGATTTCCGATGTAATGTGGTGCACAGCGGGAAAAGTCGCCTTCATGAACAGTGCACTTCCCTAGCCATTGCCTGGGGCTGACCATGATTTCTTGTGTGGGTTTGGCCATCTGGAGCAGCATCACGGATACCAGAATCCGAAGCTCAGAGCCCTACACATTGAGCCTGAAAGAGAGCCGGAAACCCCACTTGCAGTGTCCACCGGGTCGAATCAGAGGTCGCAATGATGTCAACCGGCGCCGAGCCACCAAACATGGATTCCGGTTCCCGATGCTGACCGATGTGCGGCTGCTGGGAGGCCGGCGTTATTTCATTGGATCTGGTTCCTTGGGGTCTTCCGCGGGATTTCCTTGGGGTCTTCCGTGGGATTTCCCGAGTTGGCAAGGGACGCCGAACGAGCGTCATCGTCACCGAGCATGCTTGTGTACTCTGCATCCCGTTGCCGACTGGGGCAGCACACAGGATATCTGAAGAGTCCGCATAGATACCGACCAAAATGCGACAATCGGCAGCTGTTGTAGGGAATCGAGTGTGATTGACGGAAAAACGACGAAGACCGGGGCCGAGTCGCAAAGGGCGGGGTGAAGTCCCCCCCGCGGCGCGTGGGGGACACTACCTTCCATTGTCACCTCGAACGTGTCCTCTCTCCTTTTCCTTGTCAAACTTCAATTAAATTCCCTCGGTTATACAAAATGGCTGCTTGCGACGTCCGATTCAAGCTCAACACTGGTGCTGAGATCCCTGCCCTGGGTCTGGGCACCTGGCAATCCGGTCCCGGCGAGGTCGCCAGGGCCGTTGCCCACGCCATCAAGGTCGGCTACCGTCACATCGACACTGCTCTGTGCTACGGCAACGAGAACGAGGTCGGCCAGGGGATCAAGGAGGCTATTGACTCCGGAATCGTGAAGCGCGAAGAGCTGTTCGTCACCACCAAGCTGTGGTGCTCCTACCATGCCCGCGTCGAGGAGGGCCTCGAGACCAGCTTGAAGAACCTCGGACTTGACTATGTCGACCTTTATCTGATGCACTGGCCTTTGGCTATGAACCCCAATGGTTAGTTGTTCTATACTTCCGGTTTTAGAATCCCGTTCTAAATAGATATAGGAACCCACCCCATCTTCCCCAAGCTGCCCGATGGTTCGCGGGACATCATCCACAGCCACTCCCACGTCACCACCTGGAAGAGCATGGAGAAGCTTGTTGGCAGCGGCAAGGTCAAGGCCATCGGTGTCTCCAACTACAGTGTCAAATACCTGGAGGAGCTTCTGCCCCAGGCGACCGTCATCCCGGCCGCCAACCAGATCGAGAACCACCCCTCGCTCCCCCAGCAGGAGATCGTTGACTACTGTAACGCCAAGGGCATCCACATCACCGCCTACAGCCCTCTGGGTAGCACGGGCAGCCCCCTGTTCACCGCTGAGCCCATCGTCGCCGTCGCCAAGAAGCGCGGCGTCACCCCGGCCACCGTCTTGCTCAGCTGGCACATTGCCCGCGGTTCGTCCGTGCTCGCCAAGTCCGTGACTCCCGCGCGTATTGAGGCCAACCGCGCCGACCTGATCCACCTCGACGCTGAGGATATGGCTACCATCAAGCTGTACTCCGAGGGCCTGGCTGCCAACAAATCCTTCCAGCGCTTCGTCTTCCCTCCGTTCGGTACCACCTTTGGCTTCCCCGATAAGGAGTAGATGTCGTGTTTGCTACATTATATAGAAGGGACCTTGAGTAAGTAGACGGTTTGCACTAGGCTTTTGGATTTACAAAAAAAAAGAAATGTACGCATTTTCATGCCATTGAAATGATTGGTGTATGGAAATCTCAGTTGTAGAAGTCCATGTAAATCGCGAAAAAAACAAATCCCAGTGAAAAATCACGTCAGGAGCTCCCCCAACCAATGCACAAACTCGGTAGATCACAATCCGAAATCAACCCATTATGAACCGCGCCAGAAATTTACTCCATGTATGCATCAATCATGTCCTATCGTACCTCTTTCGTGACTGTTCATAATAAAAAAAGATAAAGATGGAACTGTTGTACATCTTTGTGCAGTTGATGAAGAGCAGAGACAAATGACTGAACGGTTAGTGCTTCTTCCTGTTCTTTTTCCGGTTCTTGTTCTTTTTTGCACTGGCAGTGGGCGCCTCGGTGCTCGCACCAGGAACACTGGAGGCCTCAGCATTTGGGGCAGGACCACTGGGATCCTGGGTATCTGCCGCAGTGGCAGGGCGTGGAGTCCGAGCAGCCTGGTTGGGGAAGTCGAGTCCAACCCAGACACGCTGGATCGTAGCAGTAACGACATTACTGTCACCAGGTCGCTCGGGTGTGAGGAATTCGCGGTAGGCTAGTTCATCGAGGTAGGCCTGGGGAATGACTCCCGGCTTAATTTTGCGCTGGACTCGAATGTACAGCGCATGCAGGCGGCGTTCCTCGCGCTTCTCGACAACCTTCTTCATCAGGGCCAGCGTCATCATGGGGGCCTTTTTTAGCTCATCGATCAGTGGCATGAACATGTGGAACGGAAGTGTAATGAGCATGGCAGACAAGACGTTGATGTCCATGCGCTTCGGTTTCAGGTCGGCATAGGAGGGCTGGTTTCCATAGCGAATAGACTCGAGCCTGATGTTGGACGTCAAGGAGCCAGGGAGAGTCCAGATGGCGGGTGGAATGCGAGTCTTGGTGTAAGATGCCTGGGCACGCTCATAGAGCTCGAACCCGGGCCTGAGGTTCTCAGCCATGTACTTGAAGACAGCTTTCATGACCAGGTTTGCCTGCACCAAGTGGAAATCAGCAAGGTATTCATCACCGACCTTCCCAGCCTGAGAAGTGTCGGGGGGGACATCGGGCGAAGCAACACGAATCTCTGGGCAAGTCAGCATGTATTCGTCGACATGAAGAACAAAGCAGAGAAGGAAATCAACAGTCTCCCAGTCAAGGAGGTCAAGAGCTAACTGTATTCCACATTTGACAATGTTAGAGCAGCCCAGGAAAGCACCGACTGCAGCGTAGCAGAGGGCAAAGTCAGTCTTGGCCAACCGAATTGAGAATGGCAACGTGCTGTCGGATTTCTCGGGATTGTAGCCCAATCCTTTCAGGGTCTCCGAACGAAGATTCTGATGAGAAACCAGGAGCCATCCGTACAGAACCTGAAGAGCCAAGCCAAAGGAAGTCATGGCGCTGAACCGAGCGCCAGTGTGAATGTTGATGGGAGTGATTTTGTCATCACTTGCATTCTGGGCTCGCAGGGCTTCTGCAAGGAAAGGGCTGCTGTGCGAGAGAACAGCCCTGTGAGCCTTGTGGATGATGGGCTTGGCCGACAGGTTGGTCACAGGCTTCAAAATGAGGTGGACGTTGGTGTCCTCCATACCCCGATACATGCTGCTGACCTCCACCTTCTCGGGCGGAGTGCCGTCGTGAGGGGAACAGGGAGAGTCTTCAACGAAGCCCACCGAGCGAGGAGATTTATGTTTTGGCTCGGGGCTCTTTACGCAGCTCTTCTTGGGAGAACCTGCAGGAGTGGTTGGGCCAGTGGCCGGGCCAACAGTGAGATCAGGCGTGGTAGGCCTCTCAGACCTCTCCGACGGGACAGGAGAGGGGTTCTGCTCCTGTTTGGCATCGAAGAACTCACCAGGAGTATCGGGAGTATTGACAGCCGGATCATTCACACGAAGGTTCTGTAGGGCCAGTTGTTCGGGCTTGTGTTGCTCAGGCTTGGGCTGAGTAGCAGGTCTCTCACGAAGGAGAGGGATCGGTGGTGGCTGGCGCGGGGATGAACGAGGAGTTTCGCAAGGTGAATTCTTGCGAGCTTGCTCAAACAGAGAGACCACAGAAGGAACAAATGACTCTTCTGGAAGAGGACTGCGTGAATTCATGTTGACAACCGGTGGGGTTGTCGATTCAACAGGGATGGGGAAAGGAATTTGAGAAAGTGACTCGGTGGGAGGGGTCAAATTCTGCCGGGGGGGGAGAAGCTGGACTAGAAGAATTCCGAGGTAGAGAAACAATTGCAGTGAGGTTTGCTTGAGCGGTTGATCCCGGCGAAGTGGTTGCAGGCAACGGACGTGTCTTTGGGTTTCTCTGAACGGGAATTGGTCTTGAGTACTGACGTGCTCGTTCTTCATCTGCCTTAGCAATTTCCTCCGTTGCTGCATAAACTACAGGCAGTCCTGGAACAGGGACAGGCTCCTGCGGAATATGCAGATTTGGTTGAATAGGAGGATTGCCCCACGAGTCAAGCGTACCCCACAACACAGGCCGAGATGGAGTTGTCGCTACAGAAGGCCCAGGTCCAGATCCGGCTCGATTGTGCCTGTAACTATCAGAGGAAGTCGAGTGCCGATGACTTCCTCCAGAAGAACGATACCAGTGCTGATTCCCAGAGACCCGGGATCGGCGCTGCGGTCCAGAGCCCTGATTATATCCATCCGTATCCCCGTGATGATTGTGATGGACATGAGCAGCCTGACCAGTAGGAGCATAACCTCCAGAGCCATCTTGGTGGTATCCACCCATATTCGAGGGATAGACGCTTCGAGTAGGACCGTATGGAGCAAAACCAGAAGCTGGTTGAATGAAACCTCCGGCGCCGCCGTCAATGAGAGCTCCAGCAGGACTGTATTGAGTAGAACCGGATTGAACAAGACCAGAAGCAGGTTGGAAGAAACCTCTGGCACCACCTTGCATGAGAACCCCAGCAGGACTGTATTGGGCAGAACCAGATTGAACGAAACGAGAAGCAGGTTGAATGAAACCTCTGGCATCACCTTCAATGAGAGCTCCAGCAGGACCGATTGGGGCAGCGTAGCTTGCTTGATTGTCATGGTAATCTTCCCCCACAGCACCACCCTCAATGATGCTTCTCGCGTAATTGGAATGGCTGAAATCGTGGCTCCAACGTGCCCTGGGAATTTCAGAGTGGTGGCATCCAGGAGGTGGCGGCTCATTCTGCTGCTCCAGCGTAAAACAAGGGCAGCATCTAGCCCGTCCATGATAGCAACAGCAACTCTCGTGAACAGGCAAAGGATGCCCGGATTGGTGTGCGTATGGATGCCGGTGCTGGCAGCACGAAGGATCGAACATACACTGGTACGGATTTTCTTGGTGCGCACAGGCTTCATCAAAGTTCCAGTAATGCGAGTTCATACGCTGCCAAGACAGTGGGTACATGCCCTGGGGAGTATGCTGAACGAGGTATGGGTAAGGAACCGATGCGAGAGTATTGGAACCCTCAGGCTGGTACCAGGGGAAAGCAGCTGCGCTTGCGATCATCGGCATGCCATTTGTGTGATAGTATGTGGTTTGGTTTTGCTGTGCGTAATGACTCTGTCTCTGGTTCCATTCAGCTGCTGCACGCCTCTCCTCGTCCTCGCGCAGTTCATGTGCATATCGCATCCCTTCCTCGAAAGCTTGCACTTTGTCCATATCGGGCTGACGCTCACGGATTTTCTTGTAATATTCGTTCGAATCGACGATGAAAGGGGGGGTATGCTCCGGGCCCAAAGTGGGAACAGTGGGTGCAAAGGCATCAAGGGATTTTGTTTCTGGAGTTATCACCGTATCAAAGATGGAAGAACCAGTGTTCGGGGTCGAGGTGAGCACGGCGGGGGTAAGAGCATAGCGAATCTCGGTCTTTGAAGGTGCTTCCGTGTCAACGACGGCAGACTCGGGTTCCTCCTTTGAGACGGTGACAGCGGGGGCAGGTAGAACAAGAGTTCCCTCGACACTCTCTGGACTAGTATCAGGATGGTTCTCGGTCATTGAGGCTGCTTCCGGAACGGTGGAAGACTCGGTGTCCTCCTTGGAGAAAAGCAGAATGGGTGCAGGTGCAACAGGTGTTCTCTCGACACTCTCTTCGCTGGTATCACGATGAGTATCGGTGGTTGAGATCGCCTCCATGACTTCAGTCGAGACTTCGGAGCAAACAGAAGCCACCTCCATACTTAGGCAACTGGGAGAAGGTGTGATGTTGATCTCCTCACTTGGAATAACTGGAGAAGGTGTAGTGTTCATCTCCACACTTGGAAGAACGGGAGAGGGCATGGTATTGATCTCCTCACTTGGAAGAGCAGAAAAGGTCATGGTGCTCATCTCCTCGCCGTGAGTGGCCGAAGATGGGGCACTGAGGGGACGTTCTGAAGCAGTTGTCTGCTTCTCTCTGTACTCCATTCTCTCTTTGAAATGGTACTTATGATGACTGATAACTTTCTCCCAGGGTGGGGAAGGGGAAGATCGCCAAGAGGGGAAAGGTGAGGGCGGGAGGTTGATCGGGGTAGCAATGATGACAGGTTCACTGGAGTCAATAGGGGATGAAGCGCGGGTAGAGATGTTCACAGGATCGACGATGCTCATGAGGGTAGCAGCCTCGGCAGAGCTGCGACAGGCAACGGGGGCAGCGATGGTCATAGGATCAATGGTGTCGAGGGTTGCAGCGCCGGTAAAGGTGCTCGCAGCCTCAGCGGGCTGGTCTTTCTGTTTCCCTTTTGCTTTCGCTTTTTTCGGGACTTTTTTTCGGTGCCTTCTGTGCGTACCAGCTCGGCGGGATCCCTTGGAGGGAGTCTTTTTTTGGGAGGGGGGATTGGTGATGTACGGGGAACTGACAAACTTGGTGTCTTGATGGGTGGCTTGGGAATCCACAACTTGAGGTGGTGTTTTTAATTGACGCGAGACCTCGGCGTGAAACGGGCTCTCGAATTGATGTGGACTCTCCCCTGCTACTCGACCACTTGATTCAGGAACAGAAGGAGCATCGATATCACTATCACCTTCCGTTGAAACTTCTTCAATAGGCCAGTATTTCTGAGTGAAATGGAACCTTTCAATGAACTCCTCTCGAGTCAACTGCTGAACGCCAGGCGTCACAGAGATATCTTCGACAGCTGTATCTAGCTCAACAAACAGAGAGTCGGATGGACTGTACTCGTCCGACGAGGAATCAGTCGTATCATCAACAATATCCACTTGAGGTAAAAGTCCGTCGATGTAATTCGTGACATGATCCGCCCAGGTGAGGGGCGGCTTATAGAACATCTCAAACAGGGGGTTTGAGGCCAGCTTAGAAGGAACCGGCATGATGGGTGATCATCGGCTGTACCGATCTCAATGTGGTCTTCTCGAGTCAGTCAAGTTAGCCAAGGGGTGCGTGGATTTAGTACAAACAAAGCAGTCAAGGACAGGTCTGTAAGGATGTAAACGAGGAGGTGGCGCGTGGAGAGAAAGAAGAGCGAAAGACTCGAGCGTGGAAATATGACTTTCGTCCCAAGCGAGGATCCACGATCGTGGTAGAGGCATCGCAGGCGCAGAGCCTCTCGCACTTGAGTTACTAATTTGCATTCTCCTAGGTTAGTCCAATAACGCATTAGACGATGAAATTGTGAACACCCTCATTTGCCACTATTAGGGATCCCACTCGGCCCTGCCTAGGGTCTCAGTTCGGCCTTCTCGCATGTTTGCAGGATAATAGACCGATGAAATGAAACTAATGGTAATGTGATTCTTATGTTCCATTACTACCAGAGCATGAAAACTTTCAGTGCATGCATGGAATCCGTTGTTATTGTCCAATTCCCGCCGTAAGAGCTGTAGTAGAGGTGATGTCGATTTTAAGATGTTAGGCTCCGATCAGGGCATCACTTGGCACGTGACGTCTGATCACAACGTCTCTCGCTGCCCAAGGCGACGGTTCAGTAATTAAATATCGCAGGATCTTGGAGTATTCATTTTCTAGAGTATGACCGTTAGCTATTAGAGGATTATGGGTTGGGCTACCTATGTGAAGCTAACCGGCATGTAGGTACCTACAGATGATCACTTTTCTAGCCGTGGCAGCACAACTGACGGACTAGAAACGGCTCATTACTTCTACTTAAGTGCGTCCCTGTACTGAAGGGGCACAGTGGAGATTGAGTACGCTAATTGATCAAGTGTCAAGCAAACCATCAAGCCGGAAGTCCCCAGCTTCACTACAGACCCCAAGTACTAGTAATCCATGGATGACACTCCCATTGGAAATGCAATTTCTACCAATAAAGAAAACTTCCAGAAGCAGTATGTAATAATTTGAATTCAAGTCACATCTGGGTACACCTCCGCCAATATTTGTGGTAAAAACAAAGAGAAAAAAGTTTGAGACAAGACAGCGACGCTCAAGAAATGCCAGGTGGTATATAGTCGTGAATAGTATGAGAGAAGAGCCAAGGAAAATTCAAAGATAGAGGATGTGCAGTAGATATGTGGTTTTACACCAAACAAAGCAAGGAAAGGAAATTGAACAAAGAGTGGGTGGGATGATTAGAACATTCCTCCCTCTGCAGGAATGGCCGGTGGAGGGTAGGATGGGACGGCCGGGACAGGGCCTGCCATTGCTTCTTGACGAGCACGGGCGTTCAAGCTGCCCCCCTCGCTCGAGGTCTTGCGAAGGCGATTTCTCGAGTGGGAGTTCGAGCGGGGACGACGTGTCTCGTCGTCGGGGAAGACGCTGACCTCATCAGAGATGCTGGGAGCAGGAGATGAGACACGAGAGGAATCATGCTTGAAGGCACTTAAAATGGTTTGTGTTCCACGTCGTCGGCGAGGGTTCATGGGTGGAACTGGCGGGGAGCCGGCACCTCCAGGCAGTCCAACGGTAGGAACATTTGATGTGCAAGAGACCAACGTCGGCTCGGAGATAAGCTTCTTGTTCACAGAACGCTTTTGTAGCATGTTGTGCCCTGGGGCCCGTTGAGGTAGGCTAGCACTACTTCCCACCGAGGTGGCGGGTGACTGGTCCTCGTTCAATGGGGGAGTAGCATTTGCAGAGTACGGGGGAGCCACAGGCGAAGGACGTGGGGAGACACCGATCATTGAGGGCTGGTGAGACTGCTGGTACTGGAAGGGACGCTCGTACTGGAAGCTTGGGGTACCAGATCGGCTGGTACTGCGGTATCTCCCCGAGTCAGAAGAAGCAGAGCGGTCGAAATAGCCAGGCTCATGGCCTTCAATTGAAGGGCGAGTAGAGCCAGGGACCGAGGCAGGCATTGGAGGCTCGAAGTTGTCGGGGATGACGAAATTCTCATGTGCGATGACTGCACCTTCTTCGACGGTTTCGAGATCGTCACGGTCGCGATACCTGGTTCGGCTCTTCGAGCGGCCGGAGCCGCCAGAGCCGGAACGGTCTCTCTGGACTGGAGATGTATCGCGGCTGTGACTCGACTCGCGCGATGCATCACGACTGCCACGACTGAGAGTCGGCATACGAGGTTGGAGGGGTCGCTCAGAAAAATGAGGGGAACTGGAGTTGGAGTGTAGGCCAAAGCTGAAGGAAGGACGTTCCTCCTCACGCCGGAAGTCATCCGACGGCAGAGCAGGTGTAGAGGAGTTGTTGTAGCCATAGATGTTGTTCTTCTGGTCCTGCTTGGGAAGCTCCTGCTTGCTAGCCTTGTACTTCAAAAGAGAGAAAGCATTGCCAGGCTTGATCTCAGTTGTCGATCGGCCAGGGGTAGGGCTGCTAGACCGGCTCTCGCTTTCCGCCACGCTGCGCAACTTCTCCTGGACCTTTCTGCGGCGCTCGGCCAGCTCAATGGCGAACTCTTCGCGCTCCTTCTGAGTCTCAGTGCTTCCATCACGACGATGGTGGTAGACAAGCTCATCTTTCCATGAAGCGACATTGGGGTCTGAGCCGTTTCCGGGGAAGGAAGTGGATTCAGATGAATCCTCGCTACCCCGGCTTGATGCTTCCCGCTGTTCAGCTGACGAAGGCATATCCTCATCACGGAGATGTTCTGCAGCGGAAGGTCTGCGCGACTGCTCGGGGATGGGCTCCTCGATGCCAAGCCGGTTTGCATTGGGGTCCTGCGCTGGCAGACCTGGGGATGGAGGTCGGTAGATGGAGGACTTATCGCTGGGATGACGCAAATGAGATCGAATCCCGCTCAGCCCATGGAGTAATGGTGAGTCTGGTCGCTCAGGTGTGATATCCCCAGCATTGTCTGACGGGTGAGGCTCATCCACGACGTCATTCTCTTCGATAGGCTTGAGGTCACCGAGATCCGAATATCTCACCTCGGGAAGAGTCTCAAGGTGGTCTCCGGTAGGGGTCGGCGGCTTAGACGCGATGCTGGGATGATGAAGCCAGGGGCCGTATTCAGTGGCCTGCGACGTGGCAGATGAGAGTTCATATGAACGGCGATCGTCACCTTCATCTCCGGATTCGCTAGCTGTTGAAGTGGCATAGAAGGTTGTCATTCCGGGGCGTCCTGGTGATGCCTCCACGCTGGATGCTCGAGAGTCATCAATGCCGTGGTGCGCATCGCTGCTGTAATGAGACGAAGCGGACTCGGCCCGAGAGCGGTAGCTAGACTTCGAAAGACCACGCTGGCGGCCCACTGGCTCCTGAGGCAGAGGGCGACGCGGGGGAGAAGAAGGCCGACGCAGTGGAGGGGTGTCTCGTCCCAGTTGCATCTGAAGCTGGCGGCGCGCGAAAGCTTGCTCATCAAAGCCCGTGGCAGGTCTATTAAAAAGACCCATGGCTGTGGCCTTTCCGTGGTCTTCGGGGTTCAATGCTGCGGCTAGCAACGAGGCACCATCCTCGGTCTCGCTCGAAGGTGGGCTCAAGGGAGGTGCAGACCCGAACGCGGCAGCCGTGGGCGAGATGCGCTCCTTGGGCAAAGGTTCCAGAATAGTAGCCTGCTGGGGGAGGTCGCCGACAAAGGAGGGCTAGTAGGTCGAGACATTGTAGTCGGCTCGGTAATGTTGAGTCTCTGCAACCGATCACGCAGATTGGAGGCACTCCGGGAGAAATTACGGTTCATGGGCTGAAGATCCGGAGTACCAGAGCGTTGACGGCTCAAACTCTCCAGGCGATGCAATGTGGAGGACTGCTGGTTCTGAGCAGCCTGAGTCAGACCTTGACCGTAGAGCCGATGGGATCGGATTGAACCTGTCTTTGGGGTCGACATGGCAGATGGTGATCGGAAGTCTGCTTGGGGGTCTGCAGCAGGGATGGAAGCTTGAGGTTGGGATACGCTGAACTGACTTTCGTCGATTGAAGTAGCTGCGGTCGAAGTGCGCGGGTCGGTTGCAGGTCCAGATGCAGTCGAGGAATAGGTGGTACGCTGCGTAGAGATAGTCGAGTTGGCATCCTCATATTCATGTGCAGCGCTCTCCCGAGCTGCCTCCTCGGCGGCAGCTCGCTCGTGCTTCTCCTTGAGCCTTAGGCGTTGGAAAGCGGACATATTCAAGTCATGTTCGTACACGACTTTGCCCATGCCCCGTGGGCTCTCAGCCGCCGGCGAAGTGCCTCCCGGGGACCGCACCGGGATCCGATAAACCTTTTGCCGGCCTCCGAACAAATTGTTGCCCTCTGCTCGGCGGGCTCTGCTCATCATGCTTCCGTTTTGTGATCGATCGTCATCGGTGCCGTATCCTGCATCGCCGCCAGATGCGTAGGAGTCTGTCCGTCCCAAAGCCAATGAAGGTCGACTACCGTCATTCAAGGAGACTTCGTCGATGTCTGCGAGCATACTTGGATTGTGACCGAAGATGTTCAATCGGGAGGCGCGTTTAGGGAAAAGCACACTGTCGTCGCTGGCTTTCCCCAATTTTGATTCCGGGTCGTCCTGTTCTCTCAACATGCTGAAGCGAGCCGAAAGCTTCGGCATAAGTAAACTGGTCCGGAAGTTATCTGTGGAGGGCAGAGCGATGGAAAAATCGAGCTCCGGTTCCGGCTCGGACTCCTTCTTCTTCGACTTCAGACTGAAGACGGGTGTTGTTGTCTGTGCTGGTCCATTGTCCACATCCTCCAAGACCTCCTTGACCTTCTCCTTCTCCTTCTCCTTCTTGTGCTTGCGAAAGCGGTTCATTGTGGGGACGTGCTGTGGGTATGGAAAGGAGTGGCTGCAGTCAAGCAGGGGGAATTAAATGAAGGACGAGAGGTGTACGAGAGAGTGACTGTGGCTGTAGCAGGTAGCCGTCAGTCTTGCCAGTCCTAAATTGAATCTCCTGTCTTGGACACTCACCGAGGCTTAGGAGAAAGAGGGCGGCATGACCGACAAGCGTGGGGAAAGTTGGCGATGGGGAGAGCCCGGGTTGCGCGTCGGATGGGATAATGTATCTGGTTCGCTCCGGATCGATCTCGCGTACCGTGTGCAACAGGGAAAGCGGACCAGGGGTGTCGCGCCAATCAAGGAAGTCAGGTCGGAGGCTTTGACTGATCACAAGAAAAAGAAAGCGGGCCGATGACGGGAGCTGCAGAAGGTCAAGGCGTAATTGTTGAAGACCAAAGTCAACAGCCGGTTGATAAAAGAGTGACAGAGTGACTGGCAGTGAGAGAGCAATTATCGACGATGCAAGAACCTCGTCGAGGAATGCAAGTTGGGAATGGGGCAGAAAAGTACCGCTAGCTGGGCCTGGGTCCCTTTGTCCCTTGTATGTACGGGGCTATGAAACCAACGAAAAAAAATCAATTTCAAAATTTAAATTAAAACTCAAAATGGCAGGATCTGGATCCGGATCGTCCCCGACAGGAGTGTCCACCGTTCAGTCGATCAACTGGGCTTTTTCTCGTTCCCTCGCGAATTCCGGGTTTGGAGGTGTTTATTTTTGTTTGTCCATCCCAGTCCACCCGACGCCCATGAGGGAAGGTAAGGAACCAGGGGCTTCCCGAACTTGCATCCAAGGACGAGTGTGCCCTGTTTCGTCACTTTACTGGACAGGGTCCCGGGTCCCTTGCATTTCACGTTCTGTAAATAGATGTTACCTGTAATCTATCACATCCGTACTGTAAATTTCTCTCGCGTGTGCTGCGGCATGTGGACCTGGGGCTGAGCGCCACTTCAACGAGTATCCCAACCCCATTCTCCCCGCGACATGTACATTGTCCAATGTCCGTATCTCCGGGCATGCTACCTACGCGTCGCGTTCAGAGTTTCTCAGATCTTGGTCAACGGGTAATGTGGACAAGCTCCGTGACCACTGACCACTGACCACTAGTGACCGGTGGTCCCGCGGGTCTGGACGCGGGCCAACACGATGCCCCGATCTCAGATGAACCCTGATTCGTTGACGATCACTTGGCTCATGGGGAGCCATTGCCTTCCTAGCTGGGCAATTCGGTCTTGGAGTATCCGCAGCACTGAAAATCGATCAAACGATATGCCTCCTTGCATCGCTTGGCAGATACAGATGCGTCGGGGTAAAATGCTGTGGCGACCACTACAACGACGCATCAGCCACACTGCTGGTCGTCAGAACAAGCCAATTCCCAGGCTTTTCTCCGACGTGCAGACCTCCTGCATCGTGCAGGTACGGGTGGACCCGTGTATCTGACCCGTGTATCTTCTGTACTCTCATGAGGCTATACGGACGATGTGACTTTTGCTGCACCACGCTGCACGGCCCAGGAGATGATGCCACCGTTCTGGGTTTGTTTTTTTGTTGTCGTGGGTCTCATAGTCGGGCGAGAAATAGCCGAGGCAATCGATGGGGCTCTCTGGACTACTTCACCGTGCATCAATATTGACCTTCTCTTCCGGGGGCATAGTTGCATCATCCAGGGAGAGGCCGGGAATCTGGATCATCTTTGTGGAACCATGAGATCATGAGAGGGTGATGAATAATGAAATTGACTCTCCGGGGTAAGCCCAAAGCGGACAAAGGGAAGCACCTAGTGCGGTTTCTGAATCCCGTTTTGTGGTGTTCTGACAGCCGTTGTTGGACCCGGAATAAGCTTTTCAGAGATTCTGGCCCGCGGAGGACCTGCTACCTCGGGTGTAGCTTAGGAATAGAACGAGCAGTGGGACGGAGGAGGGGGGGATTACGGGTCAGAACCAAGTGCGTGGGTTTTGGTTCCCACACGATGAGCTGTTCTCGACGGTGGTGTGTTTGTGCTTCGTGGTTGATCTGATCGCGTTACAACCACGCACTGTGGGTAAATTAAAGTGGGATGGCTCATCCCCCTTTTGGAACGCTAAAACCGCTACCGCTTCCCCGGCGCCTGGTATTGGACAGCAGTGGACCGGTGCCCCTGACTACAGTGCGCCTGGTAAACTCAATTTGTTGCGGGAGTCGCCTGGCTATAGCCCTACCCCTGCATTTCCTGCGAGTCTGGTCTGATTTATGAGGTCCTCGGATTTGAGCTGCCCGGGTATTTTAGGGGAGTTTTCAGTGTGAAAAAAATGTACGGACAGTATCAATTGAACAATACTCCAGACTGTCGAAAGGAACACCGTGTGCCCGAGTGGGGCAACCGGCTTTGGACCCACCGGTACCGGGACTTGGAGACCGGAGAAAGAAAGCCGCTTCCCGCACTCTTCCCTTTCCAAGGCTCCGTCTCGATCTGATCGCTTCGCTTAGATCTCACGGCGCTGTGCTCTGATTGCATTCTACGGACTTACAATATATCGAGCTAGTGCTTCCCGATGTACTCCAGAAAGCAAGTACCGAGCGTTGAAATGCAATGATGATCAAACACAAACCTACATGGATCGACTCGTAATCCAACAAATGACGAGTTCATGCACTCGAAGTTTAAATCGAGCAGGATCCTCAATCCTTAGCGAGTTCAAGGCAAGGCGACCACTGTCATGAAGTCGTTGGGGATAATGAACGGGGCATCTAATCTCACGAGCTCCACCGCTTGCCCCTTGGCCATCGTTTCACTACGATCGAGGTTTGAGAGGGCTGAAACTTTAGGATTGCGCGACCGTTCTTTTCCATGGATTGCCCAGACCTGACCAATTAAGATTTCGTCTATATCTTACTCTGAATAGAATGTACGCCCGTCCGTATGACTGGCCGACGTTCAACAATTATAGGGCGCCACCCTCTCAAGATAATCTCCCAACGGAAATCTTCTCGGCCCAGTGGCTAAAGCGCGAGATTGCCCGCTCTGTACTGCAGCAAGATCTGCCTGTTTCAGCACTTGCCGAGGCTGAAGTTGCTGTAGAAAATCTGAAGCGATGGGACATGCCGTCAGACCCGCCAGAAGTGAAGCCAACTGATCCAGCAACATTCTCGAAAACTTCGGCGGAGAACTCGGGTCATGCTAGTCACCAAGCTTTGGAGGCGGGCCTTCCGCAAGAAACGGGAAGTTCGCATGCCCGGACTCACCTACATGGCCACCAGCGCCGGAAATGGCATCATTGATGAGCCAATAAATCATATCGTCACCTTCATGCAGAATGTCATTTGATGATGCATTGTGTCTGCCCCAATGGTCAAATGACCCGGGACGATCTAAATCCTTCAGATCCTCGATAGAAGCTAGCTTCCTACACAGGTCATAATCTAGGTCTCTTTCCTTCTCTCCCTACGTTTCATATTGACAGATTATATTTGAAAATTGCTAAGAGAGCAACCTACAGGGGGCGGTGGTAATACGACTAAGGTTGAGAGCAACATAGTTTACCCTGGATTGAGTGAATCATATTGTATACCGATTCTTCACCTCGAAGTTGAGATTACTACGGAGCCCCGAAGCAGTGAGTTCCACGGATACAGTGTAACCGTAGGATGGAAGTGTTCTTTTCAAAAGAGCGCCCTTGGAAACCGTAAACATCGAGGCCTTGACAGTCTTCACTGGTAGTTTTATATAGGTGGCTGTTGCAATTGGCTAACAAAGATTCACTTTTCAACGGCACTTCCCCAAAAGCCCTTACCAAGGGATAACGTATGCTTTCCAATGTCCTTCAGTATCGGCCTCTTTGAACTTGTCAAAACCACCGACAACACCGTCGTGACCGACCAGCCAATCACCTATTTCCACGCGTTCAGCCCAATTGTCCAACACTCTGTGTAGATATGAGCTACGTGAATCCCAAGGTAAATAGCCACTATATCCACTAAATGAATCCGACTGATATAGTTGATCAGACAGGCTCCCCACGCCCCTGAGATCCTTGATAAATGGAACACCATTGCTGCTTCGAGCAAACCCATTGTTGCCAATTTCAAAGGGCAGGAGTAGTCGACTGCTGTTGGTAGATGCCCAGTTGAAAGATTCGTGGGTAGGTTCGATATATAAACCAGCGGGAATATCTGCTTTATTTCCGTCGGGAAACCAAGGCCAACCCCAGGGGGACTTATTCTCCTGCTCCCCTCGAAATAGAAGTAAGGGGAAAAACGTTGTTGGCTGACTAGTAATAAATTATTTTAGAAAGCGGTCGATATTATGGCATTTCGCAAAAGGCTGATTTATAAGTTCGTTGGGACTTTGCAATCTAATCCCGGGGGCAATATAGCGAAACTTAAGTTGACGGACGGGAAGAGCCGAGAGAAATCGTCCGGTAAAGGAATCCGCTTTTGTAGATGAAGCACTAATCACGGATTCTGAGTAGGGAAGAGCCATCTTTTCAAAGCTAAGCTGCTCAAGGCCATTACTATCTGTCGAACTAGAAGGAAGTCGGGGCCTCGATAGCATCAAGAAGACGAGTAAATGCAGTGACAGCCCCCTCAACATCCTTTAGAGTATATTGGTGGATCTCCCAGGGGAACACTAAAAACCTACCATGGGTAGAGTTTTTCTTTCCACGGTCAGAATATGTCGTGATTTTGCCCTGATCGATAATGTCTAGATAGGCTTGCAGGATATGCTGTAACGGCCGCCACGGCCACCGTTCTAGATCAAACCAGACTAAATCTTCCCAGTCTGGGACGAAGGAAGCTAGCTCGGTTTCCTGATCAAAGCTATTCGATCTGTGAGACTTATTCTATACTAAGTTCCAGAGAACTGCAAGGGGAATCATACACAATACCGACTTCTTCATCGCTCTTCGTTCGAGTCGATGGATATAACCATACTAAGCGATCACCCCACTGTCGGAGAAGAGATTCTCGCAGAAGGTCGTGTTTCCCATGGAGCGCGAATAGATAATAGAAAAGATGGAACTCCGAAGAAGGATCGAATATAATAGCTCTTGCCGACCGCAGGAACTGAATCAAGTTCGGATTCAGGCGAGATGCGAGATCGAAGGGAATTGGGGACGACTCTTCCCACCAGCTCTTGGACGGAAGCGAAGCGTCGTCTCGTCCGGCCCCAATCCACGCACGTTCGAAAATCCGGTTGTGAAGCTGTGCTGATAATTCTGGGTCAAATCCAGTCACCGGCATCTTCGCTGGATGAAAGCAAGATCACGAGGGGTGCACTCGGTGTTGTGGCCCACTCGGTAGTGAAATACGTTAACTAACGTAATTCACAAGCGAGCGGAGGCTAGTATATATTTTGTGCTATTTACAGGAACCCCTTAATATTTCGCAAACTATCCACTAGCTTCAATGGTAGCACCGAAGAGGTATACAAATAGCATGTAAAGTATAAAATTACTCTACTGCGCGTAGAAACGCATCGGGTAGACGAGGTAGACGGCGAGGGCGGTGAAAATTAGGCGGTGAAAATTAGGCGGTAAAATCGTGGTTTCAAACTTATGAAACCCCACTCACTGCCATGTATTTTTCTTGGCGGGTGTTTCGGTCCCGGGTCGCCAGACCCGCGATTGGATCTAGCTACAGTAGAAGTTACTTGTAGATTGATTATGACAGAAGATTTTACCCCTACGCTACGAGCCAGGGCGGATCATTCAGGGTACGCGATACGCCGTCTCATCTCGTAATGCGATGGCACTAGCACAGCAAGTGCACCAACACCAAATGCGGCCTTGTATCTGTCGTCGCAGCTTCGAGGGCGACCCTCACCAAAGCCAAATCGGGCCAGAGAGGCGGCTGGACTGGGGTGGAGCAGGCATTCGTCTTGCTGGAGAAAGAGAGATCTGGCTTGGTGGTAAGGGTTGGCGGATTGGGGTGCTGCTATCAAAGAAACTGCTACGAGATTCTGTCATTCTCTGCGGGATCCCTTATTCGCTTGTCTCAATATACGGCTCTGGATGTCGATCCTTGTGAGGATACACACGCAGTACATCCTCGAAACGAGTCAAGGATTGCGACCAGCTATACGTTGGCAGGGATTGTTTTGGCCCCCAAACAGGGATGTTGGTGGACCGTCGGAGGTTCTCTTGCAGCCCCCGAAAGACACGGTGGTATTTATTTAGACAAAGTTAGCAAGTGCTGCTCGCTCGATCTGGACGTCGGAGACGCCCGGCTGGGTTGCTTGTCTCGATGGGGGCGTAATCTTAGTGACGGTTAATCTACGGCCAGTTGCTCTCACTTGAGTGAATGCCCCAATGATCGTTTCGAATTCACCATTATTTATATCAAATGATCTTGACTGCCTGGAGGGGCTGAGCGAGGTCAAAGGTACCCCCCTTTCTTGGTTCTAGCGGATGACCGGAACTAACTGTTTGTTTTTTCTCCGTTGACAAAGCCGATCAAGCTGTTTCTCAACCACCGACTCTTAGGGGATCCCCAGATAGGCCGAGAATCAACCACACCAACCACATGTGATAAGAGAGATAGAAAGAGAGAGGTTGATTTGAAAATACCTAGAATTGTCCCAGTGATGGAACACCGCAGTTCACCGGCCAAGTCTCTGCCCCAGCGAAAGGGCATCACCACCCCGCAACTCAGTTGTGAGCTCTGTCGCAAGCGCAAGGTTAAATGCGACAAGCTCAACCCATGTACCAACTGTGCTACTATTGGAACTGCCTGTATTCCCATATATCGAACGCGACTGCCCCGGGGCCGACATGCCAATCGTGCGCGCCTAGTGTCATCGCCTCCTCCGCCCACAACAGGGTCCGGGGAGACCGAGCGGCTGGCTCAGTCTACCGTACCAGTCAATGAAGATCTCCAAGAGAGGATATATCGCCTGGAAGCCCTCATCCAGGGTATGAGTTCAACCGGGACGCCATTGGCGAGTTCGCGGGAACAAGTAAGGCCGCAACTTCCTTTCCTAGTTCATCTTCGAGGAATGCTGACCGAGACATCGATCAGTCTGCCCATCTATCTGATACAACAACGTTCCCATTGGAGCCGATTGATGCCCCCATTTTGAATACTTCGACGGTTCCCAAACGCCTCATGCTGCAACGTCCCGATCAGTTCTGGGCAGACTTAGTGGATGAAGTAGGATCTGCAAGAATGGACCACGGAAATGAAAATCATGCTAACACGGACACGATATAGATCCACGGCCTCCGCGATGTCGTCGAATCGTCACTGGGTGAAGGAGAAGAGGGCCCGATACCCCCATCTGACTCGGCCAAGATTAAGCCACCCAACGACAACGGGATTCAGGTACTTGGGCTGGGCGCTAGCGATCCACCCGCACTTCCACGGTCCCTTATTTCGCCACATGATCCCGCAGTCAAGCGCCAGCTGTTTGAGGTCTATCTTCAGCAGGTTGACCCCGTGATCAAAATCCTCCATCGTCCGTCTCTGAACCGGTGGATGGTCCACGGAGAACCATATCTAGCCTATACCGAGGGTCACCCATCGGTGGAGGCGCTGGGTTCGGCTGTCTGCTACTCAGCCGTCAGCAGCATGACTGAGAACCAGTGCTTAGCCATGTTTCATTCTAAAAAGGCGGATTTGGCGGCCGAGTCTCGCGTGGCCTGTGAGACGGCGATTGGGCAGGCAGGCTTACTCTCCACCCGCGATATTACCGTCCTGCAAGCATTTATCCTGTATTTGGTACGGATCTGACCTTTAGGGGCGCAAGAACCATGGCTGACCCTTCTCCCAGGTGGCTAGGAGATCAGAAGACCGCACTCAAGCCGTCTGGACCTTGATCGCGGTGGCAGTACGAATTGGCAAAAGCCTCGGTCTCTATCTAGACCCTGATACGGAGACATTTTTCAATCAGCAGATGCGAAGACGCCTCTGGTTTACCATCTGCCTGATGGACCTACAGGCCTCATTCTTCCAGGCATCCGAACCACTCATTAGCGTCGACGAGTCCTCGTCCACGGCCCTCCCACAACACATCAATGACTCGGATTTTGATCCCACCACCACGCACAATGACCCGAACCCGGAGGGCCTCACAGATACGACTTTTGCACTGGTCACTTACCACGCCCAGCGGATGGGACGTCTGCTCAACTTTGGCGGGCACGATCACAAGGTCGACGAGGGCGTGCCCCCCACCACATCCTCCTCCTCCTTCTCCGCCGCCGCCGCCTCAATATCCCCCCCCCGGCCGATGCGACCCCAGTTGGCCACAGCAGCAGGCCCGGTGTTTCGAACAGGAAGCGCTCCGCCTTCTTCATTTCTGTGACCCCGAAGCTTCGGCATACGCTTGGTTTACCTGGCATGGCACGCAGAGTCTTATCGCAACGGCACGGCTGGCAGCCCTGCGGCCTCTCCAGTGGCCCGGGCAGGCGCCGCCCCGTCGCCGGAAGGGCAACACTGAGCTTCTGCGCCTCTGCCTTCCGGTGCTGGAAAAAGCACAGCTCATGCACACTGACCCCCGTGCTAAGGGTTTCCGCTGGTATGTGACCATCCCCTGGCACGCGCTGGCGATCGCTATGGCCGAATGTTATGTGAGCAGCGACGCGGCCTTGGTGCAAAACGCCTGGCCGCTGGTCGAGTCGTCGTACCTGCAGCATGAGGCGACTTTGGGCCAGTCCCACGGCGGCCACCCCTTTCGCGTTCCCAGGACTCAATCGACCGCAGAGTAGTGGTGACGATCGGAGTTCGTCTGACTGTCCGCGGCCGCCTACCGGGTCCACCACGCCGGCGGATCTCGGGTTGTCGTCACTCCTTCCGTTATCAACCTGGGAGTCGATATCGCCGTCCTTGGAGAACATATCGCTCTTTTCAGTGCCGCCGTCAACGCCGGCCGTGGCGGACGGTTTGGATTTGGGGGCGGGGACAATGTGGGAGGAGTTATTCTCGGAGATTGCGTTCAATGAGATCGCCGGTCCGGATGTGTTTTTTTTCGAAAAGAATTTGGGCCTGAACTAGATGTACCATGTAGGCTGAACCGTATCCCCTCTCGCGACATTCACAAGTAACAGTAGATGGTATGATTCTGTGAATGACTTTGATAAAGCAGAGGCAATGACGGCGGATCTTAGTGCCATCCGAAAGACCCTCGAAGCCCACGGCATCAAATGCGTCCCCGTCGACGTCCCTTTTGCTTTCCACACCGCGCAGATGGACGCAGTGCAGGAACGTCTGACGCAGGCCGTGGCCTCCGTGCCCTTCAAGACACCTAGTATCCCGGTCTTGTCCCCTCTCCTGGGCAGCGTGGTCTTTGATGGAAAAACAATTAATGCCGACTACATGGTGCGGGCCACGCGCGAGCCTGTTCATTTTGCGGCCGCGGTTGAGGCAGCGCAGGAGCTCACCATCGTGAACGAGCAGACCCTGTGGATCGATGTCGGACCGCATCCCATCTGCGCCGGGTTCTTGCGCAGTCTGCTGGTGGGCGCGCGCGTCGTTGCGTCCTGCCGGCGCAACGAGGATAACTTCGCCACGATGGCCAAGAGCCTGTCTACGCTGCACCTGGCCGGGCTGACCCCCTCATGGTCCGAGTATTTCCGTCCGGATGAGCAGACGTACTCGCTGCTCCCCTTGCCCAAGTACCGCTGGAACGAGGTCAACTACTGTATTCCGTATCTGGGGACGTGGACACTGGACAAGGCGCATCTGAAGTATGGCCAGCAGCGCATTGGGTCCGATGCACACCCTGTGCCGTCGTCTACCTTGCGGACCTCCCTGATCCACCAAGTGATAGAGGAAACCGTGAACAAGACGACGGCGACGCTCAAAGCGGTCTCAGATATCCAGCATCCCGATTTCCTGGAAGCCATCAATGGACACCGAATGAATAACTGTGGCGTAGCAACATCGGTACCGTTTCTTTTTTTCTTTTTTTCTTATATTCTGTTGTTTTGTTTTTAACTAACAGGAGTGTACTTTCAGTCAATTTGGACCGACATGGCATTGACCGTCGGCGAGTATCTGTATCGTCGTCTGGTCCCGGGAACCGAAACCGTCCACATGAACCTCTATGATGTCGAAGTTCTGCACGCGCAGGTGGCTAGTCCTAACAAGAATAGCGCCCAGCCACTGGCTCTCGAGGCCCATCTCGACCTCCCCACGCGACACATGTCCCTCGTCTGGTTCAATGTCGACGGGACGACGGGACAGCGATCGTCCGAGGCCTTCGCGACCGGCGCCATCCAGTTCCCAGAAAGCCCCGAGCTTTGGCTTACGGAATGGAATCGCATGACGCACCTCGTGCGTGGCCGAATCGAGGCCCTCGAGCGCATGGCGGTCGAGAACCAGGCCAGCCAACTGTCCAAATCGCTGGCTTACGCACTGTTCAAGAACGTAGTCGATTATGCCGACCGCTACCGCGGTATGGACCGCGTAGTCATCCACGACCATGAGGCCTTTGCTGATGGATCGGTTTTTTCCCCCTCAGGCGGCTGCCAAAGAGGCCGTGTCGACGGCTGTTGCAGCATCAGTGCCCGCAACCACGAGCCCCACTGCTCCATCAGCGATGAAGTCAACTGGTTACTCGGTTGTATTGTTGTATTCCTAGTTGAATCCGTACCTTCATGGCCCGTTAACCTGTCGGGTTGTCATTTCCGGTACATTTCTGTAATGACTAGACTTTCTTGGAAATCAGCCGTCGGTTATGGAAGAAGATAGTACCAACGGGAGTGCTGGAATCATGTAACATGGTATGAGAAGAGGGAGATATATCTATACTATAGTGCAGCAAGCAGTGGCGATCGATACAGAACACAGAGTCAAGAGAAACCTCATCAAAACAGGGAGCATGCAGCATGACTTATCCAGAAGCATACCGGGACGTCCCGCGAAGCTTTGCCCCAAAGAACCAGAACAAAAATGGAGCGGGAACCCCAATAACAATGCTGAGCAGCCCTAGCAAACTGTTCCCCCAGCCATAATTCAGGGCTTGGTACATGTACGGCGCAAACAGAGGAAAGCTAAAGCCTGCAAGGCTGCGCAGCACCACGACGGCAGCGAGTCCGCTCGCAGCAAACCGAGTGTAGCTGTCAATAACATACGTCTGCATGCACTGCAAACAGATGATTGATCCAATGGAGAAGATGACAATTCCAATGTTCGGCATCACCCAGTGAATGCGCGCCTGCACACTCCAGCCATACCAGAACAGTCCAACTGGAATAAACAGGGATCCGATGAACATGGCAGGGATGCGAAATTCTGGAACAGCTGTGTTGTTCCGCTTTATCTTCAGCTGGCGGAAGATCCGATCACTCGCGCGAGCATTTACCTGTGCCCCAAGCACAAAGCCAATACCCAGTGAGATATAATTCAACCCCCTAATGCCGACGCTCTCTCCGTACACGCCTTCCCATACCCCCGGGAAGGTCGACAGAAGCAGATAAAACAACCCGAAGAGGTACGCCATATATAAGGCGATCACTTAAACAATGGGTTGTGTGGTCAGCAGCAGAAAAGGGCGCACCAGTGCTGTCTTCAGGGATGACGCTAAACTTTGACTTGAGTCAAATTCTGTATAGTAGCGCAGGTCACCCGATTCCTTGCGGAGAGTCTTTGCCCGCCGTTTCAGCAATGTCGGTGTATAGGTCTCGGGGAGGAATGCCAGACCGAAGAGTTGAATGACCGCACCTGCGATACTGGTGGACCAGAAAACCCAGCGCCAGCTGCTTGTTTCTGCAATGAAACCACCCGCAATCGGGCCCACCACTGGGCCGAGCAGAGGCGCCAAACTGTAAATTCCGACGGCCTTTCCTCGCTGATCGGCATTCCAACAGTCGCTGATAAGGGAAGTCAGCCTTTTTGCATGCATAACAAAGGAGTGATAACAAAGGGGCGATAGGACTAACCTTAATACACCTCCCCCAATGGCTAAAGGAGCACTCCTCGCAATCCCACTCATAAATCGAAAGGCAATCAACTGGCCTGCCGTCTGCGCAAACCCACAACCTAGGTTCCAGCCCACGTAACAAAGATTGCTAAACTGCAAAACGTAGGCTCTACCAAAAATTTCAGAGAGGGGCCCAAAACACAGCGGACCCACTGCGTAGGCTAGCACAAAGATAGAGAGAGTCAGTTGGGTTTCAACCTCAGATTGTATCTTCAGCTCATCGGCGATCTTTGTCAAGGCGGGGGCAACCATAGAGGACGAGACCGGGGAGATAAAGGTGAACAGGGAGACCGTAATTGTAACCGCCCATTTTTTACTCATAGCCCAATTTTTGGGATTTGCGCGGTCGTCTAGGGAAGACCAGGAGACCTAAATAGTATCCTTCCATCAGTATCTTGATTGGGCTATAGTATAGGGTTGACTAGATGACTCTGACCAAGTGGGAATTTTGTTCTAGTCTCCTTGTTTCGGTCCCGGAAGTTTGTGATGTGGATTCTGTGAAAAAAAGACCACTCTGATTAGCTATACTCTCCAATTCTCCAATGATGTTCGATAAGCCTGCATAATAAATGGATTTACTTCCAACACACTATACATACCTCCTTCTTTGGCTGCCATCTCCAGCGTTTGACACTACTTACTGTAGCGCAGAGTTGGAGAAAAACAAATCAAAGAACAGCTGTGTTATCTGTAAAATCGTTGCGGTATTCATGTAAAAGCGAAGGCTAGGAATTCTTTCCAAAGGGGCTGACGCTTTTATATCCGATTTCTCTCGGCTTTTAAGATAGTCTTAAAATCCGAGAAACCATACATTTCAGGCATTAATATCGAAATGCCTTCTTCCCGCCGCCACAAGGATTCGCCATCATCCCGCATTTGCCCCATCCAATTGTTCACACTTTTAATGAGTGGTGGGTGTGCATAATAGGATTAGGAAGATCGACATGGGACGGTCCGTCCGCAATCGCCGCTGGTTCCAGGATCCGCATATAAGGGCAGTGATTAGCAGTTCCACGTTCCACGTTCCTCAGCTCGTCCTGCTCACTGTTAAAATCCTTACTGCGTCCTTAGAAAAGAGGGAACTAAGACCGGACCAGAGAGTGGTGATAGCCACAATGTAAATGTTTTCCTCGGCGTTCATCGGAACGCAAAATGGGAGTTGCAGTGATGGTACAAGCACTAAACTGACAAAAGAAAAAAGCAGAAAGACAGAAAAACGAAACATAAAACATACAACAGCAGGACTATGGCGATGCTCACCTAGCGCCCATCGTTCGGTCGTGGGCGGCTCGCTGCTTTACGCAGTCGGCCTTCAGGCGGGTTCGGGCGGCTTCAGGCGGCAGTTCACCCACCTGAATATTCTTCACCCAGACGGGTGAATCCCTGCTGCAAAATGTGACTTTATACATTTTGATCAGGGAAAGATTTCGCGATATAGGAGCAGTCACTAAATCTTTGCCTTTTAGGCGGTTGCCGCTACCCTCCCCCTTTTCCACTTCTATTTCACTTCTCTACCACTTCTCTTCTACTTCTCTTCTACTACATTCCCACCCTTCTGCTGTGTTCCGCTTACTTTTAAGTCGACGGCAATTATGACGAAAAAAGACCCCCTACTCGCTTATACTAGTAACGTGGTTAACCTAAGCGACTTCGATAACTCTAAAATCAGACGGGCGGTCCTACCACGTACAGAGAGCGACTATAAGTGTGCTCTAAGAATCTTTGATGCGTTAGTGTGCAATATCTCCCTAGAGTTCTATAAATTAACTATCTACTAGGTTTCTCGAGCGACATCCACAAGCCAAAAACCCTCCTGACCTCTAGACCTATAAAGCCTTCCTTGTCTGGGCTGCTAAAGGGAAAAAAGGCCGAATCGAGGCTTTTCCCACTGTAAAAACTATTCAGGGGTTTCGCAGGGACTTTCAAGCTGGGATGTTATATATACGAGATATTAATTTTTCCGATGAATTTTCCACTACACTTCACGAGGTATAAAGTAGATATACGATATAATGCCTCTAGTGGTATATATTCTAATCCGTTTACTTAGTTTATTCTAATAGGACTTTGGGAGAAAGTTCCACTTTCTACTGCTAAAATGGACTATAGTAGATTTTCACCTAACGATATTATTATCCTCTTGATATAGCTTTGGTGTCGAGACAGCCACGAGTATCGTGGGGAGATCCCTAATAGAACGAGGGTGTAACTAAGTGCGGCAATGCTACTCTATTGCTTTATATCTGCGCGGACGGGGGAAGTTCATAAGTCTATAGCTCGGAGAGGCTCGGCAAGATTGCCTAGCGGAGATGAAAAGGATATAGGGCTAGAAGCCTATATAATGGCGGTATGCTATAAGGTGAACTCCGAAAGAAAAGAAATAATATATTTCGGAGCTAACATATCTATTAGCATTTTGAACTAACTATTAAGATTGTGGATAAGGAGCCGATGCTAGTTCTTACCTACGATCGAAGATTTATAAAAGGGTATTAGAGGAAGACGGCACGGGATATTCCTACGTATGCTTTCTATGAAATATACTGAGAGGATATATCTATTTTCCTGAATTTACTAACGTTCTTCTTGCTAATGGCATCTACGGATAATGCCTTCCGAGATTACTCCTTAGTAGGAGCAATCTTGGATTAAGTTGATACCTACACTAAGGCTATTTCGACGGAGAATAAGATACTAGAAGTTATCTATTTCGTATAGAATATTTAAGAGACGCCTGTCTTCCGGCTGTACATTGAGCTTTCCATTGAAAAGTCCACAGGCAAAGCTCGAGGGGTAGATGCCTTTGGAAAGGAGCTGGTTAAGCTAGGTCACTATAGTGGTTATACATAAAATATTATGGTTCGTGCCTGCCGTAGATGGGCACTAATATAAGTAGGTAGATGCAATACCTAGGACCTAGAGGGAAGCAAGCTAGTTTTGCTAATATTGATATAGATAAAGCCTATTTAGAGTCTGCAAGGATAAGATTCGTAGGATAGACTAACCGAGATACTTACGGGAAGTTCTATGCCCACTTGGTTAGTGAAATAGATGGACTAGCAAACTACCTTGGAATTGTAAGTCGAAGTGAGTATATTGAAAACCGCCGTGGAATAGGAATATATCAGAATTCACACCTCTTTTAATCACTTCCCGCGAAGGCGGAGTTCGAATTTATGGACCGAAGTGATATTAGGGCTCTTAATAAAGAAATGCGCCACCTAAGTGTATAACTATTATCTGCTACGACTCCTGAGGAAAGATATAGCATTTAAATCAAGCAAAAACTCGCGTATAGCAATAAGCAATGGCTTTATAAATAGGAGCTTAAGAGGCTAAGAGCCACCTAATCAAATAAGCCGTATAGATCCAATAAGAACTAGGTCAATATATAGCAGGAAACTCTTTTTTCTTACAGGCGAAGGGTTATGCCCTAGAGAGACCTTTTAGCGAATATCCTGCCTAAAAAGTCTTCTCTGTGATATCACGATGGAAGACGAGCCCTAGACGTACTTAAATTTATCTACAAAGATAAATGCACCGTTGTATATCGTGCCGCTCTCCAACCTACGGATAGGAAATATCTCTATGGAAAGCGCATTAATGAGTGAGTCTTATTAAATTAGCTATGATCTATCGCTGATTACTTTAGATTTCAACCACATAGAAGGTGGCTACACCTTTACCGATGTTATAAACGTAATAGAATTAATAATGGATATTATTTTGCGGAAATGTGCTTTGAATGTGACCATTAGTTCATAACGTCCTTGGAGTGGGAGTATTATTGCTAGGAATATCTTGAAAATCCGAATGGGCTACTTCGATGTGACCCTTTAATATTCCGCAACGCCCCTATTAAGGCTAGGTTTTGTCCTTTCTGTTTAGGAAACAAAAAGCTGCTTCCATCGAAGAGAATGATCCAATTCGTGGTTAGTTCTTTAGAATGGTACTCTCACATCGAAGATCACTTAAATGAGCTTAAAGAAAACTTCCATTGTGAGCATCTAGCTTGTTTACTGAAGTTCGATAGTTTAGAGGCCTTGACGTGTTACCTTACGGACACCCACTGCAGGCGGCCTCGACGTGAATCTCTTAAAAAGAGGAAGTTTGAGCTTGATGACACTACTTGATTGGGCGTGTAAACTGTTTCCTTGTCTTGATTAAAGTTGCTATCTATATTAATCCTCTCTATTTATATTGCCTAAGCTGCCGCTCTACCGCTGTGTACTTATTATCCTAGACCTATTGATAAATTGAGCTCTATAAAGGCCCGAGAAGGTAGTCTGCGTATGTAAAATGGAGGAATATAGGGCTAAGGAACGTTAGAAGCACTCTTAAGGCGGAGTCCGTAGACTATATACAAGATTGAATAACGTTTACCTACTTATGTTATCTAATATAATGCCAAAGGCCGGGAGGTAACGACTCTCAGAGTATTATAACTTAAGATAAAAGGTATTATGTAGTATTAATGAAGATACAAAATAGAAGAAAAATCTAAGTCTGGGCGCCATTGACCTATTATAATAGTATAACCGAGGAAGAAGGATGAAGGATGGCTCCCTTAATCTAAGCGAAGGCGGGTATAGCGGCCGATGGGTTGGATGGTCGCACGTAGGGCAGCTAACTCCGAGGCGTTATTGGTGATTAATACGGTCGTGATTCATGGCATAGTAAGACACAAAAGTGGATAGAACACGGACGCGTATAGTTTATCGGAAGCACTATTCCGAGATTCTAATTGCTGAAGGTAAAAGCACGTATCGGAGGATTGATGGGAAATTTTGTTCAAAAAACGATATGCTATTATATTTTGTACGAATCCGTAGTACGCGCCGATGCATCTTGTTCTATAGCACGGCCTAAGCCTTGCCTTTCTATTTTGGGAAAGACTCTAATTGGTTGTGATCCACTTAACTATTCCGATTGGTTCCACCACGCGTGATTAAGGAGGCCGATCTGGCATCCCTGATGGCGAAGCGTAACCTAGGTTAGCCTAGCAGCAGTTCGAGCCCCTTAGCCCCTGGAGTTGGTGGATTCTTCGTAAGCACTACCAATTTTAGCTCGTGGCGTGGGTTGTGATTGAACAAGGATAAAAATACCCTAATTTTGAGTGTGATGTTAAAGGAAACGAATGATTTTAGGGGCCAAAGCGCTCGAATCTAGCGGTAGCCAATAGCTTACTTATATAGAGTATCTTGGGCAAACGAAGAAGAAAGCGCATAGGAGCAGCCCTATTAACTCTAGTCCTTGGATGAACTCGCTAAATCCTACGAAGTGGGCTTCTAAGCTACCTATAGCGGTGGTACTTGTGATTTATTACTAAGGAAGTCCCTACGCCACTAAAAGAGCCGCGCTACTTCTAACTTGTTCCATTTCTGAAACGGCTCGTGCTTTAGTATATATTAGCTCGTCCGATGGACTGTGGTAAAGCTGTGAGCTACGCAATTTCCTTTTTGTAGGCCACTTATGGCTAATGATTAGAGCTACGAAAATAGGCGCGCGCTGCTGAGCCGCGATTTCTCGACAGGATTAATTTCAAACTAGCTAATAGACTTTGCACAATAACCTAACGCCTAGGAATCCGAGCTCTTATACTAATTAGCTCCCTAATTATGCTGCCTAGGGCGGAGGCTTAATCCCCTCGCCTCCTATATACGGTTAGCTACTGGTTCTAGAAATGGAGTGCGTAGGTGAACTAAACTAGTCTTGTGGTAGTCTAATAGCCTTATGACTAGATAAGTGCCTGACTTAAATTCTAAATTTTCCTGTTGTTGAGGCTCTGGCCCGGGAAGAATTGCGTAAGGTCATCTATTCTTACCGTCACCTAGTAGAAGAAGGCATAGCTACCCCTTCGAGGCGTAATCTAGAACATACACTACTGTGCCCCCGAGTTAAGAAACGGCTCGAAGTTGGTCCGTCTAATTGTATAGAGATTTATAACTGCGGCACCTATACCAACGGAAATAAAACCCTTATAGGCTGAGAACTACTTAATAAATATCTACTTAACGATGCCTACTTGCAAAATGCCCTATTTTCCTTTAATTTTGCTAGACTCGTTCCCTCACTATATATCGCCATCGCTCTCAATTATGTCTATCGATCCGGAAGCCTCTAGTTATAACAAGAAGTACACCCTATAAGAAGAGTAGATTCTACTTTACTTTAAGGGAAAGGGTCTTTCCTAGATCCAAATTACCGAGGAATTCAATGCACGAGTTAATATCGACCGACAACGAACCATGGCGGCCTTAGAAAGTAAATGGCGGTAGTTAAAAGAAACTCTCCTCGGAGAGACGGTGCCTGAGTAAGATTACCCGGTAAATTCGTATATTTCCCCGCGAATAGTATTGAATTCTTATATTTTCAAGACTTTATAATAAACCCGTCGTGGAAAATAGTCGAGTCGCTACTATAGCCCTTGGTTATATACCTATTTTGAATCCTATTTGTGTGGGTGCTGGTCGTTCGGGAACTAGGTTATGATATGATGGGGGTCTCTGCGTATGTCTTAAATATAATATTAATTGCCTATGGAGATTTTGTTGATGATTTATAATTTCCTCTATGATATCTACTATGTGTCTTAGTCTACGAAAAGCTATAGACAACTCTAAGATGTATACGATATACGAGTCTACCTTCTATTGAGGACCTAGCTCATTAAAGACTATTTTATATACTTTTTTACTAATACGGGCTACAATAACGCACGTAGGTATCTTTGCAAGATTAATCATCCCGGATTGCGTTTTATTTTGATTATACCTAACTATGCTTTATCTATCTACGCGATTTCGAACTCTTAACCGCACACGGTTAGAAAGAGAGCTCCACTAGATTAACGACGTCTTTTATATGTTTAGAAATAGTGTTATAAATGTTCTTCCGAACATCTTCACGAGCTAAGACTGTCGTAAATTAGACTTTGATATTACTTTAGGCTTTAGAATATACTAGTTACTAGTGCTTTTCCACTCTTAGTCTAGAACTGTTCTTTTATTAACCTTGTCATATTAATTGGGCTATGAAGTTTGAAGATTCTCCTATGTTCGCTATTCTATGGTAGCCCGTCTATCGATTCTTCCCCCTCGTAGGAGATAACGTAGAGCCCAAAGCAGAGATTCTAGTATTGTCAGTTTTGACAAAGTTGATAATATGAGAAAAAACTTATATATAAACCTTGGTCTTGCTTAAGTAGTTGGGTTATCCAGTTGTGAACCCAATTTAAATCCGCTTTGATCCGTCAGTTAATGTGCACGTTAGCTTAGGACATACTGGGGATATATACATTCTATATCAACTTCCTAAGCCACAAATATACTGCGATATCTTTTTTCTTGAATACTTACCTCAATAAGAAGTCGAATATATAATATCTAAGCCGCGATTCTAATTCCGGTCGCCACTAGTAACGCGCGATCATAGTGATGAAGCTTCTGAGATATTCCGTATAGACTATCTATCTATGTCAAGAAGCTTGTTTCCGGACGTTTAATAAGTCGTCTCGTGAAACTGGACCTTTTCTATATAAGTAGTGATATGTTGCTCAATTTACTATCCGTAGTCTCGTCCCACCAAGCTATTGAAAATGGATAGCTCTGGAATGTAGAGAATCCCCCTACACCTAGCATCCATACGTATACGACCATTCCTGGCTGGATCTGAAAGGGCTGGTTAATTGAAATAATAACCTCAGCCACATAATCTCTAAGTCTGATTATATTAGCCCTCGTTCTAATTTTTGGATACTTGATATTGCGATATAGGAGCATTGACTAGCGAAATAGACTAGTAACGACAAGAATAATGCTCCTAATAAGAAGGTAAATCTAAGAGAATGCACTTTAAAGATGCAAATGCTTCTAAGCGGAAATCAGAATAGTAATCGCGGCCACTAAATAGAGCTTAGCAAATGTTTCGTAAGCCCATTTTCGAAGGAGCACGATCAGTGCCGAAAAGGTTATACTTAACAACGCCTAATATATTATTAGTCACGAAGGCTACCTAAACATCTTGAGACTCACAATAATTCCGTAAAGCTAGATATTTAAAAGTGGATGCTAACTAGATTGATGAAAAGTAATTAAGGAGTGGAGGACTGTCTAGACCTATACTATAACCCTAAGTGTACCGTGAAGCTGCTTGCTCGTATATAGGGGAATCCTTAGAAGATCTGCCACTAGCGCTAGCCTATCGTTTAATATTAGTGGAATTAAGTTAACTATAGCAATATTGCCCGCACGAATCCCTATAGAATGGAGATTCGGTGTGGCAATAAAATTGCAGTATAATGTGCCGCCCCAATATACTACCTGGAATAGAGCCTATAGTCTTGATTTTCTTTTCAGAATCAAGCGGTAGATAAATTGTTTTAATAAAAAGAATGTGACCTTGCGACTTATAAACTTCGTGAAGTTTAAGGCCAACCTAAGAGCTTGACGACTTCTTCCGAGGGCGCAAAGAGAAAGCAGTATTCCTCCTAGCGCGATAGTATATAGCTCCGATGGCTCTAAGATATTCATTGCGAGAGTCCTAGGGAACTAACTATTACTATAGTACTAGTAAGTTAAATATATGACTTTAAAGCCAAGAATAGCTAAGAATAGATTGCAGACTTCGTCCTCGTATCGCTAATGTATCCGAGGGCGGTAAATCCATTAGTCTAATATTAGATCATTCAGCAGGAGTTATATAGTGTGTATTTCCACATTTAAGACTAGTACCATTTTTCTTATCCTTCGACCTTTAAAGGATCTAATATAGATGAATCACACGCCCCCTTAGGTGAAGGTCGGCGTCGAAAGACCGTTTTTCGCAAGATTCGACAACTTTGTGCCATTTTCAACATAAGAGCTATAGTTATTATAGTTGATAGCAGTAACCGTTATTGGATCTACAAGATAGACGAAGAAATTCCTACTCTTAACTAGGTGAGAAGTACAGAAATAACACGCTAGGCAGCGAAAGCTAAAAGTAGAACAGGCAATCTAGCATCCAAGGACCTATATATATGATGACTTTGAGCCTTTGCACATTTCTTAATAAGCTGCTTAGATACCCCAGCGGCTAAGTCCACCGAGGTTCCGAGTGTGACGTGGGCGAGTGGGGCTTCGTGGGCGATTCG